TCGAGGCGTGAATAATATGTAAAATACTATTATCAGCTATATCGGGATACTCTAGAAGAATAAGGTGCTCCTGGACTTCGTAGGCAACTATAGTATCTCTAGAGCTACCGCTTACTTTAGTCCCGTCTGTTTCTATGCCTATTTAGCTTAGTTACGTTAGAGCGTTAGAACCTAAGGAGCTGATGTTTTCCTCATTATTCTTATAAGGATCGAGATCAGATGATGCATATACATTAATGCAATCTTGGTACACTGAAGTTTCAGAGACTGATCTTTGTCGCTGATTTGAAACATAAGTCTCGCATATGTTGTACGTAAAAGGACCACTTACAGATGGAAGATTATAAAGAATTCGATCAATCTCTAATACAGCGCTAGTAGTAGATCGCGTAGAGATATTAACCTTAGAATCAAGTAAGTCAGGACTAGAATCCTCGAATAGTGATAGTGAGAACCAAGGCGCTGATATCTTGTGGAATTCGATACCTTGTAATGACCTTGAAAAGGGGTAAATAAAAGTCCTTAAAAGAATGTTCGCATTAAAAAAATATTATGTAATATAGGGGTTTAGGCCACGGTGAGATCCGGCACCTTAGCGTGGCCCAAAATTAGTCAGAATATTTTGGGCCACGCTGAACTTTTTTTGGACCACGCTGAGCTGGGTGCCCTATATAGTAAGTATATTAATAGTATATACCTCTAGGCGATATACTATACGTATATCCTAGGAGGGGGTCAGGGTTAGTCGCGTTTAAGACCGTGTTATTATCGAATTTAGCCCGGGTTAGACCTAGGCTAGAGAAGAGTCCAAGGTTAGATATATTAATACTCTAGAACTATTTAGTATATATAGAATATATAGAGAAACGCGTTAGAGAGTAGAGTAAATAGGTATTCTTACCTTATATAAACAAAGTTAGTAGTAAGGAAAAAAAAAGAAGGATATTTGTGTTGCGTTATTAAAGATATATCTCTTATTTCTTTGTTGACACTTTTATATTGTAACTATATAGAATCGATATTTTTCTTTCAAAACCTATAATTTATTAAGATTAAGGCTATTTCTTTTATATTACTCTTAATAAATAATATAAAGAGTTATTAAGAATTTAGTAACATATATTATATAGAGCTGTATAGAGTTATAGTGCAGTTTAGTAAGGTAGGGGTTTAACTAAAGTTGAACCCTGTATAAAATGTATAAAATTAGACATAAAAGCTTATCGGGGTCCAAAATATTTTAGGCCCCGGTGAGATCTATTACCTCAGCGTGGCCTAAAATTAGTCAGGAATCTTTTGGGCCACGCTGAACTTTTTTTGGACCACGCTGAGCTGGAACCCGACGTAGAGGCGGAAACGCGACGCCACGTGCTTCAGATGACTAAGCCGGAATTTTTAGAGACCAAGTGACTGCCATTCAGGTGCACAAAGGAACTAGCAATGGGTCTACATTGCTGAAAATACCCCTTCTGACAACTGCTAGAGACTCAGGCTCCTTATGTATGTGCTTCATGGAGTGAGACTATTGAAGTATTGTAAATCAATTTCTCCAGGTATTGACCTATCCTGCTACGTTCAACAGCGTGAGTACAATCCCATTGGGAATTCACCACCGAAGAGAGAGAGAGACCAATCACACCTATCTCCCACGCGCCAATTCGATTTCCTTGAGACAGCCGAAAAAGCAATATGTATTCATTGCATTATTTGGTGAAACTTATGCGAATCCCAGGGGTATGTTCAACACTATCCTCTGGACCCTTGTCATAGTACCCGTACGGAGTACAGACCACTTTTGTACACTCGCATTTGTGGGCCATAATTCGGCCTTTTTCCAAGCGGCCGGCCACCTGCGTTCCCGCGGCTGCCAAATGATGACATCGAGAACCTCGCATAATTTAGATTCGCTTGAATGTCTGTACTCATTGAAACTGGACGTCCCGGGCATCTGCGATGGATCATAAAGCTGAGACATTGTTTGAGCCTCGGGCTCCTCAATTCGTGCCACGACAGCTTGGGCGGATGTATGCCTTCAGTGTGTTCCATGACTTTGTCTTCTTGTAATGGCAAGCCTTGCGAGACCGGGAGAGATCACAAGTTTCCCAGAGTATCGCATGGTTGCATGAGTATCCATCAAGCAACTGCGAGTGAGTCTATTAATCCATTATCTACTCTCATTCTATATCCGACCTCTGAAGGAACGGACAAATACTACAAATTGGCCTACTCCATGACCGTGCGTTCTGCTCCAGGCTTAAGAACAAGTGAGAGTATTAGATCACTATTTAGATAGTACGGAGACACTTGACTTGTAAAAGTTTATCTATTGTCAAACGAGGGCTGGTCATCACGGCGGCCCGACAAAGTTGAGGGAAGTTTCAGATCAACACCACGCGCGTATTGCTGGTCCAGAAAGACTGGAAATCTATACATTCTGGACGGAATGACGAGGATAATAGTCTCTACGTGTGACTTTCTCAATCAATCACTGCGGCAGCCGTTCTTGTGATAGTTCATCAGGTCTAATGTAGGTACTCTGCTTGGTAGCAATCCTACTGAAATGTGTACTCAGGATAGCGGGGCGACTCTTTTAAGGTCACAGTACCAGACGATTTGTTGGGATTGGTCATGCATGTAGGGTTGCCAGAACATAATGACCAGAACGTGGGTCGCTTCTTACTTCCTAACATATCGGTGCCTTTCTGTTCACCCACCGCTGTCGCGTGTGGGTGCGCCCCTAAATCCCCATCATTCCGACATGACGGTGATTTGTATCTTTTGTATAGCCTTACCATATCAAAGGTACTTACTCCATAATTCTAGTTTTTCACGAATATCTTAGTATACCACTAAAGAAATCCAGATTTTATATAGTAATAAGATAATTTAATATAAATACTACTTAATTCAAGGGCAATTTAGGACTTTCGGGTTAATAATGGGGGCGTTAGAACTGTTCTAAATTTCCTCATAGTAAATTTTTCCCAGAGAATATTTAAACAGGCAATTAGTCTACCTTTCTAGCTATAAATTCGAAATTCGATAGTAAATATTACTAAAACTAATAAATTATTATCTATTTCAACTCAATAAGAGGGAAAATATTATTTCTTTTAGAGATATTCAGGAAAAACTAAAATCCAGGAGTAAGTACCTTTTATATAGTGAGGCTATACAAAAGATACTAGTGACGGGGATTTAGGGCGCACCCACAAGCGAAAGCGGTGGGTGGGCAGAAAGGCACTGATATAGGAGTATTTACACTCAGCCTAGGTAATATAGTCTTAGGAAGGCTGGCCAAAAGTGGTATAGCTTACTCGTAGAACCTGGCCTTGGCATCTCCCATCAAAAAATAATTCATCTAACCCAGGCCCTCGTACCTAGGCACCTTCTAGCTAGATAACCTAGTATATTTTTTTGATAGATAACTAGATTAGGCTATCCTATTAAAAGATCCCGACGAGCCGATCGGAAAATTCCACCATTTAGTATAGATTTTGTTGGTGGGGGGGGGGTTAAACCTTAAATTCCCTCCGAATCCGAGGGTGTGAAAATAAGGCGGTGGAAATGACAGTGGTTGCATTGAGCAACCCTAGCCTAGGTGTCATAGATGACGTCTTCATTCCCACAGAAGGTCCTGCAGAGTAAAGTCATATGACTGATCAAATCAATCCAATACGTCGTATTTTCTGTAGGCCCAAATGAACCTCCAGGAATATCATCCGGCCGTTGAGAAATGATCGAGGGAAAGGTTCATTCATTATAAGTTTTGGGAGTGTCGTTACTCTTTTCGTACACTATTTGCAGGGCCTCATGGATCCTGGCATCGCACTCGTGGTAGTGGCGACAGTTTTTACTTCCCTTGCTATCATAGTAGCAGTAGTGCGACTGATTGCTCGATTTTGGATTCTGCGGGCTTCTGGCATAGACGATTACTGTGTCGTGGGTGCTACTATTACTTCTCTGGGGATGCTACTCTCTATAAACTTAGGTCAGTTGTCTGGAAGACGGTATGGTATATGCTAACCTACCTCAGGTGTTCACTATGGAATTGGAAAGCCCGCCCCAGTGAGCAGTTTAGACACTGAAGCGGTAGGGAAGGTGATTAAGCTCGATTCTCATCAGATATAACGTCTGACAACATCTGCAGATACAGCTGGCCATTCAAGTTCTTTACATTATGTCTAGTGCTCTCATCAAAGCATCGATCCTGCTGCTTTATCATCGCATATTTCCGTCACTACGAAAAGTTTCCGTCCTTACGTTAGTTCTCGTCGGAATGATAACAGTCGCCTTCATTTTCACCGCCATATTCCAGTGCAAGCCAGTTGGTAGTTTTTGGGTTCGACCAAAGACCACTCAGGACTCTTGTATTTCGCTTCTTGTTTTTTGGTGCGATGTCGCTGTTGTATTTTTGTTAAGTGATGCTTGGATTGCGCTACTTCCTCTAAGATCGATATTGGGTAAGTATTATTTTATCGATGTGAATTACAGGACTAATGCTTAAAGTTAGGCCTTCACCTTTCAGTCACTAAGAGGATCATGGCATTTATGCTCTTAGGTTCTACTGGAATATGGTAAGTATATTCCTACTTGACGGAATGTTTTCTGACAATCGTACAGTGTTGTGGTGTGTGCAACTGTTAGGTTGGCCTTTGTTATACACCTATACAAAGGACAACATGACATACTAGGCGTTGTTCCTATATATATTTGCTCAGTTGTCGAAATATCAACAGCCTTGGTTGCGGCAAGTATACCAGCTATAAGGCTAGCTGGAATAAGGTATCTAGACCACCTGAGACCAGATAAAAGCAGCGAAATGGTCGGATCTCACTGAGAAAACGCATGGAAATAATACCTGAATGGGTGATCATATCTTTTCCTATTGAGACCAGTATCTTTTGAGATAATAAAGCGCAATTTCATAGTGGAAGGTAACATAGATGGAGAGCGCTTAACATGATTCAATGAACAACCTTTATTGTTTAGTATCCGAATCAGGATTGCTCGATAGTTATTGGAATATGCCCCATAACCCCGACCTCATTCCACCTTCCAATATCCACCTTATAACTTGTATTTTGGTTCAGCTTCTTGAAATCATTCTTTTCGCCAATATGCACAGCGGTTCTCCAGATGAGAGTGCATATTCTGGCATTTTTGAAGTCGTCAACAAGATCGACGCTGCCTTGAGCTCCGTACAAAGAGCCTGGCTGTCCACAAAAGCAAATGGACCGTTGACTGCCATTATGCCGAATAATCATGTCGTCAAGATCTTCAGATGTCAAAATGTCGCTTCGATCTCCCTCTCGATAGAATTGGCCGCTGTTCGATCTTAGGAGTAGGGATCTCTTGAAGTCAGGCAGAACAAGAAGAGTACCAGTCTAAGTCCGCATTTTCGATACGGATATCAAATTTCAAATTATCTTGGATTCGAATGTGGAGGAACTGTTGAGACAATATGGATGCCATTTTTAAATATAATATATCACAAGGACCTCGGACAAAGGTTCTCGTGAAATGATCGTGGAAGGTGGATGGCACGTTGCTGATAAGTTTCTATATCAACTAACTGATGTGACGCGTCTATGACGCTTATCATTTAGTAGCTAGGGAAAAATACACAGGATTCGGAAGTCTGCCCTTGTCATGAGACCACTCGACTTGAAGCTGGATATGATTGGTAATACCCGTATTCTGTCCCATCTACAGACGCCGGTTCGGCAACGAACATTTCCATTTCTTTCAACTTGATCTTAAAAACAGTGACCTTAAAAATAGTGTGCTCGTTTATATATTTCTGTCTACAGTCGTAACAAGAACGTCTTCAATATGTAACTTTCCCAAATCAGACCACTTGAGTGTGATTAAGACAGGCCAAGTTGTGATGTCAGACACACTCATATAGCATATTTCACTATCTATGATTGCCCGGATCACCTGCCCACTGAAATCCTAGTCGTGACTGAAGAATTAGTAACTGCCTCTGCCTAACTAACTAGTGATGTTGCTATCTTTATCACTAAATGTGTCATAGTCCAAGTTCTTCACGTCGTACACGCTTTATATGGACCTCATTAATAAGCATCCGATTAGTTCTTGTTTATGGTCATTCAACCAAAAAAATATACGATTTAAAGATGATAGCATAATCACGTCACTGTTAAACAACTTGCAGCTTTTTTTGGGGGGGGGGGGGGTCACATGACTAGAACAAGTGTACTCTCACCTCAAAAAGTCGCGCCACTGCTTATTCCAGCTTCACAATGTATTTATCTACACTAACACGATGATGATCTTTGAGGACAGATACACCTACAGATATTACTTTCCTATTGTATCTCTCGCTTATTTTCTTCGTTATCCGAATCCCTATGCCCGCCATGTTCTCAGTACAGACGTGATTACCGATATATCGATCCGAACACACACCGCCTTCACTCGACCCGGCTCCACCTTAAGAAGGCTAATATCCCCTTAAGCATTCAGAAACTCTCGCCTAAAGGAATAGGTCGGTCCCACCATTCTACCGAGAGTTGTACTTTGGAAACTACTTTAGTCGACCCCGTAGAGGGCTAGATGGAGACCAAATCTCGCAACCTACAATAGGACCGGTATTATTAGCGTCGGTAAGAAACAGTTTTATCAGCGTCTTTTTCCGAGCGAACACGCCTGCGCTCTGAATGAACTATCAACTATTCAGAATAGTGAACAGACCACCGTCTGTACGACTGTGACCCTCCGCTCTAGACTCGGATGCGGCAAATTTACCAACCGCGACGATAATGCTGATGTGAAAGAAGAAAAGCCCGTGAATAACTTCGTCTTTTCCTTATCCACGGCCGGCATCCAGGAAATTATTACAAAAATAGGTGTTCAGAGAACTCAGGATGCTATCTCGAGGAATAAACGGGGCATGAACGTCGTTCTGGAACGATTGTGCATCGGCGAGATCGTGTATACACTAGCGGGTTTGCTGCATGATCAGGAAGCTGCCTTCCGCCCCGAGAGTGCTTAGAGGCGAGTCTGCACAAGGGGCAATGGCCTTCAGTACAATGCCTCGACGGGATGAGGGAGAAGGTGGGAGCTGCGAAAATCTCACGTCACTTCTACCACCAGTCGGAGGTGTAGCTAGGCAATAGCCATTTCTTGACATGATTATGACCTGGATATTTTCAAAGATTTGGTATCTTGAACTAGACTGCGAAACTAAGAATTCCAGGAGTCAGGGTTGATAGGTCTGTTGTATTTATAGTACCTGCAGGATCGTGTACTCAAATACATGTGATAGTTCTCTCCGAGGGACGAAAATTGTACAAGTAGCTTGAGGAAATGAGAATTGATTCGGAATAACCATAGCGTGTCTAAGGTATATTACAGATATATACATAAGAATCAACATGGTGTCCAATCTCTGCAATACTGTTCCCCGTCGATTCCCTGACGGGCGCAATGATAGTCAGTTCATTATTGCTGCTGGCAACTCCAAACTCCTTGCGACGGGCCAAATTCATCACAGGCAATCATCCCAAGCCTACCCAAGCCTACGACATGTACTTGATGTAAGTCATTTGTCCCCTGTCTAGTCTTTCTTCGCGGTATAGGTGGTATGAGGTACTGCCTAGTGAAGATGAGCTTTGGCGTGATCGACCCATATAAGAATTGACCGTTCTACCGTAGACGCCACTTTTCGTTTCACATCATCTAGAAATATTGTGTAATTTAAAGGTATCTCTTTTGATACATGATTCGCAACTTAATGGATGTGTGTGCTGCTCATTAGTCGAATTTTCTAATAGTAATGTTTCATAAGCGCTCAGGCTCATTGAAACGGACTACAACAAGCAATAATCACAGAATAACCCCAGGACAATAGAACAGACACCGATTGGAGATATTTAATACCCCTGGTTATATCCAGATTTTTCGGCTTTCGTTTTATATCCTTACCCTCATCTGCAGGCAACCACCACCCTTTTAGGTGTCTAGCTAGGAGGAAACCCTTCATATACATTCGGTTATGCTATCACGTTTTGCCTGCTAATCTCTCTTATTTTGATCTCTTTTTCTTCTCTTGATTCTAGAAGAGACATTAGTTATAAATATTGGTAGAGTGGGAAAGCCTAAGGGAATAAAGGAGCAGTTTCCGTCATCATCAACACGTAGTATTTTTCTTCTACCTGACTCAAAGGCCTTCTACCCTGTATAAGTAGATACCATAACAAGAGGGAATCGTACGGTTGGTGAACTGCCTACCAATAGAAGACCTAGCGCTTTCTCCGCGTGTCTACTATAATGATACTTGCCAGGGAGACAAATTGCTCAAAACTTCATTGATCTCCTATTACCCATTCACAGACCACGACCCAATTAACATTATTCCATTCTGGAACGAAGATACCTTCTCAGCGTGACCATTTACCTTTGATTCGTATGTGGTTTCACAGCAAAACTCATTAAGATGAGAGGAACACATTTTATCTACTCCAATACAGCCGCATCGTTTGGAACCATTTTCCGAGTACTGGCCTCGCGTGGGCTGTTAGATTCGAATACGACCTCGAGCTCTAAAGTCCTTCCTTTCGTTTCCATAAAGACGACGTACACAAATACAAACTCGAAGCAATCCCACAATACAAAGAACGCGTAGCTTTGAGAAAGTCAGAGACGTTAAGTGACATTATGTGAATTTCGGGGAAAGCGATTTTACTCTCAACCAATATTATATGTTCTGCACGGCCAGGGGGCAGCAAATGTGTTGACAAATCCTGCGCAGCCAGAAGTGATCTGGGACACCATCGTACCATTTGCACGCATATTGTGTTTTTGGAAATCAGTGGCATGACAGTATGAGCAGGAGGACCAACACGTACTCGCTAAGACTTCCGGCGAATAAATCGGTTGCATGGATGTAAAACCGACATCAAACACAACCCCAAAGATGAAAATAAAAGCAATCATCGCAGAACTTGCATTTGTGTCACTGTTGTCATGCTGATATTTGGCCATCACTCCTGTAATGATGGCAAGACATACACCCATGCTGGCGCAGGAGCCCGTAAACATCTTGCGCCTCCCAACCACGTCATGGCATCGGGCTATATGCAATGTTAGCTATTATCCCAGAATAAGATTGTTTCATGACTGTATTCAAGGTAGAATTCCTATTATTGAAGCACTCACCTCCAATACTAGCAGCTATCCATCCTGTAACTGCATAAATTCCGTTCAAAAGCTGTAACGTGCTGACTGATGTTATACCGACGGCTGTGATCACCGTCGGAAGGTACTAGCTTGCAACGTTGTTCCCAGAGAATTGCCCAAACCAAGACCAAGCTACAACAAGCATGATACGATAACGCCTAGCACGGGTACTGAATAATGCTTTGATATTGAAATAGTCGCGTGCTGAGCGTATACCACCGTGACTCAGTGACTCCTCAATTTCGGCCATCTCAAGTGCAACAATAGGGCGGTTTTCGTCTCCGTTGGTATGATGTTTTATGAGGAATCTGCGCGCTTCCTCGCGGCGTCCTTTAGCGATCAACCATCTCGGACTCTCAGGCATCCAGTAACCAAAGAGCACAACGATACTAGGGCACACGGTCTGTAACCATAAAGGCAAATGCCAATTGATATTTCGATGGAGGTGAAGATTACAACCGTAAATCGCTAGCAATATTGTGATTCTTCACACACATTATCAGAAGACAGGATATGTTGCCAAAAGTAGCAACAATGCTTCCCATGTAGTATAGCGTGTTGTATCCTCCAGCAACGGAGCCGCGAAGAAGTGGTGGCGCAAGCTCGACAAGTAGTACTGGAGCCGCAACACTGGCCAAAGTTGAGAAGAAACTCAGCAGGAATCGAACTCCTATAAAACTACCCAGTGTCGGTGCGGTCGCTGTGAAAATTGAAAATGCGACCACTGCAGTGCAACCGAACAAGATCATGACTTTCCTTCCTCTCCAGTCATTCACCCAAGCAAATAGAGCTCCGACCATCTGGCCAAGTTGAAAGATTGAAAGGACAATTCCCGTGCTTGCTGATCCTGTGCTCCCTAGGTTGTAGTAGTTTTGGTACTCCGTCATGACATTGATGGAACCCATAAGAGAGCAGTCATAGCCTATAATTCGGCAAATGCATCAGTTTCAACAACAAGAACTACTCAGAATCACTCCTTTACCATTCATCGTAGAGCAGAAATAGACGATAAAGCATATCATATATAACTGGATGTGCCCACGTCCTCAAGGGTTAGGGAAATCGCTATGGGCTGTCTTGTTACTGTTCACGTGAAAGATATCCTCGGAAAAGGCCTACCAGATCTGTATCATCGTCATGGAATTTAGCGCCTCTCGACTATCTATCCAATGGATGTGTTGCGGTTGTTTAATGCACCCCCACTCACGCGGGCTATTCCGAACCCAATTAGGTTTGGTCCACGTCTATGCGGGGGAGCGCTGGGCGCTGTTATGAAGCTCCTCTGACCCTTCGCCAAAGTGGTTCTAGTCACAGTTAGGTTAAGTCAGATGGGTAACGGCTCAGTATGGGATCAACTGAAGCCCCGCAGTGGCGCTTCCAGACGAAACACGCTACTGGAATGAAGAATATCCAATAGTAATTACAGACAGTGCTTACTTCTAGAGCTGGCACCAATTATGGTTACATTCACGGGTCTATTTCTTGCTTCCGAAGACCAACCAGGGCTTCCCGTACCCAAAATGGCATTCACTCGTACGTCTGGATCCAAGACGAAGCACAATACGCGGAGAAAATGCGCCACCATAGCTTATTGCTGGAAGTGGATATGATCTTCAACTGTAGATTCAACGGACTTTAGTCAACAACGACGAAACTGCTGCTCGAAACTCTGTAGATGAATGTTTTTTACGGGTTTCTTTACTTCCTAGTGACTTGATGGGCTTTTGAAACATATAAACTGAAAGACCACCACCACTACCAGTTAACAAGCCTCCAATCCTGCAATTCACTCGCGTTCCTGTGAGCTCATCTGCACTCGCATGATGAAGTTTGAAAGCCTGTTCATCCCGATCATCTCAGGGTTAGCATTGAGCGCATATCTCCCAGGACAATGTATGGTCTCCTATTATTTACGGCATTTTTGCATGCTAAACATTTCAGATGACGATTGTGGTCTACCTAAATATGGTCTCAAAACAAATGGCGTTGCGATCGGTTGGTTGCCCTCGGACGGCAACAAGACAGAAGAGGTGTCCTCACCAAGGTACACAATGAACGAACTCAACCACAGGCTCGGAGCTGTCTCCAGTCCGTATGGGATTTATTCTTATATAACTTCACAAACTTATGATGGCTATGAGCTACTGGGAGAGTACGACGATATCATCCGCTCAGGCGCTGTTTTCGTCGCGTCCGTAATGCCTGTCCTTGAGGCTGGATTCACAGCTATCATCCCCACTGTTGCATCCCAGATTGCGTCCGTGATGCGAAAATTTCCCGATGAAGGTGTTGTTGTTTGGTTACGGTATGGATTTGAGATGAATTGGTACGTAAATCCGGTATGTCATCGTATTCTTTTTAGACTTTCTTGCTGCTAATTAGCGTCCCGAGGCCGCTGAACCTCGATACCATGGCACTCCCAGCGAGTTTGTTTCGTCTTTCCGAAATGTCGCTGAGGCTGTCGCAAACAATCCTATGGTATCCATGTTCTGGTCACCCAATAATCTAGGGGGTGACTCAGCCGAGACCCTAGATGAATGGTACCCGGGCGATGATATTGTTGACATTGTCGGCACTGACTTCTACCCGCTGGCACGGAACCAAGCCTTTAGACGGTGCTACAAGGAGTTTTATGATCGTTTCTTGACAGGCAAGGACAAACCATTCGCTATAGGCGAGACTGGTGCCTCTGGGGATCTGAAGGAACATTGGCTAAGAGAACTCGTGACCCAACGCAAAGAAGAGTACCCAAATTATGTATCCATGGCGTGGTTTGAATACAACAAAGAAGTTGATTTTCGCCTTGTCATGGGCAACAGATCGACATTAGAGGATAGGAGAAGGATATTGGTGTTGGAGTGAGGGCATCTGTACCCCTTGGGAACAAGCTGAACGTCGCCGTGGACATGAATCCTTTGTGTAATGGCATATCAGGAGCTTGGGTCATATAGCCAATTGGTATCAAGGACGCAGGCACATCAGTGTATATCTCATGGATCCATTAGCCATGGAAAATGAAATTATACAAAAAAAAGGTTATGTTACTACCTAACGGGGCAAGTCTCATAATCAAGTGAAGAATTGTGTAACAGTTAGTTTGATGATATAATTCTTGGTTCATCGAGGCGAGGCTACATGTTATGTAGAGCGATTCGAATTAACGAAGCTCGAAGGTACAATGCATGTATCCTAATCGCCAGAAAATATAGAATATAAATTTGGCAAATTATTTCATGGAGCTAAATAAGACAATTTCGATAATCGTGGCAAATTCAAATTAGTAATATCATGAAGGTTTTCCTCTGCAATTCTAGATGATATCATTTAGGCAAGCACCACCGGAATCAAGAGCACATACCCTCCGTTCTTAATCTTCCAATCTAGACAGGGACGGAATAGCATTTTCTAATCCAAAATGACGAAGCTCGAGTGGTACGCTAAGCTCCGTGTGCGACAACAAATCCCAGAAAATGTCACGAGCGGCACTATTTCCATTCACAACATGATCGTATCCTGTAGACCGAACTTCCGTTTCTGTGTGGATAGACACCTCATCTTCCATCATACCACCGTAATTATGGCTGCACTCGTTGCTTCTATGGAAATGGCTTTCGCTTGCACCCAAAAATCGGCTCAATAAATCGCAAAAATGCAATGCACTCAAACTCCACTGTTGCATTCTTAGAAGTGTATCCAACGCCATTTCAACTTGCAGATGCCACGATTCGCGACTGGATACGGAGTTTTCTGTAGTTATTTCAATGATAAAAGGTCCAAGAACAGGTGTCATTGCGGCCTGAAAACCATACCAGGCGCCATTGGCGCAAACGACGCTGTTCATGAATGAGAATTTGGAAACATCCTTGATAAGTTCATCGGCCATTGCCCTGCAGATCTTGATGGCGTCACTATCCTCTGGAGTTAACTCCTCATAGAGAATGTTGCTCAGGGCGTAATTCAGCAGAACTGGTCGATGCAATGGCATCCATTGGATCTGGAATCGCCAACGTATGATAGGTCTTGTGACAGTGACTGCGTAGTTTGATGGATCACTGCCCTTAAACATAGGGTGTATTCCGTCGTACCATTGAAGCAACAGCATGTTAAGGAATTTCAATTTCGCATGAGGAATTAACGGTGAAATTGCAAGAGATTCCTGGATCTTTGTCGCAACTTTGCAAAAGCCGATGCTCTCCACAAAGGGCAGGATTATATCGGGCATTTCCTAGATATAACTATTTAGAATGTGATATTGAGAAAAGGGTGTCTCTTCTTACATTACTGAGGCCACCCCTCGGTAACTGTACCGTGGCTGCCTGTCCCATTCGGCCAAAGGGAGGGCGCCCCAGAGGCATACAAGCCCACGTATCCAAACAAAATATGGACCACCAAACTCTCCGATGGAGCTCAAAATTTGGACTGGTGGACAAAGTCTCCTGCGAGACAGTAAGGTCTTTATAGAGCCCGAGAGCTGCAGCCATTCTCAGGCTAGTGCCCATGACTGGATGGGCCATATTTGGTTGATTGATATAATGAAGATACAAACCACCCCATAAGCGCTAAAGTTTGAATAGTTTCAATGCTAGTCGCTCTTAGTGAAGCGAGTTTGACGTGTGACATTGCTCTCCGATGATACGTGAAGTGGAATAAGACTTTTGGATTGCTTGCTGCTATACTGCCCAGTGCGAAGACCGTATTGAGCAGCCCCATCCAGCGAGCATCTGTCCGGTGACATGAGAAATAGGTTCTTCGAAATGAAGCTTCGTCAAGTAAAGGAACAAAGGGATGGAAATTAGCAAGATATGCATCAAGAAGTTCCGAGCCGGATATTTCCGGGCTTTGTGGGACGGGAAAGGCAAGCAAAGGTCGATAGTAGTTGCCAAACACGGCACCTCAAATAATCTTCCGCCTGCTCTTTCTTGGGGCGGAAAAATCGAAAATTGCTCGGAACAACCACCTGCTTTCGCATCGATCCGCTGTATGGCTTTTAGAGCCGCATAAGTTGACGATATCCCTTGAGGGCTCTTTGTAAGTGCTGAGAGGGCATTCACGTCATCCGATATTTCAAGAGTGATCTGCGGTTCATCCAATTGGTGCTGATCCGTCCCTTCCTCCGGGATGTAGTCAAGAATGTCTAATCTGCTGGATCTGGGTGAAAGGAGTTCCTCCAAATTTGAACCTGACGACCCAGAACCCAACCCAATCTTGTTCCCGATGATGAGCTCCAAAAAAGCATCCGCGGAGAGGTCCACTAAATCTTCTCGCTCGAGCTTTGGGAAAGGCTTCTCCCAAACAGTCTAGTAATGATGTAATTTGGATGAAAGCTTGGTAATACGTCTATTCTATCAAATGAGCCACCCACTCCTAGAACGAGAAGAACGCACATTGGAAACGTGAAATACCTCCACGGTGTTGTCACAAACGAATAATTGCACCGGTCCCCTTTCTTATACCACTCACAGGCTGAGCAAGGCTAGCTCCCGGAGCATCGAATCTTTCGTTGGCGACAGTGATCACAGGCTGAGGGATTGCGATTTCGACGGATGGAGAGTTGAAATGCTGTTTCTGAACGTTGGCCGCGGCAGGGCTGATTATCTACTTCACTTAAAGGCGGTTGAGTGCGTGGAGTGATGTGAGAATATTTGGTGCTTTCAAATACACTGGACATGGCCATGTCTCTTGGGCGCAAATTTGGCCTCGTTTTCTTTTTCCAAGGTATATCCACGCTAGCAGTGAGTATGTGGTATGTGGGAGGAGGGGAGTAAAAGATGAATCAATGAAGCACGGAAAATCTCACTCGACCTTCATTACTGCAGCAAATCCGGGGCCGCTTGCCTTCCCCCGCGGGGTCCTGAGCACATTAAGGCGGACTGACTAGCGAAAAGCCACTCTGAAAAAGTAGAACCGGCATACCGTATTCAACTACCCCTATAAAGTCAAAAAGCACTGAATCTCCTATAGTCAAACTCTTTTCGAACAAAAGGGTGTAGGAAAATCCTACTTGCCATTCAGGCTATTCTCAAGAAGCAAATCAAAACTGATTGTAAAGGTAAGAAAACCACATAGTTTGGTTACAGACAAAACTGTCTCTTATCTTTCTTCACGGCCCCACTCAGGAGACCTTTCTATGCGTATGATGAATTAAGGCCCTGGAATAGCAGGGAACGACGCCTTTACTTTTGGTGAACTTTTTTGGAAACGAATCTTAAAAACGTATTAAAATATCTAGCTTCTATCAGACTCTACATTCTTTCACACTTTACAGCCTGGAGTTGACTTGGCAGGCAAGATGGTATCGATGCAGAAATATATATTTGACACCTTTACCCGTAAGCATCTAGCATTTTAGAATATTCTCTCACGATAGTCTAGATACAGGCACGATGCATGTAATATTTGCGGATTTGCTTCACCGCCGGTCGGGGTTCAAACCTATATTTAATTCCCGGGTCAGATCCGACCAGATTACGCAAGTCTGTGCAGATGCAGGAGTTGAATTCCTTCTTTAATTAGCTCTGAATTGATTTTTGTTAACGGTTACGAGAGTTTCACTCGAAATGCCATCACGATTCCGAGGAAGTGGTTGATTAGCAGGTTGTGTAAAAGGATGCCGGGTTAGTTCATCCTGCGAAAACCCATCAGAAAAGAGCAGGTCAGGCCCAGGAGCGTGTTTCGCGTACAGTTATCAACTTGAGACACTTGGCCAGCGTAGGACGGCGGTGGAGGGCACGAATGAGACGAAAGTGGTTTAAGGGAAGCGTAATGTGGCGCTGGAGCCCCGCATTATTTCATGGGGTTTCAAGAAATCCCGACGAAATCTCCGCGCATCGAAAGAGGAAAAGACCTAGAAGTAGATCCAGGTCATTTTTTTTTATTTTTTTTTTTTTGCAAAGTATTGTTCTAAAGCGGTGCACACTACTGACTCCAGGTTGCTGAATAAAAATTGACACTTGCTACTACTATACAGCGGGGCGGGGCATGTTGCAGCTGCACGGCACTAATCAGAAAAAAAAACAACTCCCTCCCAATCAAGGCCCAAACCGGAACCGTAATGGCTCCGTTCCCGATTTGGAAGTCTCTTGATCTTAACATTAGTTAAAAGCCTCGACAACCCACGATCAGTCGCTACATGCCAAGTCATATACTTCACGAGATAAAGTATGACGGTGCTCAAACAGATTGCAATTGACAAGGGCTGGGAATTTAAACAGGCCAGTCATCTGAACAACTCCACTGCCTCCTCTTTCCTACCAGTGTCTCAATTCCCAACGGTTGCCCATATTGATTTACTTCATCATGGACTCATCCCGGATCCCTACATAGACGACAATGAAACAAAATGCCTTTGGGTCAACGAAGCAGACTGGACCTACCGCACCCTTGACTTCCCTCGCGTTGACCTCGGTGATAGAAATACTCGCGCAGTTCTGGTCTTCGAAGGGCTGGATACTGTTGTTGATGTTTCTCTGGGCGAGGAACATATCCTCTTTAGCAAGAATATGCATTTACCGCAACGAGTTGATGTCACAGCCCTCTTGAAAAATATTCAGATCCAGACAAAAGCTTCGCTAGAACTGCGTTTCAGGAGCGCACCGGCTTATGCACGAGAGGAGAAAACCCGTATCGGGTATCGAGCACCTAATGAGACGGATGTGCATTTTGGTGGACCTGAGAGATTATTTTTGAGAAAGGCACAGTATCATTGGGTAAGCTGCTCCGTTCAAATTCCACCAGGCCTTAGGCGGGAAAAGGCTAACCGATCCCCAGGGCTGGGATTGGGGTCCTGCTATCAACACTTCTGGTCCATGGAAACCGATCTATCTCCAAATATACCAGAAGCGGATTGATGAACTTCTTGTCCGCCAAAAAGTTTCGCCGGATCTAAGCTTCGCCGTTATCAGCGTGAGAGGATCCATCGAACATGGCTCTCTTCGTGAGAAGGTCACAGTAAATGTACAGAGCCCCACTGGGACCTACCTACATGCCTCGTCCCTGATGGCTAGTGACGGGCGATTCGAAGTTGAAATCACTGTTCAAAATCCTCAGCTGTGGTATCCCCATTCACATGGAGAACAGCCACTCTTCAAGATCTTTGTCGAAATACCTGGCTACGACAAGAAAACCCAACACATTGGATTGCGTCGCCTTCAACTCCTGCAACACTCACTCAAAGATACGACGGGCACCGCCTTCGTATTTGAAATAAACAATCTCCGCATGTTTCTAGGTGGATCCTGCTGGATACCGGGAGATTTCATGCTTCCTCGATTGAACCGCAAAAGCTACTCCGACTGGCTGAGGCTCGCAAAGTCCGGAAACCAGACAATGATACGCGTCTGGGGCGGAGGGATCGTTGAATCAGATGACTTTTATGACATTTGCGACCAGGAGGGAATTTTAATCTGGCAGGACTTTCTCTTCGCGTGCGGCAATTATCCTGCTTCACCGGACTTTTTGCGAAATGTCGAAGTGGAAGCCCGATCGCAGTTGAGACGTGTTGGTCACCATGCGAGCTTGGTCCTTTGGGCAGGCAACAACGAAGACTATCTGCTCGCGGACAGGTTCGGCTGGGATATTGATTATAGCGATGAGAAGGGCCCATGGGACCAGACCAACTTTCCGGCGAGAGAGATATATGAGAGGCTGCTGCCACGTCTTGTGGAGGAGCTCGGTGGCGATGTACCCTACTGGAGGAGCAGTCCCTACGGCGGATCACACTCAAATGATCGCACTATTGGAGACACACATGTTTGGGATGGTAAGTTGCATCACCTTTTCCAAGTTGGGGTACCAAGGGAATGGAATATGGGCTGATTGATACTCTTCATTTCAAGTGTGGCACGGCAAACTATCTGCATACCAGGACTACAAAGCCTACACTTCCCGCTTTATAAGCGAGTTTGGCTTTGAGTCATGTCCCTCTTTGCGCACGTTGCACCGCGCTATCACCGTTCCCGCTGAGAGACATGCTCAATCTCGATTCTTTGACATCCACGACAAAGGCCCCGGCCACACCCGACGCTACCCAATGTACATGGGAGAGAATTTCAGGTTTCGAATGAACCCACTCCGAGATTTTGTATATTGCACTCAATTCCTGCAAGCCGAGGCCATGGCGTATGCCTACAACTGCTGGCGTCGAGAGTTCCGAGGCCCTGAGCAAGAATATTGTGCTGGAGTGCTCGTGTGGCAGTTAAATGACATCTGGCCGGGTACCAGTTGGGCTTTAGTTGACCATGGCTTACAGTGCAAGCCGGCGTTCTTCATCACTAAACGAGCACTTTCGAAGGTAGTCGTGGGGATGGAACGAACCGTGACAAAGCAAGCCCCCTATATTGTGACAGGGTATCCACCTGAAAAGCACAAATTGAATATTTGGGCTGTGAATGGCACTGTCCAAACTTTGAAAGTGACATTGAAGCTCTGTGCTTTTGATATTCAGTCTGGATCGTGGGTTGCGCTGGCTTCAGAGCTCGAAGAGCATTGGTTGGAGCTTGAGCCGAATCGAACAACGGAGGTAATGGCCATCAGCATCCCAAATCCCGATAATACTGTTGTTGCCGCATACTTGGACGACAGCGAGACATCTGAACGCCTCGCTCGTTGGATTTCCTGGCCAGAGCCTCTTAGACTGCTTCATCTCTGTCCCGATCTGCACATTACCACACAGGTGGCAGATTCAGGTGACAAGGTGCTGCTGAGTACTAATGCTCCGGCGAAAGGAGTCACGATCTTGGTGCCTCTGTCTGAATCCGGTGAGGATGCAGTCTTCGAAGACAATTTTGTAGACCTGGTTCCCGGCGAAACAGTGACGATTGGCGTGAGCTCTTTGAATGGCCGGAAGGTGCAAACAAGGTTCTTGTATGACTGGGAAATGGACGAAGGGTTTGAGCTTTGATGACGCCTCTAGCTAAGAAGGGGGAACGATTCCTGACTGAGTGAGAATGGCTACAGTATAGAAACAAGTACGAGATTTCCAGTACCAGGTAAAATGCAATGCCATGATGCCGCCCCAAGCCATGCATTCGCTTTCGTTTGTAAGAACTTGCTCATAAGGGAGTTAAAATCCATGTACAATGGCCCGCTTCCCTCTATCCGAATATACTGATCTGGTACGATTGTTGTGTGCGTGAGAATATCCTTTACGCACATACGTGATGCAATTCATTGACCGTGCTGGTACGTCGAGACAGACATGTCGGAAGAGAGGGGATATATATTTAGTTTGTTGCCTATGCCTCTAGACGCGAATGACCACCTAAACCCACTGAACTACATAATCAATCTGTCGGGAGTTCCCTCACTACAGTAGGTAGTTCCTAAACACAATATCAGGACTGGCCTGTATAGCTGTAGAAATCCGCTAGATTTACCGAAAAATCAGAGAAACGTGATAAAATTTGAAGATAACCAATGAGATCGACAGAGAGTTGATTCAGATTCTCTAAAACTACGAGGACTCGAGGGGTTTAGAATATGCTTGAGAATGCCCAAGCTCGCCAAAGGGGCTGAAAGGGGCAAAAGTGCACGTAATCCTCGATCGATACCATTGGAAGCTTCCGAAGTGCCGTTTGAGTCAATAGTGTTGAGCAACATATTCCTGCGAACATGGATTCGTTGATCATTCAATCATGTATGACGTCACATTCTCTCGGGGCCAAATTAAAGCTTCTCAGTAACAGCGGTAGTCTCAGATACAACTTCGAAATTAGTCGAGCGGAACGGAGTGACCTCGAATTCGGAGAATTTCCTAGCGGGAATTTTCTTATCAAAGAGAAGATCGAGCTCCGGTGCGGTGCGGCCCTTGGGTTCTGGTAAACGGAAAAATGACCAGACAAAGCAAATGAGACACAAGGGTGCCCAAATGAAACCTCCCTTGCCCTTGAGGTTCCACGCAGTCGGGTTGAGAATAGGAGGATTCAGAAAGTTGGCAATAATACTGGCGATATTGTAGCAGTTACGGGCGAGCACAGCACTTTTGATTCGAAGGCGAGTGGATGGGATCTCGGAAATGAGGCAGTAGGTGACAGGTCCGACTGTGAGATCGTAGGTAAATACGAAAACCAACAGAAGGGCAGCGGATGAGTAGCTCAGGCCGGAGGAAGTCTTGTTCGGAATGCCCAAGAAGCCGACTAGCATTAGGACAGTGAACATGATGCCAAGCCCTGTGACGAAAAGCTTTCGTCGGCCGACCCGCTGCATCACGAACCACGAGCAGACTGTACCACACCAGCCGATCGCGTTAACGCCGAGGCCGAAATCAAAGGCCTGGTCGTTGCGGAAGCTAATTTGCTGCAGGAAATAAACGATGTTGCCGCCATACCAGATACCGCAAAAGACTTGGCACATCCACACGCAGCAGACGATTTCAGTGCGGCGACGGTCGACACCTTTCAGACAGTCCCAGTAGGTAACACCCTCGCGTGTGATCTTTTCGTGGGCATTCGTGATGATCATAAGCGCGACGGCATCGCCAGTGTCATACTCCGAGTCACCGGGGTGGGCCAACCGATCAAGCGAGCGCTTTGCTTCTTCGATCTTTCCATGGCGTACCAACCACCAAGGCGATTCCGGGGCAAATAGGACACCAATGATGATGGGGACAGGCCAGATCCATTGAATAGCATATGGGATGCGCCAACCCCATTCATCAGTGCGATTCAACAGACCTCGCAAAACTCCAGTTGAGATAAACTGGCCGGTGACCCAGCACAGGTTAACATAGGTGGTGAGATATGGTCGAAGCACAATCGGGCTGACCTCGGCAGCGTAGGTTGTTGTCAAAGTTTGGAAGGCGCCCCAGGGGATACCACAGAGAACTTCACCGGCAAAGAGCATTCCAATGTTGTTCGCGAAAAACATGAGGAAAATGAACCCGACCAGGGAAACTAACGCGCCGATCATGGTCTTCTTGTATCCCCAGCGATCCGCGATCAGACCAGCAATAATCAGTCCGCAGATTTGGCCAACATTGGTCCCATTCTGCAGACCAGTTTGCCAGTTTGAGGTGACTTGGTAACCACCCTGCTTGGAAGGAACTCCAAATCGCTCCTGGAATGTCGGGTAGGCGTAGAAGGAACCGAGGAGAGACGTGTCATATCCCTCCATAATGATGGCCAGGGACAAAACCAAAGAGAATGCAATTGCTCTCGGAAATAGCTTGAATGCATCCCAGTTGGTTAGGTGGTGCTCGACGTGCGACGCTCGGCGGGCTTTTTCGACCAGGGCTGAGAAGTCGGGGATCTGCTCAGACAGTTGAAGAAGGACTTCGTCGTCAAGCCCGATGGTATTCTCACCCAGCGATTGGGAGGGTACCGCGATGTGATGCTCTACATGAGCGGAAGCTTTGATGTCCTCCATGGTACCCGATTGAACTGCAAGGTTTACCAAGCTTCTGGAGAGAAAAAGCGAATAATGGCGAGAGGGCAAGTTAGATCGATGTGACCTTAGTTCAAGAATGAACCGAAGAATGCGGTGTCCAGCAGCAGCGAGGCATCGTGTTTATAACAATGACCTCCCTCGCAGACCCAGGGTGTGAAAGAGAGATCGCGCTGGAGTTGGTCAACAAGTGTTCGTTCACGCGCCACATCGTCGCTCGAATTATTTGCGGGGGACAAATTATGGGGTAATACGGTTGAAACGCCAATTTTGCTTCGTCTGGTCCGAAAAGGGCGAGTTCACCGGCTTCAGAAAGCCCAGTGAGATTGATGATGACAAGCAGAGTTCGTGATTGGGCTGGGGCGCCCGATTTCTCGCTCTGATTTTCGGTGCAATAAAATAATTGAGCACCGACGCCGGAGGGGCTGGTGCGTCGGCAACGTTCGACCTGGCGGCTTGGCTTAGGGTCGCGCCGAATGGATCTACCAAGGTAGAGAGAGAACTGCGCTGTAAGCGAGCCAGCGGATGGCTTCGAAAGACTTCCACGCCAGGACGAACGAGGTCACACGTAGAGCAGAATGCGATATGCGAATGAGCCAGTCAGCCACCGGCAACCCTAGATAATTGTAGCGAAAAACTTTCTACTTGAGTCCTTTTTTTTTCCTTTTTTTCTTTTTTTTTTGGCAGCAACTTAATTTTTGAGAATATACAAGCAACGGTCTGGATCGCATGGACGGGCCGTTCTGTATATCGCTCCGTTTCTCGGCATGCTCACAAACCACAATCATCCAGAACCTAATGTTATGACCACTGGATCATTCAAGAGCCGGACGTATTGGATAGGGAAGCAAAGCTTAGTACAGTCGCTGCCAATATGCAATCTTACCCGCTATTCTTACGTCTTCTCTTTCTATTCTGCAAAGACGCTTGAGAAGCGACCCGAAGCTACGCTTAGGAGCGGAGCTAAGATCGTTTTGCGTCTATCCCCGCATTTGGTCGTATTTTCTGGGGTTGCCGCAGGGGAAGAGGGGTCCAGCGTTTCAGTTGCAAAATCCATGAAAGGCTGTTTATAGACAACCATCGCGATATAAATTGATGGCCATGATCAAGGCTGGATAGTGAGAAGGCCCGAAAGAACACGTACAGTAGAATCGGCATCTCGGATGATCATTCGTCATGCTCTCTTTGAAATTTCTCCTCCTGGGACTCTCTTGTCCCTTTTTTAGTTCGGCAGCGGTAATTACTCAGCGTTCGCTCGCTCAAGGCTGGTCTCTACAGTCCAACACTTGTCCGAGTGGAACTACTTCATGTCAGGCGGGAGCATGCTGCCCGAGCGGCTTCTACTGCTTCGCCGCACAGACAGATGAAGCAGCTTCTTGTTGCTCTTCCAGTACGACTTCCGTGTTGGTGTGCCTGTTTTGTTTTGCGACTCTAATATTCCTAATATAGACACCGCTTGCGTTGGTGCAATTGAAGGGTCCCCGAAGTGTGCCGATTCGAGCTGGTCTCTGTGGCAAGGATTTCAGGGCAACGACTTTTGCTGCCAAGTTGGTCTCGTCGGAGTTTACCAGTCTACTGGCAATGTTGCTGGCAGCTGCGTTGCCTCGAGTCAAGTTGGCACTGCAACCACGGCTCGACTGGTGAGTCTAGAGCGATGGAAGATGCATATGTATAATTATACTGATGCTCGACACAGATGTCCGTCGGCACAGGTGCTCCGGCTACCACAACTTCTACCAAATCGGCAACCACAACGGCAGCCCAATCGACCACAAGTACAACTGTGCAGGCTGCAAGTACAAAAGCCGTTTTTGCACACTACATGGTAAATCAAAAACCCCAATATTCCTACCCATTGGCTTTCTGATAGAACATAGGTCGGCTCCATGACATCGGCTGAGGCTGTGACGGATATACAAGATGCCTTCAACGCTGGATTTGATGGTTTTGCTCTCAACACTCACACAATCAGTTCGTCGGATTCTTGGAACACTGATGCTCTAGACTACCTGTTTGCCGCTGCGTCTGGAACCAGCTTCAAATTGTTCATCTCCTTTGACATGAGCTGGGGCCTCGACGTCTCACAGCTTGCTGCATTTCTAGCACCGTACGCCTCCCAAAGCGCATACTACAAAGTCAATGGCCAGGCATTTGTTAGTACCTATACCGGAGGTACAATCTCCAATTCCCAGTGGGACTCTGGATTCATTCAGCCGCTTATCTCAACCTATGGAATTATTCCATTCTTTGTGCCCGACTTTGACGACTTCTCCGGATATCCGACTGGGGTTTTTAGCTCCTATCCAATCCTGAATGGAGTTTTTAGCTGGGAGAGTGCTTGGCCATCTCCAGGCAATACGCCAGCCAATGTTAGTGATAGTATTGACTCAGCGGCGCTCCAGGAAGCACGTGCGGCTGGAAAGATCTATATGATGCGTAAGTCTAATACCATAAGCACCGCACACAGTATCAAACTAACAATATCATATAGCTCTATCCTCTTACCAGTTCAAGTACCTCGGAATTGGCCAAGACTGGTACCGTATCGGAGAAGTCAACCTGCCCGAGCGCATGGGCCAGATTCTGCAGCTGCAGCCTGACTTCGTGGAGGTCATTACCTGGAACGACGCTGGCGAGAGTCATTATGTCGGCGACTTCTGGCCAGAGCAAATTGCTGGCAGTACTATTGGCGATTACGCCAACGGATTCGACCACAAAGGGTGGCTGGAAGTCATCACCCCATTCATCAAGGCATACAAGGTCGGGGCTACAAGCATTTCCGATATTGCAACTCCCAGCGGCAGTCCAGTGGGTGCGTTTTGGTACCGCACCTTGTTGACAAGTGCGAGTTGCTCTTCTTCTATCGCCAATTACCAGTCGGCGCGGGATACCGTCAACTTTGCAGTCATTCTTCCTTCAACGGGCTATACGATCGAACTGTACAGCAACAATAACCTCATTGGCAGCTTTGCCGGCCAGAAAGGCTTGAATTACAACAGTGTGCTCGGCCTGGCTGCTGGTGGTGGGCAAATGATCCAGATTGTGGATGGCGCTAATAACGTGGTTGCATCAGCTACTGGAACCAAGATCGTTTTGACACAGAGCCCGAACGCTACCTGCAACTGGAATTACGAGGTTGTGGGCTTGTCTTGATGGGCAATGAAAATTGCCCTCACAGTGGTAGGCAAAATTCCAAACTAAACTCCCTTGTGGGTTTCTATTTAGTGCCTGCAATAGCTGGGCGTGGAAAGCGAATACAAATCAGTCCTCTATTCAGTTGAATGTTCCACGTCGTCCTGAATTTAAAGATATCTGGTAGACTACCATGTAAAATGGACAATGAAGAGTGTGGCCTCCTGGAAGGTGTGCTCGAGAGCCGCCAAGTCTACTTATATTTCTCCGCTGGGCCGAGGTCTGTTGGTAGCGACCTTCTTACAATTAGTAGAAACACGGCTCGATTATCAAGATCACTATAAAATTCATATGATCGCCCACCCCAGACACGTTAAGTAGCAAACTCATCAAGACCATCCTCCTGATCTGGTAATTCCAAAATCAGTGATGTAGTAATTGAGGATGGAACTTGTGAGAATCGCTGATGGAGCACACAAAGCCTCTCGGACTTGACGCCCCCAACCTGGGACAACAGCCGTTCAATCGCCACAACCGCGTCCAGAGGACCGAAATGAGAGGTCTGGTGTGAGAGCAGCTTTGGCATACACAGAACAATATCAAGAACCGAGTTGGCGACTTGAAGAAGCTTGATTTCCTGTTTCCATGCAGTTTCAGTATCCTCGTTGACCATAATTATTCTGTCAAGATTCAAGGAACGGAAATGATTTACCATTCCATAGCCATGACTGCGTAGTGATTCGATCGAGACATCAGCGAGCGACTCTAAGTAATTCTTAGCAATTGAAAGCGGATAGTCAAAGGTCAACGGCCCCGTAGAGGTAGATGATGACAGCATGAAGCGGGACGCGGAGTATTGCCAAAGCAACGAGCGGACCCAGGCCGAAGTCGTCAGGATGTCCACGTATTGAATTTCCGAAATGAACTCCAAGCCCGGTGATTGTACTTCCATATGTCTCTGGATTCTCGTTATACTGTCCTTCGAGTACATTACAGGTGTCTCGCTCGCTCTGCTCACCGCGCCCGGGAGAGCGAGGGGGCGCTGGACGTGGAGGAATAGCTGAACAAGCGCACGGAATCCGGCGTAGAGATCACCTTGTGAGTCGGGACTGATCTCGATTTCCGGTAGACTTGGAGTCCTATGTAATGTGATTGGAAGGTCATGCTGGATGCAAAAGGTTCTACAGAAAACCGAAAAGAGGGTATGAAGATTAGTATGCGACCATTCTATGCTTCCCAGCGGGCGCCGAGCTGACCTTTCGGTGACAAATAAGATCCAGTAACATCGAAGTTCCAATTGCCACTGTTTCGACTGCGCTGCGTCGGCGGGTGGGGAATGGCTCAAGCGCATCAAGTCTGCGTACGTGATTGCTTCGCGGAGCGAGATCGTCGCGGGTGTGATCTGATCTCGATTGGCGTAGAACATATGAAGAAAGATCGAGGTTACCAAGGCTTGCAGGGATGGTTCTTGGTGGTAGTGGTATTCCAATCGAATTCGCAGGCATTCCTTCGTAAAGTCCTCTGCTGCGACCGGTAGGTCGTCCAGGCACGAATCTGGGGTGATCCAGAGGCGCATCTGTGCCACCGTCGCCGCACATGCAGCCGCCGCCAGGGCGAGGGAGGTGGGATCGTTGACTCGGGCCTGTAGCTGACATCTGAGATACTGGACATCGACAATGGGCCAGATGTCATAGAGACGGCTTTCGAAGACATCTAGGATGGTGCAGTACGTCGTAACGGGAATCCGTGAATTCGGCGCGCATAATGGCAGGTTGTCGAGAGAAGCGCTCGGAAGATTCGGATGGGGATGGGCCATTCCCGTAGCCATTTCGGGTTCGGCTGTCGCTTGACGCTGTACTTCCTCGATCTTTCGGGTGGTCGCCGATCGTGGGCCTTTAGGCCCTGGCCGTTTGCGCACCCTGACATATGTACATTTGTGAGATCGGGTCAGACACGTTTGACAAGGACGTTGTCGATCACACTTCACGCGCCGCACGAAGCAGCCATCGCAAGGGCTGTCCATGACCGTTGGCGATTTTCCGGGTGGAGATCGAGATCGCAGAAACGCCCGGGGAATTACAGCGAGAATTATACCAATCGACTCCATTCCGCGCAGGGGCCCTCGGCCGTAGCCGTGGAAGGGATGGTGGCGCTGCTTAGGGTGCGGGGGACCCGAAACCCCTCGATCCAAGCGAAGTGGCCAGTGGAGTCGTGGAAGTCGTGGGGGTCGTGAGTCGGCTTAGGCGCCAGTTCCAGCGAAAAACCCAGCGAGGGTCAGTGTTTCGCACGCGGGTTTGAGGAGCTCGCGAGCATGCCTGGCTCGAGGGGGAGCGGTGCTGACGCGAATCCACGGGGATATAGGTATATATGGTAGCCATCCTCCACGTCGATACAGTGCACATGGCCCCAGTTCATCTGAATTCCTCGTCGTTGAACTAGCCATGCACCGCTATTCGTTTCCTCACACGCCCATCGCGAATCCCGACGCGATTGTGGGAGGCGGCCACCACGACAAGTACCGGTTCACAGTGCTGGCCGACGGCCTGCTTCGCTACGAATGGGCCGATGATCATCAGTTCGAGGATCGGGCATCAGTTTTGGCCATCCACCGCCGCCTGCCCGTGCCTGACTTCCGCGTCAAGGAGAACGACCATACCCTCGAGATCATTACAGCCCGGTTCCATCTCAGTTATGACAAGCGGGCGTTTACACCAGACGGTCTCACGGCCGTGATCAAGGGCCAGTACGGTCCGCATGTCAGCCTGTGGCGCTATGGGATGCATACGCATGGCTCGAACCTCGGTGGCACCGCTCGTACTCTGGATGAGGCCAATGGCCGCGTGCCTTTGGAGCCTGGGGTGATGTCCAGGCAAGGTTTCACCACGTTAGATGACTCCAGATCCATGCTCTTCGACAATCGCCAATGGGTGGCTACGCGACTGCCCGGGGAGGATCGCGTGGATGGATATCTCTTCGCCTATGGACACGACTACCGACAAGCCATCCAGGCATTCTACCTTCTTTCAGGCCCGCAACCACTGCTCCCCCGATGGGCATTGGGTAACTGGTGGAGTCGGTACTATGCATACACCGCGGATGGATATTTGTCCCTGATGGATCAGTTTCGAGCGCGCGGCATTCCACTTTCGGTGGCAGTGTTGGACATGGACTGGCACCTCGTGCATGATGAGCGTGTCAAGAAGGCAGGCGTGACGGGATGGACCGGATACACCTGGAATAAGGAACTATTTCCTAACCCACAAGCCTTCCTGGCAGCCCTCCACGATCGCAATCTCCGCGTGGCCCTGAACGACCACCCGGCCGACGGGGTCCAGAGCTTTGAAGACCCGTACGAAGAGATGGCCGTCGCCCTCAATCATGACACTTCCATGGGCGATCCCATCGCCTTTGACATCACCAACAAAGCCTTTCTTGATGCGTTCTTCGATGTCCTACACCGCCGCTTCGAGGATGAAGGACTCGATCTGTGGTGGGTCGACTGGCAGCAAGGCAAGCATTCTCGTATCCCAGGCATTGATCCGCTCTGGATGCTCAACCACTACCACTTCCTGGACAGTGCACTGAATAACAAGAGACCCTTAACGTTCTCCCGATACGCTGGTCCAGGCAGCCATCGATACCCCATTGGCTTCTCCGGCGACACTGTCGTCTCATGGGATTCGCTTCACTTTCAACCAGAATTCACAGCAACCGCATCTAATATTGGGTTCGGCTGGTGGAGCCATGATATCGGTGGCCATTTTCACGGCGAAAAAAGTGATGAGATGTTGATTCGCTGGGTGCAATACGGAGTCTTTTCACCCGTTCTGCGTCTCCACTCATCAGACAACATTTTCAGTATCAAGGAGCCATGGAATCTGGATCCTCCCTATGAGCAGATCATGACAAAATACCTCAAGATCAGACACCGCCTACTTCCGTATCTATATACCATGAATGTGCGGGCCGCTGTTGACGGTTTGCCGCTTGTGCAGCCTATGTACTGGGATTACCCAGAATACGAGGAGGCTTACAATGTCCCGAACCAATACCTGTTTGGCTCTGAACTCATTGTGGCGCCTATTACCACTCCCCAGGATCCCAAATCTCAAAGGGCTCAGGTTCGCGCCTGGCTTCCTCCTGGCAGATATGTGGACATCTTCACCGGAGTGGTTTACGACGGCGATCGTCGGATCGGTATAAATCGAGAACTTAAGGACTTCCCCGTTTTTGCCCGGGAGGGGGCAATTGTCCCTCTAGATTCTGCACCGGATCTTCAGAATGGGTGCCTCGATCCAATCATACTTGAGCTGTTGGTTGTTGTCGGTGCAGATGGCAGCTCAGAACTGGTTGAAGATGATGGGACAGGCCAATATACCGACCACATTGCGTTCCGCCGCACGCCTCTTTCGTTCCATCAAAAAACAGGTGAACTGCACATTGGTCCAACGAGCGGTAGAGATATTCCGCCTCCAAGTCGCGAGTGGAACGTACGTTTCCTTGGATATTCATTCGCGGACAATATACAAGTTGAGGTTGGGGGAAACAAAGAGTTCATCCGGGGTGAGCACGTTAGCAATGGTATCCTCGTGAAGCTAGGATCTCATCCAGGCAACGAGCGGCTTATAGTCAGGCTAGCGGCCGACCCTTGCTTGGCTGTGAGTCAGCCTGCGTCTCCCATTGTCAAGTTCCTACGCAGTGCCCAGATTGAGTTGGATTTGAAAGACTCCATCCGAGCAATCGTGGAAAGTTCCAAGCCCAGACTGGTGCGGATCGGAGAACTCCATACTCTTGGCATGCATTCTTCGGTCTTGGATCCAGTTCTAGAATTGCTTTTGGCCGACTCGCGTGATGAATTAGCTCCACCGAGCTCAGAGATAGGCTTCGTGGTTGTGGAGGAAGCATAATTAGCTCATTTGATTTCAATCTTGGTTCATTTGCATGTTGAAGATAACTTGAAAGAGAATATATTGGGATAAGGATAGGAAGTTATTCTCAAAACTGCCTTGATCAGTATTCCGTACGCCGTACGCACTAAGGCGAGGTGGGATTTATTTGCATCGGCTTGGTTATTTGCAAGAAATAGTTCAGCCCAACAGTTGAGAAAGCTGACCTCGAGAGTTGGTCTCCACTAAGCCTAGTTAACTAACTTATTATACTCAGTTATTTGTCATCGAGGATGTCTTTTAGGGTCTAGGTCTGTCACAACGCATAGTATCCAAGCTTCCCGCTCCTTCAAGAAACAAACCATATAGTATACATCCCAAATTTCTTTTGGCCCCCATCTTGAGGGTCTAGCTAGGGGCCAAAAAGAGCACACCCCTACCATTTCCTTTTTCTCAATTGGCCGAAATGGATGTGAAAGGGCCACTAAGCTAACTTTTACAACCGCCAGGCCAGTTTGGCCCCCGTGGCTGGGGATCATGTCGTTTCAATATCGTCCTAGGGCTTGATCGGCTAGAAAGTGAGCTGTCTTCAAAGCGATCGGCGCTGGCAATAAAGAGTAGATAATAAGACCGACCCTTCGAACGAAGGTACAATGAGCGGCCTCTATCCCTAAGCGAAGATCTGGAGTCTCAGAGGGATACTGCGACGAGTCGAGCCTACAATCGGAACCTTGAGTTGAGTCACCCTCCGCAGGTAGTCCAGAATCCCCCCGATTTGCAGCACGTAATAGAACTGACTGTTCTTGGAGATCATAATCACCGCGATAATCCTCAATCGCAGTCACTCATTGCGGGAATTGATCATGATGGATTCGAAACCAAGAAGCCACCTCCCTCTAAATCTGGAGGATGGGCTTCCATCGATGATACATGGGCTCTGGAGTGCCTCGCCGTAGTGTTCAGCTTCGCATCGTTCATTGCAGTCATCGTTATACTGAGAGTCTACGACAAGACGCCGTCCTCTAATCTACCTCACGGACTGAGACTCAACACGATCGTCGCTTTGCTAGCCACAGCATCCCGGTCATCATTGCTTTTCGTGGTAGCCGGAGCGGTTGGCCAATTGAAATGGATCTGGTTTCAGCGTCGGGAACAGCCTGCCTTAGACATGCAGTCCTTCGACAATGCGAGGCGGGGGCCACTGGGCGCTCTGTGTCTTCTCTTCCAGCACCGCGGGCTCTCGATTGCCTCCCTGGGGGCTATCGTTACCATACTTGCGATGGCTTTAGATCCATTTGTGCAGCAGATTCTAAGCTACCCCGTTCAACAAACTCCAGGTATCACGGCCCAAGCCACGATGTCCCAAGCACAGACCTTTGCGCCCAACGCGAACTACACTTCCTTCTCTCAATACTAAAACGCTGCTATGTGGAACACGGATTTTGCAGTGAATCCTACTTGCCCGTCTGAAAACTGTACCTGGCCGGAATTCCAGTCCCTAGGCTTTTGCAGTAAATGCCAAGATGTGACCGAAGCATCTACCCTCTATGACTGTGATCAATGGACGGAACCAGATGTTGACGATGCGAATACCATCGCTCATGGCCAAAAGTATAGTTGTCCCGTGAATACCGGCCACGGAGGTAATGGCACCGTTGCCATTCGATATTTCACTAAGGTCAATGCCATAAACATCCCCACAGAACTCGTGTGGGGGCTTATTGACATGCAACAAGCGGGGTCTTTCTTGGGGGTTCCTTATCCGGTTTATGTCTTCGCGCATGCCCAACTCGAAGCCGAATCAGCCAATGCAAACATCACGGAGCTGGTTCGCGGGATTCGCCTTAGCAGAGTCCAAGAATGCGTTCTTTCCTTCTGCTTGCAGACGTATAATGTTTCTGTCTCTTCTGGCACGCCAGAAGTCCATGTTACCTCGGTTGACTACGGGAAGCGGTTCAGTAGCAACCTTCCCGGCAAAAGCGAATCTGAGTACGCTGATATCGATTGTTGGAGACCGACCAATCGGCCCGGTCCGTTTGACTTTGTCAAGATGCCCTAAGCAATTCGCTTTTTGTCTCCGAGCGATCGCTGCAAATTGGGGTCAGACAGGGTATCATTCTCTCTTTAGTCTCTCCGGGAACAGTCCATTCTTGGGGTACAGTTATTCAAACTACGTTTTCAACAACAATACTTCAATATGGGCCAAAGGCGAGAATTATGGAAACACTGCTGATTTTGGGGCTGCGTTCGACCGAGTCATCGACTACGGCCTCGGTCCGTTGCTGTCGGACATCGCTGCAGCGCTCACCAAGTATACTCTGCAAACCAGCAATGTGAACGCTGGCGGCACGGTCATGATCTCGCAGGCATTCGTCAAGGTATCTTGGAAGTGGCTGACTTTCCCGTCTGTGCTTCTTGTCGCCGGCTTTATTTTCTGGATGGTAACGGTGATGAAGAACCGACAACACCGACTCGGTTTATGGAAGTCATCTATCTTACCCATGCTCTATCATAGTGCCGAGGATATTGATGCGGGGCTCGATCGTCCTGGTTCCACAGCCAAGTACGCCAAAATCAGCCAGATGAGCCAGTCTGCAGAAGCTACTCGTGTGAAACTGGAAGACATCATGGATGGTCGACTGAGACTAGGACGGAACGAGTGAACTGACTCACCTAACGCATAGCGGAACCAAATAACTGACGACGAACCGATATGTTTGTTTAACATCGTGACTTGAATATATCGTGTCGGCTGCATCCCGCTAGAGTTAACACTAGCATTACCGATGGCAGCGAAACGATGAACGTATGGTTCTTGAAGGCTTTTGGAACGTTTGATTTCTTGAACTCCTCGTATTGCCAATTCGGTTTCTCAATGCTAGCTTTTAGTACAACGAGCCCTGGTTCAGGGAAGGCAAAACTAGGCCATAAGCCAATTAACATATCGGAAAGACGCTATTAGGAGTCACCCAACCACATTCCCAACTTGTCAACCTGCGACTCCCAATTAGGGAACCTATTTCTTCATAGGTGGGGTTATAAGCTATATTCCACTATAGACACGACTTCAAGCTATCCCTTGTCAACCTAAGACCGATCTTCACTGTACTTAGAGCATACCGAAATGCTAGGATTTCCCCAGAACCGAACCTTGTTCCGAGATGATATCATATTACCTTACGTGATCGTTGCATTTATCCAACGCCATAGAGCGTAGTGGGTTGATACCGCTAAAAGAGGTTAGCTGACTTGAATGAGTCACCTAATAATGGGAAACTTTACTGGCGAAGTCCATATAATAAGACTCTTATCGTATTTCTACGAGTTTAAGTTTGTTTGTGTGGCTTGTGCTCCACGCCAATCCGCATACGGCGGCCGATTGCGGCCACCGACCAGAAACCCATTTGTAAAGCAGAAAATCTGGTAGAGTTCTGAAATGACCAGCTACCGACTCTGGCAGGATGGCAAATGTCCTCATTTTCGGTAAGTCAAATAGCTACCAGGGCATCTAATTCCTCCTACATAAACATATCTTGCAAAAAGGTGATTTGACTGGAAGATGACTGGAAAGGTAACCGAAGATGACAAAAAGGATGACTGAAAAGATGACTGAAAAGATGACTGAAATGATGACTGAAATGATGACTGAAGAGATGGCTGAAATGATGACTGAAGAGATGGCCAGTAGCGAGAGAGGGCTAGGGGCGAGATTATTCGTTGATCTCCACGGTTGTTCGGATTGAGCCTGTATTACCTGATAAGTGGGAAATTGCTTAATTAGGATGCATGTAGGCCTCAGACATGAGAACGGTGCTAGAGCGGTCGATAGATTGGTCAAATAGGTGTCCAACAAGGGTTTCTGATTGGTGGCTGTGGTCAAATGCGCCCCACTCCGAGCTCCGAATACCAATGGTCCGATCCCGAGCATCATCAGCCTCGTGAGTCCGTAAGCTTACAAATGATGGGAGCCTACTTCGAAGATATATAAGACTTCTGTCCGTTTGATGTCGGGAGCCACTTCTATCTATCACAGTTGAATTCAGATTGAAATTCGTCTTAATTGTAACCACACGTCACCATTTCGATTAAGTACAATCACTCTTCAAATGCCTTCATCACAGTTGCCTTCTTACTGGGAGCAAGCCGACTTCGAGGCTTCACCAGACGACCAAGCTCAGGAATCCCTCCCAGTATATTCTGAAAGCACAACTGGCACAGCGTCGTCAGTTCCATCTGATCAATCGTCACGATTGATGCGATCGAAGATCAAATCAGCCATTTGGTCATATATAAAAGGTAAGCCCTACTTCATCATAATGCACTGAAGAATTCAAGTTTGTTGACTCATCGGCAGGTGACATATACAAGCACCATCCAGCACTTGTACAAGAGAGATACATCAATGCGACGATGGAGGCTCGAAGAGCGAATGATAAACGCCACGATGCAGACTCGAAGAGCGCATGATCGATCATAGAAAAGAAGAGCTTCGGGGTTGAAAAGGTCATTTGGGGAACTACATAATCACTTAAAAGAAATATCCCAACCAATAAAAATGCAATGAAACGCGTCCGAGCGTATTTTTTATTACGTCGGTCCGCCTCTGAGGGCGAAGTGGATACTGAACGATCAAACTAGAAAGAAATTATTATGATTAAAAAGTCAGAATGTCACGTCTGACCTACATTTGACTACTCGTATCGCTTACGTTGGAGCCAATACCAGGGAAGTGTCTATTAAATTGGAGTTGGTACAGCTTTACTCATACAACTCTGAAGTCGGAATGCTTGACTCTAACCACAGGTCTCCCTGTAAGCCTACTGACTCAAGCCACGCCATCCACTCCGGGTCTTGAGCCACCACATTAGAGGTTTCGGGGCTCATAAGCCTCATGGTCTCATTATGGTGCTCTTGTTCACGCGCCGTCACCTCTGCCGACTTGTCCATCGGGATTGGCTGAATATGATTGAGAATCGAATCAAGGCTCTTTGAAAAGATCGACTGGGCTTGCTTGCAAATTTGATAATTACTCTGCCCAGCCTCTGCCCAAGAATCACAGCATGATATTAAAACGCTTATATCTTGAATTATGCCGCTTCGATTTATGTTGAGTCGTTCTGCGGGATATTGATTCTGCCGTAGAAGTTCCAATACCAGAACACTGGCACAAGGCATAGCATAGAACACAAGCTGCGATAGTGTTTAGAATTTGAAGCTTGCGTGAATTCAAGTGCAGCTCGAATCATGCCACTTACCGCCCATTCTATGTCCGCTCTATGGCTGTGCAGTAGATCCCTTTGCCGCGTTGGGAGCAGGACAGTATTGACAATCTCGTGCGCAGTAATTATCAACTTCTCGCGATTCAATTCGCTCGAACTGGCGAGCAAAGTGTGCAAAATAAACTCTGTGTAAAGGTATTCCAGCCACAGGTTTTGAAGGCTCATGGCAGTATGAATCTGGCCTGCCCACTGGGACACTTTATCGTATTTCATATATGATGGAATGGACTGCCAGGTCGATTTCAATTTTCGTAAGATGCGTCTAATGCTAGCGTTAATTCGTTTGATTCGGATGTAATGTATATTGATCTCTTTACTTACTCCGCTTTTATCTCGAGGTCAGATGTTGTAGGCCCCAGTTTCAGTTCTAGGGCTTCTTCGCGAATTATACAAAGCATTAGCTGCACCCGCTGACGGGAGACAGCATGTATGACTCCATCTTTACTCCAGCCGTCTGCATCTAAGTTCTCGCGAGCTTCGAGGAACGCTTCAGGTGTACCCATAATAGCAGAGTCTGCTAGGTCGAGGGGCATCTCGATCACGCAAAAGTGGCGACTAAGGTGAACAGGTCTGTTTTTGGTGCACTATTAGTAAAGATGACATATCAGCCGATACGAGTCACCAGATCCTACCGTGACGTGAAGCTGGAGCACACCTTGTCGTGATCATGTGCCCAGGCGATAGCTCTTTTGCGAATCTCGATCATATAGAACGGCAGAGAAGGGTCATTTTCCACTCCTTTGTGGAAACCCAAGGCAAAGAAGACGGACGACATGCTACCGACTAGTCGTAATACATGGTACGAGTCGTCACCAAAACACCATGTGGCAAAGAGGATAGTAAGCATTCGGAACCATAGCGTAAGATCGTTAATAGCGCCGAGATGGTCGCAAAACGATTCGCATTGTAGGCAAGCTTGGAAGGCCCTTTGCATTAATGTTTTCCGATCTGATTTCCACATTTCATGGGCAGATAAGCTGAATGTTTTGTCTTTCTCTCCACCGAGAAATATTCCGATTTGTGCACAGTAGATTCCAATCATGTCCCAGCGTAAAGCCTGGGTAGAGAATGCGGATTCCAATGTGGCTGCAGTGGGAGGAAAGACCGGGTGTGAAGATGATCGCTCGAATATTGTTTGGGATATCAATTCCAGGTTTAGAGCCGAGCGATCAATTAACAGACGTTGCATGCTATTGTTCGTTGCCTTCCACGCTAGCTTGACAAGAGGTGAATGAATACATAGGTCCATTTCAAGAACTGAGAAGCGTTCAAGGGGTTCACCGATTTCGACAGCAAGTTCCAGGATATCATGCAATAGCCTTGCTCCTTCGCAAATGCTTTGTTGATCAGGCACGGAATTTTGAGGTAGGGCTACACCGGTTCTTGTCAGAGAGGTATACAAGCGTCGTGGGTGGGGAGAATTTGGGTCTGCAAAGGACATCAAGTTGCTGTTCATATTGATGGGCTCGTAGGGGCTTGAAACTGTCACGATAGACCTAGTAGCCTCATTCTGATGCATGTTTTGTTCGGATTGGGGCGTGAGCCGTCTCGCCATAGGGGCTGGGTGATAAAGGCATTGTTGCTCGGACAGGCGGCGGCGCACACATCTCCCACAGACTGGTCGGCCATGATCGCATCGAAGTTTCGACTTGCGGCATGGTTCGCATGCAGAAAGCTGGCCGTTGCGTCGGACACGATCAGTCATTGCAAATTGCCCGTCGCGTCGAGAGGGGGGAGAAATGGCGTATTGATCCATTGTAAGTTCCGACTGGGGAGGTCCGAGGGCCGATGCATCGGAGCTCGCAAGGGCGGTCTGTCAGCCTGGAATACGAGGGTATGAGTCAACATGACTAATTGAGTCATGAAGTATCATTGGTGGAGAAGGTCTTGCAGCTCACTGGATTTGTTTCTGGCCAATCAAGATAAATTTAGAGAGACTTTTGGACAAGGAATTCGGATCTACTTGAGGTTTGGAGGTGTGTAGGAGTTCCCTATCAATCGAGAGAAGCTATGACATGGCTATTATACGTTCTACCAATACGCTCATCCATATCTCAGCAAACTCATATCAATCACCGATAATCCCCGACATAGTACGCACCAAGAGTCATAACGTGCCTCGACGTTTAGAGGCACCAATTTGTGGTACAACCTCTTTTGATTAGACATCACCAATACGGGGAATTGAAATAAATTAAGCACCAGCAGCGTATAGTCGCGGTTTTGAGGAGCAGGTATTATCGTGTTCGAGGCCGTGAAGGCCGCATTGCAGCGTCGATTGCTCACAATCTCCATTTCTTACTTTGATCACGTAATTGCCCGATGCATTTGGGTCAAACTGGTTGTTCTGCCGGAGTGTATCGACTTATCTACAACCCGAATCAGACCTTCCAGCCTGCTGACTTCTGGTTATTCCCTGGAACTAGTCTGAACACAAGCCGCGAAAGGATCACGATCACATCCGGCAGGGTGAGATTGGGTCGGGCCATCTTCAGTGTAGATTTCAATGGAAAGATAACCCTGGGAAATTTGTGAAAGGAGTAAATAGGCCAGCTTTGGATGCATTGTCCTTGTTACATCTACCTCTGAGAACGATAGCGAGTCATGTCGGGCCAATACCACCTAGCTACCTATCTGCCTGCTACAATTCATATCATTAAAGCCTATGCGTTATCTCCGAGTGGCACCTTCTGCTCATTTGCTAGAGTAGTTGTTACTTTGATTAATTAGCGGGAGAAGGAAGGTACTGATGCCTGATCCTGGTGGAAAATGCGGCATCGATCCCATCTTTGGATCACGAGGCAAGGGCAAACAACTTTTGCAACTGCGCAAAAGTCTAGATCCTGTGGGACTCAGCCCTGTACAACCTGCCAACTAACTAACTAACCAAGGTTCCAGCTCTATTTATCTTGGTCAGAAAAGTATATATTTACGGATCTCGGAAGATCCACATCTATTGGATATATCGCGTTCTTGTTTCCTAGCTCAGTCATTTCGGCCAACTTAATTCATCGAGTTGTATCCGGTATTCTCTCTCTCTCTCTCTCTCTCTGCCTCAGTCCTTGGTGGCAGATGTATATTTCCAAAAGCGCCCTAGGACCCGAATCAAGATTGTACACAACAGAATGCCTCTCGCCTAGAGCGAGATATATGACAAGAACATCGCACCTATCGGTCTTTCCACCGAATTGTCCTAGTGACGCTATCCCGTTGCTCTTATATAGCCAGGTCACAATTAATTAGGAACCGCGGCTATGCATGGTTCCCCTTGTCCTCGTCGGTCAGAGTATTATTAATATGAAGATTTGTCTGGAGAATAAGACCTGCTCTGTATTGTAGAAGTACGCATCGCCCCATTCTTGTCGCTATCACCACCCTCGATGCGCCATGGCCAGCCTTCAGGCCGGCAGACTCACCTTGAAATTTTTGGGGCCGGCAAGACCTGTCGAGCCCTCTGGGGATAGAGATAATGATGTGCCCTCTTCAATCTGGTTCATATTGATTCGTCTTGCGAAAGAGAGGGTCACTACAAGGTTACACCGATCGCACCCCCAGCGAGATGCTACTTGGGAGTTTTCCATCGGCGGGTGTAACACCAGCACCTCATGGCTCATGGCTGAGGGGGTGGAGATCGTCCATCCCTGTCTATCGCTCGACCAGCTCCATGTCCGATCCATGGCCATGTCTCACTCCGCAGCCAATCGTCCGGCTCGGAGCCTCTGCCGTACCACTCGGTTCAGGCCCCCCGAGTTCCCGGCCAAGCCAATGAGGATCCTTTCCAAGTTCCATCCAAGTCCCCCATTTCCACCGGACACAAGAGTATAACCCCGCACGCCCAATCCCCCCCCCCCCTCCCCAGAAACCACCCCAACGAGGCATCAACCCACCCAAAGTTGGGGGCCAATTACAGTGTGATTATTGATTGAAGACGGGAGCTAAGGCCTCCGAACGCTTCCACGGCGAGGGAGAGGTAACCATAGCACCGACTGGCGAGCAGCGAAGAAACTGTAGCAGTATCACCCAGCTGGCGAGGCCCCCGTTACCCGATCTCAAACTGGCCTAGCTGGATGATCTGCTGATACGCTCTCGAGTCGTTGATAAATCGGTCGTCTTCTCGGGGAAGACCCGTTCGTGCCCAGGCTGCTTCTGTCTGACAGTTTTTTCCATCTCGAATCCACCGGTCGCGCCACCTTGAGCCCCAAGTCTCCGAACCAGCCCCATCATGGCTGATACTACGACGGACACTAATCCGACGTCCGACAAGAGCCCCGTGCCGGCTCAGTCTGCTCAGCCTGCTCAGATCGTCGATGAGCCGCTGGGTGATGTTCAGGTTCCTCCAGGATGGATGTACCGGTCGTGGGGGGTAGGGCGCTGGCGCACCCCCTGGTATGCGTCGCCGCGATTCCAACTGGGTATGGTCGCGTTCGTGTGTTTCATGTGTCCCGGCATGTTTAATGCGCTCAGCGGCCTGGGCGGTGGTGGCAAGGCCAATCCCCACCTGGCCGATGAAATGGTATGGTTGAATTGCGTCGGAGGGAGAGCCCCGAGGGAATTAGCAGAGCTCGACTGATCCATGGTGCCAGAACCTCACCCTGTACAGTGTCTTCGCCGTCGTCGGTTTCTTCGCTGGCTCGATCGTCAACTGGGTCGGCATCCGACTATCTCTCTCCTTTGGCGGAATCGGATATTGCATTTATGCGATCAGTCTTCTCGTCTCTGAGCACAAATATGTCCCCGGGTTCAATATCTTCGCGGGTGCCTTGCTGGGTGCCTGTGCGGGTATCCTGTGGTCGGCCCAGGGTGCCATCATGATGTCCTACCCGCACGAACACCAGAAAGGCCGGTATTTCGCCTGGTTCTGGGGAATCTTCAACATTGGCGCTTGTATGGGCAGTCTGGTACGTGGTGACCCATCTCAGTTTTCGTCTCATCATTCAATTGACATTTTCCTAGATCGCCCTAGGCACGAATATCAACGTCAAAGTCGCTGCCTCTGTCTCCGATGGAACGTACATCGCGTTCATCGTCCTGATGTTCTTTGGCGCTTGCCTGGCTCTCTTCATTTGTGACGCGAACAAGGTCGTTCGCCGCGACGGCTCCCGCATCATTGTGATGAAAAATCCAACGTGGAAATCCGAGTTGTACGGGCTCTACGACACGCTCAAGCACGAACCCTATGTCATCCTTCTTTTCCCAATGTTCTGGGCTTCCAACTGGTTCTATACATACCAAGGGAACGCAATCAACGTCGCCTACTTCAACACCCGCACTCGAGCCTTGAATTCTTTCCTATACTGGTTCGCTCAGATCGTGGCTGCGAGTATCATCGGTCCGCTCCTCGACATGACGTACTTCCGTCGTACCACGCGTGCTCGCGGCGCCTGGGTCGTTCTCTTTATTCTGACCATGGTCATCTGGGGTGGTGGCTGGGCCTGGCAGAAGAATTATACTCGCGAGTCTGTGGACCCCGACACAACCGATTTCCAGCATTGGGATTGGACGCATTCAGGATACGCCGGCCCCATGTTCCTGTACTTCTTCTATGGATTCTATGACGCCGTCTGGCAGGGTGTTATCTACTGGTCAGTATTATCTCATCTCTTGCCGCATCCCCATCACCCCATTCCTCGCCAGCTCGTACATCCATCCATGGACCCCTCCTTTCAACCCAACTACTCTAACCCCCAACTTCCAGGTATATGGGAGCCCTTTCCAACTCGGGTCGCAAAGGCGCCAACTTTGCCGGATTTTACAAAGGTATCCAATCCGCCGGTGCCGCGGTGGTGTGGAGTGTCGACTTCCACAATGCATCCTTCGCGGCCGAGTTCGCCAGCAACTGGGGTCTGCTTGGGGGATCGCTGCTTTTCGCGGCGCCGGTGATTTGGCTGCGCATCAAGGATCATGTCGATATTGCGGATGACCTACAGAATACCGACGAGACCATCGAGGATGTTCTTCCTGTCGGACACCCGGAGAAGTAGCTGTGAGACTTCCAGTTCCTAGTAAGTTGAGACCTTTTCTATTTCTAATCAGCCGGCTACATCTCCTGCACTTTATCACTCCCGAGCCGACTTCCCTGTTCGCGCTGTCCCAAAGCCAAGTCTGACCTGTGGCGTTTGTAGAGGAGACCTTGTCTTTAGTGGCGCAAATATGTTAATCTCGTCCTATGACTACAATGGCTGGGATTATGTTACGGGGCTCTGCTGCATGAAACCAGCTACATGAGGCAATTTCCGGTCATCGTGTTTTAACCAACTTGGTTGATTTGAAGGCAATGCTGTACTTAACAAATGATACCTGAGCCATGGGTTTCGACCCTCCCTGCGAAACAGTTTTGTTTATAATACGACTTTTTTTTTCTTAATTTGTTGGCAGGCCTTCTATCTTGCAACTCAACTCATCATAGCAGGCTGTCGCTCGTGCTGGTGCGACTCGGCCGCGCTTTCTGCTGTTGTTTCGGTCCGGCTCACACAACTCTCTTAGCTGATATTGATACCTATGATGATCATGTAGTTTATTTTGAGGAAGCCTCGCCCACCCTGGAATAAGCTACGCTAGGAGACAAGTATGTTGGTCGCTAGAACGGTTTGGCACATCAACTTGGAAGAGGGGAGCCTCAGTGACTATTGCGTCTGGTTGTGATTCCCTCGAAGTATCACATTATTTCGTGAGACTCAAATCACTCGTACTTGCGATACGGAGACGCCTATACCTCCACAATTTCAGCCACTGGTTTAGGGCCCGACCCTCTGCGCTCATCCACAACACCCATATCCGCGGCAGCATTCGCCATGTTATAGACCCCAAGCTCCTCTGCAATCCGCTCGCGACGGAGACGATCCTCCGCGCTGACCTCGTCCGCAAAAACGCCATCAATCTCCTCCAGTGTCAAACCCTTCAACTCCGGCAAGATGAAGTGGACCCAGAGCAGGCCAAGGACACAGAAGCACATGAAGACAAGGAACGTCTTGTAGCCAATGTTCGTGATCATGACAGGCGTTACTTCTGCGACAGCAAAATTCATGATCCAATTGACAGCGGAACCAATCGCAACTCCTTTTGCGCGAATATCCAGCGATGATGACTCCGCAGTGATAATCCACCCAACAGGTCCATAGGGCAATGCATAGTTAACAATGTACCAGTAGACGAAGAAGATGGCGGTATTAGCGGCAGCTTTGTGCTCTGCAAAATTACCACCGTAGGTAGCAATCAAGGCAGCAATAATAGCATGTGAAATAGCCATATTGGACAAGCTCCAGAAAAGCATCGGCTTGCGACCGACTTTGTCCACCATGAGCGCACCCGGAATCGTGAAAACGAACATAAGAATGCCCACTACTCCAGTGGCTAGTAATCCAATAGTTCCACCTGAAAGACCGACTTGTGCAAAAACAGTTGGAGCGTAATATATGATTGCGTTGATACCTTTGTAGGTCAGTGATATGTTGATTCCGTCTGGTTGTAGATGGGTAGCGAGTGTGCTTACCAGACCATTGGCCAAACGCTTGAACACCAGCACCAAGACCGACCCGATGCAGGAGTACCTTTGTTGTGAAGATCCGCTTGTACTCCAGGGCCTCCGTGCGCCAATTCTTCTTCTCAGTTCCATAGCGCAGTCGAGAGGCCTCACGCTCTGCATAAGCTTCTGCTTTGAGCGATCGATATTCGTATTGAACGGTCGGGGAGCTTGGGTCTTGTACACGCAGATGAGCCAAAACAGTCAGACATTCCTCTTCCTTCTTGACGAGCATGAGCCATCGAGGAGAATATGGGAGGAACCACGAGCCGATGCAGAGGACAATAGCTGGGACTAGCTGAAGTACAAGCGGAATTCTCCAGGCTGCGCTTGATTGCTCCGGGTAGGTAGTTCCACCGATATAGTTGGTTCCGTATCCGATCCAGTATGATATCATGATACCGACTGAGGTGAATGTTAGTGAGTATAATATATGGAATGTGTGTAAGCATAACTTACAGCAAATTGCTACTTGTTGCAGACCAACCAGGGTACCTCTAATGGATGCAGGCGCAAGCTCGGCGTTGAACATAGGCACAACGACTGAAAGTCCACCAACACCCATACCAGCAAACCAACGACCGGCTGAAACTCTGTATCAATATCTCGGGAATATTCGACTGTGTGGAGGGGAACCTACCATAAATGTAGGCGACGTTGACAGCTGCGCCAACCTGAAGGGCGACACCCAGCATGAAGACAATGCACCAGGCTGAAATTGAAAGCTGTTATATATTAGAAGCTATATTCATCAATAGTTTGGTTGTGACGAGAGATTGACCTTCCTAGAATATTTGTCCGCAAGGGGACTACTGCTCAAAGCTCCAACCATCGCCCCCAGCTCTGAACAAGAAGCTGTCAGCTTTTATATTGCAATAGGCGGTCCTGTAGCTCACGTACCGAGGATTCCTGTTAGGAGGCCTTTGGTGGATGGGTTGTTAAGCTAACAGTGATGTCAATCGAGTTTCTTGTTGGAATCATCCTTGGGTATTCGGCACTCACGGTGGCTGCGAATCGATGCTCGAAATCCGCCATGACTTGGACCTGGCCAAATACTCCCTGAAAGAATAGAACCAATTAGACCATGTGCAACCGACGCCTTAGCATAGATGACCTTACCTGATTGTACCCATAGAGGACACCTCCGAGAGAGGCGAACAAGGCCAATCCCAGGCATCTTTTGTTCTGCACCAGCCCAAGCACACCAGTAGGAGTGTGAATAACTTCGGCGAGGCCAGTAATTGAAGTCCGTCTTTTAGTGGTCGTCTGCATCTTGATGGTAATTTCGACAATGAGCTGCGTCGTCTGTACAGGTTATACGCCGATTCCGGGGTATTCCCCGGATTATCCTGTACCTTTATATACGGTGCGTGTTTACCATGAGTCGGTTCATCTACCCCAGAACTCCATATTCCAAGAGACACTTGACCATTTCGAGTAAATCTGGCGGAGGGAAGGTGAAGGACCAGACAAGCTTCAAGCAGTACTAGTAGAGGGAACGGCGCCACACCGTTGTCAACCAATCGGAAAGGCGCCGGGTGTTCTCGTTACGAATACTTCGGCTGTGAGTACTCCAGATATGGAACTCATAAGGCAGTCGCAAACCAGAAACCGAGCCAATGATAGAATCTATTCGCGATTCTATGGCGTCTATTTCTCTCGTGCGAAAGGTTGTTTACCTTGTTTCCTCCAAGTCGCCGCTTCGGGCCAATGGGAGCCTGCTATGTTTTTCGTCGCCCCATAATCGCATCAAATGCCCGAAAAGGAAGAACAGCCGAGTCGCTGCCCATCTGACTCTTTCTCGCACGATATTCCAATTAAACCATGCGGGGATAATATATCAGCCAATGATTCCTCTATGAGTTCCAGGTTGATTTATGTTATCATGGTGTGTCCGCCAACCGCCCCTATTGTCGATTCTATTCTATGACAGAAACTAGGCTAGCTACAACCTCTCCTGGTTTAGCGAATTCTGTCTCACAATCCAAATCTATGAGTATGCCTCCTTGCAATAGACTACGATATGGTAATTCTCTGTTGGGGCACAGAATAGGAGAAAAGTTTTTAGATTCAGTCCACTCGCCGTCCCTCGAACATCCTCCCCAGTATACTTCTCACGACGAAGATCCCAGCAATCGACCACCCACCCCATGTCAGGGCTCCATTGCACGAATGTGGCGAGACTCAATGGCGAGCCTTTTCCCGAATTTATCACTATTACTCAGTCATACAGTAGAGCATCCCGTCAAAGGCATCGACTTTCCCACCATAGATCTGGTCCTGACTAATTTCTGTTTGCCAAGCTTTGCCAGTCCTAGAAAAATTTTGTGCCAGAGGCATCCTGACTATTCAGTTATCATATCTACTCTATCGGGAATCAACCACGCTTCTAGATAACGCTACACCCTCATATATTTTTTAGTTACCCACAGATACAGCAAATATTTACTAGTTCATATACACAGTTAGAGGTGTTTTTATTAATTAGTTCCCCTAGAGTCAGAGTAAACAAGCACGGGAAATGCCATTCAGTCATATCATACAAGAGCGATGTATTGCTCAAATAATCAGAGCAGTTGCAGCGGTGAAGAGGTGGAAAAGTAGCCTGGGATGGTATCATTCGCCGATAGTTGTGGGATACCACATGCATCCAGAGACAGGCTCCCTAGCCCCATGGTTAATGAAAATCGATCCAGTCGATCCCCTATGGCATATGTATCTGGGTCTGCGCCTTCTGGGTCTCTGAAACTTCCGCATTGCTGATTCGGTAGAAGGTCAGCAGCGTGTCTCGTTGTAGAATGGTGCTTTGATTGATCGTTGTGCATGTTGACGATGTGCACCGTTGAACCAAACCATTGTGGCTCGTTAGAGCACCCAGAGATGGACAGAAGCGTGGCCAGCAAGTGGTCGAGTAACACAACAGCAGTGTTGATACTCTCACGGGATGCTTGCACCAAGGTTGTGGCATACTGCGACGGAATGACTCCAACGAAATTCGCCGGCAGTTCCGTGGCTGGCAACATGTGGTCCAGCCGAACAAGATTTGCTCTTGTTTGGGAGACATCATTCATCAGAGAATCCAGCTCAACTGTCAAGCCAGGCGAACGTGCCATGACAATTTCTTTAGATGTTGCTAAATACCCGGGGCATTTGGCGATTTCATTGAAGGCATAATCCGCGACCTGACCTATGAGACTCCCCATTCCCTGCGCATCTTCCGCTTTGGCAATCTCGTTCGTCATTGATTTGCGTGCCCACTCCGGTTCGCCTAAAAAGCATGGGCCTCCGTGAATGAATGCATCTGCGACGATGTAAGGTCGCCAGCACATGAGCAGCGTCCTTCCCATGCCCTGTTCATGCGCGGAGGGTCCGCGGGCGCGCATCAGCTGGGAGATACCACGGGCGTGGATGATCCAGGAACGGTCACTGCTGCCATCGAGAACCTCATATCCACCCAACAGGATAGCTGCTGCCAGTGTTTCATCCGTGAGCGCAGCCTCGGTTTGTATTAGAGAGGCTAGATGCCGTATTCCCCGACTGTACAAATGACGAGCGCACAAGATTGCTTGCTTGTTGCCCTGTGCAGCTCCCATAAGCAAAGCCGTCAAGGCACGAACCGCCCACACTAAGGCTTGCGGGAAGGTGGACCATCCGCTCCGCAGAAACCCCATCCAGCTTACCTGAACTCGGGACTGGACGCAGGCACTGACACTGGGAAAGTAATAGTTCAACCACACTTCGAAGGATTCTCTGGTTTGAATGCTGATCGCCTCATAGGCCAATCTTGGCGCAAAGATTTCATCTATTGTTGGTCGTGGTCGCCCATGTTTTTGTATGATAAATTGCGTCTGGTCCTTGAACGTGGGCGCACGATCATAGCCGGGGCAGGTGGACCCGCGATTGAGACACCGTCGACATTCTGGACGGGTTTCGTCACACTGTAGATAAAATAAGTTTCTCGGTAAAGCCTCCGTTAAGCAGATCTCTCCCTACGGCCTAAGCGGGAGCACCTCGCTACACGTTGTTTCGACATCTCACCTTGATCCTGCGGCGAATACACTGCGAACATCCTCGACTGCGGGGGACCCCGACCATGGTTGTTTGTCGAGGTTAGTCACTTTCCGAGTGACCAATAGATCGCTTTCATTGCCGCTTCAAAACAGAAAGAACCAACAGGCTAATGTTTCTTTCGACTAAAGCCGAGGTCCACATCAGTCAATCCGTCAGGGGGGATATCCTTAGAAGAAATACGAGAAACTGGAATACAAAAGGAGGGCGCTCAAAGAAGCCCAACACGCCCTACTCCCAAGCGCCACACCGCCCGGCAGAATCTGGATCCAGAGCACGTGATAGCCAGTAAGCGCCGGCAGACGCGTGAAGGGTATTGTAAGGTATGGTATTGTATTTTATATTCGTGGCGTTTCTCCAACACCAACATACAAGGGCATAAAGCCATCATTTTGATCCCTCAGTCTTTGATTATGGCAAGGTGAGTGAGTACTGATATCAGTGTACAGGGTGGGATGTTCATTTATAGCAGCGCCCTCCCCCCACACACCAAGTACTGAGATTTACTAGCCTTGGCACGCGCGATTTGGAGGAGCCAGTGAACGGCTCGAATAAGCTACAGCGGCGATGGCGCGCAGCCACATTATCCACTCCCTGTTCGACCTCTCGTCTCCTTGGAGATTAATCAACAGCGGGTCACAAATCAGCCAACTCGATCCATGCGGCATTATTACCTCCTCGTTGAGGCGGAAGAACTTCGGGCCTCTCACCTTGAGAGTGAGTGACTTATTCTCACCAACCAGCTACAACATCATTGCCTCCGCAAGACACGCCCTTCCCATCCCCACGTGGGGCCCATGTGTCCTGTTCCATTGCTAGGGACTTGTGCGATCTCGGCGCTGTCAGGAACAAAGCACGACCAACTTTGCTCACTCCCGCGATGATTGGACACACCAAATCTCTCCCACCGCAGATGAAGGCCATGGAAGTCATTTCACCCTATGCTCGATTCAGGTCAAGACACAGACCATGGCAGCAGCAAATGCCTCAGACTATCATATCAGGCTAGCTTCGCTGAGGCCTATAAGAACCCTGCTCCACGCAGCATGTCCAGGTTGACTTCCATCAAATCCAATTCCGACCGCTTGCTCGTTGCGCGAGAATTTCCCGTTGAATCAATCAACATGCCGCCAATGATGCCATCCGTGCGCTGGAATGCGACAGATGAAGAGTCAGCCACTCGCAACATCGGCACGCACGGAGGTTCACATTCAAATAACAACAAGGACGATAAACTTCGGAGGAGAGGTAGTCAACGGTCGATCGACCCCGCGGCTGCCATTCCGATTGAATATCGAAGCCTGTCGGTCCCCGCTAACCTCTTACGAGTCTATGGGCGCTAATGTCAGGATCCTAGTTCGTTCGAGATTGAGGACGATGCGCAGAGACAGCGACGGTTCAAGCGCCAGGACCAGAGAGATAAGTTGGCGGAAGGTAATGGACCCCGGATTCGAACTTCGAGAAAAATCCAGGGTCATGTGCTAACGCCGGGAACAGAATGGCAGAGCACAGATTGGCACACGCTATCAGTGGAGGAGGTACAAAAACAATTGAGCACCAATGGGACGACTGGCTTGTCCACGGACAGAGCGGCTGAACGTCTGAAAAAATATGGCCGGAACAAGATCTCCCCCTTCCCAATCCATGGTTCTGGAAGATATTTGGGTACTTTTTCAAAGGCTTTGGTTCGATACTTCTTGTCGGTGGTATTCTGGTATTCCTTTCCTGGAAACCACTCGGTCAACCCCCTGCTGTCGCCAATCTTGCGTTGGGCATCGTTCTACTCGCGGTATTTTTCATTCAAGCAGCTTTCAATGCCTGGCAAGATTGGTCCTCATCTCGTGTAATGGCATCAATCACCGCCATGCTCCCTGAATCATGTCTTGTTATTCGAGATGGCACTCGTTCTGAAGTTGTATCTACCGAGATTGTCCCCGGTGACACGGTCTTTATCAAATCAGGGACCAAGATTCCGGCAGATCTGAGATTCATCGAAACTTCTCATGACCTGACAATCGATCGGTCTATTGTTACAGGTGCGTCCAAGTGATTATTGACTAGAATCAAGTCCACTAACATGCACAGGCGAGTCAAATCCCATCAAGGCCACAATCGACTCCACGTCTGAAAACTATCTTGAAACACGATGCATTGGTCTTCAGGGTACACACTGCGTGTCCGGTACTGCCACGGCAATTGTTGTAGCCACCGGCGACTCTACAGTCTTCGGGCGAATTGCAAAGCTTGCAGGGGAGCCGAAAACCGGCCTGACCACTATTGAAAAGGAGGTTCTACGCTTTGTACTTCTGATTTTCATCATCATGGTCACTTGGATTGTGATCCTCGCCTCAGTGTGGTATGTAACACCTCACGAGCTCCGCTATCCGATTAACGCAAGCCGATTCTTACCAATCACTAGGGGTGGGTGGCTGCACAAGGCGCATCCGGACTACATCAACGTAGCTACACTAATTGTCGACTGTGTGAGTGTTGCTATTGCCTATATCCCGGAAGGATTGCCGATAGCCGTCACTGCAAGCTTGACAATCACAGCCAATCTGTTGAAAAAAAACAAGGTCCTGTGCAAATCACTCAAGACTGTTGAGACCCTGGGAGCAGTGTCCGTTATATGTACTGACAAGACTGGCACTTTAACGCGGGTACGTCGAGGTTCTTGAAAGGACATCCCACAAGGCACTGACTAGATCATTCAGAATCGGATGTCTGTCACAGACTACGCTGTGCACACGGCGAGCTCGTTCTTGGACGCAACCGGTGCAAATGCAGCGTCTCAAATGAGTCAATCTGCTCTTCAACAGCTTCGATCTCTATCTGGACTTTGCAACGCCGCGGAGTTTGACAGCAAATCACAGCACCTTCCTCTTAGTGAAAGGACTATATTTGGTGACGCTACAGACCAAGCGATTCTAAGATTCTCGGAGGGCTTGGGCCCTGTCTCAGATCTGACAAAAGGCTGGAAGTCCGATTACACCCTGGCTTTCGACAGCAAAAACAAATTCATGATCAAGACTTTCACCTTGCCCCAGGCGGGAAGCCCCGAGTTGTCGCTATCACCCACAGAGGCTTCGAAGTTTCAGTCAAGGGACATGTATGTTCAGACCATCAATGATTTGAGTCATGGCGATAGCTTACACCTTCCTCAGGCTGTTCACTATTAAAGGAGCCCCAGATATCTTAATCCCACGATGTACACACAAATCCTACAGCCAGACGGCGAAGTTCAGCCACTGAACGAAGATGTCTTGCGCAAAGTCGAAAATAGGATGAAGGAATGGTCGTCTGATGGGAAACGGGTTATTCTTTTGGCGCGTAAGGTGTTGCCTCAGGACCAATATTATACAGACCCATCATCACCGGAATGCGAGACACAGATGCTTCGTGAAGCAAAGACTGGTCTTACTCTCGTTGGCCTGTTGGGACTGATCGACTCACCTCGCTCCGAAATTCCTGAGGTCATGCGAATTTTGCGACAGGCTCAAATCCGTGTCTTCATGGTATGTCGCTTTCGTTAAGTGTCATTTTCCCACACTCTAACTTTGTCACAGGTAACGGGTGACTTCGGCGAGACGGCCCTGGCGATTGCACGCCAATGTGGGATCGTAACTTCCGAGTTCGTCCACGATGCATCCGCTCTCCCTCGAAATCCAACTTCCAACGAAAAAGACTTCGATTCCTCTCAATCTGCTATACTCGTCAGCGGCAGCGACCTGACGGGGTTCAACGAATTTCAATGGGAACAGCTATGCAAGTATCGCGAGATCGTATTTTCGCGTACTACCCCACATCAAAAGTTGCGGATTGTGCGAGAACTACAGTCAAGAGAGGAGACCGTCGCTATGACAGGAGATGGTGTCAACGATGCCCCAGCTCTGAAAGCAGCTGACATTGGCATCAGTCTCGCTAGCGGCTCGGATATTGCTATTGAAGCCGCCGATATGGTCCTGCTTGATTCGTTCGCTGCCATCGTAGAGGCAGTTCGATATGGAAGAGTTGTCTTTGACAATCTGAAAAAGACAGTGGCGTATCTCCTTCCAGCTGGTTCGTGGTCCGAGTTCTGGCCAGTTTTTACCAACCTGATCTTCGGAATCCCACAAATATTGTCATCATTTTTGATGATCATCATTTGGTAAGAACATGATCCCTGCGTCTTTTTATGGGTTCGGTTATTTAACAGAATTTCCCAGTTGCTTTACGGACTGTGCGGCTGCAGTTGCTCTCGCGTACGAGGCGCCCGAAGCTGACGTACTTTATCGCCCACCACGCCATCCGAAAAATACCCGACTTGTTGATTGGAAGCTCATCTTCCACTCCTATGGTGTCATTGGAATGATAGAAACCGTCTGCTCGTTTTCCATGGCTTTCTGGTATCTTCAGCGGAACGGCATTCCATTCTCTGATTTGTGGTTCAAGTTCGGCGAAATCCCATCTGGAGTAGACGTCGATTACTACAATGCACGTGTCAATGAAGCTAGTTCGATCTACTTCATCACCTTGGTCATCATGTGCGGCTCTCCTTATGTTGAAAACCTTCGCGCATTTTCTGATTCATATATAGGCAATGGTTCAACCTCATGGCTGTGCGCACTCGCCATCTCTCAATCTTTCAGCATCCACCCGCATTCAACAAGGACACGCAGAATCTGTACCTATTTCCTGCCATTGTGTTTGCCCTGGGTATTGCTGTCATCTGGCTATATATTCCAAGCCTACAGACAGTTCTCAACACATCTGGAATTCCTGCGGAGCATTACTTCCTCCCTGCTGCGCTTGGCCTCGGTCTACTTTGCCTCGATGAAGCCAGAAAGGCAGCCGTTCGTCGCTGGCCCAAAGGGTTCTTCGCAAAGATGGCATGGTGATCGCTTGCTTACCACATTCGGGTGGGTATGTATACGATATCCACAGTTACTTTAGAGGAGCAAATCAAAGGTGGTACTTCGTGCAAGTTCTGCTTTCTCGCATCGTTCTGTCATTTTGAACAATTCAATATTTTCAATTCCTGGAGGGTCCTGTTTTTTCTTTATTTTTCTTTGTATTATTCTATGCCTCCTCCAGGTCATCTGTTAAGGTTGTCGTCAAATTCAGCGATGCTACTCAACCGTGGCCAGTGACTGGTGAGAATGCACAATGTATATTCAGCAGAACATTCTTCTTCATCCGCCAGCTGGTTGTAGTGTACGGGAATGCCTTCCATGCAAGTCCTATGTATGCTAATTATGAATGCAGTGATCAACACTTGAAGTATCATCTGACACCAGGAACAAAGTAATGAAAGATGCGAGTAAGTACCGAAAAACATGGATATATATCGTTGTTCCTGAACAGATCAGATTAGGTGGCACTGGAACTAGCTTCGTATATTTTTCCTCCTATCAGGTTTCATGTCGGGTCCTTTCCTAGATTGCATTCACAATCTCAAATCTGCCGGGCATCCTCATAAGCTGCCCATGAGTGCTCTTCAGGGGTGCAATACTAGGTAGAGTCACTAGCCTAAGTGAGGGCTAACCCGTACCTACTCCATTCCAAGCCCCCTCTCCGCCAGAGGATTTTTTTTAAGTGCAACTAAGGGGACCTGGAGGTCTCCAGTAAACCTCCTTTCCTTTTTAGATTCATTCAAATGCAGGCCATTGATCTTTATGATTCAGTAATGCTCTTCAAACTAGTGGCCCGCGTTGATGATTCCCATTCGAAATCCCAGTGACCGTTGTTGAACTTGCTGTTGGTGTGTGTTGTTCCGCAGGAGCAGTTGTCCCCCAGCCATTATTTGATGACCCCAATGCACTGTACGCAGTCTGCGGACGTTGCTCGCCAAAAGTATTGTCTTTAAACATGATTGATGACCGGTCAGAAATGAGTTCGGCCGTGGACCCTCCCCTCGATGCAACAAGATGCTGGGCATCGACCGATTTGGCTTTCAAAAGCTCTCGGGCGGCGATTCGCTTGGACTTGGCTCGATCTTTGGCGCAGTGTATTATGCTGACTCCGGAAAATAGCGAGATCAGACAGCAAGAGAAAACGATGGCTGCGATGTTGCCTTTGCGATTCCACTCGGCAATTTCGGCACTCGTAGTACTTGTGGCGGAGGAGGTAGTGGTTGTCGTGGAGGAGCTGGACGTTGTTGTTGTCGAACTGCTAGAAGTCGTTGACGCTGAGGTGGTTGTCGACTGTGAAGAGGTTGACGATATTGAGCTGGAAGTTGTAGTTGAAGTGGATGATGTGGTGGTTGACGTTGATGTTGATGATGAAGTCGTTGTAGATGTGGTCGACGTGTCTGAAGAAGTCTTTGTGGTCGAGGTTTCCGAAGTCGTACTATCGGCTGTCGTTGATGATGTTGATTCAGAGGTCGTAGATGTATCACGGGCGACAATGATGATCCGGTTGATCCCGTCCCGTATATCAAAGACATTCGGGTTTCCATCGAGAGTAGATGATGGAAGCTCATGTCTGACCGTGGCTGTTGCTTTTTCGAGTGAAGAGGCCGTTGGAGCTCCATACGGCTGGCATGCTGCCAAAGCCAAGTGTGACGCTAGGAGCAGGACGGCGGCCTTTTGATTTTTGATCATTTTAAACCAAGCTTTTCGTGCAAGCAAGAGCCTAAATATTCCTGGACGGGGAGAAACAAGAGCATTAAGTAGAGGTGGTAGAAATCCCCTAACCTGGGCTACGACTTGACTGACGTGTGGTTCTAACGGTAAGAGAGCCTCCCATTGGTTATTGCGTGAATATTCGACTACGGTGTACAACTAATGTGGCCAGCTTCGCGGTGCAGGACTATGGATAGGTCAATTTTTGCATTCTTCGATCGTGAGAAAGCCATTGAGGAACTGGTGGAGTCGAATCTAGTTCAAAAGCACACGCACATGCCGCGTGGCAGTGCCCCCACAAACACAGGGCTGATCGGGAAAGGCAGAAGAAACTTAATTGATTCTCAATCATGCCCGAGTTAGCGAATATGGCCTACAATAATCCATGAGTAGATTTTCTGAATTGCAGACGCTTACAAAAATCGGAATCCATATAGCAAGTCCACTTCGAAGCGGACTGGTGGTGAAGAGGATATTTGATCTTGTCCCCACCGGGGCACTTCGCCGTTGCTGCTTTCCTCGAGACGCATCATGATAGCGCAATCTCGCCTAAGACTATACCCGCTAGAGCCCATCAACTTGTTATCCTGTATCTCGCTACTATTTAAAGTATACCCCTGCCCTACTCAAATGCAAACTAGCGTGGTTGAAGGCTGAGCACCTTGGAACTAGACTAAAAGATAATGTTGTCGCAGGTTTCTCGTGCAGCGTGCTAGCTATAGTGACAAAGAAGATCCAAGAGCGTGACACTTGTATTCTTGAGTAGACAGTCATGCAGTAGGTGAGGTACGTGCGACTCCATCACTGCCAGGGGCGAGGCTTAGGGCGTTGTGGCTTCCAAACTCAGCCGCATAACGCTCCTTGCCCTTGCGTGGCAGCCTTTATGTCGGTCGGGGTTCCCAACCACTGCCCGATGCTTAGCCAGGTACCAGGTGAGGTTGGCTGTTTGCCTCTGCGAAGTACTTATCGGTTCTCTACCAGCAACTTTCTTGTGTTTACCATTAAGACGGAGTCATGCTCGCTCTTCAAGGACTGAATTTACAAATCGAAAATTGATTCCCGCTGCCAAGAATGCGCATGTTTGAGTGGGGTGCTTCTCTTACTGCGCCGATGGACGTGGCGTGGCGGCTGCTTGTGGGTGGGGGGAAGCTAGTCTTCGTCAATTTGTGATATTGTGACTCGAGCATTAATAGTTCTTGGTATGTCAAGGCGTGCCATGTATTTCTTTGCCTAGTTTATGATTTCGTTAGTTCTTCGAGTAATTGACCAACTAATCAATATTTTTTAAGCAACGGTCCAGTGGTCGTGCTCCCCATTGCAATCAATAATGCACAGCCTTAGCCAGAGAACGTGTGTTGAAAACGAGGGCCAACGACCCCAAAGTTTGAACACTTAAGAACTGGCCAGATAATGATCGCAATTTGTATGCTATGCGATTGAAACTGACTCCTGATGACAGTGATCCGTCACTTACTGTCAATCTCTTGCGTAAACCTTCGATGCCATGTAGGTGGCCTGTGGAGCTTTGGAGTTTGTTAAAGCAAACGTCAATTACCGTATTTTATTAACACTTGTCACGAATAATCCACCGATGTAAGCTTGATTCTGTATCTTAAAACGACTCGATTCCCATGCTTCACCATACCGTCTAGAGAGAGGATGCATGGACCTCGTTATGACGCACGAGGTAATCTCGATTTCACCGCCACGGACGCCACGGGCTACCTGTCAACGGGGATCTACACGTCCAGTCCCGACTTGGGCTAGAATTTCCGCCTAATAAGGAAATGATAATATGCCTATGGCATTTAGCTTTGCTGGACAGTCCGCTCATTGGACTTTTAATTTATTTGCACCACTACACCTTCGCGTAGTGACGCAACATTATCGAAGGCACATTCATATACAATGCTCGTTCGCCTGTACCGCAGGTCTTCACTGATTTTTGGCCGGCGAAAAGTATCAATGTGTAGACAATATAGGGTCTCACCGAGAGTATGGTTCGCCATCGGTTTGACGTCACTTTCACCTGTAAGCGCTGACGAAATCATAGGATATGGAAGGTTTATATTCAGTAACTAAAGTGGTCATAGCAAGGTTTGACGTCAGCTACGCGGATCGCTATGATGGAATACAGGGTGCAGCATATAAGAAAGAGCTTCTGCAGCTTTGATTCCTACCCTTCCATCCTTCATTAGACCTACCCCATCTCAAGAATACAAAGCAACAAGGAATCTTCTTGTATCTACCTGCCTTAAGCATTATCACTACTTACCACCAGACGGGCGCGTTCTAGGTCATGCCTATCTTTCACCGTGATTCAACTGCTAGCTCCTCGTCTGGGCGTAGGATTGATGATCCAAACCAATCAAAGACTCATTCAGGACTATTTGGGAGTCGGTCATCTCCCTCTACCCATTCTTCCATCTCCTCGGGATCTGGTTCTTCTTTGAACAATTCTCGCCGCCATGGTTTTCTGCACAGGACACATGAGGATCCGTCTATCATGGCCGCCAGAGAGCAGGTACTTCGCGCAGAGACAGCCGAGCGAGAAGCCGATAAAGCACTTATTGCCTCAAGGAAAGCCGTCAAGGAGGCAAGAGACCACGTCAAGCATCTTGAGAGAGAGGCTGCTGAAGAGTCAGTACCATTATGACAGGGCCACATTTGTCTTTACTAATTCTTTCTTGATTTTCAAATAGGGCCCGGTTGGCAAGAATTAAGCAGGATCAAGCCAAATCCATTTCGAAGAGAGCGAAACCGCTTGGACGTAAGTTTGCTGCCATTATTTACCGGGCTTACGATAATTCTTTTGCCGCGAATGCTGACAGTATACATTATAGGTCATATTTAATAGTGTCCTTGTACGAGGTGGTGGAAATACCGTTCAATTTGGAATCCATAATGTGTTAAGAAAAGGTGTAGGATGTTTAGATACATGTATTATATCTCATCTTAGCTAGTATACCTCAAGCCCTGTGATTTCATTATCTGCTCAAATTTGCTAAAATATTCGAATGGAGTAAGTAGAATGAGTGTTATTGAGCACATAGAAGCCGATAATCTTTTTATCAGTTTCCTTTCTGAACTTTGTACTTGCCTACAGCTTTCCAAGTCTTCGATACACATGCTTCCGCAGACATGCTCCAGTCAAGTGCCTTAGGTATCACATAGCTTCTCACGTAGGGTAAATGCATGTCTGGGTTACATTCGGAATGTTACCCCATCCGCGGGTGACGGTCAAATCATCAGGGTCTTGTGCGGGGAGAGATACAGCGTAGCACAATCACAGCCCAAGTAACCTATCTTCAGAAAGGAGAGTTCGGTTGTTGGAGTAAAATAAGCCGAACATAGACTTCATTCTATTTTTGACTCAATCATTATTACTCAGCCTTGTTTTTGAAATGTCGCGCTTTTTATGAATCACGGTATAGCCCTATGCGAATCCGAAATTTTACTCATAACTGCCTGTCGTTAGCTGTCAGCAAAAGACTAATGGTAAGAAAAGAGCGTGGGTCAGGACCCTAAATGAGTCAAATGCGACTTAACATGAATGAGCTTTATCCACTCGCCTTCAAACTAAACTACATTGGTGTGTCTGCATATGTAAAGATCTTTCACTTGAGTCTGGTCATCATGGAGTTACACTCCGAAGATCAGGTGCATCTTAGGATTATATCCACTTCGGGGTCTTATGCGGCTTTATAAAGACATGAGTGATGGTCTCTTTCATTTAAGAATGAGCTTTTTGGTTGGTTTGTGAAGCAATTCAATTTGTTCTTCAATTCTATAAGCTATCAGATAGGTCAAAATGGTGAGGAAAGCGAGTATCATGATCATCATATCCACCTTGGTCATGGTGACCTGGTCCCTCCCAGGAAGGGGTACCAACGCACATAGTGACCAAGGCGAGGCCTCCGACCGGCTAGTGTTCGCACACTTTATGGTCAGTCCCCATAACTAATCAGTGGCAAATGGCTGGTATGGATACGTAAAAGAAGCTGACATGCAATTAAGATCGGAATAACGAGTGACAGGAGCAGTGCATCTGATTATGACGATGATATGAAGCGAGCTAGCTCGCTGGGAATTGATGCCTTTGCTCTGAATATTGGTGTCGACCCTTACACCGATCAGCAATTACAGTTCGCGTACGCGTCTGCCTCTCAAAATGGAATGAACTTATTTCTGTCCTTCGATTTTAATTGGTGGCATACGGGACAAGTACAGGAGATCGGTCAAAAGATTGCTCAATATGCCAGCCTGCCGGCTCAGTTGATGGTAGATAACAAGATTTTTGTATCCACGTTCGCCGGAGACGACTTGAATGTCGCCGACCTTCGGGCTTCAGTTGGGAAACCAATATTTTTCGCGCCGAATTTTCACCCATCCTACGGCACAAACCTTTCGGCCGTAGACGGTCTTTTGAATTGGATGGCATGGCCCAACAACGGCCAGAACAAAGCTCCCACTCCTGGACAGAATATCTCTGTTGCAGATGGTGATCACGAATACATCAGTGCTTTGGGTGGAAAAGCATATGTTGCGCGTCAGTTGATCTTTCTTCAACATTTCAATCAATATCCATTTCATCAAGTATCTGATCTGTTCAAACAGCTGTATCACCCTGGTTTTTCACTCATTTTGGCCCCGAAGTATCCTACAGCAAGAACTGGGTCTTTCCGTCTGACCTTCTGTGGTATGATCGATGGAATGAGATTTTGACTCTAGGGCCTCGGTTCATTGAAATCGTGACGTGGAATGACTACGGCGAATCTCACTACATTGGGCCTCTTCAGTCCCAACATACTGACGATGGGGCCTCCAAATGGGTTAACGATATGTATGTCACATATCTACACTCCATTGTTTGTTACTTGTTGCCTTTCACATCACGCTGACAACTTGAATAACATACACAGGCCCCATGATGGATGGCTTGATATATCCAAACCCTTCATTACGGCATTCAAAGCCGGGGCATCCTCAGTAGCCAGCTACATCAAATCTGACCAGCTTGTCTACTGGTATCGACCAGCTCCACGGAATGTCAATTGTGACTCGACTGACACTTGTATGGTCCCGGCCAATAACGACAGCGGAAACTACTTCCTTGGGCGGCCCAATGGCTGGGAATCCATGGAAGACTCAGTCTTTGTTGTATCTTTATTGACTGTGCCGGCCTCTGTTCACGTTAACAGTGGAGGAACAGTCTATGCCTATGATGCCCCTATTGGAGTCTCCGCACAAGCAATACCCATGCATGTTGGCATTCAGAGCTTCTCTGTCAGTCGGAATGGTCAGGATATTCTCTCAGGTACCAGTCTGAAGCCAATCATAGATGGTTGTGTGTGCGGCCTGTACAACTTCAATGCCTACGGTGAGATTGTTAATTTTGCTGGTCTTGGGCTTTCTAAAAGGCTACTCTAATCCAGAATCAAATAGTTGGAACTTTGCCTACCGAGTTTAGCGATCCCCTTCAACCTGATGGTCTCAGCTCATTTCGTCAGGGCCTGCGCGTACAAACTTGCGAGGCATCACCGTCGCTCGGGACAGTGCCTCCGACCACTGCAAGCATCACCTCGACGACGACGATTTCTACCTCTGGCACTTCTACTACTTCTGTCACTACAAGCACATCGAGCACTACTACTACCTCTACCTCTACTTGCTCAAGTATTCCTCCAACCACCCCTTGCCAAGCGTACACATCCACAATAATACATACATTTACTGCCACATTCACTCAATCGGCTACTCATACTCAGACACTCACAGTTTCAGCCACGAGCTGCGCAACGGGAGGCGGTGGTAGTAATGGAACTAGTGGCGGCAACGTCTGTACTGGCGGAACGGGGCCAGGGAACTACGTTGGGCTCTGCGTCTTCTGCTGCCAATTTGGATATTGTCCCCCTGGGCCTTGCAGTTGTATTCAATACGGAGCCTCCATTCCAGCTCCGCCATCTACTGGAGTTCGAGGAATTCCTCTACCTGGAGAAGATGACTCGTATTTGGGTCTTTGTATTTTTGCTTGTGAGCATGGATATTGCCCCCCAACGGCCTGCACCACTGCGTGAGTGATGAGGTTGTTGAAATTGGCTGTGACTTGGTTAGAGACGTACAGTGCTGAGAAATTGAGCTACAGGCACCTGCAATCAAATGGGAGATTGACTCTGACGTAAGAGAAATTGATTGACTACTTTGTTCTTCGTATTTTTAACTTTACGCTCCAAGTTTCCGAGTTTCTTATATTTCTTAATTTCATCAGCTCCGCTTAGCGTCGTCATCAGTGAATACTTTCTCAAAAGGCTCTTATCTCGAGTCAGCTTCTTTTGAGTCTGTTCCTTACGCTACTTCTAGGTCCTGGTTACCCTCCTACACCACTTCAACTCCCTCGACGCCGGAGTTGACCAATGTCTGGGCTAGGACGTGTCTGATGGCACTGACTGAAGGTATATCGTTTGAAATCTTTCAAGCGCTCTGCATACTCTATCCCGTATGGTCTTTTATCCCCTACAGCATATTTAAGTGTGATTGTGTAGTACTCGATTGCAAGTGTTCGCCTTGTCCCTTCTTCGCGTGGTTTTCCAGAGTATACGTGACAAATAATTCAGAGCATCATTGTCCTTCACTCAATTGATTTTTTATCACTGGGTGATCTCGCCATTGTTGACGAGCTTTGACTGTGTAGACATGCTTGTTTGTTGTCTTGAGCTGTTGTCAAGTCTGGAAAATTGGACAAAGGCCCAGTTCTTTCAGTATTTGGGTTTTTGTTGTTAATATGGCTTTCAAAGGTGTCAATTTCTATTTTTGATCCTGTTCTTTTTCCGGATTAATGGTGATGGCGCTATCAGCGGTAGGAAATATGGGTCTAGGTGTATTAAAAACTTATGGCACATCACTGTACTCAGTGGGTATTCAAAAGTTTGAAATACCCTAGATTTTTTCTGCCGTGCCAAGCCTATTCTGCCGGTATTATTCAACCTCCATGAATATATACAAAAGCTGACTTTTGAGGGCCACTCGGATTTAATTCGATCAGTGGCATTTTCACCGGACGGGCAGCTGCTGCAGTCGAGCACTGATGAGATATCCCGAGCGTTGAAGGGACTATCACTAGGCCTGACTTTTCTCAGGATGGTTCCCGTATCATGACCAAACTGGAGTCCTTTGATCACCAATACCGAGGTGATCACAGTGATTCACCTGGCGTGGATCTGGAGATCTCCGTTGTGGAGGGGCAGTGGATAGCGTTGAACGGCAAAAAGGTACTGTGGCTTCCCTAGCTGCCCTGCCACTCTTGGTAGTATGCTTTTTCATTTATCTATTCGGCCCATGTAAGCCACGAGGATTTTCCTTCTGCTCTTTGTTCTCTAGATATATTGAACTCGGATTTTCTTTTGCTCCTCCAGCCTTGAAAATTCCAATGCTTGATTTGATATTAACACGTGCGGTCGCTCGAGACATGGACATTTGGTGGCAAAAACACGACGACCACACGTTTATAAAAAATGTAGCAGAGCGGTAGTACTCATCCAAATGCACATTTAGTATGGGGCAGACGGGTCTTGAAGAACGTCAATATAGATTCAAGTGGTACATCAGTCGCGTGAAATCCAACGATCCCAATGAATCAGTCAAGCGTTGTACGTGTCCAGTTCTACCCAAAACCCTAATCTCAATTCTCATACTCGACCACCGTAAACGAAAAGAAATTCGTGTCCACGCGACCGGAGATGTCGGGTTTTAGCGCCGGAGATTGAAGTCCAGGTCCCAGTCCAGGGTTGGTGATCGGAAAGACCCCTGAAATAATAATCATACCTCCAGTAGTCCGTCGTACTACTGTACAGTAGTAGTTACGTATCCCACTGATGAGATCATTCGCTTGAATTGCAACCAGATTATACAAACAATGCATGTTTATGATTGATAAAATAGATAAGCCCCACGCAACGTATGTTGACCCACTGGATCGACCATCGCTCCTCGGCATTTAAACCCTCCAAGGAAGCTTAAAATAGGATGTACTGTATTGATCATTGATCAATCCATCCTATCTTCCTGTGCATACTGATCCTTTCCTGGTTAACTACTACATCGCCTCTAGTCCGCAGCAATGACAACTGCCATGCTTAAACTTGTGTGTTCAGTTGACCCGCATAGTGACAGGTCCAGTCATGTCAAGGTGGTTATTGACATATGGACTCAGGAAGAGTAGCCGTATAGATGGCTCTTCCCATAGCTTAAACTACTTATCGGCCTCGAAAATCACTTTCTGTGATTTCATCTGGTTGAAATCATCATATCTGCGAATGTGGTGAGCTATGTATCATCTTGGCGGTTATGCTCTCAGCGAGGGCCCCACTACTTACGCTTGCACAGCTTGAGACAGCGGGCGAATGTCCTCGGACATGAAACTATTCCGAGTCAGCCTTCTGAAAGGGGATCATTCCGCCAGATACTTACTTCAGCACATCCTGCTTCTTAGCCAACAGTTCCATTGCGTCCCCGAAAATACCTAAAACGGTCAGCATGCTCCAAATCCAGCCCAGGCGACTAGGAGACGCGGGTCTTACTGCGAACGGGGCATCGTCCCATCTGCAGACGCAGGTTCTTCCCATAGGCCTCGTTGCCAGTCCATGGAATCTCGCCATTGTGCACACCGACGCTGGAAAGTACTCCCCAGGGACGAAGCATCTCGAATCCCATCCGTAGCGCGCTACTATGGCCCACGACTTCAATGACAACATCCGCGCCCCGACCATCGGTCAGTTCCTTGACTCTTTCGCGGAGACCAGCTTCGTTCTCCTGGAAGTTCCATGACTCGGCTCCAAGACTCTGCGCAAGCTGTAGCCGTGACGGAACGCTATCAATCGCAATCAAATGTTTGGGGCGATGCTCCAAAGCGCTGACCAGGGCACAGATTCCCACAGGCCCACATCCAAACAACAACACGGTGCTATTCTGGATTACCTGGGGTTCAAGTCCCCGGAATGCATTGCTCGCAGCAAAAAAGCCGGTCGGAAAGATGTCTGCCATCAGGACGAGCTTCTTCTCATCGATCGCAGCGGGCGCGTGGAACAAGGTTGATTCCGCCAACGGGACTCGGACATACTCGGCCTGTCCGCCATCCAGCACCGCACTTCCATACAATTGTCCCCGCGCACAACGGGAAGAGAATCCACTGGAACAGTAGAAGCACTCGCCGCAACTGACGGTAAAGGGAGAGACCACACGGTCGCCTTGCTTGAAAGAGCGAACGTTGGCTCCGACCTCGACCACCTCACCGGTAAACTCATGGCCCATAATAAACCCCGTTCCCGAGGATTGGTGCCCTCGAAAGACGTGTAGTTCACTGCGTGGTGTTCAGCATCTATGGTGCATTTGGTCATTTATGAATCCATAGCTTACCTTCCACATAGTGCAGTGTATCGCACTTTCAAGATTGCATCCGTTGGATCTTGAATCTGTGGTCGAGGTCGCTGTTCCAGAGCGACCTGCAACGGACCCTTGAAGACAACCGCTTGCATATCAGTTAATTCAATGTGAAAATGCCTAAGAAATCGTTTCGTTTGTCGATTTGGATTTGCAAGTGAGCAGTGTCGTGTCGCAGTTCTTACTCGAAAGTTGCGTTGTCGTTCTGAGGGGTTGAGCTACCTCAAGTCACGTTTGTACCTCGGCTATGCTCGGTCTCTTGACGGGAGGGCTTGAGAGGCCGCGGGCTTCTATTCAGGTCTCGACTGGGTGCAATGACAACTGTTAGTGGCTTTTTTTGAAGAATTGCGGTTGATATTTTGTGATGGCGGGTCAGATTGCACGGCTAAGTTATTCTGAGAACTGCTTGCCGTGGCTTCAATGCGGATGTATGTTCTCCATGTTCTTGTTGCATGCCATCGCTAGTGGTTTCGCTTTTTTAACTTATCGATTGGGCTATGTCTCCATGTCGAGACGGTGGCTTCCATTGGCGTGTCAAGTAGTCATGGGTGGTTGATCCATCTCTTTAGATGCCTTTAACCTGGTGGCCCTAGCGAGAGACCCCTCATCCCTAGGATTAAATTAGGTAAGACTTGGCTGGATATTGAAGGCATCAATTCCACAGAATCTATCAAGTAGGAGGATGTATGAGATATTATTTATCTGGTGGATGTGTGTTGATTGGGGACCTTGGGAGTTTGTGCGAATCAGCTCGGTAGGTCCAGTACTCGGCCATCTTCACACAATAAGCAAAGTAAGTATGTCTTCCAGTGTATGTACTCACTCCCTCTGCGATTAGATGTCCTGGGAATTCTCAGACAGAGCAAAACCACAATTTTTACTCAACACAGACATTGACGTTGTATTCTCGCGAAAGTAACAGGTTGACCAAGTGTCCAGTTGCCTTGGAGTATATTGAACGACACCCATCACCCCGATATTTATCCGGCACGTTGGCGTGTTTCACACCCGAAGAGGCCCTAGAATTCACTACAAAATCCCCTCAAGATGATTTGTGAAAAACATTTACGTCCTCATTTGCTTGGGCTACATGTTGGTACTCAATACTGGAAATCGGTAGGTGCTAGCACTGGACAAATCGCTTCTCAAGTCCACCGACCCCTTCGATCCGAGCTGGCTCTCGCATGTGGTGATGACGGCGTAGAAGATAGAATACAGGGTTAGGTAGGGGCTACAGGTAGTTTTGAAGAAGCTTGAGTAACCTAGTTTAGAATTGGAGATCTGGAATATGGATCTCAATAATTTGGAAGTAAATCGAATAGCTTCAAAGAATATGGGCGTTCGACACCAACTGGACAACGCACGGACCCAACGACTAACAAGATCTTGAATGACAGACGATTGCCGAGTTAGGCCTCCAGTTTTAAGGACAATTGCCACGGCATTGAGAGGATACCTCCCCGAGTAAATCAACATGAAATCTTTGAGTGATCACTAGCCACCTGGTGACGGGAACGGGGACCAAAGAGTACAGTAGCGACTACTAGCCACGGTTGTCGGCGGTGCCGGCAGAGGGGCTCAGGGCAAGGGGCGGATAGGGAGGAGGAGACTATCGCCCACGTGGGAGACAGAGAGAGCCGAACAAGGAGAAAGAGGAGAGAGTAGAGAGAGTAGTGGACTCGTTCTTGTGAGTCTGGGAATATCGTCGGTCAAGATGACCCTCTAGGGCCATATTGATCCAAATACTGTACTGAATGGACTCAAAGAGGAGAGGTTCTGAGCTGATTTGGGACTCGGCTGGGCCAGATTGGGACATCAGCCTATTGTACTTTGAATTCAATAATAAAAAAAGCTTCTAGAGAGCGCCATCACATTCGCTTAGATGGCTGTCATGTAGAAGTATGTATAGTACTGCAGGTTGAGTGTTCAACGGAGGAGAACAAGGCCGAGTGCCAAGACTTCCGACCAGCGAGTCTCTCTCCAACGAAAATCCGGTTTTAACATCTCGCCAAGAAAAATCTTATTTCTGGAATCATATTGTATGAGGATGAGGTACTACCGGATTATTATATCATCATTGTCGATCCTGATTATTTGGTCCCCGTTCTTCTGGATCAGGGACCCTCCCACCATCCATGGGAGTCACCGGGTAGGAGTCAGCTATACACCGTACGATAAATAGGTAGGGAGGATAGTCTCTCGTACGGTTTGTACGAGGTTCGGAGGATTTCCGGCATACGAGGAGGAGAACAATCATGGAAGTACTCTCGTACTGGACTGGAGCTAGAGTACTCTATCCTTCGTAGTTCGTACACGGCTAATGGTCGGAGAGACAGAGTTCAGCCACGACGTATCCGGAGAAATTTCTGTTTCGTTGGACCTTTGACGCAAGGACTGAAATAAACTAGTTAACTAACTACAGTAACTGTCCAAGCACCAAACCAACGTTCCTCCCTCCAATCGGCGGAGCCCGAACAGCCCAAAAAGCAGCGAGAAAGTGGCTGATCGGCCCCACGCGACCGCGCGGCCCATCCAGAGACACTTGGGAAGTTGGGGACGGAGTACATGGCCCCCATACCGAGTACCATACAAAGCGCTGTACTCCGTCCTGAGTGCTGGACGAGACCGGCGACCCGGCGACCCGGCAACTCCAAGCTCAACCAACCAGCACCCTCAATCTTCAGATCCCTCAGATCCTCCTTCTTCTGCTTACCGACTACTGTACTATTGTTCTTACAGTATTATTCTCAACTCGTCCAAATTGGTTCAATCCTTGTCCCCAAAGGCCAAGCCCTGACTCCATCCATCCAATCGCCAGTTCGTCTCTCACGCACGTCATGTCCCTGCCGACCACTCCGGAGCCCTGCTGAGCTTTTCTTGGCCTTTCTCCGCTGAACAACCACAACCCCCCAACCCCCCTTTGTTCGTTCTTCGTTCGTCGTACTTCGTTCGTCATTCTTCGTTCCTTCTGGTCTCTCTGGATATATTCGAATCTCCTCCCATCATCTGGGCATCTCCTTCAAGCATCCCTCCTCGACTATGGCCCGCCGTTGCTCGCTCTCCCTCTCCTCCGCCTACTAGCCCTTCTGCCTTTCCGGAGATGCTCGTCGTCTCCCCGCGCTCGCCTCCTCGCCTGTCGGGCTCAGTCCATCCAGCATGTCCGTCGATGGACCTGAGGCGCTGCGGGGGGTTCCGGGCTCAATTGGCTGGTGAGTGCGACAGTTTTCAATCCTTCCACCCTTGCACCCAGTTACTTTCCTCCGGTCCCCAGCGACAGCGTGAATTGATCTAACAATGTGATCCTCCAGCGTTCATCGCACCATTTTGTGCTCCCCTCGTTGCTCCTCAGCGTCGAGGCTGGCGTCCGCTAGCTTTGCGCCCGCCCTACCTCATCTCCCTCGTCTCTCTCTTGCTGTTCATGCTTCTGGCCCTCGAGGGTCTACGACAATATAGCCATCGCCGCGGAGGGTTGGTCTTCTTCAGCGATACCGACGAGGTCTCGGCCTTGCAATCATTTGCCTATAATTATGTGCCCATCATTGTCGCCCTGGTGCTGGTCATGATCTGGACGGTCACCGATTTCGATGTTCTACGCCTCGAACCGTACTTCCAACTCTCGCTTCCTCAAGGCGCGCCTGCCACGGTCCTTTTTATCAATTATAACTTCGGTCAAACCATCCTCACTCCCATCAATGCGGCCCGTCGTCGGCACTGGATTGTTCTGTGGGTCTCGGTGCTAACATTGTCGATCCGTCTGATTCTCCCGGCCTTGCACAGTACCGTCTTTGAACTGCGGGAAGTGACTGTGAAGAGTCGAGTCTCAATGAAAAGCTGGCCGGTCCTGGTCGATCTCGAAACGCAAGCAACATGGATGTCCACCCAGGCCAACAACACTGTCGATTCGGTTCTGTCGGCGGACGAACAAGCGCGCCGGTCGCGGTCGACGGAATATGCCATCGCCCCCGTGGAGATCCCCAACAACACAAACGAGGAGGAGGATGATACACTGTGGAATCTGGATCAAGAAGTCTATTGGGCCCAGGTCACTTGTGAAAATATGCCTCTCGATAACAAATTGTCCGTCACGATCAACACACCGGACCACGGCTATCCAACCGTTTCGTGGAACGCTTCCGGCATCGACCTCGACGATGCCTATGGTCATGCTACCTCGTGCAAGCTGGACTTTTCGTACGACAGCGTTTTCTTTCCCTCCACCGATTATCTCCAAGTCCGCTATTGGGAGCCTGTCATCAGCAGCGCCGCAGAATCTGCCTATCGAGATCGCTCACGGGCATTCAACCTGACCGGATGTGACCCATACGATCTATACGGGATGGTGATCGGTGTCAATGCTACCGAATCCGAGTCTGACTCTTCCACGTACACAGCATCCGGTGTAGCCTTTGCTTGCGACATTACATATCACAAGGCTCAAGCCAGTGTCTCGATGCATTCCAACAGTTCCATCGAAAGCCTCCACGTCAAACCCTCCACCACCCAGACCCTAACCAGCTCGGAGTTCAACATCGAGCACTTCCAAGCTCTCCTCTCCCAACGGGCTCCGTATACCAGCGACATGCTCTTTATTCGTGACAATGCTACCACTGGTAGTCGCGCCGTGACTGAATTGCCCGTGATCAGTCAGGAGCTCGGTGAACTTCAACCCCTTCTCATCCTGGACACATCCACCTTGATGACCGAATCTGAGTTTGAAACAAAGATCACTCGCGACGTGGAACAAACCTTTGTCCTGACCCTCGGTCGACTTTTCGATCCTGACATTCAGCCCACCGTGGTTTCAGCCACTCGGGTCACTAACCAAGTTGCAATTGCCGTCGTGCAATTCGCCGCATTATGGTCTGAGCTCATTTTGGCCTTGGCCACTTTGACTACTGTCTATCTTCTTTTCCTATACCGCTCACGAGAGACCTTTCTCCAGAGCGACCCCGGATCTATCGGCGCCATGTGCAGTATTGCTGCCGATATTTTCCATCCCTCCAATGTCCTAGCAGAGCCTCATGTTGAGTTCCATCAATTCTCCACTCGCCAGATGCGTCGTATCTTCAAGAAGGCCCGCTGCTATTGGCGCCCTGGCCCATCCGGTAACAGACTGGAGATTCTTGCAGAGGATGGTAAGTGGCTTTTGATTTCGTCGCTGAATTACTCACGCTCTAGCAATCAACTGACTGACACATTTTTTCTCTCTCTCGTGTAGGTTCGCCAGTGCAACTCGGAGAAGATTTGCGTGTTCACGCCGACCCAATGCCTCATTTTCTGCTCATCCCTTTCTTTATCATTGAATTCTTAGCTCTAGCAGCTGTCATTATCCTGATGGCGCTCGTGGTGTCTTCGCTTGCCCGAGATGGCAGATTCAAACATCTAACGCAGACCGATTCTACATCCTTCCAGGTCATCCTTTCCTTCCTGCCTTCTGTGGTCGCATCTTCCGTTGGCTCCTTATGTACTTCCATTCATCGAAACCTCAGCGTTCTCGAGCCTTGGGTCCATCTCCAAAGAGGAAAAGCCCCCGCCAAAGTCTCCTTGTCACTGAACTACTCTTCCCAGAGCCCGTTCGTAATCTTGTTCAAGTCGATCCGCGACCGACATGCTTTGCTCGGCTTGGTCTCTCTGGCCTGTATCGTCAATATGGTTCTCACGGTCGTGGCGGGTGGGTTGTTCACACAGCAACTGACGTCCTCAACCCTCCCGACCCAAGACTTGACTGCCAACTATAGCCAATCTGTCTTCTGGCGAACCGACTTTGCAGCGGAGTTCACAGAGTATGACTTGATCCAGACAAGCATCACGAGTGGAGTTCCTATGCTGTCCTGGACCAGCCCAAACCAGTCATTCATCCCGCTCCATATTCATAACCGTAATTCGGATGTGATGTATGGCGCCACTACTCTCGGCGTTGGTTCGCAACTACAGTGCTCTCCGCTCTCCTCGGCCGATGGTTTGGTGTATAACGCAACCTCTGGTCATCAATACTGGCAGTATAGCATGTTCCACAACTCATCCCAAGAATGTGTTGCCGCTATGCCTACCCCGAAGAATAAGAATGAAGGGATCGCCTTGTCCATTCAGTTCCTGTCTGCTAGTGATAGGATTCACTCGGACATCTGTCAAACCTCGAGTGTCATTGTTGTTGGCCGCTGGAACTACATGGCTGACACAGCAGTGACCGACAACAACACGATTGCTTTACATTGCGAACCGCATGTCCGCCTCCAGAATTACTCGATTACGTTTGACCAGAAGGGACAGATCCAGGGTCATGATTCCGTTGCAAATACAGCCATCACCACGGGTGAAATGTATGAGAACGCGACCGTGAGTCTAGGACAGTTCAATAAAGTGTTTGTCGCCATTCCTGAGAGCTATGTCGGCAACACCACTTCTCAGAATGGGACGTATAATATCTCTTCCTACGACTGGGCTGGCTTCCTCGTGGCACGGTTGTACCAGCGGGCAGATCCGGATTTCGATTCTCTCGATGTTGATCGCTTCACGGACCTCACTCAGGTCGTATATCAGTGGGTCTATGCCACCTACTTTTCTATCTGGCACGACATCTACCTCCAACCATTAAAGCATCCACATACCGCGGCCAACGCTACCGTGATCCGAAGCACTTGGGGCATGGTGCCGTCAGTGCCGTCGCTCGCCATTGCTTTGATAATCATCGCCTTCGACACACTCGTTGTCCTTGTGGTCTTTGGCACCCGCCATGGCCGATTCCGAGGCCCACGAATGCCACGGTCCATTGGTGCCATCATCCCCTGGATCGCACATAGCCGCATGCTCGGCGACTTCAGCGACACCTACAAATGGACCAACTCTCAGCGGCGTGACCACCTGTCGACCTTGGGCAAAAGGTACGCATTCCGACAATTCATGGGTCTGGATGGTCGTTGGCGCTTCGCTGTCGACGAAGAGCCTCCTGACGTCAAAATACCACCACAATCTGACCTTCCCCAAAACGACCCCGAGTCGGAAGAGGGCAAAACGACATCCATCCAACTGCAGGAGTTGCCAAACCAGCAGTCTCGGCCGCGAAACTAATCCACCCCGCCCTTTATCATGTATTGACGACATTTTTCTCTTTATCTTGGATACCACGATTTGTGTATATTTTGGGCATTTGGCGTTTTCTAGACTATCTCATCTGTTTGATCATGGAACCGGCGCTTGGATGCATAGATGGCTCAGACCTGTCAGCGGGTTCTGACAGTGATCTGCAATGCCTCGGCGCTTGGAAGGCTATGCCCCTCGCTGGCGTGACGGGGATCTGGAATGTCACGTTTGGACTAGGATATATGGGTTTGACATATTTTGGTGAAAGCATTTCTAGCGTCTATTCAACCTGCACATGCATAATGTAGTCGATATCTCGAATAATAGACTTCATCTCCACCCAACTAAGATCTTATCTGCTATCTGACAAGGGATATGCAGCATAGTCGTATTAGACCATGTTGGCTCTGTATTTAATTCCTAGGATCGGAATTATTTGGCTACTCTACGCTCATAGCGCTTTGAGGGCGCTACCTGGCCTCTGGAATAACATTTCCTCGAGTCATGCAGTATCAATTTTCTTTGCACATTGCTTCAGCGACTCAGCTTACCTACCCTATCCATTGCACGATTAGAACCCTCTCCGCTTCCCTTATTGTGGTTCATTGCATCTTTGACCGGATAATTCACGATGTTACCTGTAACCGTACGGTACAGGTTCTCTGTACATATGCCTCGCATCTTTGCCTACCCTGGTAGTGACCTCTGCATTAGTCTTTCACGGCTTGGTTGCGTGGTGATCGCCAGTAATGCTCCACATTATGACTATCTAGTAGAGATAAAATCTCACCGATTATCATATATAGCTAGTGCTTAAACCTAAAGGTCAAAAGCAAGTAGTGTTTACCCATCAGCACTCTTTTGCTCTCGATAGATCCATCATAGTTACCGGGAAACTCTCTGATGTAAACTCAAAGGGGCCCTAAACGATATGAGGCGAGTGGAAGCAGGCGATCGCATTAACGCCCGACTCTTATCAGTCAGCGCGTAAGGAAACACTCAAATGCCTCTGCTCCTATCACCGAGTACGCCTTGCCGCCCTAACCCTCGTTAACTTGAAAATCGATTGGCTTAGAACATACGTTGTATAGATAACATGCTTTACTCCTATAGTAACATTATGCAGACCGGACATAATGTGGAATCGTTTTAGCTATAGAACGACTGGCAAGTAGTGCTCCATTAACCCGTGGTCACACAAAGCACAGGCGGGCGGTTCTCCAAAAATAGCAGTAGTCCTTGCGCCCAAAGTGTAGTAGGCTGCCCGTTCGTGCGATAGTCTGCTGGCAATGCTAGGACCTATATTATGAGCCTGAGAAGCAAGTACTACCGTGCACAGGCTTAATCTATGGGCAAGGACCTGATTTTTTGAGGCTGAAAAAACTCGCACCAAGGCACACTCCCGGAGCTAGCCCCCTAAAGTAACCCGTTATCTATGAGGGGCGTCCCCACACTATTATCAAAGTCTACAGAATTTAGCACACCAGATGTGTTACTCCTGTCTTGGACGTTTGCTTCGCTCTTAGAAACGCAAAATTCCTGCAGAATGTGGGAGAGACAGCGCCTTAGACACCTCTTGGTCGAGCCGATGCTAATTAGCCCTTGTCGCAGAATGTCGGATCCCCTGATTCGGCATCAATCCGATGACCACCTGCAACAAGTATCCGGCCACACGTCGCGAAAGATGCTTTTGTTACTCTGTATCACAGACTGCATTTGCCACTACGGTGCTGTAGCATTCGCTGGATTCTGACTCGATAAGACTGCTGAAATTGGATGCATTGGATTCGATCAAGCTTTGAAACACACAACCAGCGTCCGGTAAGGTGCATACAGCATACGACACATGTATAGTGGAAGTCACTTTCAATAAGAAAGTCACCGTACGAGACACAGATGATGCCATAGCCCTGATACTGAGTGCTTACTAGCCCCCGACCCTAAAGGGTAGGCTAGAGAAGTTGATACGAGGGAAAGTCCTGCATGGAGGGGAGGGGGGAGGTCGAATGTGACTTCGATCATTTTGCCAGTGAATGATCGCTCCAAAAACGTGACCTGTGAGATGATATGGGATTTGTCTTGAGTTCGTTTATTTTACGCGGGAGATTATCCGAAATAGCCGCGAGCTTTCGGAATACCGCTGCTAAACAACCCAGCTGTCCCTAACATCCGTGGTGTGGGGTGAGCTCTTGGGGGTGTCACTCTATAAAGTATCAACGAGACCAATATTGGCCAGGAATCATATCAAGATGCTCTAACAATTCCATCTGTGGAAATTTGATACTCTGAATCACAATGTCTAGATCGGTTTATACTGCTCTACAGCTCAACAGCTCACAGTGCAGCACGTAGTCGACCATCTACCGCTCTCAGAATGAGATATATGGCCTCCAGATACGGCGCCTCGATACCCAGCTCTTTAGCCTTGCGCACGGGGAATCCCAGAATCACATCAATCTCCATGGGCCGACCACTCTTACAATCCGTCTGCATACTACTTCCAATGCCAGGCATAGCATTAATCTTATTCATGAGCTGATCAACCAACTCATCAGCCAATGGCACACCACACCCACGAGCAATAGCAATGACCTCGTGCATCAACTTGCGGGTAAACGGTTCCGCATCGGGTGAGGAGTGCAGCCAGGTCTGCGTATCAACCATAGTCAGCGTGGTCAATGAGTTCCACGCCACGTTCCACACAACCTTCTCCCATCGTTGTTGTTGCATGTTATCGAGGACCTGGAAGCAGGTTTGGCCATGACGCAATAGGTCGGCAAAAGTGTCGAGACGTTGTTTCTCAACGGTGCTGTCGAGTATTGCGTTGGGGAAGAGGCCGATCTGCATATCTTCGGATTTGGTGTGCTTGACGACACCTGGGCTACTCTGTATAGCTCCCACCCAGGTCTGCTAAGGTTAGTATTGTTCAACTATGCCGTAAAGTTTGCAGGATCTTACCACGCAGGTAATAATGGAGTTTTGAGGGAATTGCTTCCGGAATGGCTCTTCATTTCCAACACCGTTCTGAATCACCACAATGGTGGTGCGACTGGGGTCTACCACGGGCTTCAATTGGGCTGCCACCTCATCCTGATCAATCGCCTTGTGTGCGCATACGACGTAGTCCATGGTAGATGCTTCAGCAGGAGATTTGACAACTGTAGCTTAAACATTAGCAATGCACTTTACTCACTTGTTACTGGATTTTCAGTCTTGCCTTTGTAAGGTCGGAAGTTGTGCTGTCCATGGTTCTCGCTGTTGATGGTGATTCCCTTGAAAAGAACAAAGTCAGTACCACTGCTTTGAATTATGGAAGTACACAAGCTCACATTGGCCAGTACAGCGTTGTAGTTCGATCTTGCGACTACCGTCAGCCGTACGCGGTCGGAGCGATTCAGAATGAAGGCGTAAAAGGAGCCAACGCTATTGCATGTCAGCGACAACCACACCCTCGAGTGGTATCACTCTACTTACGCTCCTAGGCCGTAGAGCAGAATGTCAATATGATCCGACATGGCGAAGGGATGGACTGTGCAGGGATCTTCTGGCCGTCTGATCCAAAGGTTAAAGATAATTGTCATCGTCCCCAGCGTTAGCGGCGGACTTCTCTCCCCGCACCTTCATAGTGGGGTCGGCGATATTCCGGCGTGGGGGTCGCAGGCTTCATACCGCTAGTCCCTGCTGATCTCGGCGTTGTTTCGAGCGGTGAATACTCGCCGTTTTCACAATAGGCATGTATCCCTGTTTACCCGAGATCTGAAAAGACTCCGAAATAGGCTAAACTAATCCCATCATCACCGAGATCGAGGTAGACGGCTCTGTACATCCTAATTATCGAACAACAAACGTTTCTCAACATTGATTCATTGGTAGAATTCCGGAAATCTTATAGCTTCACACTTCCAATCATCTCTCTCTCCAAACGACTTGCATTTACCATCTCCGGTCGTAGTTCGTTAAGACTTGTAGCTCCCAGAAAAACCATGTTCATCTCAATCTCCTGTCGAAGGATCTCTAACATTCGACGGACCCCAGCTTCGCCGTAGCCCGCCGACATACTAAACAGAAATGGCCGACCGAGGCCAACAGCGGTTGCCCCTAGAGCAATAGCCTTAAGCACGTCGGTCCCACGACGAATACCACCGTCAATGAAAATTTGCATTTTCCCATCCAGCAAATGGGGTGCAAACTTTCGAATCTCGAGAAGAGTCAAGAGTGGTGATTGGGCGCTAAGCAGAGACGCAATATCAGCAGATGGCCTTTTTTGAGAGAGGTAGTATTTCTTACGTGTCTTGAGATCGACCACCGTGGTTCGATAATACAATACCCTGGACGCCGTGCTCGTATGCAAGAACAGCGTCTTCGACGCATTGGATACCTTTGATGACCACAGGAAGGTCAGTGAGTTCCCGGATCCAGGACAGAATTTCCCAGTCAATGGTAGGCGAAATGGAGCTCGCCATAATCTTGGCTACTCCTTGTCCCTGAGCGTCGCTATCCAAGGCCTGCACGAATATGAGCGTCTCATCTCTTGCGAACTGTCATAGAACAAGGCTTACCGTGACGGCCAGATTGAGCCGCTCGTCACTTTCTCTCTTTCCTACCACTGGGGAATCCACCGTGATCCAAATGCCTCGCGCACCTGCTTTAACGGCACGTTTGACTAGATCCACCGACTTTTCGATGTCTTTATTGACATATAGTTGAAAGAAAAGAGGTTGATCTTCAGAGGTACGCGCCTCCCTGACCTGCTCAACGGACATGCTGGAGCTGTTGGCAAGGACCTGTGCGAGTCCATCCTTGCCAGCTGCTCGAGCTAGAGCACACTCTCCATCTGGATGTGCCAGCCTGGCGATACCTACAGGGGACATGTAGACCGGTAGAGAAACGGAATGACCCAGGATTGACGTGGTCGTGTCCACACTGTAGACTTTCTTCAAGATACGAGGCCGAAGAGCCACTTTTTGGTAAGCACGACGATTGTTTCGCTTGCTTATCTCGTCATCGGCCCCGGAGGAATAGTATGCCCAGGCATTGGCTAGCAAATACTGTTTGGCCACTTCTTCAAAATCGTTCAGATTGATCAGCGTGCCGAGGGGTGGAGGGCCCTGGGCCTTTGAATCTGATGATGGTCTGGCTTCATCATTTGCAGTAGCCCTGACAACAGCCAATGCAGCCGGATCAATGTATCCTCGTAGGGCAGATTCCGGCAATGCCTCTTTCAGAAGGTCTGGTGAATGCACCGAGTCAAAGTCCTCAGTAGCGTCCTTGCCAGCACAGCGGAGGATGACTGCCGGGCCTCCGGGATGTGATTCAAGAAAGTCTACTGGAGGTATCAGCACATTGTCTCAGACCGACGACAAATAGTTTCTCCGGCGTACCTGTGACATCGTAGACGGCCCCGTGAATGGCGACCCAGCACGATTGCCGCGTGTTGTGTTTCTGTAGCTCTGCTTGCGTAAGGTTCATGATAAGACCTATTTGCTGATACCCGATGACCACAAGGACGTATCTTTCATTTGCCGTGGGAGGCTGACGTACAAAAGGACAGCTTCCTTGTGTTTGGGCAACATGGGGCTAGGCTATCCCCTGGACGATCCAAGCGGGGTCCCGGACTCCTCCCGAATGCTGCGTGGGGGTTACACACCTCGCAGGAGAGCATGATGACGATCATCATCCCGATTCTTAGAGTGATTATGGCATGTTTGGGGCGGAAACTATAATGTAGACCCCAGTCTCACGGGCTTCTCCGCGTTGTGATCGTCTTCTGACCCACAAAACATTCCGATCTCGTTGGTGGGGAATCTGGGGCGTGAAAGAGGAGAACAAGTCCCTTCCCACTATATCAGATATCTCATCCGACCTATATCGCGGGACGTTGTCTACTGACAAGTCTGAGATTTCAACAAAGTGATCAATCATGGCCCAAAACATCAGCCTGGACTCGACTGCAGGCCCTAAACCTGCATCGAGACACGTTGAAGGGTCGCACATCCCTACCGACACAGCCAAGATTCACAATGGCGACGCTGCGCTCGCATTGTTTGACAACCTGGAGGATATGCACGAAGCATTTGAGGCAGGAGAAGAGAAACAACTTGTTCGAAAAATCGACCTGATGATCTTGCCGTTTCTGGCAGTTTGCTATGCCTTTTACTATGTAAGGCTCATATATTCATCCCGAGTAGCAGAGGAAAGCATGCTTATTTACACTGTCATTACATTAGATTGACAAAACAACCCTATCCTATGCTGCCATTTTTGGCATTCGAGATGACCTGCATCTTTCCGGTAAAGAGTATTCATGGCTCTCAAGTGTCTTCTACTTTGGCTTCTTGGTCTGGTCATTTCCCACCAACCTGTTGATGCAGCGATTCCCCGTTAGCAAGTATCTTGGCGTCAACATCTTTCTCTGGGGCTTTTTCTTGATGCTACAAGGTATCTGGTGTCGGCTCATTCCGACCTGTCAATTTCGTGCACTAACATGAATACAGCGGCTGCGAAGAATTTCACCCAACTCGCGGTGCTCAGAGTCATTTCAGGCGCCGCCGAAGCATGCAGGTGAGTTGCAATCAGATTGATTCTGCACTTGATATTGATGGTCATAAATCCTGACTTATCGCCTAGTGACCCTGCCTTTATGCTCATCACCAGTATGTGGTACACTCGTCGTCAACAGCCCATTCGAATCGGGTTATGGTATACGGCGAACGGCTTCGGCATTGCCATTGGTGGGCTCTTTGGATACGGCATCGGCCAGATCAAGGGAACTCTTCCGTCATGGAAGTACGAGTTTCTCATCATCGGGGCCCTCTGCTGTATCTGGGGTATCGTCATGATCATTTTCCTTCCCGATTCTCCCGTCACGGCCCCGCAACTGTCCGCCCGCGAGAAGCGCCTGGCCGTCGAGCGTCTGCGCGACAACCAAACGGGTGTAGAGAATCGGACGATGAAACCGAAACAGATCCTCGAAGCTTTTCTGGATTGGAAAGTATGGATTTTCTTCTTGCTTGGATTCTCCGGGAATATTCCCAACGGTGGTATTTCGAATTTTGGCACCTTGATTATTAAGGGGTTTGGCTTCTCTACTTGTATGCACCTTGATGGGCTCCCAACTCTGAGATTCCATGACTGACAGCTAATGGCTGAACACAGTGGTCACAACCCTCATGCAGATTCCGTATGGAGCGTTCATTGCTATTATGATTCTCACAGCGGTGTTTGTCAACGATCGCCTTCCACCGGGCAATCGCTGTATCGTTGCTGTGCTGTTCCTCCTTCCTAACCTGGCTGGCTCCTTTGGTCTGCACTACGTCTCCGAGTCCCACCGGGTGGGACGGTTGATCTGCTACTACATGACCGGCTCTTACAATGCATCGTTTGTGATCATCCTCTCCATCCTCACGGGTAATATTGCCGGCCATACCAAAAAGGTGGTCACCAACGCGATGATCTTCCTGGGAGTCTGCGTGGGCAACATTGCAGGTCCATTCTTCTATAAATCGGAGCAGGCTCCCGGGTATTCATTGGGCATCTGGTCCATGATTGTGGCAAACTTGGTCGAAATTGCATTGATCATTGTGCTCGGATTTGCACTTGCTTGGGAAAACCGACGACGCGACCGGATCCAGGGGGTGATCGCTGGAGCTGAGACAGAGTACGAGCGACAGTTGGAGCTTGATCGGACTGCTTTTAGCGACTTGACGGACAAGGAGAACCTGAACTTCCGCTATCTATACTAGTAATGGGGAAAAAGGGTCTGCTTGGCATGCTGGATGCTTCGATGCTATACCTAGGAACTATGGGGTAGGACAATAGGAAGGATAAGGATTCCCAAAGGCTGAATAATTCCCATTGTTATTTGAATCCGAATCCATTATATATATCCCTAAGCTCCAGTAACCATCGATGCTTACTGTTTTCTCATTCTCAAATCGGGGCAATAGTGCTCGGTGGACTCGCCGCTTTGGTGGGGTGGCTTTTACCGTGGTACAGTCACAACCTCCCTCGGCCTCGTCGCGTCTCCAACGCGTCGCTTGTTGGCCGGCCATCTTCCTTCTTCCTCTCCTTTTTTTCCCTCTTCAGCCCTTCTGTCGCTCCACAACCCAACACCATTTACCCCAAGTTCTTCCACCAATGAGGGCGATCTCGAGGTAGCGTGGGGGACAATCGTGGTGCGACGTCTCCACCCCCAGACTTCTCCCGGACTTCTTCCGAATTTCTGTTCCCCCCTCCCGGCTCTCTATTGACCCCCGCGTGGGGTGTCACCAAGAGGAGTGGAGGATGGGGGTGCATTAGGATCATCCGATGGGGAAGAGGATGAGGGGAGGGGTCAAATGGAGGCGGGGGTCCTACTCGACGCGATCGGCGACTTCATATATGACGCCGGGTCTCTGCTCCGCCACTTGGAATTGCCTCCGTGGTATTTGCGCATTTGCATCTTCCCTATTCCCGCTCTGCCCTCCACACAATGGCCAAGATCAAGTCTATCGAGTACTTCCGGGTCAAGCCCCGCTGGCTCTTTGTCAAAGTCACCGATGAGGATGGCAACTTCGGCTGGGGTGAGGGGACACTCGAGGGCCACTCGCTGGCTGTCGAAGGAGCACTGGACGAGATCATCACACGCATTGTCGGGTTTGAAGCCGAGTGCGTATCACAAACAGAGAGCCCATCCCCCCGTTTCCCCTCACTGACCCTGTCCACAGCGACATTGAGCACATTTGGCAATTTATCTGGCGATTGGGATTCTACCGAGGAGGCCCGGTCTTCATGTCCGCCATGTCAGGCATTGACATTGCCCTGTGGGATTTGAAGGGCCGCAAGTTGGGAGTTCCGGTCTTCCAGCTGCTGGGCGGAAAGGTGCGCGACAAGGTGCAGGTCTACTGCTGGATCGGTGGCGACCGCCCGAGCGATGTCGAGGCTATGGCGTATGTATAATTCGATTGCCAAACCCCCGAAGCGAGAAGCGTTCCAAAACCTAACGCATATGCGATACAGCAAGGCCCGAATTGCACAAGGACTCAAGTGCGTCAAGATGAATGCCACCGAGGACCTCAACTGGCTCGACTCCCCCGCTGCCCTCCAATCCTGCGTCGATCGTCTCAAACAAGTCAAGGCATTGGGGTTGGACGCCGGCCTCGACTTCCACGGTCGCCTACATCGCCCGATGGCCAAGCAGCTGGCCAAGGCATTGGAGCCTCACCAACCTCTCTTTATTGAAGAGCCTCTGCTGTGTGAGCACCCCGAAGCCATCAAACAGCTCTCGAATAGCACCACCATTCCCATCGCGTTCGGCGAGCGACTTTACACCCGTTGGGACGTCAAGCGCTTTTTAGAGGATAGTTCCGTGGATGTACTCCAGCCTGATATTGCCCACGCCGGTGGCATCTCCGAGACCAAGCGCATTGCGACAATGGCCGAGACCTACGACGTGGCCATCGCGCCGCACTGCCCACTGGGCCCCATTGCCTTGGCGGCATCTATGCAAATCGCCCTGTCAACCCCCAACTTTGTGATCCAGGAGATGTCCCTGGGTATGCACTATAATCTTGAGGCCGGAGATATCGACTTGAACAGCTATCTGGTGGATAAATCCGTATTTCATATCAAGGACGGATACGTAGCAGCCCTCACCAAGCCCGGTCTGGGTATTGAGATTGATGAGGAGTTGGTGCGCAAGATCAGCCAGGAGACAGAACCTTGGCAGCCCAAGGAGTTCTTTGGACCTGATGGGTCTATTCGGGAGTGGTAGATTAATGATTTCTAGACTGCATTGAATACATAATATTCTGATATCTTCCTTGCCCCCCCCCCCCCCCCAAGACTTGGGTTGAAGAGGAGTTTCCACCCGTCTACCCACTTCACCCTTGAGAGATCATCACGAAATCACTCATAACCCGTATGAGAACTCCTCGGTGTCAGTTAACCCAACAACATAATCCTCGATCGTCGCATCATCCTTCTAGACGATCTCCCCACTCGGCGCGGGGAAAGCGTGGGGGCACAAGCCATGAGGGAGAGACCGGGCACCGCTCCGATATAAGGCGCTTTCTTCCCCGCAGGAACTGAGAAGATCAATTCTGTCCAGCAAAAAAGGTACATCACACTCGACTCTCATCTATCATGGATCTGTTCTCGCTGAAAGGCCGAACTGCCCTGGTGACCGGAGGCACCCGTGGCATTGGGCAAGCCATGGCAATTGCACTGGCCGAAGCAGGAGCCGACATTGTATTAGTGCAGGTACGAGCTCCAGGGTATCAAAAAGATGTCAAGAACATGCAAAATGGCTGACATTCTCGCAGCGGGACACCAGCAACCTTGGTACAAAAGAGCAGATTGAGCAACTGGGTCGAAAAGTCAGCATTTACACGGCCGACCTGGCTTCGCAGCAGTCTGTTTCCCAGCTGGTGGCGACAGTCATCCAGGGTGGACATGATATTGATATCCTGTTGAACTGCGCTGGGATTCAACGACGCCATCCAAGTCATCTTTTCCCCGACAACGACTGGGATGAGGTCAGTCCGTCGTTCTCATGACTCGATTCGTCCAGAGTTCGGCAATCACTAATTGAAACTGCCGGGTTAGGTCCTTCAAGTCAATCTCACGACTGTTTTCACACTCTGCCGCGACGTCGGTGCATACATGCTCACTCGCACCCCCAACTCCTCAGGTCAACGCGGGAGCATCATCAACATCGCATCCCTCGTCTCTTTCCAAGGCGGTCTCACTGTCCCCGCCTACGCCGCAGCTAAAGGAGGAGTCGCACAGCTCACCAAGGCCCTCTCAAACGAGTGGGCATCCAAGGGGATCAATGTCAACGCCATTGCACCTGGATACGTTGCGACAGACATGAACACGGCGCTGATTCAGGATAAGGAGCGGGCGGCGAGTATTCTTGCGCGGATTCCTGCTGGGCGTTGGGGGAATCCGGATGATTTCAAGGGTTCGGTGGTGTATTTGGCCAGCCGGGCCAGTGCGTATGTTAGTGGTGAAGTGCACACGGTGGATGGAGGGTGGATGGGGCGGTAGAACTGGAGTAGATAATTGTTGGATGAACGGGAATGAAGGTACCAGATGAATCCTTTGCTCTTCGAGTACGTGTTGGTATAAAGTCACGGGATCTGTAGCAAAATGACAGCTCAACATCTCACCTTCGTTTTCTTCCTCCCACCTCAGCACTATCCGTGCAGCAAATTGAAAACATCGAACTTGATTCCAGATTTGACGGATCTTCCAAGGTTCCGACTTGAAGAGTAATAATCTTCTCATGATCTCACTCTTAAGAAGCACGATTGGCAGCTGAAAAGGTCGACCCACTTTGCGCTGCAGAATCCACTGGACTATCGATCGGGCTGAGCTGAAGCCCTGCCAGGCGGGATAATTATTGGCAGCGAAAACAGCAAACATGCACCAGTCATCGATCACGATCATGTCTCCGAGGACGTGAACGTGCCGCTGCTCACAGTACGGAGTGACGACAATTTAACTGCAATGTCGAATTTGAATCCATGCCACGTTCTGCCATTCTCTTTTTCTCTTTTTCTCCGGAAGTGACAGCAATAGAAGCCAGGTATTAGTCCTGTTGCACCGTCTTCTCGAGCTTGTGTGACGTGAAGGCCGATCACAACCAAGTCCAGCTCCTCAACCTCCTCAACCCTGCCAGGTTGGCGTCCTCGAAGCCAATCATATCCAGGTGAAGAGCGGCCAGCCCCAGCGTTCGGCCGGACGATCTGGGTCTTGCAGCTCTGCTTCCATGGCTTATGGCTAGCTATCTCCCGCAGCCTAGCCGATGTTTATTTCGTAGGGGCATTAAAGGGTCGGTCCCCGTGGGACCCTTTGCCCATCGGGATTGACCGACTACTGGCAATGGCTTGATCTTTCGCGGTTAGGCACGCTGGGTGAGAGTGTAGCCTACCAATCGCCCGGCCCTGCTTCTTCCATGCAAGCAAAGCACCCAGAGTGCCATTTGCATCCATCCTGCAACCCGCGCCATCCGAGTTGCTCCACGCAGATGTCGCGCTAGAGTTTGCACGACTCTGCAAGGGTTGCCGATCTCGACGATCTCCGCAACTAACCCAGTTAGTAACAGATGAAAGGTCAGGAATCTTGCTTTTTTCCCCACAACGCCCCAGTCACGATCCTGACCAGAGCGCCAAGTGGGCTTGGGTGCTCACGATTTCAGTCGATATGAGACATTATGAGCGAAAAAGCGCCTCAATCAATGGACAGAGAAGCAGAACCTGGAAGCTTATAAAAGGCCAAGTGTAGCTTCTCCGGAGCCTGTGGTTGCTCTGTGGTTTCCTCTCTCGTCCTCTCCAGGTTACTGTCTCCTTTCGCACTGCGTCACAATGGCTCCGAAAATCGCGACCTTCCTGTCCATCGCCCTGTCTGTGTGGACCCTGGTGGCTGCCGAGTCCATTCCCAAGACAGAGTACGATGTTATCGTCGTTGGCGGTGGTCCTTCTGGTCTCAGTGCCCTAAGTGGCGTCTCGCGCGTGCGGAGAACCGCATTGCTCTTCGACAGCCAGCATTACCGTAATGGCCCTACGCGTAACATGCACGATGTCATTGGCAACGATGGTAATACTTTAATATCTTTGATTGTTTTCATATAGCGTGTACTCCCCATGTTGACTTGGAAATAGGCACCCCGCCCGCCGAGTTCCGCGCCCTGGCTCGCGAACAGATCCTCAAGTATCCCACGGCCCATATCAAGAACGCAACTGTCAAATCGATCACTCCTATCGGTACTAATGAAGTCTCTCGGTTTTCAGTTGTTGATACGTCGGGTAACAATTACACTGCTCGCAAGATCGTTCTTGGTACTGGTATGCGGGATGTGCTTCCCGATACCCCCGGTTTGAAAGAAGCTTGGGGCAAGGGTATCTTCTGGTGCCCCTGGTGCGATGGCTACGAGCACCGAGACCAGCCCTTTGGTATCCTCGGCAACCTGTCTGATGTACTAGGCAGTGTATTGGAAGTGAACACCCAGTTCTCGGACATTATCGCCTTTGTCAACGGCACCCAGACCCTGGCAGGGGAGGCCCAGGCCACTGCGGCCCACGCAGACTGGGAGAAGCAGCTCAAGGCCTGGAACATCAAGATCGAGAACCGCACCATAGCCTCTATTGAGCGCCTTCAGGATGGCGAGACACACCAGGACAAGGCCACCGATATGCAGTTTGACAAGTTCCTGGTGCACTTTACCACTGGCGACCCCATCGAGCGCAACGCTTTCATCACCAACTTTGCGGCTGTGCAGCAGTCTTCCTTGCCGTATCAGATGCATCTGAATGTCACGAAAGAAAAGATTAACGTCGACGCTAGTGGCATGCGTACGAACGTCACCGGTGTCTATGCCGTTGGTGATGCCAACAGCGACGGTAGCACGAACGTTCCCCACGCCATGTACTCTGGCAAAAAGGCCGCCGTCTATCTTCATGGTATGCTGTCATCTCGCGTAGGCTTGCTTTGAATGACTTGCTAATAGAAATTGCCAGTGCAATTGTCCCGCGAGGACTCCGCATCCAAGATCTCCAAGCGTACTGGCCTGAGCCAGCGCGAGTTGGAGAAAGAGGCTACTCGCGCGATTGGTCGCAATCTTGAGCCGCAGTGGGAGAGAATTCAAAAGCGAAACTGAGTGTAGTACTCTTTGTGCCTTCCGTTATTTCTATAAAACTGGTGCAGTACCTATCTCAAGCCCTGGGGTCGTATGCCTACGGGCCCTTGGGATGCTAATGCTATGCATACATGGATGAAGAGCATTCTTATGATTATTGTTGATCCTTAATAATGATTCAAAAAGGAATCAAATAAGACTATTGCCTTTCGTATAACTTTGAAGCACCGGCCAGCTGCCATTCGTAACTCTCTTTAAAGTATCCTCTTACGCCACTATCTTGCTTGCTCGCATCTGGTGCTACTCTTCTAACTTGGTACACTTAACTAAAACCTTTTGTAGTTGTATCCTTGTTTAAGTAGTCCTGTAGAAATAAATCATCTAAGATCACCTCAAATGTAACAAGACTCCCACAGCGATCTCGAAGGAATTCAAAAATTTGGTTGCTCTCCTCAAGGACCATATCAGTTCTAGAGCAGGAGTAGACCAGCAGAGCCCCGCACTAGGCCTTTACGTAGACTTGTAGGGGCGGCTGCGAACGTTACATTTACCCCATTCTCAAACTCCGATTGCTTCGCCTACTTCGTTCTCATGCGGGATTGAACCAGTTCGTAACTCGTATTTTCACCAGTACCGGGGGCTTCGATACGATCCTGTGGGAAATTATTACCGAAAGTAACTAATATATCTATATGATGTAACAATAAAAGAAGACCATGTATCCCAAGAAGAGGGTTTATAACTGGAATCGCTTAGACTGGTAATTGGAATATTGCAATGGATTTATAAGACGTAATTAGGAAGACGACATTCTAACTATATCATCGACTTTCGTGTACGATTCGAGTTTTCTTTACATGTCCTGGAATCGCTTCATGGGGCCATAGCTCGAGGTAAATGCCCGCAGAGACTTTCCACAGAAATACAAAGGGATGGCGAACAGGAGGCTGACTACCTGGATTGCAGTCATTTCACCAAACACGGGGGCCGTGCCTTGTCGCTCAATCCAGTTCGCTGCGTATAGGGATAGAAGCATGCCGATGGTATTCCGGATGACGAAAATGCTCACAAGCGCCTCACCCGTAACCTACTTCATAGTCAGCTATGTGATAGAAGAATAAATAAGAATTTACATGACGAACCGGCTTATACATCTCCAATGAGTATGTCACTGCGACGTTGGATATAGCGGCCACACCGAAGGCTTGCATAGCATAGCCAAAGGCAGGACCAATCCAATGTGTTTTGTGTGCCACACAAAGTCCAAATATCAAGATCCCCGCGGGACCGATGGTGCCTGGAATAATTATAGCAGGGAGTCGGTATTCAGGTAGCCGAGGACCGCCGTGTCGGGCCGTACTTCGACTTGATATAATGTCAATCAATCGGCCACCAAGATAGAAGGCGAATAAACACCTGATGAAACCGGACAAAGAGAGTAATCCGATATCCCCGGAGCTCCAATTGTAAGGGGGCTTAGTGAATGTGCGGGTGGAAGTCAATTGGACGACAATATTCCTGATAACGGGGTCAGTGAGTTGCAGTGAACCATATGAGAGAAGCACTCACCACCCAACCGAAATTCCAATGGTCAGTGAGCACCAAATCAGAGGAGGATAGGTCGCGTTGCCCAGGATGTCCAAAAGTGCCCGGAGGAAGGAGGCATCCCGGTTGAAGCCAAGGGTCAAAGACATCCACTCCCAGTGAGATCGCTTGCGCGAGGGCTCCGTGTTGTGTCTTTTGATGTACGAGGTTTCTCGAATGGTGAAAATGGCTACCACAAAGACAACGCCAACAGCAACTGCCAGAAAATAGCACATCCAGCGCCAATTCTCTTCCTGGATTAGATACGCATTGATCAAAGGCCCCACGAATAGTCCACCAGTCAAATCCAAATGGAAAATCATCATGTAATGACCGCGATCCTTCGCAGGGACCATATCCGCGACCACGGCGGGTACTGTGGCATCGGCTGCGGCGGCTGGAAAGCCAGAGCAGATACGAGCCGCAAGCAGCTCACCATAACTGGTAGCTTGGCTTGACCAGACATTCATCATGGAAAGTCCTAGCATTGCCAGGAGATAAACGGGGCGCTTTCCAATCACCCGCATGAGCGGAACCCAAAAGATGTTTCCCACGCCGAACATGAAGACATTGAAACAGACCAGTTGACCAGCCTGGGTTTGGGTGACATGAAACTCTTTGATGACAGCCTGGGTCGCAACTGCAAAGTTGCTGGAATTGACGTTGGCCAAGAAAGTGAAAGAGCAGATGGTGAGGTAGGTAGATAGCTTAGCGGAGAGGGACCAGTTCTATAGTGAGTCTGTATTAGGGTTCAGCTTGTATGAGGTGTTTGAGTGAGCAGTGACTGACTTGAGGATTGTTCACATCTTGCTCCTCGACAGACAGTTTCAAGTCTGGTATCGAGGCAACGCCTCGTTCATCGACTTCAGCCATGGTTTCAAGATGACTAGAAGCGGTGTTCGAATCTTCCTTGGTCTCGATCATAGTGCCGGACGGCCTAAGGTCTTACCCTACAACGTCAATGCACCCGGAGAGACCAGAAGTGGCGGGCGATCATCGATCAGAGGGGCGAGAATGGGGTTTGAAATAGTCACCTCGAACAATCGGCCCTGGTGAATCGTTCCCCACAGTCAAGCATGGCGGAGACACGACTAGTGGGCCATGAATTGGGTCTCATTGGACCCCGGCTGAATGGGAGAATCCCTTCTAGTGGATTGTGGACTGGTGGAGGAGTGAAGTTGTTCGGCATTTCCGACTGTTGGGGCTCAGCCTGTCCTTGGTATGCATTCTAGCTCGGTAAGGACCGTCGGCTAACGCGTCGTGGTCGCTGGGGCCAGGAAGCGCTCATTTGACCTCATTGCAACATATCCTTGAGTCGCAATTATGTTAACATGGATTCCTAAGTATTGCCGACAGGGTTCTCGTGAGTTGCTAGCTTTGGATCCGCATAGCCTGAAGCAACGGGAGCAGTTGGTCCCGTCAGCTTTCGGGATTCCCGAGTCGACGATCGAGGATCTGCGGGGGGCTTTCCAGGCGAACGTGGTTCACCAAAAGACACATGATTCATGCACTCTGGTAGGGTGTGCTCTCCGGTAAATCCACACTGTCGATGGCATGGTTTTGTGGGGGAGTGTGGGAAGAGTTGGGAGTGATGGATGGTGGATGGAGGTTCGATCTGGACTGAAGTATATATCTCGGCGTGTACTCACACTCACCTCTGCACAGGAGTTTCTGCACTCGAGCCACTTCCAAGGTTAGAATGTATTATATCTCTCCGGTCAGTCATTTTATTTAGGAGACTCTAATACAGTCAATTCCATATCTCTGAACTGGAAATATCGTACTCTTCCCAGTTCCTCAGGTCTCGGCGGATTGGCCGAGTCCTCGTGACGGGGCACCCTCGGTCGGGCTCTTCTCCGCAGTTTCCTCCTTCTCCAACCTCCGAAGCTGCCCTCTCACCTTCTCACTCTCTCACTCTCTTCCACTCCTCCTCCTCCCCCTCCTCTCCCTCCAGCCCATCTTCAACTCACCGAAATGGGCCTCATCAGTCGCGTCCTCAAAGTCACTGCCGCCGGCACCGTCGCCTCGGTCGGTGTCTTCTTCGGAGCCACACGCAATGACGTCTTTGAACCCATGGACACCACCGACCCGATCTTCTCCTCGCCATTCTTCCAAAAGTTCAATCCCGAGCGTAACCCGACCCTGCATGACGTTTGTGTTCGTCGCATCCCACTGGATAAGATCAATCCCTCGTTGCTGGAGAAGAAGGGCAAGCTGGTGGAGGCCTTTTGTGCGGGTGTCTGGGGTGGCATGGGTAAGCTTCTGCGCTTTTCATTGTGCCCTACAACTTGCGATTATGTCTTCTAACACTCACTTTGCACCTACAGGATACATTCCTCAGCGTGCGTACCTTGCCAATAAATACCAAAGCCCCGAGACCGCCCACCATCTCTGGGACCGCAAGGACCTCCTCTCCAACAGCTACGAGGTCGGCACCTTGATCACCGACCACTTCGAGGTCGTCGAGAAGACCGACGAGAAGATTGTGGTCCGCTGTGGCGCATCTCCCCGCGAACAAGGCGTCCGCCCCTCCGATGGCCTGTTTGAGATCGGCGCAGTGGTGAAGCAGGATAAAGGAGAGGCTGAGTTCACCTTGAAGAGCTGCTTCTACCAGGGCCTGGGCAAGGCCGAGGCCGCTCCCATGGGTCCGGTTATGGTATGGCTGCACCAACAATATACCAAGTTGTGGATGGAGACTGCTATTCTGAAGAACTGTATTCGGTAAGGGGACGGGGATTGACTGCGCGCTATGTTTGCGAATGATCCATGTACATATGCTTCTCTTAATGGTCTACGAACAAACGAGAGCATGCCCCTGGAGAGGGAGCAAGGCAAAGACATGTCCAGTCTTGTCCATATAAGGGGCATTGTGTGAATTCGAACTAGAACGGTCATTGCCAATCATCTCACGCCTTAACTTCCACTTGAGGTTTCTCTTCCAACTTGGCGGCATCACTATCTGCGACGGCCTCTGGATTAAGGTCACTCGTGAGAGTCACGGCAAGGACTGTCGGAATGGCAATGATGAGTGAGCCCATGCAAAGACCCCAATCCATGGCAAACTGCGTCATGGCGGGCTTCTTCAAGGCATTGATGCGCCAGGCCATGGCACCACCGGTCGCCTGGAACGTTTTATACGCACCAACCGTGATGGCAGCCTCGGCCGGGGAGTTGGAGCGAGCACCCATGAGCCAGTAGCAGAAGGATTGCCAGAAGGCATCATACGCGCCGTAGAAAATATAGAGGAAGATCGGACCGACAGAGACACTGCCCTGAGTATAATCAATGTCCTGCTTCAGACCCACGGCCATCCGGCGATCAGACCACTTCTGGAAGGCATATCCACCACCCCAAATGGTCATGCCAGTAACAAACAGGAAGACCCAACCAATGCGAGCGCGCATCGGTCGGTTAAAGCCCGGCATGTCGAGGATGAGTCCCATAACCAAACCTCCCAGCATCTGCGCAATCCAGTAGAGAGCACCATTGAGCGAGCGAGTCCGGATATTAAAGGTCATGCCATTGACCACATTCTGCTGATACGAATAGAAGACATTGGCCGAGAAGAACAACGGCAACATGCACAGCACACGCCAATCGGTCATAGTGTGCAGTGCCTGGCGTGCAGTCTTCCGCCAGTTCTTCTCAGACTCTGGGGTAGCTTGCAACTGGGAGACGCGCACACTGGAGGGTGGACAGATGAATACGCCCAGCAGCCATCCAATTGCCATGATGATCAACAGAGCAATATACGTTCCGTCCGAAACGGTGCCACTCTTCGAGTGATAATTGAGGCCGAAGCTTGCAAGGGATCCTACACCACCACCAAGATTGAAGATGATCCAGAACGCGGCAATGGCGCGTCCCTTGTGCGATTCCTTGACGTACGTAGTCATGATAGCTCCCTGTGCAACCCATAGGAATGAAGCACCTACACCGAGAATTGCGCCAGATGCAATCACAAAAGCCCCATTCTTGGTGGCTATTCGGCAAAGTATTAGTTAGCGTGTTGTTTAGAAGTCTTATGTAGTGAGCAACCATCTTACCGTTGAAACACAACAAGCTGCCAGAGTATAATGGATAGGTCCATCCACCCAGAAGCAGGCATACTCGGGGACCAACACGGTCGAAGATTGGCCCTACCACGAACAGCGCAGTAGCTGCCGTCGCAGCGAGGAGCGCGACGGTGGCATTGGCTGCTACCGTCTGGTTGACTTGACCAGAGCCTCCTAGACCGGAAAGTGCATTGTACATCTACATCAGTCAAATCGTTAGCAAGAGCTAGATCATGCAGAGATCTCAGGGAACCTACTCCAGGGCAACAGAAACAGATAAAGCTGATGAGACTAATCTGGAACCAGCAGTGTGTATAGACTTGGTAGAAGAGTGAACGCTTGCCATCCTCATTGGCATGCACCACCGAGCCAGCGGCATCTCCAGATGTCGAGTTGTCCTCCATCGCGTCGACCAAGTACGAAAAGGAACCTCGCGAACACAGACCAATACCTCCAAGAACTGCTTGCTTCTGCAAGCCCCAGACGTGGAGAGACAAAAAAAAACCGAAAGTCCGGGGCCCCTCCTCAAACACGAGGGTTATTAGTGTTGTATTTGCAACGCTACCTTGGCCAGCTTGCCGATCCCTTCTCGATTGCGATGTTGCGTTGTGGTAAAATCCTGAGCGTAACGCGCCAATCAAAACATCTCCATCACGTATCAGTTACTCGCAAATGCCGCTGAACCTTCCATCGACTCGTTCGAGCCGAGCGGGGAGGACCGCAAAATCACTCCCCATCGGGCAAGTTTCTGGGGAAAGCTGCTCCACAAGGTCGCGTGTTTGGAGGACCAACAGCGGTTGACAGCCCCAAAGTGCTTGCTCAATACCACCACGCTGGGTTCTCGCTGCGACTCGGGCAGTCTGGCTGTGACGCCCCCACCCGCATGTCGCTGAGCGAGAGCCGATCAGGAAGGACCCTTGTTTGTCACGGACCACAATGTTCGACGGCTCTTCGCGGCAATGATCCGAGACTCCGCGGCTGCACAGCAAAGATGAAGAGGGAAGGTCGGCCAATGCCAAATGGTGTTCGGCAACACTTGCGCTTGGACCCTGGTCAGTTTTCGGGTTCTCATCAACAGTCGCTACACAAGAATTTGTGCCAAAGAAAGCGAACCTTGGCCGGATTTCTGCTGCAAGGTAGCGATTTCAGTCGGGAGTTGGTCGTTCATCAATACATCAACACTTTTCAACGAGTGTCGACACGATGGATTTGAGCAGCTTGGCCCAGTTGCAGACGGAGGGGGTCAACCCTCGAACAATACACATTGATCGCATGTCGACACTGGAGATGTGCACGGTCATCAACTCGGATGACCACAGAGTAGCGGAAAGTGTCAAGGTCTGCCTGCCGGAGATTGCTGGAGCGATTGACGCTCTGGCACCACGCGTACGTCGCGGTGGCCGAGTTGTGTATGTCGGAGCGGGAACTAGTGGAAGGTGAGTAAACCTTTCCCTTGTGCATAATACAGTGATAACCAACCACAAACACAATTAGACTTGGGATCTTGGATGCTTCAGAGATCCCACCAACTTTTGCTGCTCCACACTCCCAGTTCGTTGGCATCATTGCTGGCGGAGATGCGGCTATCCGGCAAGCGCAAGAGGGCGCCGAGGATAACGCACAAGCGGGCGAAGATGACCTGAAGCGCCTGAGCCTTGACCCAGAGCTTGATAGCGTCATTGGAATCGCGAGTTCAGGCCGGACGCCGTATGTTCTAGGATGTCTTACCTTTGCTAAGCGGTTAGGCTGCGTCACGATTGGCGTGGCATGTGCATCACCCTCAGCAATGGGCCGCTCGGGCGATGTGGACTTTCTCATTGCTCCGGTTCCAGGGCCAGAGGTTGTGACTGGCAGTACGAGACTAAAGTCGGGCACGGCGACGAAGTTAGTCTTAAACATGCTAAGCACAGGCACGATGATCCGAGTGGGCAAGACCTATGGCAACATGGTATGGTACTTACTATAGAATAGCCCGTTTCAAGATGAGACTGACCCGGGTGCAGATGGTCGATATGGTGGCATCTAATCTGAAACTGGAACAGCGATCGCGAAATATGCTGCGTCGTCTTAGTCCCAAGTGCAACTCTATGTCGGATTCGGAGCTAGATGCACTTCTTGTCCAGTCCAAACGTAGCGTCAAGCTTGCGATGCTTGTTGCCGAGACTGGAAAGACGGTGGAGGTCTGTCAACAGCACTTGGACGCGGCTGGGGGCGTGTTGGCTGGTGCATTGGATGAAGCGTGTCCGCCCACTCGGAATCTGCCTTTCAAGGAAGAAGATGCAAAGCGATTTGTGTTGTGCATTGATGGCGGGGGCAGTAAATGTGCTGCGGCCATTGCTGATGATTCTGGCAATACAAGTCATGGCTACGCTGGTCCCTGTAACCTGTATGTATTATCTCTCCACTTCTATAGAGACATGGGCATATACTGACTGTGCGGCCAGGACTGACGGGATAGGGAATATTCCCGGAATAGTGGCTACTTTGATTGGTGCCACCAAGAACTCGCTCAAGGAACATCTGCCGAGTGGCACGGAACCCAGTGATGCAGAGTGGAAGCAATATCTCAGATCTTATTTCCGCTCCGTTTGGGTCGGCCTTGCAGGCCTGGACCGTGCTGGACTACATGAAACCTTAGCCCCGGCGCTGGCGGAGATTTTCGGACTTGATAACACCACTCCCAACTTCCGGCTGACGAGTGACGTTGACCTACTTCCCGCGTCAGTTTCTGTAGACAAGAATCAACCTTCCGTACTTGTCGTTATAGCGGGTACTGGAAGCGTCGCCATGCGGTATGCTTGGACGGAAGACCGGGGATATACCCGCGTGGCCCGTTCAGGTGGCTGGGGCCACATGCTGGGTGATGAAGGTGGAGGGTATTCTATTGGGATCGAGGCCATCAAGCACACGCTCCTTGTTCTGGAAGAGCAGACTTTAGGTCTTCGACCTCAAGGGCTGGCCAAGCTCGAGAATGCTGTGATCAGCCAGCTAGGTTGTGCAGCCTCGAAGGATGGCAGCATTGATCTTCTGAGCGAACTGTTGTCTGGCCATCACCAAGAGACTGTCAAAACTCGTATCGCCCAGCTGGCTGAGACTGTCCTGGAGCTGGCATCTCACGACAAGACTGCCGAGGCAATTGTGAAGAACCAAACAGCTCACCTGGTCAGCAAGACGCTGGGAAGACTGACAGACCCCAAAAGCACTGGCTATGCAGCAGCGCCAGAAACCGAATTGGTGCTCGCTGGTGGATTGATGAGAAACCAAGGTTATCAGTACGCTCTGACAGAGCAGTTGGATCAGCAGGGACTACAGTTCCAAGGAATTCTCATAGTGGACGACGTTGCTGCGGCGGGAGCTAAGTTTTTGTTGGAGAGAAAAGGGTGAAGAGGTGGATGGGTTGGCACCGTGTGATCACCTGATAAACCCAGGTGCAGATAGTTCAATACTCGAAGATAATGCAACCAGTCAAGATGTACAATATGAATATAGATAATGATTGTGCGTTGGTAAGTACCGTCAGTTCTGGTCCACGATGGCATTCTAAATTTCTCCGACTTTCAGAATCCTCCACTTCACACAACATCTCTCTTTCCCGCCATAGGAACTGCCTCGATCACGGACTCCATGCCTGGACTATGATTCCAAATTCCGCTAATTTCCAAACCAACACTGTGCAGCAAGTCTCGCCATTGACTCTCTGATCGCTCGACTCCGGCACCGATGCTCATCATCTGAATGTCCAAAGATGCCTGCAGTAAAGGGGTATCCGTGTCCGGCAAGACAAAATCAACGATGAGAATGCGCGAATGGTCAGCTGCCATGGAAGACATGGTATTGCGCAAGATCTGGCGACAAATATGATCAGGCCAGTCATGGAAGATGGCACGGAAGTAATACGCTGTAGCTCTATGGACGGGCTGAGGATCCAGGAAGCTATACGCCATCACCTCAATACCTGCATCTCGACCCGATACTCCGTTCACCACTTTGGGAAGATCCTGCAGCACCAGCCTTCCCGGGAGATGGGGGTGTCGCTGGTGGAATCTGGTTAGGTCGTGGCCTTGATTGCCACCAATGTCTACCAGGAAGACCGTATCCTCTTTGGGAACCGCACCACCGAGCAACCTCTCCACGGGGTACACGTCAAACCACATGGGCGTACCCTGTCTGCGACTGGCCATGTATGAATTGAACAAAGTCTGCTGATCTTTGTGGCTAGCCAGCCACTCGAATTGGCTCTGGCCTACTGCCCAATGCATGGGCGAGCAGGCATACTCCTGTGGGTTGGTGTACTCATGAGCCCGCAGATACTCGGATAATTTACTCAAGGTGGGCACTGTGAGATCATATCTGGGTCGAGTCAGCACGCTCACTAGAGGAAAGTAGAATCAAACACGCGGGATTTGACCTACATGCAGGGTACACCATCTCGGCCAATTGGCTGCGTCAACGCCACAGTTTTGTCGTTGGCTCGATAAACCCCCGGAGCTGGGGTACTACACAGCCCAAGGGACGCCATCATACGCATCAAGCGGACTGCCAAAAAATATGAGCTCGGTCCAGCTGCGCCATCAAGCACGATCGTCACACCCAGCTGTTCTGGTAAAGGGGATATGGACCAGGTTCGTACCGATCAAGTCCCGTTCAGCACCAGTGTGCTCCGCTAACCGAGTCGCTGACACTCCCCTATCTAGATGATGTTTTTCTATCAACACAGGGAAGATTCCCATATCAATCACACAGCGCAAGGCGGCATTCTGTGGAGGCTTTTTGCAAGGTTAGGCCCCGAGTTCGTCATGACAGATACATGCGTACTTATTGACTTACTTGATAGATAAGACGCAGCACGGTCTCAGTCGGTGTTTCCACGGCCAACCTAAGTTGGTTGATCATCTGAAGGAGCTCGAAGTGGGTTTGTGGTGACGGGTTCGAGCCGTCTTGTACTGCAGGCTGCCCGAGGCGATTGACCAACGCATAAAGAGGCGTAATCACCGTCATCACTATGGCAGAAGAATGAGTCCCTGGGAAAATGTGTGGTATGTGATGAGTTGTTGATAATAGGTAGCACAGGCGAGGGGGAGTCCCTGCTGCAACTGGTCGCCGGTGACCGCTTTATACCGGTACTCGCCTCGTCAACTATACAGATTGACCGTTGCATTCGAATGCGGCCAATCGGAGGATTCGCTCTGTTACATATGTCAAAACACCCATATAGAATCACCGGTTCATACTTAGTTCTCAGCTCAGCATTGCCTCTAGAGACATAAGCTGACCTGATTAGAAATTAGAATGCCCGTGAGCAGAGCGAGCCTGACTCGCATATGAATCATGACCGGGGCCAATAACCCGATTCTGCATAGTGCATACAGCACAGTGTAGTATTATTCCACATTCCATCTTCTTTCAACAACAGCACATCCTGCATCGAGCAAGTGCATCTGAACCCTCGCAAGATCCATGTCCGTGGTAGCGGTTGGATCCGGGACCACTTGTTCGACGCATTAGCTCGCCCCTGAATCTTGCATATTGACACGCAAGCAGCTCAAGCGAAAGAAAAAAAAACCTCCGGGGGAAATGTCTGCTGCATATATTTGTGGCAAACAGCCAAGGGGAGGAGGCAATAACTTCTACAAGATACCAAGGACTCGATATAGTTCTACTAGACCAGCTTCATAGCCCACACACTCATACCCCGCCCGACTGTCCTCGTGCTATTTGTCCATTGCGAATCCCCTTTAGTGCCGGCAGATAACGATGTACTCGCTACCAACCCCGCGATCTGAGCCTGACACGCGATGGATGCCTGCTATTGCTACGGTCAGCTTGGGGGTAGCTCATCTGCATTCGCTGCCGGCCAAGATTGAAGCCGCTGCGCAGAATGGTCAGCAGGGTTTAGAACTCTTCCATGATGATCTCGCGCAGTTCTCCAAATCCATACGCCGTCATACCGATAACGGAACGGCGGCCTGGACCGATCGCGACTATGAGATCGCTGCGGCGCACGCCATCCGCGATCTATGCGCGAAGCGGGGCCTCAAAGTGTTGGCTCTACAGCCATTCCGGCACTACGAAGGCCTACTGGACCCGATTCAACATGCCCAGCGCATCGACGAATTGAAGCACTGGGTGGAGCTTTCCAAAATTCTTGGCGATGACCTCTTCATCCTCATTCCCTCTTCCTTCCTCGGCCCGTCTCAAATCACGGGTGACCGAGATCGACTAGTGGCCGATCTAGGACAAGCCGCGGATGTGGCATTCCCAATCCGTATTGCATATGAGGCATTGGCGTGGGGTACATACATTAATACCTGGGAGGACAGCTGGGACATCGTCCGGCGGGCAAACCGGCCGAATCTGGGCATTTGTTTGGACACATTCAATATCGCAGCAAGGCTGTGGGCTGATCCGACCAGCGCAACGGGGCGCCTGCCAGCCTACGCAGACGTCGATCTACAGGAATCGATGCAACGACTTGTGCAGGAAATCCACCCCAAGTGGGTCATGATGGTACAGCTAGCTGATGGAGAACGAACCGACCCCCGGGCAGAGTACCTTCAAACACCAAGTATGCCCAAGCTACTTTTATGGTCACGGAATGCTCGTCTGTTTCCGTGCGAGGAAGACCGGGGTGGATATCTGCCTATTTACACGGTCGCAGATGCATGTCTTAATGGGCTAGGCTACACTGGATGGGTCAGTATGGAAGTATTCTCCCGAACTACTGGAGAGTCTAAGCCATCGGTACCCAATGAGCATGCTGCAAGAGCAGCGCAATCATGGCAGCGGATGTTGCAGCAGCTGGATGCGAAAGGTGGAAAAGCTCGGTTAAGCTAGTAGACTTTGCATATTGTTCCATGTAAAGAAGTGTTTATCTTCTGTGTTTGCCTGTTTTCAGTTTTGGTAGCATTTACATATGATTCATAATGTACAGACGAATCCGAAGCTGAATCAGCCTGTGTATAGCAAAGTGTCTTAGAATACCATGGCATTCTGCATCCCAGGAACTCTGTGTTCGAGTCCAAAGGCATTCATCCTTCCCTGTCGAAGATGCCGCGAAGCAGTAGCCCTCCACCCCCTACGATAGCCGATTATGCCTCTACATGCCCCATTGGTTGCGTACCAGTCACGATTCATGTTTTAAACCCAAAGAATGTCGAGACACGTCCATCAGCTCATTCTAGAAAGTCATTTTCTCCATGCAAGCTCTAGATCATATTTCTATTCGGGTCAGACTACCGTATTTCCTCTTCCCCGAGATGCATCGGGATGATCTAGAGTTGTTCCGCGGTACAAGAATGCTCTCGAGGACCGTTCGAACCAGCTCATTGTTCGTCACCGACAAAGAAACAAGGTTGGAAAGATCGACCATTGGCATGCTGGGACCCGATCGGACGGTCGGCATTCCTCCCGGCAAACGGACGGCGCGATCCGTGAAGAAACCGCTCCACTGTGGGATTCTACAGATCCGTTTCCAGCGACCGTTAGCCTGAAAATGTTATATCTAGTCGTGTATTTGGTACATTCCATTTCTCTGGAACCGTCTCCGGGTCCCACTTGGAACTCTGTGGTCCCAAGTTCCAGGAAATGAGCTTCCAAAGTTATGGAATGTTAGATCTGGATATTACTTTTGTCATGGCCCCCTGTTTGTCGAAGTCTGGGTACGGTGGTCGATAGTGGCCATCTTGGGTAAGTGGCGTTTTGATCATATTTCAACGGCAGAACCCCCTACTTAGCCACATAACTGACTAGCGATCTGAAATATTAGGCTACTCACGTGCAGTACCACGCACAAGGAATTCTGAATCTACGCTGGCTACACCGAATGGGAGAAGAAGCCTCTAGTACTGTTGTCGAAGAGTTTACTCACCGAATTCGAGCTACTATAGCGACTAGGGTTATATTTGATGGAGGTTCCTCCCTCCCTTGGCCTTGGCCTCGGCCTCGATCGTTTGGCTGCAGGACCAGCGATTGTTCCTGCTTGCAGGATGTTGCAGGATGCAGAGGGTTTTCTGGCTTCTTCCTTCTGTTTCTCCTAGATTGCTTTGTTCGATGGCCTATATAGGCCATCTCCTGTCTTCTTCCTCTTCCTGTTCCTTAGAGGTTTCTCTAGATAGAGATTGATGATTGTTTCCCTGCTTCCTTCCTGGCTTCCTTTGCGTAGCGGCGATTTTCGCCGTCAATATTGTTATTCTTAATAGAGGCCACCGCGATAAGCTACGTAGGTAGAGAGAGATACAGAAGGCATACAGAAAGAGAGAGAGAGAGAGAGAGAGAGAGAGAAATTCAGGGGTATTCGAAAGCAGACTGAATTACCTATTTCGGGTATGTTAATGCCTAGTTTATAAGGTATGCAGGCCAGGCGGTCTCTTAGACGGTATAAAAACTTCACTTGCTCAACAGTGGCCACTATCGGCCCTCGTAGTCCGGGCCAAATTGTATCTCACGGGTTACCACTCATCTTGAGCTCCAAATTCAAGTCGCATCCCGAGTCTAAGCCCCAGAGATTAAATGCTTATGCAGTCAACGCGTCCGTCTGCTACATTAGAGCATTCATGTTGGGCAAATACAAAGCCCAAATTTCATGGTGCTTCTAGAGGGAGAAAGCGATTTGTAGATGGTCTCCTGCGTTCTGCAGTTTGTCTCCTCCAGTATGTGGTCTCCTCCAGTATGTCTTACAATTTTCCAAAGGTTTAATGAAACAATGTCGCCGTCGTTTGGATCAGACCAACGCATACATACCTGGCCAATCTTCTATTTGGTGCAAGTCACCAGTTGTTGCTTTCGGCACCCCCGCCAGCCACCTCTCTTTCTATGTCTCCTACTGCCGAGTCCTTCCATCCACTTTCTAGGTCAGCCGGGCAATTTTTGCAAGACAATCAATGTATAATGTCAGTTTTGGTTCGGGTAGACCGTACAGAAGCCACAAGCCGCTCTCTGAGTTAGCCCGAGCTGAATCGTCACAAAATTTCAATTCCAACTAAGGTGACCGTTCATGCACTGCTGTAGTGAGCAACAACATAGTAAGTATCATGGAATGCAACATCAAGTGAAGCATTAGCTAAAACAACTCCACTTAAACCACACCAGTATCTGCGTTAATTCACGCAGCTACTATGGTTACAGCTGGAGTTTATTTATTAATAGCGCAACTATTAGCGCTGGATGCGATAAAAATTCGTATTTGAGAATTCAAGTCACGGCATACTCTGCATAGCGCCGAACGAACGGTTGGTCACGGTAGCTAAAACCGACGATTTAAATGTCCGAGTTTTAGTCACCATCTGATCATCCGTGATATCACACCTGGACTTTGATCCTATTAGACAAGTAGTTTCATCCCTGCATATATAGCAATAATTTAGATTGATTCGACGCTATTTGGTTCCATGATAAATGGGCGTCATTATAGTTGTGGCTTGTTTGTAGTTCCCGTCGTGTACGAGTCAATCTTGATATCTCGTACAGATCACACTGGCGGTCTGGCTTGTCACTTGCCAGTATATGGTGACCCGTCAACTTATGGAAGTTTTCCAGAAGAACTATTCAGCTCACTGGATATGTCTCGCTGGCATCGCAAACGACTCCTAAAGCGGAAGCCCAGTCCTCCCGGCTACCCCGAAAGCAGTTGGCAGTCGATGCGAGACAAGAGCCCACCCGAATGACCATAAACTATACGTAAAGCCTTAAATAGTTCTACCGTTCCAGTGCAGTTCTGCCACTAAAACTCTGCCTTTGTCTTTGTCTCTCTACAAAGTCGCTGTCTATCATACATCATGGGTATTCAACGCGGAGACCGACGAGGGCGACCAACCTCATCAGCTGTTCCAGATGCTCTTATTGAAAGATTCGGACAACTTCACGTCCTAGATGACTTGATTCGTCTTCGTGCTGCAGACTACGTTCAACACCCTATACTCGCATATCCCAGCTGCGAAAAGGATGCTGCATTATACAATTACTATACTGGGCGAGACCTGGATGAGATGATTGATCAAACCGTCTCCGTGCTTACGGACTCTGGTTTTCCCCCAGTAAGGATATTCTTATATTGAGCACATATGGAGGAGGCAAAGAGAGCTAACATTTTGCAGCCAAAAAGGGACGGGAGTATCGTGGCTCTACTTACCCCATCCGATCTAAACATGGTGATTGTATTTTTTGCCCTGAGCCGCCTGGGGTATACAGTGATGATGTTATCGCCGCGACTATCTGGCGAAGCATGTGTGTCCCTACTTGACAAAGTGAACTGCGACACAATATTGTACGGCAATACTGGGAGCATTAGAGCGACAATGGGCGAGATTCTGCAACGAAAGCTAGTAAATTGCCGCCCAATACCAAGTGCTTCGAGCAATGGCCCGACAGAAACTGCGCTCCTAGTCCTGCACCGGAATCGGAATACCGAAGCGCAAAAGAACAAGATCGCCGTCATTCTTCATTCATCAGGATCCACTGGCACTCCAAAGCCGCTCTTTCTCACACATCGAGCCTTGATGACACATCCTCTTCGAGGTCCTGGATTGACATCGTTCAATCCTCTACCGTGGTATCATCTTCATGGTCTCTCTACTGCACTGCAGGCAATGTGGATGAGAAAAACTGCATATATGTGGAACGCAGTGCTTCCACTAACAGAAAAGTCTGTTGTTTCTGTTCTAGAAGCCACACGGCCCCAATCCGTGGCGGCAGTGCCTTATATGCTCCAGCTGTTGGTCGATAGCCCAAGAGGAGTTGCCGCGCTGGGAAAATGCAAGCTGGTGACATATGGAGGCGCTCCCTGTCCGGATGAACTTGGTGATCGTCTGGTCAGCGAAGGCGTTCCTTTTGGCGGATCTTTTGGCTTGTAAGTCCTACCAATCTCGAAGCAAGCACAGGTCTAATTAGAATTCAGAACGGAGGCAGGATTGGTGGCGGAGTCAATATCCAGACCGAAGGGCGACCCATACTGGAACTATCTACAGTTCTTTGACAATATCCGGCCATATGTCTGGATGAAACCAATTGGAAGTTCGCTCTACGAATGTGTCTATTTGAGAGGACATCCTGCGTTGACAACCACTAACTCGAACGAGCCGCCAGGCTCATTTCATTCCAAAGACGTCTTCACACCACATCCCACCATTCCAGACAGATGGAAGTATGTTTCTAGGCTTGATGACCGAATCACACTGGTAAATGGCGAGAAAGTTCTTCCACTTCCTATCGAAGGCTTTGTCAAGCAAGATCCTCTGATCCACGAGGCAGTGGTCGTTGGACTGGGAAAAGCTGCACCAGGAATGCTGATTTTCCAAGCTCAAGAAGTCGAGGATGCAGGAATCTCCGATGAGGAATACTTGGAGGCAATTTGGCCGACTATTCAAAATGCCAACTCTCGCACGGAGCGTTTCTCTCAGATCTCGCGCGATATGATCGCCATCCTCCCGTCCACAGCCAAGTTCCCTCGGACAGACAAAGGGTCCATGATTCGAGCTCAGGTTTATCAACACTATGCAGCTTTAATCGATGACTTATACACAAAGTCGGAAGAGACGAATGGAAATGTACAACTTGATTTTGCCGAGACACAATGTCTTCTCATGAAACTCTGCCGGGATGAATTGTCCATCTCGATCCCAACTGTCAACACTGATTTCTTTGCCGGGGGTATGGACAGCCTCAAAGCCATTCAATTACGACGAGTGATCCTGCAGCACCTGAGAATCGACAAACATGCCTTGAGCCGGAATGTCGTCTACGAAACCGGCAACGTTGCAACCCTAGCAGGGCATATCTGTTCCTTACAGAGTGGACAAGGTGATGACACCACAAGGGAAAGTGATCACACTGTTATGGCAGGCTTCATTCAGAAATACTCTTCGTTCAAGAAGCATATCCGACGACCAGCAGTTTCCCCAAATGCAAACAGCGTCGTACGTACCCCATTAAATCCGGCATATGATGTTTAATCGCACAGTACTGACCATATACCAGATTCTCACTGGCGCCACAGGATCCATTGGTGCTCATGTCCTCTACGAGTTACTCCAAGATGACTCTATCTCAAGAGTATACTGTCTCACCCGCCGAAAATCACCATCAGATTCAGTCTTGCGCAGCCTGATTGATCGCAACCTATTCATCACACCGGCGCAAGTATCCAAAATTATCGCCCTATACAGTACGATCGACCAATCCAACCTCGGCCTCGATGAAAACACCATTCAAGAAATGCAAACTACCGTAACCCAAATCATCCATGCCGCCTGGCCGGTAAACTTCAACCTCTCCCTACCCCAATTCACTCCCCACATCCAAGGAGTCCACAACCTCCTCCAATTCTCCCTTTCCGTGCACCGCCCCGAACCAGCCGTCATGCTATTCTGCTCCTCCATCTCCACCGCGCTAGGCTCGACCTCCACATCAATCTCCGAAGAACCAATGACGCTTTCAGACGCATACATGGGCTACGGACGGTCCAAGCTTGTCGGGGAGCACATAGTTAGCGTTGCACGTCGTGCCGGCGCGCGATGCTATTCCCTGCGCATCGGACAAGTCTCGGGACACTCCAAAAAGGGCATGTGGAACGATAGCGAGGCTCTCCCGTTAATGATCCGGTCTTCATTGACACTTAAAGTGCTTCCTGAATTAGATCAGACGTGCTCCTGGATACCGGTGGATGGCCTTGCATCAACCATCGTCGAGATTGGGCGTGCGTACTTGTCGAGTGCTACCATCCCCGTCTGCGTTGTGGATCAGGGGAATACGCAGGGAGAGGGTGACACAGATAAGGAAAGTGACAGTGACATCAGCGCAGATACGAGGATGACAGACGATTCAATCTACAACGTGTGCAACCATCGGGAATTTTCATGGTCGGCACTATTGGAGTCACTGAGCACAAGCGGATTCGAATTCGAGATTGTGCCCTTTGAGAAATGGATTGCGATGCTGCGAGAGAGTGAGGCACGGGGTGAAGAACATGTCAATCCAGCTGTAAAGTTGATTGGACATTATGAGGCGATGCATGGTAAGGGGTCGTCGTCGCTGAGTTTGAAAAAATTCTATACCGATCGAGCTGAGAGGGATAGTGAGACTTTGCGCGAGGGTCGGTTGAGGATTATCGAGGATGGGATCTTGAATTGCTATGCTCGAGACTGGTTGTGTCGATGGATGACTTCTTGAATGTGTGAGATGGACTATCTATCGTTTCGGTTTAGACTTTTGATACTTTTAGAGAATCCGAGGCTACCTATGGCCCTTAAAAATTCCATAATAAGAGGCGATGACCGCGTTCGTAAGAGATTATCGGGATAGGAAGATTGTTGGAGTTCAATTCGTGAATTCATAGAAGTTGCTAACTACCTTGTGTTATTCTAATAATAATCCAAAAGCTGCACAGCATCTATGGACGTAAAAAGGCCTATTGTACATGGCAACGAAAACAAAAAGGTAATATCAATATCCTCCAATTTGACCCCCAGAGGAGAAAATAACACGGACCAGACTACCAAAAGACAACGAAAGATTTTAAGCCATCAGGGCGAGCATAAATGCTGCGATGATTGCCGAGAATTTGACAGAGGCCCTCTCGGCAGCCCCTGTGAAAACGGGGCTGATAGCGCTACTGGTGCTTCCCTGGAAAGAGCTACCCGAGGCTGCAGAGGCGCCGGTAGTCACAACAATGGCAGCCGACTTGGTTTTCGAGGCATTGGATCTGAGGAGAGAGCTGGCTGGTGCGCTACTGGCCCCAGGGGCCAGGATGATGGTCGGCAGAACCCCCGACGCGGATGAGTTCTCGGGGACACCGCTTGATTCAGCATCAGCACCGATCGAATGGCTGAGGGTCTGGCTGCTGGCTGCCTGCGAGTTGGAAGCGGCAACGGGAGTAGCAACGGGAGTTGAAATGACATTGGTCTCGGCTACAGGCTGGGTTTGAACTTCTTTGACAGAGTTTGTAGCAGACGAAGGCTCGGATCTGGTAGACACTGCTGTTGCTGGAATGTTTCCAACGTTGGAGGTCTGAACGGACAAACCAGCAAGGGCCTTACTCTCAGCAGCTGCCGCAAAAGACGCAGAAGTCTCGGCGATGGGACAAATGGTAGTCGTGGAAGTAACAAACTCGGTCACATATCGCGTGGTGGATGTCTTCATGGTCTGGCTAGTGGCAGAGGAGACATCCCCACCCAGCTCGCCAACGGTGCCGGCGGTGACAGCAGCGGCGCTGGCTTCAGCTGAGGTAGAAGCAGCGGAGACCCGCGCAGTGTTGTCAGCTTGAGTAGCAGAAGCCTCGGTCCCAGCCTGTGTAGCAGGAGCTTGAGTAGAGCTGGTAGATTGCAAGGTAGAGACAACAGTCTTGGCGGCGACACCAGTCTGGTAAATCTTGACAGAGTTAATCTCCCAGTAGGTCTGCTCGAATGCAGTGGGGTTCTTGGCGACGTAGTTGATGCAGCTCTGCGAGGAGTCTGAGCCGGACATAGGGCACCCGGACTTGCCGTAAACACCACCAGCCCAGTCACCACAAAAAGTCACGTCAAACACGAATGATTGGGCCTTGAAGCTGGTGGCAACGTCACAGCCTTCCTCAACAAGAGCCATGGGAGTGCCAAATTGTGAAACATCGGGCGCGCCCTGGGTGATGGAAGTCGGGATGGACGCACGGGGGAAGAACCAGATTTTGACAAACTGCTCAGTCCACTGCATGGCATAGATACCACCACCCTGCTTGTTGAATGAAGTGCCGTAGCTACCATGCTGGCCCTCGATGACACAGCCGACAGTGCCCAGATCCTCGCCACAGCCAGTGGCATTAACAGCACCGGTCATACCCGTGTCCGTGATGCTGCAAGTACCAGCGGTATGCATAACAATTTCATTGTGGTCCTGCAGGTTGACACCCTCGATAATATCAATCTCACCATCTGCAGGCCAGTTCTTGCCCACGGACCAAAAGGCAGGCCAGCTACCACAAATACTGCCCGGCATGTGCGCAATGTCAGCAATCACCAAAGAGTGGTCGTAATAGTTCTTACTGCCGATGCGAACGGAGTCACGGCCTTTGCCAGTTGTGGATAGAGTTGTCGTGTGGTCAACACCGATATAAACACTGCCACCGTCATTGACCTTCACCAGGCCTGCACTCTCCGCGCTGCTCTTGTCGAGATATGTGACGAAACCATTGGTGGGATCAGACCCGGTATGAAAGTTGAAGTAGTCCAAGAAACTATCGCCATGCCAGTTCTCAACCAGTTGATAGTTCTCGGAAGCTGCCGCGACCGGCGAGGCGAGCAGAGCAAGGAACAGCGAACCAGCGCTGAGGGAAAGCGACGAGGAAAGCATACTTCCCGTCGAGTGGTAGAATAGATGTAAAGTCAAAGGATGTGCAAATGCCTTGGCCAATTGCTTGTTCGATACACACGCTATCGAGTGGCACAACAGCAGGTGAGCAAAAAGAACGAAAGGTAGCGAGAAAAGGGATATGGATATAAAAAGAAGCGAAAGACCTAGTCAAGTAGAGAAAGAATGATGAAAGAAAGAGAGACAATCTCAGATCGTCAACGAAAAGAATGAAGAAAGGAATGTGCGTTGAGCGCGTGGAGGTGGAGGTGGAGGGAAGCGCGAGGCAGCAGCATCCCAGGTATTTAGGGTCTTCGAGTGTTTGGCATTTCTTCCATCGTTGTCTTCGCTTGTCTGCCTCCAGGAGGCAGACACTCCACTTACAGGCTCTTTTTTTCAGGCACTTGCCTTCGCTCCACCAGTCACCGGCCAGAACGAGTTTGGATAATACCACCTCCTGGACGATAGCATTGTCCAGACTCGCCACGGATGGTCCAACGGGCATCAAGAAGCGGTCTCGGCCAGGGGGAGACGAATCCACCAGTATGCACGATCGACCATTCTTCGCTGTGGGTGGATCCCAGCGATCAAGATGAGATTGACAAGCCGCGCGGTGACTGGTTCAAGGGATGGCGGCTAAGTGGTGGGCTGGGGGTCAACTTGAAACACGAGTCGCTCGCCACAGATGCACTTCAAACCACCGGCGAAACAGAAGACCCCTCAGGGTTAAAAAGAGGAAGTGGTGTCCGACATGGCCGTCGCACCTTGGAGAAATGTCTCTGGGTCCATTTTTAATGGAGAGATGGGTTTGGTGTTCCTGCGTGGAAGGCATGACCTCTTTTCACATTCCTCATTCTCGCGGTCGTGTAGATGGTTGCATAGTGCGACCGAGCCGTTGATCTGGAGATGGCGGGCAATCCCTCGGGGAGAAAGCGAGTCGTGTTGCTGGAGAAATGGCCAACAAGCTGCTCGGATGAATAATGAATAATGAGGCCCTGGCTCTCACACTAAGACCAAGAAGAGGCTGACAGGAGTGGAGTGTAGTGGATGGTCGGTCATTGGATGAAGATACAAAAAGGAAAGAATAAAACCAAAGCCGAAATCAGTGGACGAGGGAACTTCCGCGGCGAGGCTTGGCAATGGAACTCCGCTATCAACCAAGAAGTCCTTTGACAGACTCGAGTTACTCTCGAGAGTCGAGAGTCTGCCAGTGGCAGTGCATACATACAGTACCTGGCATTGTATTCAAGATGCGTCCGCGTCTACCCTATGATGATGCTGCTTGGGAAAAGAGCGAGGAGATCGCCGATGGCTGGGCACAAGAACTTCTTGATCCCGAGGTCGTAGAACCCATTGGCAATTTTCTCGTCACACACTACCGTCCTGATGATCCGGTGATTTTTGATGTTCTAAGACAGAGATCCTTCAACAGTTTGTTCAAGACGGAGTACAAAAATTCGAGCGCTGCCATTATACGTTTCCCGCTGCCTGGAGCGGTGATGTTTCCCGAAGAAAAATTCCATGAGGAAGTGGCTGTATTTAACACGCCAGGATGCCCAATTGATCAACGTGGCATTCTTAATCCTAATACCAACAAGACAAAGCTACAGGACATCTACGGAGAGGCCGCAGGTGTTCTCCTCCAGCTTTCACAATCATCACTACCCCGAATAGGATCGCTAGACCAGGTTGATGGCTTTACCTGGAAGGTAGCATCTCGACCTTTATCCAGAGCCATGAACGATCTGATTCGTCTCAGATCCCTGCCACGGTCAAAGTTACCAAAAGACGCATTCGATACAGCTTCATCATAGTTTGAAACATTGGCTGAACTGCATTTACTCATCTTATTCTTGAACGAAATGATGCTATTCTTTCAGCCGAAGACTGTCGACGGAAATTCGTCGCTAGATACCTCTTCCGCAGACTTGTCCGAGAAAAGAAACTTCTTCACAGATGGGCGTCGTTTGAGAATGGTCCATTCAAGATCTGGTGTGACGATCTCCGACCGACCAGCTTTCTCATGGATGAGATGCGGAAACAAGTGGGTGTCGTTGACTGGGAATTCACATATGCCGCCCCAGTGGAGTTTTTCCACGCACCGCCTTGGTGGCTTCTAATCGAAAAGCCTGAATACTGGCCTCAAGGCTTGGATGATTGGTACATACAGTATGAACGGCGACTTCGGACTTTTCTCAAAGCACTGATATGTCGCGAAAATGACGATATCGAAAAGGGACGACTGTCGAGTGATCAGCGACTGTCAAGTCCGATGGAAGAAAGCTGGAGAAGTGGAGACTTTTGGGTGGCGTATGCCGCAATGAACAACTTTGCCTTTGACTCGATATATTGGCAAAAGATTGATCAGCGATTCTTCGGATCGTCTACCTGTCCAATAGAAGATGTGTGGAAACAAAGGCTTGGTCTCCTGATGCCCGGGGAACGAGCTGAAATGGAGAGATACGTGACTTTGAAAGTCAAAGAGATGGAGACCAGAATGCTTGCTTGGGATCCAGACGGTTACACTTTAGATTTTATGAACCATGGCCGGCTGAAAGCGGATATCAATCTTGATTAGTTATCAATCAATCTAGAAGCTAGCATTCAAATGGAGCAAATTACTCTACTGTATCCTGGAGCCTTTCATAGACCTGTCACAAAATCAGCTCTATCATGCAACCCGTTTGATGAATAATGTAGCTTGCCTGGCCAATTAGTTCCTATGTATGGATCCAATTTCCTATATACGTGTACCATATTCGTGTAGTACAAAATGCAGAATTATACACATGTCATGAATGGACTCGTTTAGTTTCAATCGACAAGTCACGCCGCTTTTTCTCCCCTCTCCTTTCTCATGTACCCTCTGTCAACTGCAAAGCCGACTCCCCCGTGATGCCATCACGGAGATAGATTGGTAAATCATCCTCATTAGGCCCTTCATCCTCGCATTTCTCCGAGCTGAAAGGCTTACTATGTCGCAACCGATCTTCCCCATTCAAAATAGTAGAAGGGTCCATTGCTGCTTTCTCATCTTGAGCTACAAAACAAAACAATTAGCCCACCATCAAGGCCACCGATAGTATTGACAATTCACAGTTGAACGTACCGAGTTGACCCCCAGTATCAGCATAATGCGAGACCATGGGATCCTCAATATCGAGACCATCACCCAGCACAGGATCCTCGGGAGCCTTACGCGCCCTCTTCCTTTCCTTCGTGAACGTCAAATCAACAACACTCTGAGGAAGAGGCGACTCGCTCTCGCGGTCATAGATAATCTCGACTTCCGTAACGAGCGGTGTATTCATGACGCCGATACTTAGCGGCTCAAAACTCCGAAATCCTCGGAAGTAAGGCAAGACCTACAAGCGCCTGGCAAACGAAGGTGGTGTGATGCGATGATGAGATGCCGGAAAACGGTCGCGCGGGATGCTGCGCCGGCGTTGGAGTATTTATACTCGAGGGCGCCCGGTGTCCTACTAGCCACCGGAGGCGAGATCTGACATCAACGAGGCTCGTTCATTTTGAGTGATCGGTGCTGCCGGACGATAAAACTAGTAATTGGCCATTCAGTCTCTTCCAAGATCCACGGTTCGTCTGGATACACGATGTAGCATAGACTACATATTAAGAGAGACTCGTCCCCTAAAGAGGTTTGTAGAATTTGTGTTTGTTGTGAGAATAAGCATAAACTTCCTGGGGTCTTGATCCACTTGATCGGACTTTATTGGCCTACGTATCAGGGTTCAACTACTTCCGAGGCCGTGTTTGGCTACCAAGCTGGGTAACTTTATCTGCCACGGGGTATCTCTTGCCACCGTGGAGGGATTTACCTCTATCTTACGGTAGCATGATGTCCCAGGTCCCAAGCTAAAAGCCGGAGCGCCACCCCGCAGCATATCGACATGCCTCCTCAAAAACAGAGAATGCTATAAACAAGAAAGTTTGAAGGTCAGCTTCAGGGACAACCTTATACTTATCAAGCTTAAACTTTAATTCTGCGAGATTATCTACCTATCAAAACAAACCAAGAAACCAATTCTGATATCACTATAGAAAGTGCATATAATCTGATGAGTTCAGATCTTTCTACTACAAAAGTGATTTTCATTATTGATACAGCTGCCACTATTTGTGCAGTATCTAAATTGGATTTGTTTGATAGTGTATATAATTTACCTAATCGATTTCTTACGAGAAGTCATCGCAGAGTGAGAGACTTTTTGGTGTATTCACCATAGATTCATTACTCAAAAATGAGTGATCTCTCATCAGGTTTTGTGCCTCTGTCATGGGTATATTATAGATAATTGGACTAATCGGTGTATAACAGATATCACCGTCAAGATCAATTGGATCAGTAGCCAATGGGCTAGTAGGCAGTAGGTTGCTAGCTGAGGTTTCTTGATTTTCAGCTTCTGCGGGGTAATCAGTCACATGACTAGTGACGTGGATTTCTTCCTCGTCAGATTGCTCATTCTCATTGAGCATTGCTGTGATCATCCTCTTTTGTTTATCAATCTTTTGATGATTTTGATTAGTTTTAGGCCTAATTGGCCAGGGCTTTCAATCAGCTGGCCTGCCGGAAGGATGCAGATACCAGCAATCAGATACTGTATGACTACGCATATGGCAATGCGTGCAGTATCTTCCTGAATTTGATAAATTTTTCCAGGGTTTTTTACTAATTCGACGTTTTTGATTAGCTTGATGATTTGATTGGTGCTTTACCTGATATTTAGGCTTGCGATTAGCCTGATATTTATGTTGATAATTGCTATGGCTATCAGCCATGAAGATTTGTTCGGTTGATTGAATATGACCGCGCGATTCGTCAATTAGATTGGCGAATAGCGATTCAATCGAATAGGAATCAGAATCTCTGCGAAGAGATTGAATGATGTTTTGTACAATTGGTGCATAAGTTTGATCGAGATTATTCAAGACCCATGCGAAGACGATTTGCTTAGGGAAATCGATTCCTAGGCTTGCCAGTTCGATTAGCAGGCGTCTTATCTCAGTGAGATAGTCATGCATGCTATCGAAATCGCCTAATTGGCTGTTGAATAGGCTTTTCAACACAAGGAATTCGGTGGTGAAGCCTTTCGGTCGATATTGAGTAGCTAAGGTGACCCATGCTTGGTAGGCCGATGTGGTATCTCCTAGCCAAAAGAGTGGGCCATCTTTGCATGATAGCTTGATGGATGATAGGGCGTCTCGATTTATCTGATCAATAGTTTTGAATTTATCAGATGGGATAACTAGCTCATTTTGACCTATCTCAGAGATAGTAGGGCTAGTAGATCTTGCAGGTCTGCGAGATCTTATTCTTTCTGACCAAATTGCAATATTTCTGCAATCAGGTGATCGTTGATTCGATGGTAGGGCGATCGCCTTTTCATAAGACCAGTGTTGATTAGGAATCTGATCTTGTTGGATAGTAGGCAGCTTTGTGTAATCATGTTGGATTGCATCAATTAGTCTCTCTTGATCAAGAATTGCCTTGATTCGGATAGACCAGGCAACATAGTTTCCTTCTCCTTTGAGAGGATCGATATTGTGTTTATTAATCATTTTGAGTTGAAGAGACTTCAACCATCCTATTCTACTAAACCAGTCTTGGAAGTGCTTAGAAGGATGGCCAGCTGAGGCCGAGTGACGTCAGATTGTCGAGAACTGTCTGAGAACACGTTGCCAGACCAGGGATCCCATCTCAATAGGAAGGTATTGAACTGCTGGACAAAAACGGTGGATCTTTTCCATGTGCAAGCCTTCCTAGCTGACCTTTTAGGTTATATTTGGATTGGGTTATTAGAACCGGGAAAACTGGCCCCAGTAAGTATAGACATCCCTTTTGGGAGTTGTTGACGGGGAATAGGCACCCATGGGCAGAATCCCGTCGCTTAGTGATCACTACCTCGCTCATTCGGTGATATCACGGGTGTCGAGACCCGATTTTTTGAAGATATTTCTTTTTAAATTCGATACGCCGTGTCCCCTCCAGCTTCAAGCAAGTCGTAAGTCATTCGATCTATAGATTCTCAGCAACTCATATAGAACCTAATCCAAGTGCGGAAGATCCTCAGGATCGGGCCATTTGCGAAATAGATCCTGTAGATAGTCCATGGGCGCGGCCATCAATCCCGCCACCGTCTGGTAAGGAGGATCCGGGAGATCGGGATGAGCCCGAGTCGGCGCAAACCACTTGGTACGGCCAAACGACCTGGCGAGACGCTTGCTCTCCTCGGCGGTGACGGCGCCTTCCAACTTGACAAGATCTTTGGTCTCTTCGACTTGCGCGTGGGAGGCCAAATCATCCATGAGGATTGTTAGAGTAGGGACGAAGCGCGGGTCGGAAGGTTTGAGATCTTGGAAGACTTGAAGTTTTTCTTTGATCTACCAGTAGTGAGGATGGTGTAGATTCTGAAAGATCCATGTAGGCCATGACTTACGATCTGATTCTGGCGCCGGTCCTGCGTGGCCTCTCCGGGGCCGAGATATTCGTCGAGCGCGGGGAAGAGAACTAGCTCCTCGCCCACGACGTGTCGGGCGAGACCCCAAGTCAACTGGTTCCGAAAGCGGGTCTGTTCGTCGGGGTCATCGCTGTTGACTAGGCGATCATAGTAGGCCTGTAACTCGCGATGGTCGGCGCTGATGACATCGGTAAGGCGATTCATCGTCAAAGCCAGAAGAAGAGAGTCGCGCAGATCATCTGATCAGGCGGTGGTGGATGGTTCTACTATTTCTTTATTTTTTTTATTGCTTTCTTCCTTTACTACACCCCTGCATGAATCTCAGATGGCAAATTGAAGTGACCATGACGTGCGCACAGCTGACTTGATTTCTTTGGAGTAGAAGTTCTCCGAGGAATCAAGTTCCGGTGCAACAAGCAACGGTTGGCGTCTGAGACGAGATCATCATCTGGCGCAGTCGGATGATCTGCGTCGGGTCCCTGCCAGGCTGCCAGGGGCCTGAGTACAGAACTGCCAGTCTCCCACCGTCCGGACAGCGCACTGGCAAACGAGTACTGCTGCGCGACTGACGACGATGGCCAAGTGGACCAAATGGCCAACGCATACCGTCCAGCGAGCGAATTTACGGATTGGTTGCCCTTCGTCTTGTGGGGGGTCTGAGAGCCCTTCGGATCTCATTGGCGTGGTTGGCGTGTGTGTGTGTGGACTGGACTTTTGGACAACCCCAAAAGCAACGCGGTCTGCTTGGATTTTTTGGAGGTCAAGTCTGATCCAAACTTCTCCGATCGGATCATTTCTCTGCCTTCGATTCTTTCCTTTTCTCTCTTTCTCCCGTCTGTCCTCCTCCATCCTCCCACGGTCCGTCCCATCCCTCATGGTCTCAAAAACCGCCGGTGTCGCGGCATCACCATTATATCCTGCCTGAACTATGACCAGCTCACTGCCAGGGTACGTAACCTGAATTATCCTCACCAGTGCAAGTTCCCAAGCTCAAGCACTAACCCAGAGGACCCCCTCAATTCCTCCAACAGAACCCCCACGCGACCCCAAAATGACTCGCTCGGCCGCCAGTCATCAGCGCATCTCCAGAACAAAGCAGCCGCCCAACCCAGATCCCAACCAAGGAGGGACGGAGCTGCGAGGGGTCTGGGGACTTGCCAGCCGCCTACGATCTCGCGGGGAATCTGCGCCCGCATCGCTCAGTGGCTGTGGCCCGGCGGGTGGGGTCCATCGTGCGAACCCACCAGCCTAAACACTAGCAACTCTGGAACGAGTTCCCAGCAATCAGCGTCACGCCCGCAGCTACACATCCAGCCCTACGCAAGCGCCTCGCTGGACTGCAAGGCATGTCGCGAGTGGAATGTGGTATGCGACCATGCCAGGCCGCAGTGCGAACACTGCTATGAGCAGCAGATCCTCTGCTTCTATGTCAATCCCGGCCAGAAGCCCAACCACAAAGCGCGGAGGCGAGTGGAAAATATAGCCGGGGAAGTGGCGACCATCTCGGAGGAGCGTGCCCATCCGATGCCTGATGTGCGAGCAACGGGGACAGATTGACGGGTTAGTCGTTGATATTGAAATAAAACATGTTCATCTTCAACGAGGATATGAAAGGACGAAAAATCTCGAAAATATTCTCCAGCTCCTGCCTGGGTCTTCTGATCCAAGTCACAACGAATCTGAGGTCTGTTATCTGTGGAGTATAGGAATTCGAGGGGGAAAAAGCGTGCATAATGTCTATCCAGCGTTGAAAACAAGGACCAGTTGGATTACCAGCACACTTATTATCAATGAGAAACAAAACACACCTTCTCTCTACTCATCTTGTTGAAATAGAAAAAAAAACCCCCAAATGTACTCCATCCCGCATTGTGAAAAGGACTCGGAGCAGAGTCGTCCTCGGTTGAGCGAGCCAACGACGGCGGTTAACCAGGAAGGCTTTCTCCGCCCTCACCGCCGGACCGCCCACTCCGCGATGCTGCTTGAACGACGGCGAAAGACTCGATTTGATCGTCTTCTCCATTGAGAAATCACGGACAACTGACCCGGTTCAGGCCCGGTGCAACGCCTCCGCAAATCTGAGAAGCGGAGCACTGTGACCCGATCCCGCTCCACTGCGCTGTACATAGCGACCATGATGCCCGGGACAGGAGGATGAGATCAATGAGCTCAACTTGGATCATCTTGAGTTGCATGTGGAAATTCGATTTTCGTTATAGTCCGTTGTCATTTGGCACCTTGCGTTGAGCGAACCTCCTCCTCGAAACCCGAGATTTAGATCCATATCTGGATTTTCACCTAACGAACTCTACGATATACACCCATCAACGTGAACAAGGTAGATATTTCTAAAATTATCCATGAAGATTAGCATCTCTTTTACTCTGCAATAAATTCTAACATTCATCTAGATGGACTCTGAATACAGCCGGCTGGCAGACACCATCCGCCAACAAGCCAGCAAACACTCGAAACCGCGCTATCTCGTGGCCATCGCCGGCGTCCCAGGCTCAGGCAAAACCACCACAGCCCAAGCAGTCGTCCAACAATTAAACAAAGACCCCAATATACACGCTGCCCTCCTCTCAATGGACGGCTTCCACCTGCCCCGGTCTGAACTAGACCAACTCCCCAACCCCAAAGAAGCACACATCCGCCGCGGCGCCCCTGGACCTTCGACGTGGCCCGCTTCGTGCAATTCATGCACGATCTACGAACCTGGTCCGACAAAACCCCACTAACAACACCCTCTTCAACACCCTGGTCCCCCTCAGAAATCATCTCCGCCCCCGCATTCGACCACAAAACCAAAGACCCAGTCGAAAACGGGATATCCATCACGCCAGACGCAAGAATCATCATCGTCGAGGGCAACTATCTCCTCCTCGACGAGCCCGGGTGGCGCGATCTTGCGAATTTAGTGGACTACCGGGTCTTTGTGGACACGGATTTACAGGAGGCGAGGGAGCGCACGGCGAAGAGACATGTTCTTGCTGGGATTGAGAAGACGTTGGAGGATGGGTATCGGCGGGTTGATAGTAATGATTATTTGAATGGAGTGTCAATTCGGGAGAAGCTGATAGGGCCGGATTTAGTGGTTAAGAGTGTTAGTGTGAATATTAACGGGGCTGGTTAGTGATCAATCTTGATATAAGTTATAATTTCGACGGCAGTGGAGAGCGGCTGGTATTGGGGCTCGTTCGTTGAAAGGAAGACCAGGTTATTCCTTGATTTCCCGTTTATGGAACACATCTACATTTGTTAGATCATGCACGATGTATTGAGATGATGAGGTTAAATAGGACTCACTAGGGATCTCAGGCATCCAACTCACTCGAGCCTTGCAAAAGAATTCACCCTTCGGCGGTAACGCCCCTGGATCATCGAGGGATCCAACGCAGATATACCGGAATTGATCCTTCGCATTCTCCTATCTCCCCTGTCAACAAGAATCCCAGAAGTCCATTTCCGAAAAGGTATTTTACCCCAAACTCAAGAATAAAACTACCGCAGGTATCGCAGAAATGTCGATAAATGGTGGCCCCAGACCCATTGTCACCGGCATGTTCCTTTGGTTGTCCCTTAGTCAAATGGAATGCATCTTTGGGGACCTTGGCTGTAAGACCATAATTCGTTCCAAATGCTTTCTATTCATTGGAAGATGTCCCCATGTAATTAGAACATATTCTCGGTGCTTGTGCCACACTGGAGTTGGACGTACTTTGCAGTTTCGGCAGTGACAGAGGGTTGTGCGTGCATCCTCTGCGGACTCCAACCTTAACTCGTATTCGATTTTGCGACAAAAACAGGACCCAGTATAGACTGGCATATTGACTTCCTGGAATTGAGTTGAATACTTTGATTATGCCGGACTTGGTTTGTCTGGAAAACAATGGTGCTCCGTTGAGGATCTCTATATAGATCTTGTCAAAGAGGTAGAGAATACATGACGTCATTTGTACTTTGACTCCTGAAGGCGGCAAAATGAATAGATATCGTGGATCCTTGTCAGGAGAAAACAGGATTAGAGGTTAGGAGAACAGGACCATGGGTCGCATATTTGGTCGAACTAGGCCATATGTTGAATTGTTAAGATTTTATCTTGCTCTAGGTACTGCAAGGACGACCATTCCAGCTGTGCAACATGAAGATACTATCTCCGCACAAGGAAATCTAAAGATCTGATAACCATGCTATCGACATGGTATATAAGAGCCAATACGTCGGATTTAGTTCAAAATGTCAATATATGCGAGGGCCTTCATCTTAACAGACCATCCCCGAGGAGAATCGCCGCTACCCCGCGGTGATGCGATTATGACACGGTACTCCCGTCACTCTCCCAAACTTTCTTTTCTCCCAAGATTTATGATCGCCAACTCAAATCGCACCTCTTCGTCCGAACTAGTGTCCTCAATACAAACCATATCATGTCAGACCAGCAGTCAGAGGACCATACAGGGCTGCAGCAAAGACCAGTTGTCTCTTCATTTATCTTCTCCTCAGCAAATGGGGAGCTCCGGGTTGCCTTGTTTAAGCGCAGTGAGAAAGTTAGAACTTATCAGTAAGTACTGTCATTCGTGTCAGATCTCCATATCCATTATCAGGAAAATGCCTGACTGGCAAAGGCAGCATCTAGCCCCCATCTCAGGGAGTATAGACCACCCAGAATCGCCCGTCGCGGCCGCCTGGCGCGAGATTAACGAAGAAACAAGTTTAACACCACGAGATATCGAGCTGTGGCGCCAAGGCAAACTATACAGCTTTAGTGACCCATCAATCGGACGCCAATGGACCATCTATCCATTTGCATTCCGACTCAAAGGTCCCGACGAGGGTGGCAGAGGCGAAACAGCCATCAAGATCGACTGGGAACATGAAGCATGGCACTGGTATGATCCGTTGAAAGTAGTAGATGATGAAAACTTCGGGGGCGTGCCTCGTCTAGCAGAGAGCCTGCGGCGGGTCTACTTTGAAATGGACATGAACGACAAAGCCAGCGGCGCACTACGATCGGGCCTCGACCAGCTTAAAGCAGATCACTCTAGTGGATCTCATGAACTGACAACAATTGCCTTAAAGGCTTTCCGAGATGTTCTCGTTCATTTAAAGGACGACCCAAATTGGTGGGAGACTACGCGGATGGCTGCGTGGCATCTGTGGAAGAATGGCCGCGAAAGCATGGGGTCTGCGACTTTGAATGCGTTTCTCGAGGTCCTGGCTGATATCGATGATATCAACAAGACCAAATCTGAAATTCAATGGGATCGCATTCTCACCGTGTTAGACCACCATTTGGAGCGCCGACGAGAGACAGCTTCACACATCAAAGAAACATTCAATGCCTATTTACACTCGACCTTTCTCCCTCGCATCCAATCTCAAGTGAAGAACAAGATTACTCTTCTCACTCTATCAGCCAGCTCAACTATCCGAGACAGTATCCTGGACGCCTTTAAATCGCTACCCGTGTCCCACTTAGATCTACGCATACTCGAATCTCGACCTCTCTTCGAAGGAGCAAGCATGGCCTCTTCACTGCTATCGGAATTCGAAATCAAGTTTCCCCCTCCATCTGGTCAGCACCTGCAGATAAGCATTTACACCGACGCTTCAGCTGCGCTTGCTGCTAGAGACGTGGACTTTGTTCTGCTAGGTGCAGATCGCATTTCCAGCTCAGGATCAGTCATCAACAAAACTGGATCTCTTCCAGCTGTTCTATCTACAAAACACATTAGCCCAGAAGCACGGGTTCTTGTCTTTAGTGGACTGGAGAAAGTCGCAGAGCCTGGTGCTGATGATGACCACGAACCCGAGGAAAACGATCCAATGGAGGTTATCAGCCCCTGGGTGGACAGCGGCATCAAGGGTGTGAATAAACTAATTGGAGGGACAAATAATGAGACATCCAATTGCGTGGTAGAAGTGAAGAATGTCTACTTTGAATGGGTGGATGCTAACATGGTCGATGCTTTCATTACTGAGGAGGGAGCTCTGGGTGCGACCCAAATCCGCAGTAAAGCACAAGAAGTGAAGCGACAGGTGGACAAATACTTCAGCTCTTTATAACAAGATAATAAAGAAATGTAAAATGTACCAACTCAATTATCGGCATCCATGGCGCGCATGTTTTACAAACAGTAAGACGCACAGAAACCAACTTCCTCTAGCCGTCAAGGCCGTGACAGATACCTACCATATCCTTTCTTGCTTTCTTCTCTGCGCAACTTCTTCTCTCTTCTTTACACTCAACCCACATTCAGCTTCTCAATCAAGCTCCCCACTATGTCAAACAACAGCTTCGATCCGGGAATCCACCGGTTCATGTCACCAGACACAGGCCTGGTACTCGAATATATCGTCCGCCGCCCCGCTGGAGTCAGCACCGACGAAGCTCGCCGCAACTTCATCCTGGCCCAGTGTCCTGGCTGGGGTCTCGGCTCTGGCTACCTCCAACGCGGCCTCTCCGATCTATGGGCACCCTCACCAGATGGTAACTCTACCACGGAGCCAACCGTTTACACCGTCATATTCCTCCATCCCCGCGGCACAGGAGGATCCTCCCAACCCCTCTGGACCCGCAAAATGAGCACCATGCCAGACATGAGTTTCGACATCGAAGATCTCCGCAAACACCTCGGGGTGGAACGCTTCCCCGTGATACTAGGCCATTCCAACGGTGGCGCAATCGCACTCGGCTACGCAGAACTCTTCCCAGACCGAGTCCAGAAACTAATCCTAATCGACCACCAAATCATCGGCATGCAAGACCGCAAAACAGACAAATTACTCGCAACAAAAGATAACCCCGCGTACCGCGGGGCATGGGATAACCTCGTGAACCGCCGCGCCGACACAGACGACGAACTCACGGCATCGGTGAATTCGATCTGGCCTCTGTATTTCCACGACCCTGCAAAGTACACGGATGAACTGTTGCATGCTATCGGAGACCAGAAAATGTCGGTGTGGACGTATCGCTGGCAGGCACATTGTGACCGGAATCTTGCGAATCCGACGCAGATGGCGGATGGTCTGAAGTATGTGCGGGCTAAGACGCTGGTGATCTTCGGGCAAGAAGACTTGATCATTGGCTTGAAGATTGCCGTGCGTACGATGGAGATCTCTGGTGCGGAAATGATTACCTACAAGGAATGTGGGCACTTTCCGTGGATTGAGCAAAAGGAGTTTACTTTGAGGGATATCCGGCGATTCATTGAAGGTAGCAAGAGCAGAGCGCAGAAGGACAGCTCTACACTCAACTAATCCAGAAGATAAGTGCTAAGGAGTTGGCATCAATGATACTAGTAAATGTGCAGAATAATCAGATTCATCATGTCCGTACAAAACAAGAGTAAATGACACGCCAAAGTAGGGTTGATGGTCAATCATCCACAGACCCCGAGACCTCCAACACGAAAACAACATGGGAAAGAGAGAAAAAAAAGAAGTTTCATGACCCCAAACACCGAGGCAGACAGAGGACAGGATCATTAAAGACCTCTGCCTCCATAAAGAAAGAAACACGCACACAGGTATATGCAAAGAACAAAACAGAGGTATCATCATATTCAAGAGTCGCGGACACGCGCCTGGCGCTTTGCAGTGCCGATGTGAGTGTTATGCACCTTCGTGGCAAACTTCAAGCTTGTCAAGGTTTCGGACAGGTGTGCCTGTAGCGGGCTGACCATGACGAACATGAGCGTCTTGGAGTTGCCACCAAGGGAAAATTGGAGGAGATAGGTCAACTAGAGATGGGTTAGTATACACAAGAATGAATGTGGCGGGTTAATAGTTTCGGATGAAACGAACCTTGCTGTTGCGGTACGGAATATGTCCACCATCTTTGCCCTGGCCAAGAGCAGCAATAACATCGCCGAGCGAGCTGAGACTGCGGTTGATATTTTGGGTCTCCTTGAGGCGCTCTCCTGTGGCACCACTATGGCTGAGGCGTTCACTTCCAGCCAGATCAACCAAGTTGAGAGTGCCCTCGCTGCGCTCTCCAGTGATATGGTTTTCGCCGATCAGCTTCAGGATGAACACAGAGTGTGACCGCGAAGAGCGCTCGTTAGCCTTGGTGGCCGCCACGGAGCGGTTTGCGGCCGCACTTGTGAGAATAGACTCAACCATCTCCGGCGAGTCCAGCCGGACGGTGGTGATATCAGTGATGGTGGTCTTGCCCCGCTGCATGTCATGACGGATTTCATGCTTCTTCTTGTCGAGTTCATCCGGGTTGCCGAGAAGGTCGTTCAGATTCTCGTTGTAGACCTCAACGAAATTACCCTCCATCGAGTATCGCCAGCCCTTCTCCTCCAGACTTTGAGCCGTCTCGTATATCTGGTGCACGGCAAGCGGAATCATACCGTCCTGAGAGGACATGGTGTGGGTCTTACCACTACCAGTTTGACCGTAACAGAAGATGCACACGTTGTAGCCATCCAATGCACTCTGGACTAATTGGCTGATCTCATCAAAGACCTCGCCGTTATTCGTCGATGGACCAAACACCCGATCAAAGGCAAAATTGTTGTTCTTGCGCGAGACGGTGCCCAGACTACTTCTTTCTTCAGGGCCCATGACATTAATCTCCTTGGCCTCTTCCGACTCGTCGGGGTACTGCATCGGAGCAATGGCAGAGGGTGGTTCACTGTTGAGAGCTGGTCGGACACGACAGAAGACACGAATGTTGCCTTTGAGTTCCTGTACTTGATTGTGGAGTTTTCGGCGTAGCGTCTCTTCCCTGCGCAGTTTCTCCTTGGTTGCCTCGGTCTCAGCTAGAGCATCCATCATCGCCTGGTTGCATTGCTCAAAGGCTTGGGATTGTTCTTCTCGGCCTCCCTCCAAGAACTCGATACGGGCCTTCAAAGCTCGGATCGTTGATTCCAAGGTGACACTATTGGTGCTGGCGGTGTCCAAGTTATGTCGAAGGTCATGGGTCATTTTTCGTTCGCGTTCCAATTCGGCTTTCATGGCCTGAATCTGGGCCAGTGCAGCGTTAATTTCACGAGTCTTGTTGTCCAACTCAATTTCGGATTTCTGAATATCCAAGGCAGATTGCGAGGTCAGTTGGCCGAGTTCTCGTACTCGTGCGGCCTTTTCGTCCGCAATTTCGCTTTCGAATTTTCTTTTCAGGCTTCGAATATCATCCTGGTGACGAGTGTTTAATGCTTCGACCTCTTTCTTGCTCTCTTGTCGGATTGATTCCATCTCTATTCGCTGACGTCGGTCCAGGTCGTCCATGGCGATCTCCTGGTCCCGCAGGGCCTCTTTCAATGAGTTCTCTGCTGCGCTTAATTGTTGGTTCAGTGAATCCATCTCGACCCGCAGTTTCATATTAGTCTGGTTTAGTCCATCTCTAGAAGCCTCAAGCTCGTAGACTAAGTTTGTTGTTAGCACTGGTGGTGTCACAAACAATGATCGGCTCACTCACTTCTGGCCTTGTACACCTCCACGGCTTCTTTCAGGCCTTGGCTTTCCTGTCCAGACTGATTGACGCGAGAGAAGACACGGGCCATGATCTCCTCCATGGTCTTTTCTTTCATTTCCTGATCCCACTCGGAATCTAATGGACGGTTAAAATTTGTTACTGTGGATTCTTTTGAAAGGAACAACGGGATGGGAGCCCTTTTGGAGGACTTTCTCAGGGGGGAACCGGAAGGTGGCTGAACGGGCTTGGATGGGGTAAAAATGGGAAATTTGGACCGCTGGCCAGGTCTCGCTGGTGTAGATTCCATGGGACCAGCATCGCTTGATTTTCCACGGGTATGTAGGGAAGAAGGAATAGGAGTGACGGCTACCTGCATATTTATCCTTGGGGCCTCCACCGCCGAGGGATTGTTGTCCACGCCAGAGGTTGACACTGAACGAAATCCATCGAGGCGTGAGGTATGCAGGCGCGAATCCAAGGGTCCAATGGGGCAGGAGGAACTGCAAGACTGGGAGAAAATAGACAATGGCATACCCTTGCGTTTTCCTAGTACACTTCCTGCATTGTCATCGGCGTGGTGATCCAACGAAGTAGCGGGTCGCGACATTGACGTCGAAGATCCGTGGAGTTTGCGAGTACCGAAGGATGTCTGGGGACGGGACAGCGCGGACGCAGGACGCGAGCCATAGCTCATGGTGTTCGAGAAGGCACCGGTCGTTGGTCGAGAGGTAGTCGAACCGGGTCGCGACGCCGTGGAAGAGGTGTAGGAGTTGCCGCGAGCGTGCGCCTTGGGTGCGCCGACCATCGAGCGGGTGAGGGGCGGTTGTCTCTTCGTTTCGGCGGTGCTGGGAGGCTTTGTTCGGGTCGCTATATTGCAATGTTAGTGGGTCGCGCATCGACGGTCTTGGAAAGCGCCGATTGAACTGTACGGGAAACAGCTTTGTTGGCGATGGTACCCGGCGGCAGGATACCAGACATGCCAGACCGAGCATTTGTTGTCGCAGAATTCATCTCTCGAAGGCCAGCCTGGGGGATGCGCGAGCGAGTCGACGCTCGAGGCTGGATCTCCAGGGCCAGTCAGTAAACAGAGTTGCGACGAGATGTGGGCGGGGCTGATTACCATGTTCTCGTCGTCCATCGTGCGGTTGGTAGCTCGCCAGGTCGCCGGCGAAGAAAGTATCCGGGCAAGAAGGGAAAACTCTCGTCCAGCCACGATCTCTGCTGTCAATTGTTAAGTTGGGCGGTCCAAGGTGCGGGTGGAAAAGGTGAGCATGCCAACGGAGAGTATGACGCTCCGGTTTCTGGAGAGACGGCCCGTAAACAAACGCTGAGTCAGCCGATTGGTTGTTTCTATTTTGGGACTAGCCAGACATGGACGGAGTCACGTGAGTCCTGGTATTACGACCAGGGGGATACCGATACCGCACGTGAGCCCATTGGGATGAAAGAAAGGTGGTGTCCTGGAAGAGAAGACCTTTCAACTGACTCAATTGCAGGTTCTACTTCAAGATTCTCCAATTGCGTCCGAAAAAGTGCCAAAAGTGACGACATCCCATTGTCTTCCTGTCGGTGTCAGCCATTTGAAGCATCGCAAGCGCGGACTCCACTCGGCCCGCTCGAAACACCCCCCAAGGCCCCAGTTCCCGCATTCCCTGGTTGTTCGCGGGCAAATTGGCTGGGTCTTCCTTCTCAACCTTCACTCCCTAGCTCTTTGTCCTCCATTTCTGTGTCTCACGGCCCTCGGCATCGATCATGTCCGGCCGGTTTGTGCGCTCCTCAAAGTATCGTGAGTATCCTGTGATCGGCATCGTGATAGCTTCCCCGCTGACCGTTGGGAAACCTGGCAAGGCCACGTCTTCGGGCGTTCGACGAGAAAGGTACTGCTTGAAACCCCAAATCTATCGACCATGACTATCGCATTGACACCGATTGCAGGAGCAATGCTACGATAACCTTCGAGTCTCGCGAAATGCGTGGGATACCAACCTGATCAAGGTGCGTGCCTCTCGTCCTATCCCACCGCCCCTGACCTCTCGCAGCAACAGCCCCCGATCTGACACGTTACAAACTAGGTCAACCCGAAGCACCTTGCCGTCAATTGGGAAGCCGGTGGTGGTGGAGCTTTCGCCGTTATCCCTCTTGAGGAGCGAGGCAAGCTTCCCGAGCGCATCCCTCTGTTCCGTGGCCACACCGCAGTGGTTCTCGACACCGATTGGTAAGGGATATGCATACAGGGAATTGAGCTCATACCCTGACTATCTTCATTCTCCAGGAATCCCTTCGATGATGATTTGATTGCCTCGGGTTCCGACGACGGAAAGGTATTTTGTCTTGAGACAAGCATGGGGCGAATTAGAACTGACGCGATGCTAGGTCTTCCTCTGGCGGGTTCCGGAGAACTTCACTGTCCGTCCCGACGCCGAAGCGGATGACATTCAGGACATTTCCCCTGTTGGAAAGCTCGCCGGCCACCCCAAGTACGGAATCTCCGCCCCCTCCCCAGTTTGCGACATTAAGGCGCAGTACTAATACTTTATTTTCCCCCCTGCAGGAAGGTCGGCCACGTGCTCTTCAACCCCGCGGCGGAAAACGTGCTGGCAACGGCCTCGGGAGACTACACTGTGAAGATTTGGGATATTGAGGCAGGTGCGGCCAAGCTCACCCTGAACGTTGGTGATATTGTCCAGTCCCAGGCGTGGAGCGCCAATGGCTCCCTGCTGGTCACCACCTCCCGCGACAAGAAGCTGCGCATTTGGGATGTCCGTCAGGAACGGCCCGCGCATGAGACCAATGGACACACTGGAGCCAAGAACAGTCGTACCGTCTGGCTGGGCGAGCGCGACCGGATCGCGACCACCGGTTTCTCCAAGATGAGTGACCGCCAGCTGGCGCTCTGGGATATTCGTGCTGTTCGGGAACCCATCAACGGCTTCAAGACCCTGGATTCGATCTCTGGCGTTTGCATGCCCTTCTGGGATGAGGGTACCAGCTGCCTTTACCTGGCTGGACGAGGGTGAGAAAATACTGGTATGCGCGTGCTTTTATACGTTTGCTGACGTTTATCTACAGTGACGGAAACATTCGTTACTTCGAACTGGAAAACGACAAGTTCGAGTTCCTGTCCGAGTACAAGTCCGCCGACCCCCAGCGTGGTATTGCATTCATGCCTAAGCGCGGTGTCAACATGCACGAGAACGAGGTGACCCGCGCCTTCAAGACTGTCAACGACAGCTACGTCGAGCCCGTCTCTTTCATCGTCCCTCGTCGGTCGGAGAACTTCCAGGATGATATCTACCCACCTACCTTCGGTCTGACCCCCGCTATGAACCCCTCCGAGTGGTTCGCTGGTAAGGAGGCTATCCCTCCGAAGATTTCCATGGCCAGCCTCTTCGATGGTGAAGGCATGAAGGAGATTTCTGGCGTTCAGGAGAAACCTACCGGTACTATGGATGCCCCTGCCCCTAAGCCTGCGGAGCCCGAGCCCGTTGTCCCCAAGGCCGCTCCCAAGGCTACTCCAGAGCCTGCGCGTGAACCTTCCCCGGTTGCTCGGCCTGCCCCGTCCATGAAGGAGCAGGGTGCCTCTATGGCTGCCATGGTTTCGAAGTTTGCCGATGACGAGGAAGTTGAGGAGCCTGTGGACGATGACTCCAGCTTTGAGGAGGTTCCCAAGCCCGTCGAGCGCCCCGCTCGCTCGGCTGTCGCCGAGTCGTCTTCTCCACGAGTCAGCAGCCCTCTGCGACCAAAGGAGCCCGAGCCTGAGGTGAAGCCCCAATCTCCTGCTGATGTAAGTGAACGCTTTCCCCCTAATATCTCTCGCGTAACATGTCGTGTATTAATCACTAAATTTTTAGACCGCTTCCCCATCCTCGCCCGTTGTCGAATCTAGCGTCCCCGCCACTGCTGTCCACAAGGACATCGAAGAGATCAAGAACCTGATCGCTCAGCAGACCAAGATCATCGCAGACCAGGCCTCGCAGATGCAGAAGCTGACCTCCGAGGTTGAAGCACTGAAGAGCAAGCTGAACTAAAGCCGGTAGATTGTGAAGTGTGACTTAATGTGTGCAATTATGGAGTCCGTAATGTCCATTTAGTGCTTAGATAGTGAAAGTCGTTGTGTGCCTCGATGAACATACATGCATATGGACATCTGTGGTGTCTCGGTGGATATGAGTGGGATGGTTGGATGCGCTACGGCCTGTGGATAGGTAGTCTTGTTCTTTTAGCGGATTTGTCAATACATCGGTTGCCAAAAGCGTATCTTCTTAGACGGAGTCTACTGTTTGGACAGTTAAGATTAACGGACTTCAACCTTCCTGCTGAGGCATGTTGGGTAGATGGTTGGAGGTTGGCCCATAAGCGTTCTAGACCGTTGGATATATATTGGTGCATCTTTCTAGATCTATCCAGAGAATTAAGCCACAAGAAGTCTGTTCGCTGCGGCACATTATACACCAAACGAACCCTCGTTCCCGTTGCAAAAGCGTAGCTAGTTCCATGGTTCCATGGACCCGAAGCCCTAGAAACGATCTTGATCTAGACCACCTCTACAGGATCTGGCCTTTGTATGGACAAGCCGTTCTTTGGTCTGGGGATTTCACGTGACTCACTACGGCGTTTTGGTCACGTGTTGACGAGGTCTAGACCTGACAGTTTTTCAGGATCCAAAGAGATTCTTCATCAGCACTTGCATAGTTGCTAACGATGCTATTACTCAGTAAATCACCGTTCTTGTGATTCCATGTTCCTATGTTTATTCTTGGGTCGGCGATCCGGGCACTACGGGGACCAGCATTCAATTCGGGCTCTCGGCCAGCCTTTTGGTCCCCACAACCCGCGTTAAGATTCCATGCTCTAATGACGCAGGAGCCCGATGGCAAAGCTGAGCATACACAAACTCCGGGGGTGTGCCCGGGATGGATGGGCGACCAAAGGGCTGGATCGCCATATGATGTTTCGCGAATCACCTTGAATAACCGCGATTCAGATATAAAGCCTAGCGTTGTACAAGGGAATTTGAATTATTGGCTTTCCTCTCCGTAAATCAAGAATCTCATCTTGAGCTATTCTCGCCACTCACTTCAAACATGGAGCCAGTTGTACATACAGTTTTCGAGAAGCAGACAGGAACATGGCAGTATATCGTGGCCTGCCCGGATACTCGCCAAGCAGCCATCATCGACCCCGTGCTAAACTTGAATCTATCCGAATTCAAAATCACAACCACCTCTGCCGATGAGCTTCTCGCCATCGCAGAGACCAACAACTACACCATCACCCGTCTCCTCGAGACACACGCCCATGCAGATCATCTCACAGCTGCATTCTACCTCCAACAGCGCCTCCTAGCCAAAGGTCAACCCAAAGCCCCTATCAGCACGGGCCGGCGCATTCGACAAGTCCAGGAAACCTTCGCTGCAACGTACAATGTCCCCAAGGCGGAATTAGAGTGCGCCTTCGACCACCTCTTCGACGACGATGAGACATTCAGCGTTGGTGATATCACAGCCCATGCCCTACACTTGCCAGGCCACACGCCCGATCACAGCGGGTACAAGATCGGCAGGAACGTCTTCACGGGAGACTCCATCTTTAATCCAGACGTCGGCAGTGCCCGCTGCGATTTCCCAAATGGCGACGCAAAAGCCTTGTTCAACTCCATGCAGAAGTTACTTGCGCTGCCATCAGACTACAAGCTATACACGGGCCACGACTATCCCCCTGCGGAATCAGGCCGTGCGCCCTTGCCGTTCGTGACGGTGGCAGATCAACTGGCAAGCAACAAGCATGTCAAGCAAGGAACCACCGAAGCCGAGTTTGTGGACTGGCGACGAAAGCGCGACTCGAGTTTGAATGAACCGCGGCTTTTGCATCCGGCGTTGCAGGTCAATATCCGTGGAGGTCGCCTACCTGCTAGTCCCGATGGAAGTCAGAGAACCTTTCTTCAGGTACCCTTTCACATCCCTCAGTTTTGATGAGATGCAGCAAAATCACCCCAGGCCGAGGATTTAGTTTAGCAGATCAAAAGTGAATGAATGATCAATGCAAGTGTTGATAGTACCCCTGTGCAGCAGAGATTGCATAATCAAAATTGTTACTTGTATCCGTTATCATACTTGATCTTTGCTTAGAATCGTGAACTTTAGATAGGCATTGTCTAAAGACGCTTACTTTACTGAGGCTTAAGCTTGTATTCAATTCAACTATATACATTCCCTCCTACTCGCTGGGGCACTTCACGCGAACCCCCGAAGCACATCACTCAGTCACCATCATACCCTCCTTATCAGCCCTCTTAATCCACTCACTCCAACTCCCATCATAAAGCCTCGTCTTAATATCAAAACCACACGCACTCAACGCCAAATCCAACCCCGACGCCGTAACACCCGTGTTACAATATAACACAGTCGGCACATCCTGCTTCACGCCAGCCTTCCCAAAAAGCTTCGCCAGCTCCGCCGGCGGTAGTACCTTTTTATCTGATCCCAACAAAGAAGCGAAAGGCACATTGATAGCGGACGGGATATGGCCCACCGGCAGGGCCGATGGCTCGGTATCGGGGGCCCCAGAGAAACGGGCACTGGGTCTGGAATCGATGATTTGGACATCCGTTTGGTCCGGGTCTGCGATGATATCGCGTAGTTCTTCAAAGGAAATGACATGTTTCGAGTCAGACACAGCCTGCTCAGGATATGTCTCCTCCGTCGTAGCGCTAGCAGGCATTGACACCTTACCCGTTACAACGGGGAATCCCTCTTCAGCGTAACGAGGAAAAGTATTCAAAACGTGAACGGCTTTATGCCCGAAATACTGACACGTCCATGCAACGCGCGGAGAAGAGTAGAATCCCGGTTCCATCGGGTCATAGATGACGAGGACGTCGCTGGGAGTGATTTGGAGTTCTGTCATGTATTTGGCGAATTGGGATGGGGTGGGCAGCATCATTGGATACTTGGAGTTGGTATCTCTGATGATATCCATGTTGAAGAATCTGGCTTGGATATTAGACACGAATTATCATACTTCCAGAAGGGGTATGATGGTAGATCAATTAATATCGTACATAGAACCAGGTATATGTTGAGACTCAAAGGATTGCATAGACGAGGTTCTCCCCGCAACAAGCGGAATCACCCGAAAAGCGCTTGAAGAGCCCGACAAGGTATTGTGCAATTCGGCTGGTGAGACGAACAATGACGAGAATGGGGATGAGGTAGACATGGTGGATGTTCTGATGCGTGTATAGTGCCTGAGCATGTTATTTGCACGAATACGGTGGATATATAGTTCTTCAAAATGTCTCGCTAGGGCCTTAAATAATGACGTGATCGGCCAAAATAATCAAAATCATTCGGCGTCTGTGGGCCTCGATTTAGCTCGGCGAATCGCCGGTTGCCGGTTTTTCGGGTTATGATGTGTCTCGGGGGAATCCACTTTGTCGCCGACATCAATTGATCATGCACCAAAACAGCAGGGCATAATTAGGAATCAAGCCTTAGTAATGGCCAATGTGAATATATAGATAATACGACAGAATATCCTATCTTACAAATGACGAGACGGATGAACTATCCCAAAAAAAACTCCTGATATCTCCAGCACAGATCAGTCATCATTAATCACAGAAACGACATCCCGCAGGTCGGATCAATAAACTCCGACAAAAGCCTCGAAGAAAATTGATCGTTCATGGAATCATCATCCATCGGAAGGTACATCGCAGTCTCATCGATATTCGCATGAGGTCGAGGATCCCCCAGAGGTTGGGCCGGCTTCCTCTCAAACGGCGAGTATTCCGACGAAGAAGTAATCACCTGCGCAGCGGCACTCCTCAAATGAGCATGAGCCGTTTGGGCAAGGGACCACTTTGGCCGCAATAACTTGAGACACCCCAGAACAAGGACGATTCGATTTTGATGGTGATCTGCGCATACAGCGCCGTGAATCTCGGTAGCTGCTAGCTGAACCAGGCCGCATAGTATCGCGACGAAAACGATACTAGGACTGTACCCCCGGGCATCTGAACGGACGGAAAGTAAATTGGATAGTTTCTTGGATGCTTCCAAGGTTTTTACATCGTGCACATGGCGTGTTAGAGATGGGGAGAGGCGGAACGGCGTGACTGGACAGATGGAAAACATCGAGTCCGGAAACCGGGGCCTGATGTTACTGCGGGGTAAATGGAGGAGCATGGCGGCATATTGAATCGTGCAATGAGCTTGAAACATCATCTCATCGATCGTCCCGTACATATCCACAATCTCGATCTTTTGTGGCGGGAGATGGTGGATCCAACTGACAAGCGTGTTTGCCACGGCTTGCAAGTGATCATGATGTGTCTCAGGCAGGCCATTAAGAACGACCACCCGCGCCAGTATGCGAGCTGCTTCAATACAATAAGCGAATGAGGAGTAGTGGCTGGTATCCTCATCCTCAGTGTAAATCCGCGATCTGAACGCTGCAAGGGACTGGGGCAGTGGTATCGTTTCGAGAGAGGAATACGTGGATTCTTCACAGGGCAGCTGGACATCAGAATACACATCGCTACATCGTAGCTGGATCTTATCGTGTAATGTGCCCACATAGATCTCCCAAATGAAGAGACTCCACCAGGTGCGTCGCAAGCTCTCCGCCTCATGTTCTCTCCCAGCTCCAGCCGTAATCACGAATTCCTCTCGATGCATCCCTAGCTCCAATGCAATGTCAATCGCCTGCGTCAGGGATGACTCGGCCTGGGAGGTTTCATTGCGGGCGCGCATGATAATCGAGTATAAGAGCAGCGCCTGCACCATATGAGGAGTTCGTTCCGCGGTCCCATTCAGGATGAGCCACGTTTGTTCGTGCAAGGTATCGTTGTCGAGAATCACGGAATAATGACTTCCAATAAACTTGACAACCTGCTGCAGATACAAAGGATAATCCCACCGCTCAAACAGCGGCGCGGGCACAAGAATCGGGTGTGCTGCATGGAAATTCTCGTAAAAGAGGCGCACCAGCCGAGCTTCAGGCACGATGGATTCGGGTGTGTTTGCTTGAACCGCACCCGGCTCTAATTGACCTGCGCCCGGGGCATAACCAACGGTTCCTCCAGATCGCGACTGAACGGCGGTCATAATTGCGGGAGAATATGGACTTTTGGCACTCACGCCGACATTGGCGACGGGGACTGAAGGCGCGATCTTGTCGGTCTTTCGCCTACCGCCACGACGAGACGGGAGAAAGACACAATTGATCTGGGCGGCTGCACATCGCGAGCAGGTTGGTCTCCTGGCGTCACACTTGATATGATGTTTGCGACATTCGATGCAGGCGAGAGATGACGGGCGCGGGTTGGATTTGGTGGTAGTGGAATTAGAGGTGGAGGTAGAGGGAGTCCGCGGAGTCGGCATGAGACCAGACGCTCGAATGAGGAGCAATCAGTGGGAAGTATTGGTGTAATAAGGAGACGCCGAATAGATGCGGATAAAGGTAGGCTTTGAACACAAGTAGGTGTACTTTTCAAGTGGACTTGAGAAGTATAAGGAAAAAGAAATGTTGGTCGGCATCATCGAGTCATTCGGGGACCAGAAGAAGATCAGTGGCGACGGCCGCTGCCAACTGGAGAGCTTGGCAGTCCCCGAATGGACCTCGGGGACCCACTTACTCTTTACGGACATACAGTAGTAACTATAGATATTGCCAACTTGGATTTTTGTCTGGATTAGCATTATACTGCTAAATTCAAAAGGTTATATTTGTGGTTGCGCACTAACTAGCATGTGATCCTACGGCTCTTGATTCTTTGTTCTTAATCTGATGCTTCCAGTCACCGCAGCATTAGTATGAAAAGGATTTCATCATCATCAACCTTAACATCGCTATCAAGATAGGCCTTAGATTAAAATCTCATTTTATGATCCACGAAAGCCCAACATCAATATTGTCTGTATTAATTCTTCTAGGCTCTATTCCAGACCCTGTTCCATAACCTTGTTTCGACCCCACACTTGAACATGGGGCGGACATGCATCCATGCCCTGCACACGCACTGCGCCGCCATAGAGAAACGTCACGATGCACATTTCTTTCCTAGTGATAATTGATATTGTAGTGACGTCGCTTGTTGGGGCTTGGAAACTTGGAAACCATGTTTGATAGCAAAGAAACAAGAATTAGTCCCGAAATGCTCAATATATGCTCACGTTATCAGTGCTACCGAGTGGCCGTCTTGGAGGCTTGAATTCTAGAGATAGCAGAAACTACCTCGTCCGCAGACCGGTATTTCTGCTTCCAACATTTTACTGTGATTTTGTAGCAAGCGTGGTTGTCGGTCTGAAACATCCCATTTTGGAAGCGAGATAGTATCTCTTCTTCATCTTCCAAGCTATCAAGCTCCGGGAAAACCTTGTGTCCCACCATAATAAAGTAAATAGCAGAGCCAAGCGCGAAAATATCAGTCGTTTCACACGCATAATCCCCATGCGGTCGAGGCATATATGGCTTGGAGCACTCTCGATATAGTTTCTCCGTCGACGGATCTCAGCATTCCCTAAAAGTCCGCTAGAAGTAGATCAAGATGCTTATCGAGCAAAAGGTTCTGAAGGTTTATGTCGCAATGAATGACATGTTTTTCGTGTATAACGCTAACTGCTTCCGCAGTTTGTTTACGCCAGAGTAACTTTCTGTCGAATGGAATAGCGGGCAGTGATGCGATATAGTCGATATAGTCGTTCAAGCATCCAGTCGAGGCACGCTGTAGAACAAGACCATATTTTGTTAGGCCTTCCGTAGCGATAATTCTGGGATGGCTTCCAATAGCCTCAAGCAGCCTGGCCTCTGTTTGAATGCCTTCGTTATTACCAGGGATACACGGGTATTTCAGAACAGTGGACTCATCAAGCACCCCAATGAATGACGCGCCACCACGACCGATGATTTCTGAAACCCCTAGTGGGTAATATCTGCGCACGTGAAGAATTTCAACATTGGACATTGTGTTGAGAATGGATCGTTTACAGCTATAGGCAAGTCCTCCTGTGGACTACTGCAACTTACAGTTTCTGGAGTCGACGCGGAAGATATATAAAGGAAATCTTTTGTTATTGGCTGGGAGATCCCTCAAAAATGCGAGTTGGTCAATGGAGGAAAATGGGGGGCTTCCTTCTGCTCGTTCCCACCACGCTCACGTGATAGTGAGCCTGTAGATACAATTCCTTCAGCGAAAACCATCCTTACGTCGTGTATATTATATGAACTGGATTGGTGTCCTGGTTGCACTAGAGACCAGCGGTGGACTGTGCTGGAGCAGCTGCTCGTGAAACTCAGGGTTTTTACTCAATTGCATATGGGCATTAGAATGATAACGTATAGTCCGGCCCTCCAGGAGACCGGATGCTTAGATGAATGAGCTTTGTGTATCTTGCCATTCTACCTAAAGCAATATATGCTATACAACGTAAGTGACAGGCCTTTTGCTTTGGTGCCAGTTTCGGTGGTAGTGATGCGTAAATATTTCTTTAGTGCACGACCTTCCCAAAGGATTGAACGCCTCAATCGGTCTAGTCTCTTCCTTTCCAAATGATCGTATCAATGTGTATTCCAGGGATTCAGAGAGTTGGTACTAACTCCGTACATCTTAGAAAGCGCACAGGCCTCAGGCATCAATCCAGATAATCACCTGGAGACCTCGAGGAGGAGTCCACATCAAACAGCCAACCACCGAATCGTATCAGGTTCACCTTCCATTTACCCGCGAAACGGAATTCTGAGGTGGGGGGGGGGGGGGGGGAGTTCCAATCTCCTATGGTCATTCCTGGTTCATAATTCAAGTCATCTCTCTCTACAGGTCTATCCCGACGGCAATGAAAACGAATCCGAGAGCGATTCAGTGTTCATCCTGGCCGTCGCTTACAATCATCCTCGCTAGGATTTGTTCCTGCAAGTGCGCCATCCCAGATCGTGGCCTCAATCCTGCTTTCTCGGTCCATGGCACGTGGTCCCCGGCCATCGAAGCCCGAATCGTCGTTCCTAAACCGCTTTCTCTTTCCTCTCTCATCCTTGAATATATTCCAGCATTTACCCAACTGGTTCCACTCCACCTTCCACTTTCATCATCATCCAAGACCAGCCAACCACTTTTGGCAGGGATTCATCCAACGGCTTCCCCACGTGGGATGCACGAGGTGGTTTCATTGGTACTCGGCCCGCAGCGGGGGTCGTCAGGGTCCAGTGGAGTCGGCGGGAATCGTGGAGATTGCATCGTCCGAGAGCACACAACATTCGCGGCAACGGCGGAACTTTTGCATCACAAGGGCTCGATATGCCCTCTCATTAGCTACTGCACGAGAGCTAAGCTTTTCCAGAAGGCCAAATAAGATTTTTCGTCTTAGGCAGGCGCAACAAGCCGGATTGAACGTACAAGACCCGCGCGGTTTCGCGAGACCTGTCACGGCCTCGCAGCGACATTCCAGTGGGGATGGCCCTCATCCCGGACGGTATATATATACGGGCTAGGGAATGCGACGATCAGTAAGAGAAGCAAAAAGTTGTTGCGAGTGTCTTTCGTTCCCTGTTTTTTTCCCTCCTCATGCCTGCCATGTCTCGTATTGCCCTGACCCTGGGCCTGGCCTTGGGTGCCTCTGCGGCCAAGAACTCAATCCTCGCGCCCACTGGAGCCGAAAAGCTTACTGTCGGTCTTCTGGGAGGTATGTTGATCAGGTCGTCTTGGCGATATCCACTGATATCAAAAAAAAAAAAAAAAAAAAAAAAAAACCTCATCACGAAATGACTGACTTGGGTGACTGGTTATAGACTACGGCTGGACTGGCTGGCAGCCTCTGCCTCTAGACTTCTGCAACAATGCCATGCCTAAGCTCCAGGCCGACGGTGTTACCATCCCTCGCGATCTCCAGAATGACTGTGACCCCGGTGACCGTCAGGCGATTGCGAATGCCACCATCGAGGAGAGTAAGTCATACACCTGAGAGATCTTCAACCAAGACAAACATCAATATTGAACATTATCCCAGCCCGCACCTCCAAGTACATCGAAAAGATCTGCCTCCAGAAGAACTGCTCCGCCTTCATTTCCGTCGGCGACAACTTCTACGACAGCGGTGTCGACTTCACCTCCGAGGGTATCCAGCGCTTCTACGAGGGCTGGGCCAACATGTACGTCGGCAAGGCCTTCGACGGCAAACCCTGGTACCAAGCCCTGGGTAACCACGACATCGTCGCCGGCAAAGCAGGCGTCGACTTCCAGACCCGCATCGCGCCCCTGATGGAGGACCGCTGGTACTTTGGCGAGCACAACCTGCCCTACTACACGTACGACCTGAAGGGCTCCAACTGGACAGCGACCTTTGCCGTCGTCGACTCGGACTGCTTCATCAACAATTACCAGGCAAGCACCTCCGTGTACAACACCGACTACGTCATCGAATGCCACAAGACCACGCAGACGCAAGTCGAGTTCGTCCGCAAGGCTTTCGCTGAGTCCGACGCCACCTGGAAGATCCTGCAGATCCACCACGGCTTCGTCTCCTCGTCGACCAACTACACCGAGCTTGCGCCCCTGATGGACATTGTCCGCGAGAACAACGGCGTCGTGATCAATGGCCACGACCACTGCATGGCCCACTACCAGCTCAACGGCACCAACTTCGTTCTCACCGGTGGCGCGGGCTACGCCGAGGCTGGCGACTGCAACTACGGCGTTCCCCTGGGCCCGTTCACCAAGTGGCTCGGTGCTGATGCCCAGCAGGCTGCCAATGGCTTCGTCACCCTGGACATTAGCTATAATGCTCTGCAATTTGAGTACTATGCTCGTGACATGGCTCTCAAGGGTGCGGATTACTACCCTGTCGCTAACGACATGGTTCCTTCGTACAACTTTACCGTCACCCAGCACGCTACCAAGGCTTAAGCCTAGAGGACGGAGTGAATGGGATTCGGAGAAAGTGTATAATGTATAAGAGAAGTGAAGTGGAGATAGGGTGTTTGTGTAAATAGACCAACACAAGCACAAGCACAAGCACAAGCAATAAAGTGAATGCCCCTTGATTCTTATTCAAAGGTAACTAACTCAACTCTATCTACCGAGGGCGGCCCATTCGCCCTTCTCACCCCTTTAATTCAATATCTACCTGGGCAATCCGAACCAGATTCAATGCCCGATCCACCCAGATCCACTGGGGGACAAAATCAAAGGAATAAAGACATGCAAGAAGTGTGTAAGTGGAGAAAAAAAGAGCAAGTGAGAATCAGCAAGAAGAAGAGACGATACCAGACGCCATTTCCGTGCCATGGAAACTTTTATTCCTCATCAAAATATGCCGTGAAGTGTTCTGTCGTGGTCGACCTTGATACCCCCAACCCCGATCTAGTCTGCCCCGAGACGAACGATCAAACCTGTATGCATCTAGAGCTCATCCTCGTACTTGTAATTGATGCGCCGCCCACCAACAAGGCGTTCCTGACGACTATCGCGGCGGTGGCTGGATTTAGAGGTACTCGATTTGGCGCTGTCTCGATTCTGTTGTTCGCGCAGGAGACGTTCCCGATTCCGGGCTTCCCGTTCCAAAGTGTATGGATCCTTTTCGGATTCCGACTTGGCTGCTAGAGCTCGTGAGGCATCGCGGGTCCGGTCTTCACCGTTGGTTTTGACGCGGCGAGCTTGGGGCTGAGAGGTGCGATCGTTGGAGTTGGCGTTGGCGTGGGTAGATTCGGAGCGCTCTCGACGACGCTTGCGCTCTCTTTCACGATCAGCACCACGGTCACGACCGCGGTCGCGTTCTCGTTCGCCTCTTCGATCGCGATCGCGATCTCGATCTCGGTTTTGCTGGGGGTCTCGTTCTGAATCCCGATCCCGGTCCCGGTCACGTCTGCCCTGCTCTCGATCCCTGTCACGACGACGGCCGTCTCGAGCACGGTCACGATCTTCTTCACGTCGGCCGTGTCCATCTCTGCTAGATCGGTGGCCATTACTGATCCGACTAGCCAGATCGCCGCGCTCACCAGTCTCGGCAGATACCTTGCTGTGACCGTTGGGTGCCGTCTCCTCCGCGATCTGCCTCAGACGATCGGGGTAGCGTGCATCTCCATTCCTTGTGGGACTACGACTGTGGCTGTCGCCTCGGCTATGGTGGCGACGAGACCGGTGGGAACGATGACCGCTTTTTCGGTCTCGATCCTCGTCACGGTCTCTGCGTCTTGATGATCGACGGGAGGACATTCGTGATGCGGAGCGTGAGCGGCGGTCAGCTAGTTGGAGTTCCTGAATAGCATCTGGTCGTCTTGACTCTGTCTCTCGGTGACTGCCCCGATCATCATCGAGAGGTGAACGGGCTCGAGAAGCCCGGGGCTGAGATGGCGAGCGGGATCGAGATGCTGGCGCCTGGGCTTGTGATGGAGCTCTGGACGGAGATCGAGTCTGCAGAGCTTCTTGAGGGGCTTCAGAGTTTCCTCTGCATATGAGTTAGTACGGCATTTGTTCTCTTAGTGACCGACTGCAGTCTTAGCTTACCTCTGCGACGTCGCCGGCGTATTACTGCTAACCGACGCTTTCCCATGAGCATGAAATCCGCGTTGCCGGAAAACACTCGTATTGGGGAGACCTTGTCGCATTGCACGCGGCGCAGCAGGCGCACCCTCAACACCAGGATTACGGGGCTCCGGCTGAGGCTGATGTGCGCCGGGCATTCCACCCCAGTATCCACCCCCACGGCCACCTCGCATGTATCCGCCTCGTCCATATCCAGGACCCATATGATTGTGATACCCGTTAGGTTCCATCGAGCCAGAGCCTTGGTCGAGGCTGTCAATAGTGGGGATCCCTTGTAATTGCTGGCCCTGATTATCTGTAGCGCTAGGCCCAGGAGCTGTCTTCGCGGTGCCATCAGTGTTTGCATTTGATACGGGGTCTGTACCAGCAGTCTCATTCATCTGGGAGGGATCTTCAATATTGCCGGGGGTTCCATCAGTTCCGACTGAGACACCAGCGGGGCTAAGTTGACCGTTAGGAAGTGCAGAGTTACCAGTAGAAGGGAAATGACCCGGTCTAGGGCCGCCATAACCACCTCGACCGGGACCACCGTGGTAATAGCCGCGACCACGACCTCGATACCCACCACCACGGCCATATCCCGGCCCGTAGTAACCAGACTGATAGTCCGAGTTAGAAGGGTAAGACATATTAGACCCGCCAAATGCTCCTCCTCCATAGGGAGGGCCCGTGCCATTTGCAAAAGCATTTGGATTGAAGTTATCTTGGCCGCCTTGCCACATGTTTTGCTGAGAGCCGTCCCATCCTCCATACATGCCCTGCCCGTTGAAGTTCATTCCCATGTTCATGCCCATACCAGTCATGTTCATCCCGTACTCTCCGAACATCCCCTGATTTGCGGCCATCGGGTCCATCGTCATGGGCATGCCTAGAGTAGAGGTAGGGTTAGCAAATGGGGGGAATCAAGTAGAAGCAGCTTCATTATGGGTTGTCAACGTACCCATGCCATTAGCAAAATTGAACATTGGGTTTGCCATGTAAGGGTTCATCCCGCTGAAATTGTTGTTTCCATTCCAACCAGCCATATTAGCGAAGCCTCCGGGGCCCATGTTCATCATGTTGGTATCGAGTTGTTGGGTTGGCTCGTTTGGGGCAGGATCATCAGCTGGCCCGTCACCATTGATAGTAGGCTGGGCGTCTGCCTCGGTAGCTAGAGCTGTGGTAACACCGGGAGCGTGATCACCATTGGGTTCGGCGTGGCCGTTGATTTCGGGCTGAAGAAGTTAGTCGCTTGCACATGTATAGAGATACTGTCGGGGCATCATACTTCTTCTACTGGCTCCGCCGGTCCAGGCACATCGGTGTCTGCTGCCACATCCAACGCCGGTACCTCATTTGTAGCTTCAACAGATTTCGCCTCCGCAGGCGCATTAGTCTCAGCGAGCTCCACCGAAGGCTGGCCGGCCTGCTTCTGCTCGAGAACCGCCTCTGTGGGAGTTGAATCGTTTTCCGCGGGGGTGGTAATGACGGGCGTGAGTGTTGCTGACTGTCGTTCCTTCTCGCGTTTCTTCTCCTCCGTGCGCAAAAAGGCCTTCAAGGTAGTTCGCAGTGCCTTGTTTGGCTTACACAGATCTGGCGAAACCGGCGAATGCGCGCAGACTGAGCAGGTATCGGGGAGAGATGCTTGGCCTGTGCAAAAAGAAAATCCCTATGTCAGCTAGAATTCGAACCGAGAAAGCATTGAACAGGACCGCACAACTTACAGGTCTCGCAGATTGACTGATCGCAGCAAGGAAGGCGAAACGCATTCACCGCCAACTTGTTGCAGATGGCACATCGCAGCTTGAATGGAATTTCATCTTGGGACAGAGTGCTGGACGCCGCGGAGGGTTAGCACGAGAGACTTTGAGTCCGAGGACGAAGACCGGCCTACCTGGCGATGTCCATGAGACCTGCCGGCGGGTCCGCCGCAGCCATGGCTGGAATGAAAAGAGACTCAAGGAGCGGGACTGTGGCAGAGGAAATTGTCCAAGTGCAAGAAGTTTGCGCATCAGCGCTGGGCTCATGAATTTGGTCGGACAAACGTTTCGCCGAAGTATTACCGTACTCGAGACGGGTTTCCATATTTTATATTTCTTTTGGATTCCGGTGGAAGAAACGGAGATTACATAAATAGATGATATTCAGGAAAAGCGAGGTTGACTATTTCGCTGAAAGATATGCTCGTTATTGTGCCCGCCATCAGATTAGATCAAGTAATTTTTTTGGGTCCATCACCAGGGAACCGCGATACCATCGAGTGTGGTGTCTTCAGTTCCGCCTCCGGACAAGCCTTTTATCGTCATCGGCGGGGCATTCCAGCAACCAAGCAAAGAGAGCGAATCAGATCCAAGTACAACAGAAATAGAAAAAAAAAAGACATGAAAGAAAAGAAGAGAAACGAGATTATGCAAGTTCGTATTGAATTACCTGTGTGGATATGTGTACATACGCAGAGCCTAGGCTGCCGTAGAAAAAAGGGGGATGCAACAAGGTATCAAGATGAAGAAGAGTTAGGAGTTTAGTTGTGGAAATCAGATTGAAGAGAAGTGGAAGAAGGGGAAGTCGAGAAATGAAACGAAAAAGGGAAAAGGGAAAAGGAAAAAAAAAAAAAGATCAGCAGCTCCACCCACGCGGAATTTAAAAAGGACGCGACCGCCCCAGCGAAGTGGACTACGAGGACTACCGTCATAACAGTCCGAAGCGTGCGAAGCGTGCGAAGAGTACAGCCAAACTCACGTCCTGGTAGGAGCTTGGGCCATCCCCTCGAATCCCTACTTTCTTGGAGATCTCCCATTCAACTCGTGAATCCCCTCATCAGTCCAGTCCTGATGTTTTGATTCATCTTTCTTCTTTTTATTATTTCTGTCCTTCCCCCCCCACAGCATGACCGAAGAGAACTATCGTCCACGATCGCCCGACTTTTCCTCTTCTTCTCCTTCTCACCCCAACTCCCACGCCAGCTCCAACTTCGCCTTCAACCCCACTCCCAGCGCGCCGCAGAGCCCCGTCAACCAGCGCGCCTCCTACGACACCTCTCCCTTCTTCGCCTCGTCCTATCAACGCCCCACCTCGAGTCGCGTTCCCCAACAGTACGTGCCTCCTTTCCACGACTTCGACGAGATGGCCCGTCGCTCATCGCGTTTGCAGTCCGCGGACGCGCCCGTCCCCGCGGCCCCCGAAACAATGCCCGCCATCGCCCCCGTCCCGGAGGAGACCCTCCACACTCGCCCCGGAGCTGGCATCGAGGTGAAGACCAAGTTCCCCGTCGCGCGCATCAAGCGCATCATGCAAGCCGACGAGGATGTGGGCAAGGTGGCTCAAGTCACTCCCATTGCAGTCTGTAAGTAGCACAGCACCTGATCCCCCGTCGCGTGTTCTTGTTATTTTGTTATTTGATCCCCCCAGCGCCCACAAAACCGAGATGACCTAACTTTCATCCTATAGCCAAAGCACTGGAGCTCTTCATGATCTCCCTCGTCACCAAAGCCGCCCAAGAAGCCAAGGAGCGCAACTCCAAGCGCGTCACCGCCACCCACCTCAAACATGCGGTCGCCAAAGACGAAGTGCTCGATTTCCTAGCAGATATCATCGCCAAGGTCCCCGATGCCCCTGCTAGCCGGAAACACGAAGATGACGGCAGTGATCAAAATGAGGGCCGTCGGAAGCGGGGTGGACGGCGACCCAAGGAGGAGAGTGATTGATGACAAGGCCCTGCGCTATTGGACACGATTGACGACGTGCTAGATGGGACTGGCATCCGGCGCATTGATGATCTGGGAGACGTCTTTTTTTTAATCCAAAAATTTTTTACAGTTGTATTTCTGGGAGGGCGTTACGGGCGGGTTGGGATTCTTTGATTTCTTTTCTTTTCGGGCAGCGCATCTTTCTTTTTTGTGAATAGTTCGGTGCAGCGCAGCGCTTGGAATACTCGAGAGCCCATTGCCGAAACAATGCAGAAATTGGGCTGCGACAAAAGAGTATTCTAATTGCATTTTCAGGCGTAGATCTAAACTTGTCTATCAATCTATTCCCTTTTGGTAGCTAGTTCTGTGGTCGGAACTCAAAAGCTGTACGTGGTGGAAGAAGTACTACTTCGTCCGGCGGATGCTGGCGATCGACGCGTGAATACACGCAGTTCCCACTGGCTCCACTCGACCCTCGACCCCGTCAACTCCTCTTTCCCCCCTCATGTCGTGAGACCATGCTGCTACAGAATGGACTTTGTGAGTGACTCCTAGCGACTCCGACTCTCACAATGTGCGCGTTGCTCATCATATCCAGTGGTCTCGTCTCGTCGGCGGCTCACGCGCGCCGTCCAAGCCCTCTCGGGCCACATCGCCCACTGAACGACTGACGGCCTTCAAACGGTCTTGCAATGCTCTCCAGGTACATTGTTCCGCCCGGTATTCGCGCTGCCCTGACCTAACTCAAACACCCATGGCATGATCTAGCAAATCTGGCGCTCCACCAATACCCCCTCCGCGGAGCAGTCAACTGCCCACGCGCGCGCCTACATCGAACGACTCAACTCCATCCTCAGCGACGAGTCCCGCGGTCCAGCGCCGCACCCCTGCGTCGCCTACGCGGCATCGTCGCAGATCTTCGTGACGGTCACGAAGCTCGCTTTATCGTACTACGACGACAACGTGCTGCGATCCGCCACGGTGTTCTTCAACACGCTTATTGATGCCGAGGTCGACGGCTTGGTGGATAATCGGCTCTTTGCTCGCGCGCTGGTCGATCTGGTTCGTCGGGCCGACAAGGCATCTACTGAAATTGAAGGTCGATTGGTGGAGTTGCTGTTTGGCATTGCCAACAATATCCGTCTGCAACCGGCCATCCTGCCCGCGTGGTTTGTGCCTCGGGCTACGCCTGTCGGGCAGGATAGTGAATCGGTAGCGCCGAGTAGTACCGAGTTTGCCGGTGCGACGCGCAAGGACGAGTTCCCGCTGTTTTACCTGCTAGTGGAATACGTCCATAATGAGGGACGCGCGGGCGACTTTGCTCGCACGGGACTGCTGTACCTGATCGAGACCGCGTCGCGCTCGAAGAATCTGGAGAAATGGTTGATTGAGAGTGACCTGGCCACACTGATGGCGACGGGTCTGGGTGCGTTGTATAGTCAGTTGGGCGGGTGAGTTTATCACGTTCTTGGACCTTGTGGCTGTAGATCTAATTAGGTGCAGGTTGACATTTACACCTACGGACGAGAACGTGCCCCGTATCATCGCACTATCAGATCATGCCAAGGAAGAAACGGCGTTGCATCCTGCATTGAGCGAGGCAATGGATGCCTTTATGTCTTATCTGCTATTCTGGCAAGATACCATCGACCATTGCAAGTCTACCGAAGTGAACGACACCCTTCTGGATCATTTCCAGGTTCTTTTCCTCGAGCAACTTTTGTAAGTCCGACCGTCATTTTTTGCGGCATGCCGTGCTGACTATTTCAGATACCCTTCTTTGTTGGAGTCTTCGGATGTGGCAGGAGGCTCTACTGCGGCAGTCCTGACTTATCTCTACCGTATCCTTGACTCGATTGATCAAGGAGAGCTGGTCCATCGAATTTTGCATTTTTTGCTAGCTTCCTCTCCACCGCCAGAAGAACAAATGTCCATGTCTATTAGCCGTCGGAAGTCCCTCGATGTTCTAGCTGCATTGGTATCGGACGCCGCCCAGCCCTCCCCTTCACTCTTCAACCTGCGTGATCTGGCGCTGCTTGGACTTCATTCTTCAAACCGACAAACTGTGCTGGCCACGTTGCGTCTGTTGAATGTCGTCTTACAGCGACACCATCCTTTTGCCCGTGCTCTGATCCACACGGTCCCTAGTCAGCCAGCACGGCAGCGGACCGTTGGCGCGTTCAATGCAGAACTGGAACATCTCCTCGGACTAGGCACGTCACTCATCGCTGAGCCTACCCTGAACGACTCATACGAGAACTACGTTGCGGATGCCACCTGGGTACTTGAGTCACGCCTGTGTCTTCCAGTCAGCATGGATGAGTCCGAAGATGAAATTCCACTACCGCTGCAGCTTCAGCAGGATGATCCTATCGTTCAGGCTCTTCTCGTATGTGTCGAGAACTTCTTTACCAACAGCGTTATTGTTAACCTTGCCCTGACCGGGGTTCTCATGAGTCTGGCCTCTTCGCATCTGTTCTCCCTGGATGGCTGGGTCTTGGTCGACCCCGTCCAATACAACACCCCTTCACAAGAGAACTCTTCTGACGAAACTGATAATATCCGTCGTGCTTATCAAACACCGACATGGCCCGCCAGTGCCGCCCCGACATTAACGTCAGCCCTCGAACAGCTGGTAACTAAGGTCCGCGAATGGCAACAAGAACTACCAGACTTTGATGTCCTGGTCGCAGCCCGACGGGAGCTCCTACACCAGGAAGATCGGCCACATACGCCAGACCGCTCTCGAGAACCATCCGAGCCTCCAATCCCAGCCTCCGGCGATCGTTCCCATCTGTCCTACCCCGGATCCCCGGATCCCTCCGCTCCAGCATCCCGCGGCCGATCGCCGCAGCCCATCAGCTCCCCTCCAATGGCACCCAGCTCGATGAGGGGTGAATCCATCGTCCGGCCCCTAGAATCACGCACCTCGTCTACCTCTCGCATCGCCGCAATGGACGCCCTCCGCCAACGACTCGCTACACCGTTCCCGACACCAACTGCACAGCCAAACACCACGGAGTCGGCCGGGGAAACAGCTACGACGGAGGACGTGAATGCAGAGGCAGATGATACCCCGGTAGCAACCCTAGGCCACGTCCTGACCAACGTGGTGATCTTGTACGAGTTCCTGCTGGAGCTCTCGGCTGTGGTCCAAGCACGTGGGAGTCTTTTTGAAGAAGCGGGATATATTTGTAATTAGTGTCGTTGGTGTTGTACATTGTTATAGACAGAGATATTAATGTATTGTACTAGCGATGTGATTTTATTCATGTGGTAGCGTGGCCAGTGTGACTTGATTGTATTTATCCAATGTTATTGCTGTACACTACGAACTAGTACACGGAGTAGTACCGTAGGCAGGGCATGCCGTTGATTGCAGTTTTCGGTTAGTGCGGGGCCGACCCTGAAGAAGGGGGGATCGACAGGGCTATATAACCTTGGTAACAAATGGGCGCTAGACTGGACTGGAGAAGGAGGAATGGAGCAGTACTAGCATTGACGAATGCCATGAGATTTGGAGTACTGTACTTGACCTCCCGGGTTGGATGTTTAGGCCACCATGTAAATGCATGGTCCTTGGAACGTATGTCTAAGCCACGCACTCGTAACTAACTTAACTAGGAGTTAGTTAACTTGCAAGAAGTCGCGAATTGACTAAGCTGACGGCATGATGGATTTTGGCAGACTTGCATCTGAGGAGCTAACTGAAGGGTTTATTGACCTCTTCGTGGAGCAAGAAACAGTTTGGTTTTGATGAGTATTAACACATAAGTTACCATCTGGACAGTTTTACTCGGGTCCTGTGACTCGTGGATAATCTCGATATGACCAACGAACCAGGCTGCGGCAATTCCTGTCCGGAATACGAAGTACATCCTGCATAAAAGAGGCTCGATCTATTTCTGGCACGGAGTAACCTAAGACTGGAGGCCTGGAGAATAACCGTTCTCATACCGTACTATAAATTATGAACTATGAACTATGTATAGATGGACCCTTTGTGACTCTTCGAGTCATGCTTAAAGAACATTATCAACTGCAGGCCAACTACTGTAATAATGCAAATACATCCAATCCATCGCAATCCAATCAAGCGGCAAGATTGTCGATCTCCCTTAATCAATTACTTTGTTCTCCACGAGGCCCCCCCCCCCCTGAACCAAGTGGGGCCCTCTCCCAAGTGAAAGGGGGCGTGACGGCACCGCTTGCGACGATTGGGTTTTGCTGACGGACCCCCCGTTCCCCGTTCTTATACCGCACGCATGTGGACTTGGACTTTCTCATCATGCCACGATAATCCACTTTCTCTCTTTACTTTTGCATCTTTCCTATCTTCTATAATTCACCTTCCTTTCCCTACCTCCACATATATACCCCACGGCATGCCCGGCCGCCATGCCCGCGGAACCCGACTTTGACCGCGAAGACCGCGAGGATGCCCCATTCCTAACCCCCGATTCCAACGCCCCCAGCAGCGCCCACGACCAGCAGCACAATGGCCAGTCCAAGCCCACACGACCGGTGCCCGCGACGGCCCCCGCCAGTCCCTCCGCCAGCAAGATCACATTCCGCCTGAAACTCATTCTCTTCGTCATGGTGCTGGCCGTGGAGATCGGCTTTGCATTCCTGGAGGGCCCCATGGTCCGCGTCATGGAGTCGATCGCCTGTCGCCAGTATTATTCCGAGACAGATCCGACCAAGATTCCTGCCAATGGCCAGGTCCCTGAGGAAATGTGCAAGTTGGCCGAGATTCAGGCGGAATTGGCGGCCGTGAAGGGATACCATATGTTCTTTGATGGGTTACTAAGTATGGACTTTCCCCGGGCCTGGGCTTGAGTGGAATGTAATAGCGGGGAGGGAATTAAAGACTAGTTATATACTGACTGCTTTTTCTCTCTTTGGTAATAGGCGCGCTCATGGCTTTTCCCTATGGTCTGCTGGCAGACCGTCGGGGCCGCAAATCGACCCTCATCCTCGGCGTCCCCGGATTCTTTCTCAACTCGATCATTACGATTGCCGTCCTATGGTTCTCGGATATACTCCCGTTGCGCGCGGTTTGGCTATCTTCCCTGGCTTGGTTGATTGGTGGTGGGCCGGTCGTAGCCTTTGCTATTATCTGGACAATGATGGCCGATGTAACCAGCGAGGAGGAGAGGTAAGATATTAAGATGGCTTTTCCAGGCGATATCAGTGCATATAACTAACGAGATGTGTTCTACCAGGGCTGGACTATTCTTCCAGTTTGCCATTGTCTCCATGGGAACCGACTTTGTTTCTAGCGCTGTCGCTTCATGGCTGATGACCATGGACCCCTGGGCTCCGCTACTAATTGGATTCGCTATCGTCAATGTCGGCTTGTTATTTATCTTCATACTGCCCGAGACGAAACATGCAATTCCAGCTCAAAACGTGGAACCGTCCCATGTGGAGCTCTCCGATCTCACGGTGGAATCCGATCCCAAGCACGCCTACCGCAAGCCCGAGGAGGCAGGACTTTACCACGATGAAAGCGACATGGACGTGGACCACGACCACGATCACGATCACGAAGCTCATATGACATGGAGCTACCCCACGCAACAACACCCGTCCTTGTGGGCCAAATGTCGCGCCAACTATCGCTTCTACATGAAACCCTATCTCTTCATTTTAAACCGCAAGCCCGTGCTTCTTCTTTTAACGGCGTTCTTGGTATACCGTCTCAGCCGGGGGTCGTCCTGGTTTTTGACTCAGTATATTTCCACTCGGTATCACTGGACGCTCGCGCAGGCCAATATGCTCGTGGCCTCCCGCCCAACAGTCTCCATCCCCATCTTCCTCTGGGGCCTACCCTATCTCAAAAAATACGTCCTCAATCCTCGCCGCGACTCCACCGACAAAGATCTGTGGCTCGCTCGCGCAAGCATCCTCTGCCTCACCCTCGGCACACTAGGAATCGGTCTCTCCCCCTCCGTCGCCACCCTCATCCCCAGCATGATCATCCAAACGTCGGGGTCCGGCTTTGTCTTCCTCACCCGCTCAATCATCACCACTCTCGTCGAGCGCGACGAAACCGCCCGCCTATACACCGTCATCGAGATCATCCAGTCCGTTGGCAACATCGTGGCCAGTTTATCCATCACGACGGTCTTCCAGCTTGGACTACGTCTGGGAGGATTCTGGATTGGATTGGCTTGGATGATGACCAGTTCGTTATTTTGCATGGTGGCGGCTGCTATTTGGTTCTTCCGGCTGCCACCTTCGCCACAGACGCCGGAGTTTGTGGTTGGGGAGTTTGATGAGGGGGATTGATTTGCATGGACTTGGATTTGGTTTTTGTATAGACTTTTTGTATAGTATAGAGATTCCAGACCATTTGAGGGCGTTCCGGTCAATTTCATTGCATCTGACAGTCGTCATTTCAATCCTTTCTAATAGAGACGATCAAATTTATCAAAACTATCCAAAGTAGACAAAGGAGATTGGATTCACAGTTGTCTACTTTGTCTGAATCGCCCTTTCCCTTTTCAGAAGTTAGCTCGGCGAGCTGACCCAGTCACGTGCATCTCACATGCAAAAGCCCCAATAATTCTACGAAGCAAGCAACCACTTCCCCCTCCAGCCACCGCGGACGTTGCAATGGAGAAGTTCTCCCAGTTTCGGGATCGAGGCAAGTCCAAGCTCACTGCTGGCCGAGGATCTTTGTATACTAACTGGGATTCCCCACAGGCTCGGGCATCGCGCCCTTCCTTCCCATTCCAGCCGAGCCACTCGGCCTCCAGGCGCCCCTCCGATTGTTCCTGTTTTGCTTTCGGCTGCCTATATTCATCTTTGTCACGATCTCATACTTTTTGTTCTTGCAATGGCTGCCAATCGGGTCCCTGGGCAAGAAAGCAGCTCTGTGGTGTATACTAGGCGTGCCCAGTATTTGGTGGATTGACCTGCAGGTTGATGGAGTGAGGAAAGGGTGCGTATAGCTCCGAATCCTGGCAGTTAACAAGATTTACTGACAATCTCATCATATAGATCTCTGTCCAAGCAACAACAAGCTCGTCTCCCCCAGCCAGGCTCAGTCATCGCGTCCTCATTTACCTCCCCGATTGACGCAGTCTACTTGGCCGCCATCTTCGATCCCATCTTCACGGCATCGTACCCAAATACCCGACAAGTAGAGCGCATCTCTCTTCTTCAAGCTATCCTGCGCGCTTTCGCGCAGCCCTTGACTGAACCTGAGCCCGGCACCAAGCTAGTCGATGTGTCCACTTTGGTGGAGAAATACCCCTACCGACCCGTCGTCATCTTCCCAGAATGCACCACCACCAACAGTCGGGGTGTTCTACCTCTGAGCCACTCGCTGCTGGGCGTCCCCTCGAAGACCAAGATCTTCCCTCTCAGTCTTAGATACACGCCCGTCGACGTGGTCACCCCGCTACCGGGTACCTACGTCAGTTTCCTGTGGACGCTGCTGAGTCGGCCCACGCATTGCATCCGCGTGCGCATTGCAGAATGCATCATGATTGGACGCAGTGCATTTGACGCGCCGCCAGCTCGATCAACTCGAAAGTCCACCTTTAGCACGAATTACCTCGACACCCTGGACGAGGACACCGCGACTGGTGATGTCACTGCCAGCGAGAAGGCGCTGCTTGACCAAGTCGGCGAGTCTTTGGCACGTCTGGGCCGGGTTAAGCGTGTTGGACTTGGCGTGGAGGAGAAGCAGGATTTCGTCCGGATGTGGAGTAAGACGCGGCGGACTTGGTGATTGTACTTTTTTTCTGTTGTTATGGCATTATGTCTTAAGGACGTTTTACAAACCCTCTGGGGAGCGCGGCTCTGACCCTTTAGTTATATATACTTATAGAATTATATTCATAGCTATCTTTAAGACTCTCCCTATCGAGTAGTCAACATCAGTTCACTAGTGAGTTAATAGTAGCGATACTGACTGATTTTTAAATCGCAACAACCAATACTAAAGTAGATAACGTATTGAGCTCAACAGACCTGCGGTGGGAAATATCACATGACTGGAGAATCAGTGCGTTCTGAACTTCCTCAACTGCTTATTTTCCTCCTATTTAGGCAATCCTCCATATTTCAATATTACCTCCGTCGACTCCTCTGTTCACGATGTGGAAACCAGTAGTTATCCCCTTTCAGAACTCCCAGCCTCTACCTACTCTACCTACAACAGATGAAATCCGCGCTTGCACCAATGTTTTGTGGGAGACCATGGCCTCTAAGATCGTGGCAGTGGACGACGATATTGTTGCAAAATACGGAGGATGTATAAACGCCTGGGAAGGCCAGGCTTTGGTTTACCTTGGAACGACACGTCCCAGAAGTTCCAGCCCCTCGACTATACACGATGTACTATGATTCCAAAGAACTGTTTTTGATCATGCAACGCGTTCCCTGGTACCACTGAATTCCATCTGGCCATCATTGGCGGACTCCGAGAAGGATGACATCATCGCCAGACTCCAACTAATCTTCGACACAATGCGAAAGGCCGAGTGTCCCTGGCCCGACTTTTTGGAAGGCCTGGACGGCGGCGGTGTCCATCACTACCTATTCTATAGTCAACACGGCGATGAGAAATTTCTAGGGCCTTTCACCGGCGAACCTGCCTTCATAGCGGGGCTGGTCGGTAATTATCGAGCCTTGGTCGAACGCAATAATCGGCCAGACTACAAGGCTCGCTTTTACGAGAAATACCTCGCTCGCGTCCTGTGCAGGGTCACCGGCCTACATTGACGCATGGGGACGTTCAGCAGAAGAACATCATGGTCGTGGAGAATACGAGTTGCCTAAACGATCGAGGTGGGAGATCATTTAACATCGCAATCGTCGATTGGGAGAATTCCGGTTGGTTTCCTGACTACTGGGAATTATTCTGTGCTTCGTACCCCCTTAATGTCGAGTGGGAAGAAGACTGGTCCTGGCGAGTTCAGGAGTTTGTTCAAGTATGGCCCGCTGAGATGGCCGCCATGCAACTGATTGACAAAGATCTAGGCTGGAGAAGTACGTTATGTTTAGAGTTTTAGGACCGGGCACCATAGGCTAGCGTGGCTAATAGAAACCAGCCAAAGGAAGCTGTGTATGTTATCTGAAGGTAATGACCGAACCTACAAGGTATGGATCGGGGAATGAGAAGATAACGGGATACAATGGGCTCACCCTTTCTACTAGAGCAGCATATCGCTGGTAATTAATCTCGTAAAATGGAAGTATCTCCACGTCAATGCACCACCACCTGTTATCAACCATGCATTGCGTCAATCTTGGCCTTTTGTTTGAGTGGATTGTACTCCGTGTGGCTTTGAGAAACGGTAGACACTTCCGTTGAGTGCTTTGTCGGCGTCCTATAGGCCTTTGCTAGTCTTTATCAATACCCACCCCGATAACCGAGACTCAGACAAAGAAGTCAACAAAGCATATCCTCAAAGAAAGCAGAACACAACGCCTTTACCTTTAATTCAACGGAAAAAAAATAATGAAACCCCAACCCCATTGGGCTCCATCTCTATAAAGTCCAACCTTTCCCACCAAACAACGCCAAAACCTAAACTACCCCCAGACCATCCCTCCCAACAAACCAACACACCAGCAATCTCAAACCTAACCTCACTTCCTAAATCTAAAATCCAAACTCCATAAATGTGCACCCAAAACTACATAACCTACAAAACATGCACCCACACCTACACCAGCCACAAAACCCCCTGCCCAGAAGCAAACTTACCAACCCGATACCGGCAAAACTGTAAACCGTTTCTCGGACTGGAAACCAGAGGGCGGATGGTGAGTGTAGTCGAAGGCGTAGGCAGATATCGGATTCCGGAGGAGAGGAGGGAAAGGAAAGACGGTCTTTGTCCGGATTGTGCGGGGGCGTTGCTTGTGGAGATGGGGGAGGGTTTTTAGGATGAGGGAGGTGGTGGAGGTGGATGTGCTTGAGAAGATGGAGGAGAAGGAGAATGCATGGAATGGCAATGGGAATGGAGGGAAGAAGGGGGGTGGATGGATGTCGTTTTTCTCGTAATCAAGTGTTCCTAGGGCTTAATCACCAGGTTCTAGGAGTTCAGGCATATCAGGGAGCGCACAGCTATATTCCTAGGGGCGGTGCCTATACTCCTAGAGACTAGCTACCCGATCCTAGGAATGAACGTCCTAATCAGCCCCCCGTAATACAGACCAAGGTGTTTTCCTGGCTCCTAGAAGACCAGGACGCGGGGTTGATTGATCGATTGATTGATTAACTTCTAGTCCGTCCTTCATCATCATCTATGCAGCGGAAACTGTAAGTATAGGTCCCTATCTGTCAGGCTATCGGTCTCCCCGAGCTCCCAGCTATACTACACTCTATAAAAGACGTTTCACAACCCACATACAGTACGTCACGAAACCGGTGCATCTTCCTCCACTCTTAGAGAGATTCTCTAGCCCCACCCCGGATAGACACTAGTCCATATTAGATATAGGCCCCGAATATTAATATTCCTGTATCAGTCTCAGTACCATGACTGACTGTCATTAAAATACGATGCGTTGTCTCGTAACTGTACTAGTGATCCAAGGAAACTAGAATATTCCGTAGCAATGTAAACAAGTCAAAAACCATGGCTAGTGAGTGCCTCGAGAATCTAGCGAGCTGTCACTTTCCCCTGCTACTCCCTAGCGACAGTCTAGGGGGGCTTACTCGGCGCTAGACTGCAAATACTGACTTGCATTACGGTTGTCTTAAAGGTGAACTATGAAGTGCAAAGGTAGTTCCAAGTAACAATATATAAATTGATCGCGAAGAACCAAGTATATGTAAGCTAAATGAGTGTCCTTATATATCTCGTACGTCGTGATGATATAGTGGTAGGTAGGGCTTAGCGCGATCTACTTGTCTACTACGTGGAATGCATGCTTGTATGTGAAATGGGGGGTGTCGACATAAAATTTCGTGCCAACAGTGTCACTAATTTTGCAACCGACACAAATTTAAATTCGTGCCTATCATTTTGAAGTTGTCTGGATGGTCCCCATCTGGATAGACACATTCCCCAACCCATTCTTCACGCGCATGCCCCCATTCTCTCGGGGTCAGCTTGTAGGGTTAAAATTCATTTTAGTAGCTGTGATATCACATCAGTTTGCATATTTAAAAACATTAAACCAATGAGGTAGACAGGAATATAGTTGTTAGGCCCGATCCAATCTGGGTAGTGTGCATCCCGGTGAGAGGCATGCAGACAAATCACCTAGCCAACCGTGTAGTCAACCATGGAAGGGAAGACTAAATAAACCGCTTGTATACACTCTAATAGTCCCATAGACTCTCTTTTGTTTTAATTTCTAATTTAATTTATCCTGTTTACAGCCAGATATAGACGGCTACAAAGGGGCTCTGCAAGGAGCAAAAGAAAGATAACGGAGTCACTAGAGCGCCATGCAGTTACCCCCGAACTAGCAATTTATGTATACTTAGTGATAAAGCCACATATTGTATTAGGCGGTCTTTTTCCTCGTCTCCTCTCTATATCCGGTTCGCCATAGCCGTGGCCCTATACATTTAGAGGACCTGTCTCACAGAATCCTGTGTGTATAAAGAACAGGTTGACCATGTTTGCTGAACTTCCGCATTTGGCGCTGCTCTTGCTGCCTTTACTCCATTCTGTGGCTATCGCCACTCCTTCTAGATCGTGAGATTTTGTTTGACCCTACAGTGATACCAAACTAGCTTGGATGAATCACTAGTACTGACCTTCTTCGGCTCAGTTATCTTGAGTCTCATAATGACACCTTTGATTATAATAGCCAGAAAGTTCGGGGTGTCAATCTTGGAGGATGGCTTGTGCTGGAGTCCTGGATCACGCCCTCAATTTTCGAGGCAGCTGGTCACTCCGTGGTGGACGAATATACCCTCTGCCAGGTCCTGGGGAAGGATGAGGCCAAGGCACGACTCCAAAACCACTGGAACACCTTTATAACCGAGGACGATTTCCTCAGTATCGCTCAGGCGGGAATGAACCATGTGCGGATTCCAGTGGGTTACTGGGCCGTGGCTCCTCTGGCTGGGGAACCGTATGTGGACGGTCAGCTCGATGCCCTTGACAATGCAATCACCTGGGCCAGAAATGCAGGCCTTAAGGTCCTGATCGATCTACACGGAGGTAGACTCCCTACTCTATACCTCGATAACCTGCTAGTGACTAGTCCATTCGGATATAGCTCCCGGATCACAGAACGGGTTTGACCACAGTGGTCGCAGAGGGCCGATTCACTGGTAGCAGGGAAACACAGTCAAACAGACGCTAGAGGCGATTAGAGGCCTAGCAGAACGGTATTCCCCAAAAAAAGATGTGGTGGTGGCAATTGAGGCCCTCAACGAGCCGGCGATCTATAATGGAATAAACCTGGCCCAGCTGAAGCAGTACTATTATGACGTATGTGGGACGGTCCGTGATTATAGCCATGATACCGCTGTAGTATTGCACGACGGGTTCCTGCCTGTTGACTCCTGGAACGGATTTAGGTGGAGCTTCTTCGAGGCCCAGCTGGATGCCTATGAGAAGAGTACCGGCTGGCTTTTCTGGACCTGGAAGACTGAGGGTGCGTCAGCATGCGACATGCAAGATCTTCTAGCCAGCGGCATCTTTCCTCAGCCGTTGTCAGACAGGCAGTACCCCAACCAATGCCTTTAAGTAGATAAGGGGTTTGGATTTAAGCGCAGTTGTCGGTGGTGATATCTTGTGCCTCCACGGCCATTATGAAAGAGAAAAATAATTGTAAAACATCCACAAAAATTGAATATTAAGCTCAGCGTTCCGACAGTGGTCCACATGAGGAAGTCGATTTCCAGGTATGAGGAAATGACCTCAAGTCCTTCGAGACGATCGGTGTGTGCTTCTTGCGGTAAGCTCGTTCCAGAGGCTGATATATTTCCCGTTAATGATGGTGATCCTCTGCTCTTACCTCTCGGTGGTGCTCTCGATCGCTGTGGCCGGCATAAGCACACCTGGGATGTATTCTTATCGTGCTACTTAACTTCTTTTTTTTTCAAGTGTTTGCCTAATCCCGCCATTGCCCAGAACCAGAATGAAGGCACTGCTATGACGACTTTTGGTCCGAGGCCCTCTTTGAGAGTAGATGAAACAAACGTAGAGGACTTGCGAATAAGACGCGATAATCTTTCAAATGACGAGATTGTATCATATTCGGTCAGGGCTGCGAAATTGAAAGTTATTCTAGATCATTCTGCAGCGCTACAATGTCTGCAGCCGGTTCAGCTAGTAGGTCAACCGAGCAGACATTCATGACTGCAACTGCCCCCCTTCCACTATCACCCCTAGCATCCCCAGCTGTGATACCCATACCAGAGACGCCAAAGCTTGAGCCACAGAGTAAGGATGGCTTTATATCAGACAGAAGTTTAACCAATGATGATGATACCTTGGAGGTGCTTTGTGAAAAGCCGTTTAGTTTCACCATTCAGAGAATTAGAGAGTTTAAAGACTCATTGAGTCGGCCCCCTGACACAAGGACGTTTACGCACCCGGAGTTTATCTACGGCATTGATTCTCTCTTTGAGAAGATGAATCTTGAATGGTGTGGACCGCGAGGGTATGCCGTCTCAATACGCGGGCGATTCTATGCAGACAAAGAAAAGTTGAAACCCAACAAAGTAAAATTTTCTTGCAACTAGGAGACACAAATATCAAGCATACCTATCCGAGTGGGGGGTGGTGGATTTGCTAAATCACAATAGCCTTAAAAGAGATCGTTCCACTCTTCAACGATTCGATTGTCCGCTCAGTGGCTTCTTCGTCGCTTTACTAACACACCAGGCTAGTGGGATCTCATAACTACCAATGGCACTCACAACCATGAGGCGGCACTAGATGCTAGAGCCATTCCAACTTTACGAAAGATCTGTCGAAGCCGTGGGATTACAGAAATTGTTGAGATGGAGACCCTAGAGGGCTTACTCCTTACCGCAATTTATGACGCTTCGTGAAGACTGGTCTCCCAGTGATCAAATGAGATGGACTGAATATCCAGGCTGACAAGAGAGTCCGCCGGTTGGAAGGACTGAGCTCTACGCAGGCTTTATTGACGAGACTTAGAGACTATCCTGACTATCGGTATCGTTTCCACATTTACGGGGACGGAAGCTTTGCTCGTTTACTAGTTTTTGAACGAGGTTCATTGGAGATTCTCCGGTCCAACTTTAAATTCGCAGGTGGACTGGACATACAGGATGAGTCGACTTGATATACCACTTTTCAATATTATTGATGTGACAGTAATCAATACGTCCTCCTTTGTGGGAATTTGATTCCTTGATACTGAAATAATGAGAGCATTGAGTGGGTACTGGAGAGGCTTCAAGGCCTGTGTACGGACTTAGAAATCAGATATCCCACAACGATCATCTCCGACTGCGAAGCTGCGCTTCTTGAAGCCCGGAAAACAATATACCCACAGACAAACCACCTTATCTGTGCCTGGTATGTTTCACGAAAGACTTGGCCATGAACGATCGAAGTCTATCTGCTAAAGACATTCGTACAAAAGTCAGAGAATCTTGAGAGGAACCGCTGCCTCACATCAGGCATATACTATACGGTAAAACTATCCCTGAACCCCAAAAATAATGGGATACATTTCAGATAAAATGGTCAGCTCGATACTCCAGGATTCGCAACTATATCCGAGACACATGGCTCGTGAAGTACGGCACGATGATTGTCACTGCGTGGACGAATCATGTCGTTCATTTCGGTAACACAGTCACCTCTCTCGCAGAGTGTACCCATCTTGTAGTCAAAGATGCCATTCGAAGCTCTGTTGGGGATCTAGACAAGGTTCTCTACTATATTTCAGTCATTCTTCGCCGCCAACGGGAGGAATATCGAGCTGAATTAGCAAGGCAAGCGGCTTGACGACCAAATAAACTGCTCAGCCCAGTGTTTCGACTTGTTCTTGAACGTGTTTCCCACCATACGCTGTTTAAGACCGACGAAATTGTACAACATCTGCGGAAACTGCAGGCAGAACACCAGCAAAAACAAACGATGATAATGTCCGTTTCACTCTGGACCCAAGCACACACATATGCTCTAATTCAATGGGGATTCCGTGCATCCACAAAATTCTCTGAGCCACTGAGTTACGGAACCTCTCTCCAGTTGGAAGACTTCCATGAACAGTGGCGTGTTGAGAGGTCTGCAGACCGCACTCCACTCGATCCGCGCCTGTTTGTCAAAGAGCCGCGAGAATGCACGACAAAAGATTGTGTTAGCAAGAGAAAGAGACAATATCTGAGCGGCAATTCTATTACTAGATAGCTATCGAAGTTCAAGATGGTAGAAGGAGAGCTTAACGGCGATAAGAAGGTGCTGCCGGCCTGCAAAAACACAACGACGGGAGAGAAATGTCGTTTTGCCTGGCAGAAATGTGGTATACAACCGTGGTGGTAGTGTAACTCAACTTTAGGCTTTTTATTCTTAGAGCAGATAATCATGTTATGCCGAGAAAAGAAATTCGCCGTTCATGACGTCGCAAAACAGCTGACGAAGGATATATAAATACATGCGAATACAACTACTCCTGCAGGCCAAACTTGAGGACACTTCCTGCAACGCGCACACAGCAAAATCGGGCGTAGGGATAATACCTTCAATATACAACATGTCAACAATGTTAAAAACGCAGATATGTGGCATATAACTCAATATTTCTTGTACAATTACCTAGCGCAACCAATGTGGGGTGGCACTCTGAATTTGCTGTTCGAGGCCATTAGGGGGAGCGGCACAGCTTCACGGGGGGAAGACTCTCCTTCCTCCACCGGAAGCGACTAGTGTTGTCCGTTTACTTGTCACACCGGCTAAATCGTGTATTGAACAACAACGTCGACCATGTACGACCATGCAGCAGATCCTTTAGCCCTGTCAGGTCTATGTTACTGAGCGGCATATTTTTAACGGCTAGTTACGCTGATATAGAGGCTATCAAAACGTGAAATCTAAATTAATATCAAGATTCGGTAGAGCTTCACAGGCAGGATAATGAAAACCAAGTGGTGATGAAATATATAAAGCCGATTAAAGGTCGCACAGGTTTGAGAATGCAGGTTCATATATTATCCTTCCCGACGCGACAGACGCGACCCATCAGTCGTATTCGCATTCCTCCCGTCCAGCTTAGTTATTAGCTAAAGAATCTGAAGATGCTTCATGTAGATGCTATTTCTTTCACCTATCGGATTGCTGGTCCATAAGCGTACTGGTGTCCAGATGCTTGCATGGCGACTAGTTGAGGGTTTTCAGGCCTGGCCGGTTCAGGATCCGTCTGGGTCCTAATGTCCGAATGTCCTGGCCCTACATCGTTGGGATTGTTTTATCATAGAGAGTGTTGGGGAAGTCATTGCAATTTCGTTGACTGAATGGCCACGCGAACGACAGTGTCACTCGACTTTCGTTAGATTGTAGGTGCTGAAATTTGTTATAGCCGAGGGAGCCTCGGATGAGCTTCCAATTCAAGGCTCATTTGAGATTGAATGGCATCCATTTCAGCCTCTCCTTTTTGGTTTGGTTGATCATCAAACCCTAGAGAGTTGTCTTTCTCAACGTGTAGCTTGGGTTAAATGGACCAGAAAGACTAAGCTATTTCTCATAGATTTCCATTCATGGGAATCGACATGCTCTAGTTGGTTCTGGTTGTATCTGGAACAGGAGACATGGACAAAAGCATCTTACGCGCAAGCATTGAAATTCAAGTGAAGTATGTATAATAGGTGTATGCATACACTTAAAGGAGTGTGTTTAGACTAAAACCAGTCAAGAACTTTTCTGAATCCACATCGCTATTCTCGCCTGACCTGACCGATGGACTAACCATACCTAGTGCAGCCCTTTCAGGTCATCCTGAGTATACTCATCCTTGCGCCGAAACCCGAGACCAGGATGTCCACTTTCTCCATCCTGCCTGCCGAGGGGTGTCAAGTCCAACCAGCCAAAGGTGTTGATCAAATGCTCCCCACCACGCGCGTAGGTCGAGTACGTGTGGTAAATCTTTCCCTCCTCACCAATTTTGCCGTCACCCCTGTAGAAGACGGTATTTCCTGGTTGTTCTCCCTCGGTGAAGTAGTTTTGCGCAACCTTGAGCAGCTCGTCCTTGCTCTTGAAGTTATACTCAACCGCGCGGACGGCCTCGTCCTGCGTCACATGCATGTCGAAGTTAAAGTCACTGTCATAGGACGACACCCAGGGGAACGTCCAACCCATACGCTTCTTGTACGCCTCGATCTTCTCGATCGGGGCGCGCGACACGGCGACGATGCTGGTGGAGCGCGAGTGGAGGTGTTCCAGAGCAGGGAATGAGTCGCCCATCACGGAGCAGCTAGGACAGCCCGCTTCCCAAGAGGGGTCGAACATAAAGTGATAGATGATCAGCTGGCGGCGGCCGAAGAACAGGTCAGAAAGACTGAGGTTCTTCTTTTCGCCATCCTTTGGGCAGATGACGGTGAAGGTGTAAGGATTAGTCACTTCGACGATTGGAAGCTTGCGTCGCTCGGCAGCGAGGGTATCCCGGACACGCGTAGCTTCCTTTTCTTTCTCCAGTAGACTCAGGCGCGCTGCGCGATATTCGGCAGGAGAGACGACCTGTGTCACACGGTGAGACAGTTTATAGAGGGATGGTAATGGTAAGGAAGGGGGTTTTCGTACTTGAACGGCGGCCATTGTGTAGAATGTTGAATCAAGTATTGAAATCTTGAAGATTGAATTTGGTTGGGAATTTTGTCTGGTCGATGAGGATTTGGCTTGGTGATAGAATTCAGCGGTTGGAAGGGCATTCGCGGGCTTTTTATCTTTTTCATTTTCTTTCATACTCTATGACCAAAGTTCAGCCATATCCCATGCGTCCTCAGATTCGACGAATAATTGACCTGCGGAGTCGGCGCAACATTTTGTGTTGAGGTCATCCTAGGACATTCGTGTATGCGAGCCAACGCGTCCTTCGCTCATCGCATAATAGCTGACGCGATAGTGACGCGCTGTCAGATGACTTGGCTCCCAAGTTCTCATGCTCGTATTTGAAACTCTATATACGAACCCTGAGCTACCATTTGGCGAGGGCTGCTTTGTGATCAGTAATCACAAATTATGAGGTCGTCATGTGGTCTCTTGCAGCTTCATCTCCTATTTGTCAGCAATCTAATAACGGCACCACTTCAGGGTCATTATGAAAAATGAGGGTCATCAAAAAGTAATTCACAAAATATATACAGTGTTGTGGGGCAAAGTGCTTCTTTGGGTATTGACTGAATGTGGACTGGACTAAGTGCTCAATAACTAAGTGAACTAACTTAACTAGGTTAGGTTAGTTAACTACGAAGAAAAGTAGAGCCGTGAAATTGGCAGGACCCTCTCTGTATAGATGTAGTTATGTACCGAATAGATTAACGACTCCAGTACACGATGAACTCGGTAGAATCTTGTCTATTAGGTATCGTAGACCACTTCTCCGGAGTATAGCCAAACCTTTTGACTAAGGTACGCAGCAGTTATGCGACTTCTATTAGAAACCCCGCCATCAATCTTGCCTCTAAAGCATTCTTTACCAGTAAGACCCTTCTACAAAGTAAGTATTTATATTACAAGCTAACTTCGGGCGTAACGGCCCTAGGACCCTCGATTCCTATACGCTAGTTCTAGAACGACGGTCGGGTGATAAACCACGAGTATCGACGTCGCTAATATAGTTTGCTACGAGAATTATAGACCTAATCATATTATACTAATATTATTAGTCTATGCTAATTTAGAAACGGTAAATGAATAAATCGGATCGACTTGAGATCTTTTTAACCGCGAATATATAGAGTATAGTAGATAAGTAGATAAAGTCCTAAGCGAGACAAGCATCGAGGACTACCGAGCCAAGACTTTTTCTAGAAGGTACTATACAACACTAATATAATCTACTACTCGTATTAGATCTAGGAGGTAAATTATAAGCGATAGTTACTCGGCGTGCATTGACCTTAAAGCGTATAGGAGCTCTCGGAATCACAGCACTCCGCAGGGGCGCAGGCCAGTAGACCCGGGCCGAATTAGGATCTAGAAGACCGGCGGACTTTCTCGACGGAGGATAAAGATTTAAAATTAGAGATAATCGAAGCTACATATGAAAATAAGGCCAAGTCAAGGAAGAATACCAAGTTTACCTCTCCTCCCCGCCGCCTAGTTATGTCAACTGGATGCCACTAGTTAGCTAGTTAGTTAACTCAAAACAACCTCCCTTTTTCCTGCCTTTCTCATCCCTGCCCTTCGTTTTCATCGTTTCAGGGCCACAGAGTGCGCAGCGCGCGTCACCAGTTTCCTAAGGGCATAGATATGGGAAGGTTCGAATGCCCCCAGATGACTAAGGTACACGGTGTGACGACAACCCTGTTCTAGCGGTAAGTTACCGCTCTATGTTTCGACACAAATTTTATGATGCAACGGACGAAGAGGCCAATGAATTTGCACTTTCGAAGATTGTTTTTGTGTGGAGGAAAATAATCTCCCCCGAACTGGTTGTGCACGGGGAGGGGGGGGGGGGGGGGGGAGGAATTGTCTGCACCCGTGGGATGCGGGCTCTATTAGGCGCCAGGGTGTGAACGTAATGTTCCCGCTTTATAAGCAACCAGATTTATAATTCTACGGACATCGCTTTCAGCGATGCCCGATCGACTTCAGGGACTTCGGGCTACAGAGATGGCCGCAACAGGTATAATTGATAAGGCAACAGCGTACGCGTCGTTTACTTCTGGTAGCTGAGCAAGAACTAACTATCGAGGCTTTGTAATATGCCTAGGACCTTCCAAGGTTATTGTAGCAAGTCCTGACGTTGAATCAGCCCGAACACCCTCTACAGAGTTTATAACATAGCTATATATATTTGACGGGAGTTCCTTGGTTATATGTCGTTCCAGAGTATCTAGTTCATTGTCTATTCATTTCAAAGTTAAAGTCACTAAAGCATCGCACCACGGCCTAAATCAAACCACGACCCTATAGTTGGGAGCAAAGTCAGCATCCTACCACAGCGCAACAGCATCTTCAATATGCGTGTCCTTGTTATTGGTGGAAATGGACAGACTGGTCGTCTTGTCATCGATGAGGCCTTGCAGCGCGGCCACAAGGTTACAGCCTGGATTCGGGATCCCTCCGCACTTCCAGCTAAGGAAGGCTTAACCATCGTGAAGGGCACACCACTAGAGCCTTCGAACATTGAAAGCGCTTTCAACGCAGTCCAAAGCGATATCCCAACCGCCGTGATCGTCACGCTTGGATCCCCGCAAGTAAAGGGGACCCGAGTCATGACGAATGCGCACGAAAACCTCCTCGCTGCTATGAAAAGGCATGGCGTTTCCAAAATTGCCACATTGTCTTCATTTGGAGTTGGGTCTTCGTTCCCGAATATCAATGCGATTATGAGATTCGCAATTTCCAGAACGAGCTTTAAGCATTTGTTTGAGGACCATAATCAAGTCGATATGACACTGAAGAAGAGCGGAGTGAAATTCGTGTTGTTCAGGGCCGCGAGACTGACTCTGGGGGAAAAGCGCCCGTTCAGTTCTTGGGCGACGACGGGAAAGGACTCGGTGTTTTCGCGGGCTTGGGGGGGATCTCGAGGGCCAGTGTGGCGGCGTGTCTGGTGGATGCTGTTAAGAAGAGCACTTGGGATCGCAGCACCCCTGTGATAACGAACTGATGGGGCATCAAAGTATGGGCCTCTCTACATTACAGAGGGTTAGATATGGTTGACGGATTTAGGTAGGGCGTGGCTGATTTGAGTAGCCCTAGATCAACAGGAATGCTAAGCATTGTGGAATGATATCGAAGGTGCAGATTGATCAACTCAATCATGAACAAGTACAATTCGTATTGAAATGAAATTATATAGCACACCCATAACTAAGCCCAGCCAAATAGTTACATCGCTTTTATGCACGGGCAGAACCAATCACCACCCGGACAACCCAGAAAAAAAGAACACTTCGAGAACGAGTTTACTCTACAGCATCAGTAATACAACCTTGGCTGGCATCCTTGACATTGCGAGCATACTTGCCCAGGGTACCACGCATGGTCAGACCAGTCTCGGGAAGCTTACCCGCAGCCTTGCGGGCCTCCCAGTCCTTACGACGCTCTGCGAGCTCGGACTCGGGCACGTCCAGGTCAAGCACGCGCTGGTCAGCGTCGATGGTGATCACGTCACCGTCGTTGACGAGACCAATGGGGCCGCCGACGGCGGCTTCGGGGACGATGTGGCCGATCAGGAAACCGTGGGAACCGCCGGAGAAGCGGCCATCGGTGATCAGAGCACAGGAGGAGCCGAGACCGTAGCCCATCAGGGCGGAGGAGGGCTTGAGCATTTCTAAGAGGAGAGAGGGGGTTAGTGATGAGGAAAAGCAAAAGCAAAAGCGGGAAGCGGGTTCTGGTTCTTACCAGGCATGCCGGGACCACCCTTAGGACCGCAGTAGCGGATAACAACGACAGTCTTCTCCTCCTTCTTAATCTCGTTGCGTTCTAGCGCAGCGATGAAGTCGTCCTCGGTATCAAACACACGGGCCTTGCCAGTGAATTTGGTGCCCTCCTTACCGGTGATCTTACCAACACTACCACCCGGAGCAAGAGAACCACGCAAGATCTGAATGTGGCCGGTAGACTTGATAGGATTGGAGAGGGGACGGATGATCTTCTGGTCCTCCGGGAAACCAGGAACCTTTTCCAAGTTCTTGGCGAGAGTCTCACCGGTGACGGTCATTCCGGAACCGTCAATGAGACCCTCCTTGAGGAGCATCTTCAGCAGAGCAGGGGTACCACCGATGGCGAAGAGGTCGGCCATGACGTACTTGCCAGAGGGCTTGAGATCAGCCAGGAAGGGGATGCGGTCGGAGACGGCCTGGAAGTCGTCGATGGTGAGCTTGATACCGACGGAGTCGGCGATGGCGATCAAGTGCAGAACAGCATTGGTAGATCCACCAGTGATGTTGACCACGACCATGGCGTTCTCAAAGGCCTGGCGAGTCAGGATATCACGGGGACGGATGTCCTCAGCAAGCAGCTTCTTGATGGCACCACCAGCGGCCAGGCACTCCAAATACTTGGCCTGAGAGTTGGCCGGGTTGGAGGAAGAGCCGGGCAGGGTCATACCCATGGTCTCGATGGCAGTAGCCATAGTGTTGGCAGTGTACATACCACCGCAGGCACCCTCACCGGGGCAAGCGTGACGAATCACGTCGAAACGCTGGGGCTCGGTGATCTCCTTGGCGATGAACTGGCCATAAGCCTGGAAAGCTGAAACAATATCGATATCGGCGTTGTTCTGAGTCACGGCGCACCCGGGCTTAATGGTACCACCGTAGACCATCAAACTGGGACGGTTGACACGACCCATGGCAATCAGAACACCGGGCATGTTCTTGTCACAGCCAGGAATACTAATATTGGCATCGTACCACTGACCCCCCATGACCGTCTCGACAGAGTCGGCAATCAGATCACGACTCTGCAGGGAGAAGCGCATTCCGGGAGTACCCATACTGATGCCGTCACTGACACCGACGGTGTTGAACTGGAATCCAATGAGGCCCTGGTCCTGGACACCCTGGCGCACCTTGTTGTTCAGGTCCAGCAAGTGCATGTTGCAAGGGTTGCCATTGAACCAGACGGACGAAATGCCGACCTGGGCCTTGTTCATGTCCTCCTCCTTGAGGCCGACAGCGTACAGCATGGCCTGCGAGGCACCCTGCGACTTGGGCTGGGTGATGGTGCGCGAGACCTTGTTCAGGGCCTTGTCCTCATTCTGGAAGCGGGGGAGGGTAGTTGAGAGAGTCCGGCTATGGAAGGGTAGTGAGACCGGTTAGCTAGGAGAACACAGCTACGCAAGCAATTGCAACCGAGCTGGAGGTCTTGGGGAACATACACAGTGGCAGTGGACCGGGACAAGCTCCGCAGAGCAGCGGGCACACGCGCCCGAGTTCGAGGCAGCATTGTGATGGAGGAGGGGTTGAGGAGGAAAGAAGCAACCCGAGGAACCACGACAATGATGTAGAGAGACGAAGAAGTTCGGTGGGGGAGGAAATGCCGGGGTCAGGAAAGCAAAAATGGGCGGAAGCTCAGGGAAGTCGGAGTTGGTGCGCTTCTCCCCGGGTCCACCTTCACTAGTGGCTGGTCCATCCAATCTCGGGCCTGGAATTGTCATCGAGATAGACTGAGTCAGACAAGTGCAATAACTAACTAGTTAGTTAACTAACAATGTAGGTACATAGTTAGTGAATAATTACTATGTTGTCATTAGTTACATGTATAACTCTAGTCATAGACCCACGATAGGCACTGATCGAAGGCTGATGCTCGGAACAATCACCGATCTACCCTTAGGTTTGAGGCTCCACGCATGAGTCATGGTGGACCAGTCGAAGCAATTGAGTTTCATCTACAGCGATGCTCCTTATGTTGCTGTACAGAAAGTCCTTCGTTTCACATTTATCTTTCTGAACTCTACCTTGAATGGCAAGGTGTGCGTTTATGTAGTAATATGGGTATAACAGCTGGTCTAGCCACAGGCATAATAGTAACAATATAAAGAAAATCCCAAATCCCAATCGACCTCGGTGGTCATGTCCAAATCAAATGCCTCGTAAAACAGAATGGAACCAAAAAAAAGGCCAAAGAGAAGAAGAAGAGAGTAAAGCGAATGGGAAATATATGCACGGTGGAAAAAAAGGTTGGTGTTGAAACAAAAGGTAAGAAGGAGAAGAGAAAAGAAAAGCAAAGAAAGGAGAGGAAATAATAGAGGGAATAATATGAAGAACAGAAACAAAGCAAAAGTCAAAGACGTCAAGAAGGCCGGCTCTATGGCACCTCTTTATCACTTCGTTTCAGCCCAGCAGGGACATCGATGGCATCGTGCACCCACGGAATGACGGCAATCTCATCCAGCGTTTTGCGCTTGGTGTTGCGCTTAAGTAGACCTCCCACGCAGAGCTGAGCACCATCCAGGCCTTCGCCCTTCTCGGGGTCCCACTCCTCGTCCTCATTGGCATATCGGTACCAACTCCACTCGCAACGCGCGATCCGATGAGGAGTACGTGCGCGGAGTTTCGCCGGATCGCCTCGAGTACCAGGGAGGACATCGAATGGCAGACGGTTCTCCATGATGGCATAGAGCAGCACACCCAGAGCCCATGCATCAGTGGCACGGCCGTCGTAGGACTGGGCCATCAAAATTTCTGGAGCCGCATAGTCTTCACTGCCGCAGCGAGTCTGCAAGAGCGGACTTTCTGGTGGCTCGGGAATACGTCGAGACAGTCCGAGGTCACTGAGAGTAACCACGGCACGGTCATATGTGCGCCAGTCCGTCACGGACTCAATAGCGGGAATCGGCATGGTCAACAAGACGTCTAGGCAAATTGTTAGCAGAGCGATGACGTAAAAGTCGGGTCATAAGACTCACTCTCCAATTTGATATCCCGATGAACGATATAGTGAGAATGCAAATAACGGACTGCATCGACCAACTCGCCAAAGACGCGACGAATCAGACCCGGTGACATGGGCCGTTGGCCCGAAGTTGCGAATTCAAATAAATCCCCCCCAGGACAATAATCCAGTACCAGCAGAGCACGCTTCTCATCGCTTCCAAATGCCTTCAGCTGGACCAACGAAGGATGGTTCACCGATTTCAAAATCTCAACTTCGCGCTTCAAGGAAATCTCTAGACGCTCCTCATCGGCTCCCCCAGCAGGACCATGCTCGATGATCTTCACCGCGACCAACTTCTGACTTGTCGGGATGGGCATAATATCGCCAGCGCCATCGGTATCCGGCGAGAGAGGAGCTTCAGGCAATTGCTCTACTCGCGCAGCGAGATTGACCTGACTGAACGTGCCTTGGCCCAGAACTCGGATCTTGCGGTACAACCGGGCTTGTTGAGTGCGAATCGACTTGACCGAGTATATTTCCTCCGACTTGGAGAGGGGTGTAGGGTGGTGAATGACCAGCTCCGTGTCGCTATCACCATACCCGCTTCCACTGCTGCGGGGAGGACTGGGGGGCGGACGTTTGGCAAGGCGATACCGCGATGAACCGCTAAATACTGTTCGCGATGCAGGCCCGTCGATTTCGAATCGGTGCTCGACGAAGGCGCAATGCTTGGACCGGCACCTGAGACAGCAACCGGGCGCGGTATGGACATGCGACCCGGAGGCGCATAGTCACTGAGACTGCGGTTGCGGGAATGGTGTTTCGTGTGCGAGTCGCGACGAACGCGACTCGGTGATTCTTGCGCCGGGTTATCCAATCCATTATAAGATTTGTTGTTCCGGGACCGCGAAGTGATCACGGGAGGACCTAGCATCTGCGATGAGTCACTCAGTCGCAAGCTCGAATTGCTCCGTGACGCGGTGGAGGAGGTGCGAGATAAGGACGGTAAATCGCCGCGCCGCCACGGTACTGCCCCGCCGAGAGGCGACGGCAACGGGGTAATATCGCCCATGGCGTTCAGCTGGGGCGACGACATGATCGAGGCCGGAGACAAAGAGCCGGCACTGGATAGTGCGGGCGCGACAAGCGCGCGCAGACTCGGCGTGCGTTGCGGGAGGCTGCCAGAGGACAAACTGATCGAAGCCAAGGGATCGGAGTCGCGATGCGAGCTGGTGGGACGAATGTTGGGTAAGTCGGTACGAATCTGCAGCGAGGGCAGGCCTGGTATGGAAGGCACGTCTATTGGGGCCGTGGGAGTCACAGAAAGCGCGGCAGCAGCAGAAGCCGCCGACTCTTGTGGATGCTGAGGATCGTCGGGTCCATGGTTGCTGGAAACGGCCTCGTGCGAGTCCGGCAGGGTTTGCGGGCAAATAATAGCCAGGCCTGACCTCGCGGTCGGTCCGGACTCGGGGGTCCCCATGGACGTGAGGGTGCGAAAACGGCAAAAGGTCCTACGGAGAGTAAAGAGAGAGAGAGAGAGAAAAACAGACAAGGACGAATGATCGAGGCTGTAGCGAGGGAACCGTAGATAAGGTGTCTCAGCCTCCAGACCTAAAGGGCCTTAGCGTGGGGAGCAGGACCCGTTGAGGGTCAACGGGTCTAACGTCTTGAGGCGGGCATGTAGTTTAGAAGAAGGAAGATGAAAGAGAAGCAGGATGAAGAAATTGGCAGACTGCACGACGAGTCCCCTGGAAGTCCCCTGGAATTGAGCGCTCTTCCACGAGGGAAAACGCGGCCGGGCCCAAATTGAACGATGACGATCGCAAGGAAAACCGGCAGGTCAGCTGACGGCTGCCTTTCCCCGCATTCGGAAGCACAGTCAGAGGAGTCTGTATACTCCGAACAGTGTAAGGATGTACTCGCCAGGGTATTCTCAGAGGATAGTCGACATCTATCAATCACGACTATTCTTAGGTTCATTTTCCATTTCCATCTCCTCCATCCCTCGCTTATGCTTATGCTTCATTCCTTTCTCTCCCAGCCCCAACACCCTCCGGTCCGGCTTCCAATTCTTGTGAACCCCGAAGGAACCCGCCCTCATACAAACTCCCCTCCCAATGATTATACTTCCAATCTATTTATACGCTCAAAAAAGGCAACCCGGGCCTCCCCCAATGGCCAAGCTCCATATGAGCTCACATCTTTCCATTCTCGGGAATCAGCTGCAGTCATCAGTCACCAGCCACCTGGGCCAAGGCCCGAGATGAAAGATGGGCCTTTTTTTTTTTTGCGGAGGGCCCCCGTTCCAGTTCCACTCTGCCCGGCTGCAGACGCAGGGGCCAGCTTCGATGCGCCACGATGCCGAGAATGTTGAAAAGCTGACGACGAGAAGTGCGCCAAGGAATTCGAGCCTCGTCAGTGGCACACAAGATGCATTCTACGCAGTACGAGGGATCCGACAGAGAAACTCAATTTGACTTACCCTTTTTTGTACCGGGAGAGCAATAATCCACTACCTCGGACAATAATAATGACATCAAACAGGATCACAAAGATATCCACCCCCCAGAGCTTAGCTATACGAACCGGTTCCTTCACTGCGGGATTTACCGAGTCCATCGGGCCAATCATGACATGTACTCGGTCGCAGGACAATGGAGCGTGTCCATAACGTTACGTAGGGGTTAGACTGGATCACTAAATTGGGGGGCCATTATTGGCTCCTCGAGGATACTTCAAGAATCAAGGTGGCTGGGAGGTTCATGCTCGAACCCCATGAGCGTCCAATAATTGGCCTTTTACCTGGCTTGGCGAAGAACATGAAAGGATATTAGGTACGGGGATATTATCCGTTGAGCATTGGTCTAGGATCGTTTCCTTGCTGTTTACAGTGACTAGTTCTGCAGTGGTGTTCCATAAGTTTGCAACCCCCGAAAAGGTTCAAAACCATCTCATCAGCTATACATTAAAAGGCAAGTTGAACAGAGATGCCGGGGATATCTAGAAAGAGGGTTCAAAAGACCTTCACGAAGATCCATTAAAAATATAAAATCGAGGCATATGTAGATGGCCTTGTTTTCTTGGTCCCTGGGTACTGCCACTGTAGATCGATTTATTCATGCCTTACATTCACCCTACATCGTAATGGCCCAGCCAATATGCAATTAAATAAATTACTCGGCAGACAAAGTAAGATTCCATCTTTCCACGAGAATAGCAATTGCTTATTTGAAGTACCTGCAGATTCATGTAATCTCCATCGAATCGCACATACTAAGCTAAGATCAGTGCCTACCTCCATCCAGCCTTCCATCCCTAAAACCGATTCTCCGGTACAATCAACCGCCCCGCCAACTCCCCATACGCACCCTCCACTTCACTAATTCCCTGCCCTTGAATCCAATACCCTTTACCATTACCCTGTTCCGCCGTCGCAGCAACAATAATCGCCCATGCCGCATCCTCGGGCGAGCTTTTCAGGGTATCCGGGTGTGTCGTCGCCTGGAGACCCTCGACCATCGGAGTCAACGTCAACCACGGGGCAATCCACGAAATAGACACACCCGCCTCGACAACTTCACTAATCTGCGCAGTACTACGGGCAAGACCGAGGACTGCATGTTTAGTCGCGGTATAAAGCGGCTGCGAAGAGACAGGCACGTAAGAGCCCGCAGATCCAACAACAACAATTCGGCCTCCGCCGTGCTGCTTCATATGATGAATGCCCAGTTTCAGGCCGAAAACCACAGAGTTCACATTCACATCGAACAGCTGGGTTGAAGGTCGCTCCAGACGAGTGCTGCCCTGAACGTGGGCATCTACCTCATCGGCGAGGTAATTATAGCGAACCTGCGAGGCCATCTGATCCCGCTGTTCGCCGTTGGAAGTTTGTAACAGTACAATCTCGGGGTTGATAGCAGCATTACAGACCAGCAGATGCACTGCGCCGATAGTCTTCGTGACATGATCGAACAATGCTACCTGCTGATTCCAATCGCTCACATCGCAGGTCTGATATGTGGCTCCATGGCCGACCGTCGCACACGCTGTCTTCAGGGCATCCTCGTGCAAGTCTACCAGGACCACGCGGGCACCATGTCGAGCGAGAAGCGATGCAGTTGCAAAGCCAATCCCGCGAGCTGCGCCGGTCACGATGGCGACGCGGTTGTTGAGGAGATTGTGGACGGTTGAGCTGTCGGGTCTGGGGATGGTTGTCATTTTGGGCGAGGCGTGGAGGCTTAATCGATCAGTTTCTGGTATATGTGAGAGGCTAAGGCCGGTCTTATATGCGATTTCATCCTGTCTAGGCCCGCACGGAGCTCGGTCTATCCGTTTTCCGTCTTTTACATCGCACTAGTGTTCACGTCTCTAGCCGAGAGCAAGGAGAATCGATTACAGATGTGGTCTAATTATCGCTTACTTTTATATGCAATTACTTGATCATTCATTTATATAATATTCCAATTCCATCTTGTCCTCCCAATTTCTGCACCTGCACCCCTAGTCTCATTTCAAAAGCTGGTCATAGCCCTATCCCGATTGGCAATAGCCTGCTGTGTCACACCAGCCAACGGCGCAAATGCCTCAAATCCATGTGGAAGACCAGGATAAATATGGCATTCAGTGGGAATATCTGCCGCCACAAATCTGCGCACATATTCCAGTCCCTCATACACAAAAATATCCAGCTGTGGACAATCTAGATACAATGGAGGAAGTCCCACCACGCTCTCTACCCGCGCCGGTGCAGCATACGCCTCAATCTTGTCCGTTCCTGCATCGGGACCAAGATATGCCGTCCAACCAGTGATATTGTCAATCTCCGTCCAAAACGCCAGGTCCCCGGCATTATTGGTAATTGTCCGGTCGTCCAGCATGGGGTAGATCAAGATCTGCTTCGCAATTGGAGGAGATAGAGCCGCATCGCGAGCTTTAAGCGTCAACGCCGCAACCAATCCTCCTCCTGCACTTTCGCCCATCAGCGCAATACGAGCAGGATCGATGGATAGCGAAGCTGCATTATCATACACCCATCGAAGCGCAGCCCAGCAGTCGTTCAAGGGAAGTGGGTATGGATGTTCGGGTGCTAGTCGGTAATCGATCGTCAAGATCTGGACTCCTGTGCGTGCGACGGAGGCAATATGTGGGACTGAGCACTGTTCGGCCGTCAAGGAGATGTATCCTCCACCGTGGATGTGCACGATGGCTGGCTTTTCGTCGTCACGAGCAGCACTGCGCTTGCGGAAATGATATACCATCACTTGGTGACCATCGGATGTTGCAACGTGATGAACTAGTCTCTCCACGTCTTCTGGCAGTGGAGGCAGCTCGCTTGTCATTGCTGCCAATAGGGCTCGTCGGGTTGTAACATCATGGAGCGGTGGTTTGGGGGCTTGTGCTAATTGTTGCAACACTGGGCCGGCCTCTTTGAGGAATTCGGGATGATACTGTAGAGACATTGCAATAGCGGTAGGATGTATGTCATTCAATGAATGTCACGCATGAGCAATCAGTTTTCTCTATTCTTTGCGCTTTTACTCCGCAATTTATCGTGACGCCCTCAGCTTTGGCAACCAAATCTCCGCATCCGCTCTGTCCTTTTAGCGTCCCGGTTCACGACGCTCTATTCCCCATTCATCTGTTCCTTTCGCCTATTTCGCAATCATCCTCTCCGCGATCCGAGTCATTTGACTCTACTCTTCCCCTCGGATCGCATTAGTTCCTGTCCCCGATAGCGCGGTTTGATATCCCCATAGCTCCACCCTCAGTGTGGGGAAAACACCCTTTAGGTAGTTGACAGCGAGATGTGCCCGTCCTATCCATACTCACCCGCTGGAGTCGATACCAGACAACTCCATTGTGATTATTGAGTCCATATTCTCAGCATCCACTGATAGTCCACGACTCCACATTATGTCATTGCTTCTAAAGCACGGAAGTATCGGTATATGGACGGAAGTATCGGTGCCATATACCCTAGGTTGTAAAAGCCTTAGCCGCACATCATAATATTCTTTCTGTTGAAAATTAATATTGCGATCAAAATGAGTCACCAATTGCCCACATTTGATCAGCTGCCACCGGTTGAGGGCATGCCCCAGGGCTGTGCATGGGGTATCTTCGATAAAGATGGGCAGAAAGACGTTTTTGGGACGCTCAACCTATTGACACCAGAGGTAATCAAGGCCGCAACCGCAGAGGTTCGAAGGGGAGTTTCTGTCTCTCTCAAGTAAGTTTTAATCCGATTATACTGATATTTGCGAACTACTTACAAGTACGCAGCTGGCCCCTCGGGAGTATCAAGAATCCTAATTTCTTTCGCAAGAGCCTTGCTCACAATGTGATGAAGTTGGAGGATGTTGAGGACGGGTCGCATTATGGATTCGACGAGGAGGTATGATGCTATTCTTAGATTGACTGCAATATATGCTTAAATGCTAAATGAGTCCAGATTGAGTTCAATACTCAAGCAAGCAGCCAGTGGGATAGTTTATGTATGTTCTACACAGAGGATAACTGTAAGGTCGGGTCTAATCTATGAACAGGCCACTTTTTACATATTCCTACGGGAATGGCATACAATGGAGTGAAACCCACCGTTGCTGGGCTACAGAATCCAACCACTGCGACCGTAAACCTCCCTACTCTTGACAGTCAGTTATCCTATTCCAGAACATACTACGAATTGTAACATTGAAATTATCAAGAATGGCACGACCGAGGTTGTATCGTCGGCCGCGGCGTTTTAATCGACTATAAATCCTACGCCGACCACCATGACATCCAATACTCCCCCTTCAGCGGGCACCGCATCAGCACCTCCGACATAGAGGCCGTAGCCGCATGGCAAGGCACAAAGTTCCAACCCGGTGACATTCTCATCGTTCGCTTCGGGGTGACTGAGGAAATCGGCAAAATGACCGCCGAACAACAAGCCACCGCGATGTCTACTCACCATGCATGCGGACTGGAAGGCACCGAAGAGATGGCCAGGTGGATATGGAACAAGCATTTCGCAGCGGTGGCCAGTGATAATGTTGCTGTAGAAGCCATGCCTCCGATGCGCGATGGTAAGGAGCAACCATTGACTCAACTGGTCTTGCATCAATGGTGTCTGAGTATGTTTGGTCTGCCGCTGGGTGAGCTGTGGCATCTCAAAGAACTGGCGGAGCGGTGCGAGGCTGAGCAAAAATGGACGTTTTTGTTGACTTCGGCTCCTTTGAACGTGCCAGGGGCAGTGGGTAGCCCAGCCAATGCGCTGGCCATTCTTTGAAGCCAAGCTCATTAGATACCATCCTGACATTCATCGCACTGGGATTGTTGCAATTCCTGAGGATAGCAAAGGAGAACCAAAAGATTAAGTCCCTATAAAAAAAGGTTCTGGCCAAGCAATAGCGAAATACGCTGTGAAAGCATGAGTACGATTTACCTAGACGAGAAAAGCTTTCAAGATCAATCCTTTTTTAAATCTAGCAACTTTCAAGACTCCCCGATAATGAACAAATGAACAAATATAAACAGGCAGAGCTCGAGAACTCTATATAAATCGAAAGACCGTGACAGGAATTGTCCCATCACGACGATGTATGAAATCCATCCCAGTTCTCCAGCGCCTCTGTGCAGCACTTCCACCAACTCGGCATCCCACCAAGCCAGATAAGAGGCTCTCGTCGCTTCCCAGGAATATTTGCGCCCATATACCACGAATCTGTCTTAGGGTACAGAGTTCGTTGACTGGCTTGGAAAACCTGCTCACGCCATTGGTCAGCCGCCTGCTGCGTAGGCTCGATCGAATCGATTCCTTCCTTTTGCATCTTCTCGATGGCATTGCAAATCCAATCCACCTCCATCTCAATGAAGGGTGGTCCGTTTGCCAGAGACGTCGGTGCCTGGGGACCGTACACCATGAACAAGTTGGGGGTATCCGGGACCATAAGTCCCAGGTGAGTAAACACACCGTTCGTCCATTTTTCAGCCAGTGACTGCTGGTTCTTGTCCGTGATCCCGAGGTCTAAAAGGCTACCAGTGACAGCGTCGTAGCCAGTCGCAAAAATGACGACGTCGAGATCGTGATGTCGAGTAAGATCCCCATCGCCGGTCACAATTCCAGAAGCATCAAACTCGACAATAGGCGACTTTTTGAGGTTATGGAGGATAACGTTGGGACGATCAATCATCTCATAGTAATCCTGCTCCAGACTGGGTCTCTTTGTTCCCACAAGCATATGCTGTTTCAATGGAGCCACCAGGTCCATCTTTTCGGTATTCGTCATGCGCTTGCGCACTTTCTGGACCCAGTAGTCGTAGAAAATGCCATTGGTCTTCTCGTCCAGCAGGAAGTCATAGTAGTTTGAGACGAGGAAGCTGTATCCACCGCGAGCCCAAAGCTCGTCAAAGAGCTCTTTCCGCTCTTCGGGCGAAGCCTGATGAGCCGATTGATAACGGGCGTTGTGGGGAAATCCAGAGGCAGATTTGTAGCAGCGGTCAAAGATACCGTCGTAGTAACCCTTCATCATCTCAGCTTCTTCTGGTGCAATAGAGCGTTGATGCATGGGGATAGTGAAGCAGGGTGTGCGGATGAAAACATTGAGCTCGCAGTCTTCTTTGGCCAAAGTTTGCACGATCTGGAGGCCAGATGCACCATTTCCGATAACCCCAACGCGCTTGCCCGTCACATCCAAAGACTTTGGATAATCAGCCGCATGCACCAGTGCCCCATTATACGACTCCAAGCCCTTGAATTGCGGGTAATGCTTCTTGTACGAAGATCCAGTCGCAGCGATGACGTACTTGCAGGTGGCCGTCAAGCCCGTGTTGGTCTGCAAAGTCCACCGGCGTGCAACAGAATCGTATTCGGTTTTTGTCACAATAGTGTTGAAGAATGCATCCTTGCTAAGATCCAGAACGTTATCCACATGCTGAAAATATCGTCGCAGTTCTTCGTCACCCGGGAATCGCTCCGAGAAATTCCACCCTTTCCAGACGGCAGGAATATTGAACTGATACGCGGGTGTTTCCGAGTCCACACGAGCTCCAGGGTATCTGTTCCAATGCCAAACTCCTCCAAAGGCACTACCAGCTTCGATAAGCTTGACAGAGAGGCCGAGATTGCGTAGCTTATAGAGGGAATTGCATCCTCCGAAGCCACCACCGATGACAATGGCATCGGTCTCGATATGAGGGCCGATTCGAGTCATCGTTGTCGCACACAATCAGGGTAATTGACAATGTAAGAAAGTTCCGGATTAGCAACTGTGTTCGATTTGGATGTTGGAAAAAAGCACCTTTTCATCCATTGTGAAAAGGCAATTCAGCCAGCACGGAAGATCCTCACCCGTCGAATCTGAGACGGAGACCTGGTATCCGAAGCCGGTGAGTTCCAATTTGGGTTTCACTCTCAACAATATTGAATAGAAGTAGTGCAGATCCTCGTTGTGTAAATGTCCCAACTGAAAAAGGAAATCAACCGCGAGAAGGTTTACCACATCGACCCACTTCGGCCCCACGCAACGCCACAAGCGATACGCATGGACAGCACCGCGTAGAAGGATCCAAAGGAAGGAAGTCCTGCCTGGTATTGCGGGGGTTTGAAGATGATTTTTATTTCGGAATCTTCCATCTCCGCATCCGACACAGAAGAAACGATGCGAGGTACGACGCTTGTCAGGTCCGTGGAACCGAGGGAGGTACACAGAATGGACTCGGTTCTTTAAAAATGAGCGCTTTAGATGTGACTTGGGAGCCCTTAGTGCCTGGATATTGCCGCCACTGTTGCGATTATTGCTAACAATAGACTTCTCGGGATTCTAATAGAGAAGGAGTTCCTAGTCCAGAATCTTGCTGCTCTCTTTTTTATTTCTCCATAACCTCCAGACTCAAAAATCCCATTAACCTGCGCTGATCGACAAGTTCAGGTCGTACCACCAGCAAATATGGCGTGTCAAGTCAAAGGAACAGCATTCATTACCGGCGGCGGCTCAGGAATCGGCAAAGCCACCGCTCTAGCTTTCGCGCAAAACGGCATCCAATCCATGGCCCTCGTCGACCTAAACCTGGCTCTCCTTGAAAAGACTCGTGACGAGCTCCTCGCCCAATTCCCAAAAATCAACATAGAAACAATCCAGGCAAACGTTGCCGACGAAGCATCCGTCGAGAACGCAGTGCGCCAGACAATCGAGCGCTTTGACAGTATCGAATTAGGCATCAACTGCGCTGGAATCAGTGGAACTCCCACACCAACGGATAAGATGACGCTCGCTGAGTGGCAAAAGGTTATTGATGTCAATCAGACTGGTGTGTGGCTATGCCAGAGGGCTTTGATTCGGCAGATGTTGCAACAAGAGTAAGTGATACCTTTTGACGATTGATTGTGGAAGCGGTGATCTGACTTGAAAGCAGGCCGCGAGGTGGCCGTGAAGGACGAGGCGTCATTGTGAATGTCTCGTCGATGTTTGGCGTTAGTGGTCCTCCAGGCCCATTCGATATTCCTCACTACACAGCGGCGAAACATGGTAAGTCCGCTCGGTTCCCTCAATTTGGTCCCTGGATTAACAATAGCAGCTGTGGTTGGTTTGACCAAAATGGTAAGATATCGTTCCCTAAACTCTAGATCTGAATATGTAGCTAAAGGAGACAGGACGCGAAAGCCTACTCGCGACAGGGAATTCGCATCAATGCTATATGTCCCGGGTACGCCTCTTTTTCATTCTCTATTACATCTGATGAAACCTAAAAGAAATCGATAGCTTCGTCGATACCCCCATCATCAAGCAGCAAATTGAGTCTGGGTCGATGAACCCCGCGTTTGAGATGACGCCTCTTGGACGGCCAGCGCAGGTGAAGGAAATTTCAGACGCGATACTATTCTTATCCTCTACTATGAGCAGCTATATGTGTGGTACAGCGCTAGTAGTTGATGGAGGGTTTACCGTCTAGGGATTTTATGCGTAGATTATTTTGTTCTATGTGAATTTTGTATATTCTGTACAGCAAGGCTGTTGTTAAATTGACTCGCATGGGTAGCCAGGATCTATACGAGCATAATATCAAAGTCTGCCTCTTTAGCAATCTCCTGCCAATGGATATCCTTCCCTGGAGCCTGTGCACGTCTCTGCCAGAGCTCTCGGACAATTTCGCCAAGTATGTTAATGTTTTGTATGCCATGGCGGCTCTTGCGGTCAAATGAAGCCAGCATGCGGGCTTGGAGATCCGCACGTTCGCATTCAGCAGCGACGACGAAGCTGGCCCAGTTGTAGGCACAGCCTCCTTTATCATTGCTTAAGGACTCAACGGCTTCCAACTCTTGAACGGCTTTCTCTACCAGATCTTGAATCTCGCAAAGTGGTGCATGACGCAGTGTTCGGCGGAAGTAGATTATGGTGGCATAGTAGAAAGAATTGAGTGCATGTTGTATGATGATTGATCCCGGGGCATCGGGTGTGGATGAGGATGGGAAATTGAGGTAGAGCTGCAGCTCGAGACGATCCAGCTCCTCCATCGAAATTTCAGAGTATGAGTCGGCGAGGAATGTGATGTGTGCCAGAAATTGGACCAAGGCTGCGGTAATGCCATGCGATCGTTCCAAATAGTGCCGTAAATCTGATGATCCATCCAGTAAGGACATCAGCTGCGACGACATGGGTAGACTGCAGAGTGATGATAGAGACAAATAGCTTTGTAACAAGCGAGAAGCTATAGGCCCTGGAACCCAGCCTCCATGGATCTCGTTTTCTAAAAGGCCAAGTCCCCCAGCAACATGTGCTCTCCACCGGCTTCTGCGCCCAGACATTGCTTCGGCGGTAATGCAAGTGAGCACAGCAGCCAATGTGGGTTCGTCCAGTCGTTTGGCTCGTTGTAAATTCTGGCGTAAATGGCGCAGAGCGAGTTGGTCATGGTACATGGCTACAGATTGATATCGTGGATCTCGGCGGAGGTGGAAAAGGCTGAAGGCGGAGGATGCACATATAGCATGGAATATGGAGAGATGGATATTAGACTCATTTGGGGCTGCATCAAGCCCTTTGAGGGCCATTGGCATGAATATCGTCCTGCAGGGGTTATCGGGTGTATCAATTAGCAGCATGTTGCCGCTGAGAAAGACCACCCAGTGATGAACGAGTTCAGTTTCGGGTCTTGGGAGTTGTGTAGGATTGATGGCTATCCTGGGGTAGATATTCCTCGATAATGATTGTATCGGTATCAGATCTTTGCCTTGGTTCTCATCAAGACCATGCTGCTTCTCGGGATTCTGGCGATCGGCCAGTGAGAGCAGCTCAGTCCGATCACTGTCACTTGAACCGGGAGACTCGGATGGCATCGGCGAGGGCCGCTTGTCATCGCTGGACATGGAGGACAAAGCACTTGTAGAAATCGATACCTCAATATTATGTTCCGGCGACGGCGCAGTTATGAAATCACCATTAGTGGTTGACTGATCCGAGGTTGAGATGCTTCGATCAACGGCATAGCCAGCACTCTCCGTACCATGCGAGGGTGATGAATATGCGCCATTCTTCTCCCCATCATCTGCAGATATACACTCATCTGATCCAGGGCTTGACGTGGAGAACACGGTGAAAGGCCCTCGTTGCTGGGACGAGCCATCCCCAGACCATTCATCTAGCTCTGCTAAAAGAGCCGTCACAGCCACTGAGGACAAGTCCGGCGTTGATTGTGGAGCAGATAACCATATCTGCCGCCGTTGCGACCGAGTTCCTGGCGTTTGAGACCATCCCAGACGCAAACCATACCCCTGACACTGCCAACCGCTTCGGGTACAGCGAAGACAATGGGGCCGCTCATCGTCGCATTTGACCCTGCGGGCCCGGCAAGTCCAGCAGCCCGTAAATGTCTTTGAGCGCGCTTTTGGGGCTTTCACATTTGTGGCTTGTGAGCTTTTCGGCATCCCCACGGAGTTTCGCGAGTGAGGGTTTGGTGGATGTTCGGGATGTTGGCGAGTCCAACCAAAATATTTCTTCAAATTTGCCTCCCCGCATCGGCACCCGCCGGTCCCGATCTACGTGAGGCTTGACCCCTGGAACCACGCTACCAATGGGCGATGGTGTGTAGGGTGCTAAGTATTCATTACGGCTGGTCCTTCCTAATTGGATGTAAAAAATGACCTGAAAATGTATGGATTGGAGATTATGACAATTGAAGGTTACTCCTATGGGCCTCCATTTGACTGGAAAAGACATGCAGCAGGGTGTTATTACAAATTAGCACGGTTCTAGAGTACCGTGTAGCTACCATAAGCTCATCAGTACTACGAATTCTTGCTGGAGTCATCTATATCTAGCCCCGGAAAGTGTTTAATTTGACCTTTTTCAAACCTGCTAAGCCTATGACACGTATACCGCATTGTCTACAATTGGCCCGTTCATGTTTATGTGACTGAGCAGAAATTAACAATTTCTAACGATTTCTACCCAGCTGACAAAGAAGGGCATTGCGATAGAGGTTTTGAAAGACCCGTTTGCTGATTATTAATGAAAATATGGCGAAGGAGCTGTCACTGTTTTGGTCTCCTGGAGGATCAACTAGAATTCCAGAATGCTGATATATATTACTCCGGGTGGACCAGACCCGCAATGTGGAAGAATATTCAGGCACGGGCAGAACATAGATAGGCAACTATTGAGAAGACATGTACGCATCTTTAGCAAATTGAGTGACTGTCCACCTCATTAGTTACATGAAAAGAGGGACCGGAAATCCAGAAAATCAACTAGGAGGCTTGACCCGAATAGCAATGCCGACTAAAAATGGAAACGGCAAGACGGTCTTTACGGCACAATCGGGACGGCGATCCCCACAAAGCCACCTGTCCAACTTGCATGTTTAGATGGGAACCTTGATATTTGATCAGCCGGATACATATAATACGGACTGAGCCGACGACATAGGGTCCCAAGGGTTCCTATGAAGAACGTTTGTACTTCGATATAACATCATAAATGTACTAGATTAAGGAAACGGCCGAGTGAGTAGACTTGATCGAGCTTTACAAAGGGAAAGGAAATAGAACCTGCAGGAGTCAAACTGACACCGAACAGGTACCGAAAAATACATGTCAATCGAGGGGTTTGACAGAAAGTACGGCGCGCCAGGGCTCTCTCTATCTGGAGCCTTGTCGGCATCAGTGCTATGGATTTACCCACGTTTGAACTAGATATGCCACTAATTTTGGCGCACCATGGGGCTAAATGGCCAATCCATAGTTCTAAATACAGGAAAGAGGCTCCATAATGTGATAATCTCATGATCTAACAGTGAACCCATAAAATACGCGGCACTTGGTCCGCCAAGTTTTTCAAAATAGATCAGCTAGGACCCTCGCTAGCGACAGTGATGATGAACTAACTTATCGAAGCAGTGCGGCTTTCTCCAAAGGAAAGGTAATCCATGTCATGTTTTAAGCATGTGGCCTGAGCTTGAGACATGTCGTCAGCTATGATGGACTTTCCAGCCACGAAGAGCAGTAGGTTGAAATGATATCCACCAGGCATCGGCATGGCAATCCAGCTGGTCATTTCGAGACCCTCGAATCCCCTGAGGCGGGCAGAAAATTGAATATGAGCGGGGAATTGATTCGCTATCAAGACTAACTCATTGTGGCTTTATCGGATCGTTGGTGTATAAGATGATACTGAAAACCCGGTTTCCTGCCAGGTAGTCAAGTAACCTCTTTCAGCTTCATTTTCCCCGGAGAAGTTCTACACTTCGTTCCACCCATTGGCATATAATTCACTTGCTCAAATAAACATAATTGCCCTCCGTTATGCCTGTCACCACCACCTCAAGTATCACTTCTGCTTCGGCGACCTCCAGCTGCCATGCCAAGCTATACGACATTCCTACGCATGATGCCGCCTGCGCCATGCCTATGAAAGGCAACTACTCGGCAATTATGAGTAGTTGTTGCTCTTCTGCTTCTGTGGTCGAGTACGATGGGTGCGATTATTACTGCTTGGCTCAGGGTCAGACCGTTGGTGATCTCGCCGAATGCCTCATCAAGGCGTCCGAGCCTGGCCAGGTTTGGTGCAATACCAATGCCAACGCTAGAGCTACCGCGACAGAACCCACTACTGGCACTGAAATCATCACTCTCAGTGCCACAACTACTGGCACTGATTCCACGTCCTCCGCCACCTCAAGCAGTGCCACTGCGAGCTCAACTGCCAACGCTGCTGGGTCTGTCGTACCTCATCCTGTGTCCAAGTCTGCCGTTGGAATGGTTGTCCTTTTGTTGGCCGGGTCAGCAGCAGGATATTTTGTTTAGAGCCGCGGCAGATATCGTTATCAAGACAAGGCCCTAAGTTGGTGCTTTTGGTGCTTTTGCATCGATATGTTTATCCTCTCGGGATCTCGGGATGTTTCGGATGCCTCGGGATTCAAGATTCGGCGAGAAGGAGCTTTCAACTTGCCGATGACGATTGTGATGCTCAAATTACTGTCAATCTTCTTCGCTTGTCTTGCAGATGTGAGATAAGAACCCGAGTTCGTCTCGCAAGCTCTTTTCTTCAATCACTTTTCGTTGCAAAGCTTGCATTATATTTATCAGAGGTTACTGGACCGAGTTGGATGCGTGATGATTCTCTATTGTAAGCCCTCGCAGGATTAAGGATACGTGACAAGACACCGAAAAACAAGCGTCGTAGTCGATAAGCCCAGAAATGCAAGAGACTTTTCTATGTACACAGACGAAAAGCAATAAAAAGTACAAACCCAGAAACACACCCCATTCCCAACCCACGCAGAAATGCGAAACATGGATGCTTTGAGCGCCGGAGTGAAGAGATCTGCAAGGGAAAAGAATAAAAAAAGCCGTTGTAATACATTGCAGGTGGAGAAAGAAGCTGGCGGTGATCGGTTACCGCTGGGGTCATGGATGGTAGGGCGGGAAGGGTATGGTTGTTCGGGCCATCCGAAAGGATGATAGTATGACAGAGACTGGTCATGCCAGTATTATTTTAAAAGAAGGCCTTTCGCGTCACCTGCAGCAAAAAAAGTGTTAGCAAAGCTTGTGGACAAGTGGTGCATCATCTTCGGGGAACGTACAGCCCAAGCACCAGCAATTGAAGCCACGATGCCTCCGGAGATCATCATGGGCTTAACACCGCGTGTGCTCTTGAAAAGCATGCCACTCAAGGCACCAGCCGCCACACTGTTGGCTGAATCGTGCTTGCCGCGCGCATATCCGATAGCCGAGTTGAAACCATTGTAAACCATCGCGACAACACCCGCGGAGTTACCGAGGAACGGACCGCGGCGGGTGATCGAGTTAAGCACACCGTTCAGTCGGATCTTAGGGGGAGCAGTTGCTGGCGTCTTGTTCAGTCCTTCCGCAAGACCCCATGCGCCACCGAGGGTGAGAGCGGCCAAGTACGTGGTGCCGGCGCCGTAGCAAAGGTCGTCGGACCAGCCGCGAGAAGGCAGAACGGAGCGAGAGCCGGGCAGAGAATCAAGAGCGGAGTCTTCAAGGGTCAAATAATCAAGAGTATCCTGGTTCAGGCCGGCCAGGGGATGGAGTCTGGTGGGATCGGGAATGGCGACTTCGGAAAGGAAGGAAGAGGCATCTGGGGCGTTGGAGTCATAAGGAGAAGGTGCCGCGGTCTCCTTGCGGCCGCCGAGGTTGTCCCAGATAGCCATGATGTGTGAGAAGGTAGAGAGATAAGATTATTAGAATACACGACGACGAAACTGAAGAGGAGGACGATGGCCCTTGATCGCAGCTCCACCGACTGTCGGCGCCAGCAAAAACTTCGGTCCCGTGACTGAGGGATACACGGAATATAGTTATCCCGCCACTAGTCCGCTTTGGGTATCCCACATCCAAAAATTGGCCATGTTGAAGCCTGAGGCAGCGCGGGGAGCTTCGGACAAATTCAATATTTCTGTGAATTTGGAGTACAGTCTGATTGCAAAGAAACCAGGTCATGCGGGATTGCACAGGTCATGGATGCTGAAATGTCCCGTGGCGCCGAGTGCGCTACCGCAACCAACATGGATGACATTGCGCAGAACGTACAATTCTTGTCAGAAAAGGTTCTGCAAGATATTGCCAAAGGTCAATTAGTCAAGCTTGCCTTGAATTGTGACGATAGCCAGTGAGTTTTAGTATATCTGGACGCTCCCAAATGGATCTCACTCACGCTTCTTGAATAGGAAGGTGGACCGAGTCTGGCAGTCATTGATTCAGACAGTTTCAACGCCGTCTCTGTCTAATCAGCATACAGCGGCAGCGTGCAATGCCGTCTCAGCCTTCCTGGATGCTGCTGCAACTTCCAAAATTGAACAGACAAAGCAATTGGCTCTCTCGTCAGAGAACTGGCTTGCGGTGTTTGAAGTATTTCTCAGCCGATATGAAGATGCGAAACCGAAGCCGCTCAAGCAGCTTTTGGGCTCATTGATCAATCTTTTGGCCAAGTATATGCACGGGCTCAAGAAGGTTGAAATACAAAAAGCAGTGACGGATGCGATTATTCCAAGTATCGTGCTCGGTGAGCCTCGATCACGATTGAAGGGTTCGCTGGTGTGCTTTGAGCTTGCAATCCGCAAAGGCGCCATCCGCGGCTCTGATTTCATCTCTTTGCTACAGAGATGGCTCGGTGGGAACCGTGAAGGATGGGTGCATGTTTTTGAGAATACCCAGGAAGCCCTGTCTCTCAACACCTCTGAAGACCTTTCCGGCCAGCCATCCAAGGAGCTGGCAGCAAAGGTTTTTGTGCTTGGCCTCCTTACCCAGACGAACAGCCGTGATTTGTCCGGATCATGCGGAAATGTTCTGGGTGCTCTTTTGCAGAAGTTAAAGACTGAATGTTCGGAGTGGTCAGTTTCCGCTATCTGGGTTGCCCCTGTTCGGTACATGATGCTTCATATCGTGGATAACCTGGAAGCCATGTCGAGCCAAATCCTTCAGCCAATCTTCTCGGCTGATCCTACTGGCTTTATGGCCTTTGTGGAAAGCCTGCCCCTTAAGAGCCTTCTCGCAGGTGACATGACCGAAGCCGAGGATAAAGAGTATATTCTACTTTTTGCTGCTTTGCAAATAGGCAAGAAGACTAATCTTGTCCACGAAGATTGTAAGATGAACAGTCGAAGAAAATTTCGAGATGTACTTTCTAACTGATAATAGATGATGGCTCGAAGCCAAGTGAGTCCAAGCGTGGTGCACCGCAGAAATTGGTGCTTAAGAGCGAGGTTCTGGGCAACTTCCTGCTTCATCGTGAACCCAATATCCGGATCGCGGCCTTATCGCTGTTGGTAACTGCGTTCTCGACCATCAAGCCATTCACATCAGCTGCCACTGACTCAATTCTACGTGGCCTGCCGTCCATGCATGCCGACTCTGATTCTTACAGCAGAGGCGAAATTATGAGTCTTACCAGGAAGCTCATCATCCGCCTCAAGAGTGGCATTCTCAAACAAGAAGACTCGGGGGTATCAGCGAAGGGGCCTTCTAATCTGCCTTCCGGTTTGGTGAAGAGCGATGATGAAACAATGACCTTCCTACGAAAATATATCAACTTCATTGCAGGCGATCTTGTTGTGACTGCGTCGTACCCACGACATATCAGTGCACTTAAAGCTCTGAAGCTGTTGCTCGAGTCCAATCTGGACCCTCGCACAAACATCCCTCCAGCGAAGTCCGAGGTGGAAACACGCTGGAAGTTCCACATGAATGTCTTCGAACCGCGACTGCTCCGGCTGCTGGTGGACCTGCTTCTTGATCCTTTTGAAGAAGTGAGGCATACTTCTCTGTTGATCATAAATATTTTCCCTCAGACGATATTGATTCACGGCTTTGAAGCCATCGGCAATCACTACCCATCTGTGTGCATGCGCTTGACGGATGCACTGGCCCGAGCTGAGTTTACTGCCAGCAATACTAGTCGGGCTGACCATGCGGATACGGTTGCTCGCCTCTATCATATCTTGTTCTGCGCTGCTCTCCCGACTAGCGCAGCCTCGACTGGTGCAGACTGGTGGTCAACAAAGACGTCAGTTGTCCACACCATCTTAACCAAATTGGAGGAGCGTCTCTCATCTTCGAAGGGTCTCTTCAACTCAACTTTACGTGAAGCGCCTCTTCATGGATACATGTCTGGACTAAGGTAAAGTAACACTCAGCTTCGAAATACCGACCTCAACTAATCGAAAACTATTTAGATATATTGTGTTGATGCCCGACTTCCATACCCTTCTATTGAATGGTTCGGACATTGGTGTGTGGCGGTCAATCCACGATCGTATCGTATCTATCTGTGATAGAGTATGGGAAGAGGTGAAACCTGTTTTGTGCATCGACTCTCCAGAGGGTCATACCGACGATCCGATTGAAGATCTCGCTGTTGGACCAAAGGACATCCTCTCTTACTCGTGGAGAGCTCTTCGGGAGTCCAGGTATGCTTCGGCTTCAGACCGGGAAAAGATATCATTGCTAATGGAAAATAGCTTACTCCTACATGCTACCATGTTCAACACGACCTACGGACCTGATGGCCCGAATGGACTTCAGTGTGCAGATTTTGAAAAGGTCGGCCGGGCTAGCTTCACCCAACTTGCCGAGTTGCGACACCGTGGCGCGTTCTCTACTGTCTCACAAACATTTGCCACCTGCTGTGAACGGTGCAGCAATTCGAATGATGCATCAATCCGAGAGCTTCCAAAGGTTTGGTACAAAGAGGCTAGAACCACGATTTTTGAGTCGGCTTCCAAGCTGACTCGACGATCAGCCGGGTTGCCTGCGCTGGTTACGGGTATACTTTGCTCTTTGCACCGAACTCCTTTCTTTAAGGAGGCCATGGATGACCTTCACGATATCTCGCATCTTCCTGTCGAATATAATAAGGAGCAGCAGTACTTGGAGCTCCCCCAGGTCCATGCTATGAACTGCTTGAAAGATATCTTCACCAACACGAAGCTCGGTCCCTTTACTGAGCCATTCATCATGCCCGCACTTACCCTCTCTGCTGAGCGGCTCGGCTCTCCTATGTACGTGGATAACTCTCACATCTCATCACTCTTATTAATGTTTTTGATTCAGTTGGGCTCTTCGCAATTCCGGTTTGATGCTCTTCCGTGCTCTGCTCACCAGGATGTGTCGTATGGTTCCTGGAGCTGTAGCTGGATTCGGTGGTGTATCGGGGTCTGAGCCTGGATCGAAGATCTCATTCCCCAAGTACCCCGGTCTGCTTGAGCTGCTATCCAAGCTCCTGGCACCAACCGAGGGCACAACTGCTCAAGAGGGCACTGATATTATCACCGAGCGTATCTTCCCCGCCTTGGAGTTGGTTGGAGAGAAAGTTCCCACTATCGGAGACGACTATGACGCGAAGCTATGCAAGCTTGTGCTAGCGCACTTCCACAGCCCAGTCTGGGGTATTCGAGAGCATGCTGCTCGTGTCTATTCATCCCTACTGACTAGGACGAATATCCTCAAAGACGTTGAAACTTTGGTCAGCCTCATTCAAGAGAATGTATCTGAGAACTATATCCACGGCGTAGCTCTCTGTATTCGGTACTCTCTCCGCCGCTTCGCCGCATCAACTGATGCGTTCTGGACAAGTATGATGCCTCAGCCCCTCTGGTCCTGACAACAGTTCCACTAACCGCCTGACCATAGACCACCTCCAGGATCTTCTTGTAACTCTGCGGAATGTATTGGCGACGTTGCTCTCAGCTGCGAAGTCTCCTTCCGTTGCCACCTGCGTTATTGACATATTGAATGATACCATGGAACGAAGCATTGCAGGTCAAGCTGAAGGTACGTTGAGACTGGATGGAAGTAATTCATGGAAGCTAATATTCTATAGACCAAATCATTGCATTTGTTAATGACATCTACGACCAGCATGACCTTCACGGAGTCTTGAGCTACATCTTCGACGCTTCTCACCCGGGATGGAATCTTGTCAGCCGTACTCGCGCATGTGCCCTCCTCCGAAGAGCCCTTGCATGGTGTACCTTGCTGAAAATGCTCGTTTCACAAGAGTGGACGAAAATCGCTGAATTCTACCACAGCGTCTCCCAATTCGACGCCGATGCTGGCAGTTGGATTCTAGAGCAATTATCGGAATATTTGGCTGGGGAAATCAAGTACAGGAAAGCTTTGATCGACCTGTACTCTCATGTCATCCAGGGTGATCACCCGGCGGATTCCAAGACATTGGCCGCTTCTAACCTGGCCACTGTTTTGGAGGAGATGCTAGCCACCTCAGCAGACGGCATATCCGAGTTCAACCTTCCGTACGTGGAACTGGAGAAGTGTTTCATGGCCGAGCTAGACTATCAACGGTGGAATCGGCATGCTACGGATGCAGAACTTCGTCTTCAAGGATGTCTTCTTGCTCTTCGCGCTTCTTCAGTCCCGGGAAAGTCCCTTTCTCATTTGAACAACAACCTTCAACGTTGGGTTATCAAGTTGCGATCTGCCTTGAGCGAGGAAACAGTGAGTTGATCATCAAAAAGTTATGTGAGGGGGCTGATGACTAATAAACAATCCCAGGAGTTCACTACTCGATACGCAGCCGTGGCATCTGTTCAGAGCTTTTCTAAGGCTCTACGTCCGCAAGGCGATTCAGCACGCACAGATGCATCTCTGCTAGATGTCTATCTGGTTCTTTATGACATGCTCAACGATGACGATGAGGAACTACGAGATATTGCTGCAGCCTCTGCATCATGGGTGCTGTCCTATTCCTCGGTATCGCCCACATCTGCCCTTGCACTCGGCCCCCTGAATGCAAGCGAACTACTTGCAACTTTCATCACTGATCACTACTCCGACTCTGTCTACTTTGCTCGTCGTGTTATGCGGTACCTCACAGGACAGGAGTCTCGCATCAGTGGATCTGACAATCAATCGCGCCTCGTGCCAGTGTCCGTTCTCATGGCACAGCACTGCCAAGAAAGTACCGTCTTGTTTGTTGAGGAGAAGCAAAACCTCTTCATTGACGAAGTCCGTGAAGTTGATATGTGGTCTCGCGTGATCTCACAATTGAAGCGAAATGCCTATCCCGAAACGTTGATACGGCAGATCTCCTGTTGGGTTTCTGAAGGATTAGACCACCTCCTTGTGCTTGTGAATAAGGCTTCCGGTTCAGATGGGCTACTGGGCTGGACTTCCAAACCCGAGTCGTTCGCTTTGGGAGTTCGTGTTATCAGCATTGCTGCATCGCTTTCTTCGCAAAAGTTCAATGTGCCGGAAGCTCTGGATGTCGAACAGGCCGCTTTGCGAAAGCAAATACAGGATCTATTTGATGCTGGACAAAAGGCGTCTCTCCACGATGACTGGCTCTCGCGAATGCAAGTTGCATTGAACAGTGGTATTTCAATGGAACAACAAAATTAGACAGCATTAGCATAGAGAATACCAATTTCCATTTCTGAGAGGCTGTTTGCTCGACCGTATCTACGCTTGTCTTATCGTGCCTTATACTTCCTCGCTCCTGACCTTTTTCCATTCCGTCACGTTACTTCCCATTCAAGAAGGCCGACATGCCCACCTGATCTCAATTGAGTCCTGGCAATCTCGATTCACTTTCCCTCCGTTCGTTTCACGAACCCATCGTCAATCAATTTCGAATCAAATCGGAGTAGGTGTCGCTCTCCGCAAGCTTTCATTCCTTTTTTCGGAGAACTTCATCAATTTTGTCAAATCAGCCACAAGGCTTTATGAGCTCGTAGCTCATCTCGTGAAGATTGCCTCTAAAATAGTCGACTACGTTACTACGGATCGCTTGCAGGTGGCCGGTGGCTGGCAGGCCCTACTCGCCATGCAGGGAAACCAGCTAATTGCCCTTCTCATCGGCATCCTGCTACTCATCATCACCATCGGCTGGTTGGTCTACTGCTGGTATCGACGACATGTCAACATGGGAGTCATGATCAGCCAAGCCCGAGCGCGGGTCAGGCGGGAGCGTCGCCATGCTCAGTGTGATGTGGAGAGAGGCAGCCACGGTCCTGATTATCCCGTTCCCAAATACACTCACTTCGGATGGGTACGACCGAAGCTGAGATATGCCGACATCAAGGAGCCGGAATATGTGGTACTCCGCCGCTTGAATGATGAAGGCAGTCATTACCGGGCCCATACTTTAAGAGAGGGCCGTGTCTCTCCAGCACATGCAGAGACGCGGCGTCCGGGGTACCGCAAGGGAAACACGCGGCCGCAATCGCCGAACAGATCCTATGGACATCAGCAGGGACAAAATCAGCAACAGAAACAGTCAAAGAAACAGAAGCAGAAGCAGAAGCAAAAGAAAGGAAATCAAGGCAACCAAGGCAACCAGAACAACCAAGGGAACCGGAAGAACAACAAAAGAAAGAACAAAAACAACAAAGAAGAGACCCATGAGCAGCCTCAAGAGAACCAACAGCACGATGATAATCACGGTTATCAAGAAGGCTACGGAAATGATCAAGAAAATCGCAACTTTCGCCAGCAGGACGTCCAAGACAGCAATGAAGAGAATCCCGATTGGGGTGAGCAGGGTGCCCAACACAATGACCAAGAAAATCACGACTCTGGCCAACAGGACGTCCAATACAACGGTGGAAGCAATAACGGCTGGGGCCTGCCGGCAGACCGAAGCAACCAAGACAACAATGGTAGCCAGCATGGCCAAGGAAATGACGGCCACAACGACCCTTGGGATAGCTACAATGTTCAAAGTCCCCGGGTGTCTGAGAAAAGTGATGGACACGATCCAAAGAAGACTGGCCAAAGAGACCACAATCAAAACAGATATGAACATGGGCGAAGAAACGGCCAGGGAGGTAGTTCACGGGGCAATGGCTACCAGGACAGGCACTCCTCTAACACACGGGAGAGGAGTATCCAGACGGGGAGCAGTCGAGGTAATAGCCCCGTGCGATCACCAGTCCATGACAGGCAATACAACAACTACGAATGGTGAGGCAGGTCCATTCAATACTTGCAGTGGTGAAAACGGCCGATTATTCTTGGGTTCGACTATCGCACTTCTGTATTCCATAAGGTTGAGCCAAGGTGAACGGAATGATGATGGACACTCGATCTACCCAGGGCGCTTTGATATTACACAGAGAAACATCCATTTACTACGATAGTGTAGTGAGGCTCAGAATTACCTTTTCAGGGAAGTTGTATGATTGCGCTCATGAATCAAATGAGTATTCATTAACTCCTACAACGAAATTTGTTTCATAGAGTTGACCTTGGGCGCTTTTCAAATTGACCATCTAGATTCCAACCAGACGTGAGTTCAATGGATGTTATTCATGGCAAGAACTGACTGCCACATGTACCATGTGAGCATCAAAATGTATGAACGTGATCGTGCAAATGGTATAAAAATACCTGATGCGCTCATATTATCCGCATTGCTTTCAGTGCCTGTCACATAAGACCTGATACTATACCACAACTGTTCCGATTATCGTTCCTCAGGCATCCATGCCGATCACTTCGTCAGTGGTTCTTCCCGCCCGCCGCAGTCGGTGACGTTGGTTCTCCCCGCAGATCCCCAGGCACAGCTTTCCCAGAGTCCCAAGTTCCCAACCTCCAACTCCCGAAGGCTACGTTGTCTGCCTGGCCCCTTCGGTATCCTCAACATCATGTGGAACGATGAGGATAACAACCCCTACGGGGCATTCGACCACCATGAATCCCGCCTGTCCGACTCACTGCATTCAGCCGCCCTGTCCCCCCGTAAGCTATCTCCCCCTCCGCGGCTGATTGCTCTATCACCGCGCTGACTCGAGACAGCTACGTTCGAACAAGATTCCACTCCCCCATCCAGTCGTGACTCCAATATGGATCCGCCAGACTACATATCTCATCCGGAGGATTTGAGTGATCCCGAGGAAGCCGATTATGGAGCCGCAAGCCAACAGTATCCGCGGAAGAGTGTATACGACAGCCGCATTGAGCAGATTCTCTACGAGAATCCGGAAATGCCGATTCTCATTACGGATGCCGGCAAGAATCATGAAGGCGGTGGAAGCTTCATCGTCTATACTATTCGGACCGCGGTATGTTGACATGCGGAGTGGGCTTCGGACGGGGCTAATGGATGGATGACCTTTAGGATCTGGAAGTTCGTCGTCGGTATTCGGAGTTTGCGTCGCTGCGCCAGACACTCGTGAACCTGCATCCGACCCTCATTGTTCCTCCGATCCCCGAGAAGCATAGCATGGCCGACTATGCCGCGAAACCTACCAAGGCCAAAGAAGACACGGCGATCATCGAGCTACGAAAGCGCATGCTCGCAGTCTTCTTGAACCGGTGTCGCCGCATGAAGGAGATTCGAGAGGATGGAGTATGGTGGCGCTTTCTGGATCCAAATGTTAGCTGGGTAAGTCGGGGTCAAGTATATTGCGATTAAGTGGATTTCAGCTAAATTCAAGCTTGCAGAACGAGGTCTTGCACTCCCACCCAGCCTCATCCGTCCCCAAGAACAACCTCAAGGCTCCTCCTCTCGACCCCGCAAACCCGACGCAAGCCCACGGTTGGCTTCCCGTCCCTTCTTCATCCGCAAAGCTCAAGCACGGTGGTGGCGGGTCGTCCACAGCTGGAGGCCCACCTTCATCACCCGGTGATAGTCACGATGTGCCGGTGGTGCCTAACCCAGGCCCCGATGTTCTGGGCCGCTTCCCGCCCGAGTCGCGCAAGTTGAGCGAACAGGAGCTGGACCCTTACTTTGTCAACTTCGAGGCCTCGACCCGAGAATTAGAGCTGCTTTTGCAGGGAAATATTGAGAGGGTGAATCGGCGGACATTGTCACATCTCTCTTCCCTTTCTGCTGATTTAATGGAATTGGGCGCACGCTACAATGGGTTCTCTCTATCCGAACAATCCCCGACAGTGGCTGCCGCGATCGAGCGCATTGGCCAAGCCGCAGATACCTCCTACATTGAGACCGAAGAGCTGTCTACCGCACTGAGTGCTAGCTTTGCGGAGCCGATGCGCGAGAGCGCCCAGTTTGCAAGCGTGGTGCGGAACGTACTACGATACCGGGTCCTCAAGCGTGTGCAAGAAGATATGACCCGAGATGAGCTAGCCAAGAAGAAAACGCTTCTAGACTCTCTTGAGCGCAGTGAGCTGGAAGCCAAGCGAATTGAACAGTATCTTACCCGCACCTCCCCTCAGTCTGGCGGTCCCCGGTCACAGCGATCGCTATCAACTTCTTCCGCCGTGAGCAGCGAAGGCGGCAGCATGGCCGAGCCATCGACCGACTCCGAGTTCCCACCCACGCATGGCGATTCGATCGGTAGCGCCTCACCACCCAGTCCCGCATACAAGAAACCCGAGCCCTCGCCGTCTTCGCCGGCCCACCGCAAGACATCTAGTGGCAACTTTGTGACGAACAAAATCTTTGGTCGCATCAGTCATGCCATCCATGGTTTCGCCGATGTCGATCCCGAACGGACTCGCCGCGATCAGATCGGCAAGACCAAAGAGAGTCTCATCCAGGTAGGTTGATCATTAATCGTGACCAATCAGTCTTTGCAACGAGTACTAATTATTTCATTGCAGCTCGAGCAAGCACTTGATGTATCGGAAAAGGATGTCAAGGACGCTAGCGCAGGCGTGCTGCAGGATCTGCAACGTTTCCAGAAGGACAAGGAAGCCGATCTCCGACGCTACATGGTACGCATGGCGCCTCCGACCTTCCCCGCTGGAATTGGCTCACTAACCAAGACTTGGATATCGTTTAGGTCGCATATGCGCGCTGTCACTTGGACTGGGCACGGAAGAATCTCGAGACGTGGACCGAAGCCAAGGACGAGGTGGACAAGATTGTCGCACGATAGACTGGCTGGTTCCTGTTGGATTTTCACGAGCTTTCTCGGCGTCGACGGTGTTGGATCTCGCGTGGGCATTTCTTCTTCTTTTGTCTTTCCTTTTTCTTGTATCCGTTCTCTTCAGGCGCAAATACCGATATAGCTGGGCCCATTCACGCCCTAGGTGGCATCTACAAACGACTTCCAAACCCAGTTCCTTGTCTTGTAGTTTAGGTCTCGTGTATACACCGGTTTTGTGTCTTGACTCTGGGTCCCCTAGGCTCAAGTTCCTTGGATCTCTCTGTCTTGGCTTTTCTTGGCTCGCGGCGGGTACGAACAGTGGGGAACTTAACTGATCCACGCTGCTTGAGACCAAGTGGTTAGTGCAACCTTGACAAACCCTGTATCAACCACCTCCCAACTGGAGATTGAGATGGTTGTCTTGGACCAGACCCTGCACGGGACAGAGAAAAAGGACCCCGTAATGCCTCCTCTCGCTAGGTACAAAGACACCACCTCCAACTCCGACCCCGTCTACAAGACTTTCCAACGCCCGGTTTGGCAAGGGAGTCAAGCGACGGGAATGGCAAAGGGCACATTCCACAGCCGCCCGAGATGAAGAAGCAGTGGGAAAGAAGTGGGTTCGTGGCGAACGGGAGGATGTCTTTGGTCCGTGAGGGCCTTCAGAGCGGCGATGATCGACAGGAACCGCAACCGACCGGAGCGAACCTTCGACCGGGTTCGCCCTTGCTTGGTGTCAACTGTGTGGACTGCGAGAAGTTGAGAACAAGCACACCGCGAGACACTCAAGATTACTCCGGACTGGACATCTCTCTACAGAATGCGTTGACAGAGGCGAGAAGGACTACACCTCTACGCATCATCTCGAAACATGACACGGTAGTCTTCCACATTCATTGCCAGACAAAGAGTCTCAACGACGCTCCATTCAACACTTTTGGTCCCGGTCATCCCACGCAATTGAGCTTCAAGTTGATCTGCCGAGCATTCCGTGCCTTGCAGCTTATCCCCCTTTCGTCTCTCCTCCAGTGGATCCCACCTCGAGGAAGACAAAACGAGTGGACCTCGATACATCCCCTCAGGACTGAGGGGACATACCCTTCGAACAGCATCGTTACCCCATCGAATCCAAACCCCCCACTACCGTACCGGGTAGCCACTGACAGGGTGGAAACGCCGTGCATCCAGACCTGAGAACGATGAGTGCCTGGATTCAGCGCTGCCAGGATGATCGTCCAGAGCAGCCACTTATCACGGTCGGCGAAGCCGCCCTCTGCCACCGTCGAGGATTTTCCCCAGGGTTGGTCTTTGCGGTCCCTTTGGCATCTATCAATTCCTCGACGCTGGGTGAAGATGCTTGTTCTATTGGGATTGTTATGTCTGTTCACCGTGGGCTTGAGTCGGAGTTTGTATCTGCGCGACGAGGCGGGATTACAGAGTCATGATGCCGTCGTTCTTTTCCCCCTCCACGTCAGACGAGACAGCATACACATGATCCGAACATCATCCGTGTCGGCGATACGTTTTACTTGTATCATGTTGGCGAACACATCTTCATTCATACCGCGCCGAGCATGGCTGGTCCGTGGCGACATGTCGGTAGCGTGTTAGATGCCAACAGCGTTATTCCAAAGGGTGACCGGGCCGTCCCATGGGCTCCGACTGTCGTGGCCGTTGACGGTACTTACTACTGCTACTACAGCGTGAGCAAGGCAGGCTGTCGGGACAGTGCTGTGGGTGTGGCTACCTCCCAATCACCCGGACCGGGCAATTGGTATGACCATGGCGTGGTTGTCCAAACAGGAACGAGCAATGGATCTGATGTGTCACCATATACCATTTCAAACGCCATTGACCCGGCTACACTAGTCCTACCCGATGGATCAGCCTACTTGACTTTCGGAAGCTACTGGACTGGGATCTATCAAGTTCCCCTCGGCAAAGACCTCATTTCCCCGGTCAGCACAACACAACCAGATGCGCGACACCTCGCCTACGAACCCCATGCCATCAGTGCACCAAACCAAAATGCGAACTCGCTCTGCGGTGATCCAACCGGACCGCATGCTATCGAAGGCGCCTTTACTTCCCACCACGGCGGATATTACTATCTATGGTTCAGCCGCGGCCGATGCTGCGATCTCGACAGAGGCACCTTACCCGCCGCAGGCTCAGAATACAGTATTCGCGTGGGACGATCCAGAGATCCCCGCGGTCCATACATAGACCAGTCCGGGAAGAACCTGGTCGATGGTGGTGGAACTGTTATCTACGGATCCAATGCTGAAACCTACGCCCCTGGCGGGCAAGGCGTGATCCGAGTCGGTGATACCGATATGCTATACTACCACTATCGTGAGTCTACACCAACCGACTGTATCATCATCATCATCATCATCATCATCACCATTCACCATGAAAACAAATATTAATGATTCAATGCAGAAAACAAAACTGTGGGCCTTGCATTTTCGGTAAGTCCTCATCTCTCGCGGCACGCTTGTGGACCGAGGAAGATAACCCGCCCGCCGATCCTCCTTCATTCCCCATTTCGGCAATGTCATGAATCTCGGATGAAGTTGCTAATGTTTGCAACAGGATGCCTTACTCGGTTTCAACCCGTTGGAATACGTCAATGGATGGCCAGTCGTGCAAGCATGATCAATCTGAAATTCGCTCCACAGCATGACGCAATCATATAGACAAAAGTGTTGGTTTCATCCTCGGTATCTGGATATTCGAATTTGCGACACCGAGATTGTCGACCTGTCTCGCATTGATCTATTGCCCAATTTACGTGTCTGAGTCTCTGCCATGACAACATGACACCCATCCAAATCCCTGATCGCTTTCCACTCTTCCTCAGTAAAGCCATCGCTCGTGTGTGGCTAATCTGGGGCTCAGAGCCATTGCCCTTTTGATCTCTTTTTTCGCATTGATGGCGTCTACTTGCTTGGGTGTCGTCTTTTGTGCATCTGGGGACACTTTTTTCATTCACAGGCGTTCTCTAGATCTTTCTTGCAGCTTTGTATATGTCGTGCGGCCGCTTGCATATAGAATCGAGCATGGAATACATATGGACTGCTGTGTGCCTTGGGGTACAAAATTTCGCTCATAATTCTTTGACATGTCCTCAAAAGTAATGCCCATTGCAGCCTTATTCCCCCCTCAGTGATGGTGGGCAATACCTGTCATGCTCCATGTACTGTACGAAATAGCAGTCATCTTGGCCCAGTTGGAGCGATATATATGACTTTCGCTCCAGGCTTTCCGCCGTGGGCGGTAAGTAAGCCCCATCGTAGACCCCCTTGAGGTTTATTCATCTAGGCACTGATTTGCTAAAATGCCCAGTTATGTCAACCCGGGTATCCAAAATTTAAAAGTTCATCGCTGATGCTCTACCATACCTGGGACCAGAGCGGTATAGCTACCAGTCACGTGAGAGCAGGCAGCCCTAATATCTATTTAAGCTAAAGGCTTGGACAATTAAATTTCACGACAGGAACCAGGTTTAATAGTTCCAGTTACATCATTCGTGCAGGATAGCTAGTTTTAGTGTTGATCCTGTACCTCAATTGTGCTCATTCTATTTTACACCGCACATAGCTATGTATTGCACAAGCAAAGATATTGCAGACTGTTTACTGTGAAAGACAACAAGGACTCGATCATAAGGGCTACTTCCAAGTACCAGTTACATCCATGCAGTGCCAATATTCAATCTGTGGAGGACTATGTGTTTCCGGGTGTTTTTACTAAAGCGATTGCTTCGTGCAGGAGGTGAAATGGTCCCTCCTGTAGGTACTCCATGTCATTGTCCAACCAAAACCATCTAACGCACCATTCACCGTCCATTCTAGTACCGAAGCAATCGATCAAGTCAAATTCAGGCATGTCATTGCAATTGTGAGGCTCTTACCTCGACTCACAATCCCTCTCTCGCACCCTGTTGTCGGACCTTTTCTTCTTCCCCGAATCATGAATCCCCCTTTCATCGCAGCTCATTCACTACATACCACATACTCCATAACACTTCTCCATTCAAGTTCATTATTCCAAAACTTGTGCTACTCGTCATGACATCCGACAATGTGACCTCCTTCGCCATTTCATCGGACGACATCAAGGCCCTCGATCACCCCAACGTTGAAATGAGGCGCTCGGCCTTCTTCCGAAACGGATACCCCACGTTACCTTCCCCGGAAGTGGTCCGCCAGCGTGCTGAGACACAGAACACATCATTAGGCAAGCTACATGAAGATGAGAAGGATTCTGCTATCTGGGAAGAGGAGGACAACCTGTTATGGCGCCGACCCCCCGTCATCTTCCCATGCATGAACCTGATTGTCAAGTGGGGCGGTTTGGTCCGACGAGAAGAGGGCATCAATATGTATGCCATCAAGCAATTCCTGCCGCAGATTCCTATGCCAGAAATTTATGGCTGGCGCACTGATGGAGAAGAAGTCTTTTTGTACATGGAGTACATCAGAGGCCGCAAGTTGGACACGGTCCTGGAAGAAATGACCCATGCAGAGCATGCACTGGCCATCCGAGACCTCCAAAATATGCTGAGTGATCTCCGTCTTCTGCGACAAGTCGAGAGAGATGCATTCGTTGGTAAGTTCTCACTTTCATCTAAAAGAACGCATCATAGTAACAGCACAGACACCTAACATGTTGATAGGAAGCATGGTTAAAACAGCAATATACGACAAAACCTTCTATCGCTCCTACATACACCGACACATGTATACCTTTGACTCCGTCCAGATCTTCAACCTTTCGCTCTCCTTCAATCCGAAATACAACTGCGAAGACAAGGTCTGCCCAGTCCCTGTTCATCCCGACCCGCACAGGGCAGACCTACCAGACTCGAACGAGGTCCGGTTTACACACGGCGATTTACAGCCCAGCAATGTAATCATCTCCCATTGCCGGCCGTACCGAGTCTTGGCGGTTGTAGATTGGGAGGAGGCGGGGTGGATGCCGGGGTATTGGGAGGCGTGCAAGGCGCTTTTGAAGAGAACTAGAGTGGATGAGTGGAGCGAGATGTACCTCCCGGTGTTGTTCGAGGAGAATAGCGAGAAGGTCTACAGGGCCTTCGAGTGGTTCGTGCAGGAGTTGCATAGACTGTGATGGGGGAGGAAGTGTTTCTTGGACTGACGAGCCGTTGGTATAATGGAGAGTGCTCGTGCAGTAGGTTTCTAATTTGAATGTAAACCTGATGTCCTCTCAAGATGTTTTGACTGCATTGTAAGTGGTAATTGAGCTATGTTCAAGGGAAATTACTTTGTAAGCTTTGCCAGTTGACTAGCTACGAATGAAGGCCGTGAAGAATTAACAAGGTCGTAAATTTCCTAAATTCAATGCCATTGCTTGCAAGCTACTCGTCTGTAGTTATGGAACAAACATGTGATAAAACTAGACTACTCAAGTGTTCCAGAAAAGAGAAGTAATCACGACCTAATGGAAAATTCCTCGAATGATAAAACACGTCCCCCAAAATCACATAAGGAGTCGTCCATGACTATCATATACAGGGACAGACTATCATCTACAGTAGAATGTTGCAATCTGCATTAGTTTCATGATATTTCCTAATTGTACAAACGTAACGAAATCGTCAAAGATATTCGCTTTCCTCTGTATTCACTCTAGTCCCGACGGCTGGATAACCATCCGGGGACAGTGCCATCAGAGCTCAATCGGTGAGCTCAATCCGTGAACATGCTCATATCAATGATATCCCCAAATGCCTCCTCAAATGGAATCTCGGTATCCTCCGCAGCCTCATTAGTGTCATGGTGTAGAGGCTCGTCTTGGTGAATCTCAGTTCCTTCTGGCAGAAGAGGGTGGGTTGCGAACGGCGGGTCATCGCATGGGGTCTCCGAATCCCCAGTAGTAAAGTCTTGCATCACAGATGAAAATGCGTCATCAAAGAAGGTTTCCTCGTTTGTCAGCGAAACGTGATATCCGTATCCATAACCCAGTCCGTGGATGTCTCCCGCATTATCAAGGTTGCTGAGCGAGTCCAAGTGATCACCGTTATTGTCTTCGGTGTTGATATGTTCGTGGGCAGGAGAAACAGGAGGGTTCGCGTTCTGCGTGAAGTCTGACGATGAGGTTGCCATCGTATTCGGATCGAGTTGATCAGGCTGAGCGGAATCCCCAATGTTGTTTTTCTTGGACTTCTGATTCGAGCCGTTCTGGATGAACTCCATCATTCGACCAAGAACAGGATTATCGTCCAACTGGTGCTCCAAGAGAGTCGAAGGGAGGGTGAACTGAGTTCGCAAAGTAGGACGAGCAATATGGAAGTCCACTTGGGCTCTGCGTGAGACGTTTTGAGCTCGGGATGCGGTGGAGTCTCCGAGGTGAGATTGGAGACGAGATGTGGTGTTGAAAGGATGATGAGTAGTGATATCCGGAGTAGAGCCTGTAGAGACGTTGGCTCTGCGTGAGACAGTTAGAGTTCGAGATGTGGTAGAGTCTCCGAAGTGAGACTGGAGACGAGATGTGGTGTTGAAAGGATGTTGAGTAGTGATATCTGGAGTAGAGTCCACAGAGATTCTGGCCTGACGAGAGGTCTCGTCCAAATCGGCAGGATGAACTTGCTCCTGAGAAGTTTGCTCTGAAGAAGGCAGAGTGGGACGGGTGGTTCCGCGTTCAAGGCCGTTGAGATCCCAGTCAACAGAGAGGCGAGAAGCCTGTCTCTGGGTCAAACTTGCCTCGCGGGCTCTGGCGGCGATGATCCGATGCATAGCAGACCAATCCACGGGGTGCGGAGGAATTAGAGTACGGACATCGAAAGAGTTGGGTCCATGGCCAAGGTGGCTATTAGAATGAGAGAGAGAATAGCCCTCTCCTGCTGTGGAATGAGCAGAGACGGTTGCTTGTGCCACTGGTGACGCCTCTTGCTGGGCGTTCTGGCCATCCCCAGCCTGGGAGGCAGGTGAACGTCCCTGACGGCGGTGAAGGGCTTCGAGATTGGATAGCAGAGTCATTCTGAAATGGTAGGTGGAGGGGCGAATACGAGAGATCGTTGCACGTGACTGAATCATCGCAAATGAAGCTGGCAGACTTCCCGATTTGGAAGGTGGCGAGATCCAGTTCGATGCAAACATTCGAGGGTAGCACTTTCCCAAATAGATGTCCTTGATACCTTAAGAAACAGCGTATTAACGAGGAATACGAGACTAGATTTTACAGGTGGAAATATTCGAGAGTAAAGAGCGCGTTATTTTCTAGGCTGTGAAGCTCTAGCCATTCTATCTAAGTCCTGATTCCCTCCGTATGCAATGCAGATTTCTCTGCTGTGGCCTGTAATGCTGGAGAAAGATGAAAAGAAAAAGGCCTTCAACACATGAAATCCAAGAGTCCATACATCCAGATCGTGCCATCTCATCACACCTGTCTATCCAGGAATGACTCGATGACCACATAGAAGTAGGATAGCAGGAAGAAAAAACATCATCAACTAGCGACCAGCCCATCGCGTGACAGAAAGAAGATTCATGATCATAATATTAGAAACATGATCATTAAAAACCAAGAAAAGAGGCCACCACTTTTGTATTTCCCATGCAGAACGCCGTGCACCATCATGAAAGTTGGGAGAAAACAAAAAATGTACGCATGCATCCGTCACAACAAAAAGAACGAAGAAAAGAAAGAGTATGATGCATGGAACGCAGAAAAGGGCAACAAAGAAATGCACAGAGCCCCGGTCCAACTATTTAGACATCGGAATGCATCTTCTCATCATGATCCACACGCAGCTCCACAACGGGCAACTCGTCATCCGAGCCATCATCCAACAGCGGAGGGACATCCTCGAAGGAGCCCTCATGCTCCGAGACCGGCCGCGAGTTGTCGAGACTATGGAGGCGGGCTTCGGCATCTGAGTTTTCATCGACCGCCACGTTGCTGTCATTGTCCCCGAAGAGATCTTTGTCCTCATCAGGGGACGTTGGACGAATGGAGGTCATCTCCCCAAGACCAACCCGATCAAACGACCACGAGGGAGCAGAGAACGCATCGTCGAGCGTGTTGTGCGACTCCTCGTTCTCATTCTCGTCATCACTCGACTTCGTCTCCGGAGTCGCGGCCCCCGAACCACCACCGCCCGCTCGGCGAACTGCTCCGACTCCGGCTGATACGCTCGACAACCCATTGTGGAATGAGCCACCGAGGCGTCTGCCTTCCCCCGATGGGGACCCAGCCCGCGAGTTCTCCGCCGTGCTGTCCTTCTCACCGTTCTTGAACTTATTGACGATATTCTGAAGAACGGGACCACCCAAAGGCTGGTCGGACCGGCGGCGATAGAACAGCAGGTACGCCTGGGGGGACTGCATCCTGCCCAAGTCCCGAAGCGTAGTCGCCGACGAATCTAAAGTGAGATGTTAGTAAATCAGATCAAACGATGAAGAGAGAGATGAGACATCATACCGTTGAAGTTGCACCAGTCGTCGGTGATGAAGTTCTTGGCATAGGCGGTATAGTGACCGCCCGCCATGCTGCCCGAGTGGTTGTCCACGCCGATCAGGTCGTAGACCAGAGACTTGTCCCCCGCGGGACCCGAGACCCAGCTGGACAGGTCGAGGTTCTCGACCGGGAACTCGACCCTAGTGCTGAGCTTGGCGCGCGAGTATCGAGACTGGGTCATAAACCGTTTTAGGTGAATGACCAGGATGTCCGGAGTCGACCACAGCTCGAACTTCTTGCGAGCTTGGCGATGCTCCTTGCAGCGTGGGCAGTACCACGCGTCATCCTGGGACAGCGTCTCTTCGCGGCTGAACTCATCAAGGCACTGATTGAGTGTGACCCCTTGACTAGCCTGCGCGTCACGCTGGGCACGGCGGTCGATGAGCGCCTGGTCTTGGATGAATGGGATCTCGTCGTAGGTGGCAGCTCCACGCAGATTGTCGCGGGGCCCGTCCTTGCCGAACAGAGCATCCTTGGCGTCCTCATTCCAGTCCAGAAGGATCGCTTCGGACTGTTTGAGCAGTGGCGTCGAGGAGGTCAGCCCAGTAGTGTCATGGTCAGACTCGTCTGACGCGCTGGAATCTTCGTTGCTCTCCTCATCGGACCCATCGGAAGACTTCTTTGAAACCTATCTGTAGTTAGCAAACGTAATTCAGTGTCGCTGGTTAGAACAGACAGAGGTATACCTTTTTCGGGGACGGGAGTCGGGAAAGAAGGCTCTCGAAACTGTTGTACCCAGGGATCTGGCGGCCCTTGGGAATCTTGTCGAAGCCCGACATGACCCGGACATCAAATAGACTGAGAAGACCGGGATGGAAAACGTCAGCCAAGGGATGAACAGCGTTGTCCTCGCTTGTATCCATCCCTTCAGGAGAAGCCGCACTGGGAGTTCGGGAGGCATCGTGCATAGAGATATCAACGATGCTGTCGTCGCCCTCGACGGAGCCGGTCTTGATGCGGGAGTCTGCTGATTGGGCATCCTCTTCGTTCATCACCACTGTGTCGGAGTCTTCAAGAGCTTGACCTGCCTCATCGACCTCAGTCTTATCCTTGTTCTTCGCTTCAGCCTCGCCCAGGATATCGCACGTAGTCATGGTAGCAACATGACGCAAGATCTTGCGATAAATGGTGGCCATGTCCTTGGCTTCCTCGCGAGTGAAGGAAAGAATGGTAGGCTGAGCAAAGGTATCAAGCTTGACTTGACCCTTGGGGTTTCTGAACTTCATTGCGCATCTGCTGAAGACAGGTATAAGGATACGATCGTTCGCTGGAGCATCCAATTGGATGAAAGTGATCACATCCTCTCTCTTGAGGTGTAGGTCTTCATAGGGCAGCTTCTGGCGAGTATACACATCCCAGAAATGGCCAGAAGAAACATCCGTTGCAATGAGCTGATCTGGCTTGAGACTCAGCTTGTTAGCCACGTTCTCTCTCCAAGCCCCGATCGTGCTTGTCTTGTCCACCTCGACCATGAAGCTTTGTGGGCGCTGGTCAAGTCCTTGGAAGACGACATTGCGGTATTCGATTTTCTGCTGCGGAATGGGCAAAGTCAAGCTGCTAAAGGGATCAAAGATGATGCTGACTTTGTCACAGGTAGGACAAACCAGTGTCGACTTGTACATGCCGGCAAAGAGATCGGTAACGACAGAGTCGTTGCGCGCTTTGTAGATGTCCCAGGATCGCACAGCGAAGTCTTCCAGGGCTTGGCGGTCATGGACCATCTCATCGGTCGAGTCGGGCTTCTCGATGTAAGGCTTCTTTAGAATGCGGTTTAGGTCTTCTGACAGGCCGTCGAGCAGGAACATCAAAAACTCTTGACTGTCCTGCTGATCCCAACCAGCCATGGTTGGGTTGTTCCGGCCAATTTGGTTTCGGAACTTGTGCGGGTTGAAGGACGATGGGGGCGGGTCGCGATAGATGCCCTGGATTAATCCAGCATACGCCTTGGCAAGCTGCCCAGAATATCCAAGGGGGTTCGAAGGATTGAGATCCTTCTTGTGGCGGTTGGCTGCATAACTGAGGTCAGTATCAAAGAAACAGTGAGGTCCCAGGTTTGACAACAAGCAAGGCACATACCAAGGAAGTAGTATGTCAACTCTTCCACTGCACGAACGCACTGAGTAGCCGCATTCTGGTAGCAAGTGTTACCCAAATTCGAAAGACCCGTGAGACCCATCCTGTGGCCATGGGGCTTCTTGGCGAATGGGAACTCGTCTTGAACGGGGCTGGTCCGTCCGCTGTTTGTCTGGCTTTTCGGGGCAGTGGGAGCAACGGGCCCAACCGGAGTGAGCTCCTTCTTGGGCTTGTTGATGGGAATCCCGAGGTGCTTGAGCTTCTCTGCAGAGACTGCAGACACCCACTCTCCACTCTTTGTACCAACCTGCTCCTCAAGAACAAAGACATCGGAACCCATCAGACCTGCCATGCTCAGCGACATTTTTCCGTTGTAATTGTCATTGCTAGTCTGGTCCTTGAAGGTCTCGAGCAGTTCTCGCTGAGTGCCTTCGTTCAGATCAATGAAAGTGTTCAGATCCACCAAGAGGTTCCTGCTCGATGCCGAGATTAGAGCGGAGGGAGGAGCTGGTGAAACGGCGCGGGACACGGCGGGAGTCGTAGCGGTTGACGGGTTGACGCTGGGCAGTTGGCCGATGATCTTCCACACTCGAACTTTGGTGGACATGTTGATCCCTGTGAGTTCTTTGGCCCTCTTCAACCAAGCTTGGACGCCGCTCTGGCGACCAGCCAGCATCTTCGCAGGCGGAAGAGCTTTCTCTTTCAGAGACTGGGGTGTGGTCCCCGCAGCGGGGTTGGCCAGCTTGAAGATTGTGAAGATTGGCGGGTTGAGCTCATAGATGATGTTGTCGGAGCCATCCAAGCTGGTGTTGTGCGCAAACCGGACGATGGCGGGAGACTGGCTCGCGAGTCCGTATTCTTTCAATATCAAGTCCCAGGCTTCCTGCGGAACAATCTCGTAATCCTCGCCGAGTTGCACGTTCGGGCGCAAGGGGACATAAGGCTCTCCATTCTCGTACTTGAAGTTGCTGTTGGCTGGATCGGTGTCGAGAACGATATCACTGTTATCCACGGGGCCAAGCTCGTTGTCCATCGATTCCTTGTCGGCTTTGTCGGCATAGGTGCTACTTCGTGCATACAGGGTCTTCACCCATCGCGAGGAAATGACATATCCCCTTTGTCCGTCCTTCAAAGGTTGGTTTGTAAGCGCAATCACCTTGGCGATTTGGTCATCAATGGAATCGGTGGCGGGGACATCGACCGTTGTGCTCACGCCTCCCTCGGGGTCAGGATCCGTGATCTCCGAAGCTGGGCGCTTCTCGCCGGGGGAAGGAGAGCGACCATCGCCATTTGTTGGCGGAGTACCGGCTTGATGATCTGGGGGCATATCGGAACGTTCGTTGGAGAGGGTCAGGCCGGCGGTCGCAGTCGCAGGGGTGGGCGAGCGGACACCGGGCTGAGATCGGGTCCCTGGGACGAGGGACTGGAGGTGAGCGGGCACGTAGCGAGGAGGAGACGGGGAGAAGCTTTTGCTCCGTTCGTTCGAAGCCGACGGGGAGCTTCTTGGTGGCAATGGAGGCACTTGCGGAGGTTCGGAGCGGCCGTGACGTCGTGCCTCTCCTGGGCTGCTGCGAGCTGGCTCGGGGGACACTTTGCGACGCTTTGTGGGAGACGTCGTGACGGTGAGCTGCGCACGTTGTGTGGCAGCTCGGGGAGAACTTGGAAGGGAGGGGGAAGGAGTGAAAAGAAAGGTTTAGAAAATGACAAATTTGTATTTCCTTTTTTCCCCGCAGCAGCCTTCTTGCACTGAAAAGGAAGAAGTCGGGGTTAAAGAAATTATTGGCAGCAAATTAAAATTGTGCTGGCAGAAAACCCGAGCCGACTGCAGACCTTTTTCCGCTCCGGGGACAAACCCTATCGGTGATACGCCAGCGTATCACGCGGATTCAGAGGGAGGAAGATGAGAACGTGCAGGCTAGCTGCAAAAAATGAATTGGATAGTGCAAAAGATGTGTGAGACTGTGTTTAGAAATGAGTGGATGGTGGGATGACCGGAGGAAGAGACAAGGGTTAAGGCGGGAATAGAGCGGAGATATGTATATTTTCACTGCGGTTCTATGCTTCCGACCGCCAGAAAGACAGCAGCCTGCTGGCTAAGATGGACAAGGCAGGCAGGGCTGCCTCCGAGTTGCGAATTTAAAAGAGATTGTCAATAATACCATTAAGTAGTTACTGATATTGTGTAAGTCAGCTGGTTCTTGGATCGCTGCCTTGGATTCGATAGGTTGTCCAAGGCAGAGTTTCTCGGGTTCCAAAATGGGTGCACATTAGAAACTGTACCATACTCAAGCTTTCACATTTACCTAGGGGAACAATAGGCAGGGATGAACATGATTGATGTTGGCTACCTATCTGAAAGAAATCATGGACATCCTTGATGAACCAGTCGATCTCAATCTGGGAACTGTACGCCCAGAGAGGTCCTGCAATCCTGCACGAACCTACCGTCTGTAGACTTGATGGCGGAGGTAGTTCCCTTTGGAGCGCTTGAGGATATAATCCACATCAGCACGGAACTCAGTCTCATTCTCGGGATCCTGCTTGCCCCATGCCACAGCTCGGTCGAGGTCACCCTGGAACTGCTTGACATAGTGAGCACAGTAGTCACAGAGTAGCAGGCCACATCCTATATCGACAGGATTCGCGCACTGAGATGGCCCTTGAACACCTGGTTGAGTGACTTGGTCACTTTCACAAGACCAGGAAGCTGGCTCCTGGCAGAGACTGCACCACTCATGATCTGCAACCGGGAAAGGCTGACCGTAGCACCGAGATCTTGGCTCCTGCAGAGCTGCACGAGCTCGAGCGAGATTGTTGAAGGCTGCAGAAGCATGAAATGGAGCTTTGGGGGTTATCTCATTCATCATGGGGGCAATGTCATCGTGACTGCATCGCATGATCTGCAGTCTTTCGACGACACAATGCCGACACATGCGACTCGGTTCTTTTCCTTCTCCCTGGTGTCCGTCACTGGTCTCAATCAACCGACCTGTCTCAAAGTCCAGGATTTCCGGATTCCGAGGCCCGAGTCCGACCATGCCGTAGGCAAAATTGGAACACCAGTGACACGACAACCGGCTGTTGGTATCTAGAATGGTCAGCGGGTGTGCATAGTATGTTTGAATTCGATATGATGTGCCGTAGGGATTCGAGGAAAGGGATCCAAATGTCGGAATTGTGGCTGGAGGTAGCCCTGAGCCTGGAAGTGTAGGAAGATCAGGGACTGACGGGCCCCATGTAGAAGGTCGGCTTCCCATAGCAGTGAGTTGGCTGTTTCCTGCAGATGGGGCTTGAAGGCTACCCCGGGCCTCCTTCGATTGCGATGTATCTTCTCCGCTCAGAGTCACAGCCTTATGTGAATCTTCTGCGAGGCTATCATCACAGGCTTTACCTTTCGACCGGTTTTCCTCGACCTCGGCCAGGTGCGAACCAGATGGAGGGCATTTTGCCGGACCAGCAACGCAGGTGAAACCATGCTGCAGACATTCCCAGCAAGGCTGGCTATGGTCGTAGTCGCCAGAGAGATAGGAGCATCGTGGACGACGTCGGCTTTTGCATGGCTCACACTGCCGTTTCCAGATCGGTGGTGGATCAGGAATGCAATCGCACTGGTCGTCCCGGCAGCTGTCGCAAGGGTAATGAAACGGATCCTCTATCAGTGAGCATTCTAGCTCCAGTTCCTGGCAAGCCAAGCATCCCTTTGTGGGAGACTTGCGCTCTTCGAAGAGCTCGGATGCTTTGTTCTGGTCAATGGTCGCGCTACTCGGGGAATTCGCAGTATTCTTTCGTGCTCGTAGAAAGTAGGCCTTGCTTGGATCTCTCTCGATCTGAGGCTGCCATAACGATTCCCACTGTGACTGACCAGTAGTTTCTGCAGGAGTGGCGGGAGCGGAGGAAGATGGCGCCTCTCCTTCGGTATCTGCCTCGAGGGAAGATGTTGGAGTAGGCGAGTGGCTCCTGGCTCGTTTGGCAGGTCGAGGGCGTGAGCGAGTCTCTCTGTCAGAAATTCGGCGTTTTGGAGGACGGGGTTCACGCTGAGGGCTGTAGTCATCATCCTTGTCATTGTCGATCCAAGAGGATATGGCTGCCGTGGCATTCTTGCTTCGGCTTCTCAAGTCATAGCTGTCTCCAGAGTCAAAGGTTGCTTGAGTGTGGCTTGGAAACAGCCGTCGGGCCTTTGCAAGCCTCTCCGCGGAGTATGCCATGGCGCCGAGTGGTGGCGGTGGTGAAGATGTTTGGATAAAGTGAGAGGGACGAGCAAGAGTCATCGAGATTGGAGGCGAGTGGATATGTTGATGAGACGGAGAGATGAGAAAAGGTGGAAGATGGCACTTGAATGGATGAAGAAATGTTTGTGTATTTCACTAGTTGATGAATATAGACATGAGCTGGAGACGACATGAGGTAGTAGTAGCAAGCTTCAACTCTTCCAAACGAGGCAATAACTCCAAAGTCCGAGAAGGTTCATACATGGTAATCGTATTGATACATCATCAAGAAAATTATAAACGTCAAAGTAACGAACAAATTGAAAGAGGCCTGATTCAATCCGAATTCCGACAATCCATCCATTTCTTCAGTCTTGGTTCATGCCGTGAAGGACACGGCGATTGTGCTGGGCTGGGCTGTCGATGTCGTTGACAGGCCCCAAGCGCGTGCTTCCGATGGGCACGCAGACTCGGTGATGGTGAGTGGGTATTTGACGGGCAGTATGCGCCTTTCAATCTCATCATCCTGCTTCACGGTGTCAATCCTTTTTTCGTGCCACTTTTCCCGTTGCTCAGCCAACTCTCGAAGGGTTAATGCATGGAACAGATAGACCATTGCAGCCAGCACAGCCATAATGGCCGCGATGATCAACAAACCCAGCAGATATCGCCAGGCAGACTTCTCAGTCTCACTGCGGGCTGACCACCAGTTCTTAGGCTTGGCCCACATCAAGTCCCAGCATTTTCGGGCGCGGGACTTCTTCACTGGCACCTCGGTTTTGTTGGAGACAACTCCGGACTCAGGTGCGGTGAGTATCCCGAAGTTCATCTCTGTGCAAGCAAGTTAGTATTCTTCATTTCTAAGATGAGATAGTGACGACAGGACTTACCAGGGTGAGGTCCGTAGACCTCGTTGTAGACTCCCCGGAAGTAGGCGGGGGGAGGAATAGGAAGGGACGGGTTGTGATAATAAGGAAGGGCCATTGTGAGTTGTTTGCATTAACTTGATGTAGACAAAGTTGTTCAAAATGTGTTGGGAAAGAAATGTCTGTGAGGAGATGCGTGGATGGAAGAAAGAGGAAGAAGAAGGTGAAGCTGGGGGTGGGAGGGAGTTTTAGCCCAAATCTGAGTGTTCTTTCTAGACCATATAGGAATTTAGCTCGATCCCATTCAATATTACCTGATCTGAAGTTATCCAAAATAAGCCTAGTGCTTCACCAAAATATCAAATGTCGAGATGCTTTGGGCCAGAGCGGCCGCCGCGTCTCAAAACGGAAACGACCAACTATATGTATGTCGTCACACGATAGACATAATCTCCGCGACTAGCCTAGTTATGGAATGATACGATGTAAAATCGTTCTGTTGGAATTTGACAGCGGATATGGGAGATGAGTGAGGTGTAGAACATAATCAGTTGAATGAAAAAAAGAATGCTATCTGCTCACAATAAAGGTCTCGGTGAAGATATGAAGAGCACACACTAACAGCCAAGCAGCCCAGAAGATGAGCCTAGTAAATTACAAAGCCTCCGAAAATCCCTTTCATATAGGTGCTACTACCTCGATACTTCGGCTTCTCTTTCAGGGTTTCAGGGTTTCAAGGTTTCTAGGTGATATGTAGAGATGGCCCTGTAAAATTTACGACTTGCGAGTTCAAGATGAAGCAATCTTCGTAGATAGATCTTAAAACTGCAATTCACCAAGATGTATGGGGAGGAGGTAGCTCACGACATAGCAATATGGCATGACTACCAGCTAAAAAGCTAGAGTAGTACTAATATACGCCTAAGCATGTCAGAAAAATCAGTCGTTCGAAAGCCTCCCCATGGCTTCAAAAATGCAGCCGAATGAATGTTCATAAGCTAACCCACAGTAAGCAGATTTAGAGCCTCATAATGTAAATAATCATACCTCTCATGCCTGTGGATATCCACGATTATGTTCGAGACTGGCACGGTGGTTCATTGGGGAATCAGGCCGAAAATCATAGTACAGGGGGCGATTATGCCGTCTATCCAAAAGCCTTGCCTAGAGTTTATTGAAATACTTGCTACTTAATATACGATAAAGTTACGCATGGCTGGGCAATCCTTTCGGACAAATCCATTCGTTTGAAGATGACTGCTCGACTTCCATTTCGGGAACTATGGATGGCGGTGAGAGACCTGCGTATGCCAAGACATGCCGATTAGCCTCCGACACTCCACTCCACGTGATAGCGCTTATCTCGCGGCTCGTCACCTCACCTCAACTCCAAGTAGCGCCAGTTATACCCCGACTTTGTCCCTGCCGAGGTGCGAGCTGGTCTCCCACGGTCAACTTATAGCTCCAGCTCGTTTATCAAGGTGACCATAGTGGACAGAATCAATCTACAGCGCTCGTGTCATCCTGGTGATGTGGGTGAGTCAAGCGGAGAACGAAAAGTACTGGCGCACGACAGCTATCAGCTCGACAGAGCTTGGCTCTTCAGGAAATACCCTAGCCAGTACTGTCTCACTCATGGTGAGTCGCCTTTGTTTAAAGTCTTCGCCGTGTGGCCGGCATAAGCCTGTAGTCTTTGTCAACAACTCTGGCAATAGCTTCTGGAGAGCTCTGGAGCTCGGATTGATCTGCTATGCTTCACATCTTTGCCCATCTCCCCCTCAAAATCTTCAAACCACACTAACTTGTTACTCATCATCTAACAGTGCTACCGCGGATTCACCTGACGACTGATCACCCCTTACCCAGCGATAGAACTTGACCCGAATTAGCAGCGAAGCTATCTTGGCGTCTCCTCCCACTATATCAACTCCTAATAACTTTCTTTATCGTCGGAAGCTGCAATTGGTGTCATAATGGAATTCTCACGATCCTCATTCGCCTCAAACAACACTCACGGTGGTCTTGGGTATTCAGAACCCAAGACCATGCCTCAGCTCGATACGCTCATCTCGCATCTCGTGGCCGCCAAACGATCCCTCTCATCCATCAACCACGTGTGGCGGGCCAACGAAATTGTCACCGCAGCACGTTCGGCCCTCGAAGAAAGCGTCATTGTGTCATCCAGAACTGGCTTCCTGCGTCGGGGCCTGAACAATCAACTGCGGTTACTCTATGATGTTCGGTCGGAGGTGGAGCATATCTCGCATCGTGGGCGACAGGACTTTTCCGATGCCTTGAAAAGTCTTGATGCTGCAGATGCTCGCCTTCGGGCTACGTTAGATCTTCTGCGGAATACCATCGTCCATGCTTCATTCCGGCCGAAAGATGAAGAGCCAAAGTCTCTACATGACTTTGTCGACGAGCGCGGTGTCGAGGAATTGCATGCCGCCATGAAGAGCTCCATCGACAGGACTAATGCAGCCCGGGCGGATCTTGATACCTCAAATCGTGAATTTGACGATGAGCTTCAATCCATCAAGCAGGCGCTTCGCCAATACCGGTCGGCTACAAGGTTGGCCTCTTCCCGGGCCTCTGCATCGTCTTCCTCATCGTCGACATCGGATTCTGATATGCTCGCCTTATCAACCATGCCTAGCATGCTCCAGTCATTAGAAGGGCATGCTCAGGAGATGGCCGTTCTTCTCGAATCTCTTGTCCGCCACTTCGACCTTTGTGTTACCGCAGTGAAGCACACCGAAGGTGGTGGTGCAGCTGCCCGATCAATCACAGGAGACATGCCAGCCGAAGTCCAGGCTAATTCTGACGCGATGCCGCATATTGGCGAAGAAATCCATGCCAATCTAAATGCTCCCTTGGATCCGCTAAGCAACTCGGAATACCTCGAAATGGTGAATGTGCTGGTGAAAGACGCGCTCGAAGCCGAGGACGTTGTCATGGAGATCCAAGATCGCATCAACGAAATGGAATCCATCCATGAGCAGGTAAATGCGCAGCGAGATGCGCTTATAGCGATCTCCAGTGCGACGCTCGAGGTTCACCAGCACTTGTCAACATTGGCCTCGACTCGCCTTCCACGGTACATCTCCCAGGCACACAACTTCACTGGTGTCTGGAACGAGGGAAAATGACCGCATCAATGCCGGTTTAGCAGAGCTTTCTGACCTGCATTCCCTCTATGATGGCTTCTTGAATGCCTACGACAGCCTCATACTTGAAGTGAACCGTCGAAGCCAGGTTCGTTCCAGAGTAGAGAAGGTCCTTCGAGACACGAGGAATAAACTGAATCATCTTTACGATGAAGACGTCACCGCCCGAGAAGCGTTCCGCGTCGAACAGGGTGATTTCCTTCCTTCGGATATCTGGCCAGGCATTGGCCGGGCACCCATGCAGGTCCAATTTCAGCGCATAGCGGGCGGTCAGCTCGAAGGTGTTTTTGAGGAAGGACGAGACACGGAAGATCTTACTGAGACTCAAAGGGCTGCTGAAGGCACGACTCGTGGTGTTACTGATGACACTGCAGAGGGTGAACTTATTCCCAGTCTGCCAAAGGACGTCGTTGACCAGGCATATGCTCGCCTCAAAGCGCGAACCCGTGCCTTTGCTTGACAGCGTCTTTACCCATCGCCGATGATTGCATTTTTATCTTTTCATTTATTTGCTGATAGTATTCTTGTATAGTTTATGGATCTTATTTTCTAGGAGACAATGTCGCCGGATGACTTGTTTGATCTTATCTATTTACGTTCTTCGTCTTTTCCACTGGGCTTGTATTCAGCCTGCGTCGTCCGTGATATCTTTGCTATTATACTTAATGGCCCACCCGAATGATGAAAGCCAATCGGTCTGATCCCCCGTTCAAAAGCTTCCTATGGACCTGTCCGATTTTCCGTGTACTGATGCATACTCCCGCGCTCAGGCGAAGGATGTAAGCACAGCTACCAGACTGGCTGGCACCATCAGGTGGTGAGGACGGAGAGTTATGATTTACAAAGAGAGCTCTGATGGGTAGTTCTAATTCAAACCATATCTTATGAGTAACTTGTGTGTTGCAGATGAATCCTATTTTTTATACCCAGGTATCTATGTCCAAATGCTCCAGCCCCATATATGCATTTTTATCGTCAAATCATGGCAGAAATATCCATCGGTGAAGAGGCGAAGGGAAGAAATCGTAGAGCCCACAATCATGTATGCATGCAAAAAGAAAAAGGAAGATTGAAAGCTCTAAGAAACCGCCTAGTTCTTCTTCTTGGAGGAAGTGGAGACCAGGCGTTTCTTGAGGTGTTTCGGCATCTTGTTGGCACGCTGCTCACGCTTCTCTTCCTTCACCTTGGCCTTGTGCTCGCGCTTTGAATCTTTGTCCTCGAAACGCTTGCCACGAGGAGGCTTCTTCGCGAACGGATCGCGCTCTGCGCCCTCTTCCTCACTCTCGGAGTCGGAGCCTGAGACGGAAACTCCACCACTAGCGTCGGATTCTTCATCGACCTCGGGTTCAGCAGGCTTGGCCTTGCCGGTTGCCAGCAGATCTCCGTAGATCAGGTCGGCACCTGAACCATCCCGAATCTTCTCGGCATCACGCTCCACATCGTACACCTGCTCGAGGGTCTGGGGGATGTACTGCTGTCGGAACACAGCCGTATCGAGCTCCTCAGCTTCCTGGTCACCACCCTCTGCACGAGCGGCGAAGAGTTTCTCAATCGCTTCAAACATCTCCTCATTGCCCTGAGTGATGTCCGTAGGGCCTTCAGGTGAAAGAATGAATTGGAAGATTGTCCGTTCAGGCAAGGTGTCAACACCCTTGCGACGGAAGAAATCGCTCACGTTCTTGATATCCATGCGAAGGAACTCAAAACTGCGAGGGTGATCATGTTCAACACTTTGACTGACATCAATGATGTACAGGCGTTTCTTGTGGTAAAGAATGTTGTACTCGCTCAGATCAGCGTGGACCAGACGACAGATCTGGTACATAACGCGCATGCAACCCAGCAACTCCATGTACAGAGAGCGCCACCGATTCTCGGGCTCGGTAATATCAAACTCAACATCCTTGAGACGAGGAGCGGGGAGACCCTTCGAACTACCGAGGAAACCCATGGCAAGAACGTGTAGACGGAGGTAGATGGGCTCGGGGCAAGGAATGCCAGCGGCGTAGATTCTCCGCAGGTTGCGCATTTCCTTCTCAGCCCACAACTTGACCATTGCACGGTTGTTGCTCTTGTTATACCCTTGACGGAAACGGAATTCACCAGTCACGTACTTGTCGCGATCCTTGAAGACCAAAATGCTGGTCTTGTAGACCTTGATCGCACGGTGCTGCGGGGCAGCCTCTGGGTCTTCGTCGGGGAACGACATGGCGTGGTATACATTTGCCTCTTTACCAGTCGACAAACACCCGTGGATCTCTGACACCAGCCCGCGATTGATCATTTGCAACAGAATCATTCGTGTACGAGGGTCCAGCACCTGTTCCGATGTAGCGCGGTCCGCACGATCTCCACCACGTCCACCACCGCCGGAGAGACCGGACTGTTGATCGTCGAGCTTGATCTTGGCAGCGTGTCGAGTAAGAGACTTGACTTGGTCGTCGACGGAGGCGTATGTGTTGACTGTGGGCTTCTGAGTATTCATCTTGGGATAGGTCCATCTCGGTACGTTAGGGTCGGCGGCGAGATCGTTCAACTTTCGCTGGCGGTTGTAGGCCTTTGTGAGATCGGCAGGATCGGAGGACTGGAAGTCCTCTTGGTCCAATTGTTCTTCCTCGAAGATATCGTCATAGTACTCCTCGTCCTCCTCTTCGCCCTCCTCCAGATCGGTGGGTTCCTGCCCCGCCACGGCTGAATCTGCGCCCTCGGGTTGCAGGTATCCTTGGTTTGGCACATAGGTGTGAGAAGGCTGGAGGCCATCAGCAGGGCCCGTAGCCTCTGCAGAAACTTGAGAAGAACCCATGATCGGTGTTCAAATGTTAATTTTCTTCCGATTAAAAAAAGTCAAAAAACGATGCCCGCATTTACTTTTTTCTGTGGATGCCGCACTCACCGCCCGGCAGAACCCCGCGCCTCACAGGACGCGCTGAGTTCGCTCCCTCGCGTAGTCCCCCTGCCCATCGCGAGAAAGCGTGCTTTTATCCAGCGGTCATTTACCTCTTGACACGAGGAATACAGCTGTCTGAAGCTTGTATTTACCCGAAATCTCCATTTTACATCTCCCGTGCGGGCTCCGTAATGCGCTGTTCTCTCTGATCATCGCGTCACGCGTGTCTACCCAAGATGTATGTGAAGCAGATTATCATCCAAGGCTTCAAGAGGTATGTGAGATATCAACGTCCACTCCACTCTCTGTCGGTACAATGGCCAACCTCCTTATGACAACAGCTACAAGGACCAAACGGTCATTGAGCCCTTTTCGCCCAAGCACAATGTTATCGTTGGTCGCAATGGTTCTGGCAAGAGTAATTTCTTTGCTGCGATTCGGTTCGTCCTGAGCGATGCGTACACTCACCTCGGGAGAGAGGAGCGTCAAGCTCTGTTGCATGTATGTTGCGCTTTTATGTGTTTGGGTTGTTTGTGGTATTGACCTGGCGCAGGAAGGTTCAGGTTCGGCCGTGATGTCGGCCTATGTCGAGATCATCTTCGATAACTCGGACGACCGATTCCCCACTGGAAAGCCGGAGCTTGTCCTTCGTCGAACCATCGGTATCAAAAAGGACGAATATACCCTAGACCGCAAGAATGCGACCAAGAACGACGTTATGAATCTGCTCGAGTCCGCTGGTTTCTCACGATCGAATCCCTACTACATCGTCCCTCAGGGCCGTGTCACCGCTTTGACTAATATGAAAGACTCTGAGCGTCTCGTGCTCTTGAAGGAAGTGGCCGGTACCCAGGTTTACGAAGCACGTCGTGCGGAGTCCCTCAAGATCATGCAGGAAACCAACAGCAAGCGCGCGAAGATCGACGAGTTACTAGACTACATCAACGAGCGTTTGGCCGAGCTTGAAGAAGAGAAGGATGAACTGCGCAACTACCAAGAGAAAGACAAAGAACGCCGGTGCCTCGAGTACACGATCTATTCCCGCGAGCAGCACGAGATCTCGAATGTGCTTGAGAACCTCGAGGAACAACGGCAGAACGGAGTCGAGGGCGCAGACAATAACCGGGACCAGTTTGTTGAGGGCGAGAAGGCCATGGCTCAGATCGATGCGGAGATTGCTGAGTTCCGCCAGCAGATTGAGTTCTTGAAAGTGGATAAGGCTCAACTGGAGGATGAGCGCCGGGAAGCCTCCAAGTCGTTGGCGCAGATCGAACTTCGTGCCAAGGCCCTGTCAGATAACCAGGCTGCTGCCCAAGCGCTCAAGTCTCGCCATGACAGCGATCTCAACGCTGTGCAGACCGCGATTCAAGAGCGCGAAGGGGAGCTCGAAGACCTTTTGCCTCGGTTCAATGCTTCCAAAGACGAGGAAGACGATGTCAAGTCCCGCCTAACTGAAGCAGAGACATCACGTCAACGCTTGTATGCCAAGCAAGGCCGCAACTCCCGATTTAAGAATAAGTCGGAACGTGACAAGTGGCTGCAAATGGAGATCAGAGAGACTCACAGGTCCATTGCCAATGTACAGGGCGTCGTTGCGCAGACTCAAGAAGATATCCAGGAGCTCGAAAAAGAAATAGCTCTACTAGAGCCAGAAACTGAACGACTGCGTAAGCAGATCGATGGCCGTGGTGATACTATGCATTCTGTCGACCAAGAGATTCAGAACGCCAAGGATGAGCGCGACCGATTGATGGACCAGAGAAAGTAGGTTGTTAATATATGTGAAATTGCTGTTCAAATTCTAATGTTTTCTTGTCAGGGAATTCTGGAGAGAAGAGGCCAAACTCGATTCCGTCCTCTCCAGTGCCTCGCAGGAGATGGACCGTGCAGAGCGCAGCCTTTCTCAGATGATGGATAATAACACAAGCCGCGGTATTGCTGCTGTCCGGCGCATCAAACGTCAACACAACCTCGAAGGCGTCTACGGTACCTTGGCCGAGCTCTTCGATGTCAGCGACAGGTACCGAACCGCTGTTGAGGTTACCGCTGGACAGAGCTTGTTCCACTACGTCGTCGATAATGACGAGACTGCCACCAAAGTCCTGGAGATCTTGCAAAAGGAAAAGGCCGGTCGTGTTACCTTCATGCCGTTGAACCGTCTCCGATCTAAGCCTTCGAATATGCCTCGCGCCAGTGACACCATCCCAATGCTGGACAAGCTTCAGTTTGACCCCGCTTACGAAAGAGCTTTCCAACATGTATTTGGAAAGACTATTATTTGTCCCAACTTGCAGGTCGCTGCGCAGTATGCTCGAAGCCACGGCGTCAATGCCATCACCCCCGAGGGTGATCGTTCCGACAAGCGTGGTGCTCTCACTGGTGGTTATCACGATTCACGTCAGTCGCGGTTGGATGCCGTGAAGAATGTTAGCAAGTGGAGGGATGAATACGAGACCAAGCGTAACCGTGGCACTGAGATTAGAAAAGAGCTCGAGAAGCTGGACCAGCTGATCACCAAGGCTGTTGGTGAGCTGCAGAAGCTCGAACAGCAAAAGCACCAAGTCCAGAACAGCAGCGGTCCTTTGCGACAAGAGCTTCGGAGTAAGCGGGATCTCCTGCAGAAGAACACTGATAGCCTCGACGCTAAGCGCCGTGCACTGCGCAATGTCGAGTCTAACCTGGCAGCTCTTAATGACCAGGTAAATGCCTTCCAGGGCGAGATGTCGTCGCCATTCCAGAAGGCCCTGACAAATGAGGAAGAGGCTCTCTTGGAGAGATTGAGTGGAACCGTGCAGGAGCTCCGGAGAAAGTACCAAGAGTTGTCAAGCCAACGTAGCGAGCTCGAGGCCCGCAAGTCCGTGTTGGAGGTTGAGCTACGGGAGAATTTGAACCCCCGCCTTGATCAGCTACAGAACCGAGATGTGGACGTGGCCGAAGAGGAAGTCCAGGGTAACCTGAAGGAGACACAGCGTGAACAAAAGCGCCTTGGTAAGGCCTTGGAGAAGCTCAATGGTCGCCTCAAGGAGGTGGACTCCTCAATTGAAGAGACTACTGCCAAGGTTGCTGATCTACAACAGCGCAATGCCGATACTCGACGTGACATGGAAGACCTGGCCCGGTCTATCGAGAAACATCAGAGACGCATGGAGAAGAGCATGCAGAAGAAGGCTGCTCTCACGAAACAGGCTGCAGAGTGTGCTGCGAATATCCGTGATCTCGGTGTGCTACCCGACGAGGCCTTCACCAAATACAAAAACACCGACTCCAATGTGGTTGTGAAGAAGCTCCACAAGGCCAATGAAGCCTTGAAGAAGTATTCTCATGTCAACAAGAAGGCCTTTGAGCAGTATAACAGTTTCACCAAGCAGCGTGAGACGTTGACTACTCGTCGTGAGGAGCTGGATGCCTCCCAGAAGTCCATTGATGACCTGATTTCAGTTCTGGATCAGCGTAAAGATGAAGCAATCGAGCGAACTTTCAAGCAGGTGTCCCGCGAGTTTGCGAATGTCTTTGAGAAGCTGGTACCCGCTGGTCGTGGCCGCTTGGTGATTCAGCGCAAGACTGACCACACCGCTCGCCCTGATGATGACCTCGACTCTGAAGACGAGGAGGCCCGGCAGAGTGTAGAGAACTACGTAGGTGTCGGTATCAGTGTCAGCTTCAATAGCAAGCACGACGATCAGCAACGTATTCAGCAGCTGAGTGGTGGCCAGAAGAGTGGGTTTCTCCCCGAAATGCCCTTATTTTCATGCATTTTGTTCTCATTCTAACAACTGTTAGGTCTGTGCGCCCTCGCCTTGGTCTTCGCCATCCAAGCATGTGACCCAGCGCCTTTCTACCTCTTCGACGAGATCGACGCCAATCTGGACGCTCAGTACCGAACGGCCGTGGCCCAGATGCTCAAGTCAATCTCGGACTCGACCAATGGGCAGTTCATCTGCACCACCTTCCGACCAGAGATGCTACATGTGGCAGAGAAGTGTTACGGTGTGAGCTTCAGTCAGAAGGCCAGTACGATCGACGTGGTATCGCGTGACGAAGCATTGAAGTTTGTGGAGGGACAGAAGGCGTGATTGGGGGAGATAACCAGGCTTGATCGATGTAAATTCTTCTTTTCTTCATTTCTGCGGTGGTGGAATGGCGTTTGTGATACCGGATCTCCTCAACAGTCTTGCTTATTTTATCGAATATCTTAACCGCGCCTTTCTTGTACATGATCCCCATCAACCTAAGAAATCATATAGCCAGATTAGTATGTTCATAAGGTTGGACAGAGATTGTCTGGGTGTCCGATAAACAGTAAGGAAGAAGTGTTGTCATGGATGCTCACGTTCATGTTTCTCTGTACAGAGTATATGTCTACTATATCTATATGCTATGCTCTACTAAAAAAGATTCTTCTCTACTACGACTCAGCCTTCGTCTCCCCGGACCACTCGGTCAGGATCTCGTCAGGGACATCTCTGACGAGAATGTGGACATGCTCCAAAGCTTGCACACTCTGCAAACCCACCCAATTCTTAAACCAAAGCACCTGAGCTTTGGGGTCCGGGAACCTCTTCGCCGCATCCTCCGCCAATCGCCGTACAAACGTCTCCTGCACAAACTGGTCGATCAGCGCCCGCGACTCATCTGTCAAATGACCTTCCTCCGACTTGACAGGAATCGGAGTCCGCAGCCAGACCACCAGATGATGAATGCCGGGGTCCAGCCCGTAAGGCCAATCATTGCGCAAGATCTTGTAGTCCTCGGGATCGGCAAATGGGCGCGGGTTTGCAAAAGGCTTGGGCCCACTTTGGATAGCCGCGGATACAGCGCCGTTGGGAGGCTCTGTGGTTCCGTTGGGAGTGGCATTTGCCGGGGCTGGATCCCCGGGGAAATGCCAGTGTAGCCGCTCTTGACAGATATAGTTCATCATGGAGCCATATTGGGCTTTGGTTTCGGCTGACCAGGCCAGATATCGGCGTAAATCGGAAGGTCTGCGCTTGAGGGCGCCGAGATCGTTCCGCGCTGGGGGGTTTGGGTTAGCTTGGTGAGGGGAACTGGAAAGTAGTGTACTTGATTTGGAGATGAGGAGAGTGCTTCGATGAGGGGAAGCATGGAATCGTCTGGAAGTACTGTAATTGACTGACCGATGATATCGCGAAGATCGTCCCAGCTGTGGGCGATGAATTCCTCGTCGGTCATCGCCAGAAGCTGGTGGTCCAGCGGCGTCAAGTTGAAGGCTGGCGGTTGCGACATGGCAGCGGAAAGGTTGTTCCTCTGAGTGTAAAAGAGTAGAGAACAATAGAACTATCAGGAAATAATAGCCCGTGCATCCAGTCTAGTCTGTTGTATACACAAAAAAAACAGAGAGATCAGCGGGGGAAAAGCCCGCCCCAAAAAGGTGCGAACTTCCGCTGGGCGGAACCCTCACCACATCCACATGGTGTCGATCCTCCCCTCGTCCTGTGCTTCTTCTTCTCTTCTTCACCTCTTCCTCCCCTAATTCTCCTCCCCCTCTCGACACACACCCCCGTTCCAGTCATCATGAGGTAAGTTGCACGGCTGATCAGTTCATACAATCCATAATTCCAATGCAATCCCGCCTATTCCTGCACAATGGCTTACTCCGAGCTTCTCCCAGTGTTGTCAACGCTAGCACGGCCCTCATTCCCTCGGCCCTTCTGGTCGCAGGTGTCTACGCCGTCAAGCCCGAGTTCCTCGCCTATGCCGTTGCTCTCGCCGGAGTCATTACCAGCGTCGCCTTCTTCGCTGGCGGTAGCCGTATGTCGCACCATATTGTCCCCTGCTACGAACCAATTCCCGACCGCGCATGCTCCCCCAAAGCCAAAAAGTCTAAAAACTAATCACGGTCGTGTTACGTCCACTGCAGAGCCGCGCAAGGTCTTGAACCCTACCGAGTTCCAGGAATTCGTCCTCAAGGAGAAGACCGAGATCTCCCACAACGTCGCCATCTACCGCTTCGCCCTGCCCCGTCCTACTGATATCCTCGGTCTGCCCATCGGCCAGCACATCTCCCTGGCTGCCACCATTGCCGGTCAGCCCAAGGAAGTCGTCCGCTCGTACACCCCCATCTCCTCCGACCATGAGGCCGGTTACTTCGACCTGCTCGTCAAGGCCTACCCTCAGGGCAACATCTCCAAGTACCTGGCCGAGCTCAAGATCGGCCAGAACATGAAGGTCCGTGGTCCCAAGGGTGCCATGGTTTACACTCCCAACATGTGCCGCCACATTGGTATGATTGCTGGTGGTACCGGTATCACCCCCATGCTGCAGGTCATCGAGGCTATCATCCGCAACCGTCCCCGTAACGGTGGTAACGACACCACTAAGGTCGACCTGCTCTTCGCCAACGTCAACCCTGAGGATATTCTGCTCAAGGAGAAGCTGGAGAAGCTGGCCAAGGAAGACGAGGGCTTCAACGTCTACTACGTTCTGAACAACCCTCCCGAGGGCTGGACTGGTGGTGTGGGCTTTGTCACCCCCGACATGATCAAGGTATGTAACCCAATCCCCAAATCAATCTATGCTCCGAAATCTAATCTTATCTATTTAGGAGCGCCTCCCTGCCCCCGCCAGCGACGTCAAGATTCTGCTCTGCGGCCCTCCCCCCATGGTCAGCGCCATGAAGAAGGCCACCGAGTCCCTCGGCTACACCAAGGCCCGCCCTGTCAGCAAGCTCGAGGACCAAGTCTTCTGCTTCTAAGCATCTACCAGGGAGTCCTTGTATCAAAAAAGTTCCTTTTGCAGCGTGTTCGGAGCTCCGTGTCCCAATCTCAGAGCTTGACAGGCACCAGTACGGTGAAAGGGGTTAGTGTATAGTGAGGGATGGAGCTAGACTTGTCTATAGACTCTATAAGGATTGGTGGTTGGGCGTCGGGATGATTCCGAAATGTGCGAATGAGCGACGTTACTTTTAAATTCTGGTTTTCTACGTTATATATCTCGAATGAATCTTTCGTCTCGTTCCGGCGTCAAAGGTCTCTCCAATACCTATGGCCGTTCCCAAGCGTCGCTATCTTTTATCTCAGTTGTAGGGAACTACGTAACCGCCCGCCTTGCGTCACGAGTAGCACCGAAACACCTTTTTGACCCAATATTACCTATCAGCACTTGCAAGACATCAGCTGTATTCAATTTCATGACAGCACAGTCTATGACAAAATGTTTTCATTAACGCCGGGCTCAAATTAATTTCTAAATATCTTTGAAAAGAATCAATCACCTACTCATGTCGGACCACATGTCTGTATCATCCTCCCAAACCCATTGTTCCCCGTCATGCTCTAACCATTTACCAAAACATACATATTCAATACTCTCGGAAACTAAGTCATCATCGACCCTAGAATCATCGTCAGCTTCATAATCTTGTTCAGCATCGGACTCATCATCGATTTCCAAGAGGTCTTCTTCATCAGGGAACTCGTCCCATCCTAGGTCAACAAGAGATGACCAGCTTTCCGCCGAGAATTCCCAATCACGTTCCATGGAAAGTAGTTCTATCTCATACTGCTCCTGCTCGAGCTCGTAGAGTATCTTGCCAATAGAGTAGCCCATATCGCAGAGCTGTTCTTGACTGGATAGTTGGGGAACAAGGTCAATGTTGTTTAGTTGTAGTCTTGCGTGACAGGTGGTATTCACCTGATGAGGGCTTTGGTTTCGTTTGCTTTAGATAGGAGATGTATTTCAAAATCAAGAGATTTGGAATGTTGATGCCGAAAATGGACAAGGTAAGAGGGGGTTTTTATAGCTGTAGCTCGAGCTAGCTCGAGTCATCGATGTGAATCATTCAAGCTGAATGTATCCCATTGTCCCCATTTAACAAAGCCTCTCGAGTGGTGCATTCTTCACCTGCCAGGAACAATGGGTTCTTTGTTCATTGTACGGGTAGTTGATAATAGCTCTGCCAGCTTTCTTCAAATGCTAGCAGTTCATCGATGGCTAGCTTACAGCTTCGTTATCCCGGATGGAAACTGCAGGATCGTCTTTGATTCTCTAAAGAAAAGATGTTCGTTTCTGGGTAGTGAAAGGAGATTCAAATGTCAACGGCTATTTATAGATCAGATCATCGGCCGGCGCGGCGGAAGAGTCGGTTTGGAAAAGCACGAAGTCGGGTGTTGGGAGACTTGTCCTACGTATGTATACATTCCATTGTGAAGAAATTGGAAACAAAAGCTATTGAGCGCTGAGTTGGTCATTCATGCTCTCATATCTTTCCCAGCTGTGTGACAGCTGCATACAATGGTTGAGCGAATGATTCCATCCTATAGAATACTCGTACCTTTATTTTACGTGATTCTCATCGCGGATCTTGATTGAATTACAACAAGAGCCTCGAGACACCTTTGTTATTCTTTTCTTTAATGCTCGCATTATAAATCTTGGATGAACTTGTTGTCCGAAGTCCTTCCTTTGATCTTTGTTAGCCGGTTCAAATCTAACGAAGCAATCCCGATGTGCTCACGTGGGGTGAGAGGGGTCAGAAATTAGGGGAATTGACATTTCTGACCTCTCCCTGGTTTAGTGTAGTTCCCCCTTCCCCCCGCCCCGGGACGGACGAGGATAATTAGCGCGTGGAATCGCCCCGCAGCTCCAGGCGCCTTGGGCCGCCCCTACCTAACCGAAATACATACCAAAGCTGAACTTGTTTAACCAGGCATTCTAGGAAATACTGAATACCTAGAGGTTATCAGCAAGCGATCAGGACCTTCTTGCTACCTATCGGACATTCTCCTCACGAGTGTCTATCTCAAAGATGTAGGTAGTGCCTGCTTGTCGAAGTCCGCTCCTATATATTTCCAGCCCTAAGCGCCTTTTTCCTGGGGGGTAATGAAATAGATTATTTGCCTTGAGCCAATTGAGCTCATAGGCTTGCTAGGGCGTCTCTCATTACCTAATTTACCATCATCCCGTTCACCAACAAACTGGGCTCCATCAACCTGCGGTTTCTTTTGGCCCGAACTATCACCACCATTCACACTTTTCGATCGCACACTAGTCACATAGCTAGAAATCTCCCGTCTCAAATCAATACTAGAAGTTCGGAATCCAAGTGATTCCGCCTTGCGCGCGGGGCCTGACCCCCCAAATAGTTGAACCGTACCTTTGCTGAAGTGGCTGAGGTTCCCTGTCCACGCGCCGAACTAATGCCCACGCGCTTGCCCCATCACAGTTCCTAAGCTGCAAGAATTCATTTTGTGATCCCTTCTCGACGAACGAGAGATGTCACGATCCCCACTTACTCCAATCATATTCTGCTAAGAGGAGACTATCTAAAGCACTACGGTATATTCCTGTTCTATAGCGGGTGAACGGGTTCACGAGGACAATTTGGCCCCAACTACCCCCTGATCTCGTCCACAAATTAAACTGCATGTGGAAAGGAATTTGGGTGCTATATGGAGAATGGTCGGCTCCGAAATGCTAGCGGTTTTGTATCATTTAAGACTTTATTGCCCCGAAGTCTTTCGACGATGCTGAATATGTGCCCTTCTTGAAGAACTGCAGGTTTTTTAAGTCGTTGCAACTCTGCTTTTTCTATTTCATTTCGAGCCACCCGCTAACGTTATTGGCAAAACCAATACGCATCATTCCATCACCCCCACCTCTTCGAATCATGACACCCATGAGGATTGAATCCAGTTACCTGCTGAAGCTCGTGGATAGCGTGTACAGTGAAGATTGCGCTCTTCCATGTGCCTATCTTACCGGCAGCGATACACTGTGCAAGGGCAGGATGAAGAAGAATAGGACTGAAGAGATAAAGCAGCTATTTGGAAAGCTTGTCGAATGCTTGGATGTGTCCTCTGGAAAGTTGAAGAGCACAGACACCGTCGAACTGTTCATCGTCCTCGGCAACATTGCGGCGCTTTGTGTTTGCACCAGATCTCATACCAAGCACGCCATAGATGTGCAAAAGAAATGGCGATATGAGATGGATGATCCCGTAACGGGCACTGCTATCTCAACCAAATTGCTCAGTTATGTCTGTTGTCGAGAGGAGGCCATTTTGACCAATTCCAACCTTGACAAGCCGCAGGAATTCAAGCGCCGGCTATCCGGGGCTATAACCAATGAGCAGATAGCAGCGAAAGTTACGATGCTTCTTGAGAGCGACCTGGGAGACAAAGACGGGAATATGGGGTTCATTTATGTGATCGCACACCCTCGGGTCGAAGGAATGTATAAAGTTGGATATACCACTTCGAGGAAACACCCAAATGATGGTCGTTTTGTAGAACACAAAAGGTGCTACCCTGAGCTTAGAGTGGTGCAAAGCAGGTCAATACCCAGGGCGCGTCGATTTGAGCAAGTCATTCTGGCTGAGTTTTCAAGGGAGCATTGTGAGCTTCAGGAGAAATGTGCCCGCTGCAAGCGGGCGCACAAAGAATGGCTCAAAATCAATGAGGAGACTTTGCTTACGAGCTTGGAGAAGTGGGCTATATTTGCCGATAATCATGACCTATATGATGACGACGGTCGTTTCAAAAATGACATCGACCTCCCTAGCCCGGCTTTGAACCTACAAGGGCGCAAGCTTCTTCGTGATATTCCAATCCAAAAGAAGAGGAAGCCGCCATACTCTTCCACATGCAAATTCGAAGGGCCATCGCGGCCTGGCACGTCGGGTAGCAACAGCAGTTCCAACTCATCCGATGGAAAATCGACAACAAAATCAAGCACCCAAGTGCTCTCCATGAAAAATCTGCGTATATCAGACGATTCCCCCTTCGGGAACGAGAGTTGACATAGTGCTTGCATTTATCGCGTCTGTGTTTCGTCGACCACTGCAATGTCTTTTCCACCCTGATTATTTTGTACGCTTGCCTAGGTATAGTGCATATTTGTCATATTATCTATCTTTGAACCGCATAAAGATGCTGAATGTATCCACTAGAAAGGCTGCCCTCACATCGCCGAAATCTTTTAATTTATACTCTCTTCGTGTGTGGCATTCCGCTTTCTATTTCCACATTTTGTTTGGCTGAATCAAGATCAGCGATCATACCAGAGCTAGAGCATCTTGTGAGTGGTAGTTAGTTTTACCAGGCCCAGATAAAAGCGAAAATCAAGGCTATAGGATTCCAATCACTTAAATCTAGAATTTGTATTGTCAGTCCTTTTTAGCACATCAGAATCTCTGTATACGTGCCATACAAAGAAAGGAATGAAGAACACACCGAGCGTCGTCTATGTAGACGGATAATCATAAAGTCAGTCTCCGAGAGAATGTTGCTTCGGCGAGCGGAAACGAATCGAAAGGGGTTCTAAAAAATTTCTAGCGGGCTTCTTCGCTTAATTCCAATTAGGCTTCTTCCACTCTTGTCTCGTCGCAAACTCTAGGCCCAGTCGAGGAGTGTGTGGAAGATAGCAATAGACAACATCTGGAATTCTTCTTCTGGATCTTCGCGGGGGCATACACAAACTCTAACCAGACCTTAATCTTGAAATACTAAAGCAAGGGAGCTCCAAAGATAGTTGTGACATACTACTTCTCCAGAGCCTCAAGTTAGTCAAGTAGGACGATAGTGCCTTTACCATAGTCCTGCTATATGTATACAGACTCGTCAGACTGTGCAAGTTGCGGCAAGTGCTACTTGGGAGAATGTTCGTTGTCTACAAAAAGCTGCACAATATCGTCAGCATCCTTAATTTACTCCTCGTCGCAATTAGGCTCCGTTGGGTCAGTCTTGTATCGCTCATAACTATTGTTGTCAGAGTTCACCTCGCTCTGGTAGAAATGTGTCTGGTGCGCGTCCTTTCGAGAATAGTGGAATTCCTTTGCTGCCGGGAGAACTTCTGGACGCATTAAGCACACCGGGCATTAGAGAATCTGTTTAGGCTGGGTCTCCTCTAATCCTTCCCGAGAAGCGACCTTGATGTTCGTTTATTAACCGAATATACGCTTTTAGACTACGAGGTAGGTAATGCCGGTTTAGCTCTAGCTAGAGTTTTAGAGACCGGATTCGGTCTTATATCAACAAAGCATTAGTGTTGTCGACGTCTCGATTTTGAAATTCAAGATTAGCAAGAGTAATCTCCGGTTAGATTCGGCTATCGTCTAGGGTAAACTTAATCTATTCCCCTAAGTGGTTACTCTCGATGATTCGATTACCGATTTAACGAAAGAACTCGGCACAGGTGTTACTCTTAACCTAGTCTTCACAGGTCAATATTCTGTGGATCTTCTCGAATATATATCCCTTGCAAAGTGAATGAAATATAATCGAGATAATTGGACATGGGAGGACGATATGGATATATGATCTGAGATGGACGTTTAGAGCGCCAGCAGACTTTCAAGTGTAGGTCTTTATTCCATGGCAAAAAGGCCGCAAACACATTGGAAATGCAATTTCAGTTCAAGATATGGAGACAATGTTTGTTCGAAAGGCAAGAGCGAGTGAACCTTTTATGCTTTAGTTCGCACTCGACTTGCACTATTGATGAAAGAAACATCCATGGCTGCGGGCCTGATCATGGATTAGTCGAGGGTATCTGCAGGGGCCGAGTCATGCAACCTTTTCCCTTCTACATATGTTGCTTTGTCGGGTGACGGCAAAAGTAGAACGTGGATCGTTGACTTATTAACGCGTATCTATTCATGCTCTTTCTCAGCGATCCTCGATCCGTACCAGCAGGCAAGCGAGTCCTATTATTAGTCTACTATACTTGAACTCTATTGTTCTCATCACCCATCCCAGCCCACTAGAATAAAACTTTTGAAACATCTTTGTTATCCTTCACCTTGATGTTCTTCATCATGAGAACCCAACCAATCGACAACCCCATAACAGCAGTTCCCGCGATCATCATGTTCCGCTGGCTAAACGCATACGCATTCTGAATGGCGATGCGAGTGGGCGAGCCAACCGGATAGCTGAGCTGAACATCCAACGACTCATAAATGTCGGCCCATTGGTCCACAGTATCCGCGGGCAACAGCTCCTGCAGTTTCTTTGGAAGCGTGTTGGTCCAGATAGCGCCCGAGACACTGCTACCCACAGCACCACCGACGTTGCCAAACACACTAAGCAGTGCCAACATGGCAGCATAATCTTCATGCTTGGCAGCGGCGAGCACGGCAACTTGTTCAATCAAGATCATAGTGCCACCGCCGACGGCCAGGAAGATCTGGCACATGCACATGTATCCCACGCTGTGGCCCGGTGAGCGGAAGTAAATCATCAGTCCGCTAGCCAGAAGGTATAGGGGCACGGAAAACATGAGAAGCCACTTGAACCGGCCGGTGACTCGGATCAGGTATCCACACCCGAGAAGCCAGATAGGATCCATAAAGTCGAAGATGGCAGCGATGTAACCGGCTTGAGTGAGGCTAGTGTTGAAGACAACTTGCAGGAAGGAGGTGAAGTAGCTAGCCCAGCAGTAGTAGGAGACCTGGTATGTGATATCCAAAAGACAAGCACCGATCACGGTACGATTGGAGAGAAGCGAGAACGGGATGAATGGCTTTGGTGCGCCCCAACGCTCGTAGGCGACGAAGGCGATGAGGACACAGAATCCAACTACCATCATGGCGATAATTTTGGGTGAGCTCCATTCTCCTTCCGTGTTGCCAGCGATGTTGAAGGACGTGAGGAAGAGGATCAGGCCGCCGATCATGAGGAATATGCCGATGACTGTATGGTTGAAACATCGTGTTAGAACAAAGCTGCAAATGTGGGTGTCATTCAGGGTCCTCACCGTCAAACTCAATGACATAAAACCAAACACTTTGCATCCATGTCCGGGTACTACGGGGCTTATATTGCAGTCGACCCTCCTTGTCAGCCTTTCGCTTCGCCAACTCCCAAGTAACCACCAAAGGCAGCGCAACGATTGGAAGAATGATGCAGATGGTTCCATATGCCCATCGCCAATTCGTTTCGTGGAATTGGTTGGATAAGGGAGATCCAGAGAATGCAGTGATGATATAAGGTGAGGAGGTGAAAGCGTAAGCCAGGCCACGATTTCGGAGAGAGGAGGTATCCGATGTGATCACGTCAATAGAGAAGATTGTACCGGTGAAGCCGACCGTGTAGAATGCCTGCAACAGACGACGAGTTAGAGATGTCCAGATGCGCATGAGCAGCGTGGAGGGCATTCACCTGCGCAGCACAGTAAGTCGCGATATTGTTGCAACCAGCCATCATAATAAGACCCATGATAGCAATCAACACCATGATACAAATTCCCAGGGTTCGATCCCACAGATTCAGCACCTTCGCAATCGGCATCACACAAGCAGCGCCTGACGAGTCATTAGTCGAAACGATCATGACAGTGGCAATGATTCATAAGTACCCATTACACTGGTGACAACGCTGATCACGGTGAGCAGCGAATGCTCCGAGAAATCACTTGTAATATAGGCCGAGAGATTGGCTGTAAGACTGCTGTTCAGACCATTGACAAAGTATAGCATCCACATTCTGGAGGATAAGTCAGTGACAAGTTCAAATCATGAGACAAATTGAGATTACTCACGAGGCATATACTATGATCAGAGACTGTCTCGACCAGGAAGAAGTGACTGCCTCAGCGACTCGAACACCATCCTGTTTGTCTTCGTCTTCTTCGTCCTCAGTCTTCACCCGGGGAGAATCAGGGTTCAGAGGCAACGGATCCTCGTTGACCCCCGTCGTAGTAGCAGTCTTATCTACGTTCATCCTGAACAGGGCAGCCGAGAGTACTCCCAAAATGGTGGAATTGAAAGAGTATTTATTTCGGAAGCTCAGGTCTTCAGGAGAGGGGATCATAGCTACTTTTAAACAGTCGTTCACGGGCACTGGACTACCGTCGTCGCGTGGTGTCTCCACTTCGGAATCTGATAAAAAAATTCCCTCCTGCTATTGCTTTTGAGAGAGTGACCACTAAGATCTCGGAGACAGCTTGTGATGGAGACGATGAATGCACGTACGTCTTGGCATGCCCAGGACGCTCCGTCGACGTTGGCCGACGATCGGAAATTAGCACGATATACATGATTAGCCATGCTTTCATTTCACTGAATTATATTCAAAGCATGAAAAGCACGGTGCAAGTTCATAAGAACCTTGCTTTCCAACCTCGTGGGGGATACAGCGAAGCAAAGAGACCCTACATACGGAGTACAGAGGGTCTTTGTCGATGTCTCACCTGCATATCCACAAGGGCCTTCTCAGCGTTAGGTTTTTGCTGGATCGTTCATGCCGTCCCCACAGTGTAACGCAGGCAGAAGTGGCCTGTCCATGCTCTGCTCTTCACCCGAGGACTCCCGACTAATTAAGGCGATTAGGCTTGATGACATGGTAATGTCATGTTTCGCCCAGGGGCCATTCTGTTAGCCAGTCTCGGCATTCTTGGCGACAACGAAAATTTCCTCAGAGCAGGGTGTCCAAGCGACGCGTGGGCCGAGATAAGATCGAAGGCCGGTAGTATGGAAGATGGGAAAGAAGCTAAGTATGAGGGGTCGCGGTGATCATATATTATGCTCCATGACCACGGGCATCGACAAAAGAGGGTGAATATAGGGTCCACTAACCCGTGAGAGAGCGGATGTGGTAGCTGGGTGGGAATTATCCGAATCGCAGAATACCATTGTCAACAAACCGTTCGGTCGGGCAGAGTCGACGAGAAATAACACCCTCCTCGACTCGGAAAACTCAATTCAACGGAACTCAGTCGGCAATGTGGTGGCATGGGAAAACTTGAGTGGCTGCCTGATTTTCTCCATCCAAAGTCAAAACAAGTCCCACTCTCTGCGCCTTAGATTGATAAGACAAAGCACGAGCCGAGACCGGAAGAAAAAGAGATTGATTAGATCAATCTCGCCCTTTGGCATGTTAAGCGACCTTGGCAAACTCAGATTGGCTCTTGGTTTTCTTGGACTGGGATCTCATGACCGAAGGAAATAAAAGGTGGGAGGAATCTTCTGATCAAATGGAATTAATTAGGAGCATTCTACCTCTTCAGTAGCAATTGGACATGGTAGTGGTTGTTTGCATGTCGGCAGTGACCGATCGGGTCATAGCGTACTTGTCAGTGGAAGCGCACCGCCCACCGAACCTAGGAAACCAAGCATGTGGTGGAATGGAGGAATTAATTTTGAAAGATCAATACTTAATAGCGAGCAGAGATGTAATATCTTGCTTTTGGTTACTTACCTATTACGCGGAGCTCCTCTGAAAATTCCGGGGTTGAGCCATGGTAGAAATATACTGCCCCTTACCCGGGTCAAGAATAAGCGAGGATCCTTGGTATCTTGGAGGTAGTAAACGGTGAAGTGCTACCTTCTACTTCGTGCATAACTATTATCTTCAACGGAGATTTTTGTCACAGTCTTTGGTAAATTCAAGTCGACTGTTGCGAGGACGAGTGTGTTGGAGAGTACAGTAAGACAAACAAGCATGCATTTCCTAATTTAGCGTAGTGCATAGCATCATGTGATTCGCACTGTTATCCTCAATCACTCACATCGATGTTTGCCCATCTATCATCAATACCGACACACAGAGCATGATCACTGGTCTTGATTATTGAGATTGACCAGTCTTACAAATAATCATGTCAACTTTCAGCTCAGACACTGTCGCCGATATCAATACATTATCCGAGTATCTAAGCGACCCGGACATCAAAGACCTATCATCCATACCTTCGGTCGATTGTATAGTTCTGTGCGCATCGCAGGTCCTGCACGGCGCAGATCTCATTTTCGAAGCGCTACAAACAAGGCCTTCCCTTACAAAATGCTTGGTACTCTGTGGCGGCATCGGTCATTCCACCAAACTCCTCTATTCAGCTGTCGCTCAACATCCTCGTTACTCCGAACTTGTCCATGAAGTTGAAAGTCTTCCCGAGGCGCGTGTGCTAGAAAAGATCCTGAACAGATTTTTCGATCGATCAGCTATTTTATCAGAAGGATGCCAAATTCTGATTGAAGATCAGTCGACCAATTGTGGACACAATGCTTCATTTAGTCGCCGTGTACTCGATCAAGCAGGCTATTCAGGCCCGAAAACATGCATGATCAATCAAGACCCGACAATGATGTTGAGGACGAAAGCCTCCTTTAAGAAAGTTTACAGTGACATACCTTCAGTATCGTTCATTAGCTGTCCGGTTTTCGTTCCGAAGGTCCAGCTCTCTAACACCAACCTCTTGGAATGGAAGCCTCTTGGAGTCTCATGTGAACTGTGGGATATTGAGCGGTTTATGGAGCTGGTGTTAGGAGAAATACCAAGACTAAGAGATGATGAAAACGGATATGGTCCGCACGGGCAAGACTTCATCACTCATGTTAACCTCCCGGCAGAGGTAGAGATGGCCTGGTCGCGACTAGTAGTCGCTTTCAGACACCAAAAACTTAGATGATGAATCATTTAATATTGTCACGTCGGGTTACCATTTTGTCATTTAAAGCACGCACGGAGAGAGGGACTCATAAACTACTAGGTTATAATATTCCCAAACCGTGGACGGAATGTCTTCTCTGAATTACGATTAGATAGGCTGGAATTCCTTTCCATTACAATTTCTCCTTGTCAAGGAATAGGATCATCAATATCGCAGAGCAACATGGCAGAATGGTATTGTGGCATCAATCATGAAATATAGATGGTAGAGAGCGTGAATAAAATGAGACCGGTAGAAGAAGAATGGTAAAGTATCCCGGAGTTCAAAAGAATGATCAAGGCTGGTGTTGTGAGTCCTTCGGGTTGACATCAGACAACTCGACCCAGGTTGTAGAATAGCTCTTGTCGTGTAGAATGTCATGTGGTACGCGCTCGTTCGATACTCGTGACCCTGTTTCTGACGGCACGATAGTCGATCCTCCATCCTTTGCTGACGAGATGGAGATGGTGGTGGTGACCATTGGAGGAAATCCCGGCGACCTAGGGGGAGGGAAACCCGGTGATTGATCACCGACCGCGGTAGTGCTGTATGGCTGCTTGTAGTTGTACATGTAGCTCTTCCGCTTGCTTCCCGTGATAGTTGACTTGATAAAGCGATGAGTGAAGGGCCGGAATATTGGCCACACTGGTGGAATAGACATGGTGATCAGAACAAGCCACTCCTCAACCTCACCCCAGCGGAACAGGATGCCAACGCCATCTAAAACGGAAGAGGTTAGATGAATCTGGTAGAACATATCGATGGCAATCAATGTAATCAATGTAACTCACAAGAAGAGTCTTCACTCAGAATAAATTTGGCAGCCCATGTACGGACAACAGCGGCCACGCCAGCAAAAACGCCACAGCCCATGAGGAAACTGAGGCCCCATTTGAGCTTTCGATCGATACGCAGGGGTATGAGCATGTGGATGGGGACGATGGCGAGGTAAATATCCGACAAAGCAGCGATAGCGCCGACAAAGTAGGTATAGTATACGCTCTTTCGGTGGTCGCATTTATCCTGCTGCAGTGGATCCCAGAGGGCAGTCACCGGGGTGCATTGGAACCAGACCATCAAGACCTGCGGGATATTGAGAACGATGTTTAGAACAGCGACAGCAATTAGGCTCTTCCTGATCTTTGGGTCTAAGTGTGATGGGCGGTTAGTATATTTACAGATCACGACCAGGACATACAAAGTCAGGAACAGGGTTCCTCAATAACTCACTACTTTGTCCATTCATTTCAATCAGGAACGCAGCGACGGCCACCTTGCCGGTAGGAATGGCGAGATTGAAGAAGAACACGGTAATCCAGGTGAAGAGGAGGAAGTTGTGTAATTCGCCAACTTTCATAATGAGTGTGATATGGTTTCCGAGACCATGGAGGACGGAGAGGATTCCAAAGATTTGGGTCATAGTAGTAAGCAACTATTCAATATTAGCATGGTCTTCAACCTCCAATGCATATATCTAGTCATACCCAAGCAGCGAGTGACCACATCAAGGCAGTAGTTCCAAATTTATTCATGAACAACCGCACATAGACGCGCATACCCATGAAAATAGTCGCAATGATAGCCAACGCAATGCCGAGGCGCAAATCGCCAGGCCCTCGGCCACCATAGGCCGGAAACTTTTCTTCAAGCGACATGCTGTAAATTCAATTGTATATATTCAAAGGAGTGACGAGGGAAACCCAAAAGCAAAGGTGCCCATTTTTCGGAACCGGGAGGGGATCAGCTTATCATAATCCGGGGGCGTGGTCTGGTGTCTTATACTCTCGCTGCATCGACATCGAGGCTGAGAAAGCGGAGGGGACCGCCTGGGAGTGGCACGATTTTGAATTGCAAATTCTAGCGAAGGGAGGGACGTGCGTACTAGACGAGAAGACTTGGTTGGTGAGAGCGTGGCCGATCTTGTGGAGTAACACACTTGGACTATCGAACCCTCTGTTGGTGATGTTGACTGGAAGGCTGCTTCGATTGGTTCGGGCCGTCCAGACCCAATTTCCCCACTATAGAATGACATTGTCCATTGACGTCTGTCTCTGTTAAAGGCTGGAAAGATACTCCGAGATGGATACAGTAGTACAACGACCACCAGACAGTGCCAGTAGATCCGACATGTTCTTCTGCTATTGCATTCATGGCCATACCAATAACCCCTGAACCTGGACTCCCATGGGCCATCAGTTCCATCGCGATCTACTGGCAGCAGCCAATAACAGCAACCCAGTCAGTGAACTCACGATCAAGAGGTGCTGCAGGCACACCCTAGTCTCGGAAACCATCGAAGCCTCGTATAAATTCTCCAACGAGCTCCCGCTAGTCATCTTTGTCCCACGGTTCTGTGGGGTCAATGCATCGCCCGAGGCATGCCCCCTGAATCAAACGTCGTGCAGCGCACAGCAACCAGTTCGCTTACAGACTGAGCCTATGATAAAACCGACTCGCGAAGGGACTCTCCGGTCGCGTGTTTTCTGCAGCCCAGCGGGTCTTTCCAATTCGCTATGCCGGTCAATTCCTGATCAACTGGGAATGCCTTGGGGAAACACTTCAATAGTAGTTATGCTTCCCACAAATTCATCTCGTGAAGTGGAGGCTAAGAATATGCAGAAGAAGCTCAGAGAGGGGCAATCGACTTTAGTGAACCCACTATTGATTGCGAGGCTCTCGGCCATCTTTAATCCACTTCCAGGTCTTGTGCAAGCCGCGTCCGCGTTTCCTCCGGGACAGCCCCCATTCTCTCCACTTTTAAGGCGCAGGTTCAGGCAATGATCGCCCACAAAACCCCTGCCACTATTCCATGCACGCGAGTCAGTGGACTTGTTCGCCTTGTTGGCTTCCTGTGTCTCAACATCTCGTCGAGGTTATACTGTATGGAATAGTCAACGCATCTTGACCCCGCCTGCTCCTAGTATGCGTTCACGAGTTTTGGATCAACCCTCACCACTTTTAAGTGAGATCTTCATCTTGGCCCTACTTCAATCCAAACACTTGCATACGAGGAAGGAAGGAAATCTGACACAATTCCGGCGAACCTCTCTTTCTCTGTTCTTTATCTCCTGCCTATTGCAGCAATGGTAGATCTTGGTCTGGTGTTGATGCCCATCCGGGTAGTTACCGGTAAGCAACTTGCCGATCCCTAGTTGATCGTGCGTTCATTACGGAGTACTTCGGCAATCCAGAAGACAGTGGCGCTAGTCGATTCAATTCGTCTACGGAGTACTTAAAGCTTCTTCAGGGAAATTAGCACACTACTCCCTCTAAATCACAATTAGCGCCGTGGATCATATTCATGATCAACCCATATCGTCTCCTAAAGTCAGTCACTGGTAAGTACAATCCATGGTTTGTGATAAGTTCAGAGGTCAATAATTTGGAAGCCGTGATCAATACTGCCCCAGAACTGCATTAAATAGCCGCAACAAGGTTGGTTGCCGTTAACCATGTATTCTTTTGAACAATCGTAGATGAATCATGAAGCGTTCCCAACAATAATGCCTTGACATACCCCTCGGGCGAACGGCAACTTGCTCACGAACGTGCTTCTTCTATGCTAAGAAGAATAGGGGACCATTTTCCCCTCAGTCCCTATACACTGACATGGCTGAGCCACAGCCCCACTACTATATTAGCCGTTGGTGCCGCCTCCGAGAGCCTTGCACCAGTTTGTAAGTCGCAACCTTCCGTAACCCCGCGAGCGACAACAGAACACCTTGTTCATCTCGGTATCTGCATGGACCGAACAAAGGCGCCCACGCCGATCGTCTCACTGACTGGGTAAAACTAAAGAATCATCCGTGTCCTCAGGGCGACCCCGTCAGTTCATCTCATCTGTAAGTGGTTCGGGAATTGATGAGACACTCGTATCTTCACCGGGCCAGGCAAAAGTTGCGATTGTGATCAGAGACTCAGCAGAAGGAACAAATGGAAACTGTCGTCCGCGATGATCGGCGCACGTGCCCGCGTAAGCGAGTTCACTCAACTAGTCAAGCACGGACATGTCATGTCGAGGTTCAAAGACAGAATAACGACCCTTCATTCAAGATTATTCATAACTCCAAGGGAAGTAGGAGACGATCATCCCACGTGGTTGTCGACTACGTGTGGGACTAAAGCCTACGTGGACGTGGCGCCTCCACTATTTGCTTCTTTTTAGAAAGAGTATCCGATTCATAATATAATAATAGGGTAGTTCAGACGTCCCCCGAACTTCGAGAACCTGTTTTGTTCGTGTTCAGGGTTCAAATACCGTCGGCCTGGTACCCGCCGCTTTTGATTATGGCATAGACATGCCCGTAGCGCTCCGAAGGCCACGATCAGACCCATCAAGGATGACGCCAGAGATTGCTGTCAGTTCATTCGTGGACCTGTTGCGATAGAAAAAACTAGACAAAATGACTTTCTATTTAAAATTAACTGCAGCCCTGTACTCGCCTAAGTGGAAGACTCTGAAGTGGTACTCAATCTGTGATCATTGTGGTAGATATGCAGATATATATCTGCGGAGTCCTACCTACTAGAAGCTCCTGTCGGTCGGGGTGTATTTGACAAATCCATGGACTGGTCCTTCGAAGGACGCCTCTTCGGTTGGCACTTTCCAGAGTCAAACCTTTACCAATGCTCAGGTACGTAAAATGGCTTTGTTTGCCGATTTCTTCATGATTACATGGTTGTAACCATGGCTGCAGCCACATGTCTTACCTGCAAGGCGCGCCAGGGCAGGCTGAACAGAGATCAAGCAGAGTCTTGAAAAAGATGATTTAGCAACATTAGCCAAGTGCAAATGGCTCTTATGCTCATCTTCTGCGAAATATCTCGACATTCTCTTTCCAACTCAAAGTCGACGGCGCCAGGTGTTGATGATTTGAGAGCGAGTTGGGTCAATGCGGAGAGGGCGGGGCTCATCAGTGTGAGATCTAGACCCTCGAGCAAAGATTCCGTTCGAGCTGAGTGGACTGATCTAACGATTCAGGGACTTAGAGTCGCGGAGGCCCTGCAGATCGTTAAACCCAATCGCCAGCATCAAATACAGTATGGAATCTGTATGTCTCGGGGCCTCCTCCGAACTGTAAAATCAATTGGTTATGTGTTGCGGCTTCCTCCCGCTACCCACTATTAGCGTGTTTATCTGCATGAGCATCACAGACAGCACGAATCGGACCTGTCGCATCGCCCTGCTACTGTGGTCCTATTTTCCCATCTTGTCTCCGCTTTCCCTGGACAAGTGGGTATAAAAGAGACTCGAGAGATCACCCATTCAGACATAGGCTCTGCTCTCCGATCCCAAATCTTCTTTTCCAAAAATGGTCACCATCACCAGCATCCTGACAGGTTTGCTGGCCTTGTCGTCTTCCACTGCTTCTAGCGCAATCCGCCGACGCTCAATCAGCCCACCAGAAGGATGCCCAATTCCTACTTGGACCGTCAGCTACTTCCACTGGTACAACGGCTCCCACAGTCTAGACTGTATCCACAACCAGGACGACATCAACGCCAAGGGTTGCCTTTGCGGTTCAGGCTGGTGCGAGCCCGATCCAGCGACCTGCAATGGTAGCATGGTCAATGTCTGCTGGACTGGCATGCCCAACTACCAACCATGGGGCTATGGGCCACCCCAAACTCTTGACATCCAATTTGCCGATGGTTTAACTTGCCACGACGAGTATATCGGCTATCGGATCCACGATATTGGTCACGGAGAGAGCAACTGCGGGTATGCTGACCGAGGGTTGGGAAGGATTGTTGCTTTCTATGGTTCTTCGGATCTGGATTCGTCCATCGGCCATATGGACTATACCCTGGGCGATGGACATGCACTCAAATGCGATAATGGAAGCTCCATCACCTACTCTGGGAGTGTGGACTTTGCGCTTACTTGCACACATGATGCGGATTTCAATGCTACTTGCACGGCACCTGTGTTTGACGTTCCTGTCTTGAGTTACGAGTGGGTCTCATAGGTCCCGCTTGAGCCATGGAGTAGAGGGACTTGGTTGTGGATGTATAGAATGGTATTTTTACCCAAATATGCCGCGTATGAAGGTGAAACATGAAGCTATTTCTTTTTTAACATATGAAATATGACTTGATATTGTTTGATCTACTAGAGTTTTTTCCCTTCTTTGGTTTAATCGGTGATTTAAGGAGCTGAGAGAATGGGGAGTCTTTCCTCTCCGTGGGTAGCGACAGCCCTTCTTCTCTTCAATTCAATCTGAGATAATCACCTCTGCAGCACTGCGGAGATATTGTGACCGACGCCCGGAGAGTCACAATACCGTCAAATGTTGTTCAGGTAAGCTCTTTGATGGAGATTCCCGGCTAGAGATTTCCATAAGGATGGTTCCCTGGTAGTTTCCAGGACCAGCGTTTGCCCTCATGCCCCGAGGTCTATTTAGACCCCGATCTGTCCTCTTTCCTTTCCTTCCTTCTTATTCCCCCTGGAGATAGGTGAAACACAGTGCTTTTTCTACGTCTTTTTGGCTTCCTTTGCGTAGCGGCTAGATTCGCCATCACTCTTATCCTCAGATTCACGCGTCGGTAAATTTCTGAATTTTCACGGACTCGACTTTGACTGGGAATATCCTGATGATTTCGATATCTCCGGCCTTGGCAGCTGGTGGATTGACTGCACTGTCCACGGCAATGGTCCTCACTGGGGAAGCTGCAAATCTCGGCACTTGGATTTACAGCATTGTCAGGGACCCAGACAGTGCATCTATGGTTGTGATGGGATGGTTGTTTCGCATCAAGTCTCTCGTGCGAAACCGAATAAATTTCAATAAGGGACGAGAGCGGACTGAAACGATGTCATCCAAGGGCGTGACAAAGATGGGTGCCCAGTACGCCCGAAAGGACCGACAGGGAAAGGACATTATGAGTCCATGCATGGCATCATTGGCCGTCTTGGGATGAAGTCCCTGGTTATGGGCATCTCTAAGCCCCACGCTCGGGGTCCTCTTGTTTCTTTTCGCCCTTCAGGCCATCAGTAACGTACCTTCAATTTACGCTTAATAAGAACTTTTCTGGACACCAAAACACATTTGTTTCAGTTTCCGTAGATTAGGCTGTCTTGCTTTCTTGCATGTTTGTACATATTTTTGCCGCTGCAGAGGAAAGACCTGCTAGATAATCAGTTGTAGGACTCCCTTCTCGCGCTTACTCCTTGCGATCTCTCACTCAAAAAACTTATTTCCTTAATCATACCGTCGCAGCCTTGACCACCACATTTACCTTGTTGTCGTTATCACCACTCTGGCTGCCGATCGCTGTGATTTCAGGCCATCGCCACTGGCTGCCGAAGCAGAATGACTTCATTTACCTTGCTCCCTCGCCTACCCACGGAACTACGACTCATGATCTGGAGAAGGTGCATCCCAATGAAAGTTGTGGAGCTTTATGTCATCCACGACGAGTTGTATGGTATCCGTACTTGTTGCTACTTAGACTTGACAACGACTCAGAATTCCAAACCCCCAATCATTACGCGCGTGTACCACGAGTCGTGGGAGGTTGCTTTTGAAACTGGAAATTTCACAGACAGTGAAATAGAAGGGAGGCTGCACTGCACTGAACTTCAGAATCTACCGCTGTGGTTCAATCTCACACACAGAATCGTCGCTTGGTACTGGGCGCCAGATTTGGGTATTCGGGTTGACGGTCATGACGAACGCCAACCAGAGATCATGTCCTATTTTCTATGGCATGTGGCACAAGCCCGGAGTGCCTTAATTCTAGCACGTCGGCTCTACACGTTCAAGTATCTCGACGGACCTGGATGTGCCGCTTTCCTGGATGAAGACAATCTTTCCGCAATCTCACGATGGAAAAATTGGCTGGTTTGCATCAAGATAGTCCCCATGCATTTGACACCCGATGAAGCCTTCAAATCCAATCTCTTTGGACTCACGGGTGAAGAGCCCATTCAGTTGGTGGACCCCTCGGATACCAAGCGTCTTCGCCGATTCCAGCAACACTCGAATACCGAGGACCAAGAAGCCCAAGACTTCTTCATCATTATCAAAGACTCTTCTAAGCTTCAAACTGAGCTGGAAAGTGGAAACAAGGGCTCCAGGCCACATGGATATGGCGGCACTGGTTTGTCATGTGCCGACGCAGCCAACATACGGAGACCTGGTGGAGTAATAGTACGGAGGACGTTTGGGTTGGCCCTCGTGTTGATGTAAGATGGCAACCCACTCGACATGTCGGATCCCTGGACATACACTCTTCGCCAATCCTACGGCCGCCGCCCGATTGACCTCGATCGATACTCTCCAAACATGAACCATCCCTGGGTCCAAGGAATTCTAAGCGACATGCCTACTTTCCGGCCCACTATCATGTTCCGCCTATGTATTGTTTACGACAAACAGTCAAATGACTGTCTTCGTCGACTGAGGAGAAAAAGTCCGAAGGTGACGCATTATCAGTCGAAGAGTGAAAGCTGATGAGCTATGTCGAGGGCCGATCGCATTACAAGAGGGACCAAATGGACAGGCGATATGGGAGAGGGACTGCTCCAAACTATGTTCTGACATGGTGGACATGGGGACTTCAAGTCAACTGATGTGCATTCAATTATCTGGAATATTGCTAGTCTACGAGATTAGGATTCAGTGAATTTCAATCATTTCCTGCACCATTGCCAAGAATTTCTCCCGATAATCAGTCGCTGTGGTTGTAATAGACATGTGCCCTTTCCGGCCGATAACATTGAAGGTCTGGACCACGCCTGACAAGGCCTGAGCATGTAACTTATGTTTAGCCCAGAAGAAATCCAGTATCACAGCTCGGTATTTCCATCTGCCATCTGCTGAGGGCAAGCCCACTCGCCAAGGACTTTTTCTCCCGAGCACCTCTGGACTTGAGCTCGCTGGTATCCGCACCATGAATAGGGAGTAGTCAACTGCATTTGCATCCTTCAGAAACTTTGTGTCCTCCTTCATAGCCTGTATAAACTTTTCGTAGTCCTTCCTCCACAGATGTAGCTTATCATTGAATGTATCCGCTAGTTTGCTCAAGGTAGCCTCACTGACCAGAGGTGCGGGTAGCAAGTCGCGCTCTGGATAGAAATAATCGATTGGTTTGAGATCGTAGGTCTCCCATTGTTCGCCCACAGGATCGTCGGCCTTCCCACAGAGGATGTTTTCCATGATGATGTGATGCGCAGGGGTGCAGCCAAAGATAGTACCGAGCGTCACATATGGAGAGATGAGGTAGTCTGTTATCCAAACAAGCACGGCATCTGGATGGTCGCGCATATAGTCATAGTATGGCTCGAGGAGATCGGTCTGGAAGAAGGTGTACTCGAAGTGACGTGGAAGGCTTTTGATCACATAGTGACCGTCCAGAGTACCGAAGAATGTCTGCGAGACGAAGTTAGATGCGAATATCCCGTGGAATTCCGTTCTCTGGGACGACCTTACCGAGCCCGAATACCCCAGATCACCCATCAATTTCAGCGGCGGTTGGCCACTCGTTGTGCGGAAGCTGGCCTGGTAGTCATTTTCGTTGAAGTGCCAAATTTCTCGCCGAAGTTTCGCAAAAGGTCTTCTTCGAATCGAATGAGTTTGATTCGGTAGAGTGTGAAAAATGCAATGAAATGTCCCCAGGCTGTTTTCTTGAAGCGATCAGGGTCGCGTAGTAACCCAGCCTGGATGGACTTGGTCAGCGCCGACTGGCGACGGCTGTTCCCCATGTTATGAGGATGAAAGAATTTGAAACATGAGGTAGGACCGGAATCAAACTTCTCTTATCATCTTTTGGTGCTCGTCTTGCATTAAGCTTGCTTCTGCAACATAATGCTTGGCCAACAAGACAAGTGACGTCATATACCTAACCTACTCCTGGGACATGAGGCCTCGACCAGTCCAAGCTTGGCATACGCTTAGTAAGCCCTATTCTGCAGCCTGGCCATAAGATACCACGTGATGAGGCTTAAATCCAGTTCATCAGTTGAAGGCAGCGAGAGGTACACCTGCCTCAGGTGTCTGGATGAGACCGGTGGCAAGATCAACTATATGGACTTCTTCCTTCAAAAAGACTCCAATTACCAGATTACCTAAGCAATGATAACATCGACGCTCGACAGATGGTCATGATCTACGAGACATTGCAGACAAGGCCTTTTTGGAAGAACGAGAGTCCGTTGGCCTCGCTGGATGCTCGCCACAGCGCCTGCCAGTCTAGCCTGCCAATTTCCATGGGCTCTGACAATGCCCGCCGAATTAGGCAGGTCAAAAAACTCATCCCAACAACCGATGGAAATAATATCAGAATGATGGCTCTCGGGCACTCCCGGCTTGGCCACTCCCTTTATATGCAGATGCTTGCACTCTTGCTTGATAGTCAATTTTTCACTTTGGAGCATTGATATCACATCCAAATCACCAAGGCTTCTGCCTTTGTCATTAATCGAAATCAGTGACTCGACGAGGACGACCTGTGTAACACGCAGACCACGAGCCCCGATATCGACAGGCAATTCGAAATCTGTAAATGAGAGATGCAATGTTGTCCCTGCAAAATGATCCTGAAACTTGCCGTCGAACTCCTTATGATTGATCAAGTGCCAGGCGCTGAAGTCGTAGTCTTTCAACTTTGGGTTAGAGGGTGGAAGGAGAAGGGCCATCTCAGGGCGGCCGAGATTTCCAAAGACCCTTCGTATCAGGGGCTTATGGTTACTTTCACATGGGTCACATAGCAAAGCTGAAGCGACGTAGATTGAATCTCCCGACGACAGTGCCATCATTCTTAGGAGGGATTGCGGATCGATATCGAATTCTCCGCTCTCGCACATTGCAATGCATGCGAAAGATACTGCGAGGTCGTCCTGGATATCCTTCTCATTATCCCCGCGTCGGGGAAGGGGTCGCAGGTGGTTAAATATAGAATTTGAGACAGGCTGTAGTGCTGGGGATGGTGAGTCGATCTCGAAAAGGGACGGTGTGTTTATAACATTTTCTGATGTAACTCCAGCAAGCCAATTGCTTCCGTCTGCAAGTGGCAAATCGAAAGTTGTTTCCGCAGAATTGTATGGTATGGTGTGTTGAACCGGTGACTGTCCGGATGGCTGTGGTGATCTGAATACGGCTGGTCCAGCGCACCAGGGGAGATGAGACGGGTGGACCCGCTGAGCCCATCGTGCTTCATAGATAGGTCTTTTAAATATTTCGATGCTGATTGTGGACCCATCCAATGATTCGTACAGGGAGCTGGCATAGGCAAGAGCATTCATGGAAAGTTCGTGTTGAACAAAATCATCTTCGCCTGTAATCCCATATCGCCACCAGTTCTCCAGATACGATTGGAGTTTCTTAGAGCAAATGACGTCCGATACCAATATAGCCTCAAGTTCCTCGGAAGTCGCAGAAGATCCAAATCTGGATGCGCAATAACGCGAAATGCGACTTTCATTGTTCTTGAATATCCCTACACCACTCGAGTCGCCTAACAGAAAATCATGCACGACCTCTTCCCTGATCGTGTGGCTTCGTCAGCAGAAAGTGCCAGTCATCAATAAGACGAACATTACTGGACCCAATCACGGAGCACTGCTCGCCAAGTCGTTCAATCCTGGACTTGCAGAGTCGGTCCGAGCAGGCTGCACATTGTCCATCTCCGGCGCAATTCTTTGCGCAGTCCTGGTCACCTGGCAAAGAAACACCAGAAGAGCAATGACTCCCAGTTGGGTGGCAGGAAGGGGTACACAGAGTGCTGAATTGGGCGCAGAAACAGCTAGGCCCACCAGGTAAAATGCAGCCGCAATTAGACCCCGCACAGCTAATTTCGGGTTCGGAGGTTCTGCTGATAATCCAGCGCGCGTGTTTCTTGGCTAGCCAGTTACATTGGCGCTTTGTAGCTGGCTCACTGCTGCTTCGGTTGCTGTCCATTGAGGATGCTAGTGTTGGGGGAAGCGCTGACGCGTAGCAATATCCATGACCATGTTGTGATTCACCATATATGATGTTCGACTCACTGGCATCCTTATATCGAATGATAACATCGCTATCGATGGCTTGTAATCCTTGGGCTATTTGGCGCAAGGTTTTAATTTTCATCTCCATCTCAGGTATCATATCTAAGAGACAAGAAAATTTCCCAGGCCAAAAAGAGGCGGTGGCTGGTGATCCAAGTCGTTTAGGAATGATGTGCACCACCGCATACCAAGCCCCAGGAGCTTCGCAAACTGGCGTTGTTGAACATCGCGTGCATCAGTGTATCTTCTTGCAGCAGCTGTTAGAAACTTGAGCCATGCAAGGGATGGTGCAGATAGGTCCACACGGTCTGCAAGAAGCTGGATGATCTTGCAGCACTTCTCTGGCCCGGGGCAGACAGCCTTCCATTGGGAGACAAAAATTCCCAAAATAACCATCCAGAATTCGTCCATAGAGATCCGCGATGTATCTGACGCCAGGCGCCGCTCAGCTATCACAGGGGGCGAGTAGTACCGCATCCGTCCAAGAGGCAAGGACCAGAATACACCTTCCCTACTGCCATCTGCACCATGTGCAGAAATGGTGATCACGGACCCATTCAAGAGTTCATCGTGGAGATCCACGCTCTTTGACTCGTCTACCAGGACCTGGATATCGGGGTATAGATGCCACGATGATATTGCCAGTAGTACAGAACCGTCTTGTATTCGTTGGGGCACTCCTTGCACCGTAGTTCCATGGCACGCATTGCTAATGTCCAGGCTTCGAGAACGCTTTGGTAGGGGTCTTCTTTCGTGTTGACTGGCATTTTCACATTGTTGACGATGAGCATTAGCTGCGTCTGTTGAAGATTCCGGTCTGAATCTGCTGTCTGGAGCCATGATCGCGCACTCAAGTCCCAGGCGGCTAGCTGCTCCCGGCCAAAGATCTGCTGAGCCGCCATGATTGCGGCTGTTTCGGTTGCATTGTAGTTGTTATAGTTGTTATGGATTTCTTCCTTCCTCCGTTCGACAAGCTCAACCCACAGCGATATGGCCTCAGGCCCCTTCCAAATCCTTGCTAGCATGCAGGCAAGAAGGTGCACTGCTAAGGCACCTCGCCCGGAAGTTGCAGCTGCCCAAATACTCGTAGCATCAGGACCAGCGTGAGCCGCAAAGATCTCGCTGGTCGGAAATTTCTGGGATTTCGTTGTCGTGCGAGATGAAATGGCGGAAACACGGTTCCCGTAGGCTTGGATCAGGTGTGGTATAGGTGGTACAATAGCCTCAAAAAGAGCCCCCAGCCTTCGGGCTGTGACATGTGGCTGGCCCTCTTCAGCGGCATGGCGTCTACTTTTTGAAAGTGCATCTCTGACACCGTGGAATTCCTTCGGCGCTTCTACTTTCATCAAAGAGAAGTCTATATTGAAATTGGCAGCAGCAACTGTCAACTCGTTAGGCATAGACAAAAACGCGGTATTGAACTTTGAAATCGATGCCATTGTGTTAAGATTTTGCGAAAAATGTAGGTTTCAAGTGGGGAGAAATGGATCATGGTATTTTCAAAGTTTGTGGCAGGGTCCTCGCCTTGTTTTATGTCTGAGAATCGAGCCAAATTTGATGAGAGCCTGCCTTGGACATCACACAACTGACACTTTGTCGGCAGTGCTGAGGCGGAAGGTGCTTGATGCCCAATATGTATGCTCATATGCGTGGGTCCAATCAAATTCACCAGGAGAAGATTAGTCAGCCAACTTTCGGGCGATCATTAAAGCCTTTGATATGTTTATATCGAGTCGTTCTAGCTTTGCTACCACTACTGTAAAGCCACTGGGCTGATACCAACACATTACTGACAACCAATTCTCCATACTTAAGATAGATCATACCACCGGATATACAACACAAACAAAAGAAGAGGCAGTGAGTAAAGCATCCCCGATCTATACAGAACACGTGACGTACCGCCCGATAAGCTGTCCGCCTGAGTCACCGCAGAAAAAAAAGGCGACCCCGAGAAAGTTCCCCTCCTTATGGGTCGGATTCTGCTAAGCGGGGCCAGTCGACTCACAGGCGTCTTTTTTTCTCGGGCCAGTATTCGCATTCGCATTCCCCTCATCCCATCGCGTTCCTTCTCCCGCACTGCAACCATGGCGACCGCCGATTCCCTCACAGCCTCTGTCCAGGCCTTGACCCTGCAGTCCACCACGAAGACCTCCAAGTTCCCAGGATGCTTCCCGACGCTGAACCCGATGGACATCTACCGCGAGCATATTGCGGAGGAATTGGGCAAGGCCGCTGGTATTGACCCTGAGTTGATCTTCTCCCGCCTTGCCTGGACCAACACGCTGGACAAGGGTGATCTGTCTCTGCCGGTACGTTTACAATTGCAGGATATTCAGTGATGTGCGAGTATAAAAGTATGATGGAACAGCACCGCTCACATTGCTCGCTTCATGATATGCATTAGGTCGCTTCCCTCCGTATCAAGAAGAAGCCCGACGAGCTCGCCGCGGAGCTGGCCTCCAAATTCCCCGAGTCCGATCTCATTCACCCTCCTACTGCCTTTGGCCCTCACCTGCAGTTCTTCTGCAAGGCCGGACCTTTGGCCAACACCGTCCTGGGTCGCGTGCTCACTGAGAAGGCCGCTTTCGGTACCAATGGCAACATGGGTCTCAAAGACCCCTCCGACCCTTCCAAGGGACAAAAGAAGATTATCATCGAGTTCTCCTCGCCCAACATTGCCAAACCCTTCCACGCCGGCCATCTGCGGTCAACAATTATCGGTGGTTTCCTTGCCAACCTGCACACTGTTTTGGGATGGGATGTGATCAAGATGAACTACCTTGGTGACTGGGGCAAGCAGTACGGTCTGTTGGCCAATGGCTTCAAGTACTTCGGAAACGAAGAGGCGCTTACCAAGGACCCTATTAACCACTTGTTCGATGTATATGTCAAGGTCAACCGCATCGTCGGTGACCAGGAGGCCCCCATCAAGGAGCTCAAGGAGAAGATCAAGGGTAAGAAAGAGAAGGGCGAGGATGTTTCCACGGAGGAGGCCGAGCTCGCCAAGCTCGTGGATGCTAGCGAAGACGAGAAGGCCCGTCGGTACTTCAAGTCCATGGAAGATGGTAACCCAGATGCCCTTGCTCTCTGGGCCCGCTTCCGTGACCTCAGTATTGCCAAGTATAAGCAGACATATGCCCGCCTGAACATTGACTTTGACGTCTACTCTGGTGAATCCCAGGTCAAGGCCGAGAGCATGGCCAGCGCCTACAAAGCCATGGAGAAGGCCGGTGTCACTGAGGAGTCCGATGGTGCTATCATTGCCGACTTCACCAAGCACGGTGCTAAGAAGCTGGGCAAGGCTATCATTGTGCGCAAGGATGGCACTCCTCTCTACCTGACTCGCGACATTGGTGCCATTTTGGAGCGTGACGAAACGTACCACTTCGATAAGATGATTTACGTTGTGGCTGCCCAACAGGATCTCCACCTGGCTCAGCTTTTCAAGGTCACTGAGCTGATGGGCTACAAGGACCTGGCCAGCCGCTGCCAGCACATCAACTTTGGTATGGTCCACGGTATGAGCACCCGTAAGGGTACTGTGAAGTTCTTGGACGATATTCTCCGGGATGTTGGCGACAAGATGCACGAGGTGATGAAGAAGAACGAGACGAAGTACTCGCAGGTCGAGAACCCGGAGGAGACTGCCGACACCCTTGGTATCACCTCCGTCATGGTTCAGGATATGACTGGCAAGCGGTAAGTTTATTCAGGCCCTATCTCCGGTACCTTTATTTCTACGGATGCTAATTTCTCTTAGTGTCAATGGTTACGACTTCAACCTCGATGCCATGACCTCGTTCGAGGGTGACACCGGTCCCTATCTGCAGTACGCCCACGCTCGTCTCTGCTCCATGGCCCGCAAATCGGAGCTCAACATCGACGAGCTGAGCAGCGCCGACTTCTCCCTCCTTACTGAGCGCCACGCCATCGATCTGATCCGTCTTCTTGCCTCGTGGCCCGACGTTCTTGTCAACACCGCCAAAACTCTGGAGCCCGTTACCGTGCTGAGCTACCTGTTCCGCATGACACACATGTTGAGCTCTTCTTACGATGTCCTCAAGGTGATTGGCAGCGAGCCCGAACTCAAGAAGTCTCGTATGGCTCTGTACGCTGCGGCCCGACAGGTCCTGCACAACGGTATGCGGGTTCTGGGTCTTAACCCTGTGGAGCGGTCAGTCATGTATCCTGGAGATTTCTGGCGTGTCAGTAAGCTAACGTTTGCCCTTATAGGATGTAAACTGGCCCTGCCTTTGACTTTCTTCTCTCTGCTTTTGAAAATTCCCCATAGCTTGACGATATCTCATAGTTCCCGCCTGGATGCACTGGCGCTAAACGTGGGGCCAATAAAATATGATTCCGATGTTCACTTTGGTTGCAGGAGAACCGTAGGACCATGCAACCTTTAGATCCAAAATGTGCTGAACTCCTGTCACGAACCACGTCGCATCGGTCTAAATTTCTGTTTCGCGACCGAAGCAAGATAAGCTTCATCAGTTCGCATTCTCTAATGGCTATTGTAGCATGATCGTTGAGCGTAATAGTGACAAGGGCAGTACAGCCACACACGTCTCCTCCCTGTCAGCGGGGATAATAAACTCGTGGCGACTGGGGTTCATGAGCTGGTCACTACATAGTAACTACTGTAAACTGCAGAACTCTCAGGCAGCCCTGCAAGGCAAGAACTCAACAGCTAAGCGAGATGACAGATCCAGGACCCAGATTGGCTCCACACTTGAAATGAACACGATCATCTCGAACCCAAAGCTCCAGTGATCAAACCACCGAGTCCCATTGTAGCCATCGCAGAGTGTTCATCTCGTGGGTGTTTCCCGCAATTCCAACCGGCGTTCATCTCGGGGACCAAACTTCTTACCTAAGCTGTTGGTTACCTGGGCACCTCCACCTCTTAGGGCCATCGCTAGCGTCGATTGTGGCGCGAGTCTAACGTTTTCTAGATCTGCCAGAGTTCCAGCTCGCCTGCCAGGCCCTTCCGGGGACCACCACATCGGCCAGTCTAGCGGAGCGCCCGCAATCAGCCGCATATCCACACTTCACAATCCCATGGTCCCCATCACAGCCAGCGCAGCTCAATGGAGCTGGCTGGGTCAGCAAAACCCAGGATTGATCGCCGATTACATCCTTATCCCTGCAGAACGGGGCCGGTGTGATCGAAATGTATTTAACTTGGGTTGGCCTCGGGGTTTAGGGTGAGGTCAGTCTTCAAAAGCCAATTTACCTGGTTTATCACAGTGAGAAGCATTGAGAGGTCTACGACCATTGTGATCGCGACCATCACTGAACATGGGTGAACCTGCTTCTGCCTTGAATGGCAGCATCGACATTGAAACGTCGACTCCAACCTTGGATGTCGAGTGGGATGCCGGCAGTCAGTTTCTGATGAACCATTCCGTCAAGAACTTTTCCTGGAGTGGTCTTACTGTCACCGTGAAGGATCGCCAGACGAAGAAGGCCAGGGATTTGATTAATGACATTAGTGGAGATGTCCAACAGGGTACGTTTTCTTATTTACAGGAGAGTCTGATTCGTTGTATGCGCATGACAACTTGACTGGGATAATGCTGATCTGATCTTGATTTGGACAGGGGAGCTCGTGGCTTTAATGGGCCCTTCGGGCTGTGGAAAGACAACCCTGCTCAATGTGCTTGCTCGACGGCCGGCTGCATCTGGTGCCAAAGTGCTGGGTGAGAGCTATGTCAATGGTACCAAGGTGGACGTTGGCTCGTTTGGTCGCATGACATCCTACGTCGAGCAGGAAGATGCTTTAATTGGATCATTGACTGTTCGTGAGACGTTGAAATTTGCAGCAGATCTATCGCTACCCAGGTATTTCCTGTCATACCGAATGCTTATTATCCAATACCCTGTCAGTCAGCACATGCTAATCATCACATATTATATAGCTCGGTTAGCAAGCGCCAGCGCATCGATCGTATAAAGACACTTTTGGAGGCCTTCGGTATCCAAAATCAGGCAAACACACTGGTTGGGACCCCGATCCGCAAGGGTATCAGTGGTGGCCAGAAGCGACGTGTCAGTGTAGCCAGCCAACTCATCACCTGCCCCAAGATCCTGTTCCTGGATGAGCCGACCAGTGGTCTGGACTCGACAGCCAGTTATGAGGTGATGTCGTATGTGAAAGAGCTAGCACGGGCCAATAATGTGAGTATTTCTTGTGGTTCCGCAGCATCTTGGTTGGAATGCTAATCAGACGCATGGTAGATAATCATTATTGCGAGTATCCACCAACCATCGACGACAACCTTCCAGCTATTCGACAAGCTTCTCCTCCTATCCGGTGGACGGACATGTTATTTCGGTCCAATCAACAATATTGAAAGCTACTTTGGAAATATCGGTCACCCGGTTCCCGCGCACACCAACCCTGCCGAGTTCCTCCTCGACATTGTCAGCTCAGACTTTGGCGGCGCGAAGGGGCAGGCACAAGAACGGGTTCATCAGATTCAACATGCATGGACAGAATCCGCAGAGTCCAGCACGATTACGAGAGAAGTTTCTGAACGGGCTCGTGAGTCGGAGAAAGCGGCGAGAATTTTGTCTGCCGAGGACATGGCTCGCCCGGGACCAATCACTATTACCACTGCGCTGTTGCATCGCTCGTTTATTAAGAGCTACCGCGATGTCGTCGCCTATGGAATTCGGATTGTTATGTATCTTGGTATGTGTTGCAGTACTATCTTCATGCCAATGCGAGCTAATTCAAGCCAGGTCTTGCCATCATGATGGGTACGGTATGGCTCCGCTTGCACCCAGCCCAGGACTATATTCAACCTTTTGTCAATGCCATTGTGAGTGCGCCCTTCCAGAGAATACGAACGAAGCAATGCTAACAAGCAACAACCCAGTTCTTTGGATCAGCTTTCATGTCCTTCATGGCCGTTGCCTACGTGCCCGCCTACCTCGAAGACAGGGCAACCTTTGCAAAAGAGCGTGCAAACGGCCTCTACGGAGCCACACCCTTCATAGTCTCCAATTTTCTCATTGGTCTCCCATTCCTCTGTACGTATCTCGCGCTCCCATTAATCTTCAATAACGATGCAAGCATCGCTAATACCTCCAACCGTCTAGTCCTAATCTCTATGCTCTTCTCGATTGTCTCCTACTGGCTCTCCAACTTCCGCCCCGACGGATCCGCGTTTATGATCTGGGTGATGTGGATATTCCTCGATCTCGTTGCGGCTGAAAGTCTCGTCGTATTCGTTACATCCATCTTCCCCAATTTTGTCATCTCGCTCGCACTCGTGGCCTTTGCAAATGGATTGTGGATGAGCGTGGGCGGGTTCCTGGTTACACCGACGATCCTGAATCCGTTCTGGAAATACGTCTTCCACTATATTGATTACCAGGTAAGCATATGCAAAGATAGTTCATCCCGTCTATTTACGGGACATCACTAACACTCTTCTCTTCTTCCAGTCATATGTCTTCCAGGGAATGATGGTGAATGAATTCTCGCAACGCAACTATTCATGCGGACAGGGCTGCCACTGTATGTATAATTCAGATCTGGCCTCTCAATGCCAGATTCGTGGCACGGCCGTGCTTGAGCAATATGGGTATGCGACTGGAAGGACCAGCAAATGGGTGGGAATTCTCATTGGGATTATTGCGGTGTATCGATTGTTTGGGTGGATTGCGCTTCAACTGCGTCGGACTTGATCCTTCACCTGGTTGGGAGGATTTTGGAACGCAGAAAAGCATGTGCCAGTTGGATGGGCTATTCAAATGTCTAGGCTTCAGGTCCACTGGGTAGATAGAAACTAGTTGTGGGATTGTTTCGTTCAAACTACATTATTGTATTGAGCTCTACCTATCAACACACTAGCAGCAACATAGCACTGAGCCTTCTACATGCACCTGGGTCGATACAATGCTATGCATGGAACATCCGGGCCGTCTCTTTACATCTCCCGACCAGTGCCGCGTCCGTAGTGAAGTAGTACACCAACAGTTATCTCGTCACCAGGCGTATCCCATCACCCGCACTATCGACTTATCTGTACAACAGAAAAAGGCCATTCTACTTGGCTACTATCAGCACACCCCAAAGTCTTTACCAAACAACCAACACGAATCCCTCATACTCATACGGGAAGATAACAACCGAGAAGGTAACTAACTTCTAACGCATACAACACAACACAACACAACCAACCGCCACCCGCACGAGCGATCGCCACGACACAACCGACGATCCAATCCCCCCCACAAAACGCGAGTCATTTCACACTTCCACGCTCCACCCACAACACCCGCATCACCCTCGGAATCCGAGAAATCACTGTCTATACCATAGAATGTTCCCATGCCCTCAGACCCCCGATACAATCTCAATGCTCCCCCTCCTCCGCATCCAAGACACCATATCACGCACGATATGAAAAGAGCGGTGAGAGTCTTGGTCTTGCGTGGGAAGTGCTGATGACACCCTGCAGAGACGAGGACGCAAGGGGGTGGTGAGGTGAGTTTTCTGGAGGAGAGTTTTTATTTCCGGATTGGGGGGGGGGGGGGGGGGATTACCCAGGATATAGACTGCGCCCGGGGAATGGCTGTATGGTTGGGATGATTGGATTGGTCTCTATACTAGGTTTACTGTATGGAGATAGAGACAGGAAATGACAAGGCGCGGAGTTGGAATTGGACAGCTAGTTAGTTAGTTACTGCAAGGAGATTGGTAATCAATTCTCCAGGATGCTGGCATGGATGGCATGATATGCTTGTGAAGCTTATTCGCTGGGCCATGCGGCTGCTACGTATATACTTGTGGGCATGGAGAATGTCGACGTGGAGAGATAGACGGGATAGGCGTGTACTATTGTATGACTTGGCATTCCTCATAGACATGGGTTGATTGCGATATGTCCTGATCTTGAGATCTTCGTTACGATCGTGAGTAGTAGGAGTAAAAGTAGATGCCTGGTAGTTATGATGATGCCTACGACATATTCTGTATATCTCAATAGGAGGAGTAGGTGTCTGTAACGCTAAGGAGTTGCCTGTTGATATGGAGTTGTCTGTTGAGTAGCTACGACGGGACAAGTTATACACCGCAGGCTTTGTTATCCAAAAAGTCAGAAGCATACCTCCTAGTCTGTGACTATTCTAAATCTTGGTCTGTATGTACCGTCCAGGTACTTTCATGTACTTCGTCAGCGCCAAGTTGGAGGGGAAACCACCAGAGCCTCATCCCGTTCGCCTCTCATCTCCCCATCCAGCCATCGCCTCCCTTCCCTCTAGCCCAATGCCCGTTCATCACCCACCCAATCTGACTTTTTTTTCATGTCGTTTCAGTTTCTCGTCGTCTGGGTGAATTCCATCATCTCACCCTCCTTCAACGTTGCCCCCGGGTTGTTGTAAACAGAGCATTGACCCTCACCCATGGTGCCCCGTTTCGTCTCTCCACCCAATTGCATCCTTATCATCGTCGCAATTGTGTTATTCCACACGTGCGGGGGTCCTGCCACCTCCACCGACACCCTCGAGGGCCCTTGGCTAAGAATAATAATCAGGACGCAAGGAGGTAAAGAGTGCGACCGTTGAGGAAATGATAAACCGTCCGTGCTGCATGTCATACCGATCTGGTCAGGTCTGATCCAAGCAGGAAACGGGGCTCCCAAGCATATGGAGATGATTGAGGAGCACTCGATGGGGTCGAGATACAGTACAGTAACCCTGGTTGAACCCGGGTATGCTTGAATCACCCCGGGGGGAACAACGGCAGGGAATCAGGCTCAAACACCTTTTCTTCCCCCGCCACGGGATGAGCCATGACTGTGTTCCCTGCAACAACCAGCGCACCAGCTCCTCTGAATAGAAGAGCGTCAGTCAGTCAGTCAGTCATGACTCACTAGCGGAGAGAGTGAACAGCGCCATAGAAGAGCCGCCACGAGGGCGCGCAGGGCCTTGGCGTCACCCAGTGCTAGTGCTGTGCAGCACGCCGGACAGGCATGCTCTCTCTCTCTCTCTCTCGCTCTCCCTCTCCTTCCATCTCTATCTGGATCTAGCGTCGTCCACACGCATACTCCACTCGCGACATTAGTGGCGAGTCAAGAACGAAAATTTTCTTTATGCAAAGAGCCAGAAAACTGTCCAGATGCATGTCATCTCCACCGACTCTTTTGCTTCCCGCTGTACCAGGTACATTGACATTGACATTGTCTCCGAGGGGTTGGCCAAGCCAAAAAAGAAATGAAATAAGTAGTTCATCGGCTGGTGCTAGCCGACGGAGGGGTGTATACAAGATACAGCTAAGTGAAACATTGTTCCTTTGAGAACTTCCCCTTCCTCCTTTCTTCGGCTTTTCCCACCATTTTCCCTCGGTCGTTGGTTGCTCATTTCCCGTGCAGGGTTGTTCCCTCTTCGTGGTGGAGGCGATCATTGGGCCGCAACGCTCAGGATTGGGCGTTAGGCCGACCGGAGCAGCGACGAGCAGAAAGGGAAGATTTCGGAAGGAGGAGGCCGATGGGGGAGGTATTTGACGAGACGGGCGAAATACTGTACATGGTGAAGATACAGTAATCTGGTATGGGGAGAGTAGATAGTCACCAACTGTTCTGGTATTGGATGGAGGGGGTGGACTGGGGAATAGGATCTTCTGTAGGATATACAGTTTAGTGTGCATGCACCTCGGGGGATAGCCTCTCTAACAACATACCGGTACTGTACCTAGCCCAGGGGATTGTGAGATACTTGGAGGATGGAGTAGATCTGAAGTAGATTCCCATGGAACTATACTTCTACAGTAGTACACTTATCTTCTCAAGTAACTATACTTCTCAAGTATACTTTTGAGTAAACAAAGGACCTCCATCCAGGGATCCGAGCAGGCAGAACCAAGGATCCCCCTTCCAGCGGGTCCCGAGTTTAAACTGTTCCACGAGTTCACGACTGGTTAGTATTTACATTGAAGATTGGTAGAGAATGTTCTCTCTGCGTATCTCCCTCGTACTCTTCCGTAGTTTCCGTCCTCAGTCCTCGAAACCGATGGAGTATAACTTAGTTGGTCTTGTTTATGATGACACCCACCCCCCCACTCCACTCCTCTTCTTTTTTTTTTCCTTCTTCTGTTGGGTACCGACCGTCCCGCGAGCCTCTTCGTGAAACATTCTCTTGTTGTCTATTTCCTTTTTTTTGCTTTTTAGTTCTTTTCTTAGCTGGCAGTTTTTCCTTCTTTTTTGCGTTCTCTTTTTTTCCCCCGTTGAACTGGGGTGATTGATCGCTTATCAACTTGTTGCTTCCCCCTCCTTCGATCGGGTGCTCCACTCCCAAACTACCCAAACACTTCGAGACCCAAAGAATATCCGCCTTCTCTTCTTCTTCCACCCCACCGCCGGGTACCAGTCAGGCACGGCGACAGATCCTCAGTACAGGCACAAAGGCCCAAAAGCCCAAAAGGGCCCAACTCTTCCCCTAGCAAGACCTGCAGCTGCATCCCACCACTCATCGCCCCCGAGAGTTTTCTTCTACACTCTCCTCAGGACCCACGCCCGACGCTCCGCCGCCCGACCGTTCTCGCGCCCGCCCAATTTCTCACCCTTTTCAGATGGAGACATTATTGCGATCTGGAAGATACCACCTCGCACGCTCCGCTCGCTGACAGATCCGGATTACGCCCAGTTGCCTGCCATCGCCCTTGCGATCGGCAGGTTCGTTTTCCGTGGTTGCGACTGTCTGAAACTGGGTTGGGCGATAGAGAGAGTGAGTGAGAGCGAGAGAGAGGCAAGAACAGCAGAGGGAAACACACACAACATCGAGACAAGTGCTGTATGAGCGGCCAAGAGGACTGTGAGAAGCTGTTCTTCTAAACGAGCCAACATTGGAAACAAAACTACGCCGGCGCGATCTAAGAATCGTCACAGATACGGCAATAAATCATCCCCGTCTTGGCCCTGGAACATACCGAAAATATACATACCAAGTGGACCAGGCCAGGACACCCAACAAAAATACCTGCCCAAACGTACCCAGCTCTACTGAGTCATCCCTGGTGCAACGAGACCTGTCTGGTTGAAGGGGTGGGCTTCTGCTGTAAGTCGTCCCAAGTTCACACCCCTCTCCCGCCGTCCTTTTGCTGCCCGGAGTGGGTAAGCCAAACACGCACCGTCTGTTCTAAATCGGGACCAGGGCTGGTGTCATCATCATTTCTTCCCCCTCTCTCTCCCACCGACTGACATTCGCACCGTGCCCAGTTCCCTCGCCGTCCCGACCGTGCAGCAAGCCATGCCTGCGGGCAGGGCCCCTCAGCCGGCCTATGTCGAGGACTTCGACGAGGATGCACATGGCATCGTACCCGATAGCCGGCACTCAGCCAATGCTACAGCCAACACGGCTGTCAAAATCTCCTCCAGGTTGGATCAAAGATTCCCAGCGGAGCCGCTGATCGACGGCGCCAGTGACTCAGGGTATTCTAGTCGTACCGCCGCCACAGCCAACAGCACCCAATCTGGCCCGTCGGGCGGAAGAAGTCCCCCAGTTCCTCTTAAGCTGGACATGCCCAAGCAACGCACCGAGCTAGCTAGGAAAAACTCCAGCCGCAGAGAACGAAAGGACAAGGAACGAGAACGCGCTCGACCAGAGCACGTCGAGAAGCAGATGGGTACTCATCCCCACCAGCATGCTCACGTGCAAAGGTCGTCGTCCAAGTCCCGCCGTCGTGACTCTGCCCACATTCGACACTATCCACCAGAAGTTTACTACGAAGGCTCTGCTCCCTATCACCAACAGCCATCCACCCCCGTCGAACGTCCTCCCATGGACTACCCTCCTTACCACTTCGCGCGGCCACCAGTGCCAGACTACCCGCCGTCCTCGCCGCAGACAGCCCGCTATCCATGGGCTGTTGAGGAATACCACCGCCCAGCAAGTCGACCTACTCGCTCAAATTCATATCGTTCTGGTATGTATCACCCGGAACGTCCCATGAGTATGCATGGTGGGATGATGGGTCCGCCACCGACACCCATGTATCATCACCAACCTTCGTACTATGAGCATGGCCCTCCACCAGCAACCTCGGCCTATGTCAGTCAATATGCATCGTCTCCATACGGTGGTTCTTACTATGGCAGCTCTGAGTATGCTCCAACTGCGGACTACCCACGGGAACGATCTCACTCTCGAACGCGAGAACGATCTCAACAACCCCGGGCCCGTCGCTCGTCTTCCATCTATGGGCAACCACCGATGGACCACAGCGTCTTCCCAGAGTGGATGGATGAGCCGGAGCAGTTCGATCAATGGATGCCCGAGGAACCCCCTCGAGAGATGCCTCGCGAATACCGGCGTGAAAGGGAAATGCCCCGGGAGTACCATCGTGAGAGGGAAGTCCCTCGTGAATATCATCGTGACGTTCATCACGAAGCACCCCGCGGACGTGCCCCGAAGCCCGCTCGTGACGAGGACTACTACAAGATGCCTCCACCTCCTCCGCCAGCGCCCAAGCGCAAGGCCCAGGTTCACCAGGCGAAACAACCCGAACGACCTGAACTATCACGCAAAGTCCATACCACCCAAGCTATTCCACAGCAGCGCCGTCAATCCCGCACCTCGATGGACATGAGCGAGATGGCTGCTGCGTTGCCAGAGTATACCCGACGCGTGTCTCGGGAGACTAGGATGCCCGAGCGCAGCCACAGTCTCCGTGAGACCAAGCGATCAAACTCATACCACGACAGCGCCCGCGGCGCCCAGATTGCAGTTGAAAGCTCCCGCCGTCGTCGTCGTCCAACAGAGTATTACTACGACGTCGACGACGTGGGCAGCACCGGCACAGCAGGCGGTCTGGAAGACCGCGAACGCGAAGTTGAACGCTACCAAGCGCGACAGTCCGGCCGGACAAACACGATGCCCGCCTCCGCCGAAGCCCTCCTCACCAAGAGCGCCGTCGGCGCAGGCAGTGACAACGGCAGTCAAAAGAGCCGGTCGAACAGCAGCCGGGGCAGCGGCAGCGGCAATGGCGAAAGCAAGAATATGAACCTCATGGTGAACGGATTAACCATCGGATTCACGGAAGACTCCGTCGCGGGCAAGAACATTAGCATTCGTGCCGGAGATACCGGCCGTGTGCAGTTATCTATTGCCGGTGACCGGAGGCCTAAGCAGTACCTCACGAGTGGCTCTTCGTATTCCGATCAGACGGGCCGTTCTGGCCGGCGAGAGTTGGAGGAGGTGCCGCGACGCGCGCGTGATGATCGTCGCTCGGAACGTGCGAGCCATCGCTCGAGTCAGTCGAGTTATGGCGGTAATCGTCGGTATGCGATGTAATTGTGCGAGCTGAGCGGTGCGATTTTCCATGCTCTCGTGTTTGTCTGTCTGGTTTTCGTTTCTCCTGAGATTTATACTGTGGCTTTCTCTCCTCGCTGTTGCGTGCTGGGATTCGTCGAGGTTGATTTGTCAAAAGTTGGATTTGGATTTTGGATTTTCGGATTTGGATTGGGATTGGCACTTATGATTATCTTTTGTTTCTTCGTTTCCTTTATTGTGTTTTGTTTTCTTTTTCCCCCTTTGGCACTTTGATGACGTTTGTTTTGCGGGACGGGTCTGGAACAAAAGTGGTTCGAGCAAAGCGCCCGGGTTGAAGCTCTCCTTCCCTCGCCAACAAACGCGAAAGCACAAAAAGCGAGAACTCGAGGCTCACCGACCTGTCTGATCGGACTGGGAGGATTCTCTGGTTTTGTTTTGTTTGTGATTGCAATTGCTATCTCTTGCTTGGGGGTGGGCGTGTTGGGTGCACAGTGGGAAGAACTGTTTCATCGGACGGGTCTGAAGTGGACTGTGCTGGCCTGGACTGGATTGGACTGGATCGGAACGGACGGCGTCACCTTGGCTAGCCTGTTCTCCGTCTACCCTTGGATTTGATCTTGATTCAGTTCTCGATTCGGATCTGGAAGGACGTCGAACTGGGTGGGCTGGTGGGCTGGACTGGAATGACCTGAACTGTCCCGGGCTGGACTACCACCACGACAACCCTGACGATAGACACGAAACTCCACTGCACGGGACTGACACTCGCCGCCTCCGTTACGGTGATATGATTGTACGATTCTGATGACCTGCGATGACAAGTTCGATTCATGTGATTGATGCTTTGCTTTGCTTTGCTTTGCGTTGCGTTGCCTTGATGATGGGTGCAAGCCATTTACCAGCGTTGATGTATATTCATTTCTCCTCTATTTACCATCTACCCTTTTCATGTCTTTTTCCATCGCTCCTATTTTCTCCATACGATTCCTTGATTTTTTTTTTCTCACCCTACTCTGTTCAACATCTACGTTTACCTCGACGTCTACGTGTTTATCTCTTCTTCTAGTGGGTCCTGTGTCTTTCTCTTTCTTGCTTGTTTGTGCTATGCGCTGAGTTTAAGGAGAGACATTATACCCTATCCTTCTACGGTATTGCGGGTTGTCAATTTGGGTATTTAGGTAGTTCTTTAGCTTCTGCTTTTGATGTTGTCTACTTGTCATACCATGTTCAAATACCAGGTCATCTTTACTGCAAATCTTGTATGAATGAGTCTTTCAGTAACAGCTCCGTTCTTTGGTAGTTGCTGTATATCCTCATAGCCTCGTAGGTTAGCCAGCAACCACAAGTCTCTCTCCAAGCTAGCTACCGAGTTCATGATCACTTCCAATCCGAGAAAACGTTTATTCCATTGTAGTGGGCACTATGACTACGCGACATCTCAATCGTTCCACCGTCCTAGAACAAGGACTTATTCTGCTCCAAGAAAGTCTTCCAGCTCGTGGCCTTGAATCCAGCCTTCTCAAGGAGATCATGACTCCCCTTCAGACTCTGACCCTTGTAGTAGCCAGGGCTCTCAATGAACAGGTGATTCTCAAGCATCTCCTCAGCCATCGGGCCAGGCATGAAGCTCTTGTAAGTTTCATTATCCACCTGCACAAATCGAGTCTTCTTTCCAGTAACCTCTTCAAATTCGGCAAGAATGCGAGTGGGGGTGTAATAGTCTGCAGCAGCGAGGATCTGGGCACCAAGTGCCTCGGACCGGTTCTTCAAAGCAGCTGCGACGAATTTACCTAGAAAGATTCTGTTAGCTCCAGACTCTCGTAGATACCGTACAAACAAAGTTCCACCTACCCAAGTCACTAACGATCTCAATGAGCGGGAACTGAGAATCCTTGCCGATAGGATAAGTCAAAGTGTAAACATCATCATCGCCCTTGCGCAGCATCCCATATTGCGTGTAATTATTCATGAAATAACCCGGCAAAACAAACGTAGCAGGAACACCATTCGACCGAATATACTGCTCAACGTGCGCCTTCTGATCAAAATGTGGAACGTGCTTGAGGCGCCCACCCGATTCCTTGCTGACGTCTAGCAGAGAAGAGAAGATGAGATGCTGGACACCTGTCTCTTTAGCGGCGTCGGCGACGTTCTTGCCGTGCACGAGCTCGGCGTCTGAGCCGGCGACACCCCATGCTGGGGTGGTGACGAGGAAAACAGAATGACTTCCTTGAATAGCTTTTGCCAGAGACTCCTTGGAGTTCATATCAGCCTGCAAATGGTGTCAGCGTCTATTCGAAGAGATCTGTCGTAAGAGCGGTACTGTCTTACCGAGACGAGTTCGACGCCCTGCTTTACAAGAGCCTGAGCCTCTGGCTTGGAAGTATCACGGCTGATACCGCGGATCCTGAACTCCTTCGATAGAGTTTCATCGTTCAAGATAGTTCGGATCACCGAGCCGCCCTGCTGTCCGGTCGCGCCGAAGACGGTGATAAGCTTGGACATTATTGATTTTTGTAGAGTCGAATAGTTTTAAGATGAAAAGGTGTAATCAAATCTTTGATGTGATAAAAGCAGGTCATTGTCCTTCATGAAGCACTATTTAAATAGTAGATAATGCTGCTCTACAGAAGCGATGACGTTATCCCCAGATGTTTAATAACATTAAGGTTTATCTCGGAGCTCGGAGCCCGATCGCCAGCACTTTGTCAGCGCATTAGAATCGGGCTTAATTTTAACCCCGACAAACCAAATCAAAGCTATCTTTGTCGGGACCGAAAGGAAATGTAAGCATGACCGAAGCCAATAGGCGGCTCTCAGTGCTCGGACAATCTTACTAACAAGTAATAACGAGCCCCGAGATTTATCATTGACACAAGTCGCCTAGTGTGGCCGTTTATGGAACTCTCGAGTTCTGTCCTGTCTTACCACTGCCGCGACCGTTAAGAGATGGTGCCTGCGCTGCCAGGAACCTTGCAAATTACCTGGGATACCGCGCTCCGCTCTTGATCTATCGAACGTGCTCAACACCCACCATCACCATGCCAGGCGAACACCTACGTGACAACGTCTCCGGGTCAAGAAACCGTCACCCGTGGGAAGATCCATCTTCGTGGGCCTTCGCGCAGCAGATGTGTTCTGGCAATACACCCTACTCCGCCGCGGTTGGGGAATCCGTCTGATCGAGAAAATCGGTGGCCACGCTGTGCATTCCTCTTCAGTCCTTAGCCCTCTAACACTCACCCAGCTCCAGCCCTATTATGGCCTTGTCACCCTTTTGTCACTGGGAAGTAGCATCAAGCAAATTCTCCACATGGTGTTTATCTCCGAGCAGGCCATGGATGTAGGCTCTGCCTTTACCATCGCCCTGTTCAACACCATCTTGAATACCATCAACACCCTCCTCTCTCTCTGGGCTGTGACATCCCCCGTTACACCGGTCCTTGATTCATCGAGTTTCATCAATACACTCCTCTCTCCCCCAGTTGCTGTTGGTGTAGCTGCCTATGCCATCGGGCTATCGGTTGAAGCTATCTCAGAGTTCCAGCGCAAGGCTTTCAAGCAGGATCCCAGAAATAAGGGAAAACCATATGGTGGAGGTCTTTTCTCACTGGCCACGAATATAAACTACGGTGCTTATACTGTCTGGCGATCTGCGTATGCGTTGACCTGTGGCGGGTTTGTCTGGAGCGCGACGACTTTTGCTTTCTTCTTCCGTGATTTTGCTACCCGTGGTGTGCCAGTCTTGGACGAGTACATGACTCAGAGAGTAAGTCCTATCCCTTGAAGGTCTATATGGCTAAGATATGATGACTGACTTGTAAATTAGTACGGTGATGCATATCGCGATATTAAATCTCGTGTACGATATTCTTTGATACCTGGCATCTACTAGGGGTGTTGCTGATGCACCTAAAGTCAAGATGTCTCGAAGGGAGATGGAATGACTGTTGGTTAATTGTTTGAAGACGCAGCCAGAATATCCAATACGTGGGGAACAGCTCGGTGGGTAAGAAGTTACTATATGTCAATCTTCTTCAAATTTTGTCCGAGTGGTATTTTATTCAAATCAAGATCCATACCAGAACATAACTGTCATGGAGTTTCCGCCCTCAAGCGGTAAAGTATACGGCATAGAATGCCTGGCCTTTTCTAGAACCCTATCTCCCCGTGTCGAATTAGCCCGTTCACATCTGTAGAATTGTGTTAAATGAGAAACTCGAACTCTGATGGAAATCTCCAGCACTATCTCTGTTTGCTTCCTTTGTTGAGACCCTGTATAAGAGGACCTTGCCAAAATCTTTCTTCGTCTTCGCTCTCCCCAAAAGAAATTGCTCCAGACCCGCTGAGTAAGTTCTGTTTCTTTCGCCCCTCATAGGTCTTATTTACAGATGTCTAAGAGCTCTTTATCTACAATCCTTGAAGCCTCGATGATTTCTCCAGGAATTCATGGGCATCTATACAGAACAGGCCAAATTACCTGGTAGGAGGAAGCAGTTCGCCTTCCTTCCCAGGTCTCCCAGGTATGCACCAAACAGCCCTTGATAATAGTTCATAAGATTATGTCCGATATTCAGCATTTCTTTATATTTTGGTAAGCATAGCCTTGAATTCGGGTTCGGCCCTTGCATGTTTTTCTACTCAGCCCCACCCGCGTCGGCCTTAATTTCAACGCCGATGGTGTTCAGCATTGACTGTCTTGTCAAGCTTCTGGCATTTGCACTGTTTTCTTTATCTTGGGCTGAATAATATAATCTTCGGTGGCAATTGAGCGTTATTCCCGTCGGGGTCGGAGGAATTCTCAGCCCTAGTCATGGAGATCTCACTCTTGATGGCCCTATATTTGTCTTCAATCATATGGCAGATTACTACTGAGATCCTTGCAGCCATCAACGGAACTTACCAGCTTCTTATACATCTCCTAAGCTCACGATTCGCCTCTTTCCTTTCCTTCTCCTTCTTCACCTTCACTCGCTATCTCTTCTATCATACATCTTAGACCAACGTGCGCTTCTGTCGTTATATACGTCACTTTGCACATCACTACTGAGATCCTCCAGGCCCTCAACTGGACTTACCTGCTTCGCATATATCTGCCAATTCCAGAACTCCCTTCCTCGCTCCTTCTTCTTTCCTTCTTCTTCTTCTTCTCCTCTACTTGCTGTTCTTGCCTCTCGTTCAACATAATTCCCGATTCCTCCCCCGAATCTACTTGGACAGATTTGCCAACTCAACATGTCGGCCGCAACGGAAAAGAAACCTCATATCGCGGAGGATGCGAACATTCTCGAAGGAGCTCACACCTTCTACCCCATCGGGCCCAAGCTCATCCTCGTCACGATCAGCTTGATGTTGGCGGTTTTTTGTGTCGCCCTGGACAACACGGTACGATTAAAGCCCCCTTGATCAACAACTACAAACACTAACACTGCCACCCAAGATTATGGCCGTGGCTATTCCACGAATCACAGATAACTTTCACGCGCTGAATGATGTTGGCTGGTATGCGTCATCCTACCTACTGACAACCTGCTGTGAGTACCACTCCTACATCCTCAGGTTGACTCTCTCATTGACTATGTCGCAGCATTTCAGCTACTACATGGAAAGTTCTATACACTGTTCCAGGTTAAATGGGTCTACTTGTCAGCACTGTTCCTTTTCGAACTGGGATCCTTGATTTGTGGTGTTGCGCCTAACTCTACCACGTTGATTGTTGGCCGAGCCGTCGCTGGTCTGGGGAGTGCTGGCATGTTCACTGGTGCGCTGGTGACTCTAGCACATACAGTCGAGATGGAAAAACGCCCTATATTTTTCAGCATGCTTGGTGGCATGTATGGCATCGCCTCGGTGGCCGGGCCATTGGTATGTTTGGGCTTGCTCCCTAGCTCTTTATCATGACGTGCTTCTGACAATATCCAAGTTGGGTGGCGCGTTTCCCGATCATGCTACTTGGCGGTGGTGCTTTTATATCAATCTTCCTCTTGGGGGCATCATTGCTATTGGACTCCTGACTCTACTGAAGTTACCTCCCAAGGAAAAGGCCCAGAAGACGCTTATGGATATATTTTTGGAGTTGGATCCAATTGGAACACTTATCTTCGTTCCTGCTATCGTCTGCTTGCTTCTTGCTCTTCAGTGGGGAGGAGTGACATACGACTGGTCAAACGGCCGCATTATCGCTTTATTCGTGATTTTTGGAGTTGCCATTGTCGCTTTCATTGCCCTGCAGATTGTACTCGGGGATAAAGCGACCGTACCGACAGAGATTGCCCGTCAGCGAACGATCTCATTTGCCTCTTTCTTTGGCCTGTGCATTGGCGGGTCGTTTTTCATAATGATCTACTATATCCCTATCTGGGTAGGTGTCATTTACTCCGGTTGAAACACGATTTACTAAATCAATATCAGTTCCAAGCAATCCGCGACGTTAGTGCAGTACGCTCTGGTATTGACTCGCTTCCGATGATCCTGTCTAATGTTGCCGGTATCATATTGTCTGGTGCCTTGACAACTCGATTCGGATATAACGCACCCTTCTTCATCGCCGGCAGTATTTTCATGTCTATTGGAGCTGGTCTGATCACCACATTTACAGTCGGTGTCTCCCAGGGGAAATGGGTCGGGTTCCTCTTCGTTTACGGCCTTGGAGTGGGCCTTGGCTTCCAGCAGGGCGGCGTTGCCGCCCAAGCCGTGCTCCCCTTGTCGAAAGTCTCGATCGGGACTGCAACCGTCATGTTCGTTCAGATGCTCGGCGGATCTTTGTTTGTCTCTGTCGCGCAGAACATCTTTACAAAGGAGTTGATCAAGAATCTCGAGGCCTTGAATATTCCCAACTTTTCTCCTTCTGATGTGGTGAACAGGGGAGCAACAAGTGTTCGCTCCATTGTCAGCGAGTCCGTTCTGCCAGATTTTCTGGTGGCATATAATGATGCGCTGGTCAAAGTCTTTCAACTTGCTCTTATCATGGGGTGCTTGAGTATTATCGGTGCGCTGGGCATTGAAAGGAAAAACATGAAGACACAAAAAGTAGATGAGACGACGAGTTGATATCTATGATGAGAAGCCTTGTGGATCTATGATATGCATTACATGGGCTTCATCATGGACCCATAAAATTGCCAGTGCCTGAAAGATGTGGACTTTCCTGTGCCAGAAAACACCATACAGTCAAGTCTTAGAGAGAAAGTGTTTAGCGCAATGCTATATTCAGAATTCGTCTTTCCAGATTCTGATACCAGACTCTTGATATCCTACGTCGATTTCCTTTCATATATCACCCGCGAATGGCATTGAGTCGAGTGATTTGGTTCAGACATCTCATAATTTTTACAACGCGCCTCGAATTCTCTGGATCGTGAATACCACAGCACAAAATGTACGCCTCTGTCTTGAACGCTCCCTTGAGCCCTCTCAGTTGAAATTTCTTTTTTATCAAAGTATAGATTGGAAGACCGCTGTTAAGACAGTGGTTATGACACAGAGGTTACCTTCGATGTGCTCTAGTACCAGGTGTATGTAATCCGTGACCAGACAAACCCTAAGGGACTCGGTGCGAAGGGTGAAATTGCACCGTTTGCTTCCCCTTATTTCAGTCTACTAGCAGTCACAAATGCCCTCGGCGATACTTTCCTCTAGACTGACCCAGCCCGGTCGATCATAAAAGCTCTTAAGAATTTCTTCGGCCCACTTGGAAGGCTCAACAATTTTCAAGTCTTGAGCCTCGCCTTCAGGCTCCTGGGGAATGAGTGAATTCTCAGGACGGAGCTTCCTTAAAATCCTGATAACTTCTGTCCAGTTCTGAGAAGCAGCGAATGCGAAGATTCGCTCAGATTTAACCGATGGTGAAAGGAGCGCAGCAACGTGTAATCTCGCAACATCGACGACATTAACAAACCACTCTATAAGTGACAGTTAGCATCTTTCTTGACCGTACTATGTCTCCTCGCACATACGTGGAGGAAGGAACGTCATGGCTGATCCATCGCCTTTGAGCATGTTTGTGACAAAAGACTGCGTTGAACCTCCCACTCCCGGAGCGAGGATTTTGCCGAACTGGAGATCCTGTCAGTACATCTGAATCACCGCGAAGGCTGAGGGATAATATACAGTGAGGGCTGGCAAAACAGTATTTAAAGTGAAGGAAGGTTTGTGCTCTTGCACCCACTTGAAAGCCATCCTCTCGGTCTCCGTCTTGGAGGCTACGTATACAAAGTACCCCTTAGAGTGGGGAGGAGCATGCGCATCCCAAGCCGCTGCAACAGCAGCATCATTCCAGGTATCTAGATATTTGTGAGAAGGATCAACAAAGGAAATGTTCCACGATGGGCGCACCTTGGGTGATCGTTGTTCTTTCTCCATCAGAGCTCGGTGTATAAGCAGCGGTTGAAGATGAAGTCAGCACGACTTGCTTGACCGAATGCCATTTTGAAGCGGCTTTCAGGATGCTCTGCATTGCCTTGACGGCATTTGGGATAACCACACTTGGATCAGGGTTCATCGATACGTCAGCGGCCTATGTGAGGTCAGGTTGATTCTTCATTATAAACGTGTTTTCAAAAATGGCACACACCATATGAATAACCCCAGAAGCCCCTTCAACCGCCTTCTCGCAGTCCACCTCACTATCCAGATTCGACAGAATGAATGATTCAAATTTGCCTTTGCCGTATTTCTGATCAAAGAATTCGTTCAACCAGGGCTTTGGCTCGCGAACAGTGCCGCGGACCAAGTAGCCGAGCATTAGTAGCTGATCGACCACATGGGACCCGATGAAGCCGTTACACCCGGTCACTAGAATCCTAGACCCTGGGGGGAGAGTATACAAGGTATCAGACAGCATGTTTGCCCAAAAGAATGAATAATCGGGAAGCAATGTCAGGAATACGAGGGGCTCTTAGGTTTGACGAGTAGCGGGGAAGGCAATTGAGCGGGTGTAGACGATGGGATGCGACTGCCATGGTGGGGGTGCAGGTCTAATTAATTTGGAACTTAGTTAGCTATCAGGATCTAGTTTGAGTCAGGCTTGGGATAATTTCGGGTAAACACTCCCGGAGAACCCCCCGGTGAATTGAACCACGTCGAGTCAGCCTCATCTACCTCCGGGCACTGCCGTATATAAGCGTTTCTTCCTAGCCCTTATCACCTATCGCCCCATCTACCAACTTATTCTTGTTCGTTACGACTCCAGAACTAGAAACCTCTTTTGTATTTTCTGTATTTTCTGTTCTTTTTTGGGGGATATTACGGCATAGGTAGATTCCTCCAAGCATTTAGGAGGGCTTGCTGCGATGTACCGAGCGTCTTTCAATTTGACCGTCAATAAATACCGAGCTGAAATATTTTTCCTGTCCATAAGACCTTGAGAATTTGTCGTTGGGTCATTAGAAGCCGCAGGGACATTGTGTGTCTTTTCGCGTTGCTGCAAGTACTAACCCAAACTAGACAGGGACGGAGCAATAGTTCATCCTGTTAGCTTACCCACACTCGGTGTTCGGGCTCAGTTTGTCCCTCGCCCAATCAAGCTCAATATTGCAGATCCAGCCCCACACGATAACTAAGAGCGTAACTTATTCATCAATCTTATTAAGCTCGGGCTTTAAATGAGGCCCGAGCGCAACGATGACATAACAGCACGCGGCTTGCATTCTTCAAGGATCGACCGCGAATCCATGTCGAAGCCTTGTGCGCAATAGGGTTTCTTCTCCAACATATATAGACACTCTCCTTCCATGGACAGACAGCCATTCCTCATCTCGAATTTCGCAAATTTACCTTGCCTACACGCAATCATTATCCATCATGCCACCAGCTGTGCTCATTACCGGCGCCACGGGAAAGCAAGGAGGCTCACTCATCAGAAGTCTCGTTGCTAGGAAATCTCCTTTAGAGATCCTCGCTGTGACGCGCAATGCTCAATCTTCTTCTGCGCAGAAATTGACAAAGCTGTCATCAAACATCAAATTGGTAGAAGGAAACTTGGATGATCCAGCGGCTCTTTTCCAGAGTGCACGCAAGGTGACTCAATCTGCTGTCTGGGGAGTTTATAGCGTTCAGGTACGCGTGTCACAATTGTTTCCCCGATGGCCTTCCTCTTCTGTGCTAAATCAATCTAGGTTGCCATCGGAAATGGTGCACTCGAAGAGAAGCAAGGAAAGGCCCTCATTGACGAGTCGCTGAAGGAATAGGTTCAATTCTTTGTTTACAGCTCTGTCGATCGTGGAGGTGATGCTTCTTACAACACTCAGACCAATGTGCCGCACTTCATTAATAAGCACAATATCGAGCATCATCTAGTCGAAAAGAGCAAAAACACCGATATGAAATGGTTTATCCTACGACCTGTTGCTTTCTACGAGAATCTCGTCCCGGGTCTCTTCGGCAAAGTCTTCGCAACCAGCTTCAAGATGGCACTGAAGGGCAAACCCTTGCAGATGGTGGCGACGGATGATATCGGATTCTTTGGAGCCGAGGCCTTTTCACACCCTGAGGAGTACCAAAACAAGAGTCTTTCTCTCGCGGGTGATGAATTGACATACGATCAGTTCGCAGACATCTTCCAGCAGAAGACAGGTCATGCCCTCCCTTCGACTTATCGATTCTTATGTTCTATCTTCATGGCATCGATGAAGGATATGGGTTATATGTTTAAATGGTTCCATGATAGCGGCTACAAGGCAAATATCCCTGAGCTAAGGAAAATCAACCCAAACTTGAAGGACTTTGGGACGTGGCTTGAAAGGGACAGCGATTTTTCGAAGCATTGAAAATTTGGCCTCATGAAAATTGACTCAAGCCATCCGGTGTACATTAGTTTCTAGTTCTCTAATCGATATTAATTTCTACATAATTGTACTTATTAGGAAGTAACTATGCGAGGGAGGCTTTTGCCATTGGCTACAGAAAAAGAGACCTGTGGGAAAACGACTTTGAGAATGAAAGGAAATAAAGCTGAGTATCAATTATCTATCTGGCAAATTCTCCTTTCGAAAGATAGCTTCTACTAGACTAGATGCGTTCTCTCCTTACCCATGGTAATAAATCCATCCACTACGACACCGTCGTAACACTGGCTTGCGCCGTTGCATTATTCCCTACCGTGCATACCATATGTTACGATTGATCCTCAAAAACAATTGAATAGAATTGACTAGGCGAAGGTTATTATTTGCTCCTTTTCCCTCTGTGAAGTTATGACCCACACATTCAGCCAGAATGCCATGTTTTGGTTTTGTCATGGTTGAGCCCCTTTGTCAATCGCTTACTGATCTCGGCTTTGATCTCAACACCGAACCCGTCAAGCTGGCGTACCGGAGTATGGAATGCCGAGCTTGCCTGATAGCCAGGAAGTATTTATATTTTAATCACGCGTCCCTAGGAGATTTCATTTTAATACTAAAGGGCGCTTTTTAAGTTCAACTTTATCGTTGCTATCGTCTCTCCCCTTTCACAATGGCTAATGTCGTCAGAAAAGTATCTATCATTGGAGTAAGACGCTTGCACACCCCGATCACACCATTAATTACCGCTGAAAATATTCTTCTAGGCGACCGGCACTCTCGGTTCTCGCATAGCTAGCGCTTTGAAAGTTGCTGGCCACGACGTGACCGCTGTGCAGCGTAAGGACTCGACCAAGCCTGTGCCGGAGGGTCTCAAGAGTTTCAAGGTGGATTATCAAAACAAAGAGGAGTTGGTTTCGACTTTCACGGGACAGGATGTTGTCATTAGGTATTCTCTATTCCTACTGGGTCCGAGCTGAAAAACGTTCTAACACAATTATGCCAAGTGCTGTCCCTTTCCCTATCCTCGACTCGGAGAGAATCATAATCGATGCCTGCATCGCTGCCTCCATTAAGCGCTTTATCCCCTCCGAGTTCACTACTATGCTCGAGTCTCCTTTGGCCATCAATCTCCCCATCGCCAAAGAGAAGGTTTTGATCCGTCAATACCTCTCTTCTGTAATGCCCGATTCCTCTAGCCCCACCACTTGGACCTCCGTCAACAACGGCGCCTTCCTTGAGATGGCTCTCCAATATGGTGTCTTGGGTCCCAACCCAATGGCCAAAAAGGCAGTGTTCCATGATGGAGGTGACAAGAAGATCGCCGTATCGCTCCTGTCTGATATTGCAACAGCCATTGTGAAGTTAATGGAGACTGACAGCACCTTTAAAGCCGCTGCCAATCAACCTGTCTACATTTGCTCGGCTGCCATCACTGAGCGTCGCCTGACTGAGCTAGTTTCAGAAGTCACCGGTATTGACTTCGGCACTCCGGAACAGGTGTCGGTTAAGGAACTGATTGCACAGTCAGATGAGCGGCTGAAGCAGGGTGACAAATCCGCCATCATCAACTATTATTTCCAAATGATGTATGGAGATGGTTACATGGGTGGTGACTTCATGAAGTTTAACTGGAACGAACGATTGGGGCTGCGGATTATGTCTGAGGAGGAGCTCAAGAGTACCATCCAGCAGATCCTGTGTAATTAGAGCAAGATATTTAAGGCAGCTTTGTATTTGACTTCCCCTTATAATATACCGAAATCAACCTCTTCTCATCAAAATCTAAGGAGCGGAACTCAACGATCAGTCGTAATCAACATCAGGACCCAGTTCTCATTCATTCATTCTAACAGAGAAGACTACGAATTACTCTTGCCGGTTTAAGTTACTCCCGCCAATCGGTCACATAAACTCCGGGTACCGATAGCAGCTCCACTTCTAGGTTTCTCTTGCCCAGCGACTATGCACCTGACGGTTTGTTCGGGATTGACCTCAACTCCGAAGTTCTTAATGACGACATCGATTATCAATATCAGCGAAAGGACTTGCAGATTCCACATTCTTGAAGTAACTTTAAACGGCCTTCTTTAAATAATTCCAGTGCCTTGTCCATCGATCGCAATTCCCAAAAACTTCATAGAGGATCAATTGACTCATCATGCCTACACCCGTTCTCATTACGGGTGCCACGGGCAAACAAGGAGGAGGCGTGATCGACGCGCTCCTCCGCAAAGATGCTGACTTCCAGATCCTCGCAGTCACTCGTGATGCATCCTCCAGTGGAGCAAAGAAGCTGAAAGCCAAGTCCTCCAAAATTCACATCGTGGAAGGCAACCTAGACCGACCAGAAGAGATATTTGCCAGCGCAGAGAAGCTCATATCTCAGCCTATTTGGGGTGTATTCAGCGTCCAGGTGCGAAACTCTTTCTTTCTCAAATGATCTATATGTCGCTAATGAAAATCAGGCCCCTGTCCCGGGCGGCTCGAAGCACGATGCTGAAGAACGGCAAGGCAAGGAATTAGTCGACACAGCTCTCAAGCATAACGTCAAACATTTCGTTTACACATCTGTTGACCGAGGTGGCGATGCTTCATTCGACAATCCTACCCCTATCCCCCACTTCATCAGCAAGCACCACATCGAGCATCACCTCGTTGAACAGACTAAGGGTACCGGAATGTCGTGGACAATTTTGCGACCGACTGCGTTTTTACAAAACTTTACGCCCGACTTCTTTGGCAAAGTCTTCGCCACCTCCTGGAAGATTGGGGTCAAGGAGAAGCCATTACAAGTTATTTCAGTAACTGATATTGGCTTCTTTGGCGCACAGGCCTTCCTGGCTCCAGAACAGTATAAAAACAAGTGTCTCTCCTTAGCCGGTGACGAGCTCTCATTTGATGAGATGGCAAGGATTTTCCGCGCGAAATGCGGACGAGATGTACCTCTAACCTTCAACTTTGTGAGCCGGATTTTGTTTTGGATGATGAAGGATTTGGGTCTCATGTTCCAATGGTTCTACGACTCCGGATATGGAGCCGACATTGAAGCCTTGAGAAAGATTCGGCCCGAACTGCAAAATTTTGAGTCTTGGCTTGAAAACGAGAGCGGCTTTGTTGCCAAATAAAACTTTCAATACATTTGACATCTAGTACTGTTCTAATATCTTGGGGCCTTATAAAATACAATTATTCTGATCTCGCAGACTGGGAGATTTCCATACGGGACTCACCAGGGAAGTTAAAGACGTCGTGTTAATATTTTAGTAATTGAAGAAGAGACAATGTCCGCTTCACGAAGGTCTCCTTTTTGGATACATCTCAGCGAATAACTTCCTTTTTCGTAGCCTCGATATCTGTCCTAAGGTGGTGGGACATGAAGGTACAATCACCGATCTAGAGCTTTAACCAGGGCAGGGTTGCTGAAGGCGATGCAGGTGCAGGGATCGTGCGCAGCATCGGCAAAAATATATCTGACATCGAAGTCGGGGACCTAGTTCTTCTTTCTTTCTCTTCGTGTTCCTCATATTCGCAGTGCAGAGTGTCTCATCCTGCTTACTGCAAGCATTCGCTTAGGAAACTATACTGGTCGGCAGCAATTGATTTCGGCTCACGACAGTACTGAGTTACTATGGTCCAGCTTTTTGGCCAGTCCAGTTTCGCTCAGCGTACAATTGCGAGGCGTTCCAGTGTTGTGAATGTCAACGCATTTTTGCACCATGATAACGAGTTGCAGTTACTCACACCCCTGGGGTGCGGACTGCAGACGGGCAAAGGTACCATTCAGAATATAGCTAGCGCGGGGCCAGCTGACATAGTCATGATCCTATGCTTAGGCGCGCCGTGGGCATGGGAGCTCTCATGGTACGTGTTTATTCCTCAAATTTTGCTGATCCAGAACCTTGGTAAGTAAGGAGTTAACGACATGATTCCGCTACTATCTAGACCGCCAATATAATGAACTGTAAAGCGACCATAGCCGTCGACCGAGAGAAAGCCCGTCTCGAGTTGACTAAAACACTTGGTGCCTCACATATTCTCAATACTAGCGATCCGGAATTCACGACGCTTGATCAAGCAGCTAGAGCTTTGTTTTCTAACGGGGTTTTAATTGTGATTGAGACTACAGGAGTACCAAATTTGATTGAGCAAGGACTTCAATCAACCCATGCGCGAGGCAAGTTCGTCTTTATCGGTGTACACCCAATCGGATATAACTTGAGCGTCAACGTGATAGAGCACATTAATGTGAGTTATAATATTTCCCTATGACAGGAGCATGACAGACTAATGAAATTCAAATATCAAGACTGGCCGTGTGATCCTAGGATGCATCGAGGGGGATTGCGTGCCTCAAATTGTCCGTCCATAGCCCTTCTTCGGAAACGTTTGACATAATGATTGCCACAGGCTATGCCGTAAATGGTACAATGGTACCGCGAAGGGCGCTTCCCAGTTGACCAGCTTCTCCAATACTTTAATGTGGGTTGACTAGTATCATTTCCCTCAGCCGAGAACAAGCGATGAAAGGCTTGAAAGACGGGACCGTAATCAAGCCAGTTTTAGTATGGAAAGACGAATGAACAATTAAGCTCTTTCAGCTTGTTGAGATGTAGATCATGCTGCGATACTACCTGATGAAAACCCCATATTCTTTCGTTATGTTCGAAACTCTTCTATAGTGCATAAGAGATCCTGATTGTTGACAATGGTCAGGAGACGGGCCAATGGTCCTGGCCTACTGCGGCCGATAGCGGCCACCGTGCACATCGGGCCTCGGGACTTTCCCGAGCGCGAAGACCGATGAATCCAGAGCCATCCATTCTGGAACCTTAATTCGTCCGGTTAGTTGCGACGGCGCCAGTTACTTGGCTCTTCGCTGAAATTCGCGACTGCAGATGTAAAGACCGGTAGGTCTAGAGTCGATCAGCCTCCAGGAAATGCCCCAGTCCAAGGGGAATGTCTCATCCAAACGAAGCTGCCTTCGCTGCCACGAGCGAAAAGTTCGGTGCGACCGAGAGCATCCTTGTAGCCGGTGTCTTCAAGCAAAGGTCAAATGCTCCTTTCCGGAGAACAAACGCGCTCCACGGAAGCTTAACCGACCTCCAATTGCAACGATATTGGGTCAACTCAAACATCTAGAGCAGGAGGTGGAGCGGCTACGGGCCTTGTCTGATACAAATGACGACGATTCAGCTTCCCACCGGTCCTACGGGGCGGGAGAACAAACCCATATGCAGGTTCAAACGCCAGACACGCACGTCTCGGCCAGCGGTCGGGCGATTCGAGAAGATGGGAATTTCCCTGGCCAGGTATGCAAGAGGGTATGTGAATCATCTAAGTGCTGAACGAAAACTAAGCGAATGTAGATCCGCGAGCCCCAAGTTGCACTTGACCAGGCATCAAACGAGGTATTGGGTGCCAATCGTGCCCGTGGACCTGCCATTGGCCTTTTCCATTTGCCATTGGTCGGGATTCTGGGGTTAAGCTCTGGGCTCGAAGCTGAGGCGACATACGATTACCGGCTACAACCCCTGCAGATCCAAGCACTTTGGGACATTTACAAGGATAATGTTGCGCCCATGATAGCTCTCTTGCATAAGCGTTCGATTGAGAGCATGATCCACGACGCGTGCACGAAGATGGACGAAACCCTTGGAATTGCGTCTGAGACCCTCATTCTCGCGATCTGTTTCTCGGCTACACTCAGTGCAACGCCAGAGCAGTGTTTGTCGATCCTCGGCCAGGATCGCGACGTGTGCATCCGCGATTCTCGTATCGCTGTGGAGCAGGCTTTAGCACGGGCGAACCTGATTAGTTCCAAAGACTTTCAAGTTCTGCAGGCCGCTGTACTTTTTCTGTTGTGTCTGCGTTGGCTTGATTCTAGGCTAGCATGGGCAGAGACAGCCATCGTGGTACGCGTGGCACAAAGACAAGGGATCCATCGAGACGGTCAATTCTGTGGGCTGAGCCCGTTCAAGTCTGAAATGCGGCGCCGTCTCTGGTGGCATATTTGCATCCTCGACTTGCTCTGCTCTGAAGACCAAGGCACCGACACTCAAATCCGGCCTGAGATGTTCAACACCAAAATTCCATCAAATATCGATATTGATGAACTTGCGCCAGACATGACCACTTTTTTACCTCCTCGAGCAGGTTTCACCGACATCACGCTATGCATCATTCAATGTGAGACGATGACAAATTTGTATTGGGCTGGCATAAGTCTTAACCCAGAGACTATCCAATCACCTATTACCGAGCGAGAAAGCCTGTTGTGCTCGCTAGCGACACGTATTGAGGAGCAGTACTTACGAGAATTCGACCAGGATATCCCGATACAATGGCTGACGGCTGTCATCGCTCGCCTTTCCCTATCCAAAGCGCGGGTGGTAAGCCTTCTCAATCACTCCAGGCCGGGTGAAGTACCAATTGCTACCAATGATGAGATCTTCCAAATGGCAGTCGAAATCGTTAAATTCGCAAACCTAATACAGAAGAATGAGCCCACAGCACAGTGGGCTTGGCTTTGTAAAAGCTACAAGCACCGGCACGCTGTGGCGTTTATTCTGTCTGAGCTTTGCATTCGTCCAATTTCACCCGAAACGAATCAAGCCTGGGAAATTGCCACGGAGATGTATAACCAGTGGCAGCAAGAGGACAATGAAACTGATATAAGCCTGGAGACCAACTTGTCCCGTTTAATGGAGCGCGCCACTATATCGAGATCTAGAAAGCTGGAGTCTCTCAGGGCACCGCGTGACTACCACTCCTCGTTACCTGTCCCACGATCCATAATCCATGGGGATGTCCCTGTTACAGCACCTGCCACCGATCTGGAAATTCACCATTCTAGCACTAGTGGGTCTGCAGGGATGCAGGATCTTTTAGATGAGGAGTTGGCCTTTGATTTTTCGGCAATGGACTGGCTATCAGGGTCTTTATTATGAGGTGCCAGCCAGGCTTCTACAAGGATCATCTTTCATCATTCCTGTCGGAGTTTGCTCGAAATTTGACCAAAGTCGTTGAGGGAGCCGAACAGGGGTCAATGGTGGCAAAAGTGAGCAGAGCTTCAATTGAAACGGACGAGGTGTGAAAGACTGTACAATTTTCACCTCCACAGCGAAAGTTCAAAGCATCTGTACAATAGGTGTCTAGTGAAACATCATCATGAACGTGCTTTCGATATCAAATCCATCTCCATATACATATGCATCGTTCTCCTCGCTGTCGAAAAGCATCAGTCTACTCATCAATGAACTCACCGAACAGAGCACTGACAGGGAGATTTTGCTCGCAGCCACAATCCTTCTAGGTAGCTATGAGCTACTCGCACAGCCCGGAATTGATTATCAGAGACACTTATATGGCGCTCATAGCCTCATTTCTACTCGCAATATGGAAGAAGAGGGAACCGCATTTGAGAAGGCCAGTTTCTGAATCGATGAGAGGCAAGACGTCGCTTTAGCTCTTGTGAATGAACGTCCGACTTTACTGCCTCCGGCAAAGTGGCCGTTGCCCACCAAGATACAGGCTCTCCAGAGGACTGCCTTGGTAATAGGATTCTACGGCTGCCGGCAAGGGGTATTGAAGGGAAATTCATGACAGCCAAGGACAACTGGTCTGATGCTGAGCTGGCGAATTTTGATGGTCTCGTATCTGAGATTGATTCCTGCTGGGCTGGACTTCCTTCTCACGTTCGAGGCGTTCGTGTGAAGGACTCTCTCCTGGAAGACGAAGGCTTGTCCGGGGTTTGGTTCTATGCTCCTTGAGCCTTTAAGATCCAAGAAATCTGCAAAGCGGGTTAGAAACTAACAAACCCATCGGATCTTTGTCTTTATTACCACATGACCAAAATTTTGGCCTGTGAATGCCGTTCAGAGAGTGTGAGCAGAGTTACATCAGTTGAACGGCCTGAGGACTTGACGCGATTAATCGGTCCCCACGCCCTTGCAATTTCATCAATCAGCCTCTCTTCCAACCTTACAGATGGCGCATTAGTCGTGGCAGTGAATCCTATTTCTTATGGTATTTATTGTCTCACAAAGTCAGTGAATACGGCGGCTAACACTTTACAGCAGCGAAATATATCCCTTCGCTCGCATTGAAAACTAGATTGTGGGGCAGTCTTGATCGTATCGAGACTCGGCTAGGTTTCCATACACGCGACAGGCAAACTCAGCTCCAGAGTGACTTAAGGAAATAGCTTCTTCTCTCCATAGTCGTATATACCTACTAAATCTTTGAAATTCCTCTCCGAGAGACACATTACTTGGCTGCTGCATCCCATACATGAGGCCAGGAGTCACTCATGCCACTCTCTAATATTGTACAGAGACGGAGCTCATCAATTCACATAATCGAGTACTGTTATGTACAAATAATTCCGAGCCGATGATTTACCCTCCAACTTCAAGCTTAATTCAACTTCTTGTTTCCAACCCTAGCGGGACGACCTTGGCGACCTTGATACTGTAGATAACCGTATATACCTCCAGCGATAAGTGCGATGACAACGATGTTGCCTAGTCACATTCTTATCAGCACTTGAAACTGTTGACCAGAAAGAGAACACGACTTACTGGCAACAAATTTGCCCACTCCACCTGCAGCTTCCAAGAAGTTTCCCACCGTGTGCAGGGCCATTTTCACGACACCAATGACAGAGTTGACAACGCCCATAACAAGACCAGACACCATATCTATCGCACTGTTGAACACGGAGAATATGACCTCGAACACGGAGGTAACGAGGTCCTTGAGGGAAGTTATGATTGACGACATGATTGTTGGATGATTTTATATGTGTTGCGTTAAGATAGGTAGGGAGAAGGAATATCTTCTTATTGCACGAACAGCAATCTATCCTATGGACCATGGCGGGAATTTATATAGTTGGTAGAGCGAAACTGGTCACTTCCCTGCTTCCGACATTTGCCGCCGGGCCTGGTGGTTGAGTGACAATGACGTGATGCCGACGACGTGCCCAGTATTTCATGGAAGTCTTCCTGAGAACAAGGTATTCCTTGTCCCCGAAGAAAAAAGCCTGGATTAAGACTGATTTATTTATCTATGGAGTACTTACTGGAACAAAATCACGAGATATATGGATCCACTAATAAAGCTGTTCTGTTTGGATTATGCGTTAGTCTCGGGCGGGATCTGGAGACCAGCCGGAACGCGGCCTAGCCACGCGAGGAGCACAGCACATCGTGAGAATTAAAATCGCCGTCTGGGTTAAATCGAATAGGTAGACCTTAGATCCTACCCGTCTACTTCTGGACAATTAGGAATGCAAATTAATGATCATATCGTAGCATTTCCATCTACACTGGTGATGTATATATAGGTCACAAGTCACATGATGCGGGCAGGTGCCGTTAATGCCTGAGGCCACAAGGGTGGGGCGTGCCACCCGCAGGTTGGCCCACCAACCCACAAGGTAAACACATCCCCAGCCTCCTCCAACCTCCTCATTTCTCGAGACACCTGATCGCTCGTTGGGTTGTTTCTGGCTTTGTATTCTCCCATTTTCACTACATCTAAAGTCTACTAACCGTCTACCAGGCAGACCTTGCCATCTTTATTGTCCCCTTTGCGCGTCTTCAAGTTCACATATCTACTTTGGTCTAGTGATTATTCAAGTCGAGGTAAGTCTCCACACTGACACACCCCGGAATGTGTCAAGCGGATCTTAACATTCTTCTCAGAGTCTTGTCCTGAGCTGCGTGCTCTCGACCGCTCCAATCACCCACAATGGCTCCCATACAACAGATTGGGGACTTCCCCGACATTCCTGCCATGTCAGTTGAAGCTCGCCATGCAGCTCAGAACATCCCAGTCGACGCTTCACCATCTCTCACATTCGACTATCTCACTCCTCGATCCGACTCTTCCTCTGCGGCTACTACAAAGATTCAGTATGGCCAAGGCACGGTTAATCCGGGCAGCATTAAGATGCAAGGCCTGATGGCTTTATTCGCGATCATCGGCGCCGCGTTCGTCCTCGGTGGAATTTGGTTCTTTTTCTGGGCCAAGAATGGCGGATTCGTCTGGCGCAAGGGTGATTGGGAGGATTACAAATCGACCGTGCTACGACGGAAAGGACCCGACGGACGCACTCTCAGTAATGCCACGAAGAGTACCAAGCTGGGCGGCGGTAGTGTTGTCGGCTACAGCGATGATGGGTACACTTACACCGATGAGACGGCCACTTACACCGAAACTGCCACCACAATCAGCGATGAGAAGCCAAAGAAGAAAAAGCGCAACTTCCGAGAGAAGCTCCTTCGCCGACACAAGGCAGAGCGATGGGAGGGAGAAGCAGACGACGACATGCGGGCCTATCGTGAAGAGAAGCCCGCTCGTATCGGTGGCATGAATCGAGAGGCCGACGGGACCTACCACGGCAGTGACTACGACTCATCCGCTCCTCCCACGCACTACAACCGCAGCGATATGAGCGAAGTCCGTGACTATGCCTACGAACAGCCGCGTCGGTCTCGTCGCCGCGATCCCTCGGGCTTTTCTTTCACTGCCGGCAGTGAAGACGTCCTCAGCCAGACCACCGAGGAACATCAGCTCCGTGATCCATCTACCCGGCGCGACAACCGTCGACGCGATCAACAGCGCCGCCAAAGCGCCGCACCGGCACCGGTCCCGTCGTCTCGTACCAGCAGCCCCCCCAAGAAGGATCGTCGCTCTGTGCCAGGTGGCTACACCGAGCCTCTGGATCTCTCATCTGCTGGCTCGCGTTCAGAGTACCAATACTCCAATGTTGGCACTGAGGATTCCAACGGCACCAAGAGGTACCACCACCCGATCCCAGGCCTGACCAAGGGCTACCGCCGTGATGGTCATGGCCGCCGCCGTCGTGACAGCCTGAGTGATAGCGATATTGATGAGTGATCTTGCTCGATGTTTGCCTCCTTCTTTTGTTATGTTTCGATGAGCAGCTCCGGTCTAGTTTATACGGCACAAGAGGTTATGGGATTTATTTGGTTTAAGCGTCTACAATATGTGAAATCATGAACTGTCTAGGAATTTGGGAAATGTATGTACATAAGGAATGGAACTCACGATACGGAATATGCATGTGCGATTAGTGTCTGGAATCCTTTCTATTCACTCTAACCCAAGCCTCTCACATGGGTTGGGGAATCTTCCATGTCAACTTCAGAATGAAGCGTCTAGTCAGCTCACGATCAGCTACTAAACCTTGTCATGGATAATCCTATTGATCGAACCTAACCTAAAAGACACAAAGCTGGCACTGTTAATAATACACCCTCGCTCCACCCCCTGATTGCACAGCCGTTCGAACACAAAGAATCATATCATACATGACCTTCATTTAGCAGTACATAATGACAATCTGCGTATCAGTGACTTCATCAAAATCCAGTAAGAATAGGGAGTGTCTACGACCCCTGGAAGTAGTAACCAGTTGGAACTATCCAGCCGGAGGTCCCGCAGGAGTCCACGCGGCGTCTCTTGTTGTGGTGGTCCTGTTGATTGTATTGATATTGTTGATATTGTTGATATTGCTGATTGTATTGATATGGCTGGTTGTATTGGTACTGTTGATTGTAGCGGTATTGTTGATTGTAGCCTCCAAACATATGGGCAGACTGGTACCTCGAGCGAGTATTCATCCTCTGACCAAGGCGGCATTGGGCAGGGACATGCTTCACCATACGATTATGGTAAGGGCAATACTGATATCCGTCGGTCTGTCCCGTGGTAGTATTTTCTCCGTAGGCAAAGTGAGGATTGACGGCTTGGGGCACGGCATAGGGGAACGAGGTGGAGTGGCGTATGAACTCGGCACACACGGTTTCCATCAAGTCTGGATCCTGGAGATCGGGAGACAGCTGTAGGAGGAAGTTGGGATATTCACCGTAAGCGGAGATAGCATGCACGAACTGCGCAAAGACCACTTTGTGGTCGAGAAAATCACCGATGTCTTCGACGTCTTGCACTCGCATGCGAAAGTTGTCCACGAATTCCGTGGCTGAGGTTCCTGGCACGTATCGTAGGCTCACCCACTCCGACCATCGCAAAGCCATGGTCTGGTGTCTTGGCTTGCCGTAGAACAGCGAGATCTTTTTGAATGCCTCGGAGGGACTGTCGATGTTCCGGATCAGATTCTGGGCCTCATCGTTCAGTGTGGAGCGGAAGTAGGAGAGTGCCCTGCTCGGCTTGTCTTCTTCTCCGTCGCCACGCTGATCCAGATAACCGTTCGTCGACTCGAAAGCATCTGGTTCTTGCGAGATGGTACGAGAGCGAATATCCTGACTTGGTCCTGCTTGCGCTGTGTCCACGAAGTACTCGCCGTTGTCCGACTGAGAGGGAGTGCGGTCTGCTCCCAGGAGGATGTGCCAGTACTCGCGACCCAGGTATCGGATGAGGGACTGAAGCCAAGGGGCATAGTTCGACTCTCCCTGGAGGATGAGAACCGGATCCCAGGCGGGTATATTCCCAACTCCGCTCATGGTATGTAGACACCAGCAGGTCAGGCACAGTGTTAGTATCGGTTGTTCTCTGTCGACGTCGAGGTCTAGCAGGAAAGTCAAATTGTCTCTCGGGGGGGGGAAGCTCAGGAAGGAAAGAGTGAAAGAGGAGAAGTGAGAGACGGAGTTCGAGGCGGCTGGCGGGAGAAGCAAATCACCCGGAGATCCTCTGCTTGCTTGCTTGGGCTTTTCAAGCGAACTTTCCTTCACTCGTTAACTGTCAATCTTGGCTATTAGGAATTGTGCGCGTGTCTGCTCATTGTGCGATGATGCTGGTCGACAATCGTGCCTTCTTCCTGAGCATTGTCAGTGGGTAGTTTACAGGCCCTCGCACAAAAACGCGGCCTTGAACAGCACATTCAGCTCCTTCCTTGCCTCCATGTTGGGCCGAAGCGTCAAATACATAATATGACAGTGCAGCTTCCTTCCTTAATAAAGCCATCGCTCCTATACTAAGCACAGTACTCTTTACCCCTCGTCCAGATGATGCCCCCACCAATGATGACACTGCAAGCGGGTCGTGGCGCAGTCCCACTGTTGGCCGAGTTGCCGCTTTAGGCAAACCAGCCAGCAGCACCAGGCTAGTGAGAATTGCCCAGTCGGAGCTGGGCACACATATATAAGACACGTCTCCTGTCCTGAATCTTCTAAATTGACCACTCTACCTAATCCATACAAGCAACGGGACCAAGGCTTCTCTAGCACAACCATGGCGCACTCAAAGGAGTGGCAGAAGATGCTGCGGGGTGAGCTCTACTGGGCTGGGGACGAGGATCTACAAGCAAATCGGACACGGTGCAAGCAGGCATGCGAAGAGTACAATGCCGCTGGCACAGCTACACGACGTCGCAAAGTAGAGCTTTGGCGGAAGTAGGTCATCAACCAACCTCCACGAAGAATTCTCGCATTGGCGGGAGCACTATTGAAGGAACAAGCTTTGTTAATATTAAATCCCTGCAGTATTGTTGGCGATACACGACCCTTGCCGCCAGTTAATTCAGACCCAAAAGAAGATGAAGCTCTTTTCGAAGAGACAGATCCCTTCGTCGACGGGCCCATCTCAGTCGATCATGGCCTGAATTTCAAGGTCGGCAAGGGAACCTTCTTAAACTTCAATCTTCTAGTCCTCGATACCTGCCTCATCACCATTGGGGAGAACGTCCTCTTTGGGCCCAATGTCTGCTTGTATGGGGCAACTCATCCAATGGATCCTGCTGTGCGCCGTGGGTTGAAAGGCCCAGAAGCTGGAAAGGAGATCCACATCGAGGACGACGTCTGGATTGGTGGTAGTGTGCTCATTCTTGCTGGTGTGCGGGTTGGTAGAGGTAGTACAGTTGGAGCAGGATCGGTTGTCACCAAAGTAAGTGCGGATGCATCCTTATTGATAAACCTCGGCTGACTTTTGCAGGACGTTCCTCCATTCCACTTTGTTGCTGGCAATCCAGCCAGAGTGATTCGGCGAATTGATTCTGAAATGGATTCAGACCGGCAGACATGATCTGGAACTGACATGGCTCTTCATGACTACCATATATTGAGAAATGAGACCGAAACTATCAAACCTAAGATAACTAGAGCTCTTTCAATGCCATATATCATGACTATACGTCAAGCCAGGACCGAAATAGGTCGAGATACTGAATTCGACTCCCTGTGGTTTCTGGCTTCATTCAAGCTTGTGATAGCTTGATCTCATTCATCCACATAGCTTCATAGTTAGTGGAGGCCTATGTGAAATGGGATCAAAGAAATTTTATAGCACCCAAAGTCAAAGATTCATGGAAACCCATTGAATTTTATGGAGGAACAATTCTTTTCATTTCCATGATTTGATGCTGAAGCAGGGCAGACGTCGTCTTTGGACATCAGCTTTCTTACAAAAGTCGACAAGGGACTACGACATCCTCCTTAAGAGCCATTTACGGCGACCTCCCTAACCAGCGAGCAGATATTTTCTTACATTCCGAGTACTACAGCTTGACAATGAATGAGTGGCTTTATTGTTAGATTCAAATTCCGTGGTACGACTGGCTATCAGTGACTTTCGGCTTGATCGGAACGCTTTTCAGAGGACTTTCTTGTGATTGTCAGAAGGTATCGGGCCATTCTAGAAGTACTCTATGTCATAACAGCCAATCAGATTATTGCTTATCCTTGTGCCTTTCCAAAGAATATGATACTAGAGATAGTACACGTTCGTTGGCAAAATTGGACGTTATTTGCGCCTAACAGACGGGCGTAAACAAGCTTTCAGAGGACAGTATAGCCACCATGCAGAAGCGAATCAGCGAATGAGCGAATGATCCGTTTTCTAGACGCATACAACGCTCTAATTAGCACTATGCATTATCATCCAATGCGTTGTTCATGTTCCACTCTACGTGACCTTCTATCGTCATGCGAATGCATTCTTCGCAATCCCGTGAGCTGTCCGTCACGCAAAGATCGAAGACACAACATTCAGCCCGGATGACGTGCCAGGCAAAGTCGCTGATGATTTCCAAGCAACATGATCAGTCAACAATGTTTTACAAATATCAAGGACCCGACCGACTCATTTTCTTCCATAGTTTCAATAATAATATCCACTTATAATCCTTTGTTCAAGCATACCTCTCTTCAGGGCGGATGATACAGTAAATGCCCCACAAACAGCCAACGAGTCAGCATCATGGAGCAGAGTGAGCGACAGCCCTTGCTACCCTCGCCGAGCCAAAACAATAACCCACGACCGCTATCACTCGGTGATCCACATGTTGAAGTTCCTACCGAGTTCCAAGATAGCCTTCCGGGCTCGGGTCCAGGAAAAAACCTCACCTGGACCAGTGCATACATCCTCGTCGTATCCCGTGTTATCGGCAGCGGCATTTTCGCTACGCCAGGGTCCATCGTGAAATCTGCCGGAAGCATCGGTTTAACTCTCCTAGTATGGCTCTTCGGCACGATTCTCGCAGCATGTGGAATGTCCATATCGATGGAATATGGCTGCATGTTGCCTCGGTCGGGAGGGGACAAGGTAGATACATATCGATTTCTCACCGGCTTGCCGAGGAGAGTGTCAGCTAAGATTCACTCCCCTTTGTAGGTGTACCTGGAGCACACCTATCCCCGCCCGAGATTCCTTGCATCTACTCTTATTGCCGTGCAAGCAGTGTTGCTGGGTTTCACGGCTAGCAATTGCATAATCTTCGCCAAATATACCCTTTTTGCGCTGAGCGTCGAGCCGACTGATTTCCAGCACAAGGCCCTTGCGGTCGGTCTTTTGACTACGATTATCATTGTTCATGGGCGCTTTTTGAAAGCGGGAATCGCTATTCAGAATGCCCTTGGTTGGGTGAAGATCTTTTTGATTGGTGCAATGTCGCTAACGGGGATTTGGGTTTTGCTTCTTCGCTTTTTTGGTAATTCCCATCATATAATTCCCCAAGAAAGCTTTACCAGTACTCTATCGTGGGATTCCCTATGGGAGGGTTCGAATTGGAGCTGGGGGCTGTTGTCGACGGCCATTTTCAAGGTCATGTACTCCTATGCGGGACTAAATAACATCAACAATGTGCTCAACGAAGTACATAACCCAGTGCAGACAGTCAAGACTGTCTGTCCTTCTGCATTACTGACTGCTGGCGGTCTCTACCTACTAGCCAACACTTCCTACCTTCTGGTTGTGCCAATCGACGACATTAAAAACAGCGGCGAACTGGTGGCTGCATTACTGTTCGAGCGCTTATTTGGCGACCACATTGGGAGAACACTGCTTCCACTTGCCATTGCAATCTCAGCAGCAGGTAATGTGATGGTTGTAACATTTGCCCACGTACGTCATTCTACTCCCGATTGACTCCTACGTTCATTCTGACAAGTAATAGGCTCGAATCAACCAAGAAATCGCTCGTCAAGGGTTCCTGCCATTTCAAAATCTCCTTTCCTCATCACGTCCATTTGGAACTCCACTTGGTGGCCTCCTCGTGCACTGGATACCCTCAGTGCTAGTGATTTCCATACCCCCACAAGGAGACGTCTACAACTTCATCCTGGATGTGGAAGGATATCCAGGACAACTCTTTGCTCTCGCAATAACAGTCGGCCTCTTGATCCTTCGATATAGGGAGCCAAACCGGCCCCGGCCTTTCAAGGCGTGGCTACCCGCTATTTGGCTACGCATTGTGGTTTGTCTCGCCTTGTTGGCGGCACCTTTCATCCCACCTCCGAATTGGAAAGGAGACGTCGACTTCTTTTACGCAACTTATGCTATTGTGGGGATAAGCGTGTAAGTATCCTGTCATGAACTCCGGGTATATATACTAATTTCGTTTCATAGGATTCTTTTCGGGGTACTTTACTGGTATATATGGACCGTGCTTCTTCCTCGGCGTGGAGGATACACGTTAGAAGAGACGGTGGAAACACTGAATGATGGGACGAATGTTACGAAGCTTGTGCGCTCCTACAAGTAAGATGGAGTCTCTATGTTTTATGGTAGATAGATCGCCTTTGTGTTACATGACCGCTATGCTTGCATTCATTTTTCGCTCCCGATATATTTTGCTGAGGTACCAGGCGTTCGAGGGCCTCTTCGTACGACGCCCGGAAATTCGAATTTCTAAATCATCTGTGGCAACTGGAGTCATAATCTCCGCATCCTGGTATACAAACGATGCTAATTGATCATATTCTAAGCTCTTCTAGAACTTGAGCAATAATTTTCTGCACAATGGTAAACTACAATTATGCACTCAGCCGCGCCAAGGTTCCAATGACCAACTTTCTGGGAACTCGGAGAATAGTGGGGTCCATAAGGTTGGAGCCAGCCCAGCCCAGCAGTAATTGGGCATCGAGGAATAATTCCGATCAAACACGAGGAAGACAAGTCATGACTCGATGCCAAGTCCGACACCTCAATTCATCTCAGGCGATAGCGAAGACGTTTCTCTTCACGTTGTGCAACAATCCAAGTCCCCAAGTCACACAACAGAGAGGCAAAGCCAGTCCGCCAAAATGGGACCACAACAACCGACATATACCGACGCCCAGGTCGAAGCATATCTCAGTCGAATTGCATATACCCCCACAGCAAAAGTTGAAGATGTCCGCCAGCGTGCTCAGAGCGACGCGTTAAGTACACTCTCGGAGCTCCAGAGGCGTCATCTCGCTGCTGTTCCGTGGGGAAACTCTGGACTGCATTATTCGCAGCACCACACAATTTCCCTGCATCCGGACAGCTTGTATGAGAAGATTGTGGAGAGGCGCTTGGATGGGTACTGTATGGAGAGTACGGGGATATTCTTCATTGTCTTGCGGTCTTTGGGATACCAAGTATATGCCACTGGGGGCAGAGTGAGCTATGCTGCTGCCACGGAAGTGGACAACGGACTATATATGGCAATGTAAGTGGCCTCTTCCCATAACAACCTTGAGATTGACCAGCCACACTAACATTTACAACCTTCTAAGGGGACACATGGTGCTGATCGTGACCATTGATGGAGCGAAATATATGGTGAGTATCATCACCCGAATGATCTAACCCTACGCTAACAATTGCCAGGTGGATGTTGGATTTGGCAACAATTGTGCCACTGCACCATTGCCTTTCCAAGAAGGCGCTACAGCTACATGCATTGCACCTTCTGAGATGCGTCTAATCAAGGACAGCCTTGTCGAGTGCAGCGATACAACCCAGAAGCTCTGGATCTACCAGACAAGAAACAACCCCGACAGCCCTTGGGTTCCCAACTTTTGCTTCTCTGAGGTGGAATTTTTGCCCCAGGATTTTGGCGTGATGAATTTCTCAGTCAGCCAGAAACCAACCAGCTTCTTTGTTCAGAATTTTGTGTGCGTGCGAATGATTCTGGATCCTACGGGGAGGGAGATTATCGGGCAGTGCATCATGTCGGGTAAAGAGGTCAAGCAACGAATCAAGGGACAAACAGAGGTTTTGCAAGTCCTTCAAACTGAAGAAGACCGGGTCAAAGCCCTGGCAAAATACTTTGACATGCACCTCCGAAATAGCGAGGTCGAAGGCATTCGAGGCTTGACCTCCCAAATCAAATAGATGCATGGGTCGGAGATTACCGGGAGAAAAAGGAAGAACTTGGCTCAATGGTATGGTACAGCGATGTTTCTAGAGAGATATTGCGGCAGAAGGTATGTATAGTGATCGAGGAACAAATGGAGGCGCAGGCATAATGGAGAAAGAGACGTTGCAATTTTTGATTTAGAAAATCCGCTTCTCGACCTGGATTGATGGTGTTAGCGCATTCTCGTTCTCCCAGTGTATTCACAAGCCTTCCTGGTCCATACCTTCCACGGCTTGCTGACATCGAATCCTGGGGGTGCCTGGTGGTTGCTGGACTGTCCACGCATGGTACCGGTAATCCGCAGATCGCGCTCCATCACTGTAAATTGGCAATGTATCGTTAGATTTCCACCCGATTGGCCTCGTAGGATCGGGTTTCATCAAATCGAAAGGTCGTAACTTACTTTGCTGTATGAAGGTTAGCCGACATATTCTGCCGCAAAGAGTTCCCGACCGCAGCCGACGGACTGAAAGGAGTCACTTACCCTGTCCCAAAGGTCCCGGTTCCAGCGGGGCTTCTTGCCCTCGTTAGCGAAACGCTTCACAACGTACAGGCCAGCGCCAGTGACGCCGAACATCTGTGGTGGCCAGTCAGTTAGAGCTCGAAGGGGGACCAGCGGATGAGACGCACGCCCGTGATGATCGCATAAGGAAGGAGAGCCTCGAAGGGGACACCCATTTTGAACGGTAGCTCAAGGTCAAGGACAGAAGAGAGAAATTGACAATTGCAAAGGACCCAGCTCGTCGCTGCGCAGCAGGGATCAAGTCGCGGAGAAGGGAAGGTGGAGGGGAGCCGGTCACTGAGCAGGCGTTTCCAAGGCGAGGTCTGCGTGGCCCAAAAGGGTTTAGTGCACCTGACTCAGCCGCCTGCAACGACACTCCCAGGGCCAAGGGGGCAGCGGACCGTAGCTTGGTCGTTAAAGAGTCCGTCCACAGGGTTTGGATTGCTCTTCGACGCGTCTTTTACCTGTTTACTCCTGAGAGACGATCGATTCTACACCAGGTGTGAGTCTCCCTCTTCCAGCAACACGTACTCGCGACCAGTCGCAGCCAACTGACCACCACCTACCTGTCCAACAGCCGCTTTGCGCCTGCGAAACCTAGCTCCAAATCAAAGCGCTATTTTCATGCTGCGAGAGAAAGCCGCAATTACCTCTGTCTCTGCTGCGCTCGTATAGGCTCCAGATGCCCCGCCGGACCATCACCGACGCGAGCGGGGTGGCTCTGTAGCTGACTGGCCCCGGCCTTACACTACTCAAAAACATTTCAGCATCCAGGCGCATAGCATCTCGGCAACCTGCCTACAGAAGACCTGGCGACCGTCGCGACACTCACCATGGGGGCGACGGTGCCGCCAGTGAACGATGACCCAGACAAGCTGGACCCCCCGGCCGACCAGGCAGACAGTGACTTGGATGCGGAGGGAGAGGAGGAGACAGACTTGTACGATATGGATCAGCAACTACAGAATGCAGTCCACCAGGCATACTCGGGCGAGGTTGCCGAGGAGAACGACCACCCTGGTATAAATGGTGGAGGCATGAGCGCTGCCATTAACGGCCGACAGGACGGTGGCGACAACGATGAGACTGAGCCTGTCGGGGCTGTAAAACTTCCAGATGATGATGACGATAATGATGATGATGCTGCCTCCGAGAACGACGATGCCTACTCTGGAACAGCCGACGGCGATGTCGACCCCGCATTTGAAGAAGACAACGATCAAGCAGCTTCCGAGTCGAGTGAATCAGAATCAGAAGCAGAGGAAGACTGGGAGGCCGAGAGCAATGGTCGTGAGGATGCGGATATCGATATTCGCAGCGGAGCGATATGCATGTATGTGCAAATGCGATTCGGGTGATCCAGCCGAGTCAAGTATATCTTCCATCTTCAGAGAAATTAAATGCTGACAAAGGACCACAGTTTCTGCACCCAAGATGAGGAACACGATCCAAGTGAGGACTTTGAGGAGTGGTTGACATGCGCAGTTTGTGGCGATCATTGTATGTTATGCTTTTGCGGGGCCGAAGCTAAAAGCTTACGCCTTCCCCTTCCCTTTTTTGAATAGTCGCTGACTCGGCATCCCGACAGCCCATCGGCAATGCGCCCGTGAGCAAGATGCCTTTGATGATTCCGAAGGTATGTAATCGAGAGCTTTCGTGCTAGACTTGAGCTTTTCCCGCCAGCCCACTAGCTAACCTCCGATTTACAGATCCTTGGAGGTGTCCCAGTTGTGTTCAAAACAATCTTGAACCTGACCCCGCGGAATCGCCAGCACAACGAAAGAATGGGGTTGGCCATCTCACCAAAGAGCTTTTGCCTGCACATGCAGGAAACCAAGACGATGGATTCCACTCCATCTTCGATACTAACATCAGCGATGAGCTGCTAAACAGTTCGCGCTCCTTGCGGAAAAGGAAAGCCTCATCTGTCGAAGCAGAAGACCATGTTCCCGTGCTACGGAAGCGACGGCGGCAAACCGACATTTCTGACTCCCACGACATTCCATTTGACGGTACTGCCGATCAGCGTGGTGATGGAGCAGCATCTCCTGCACGACCCATGCGCCCTCGACGGACGCGAGCGGTCGAGCGCGAACATTGCCGTATCGTTACCAAGCAACTGGGGAAACTAGTTATTGGTTTCCGATTAGAAGAAGGCAAGGTGACCCGAATCCTCAGCACTCAGAGTCGACCTCTTCGCAAGAAGAAGAAAGCCCCCAAGCCGCCGACCGCAGCTCAAGAAACCCAAGCCCATTTTGCCCCCATTCCCCCTGCACCCCACGTCAACCATTTCCATCCTTTCCACGATCGGGAGACCGATGAATCCAAATCCAAGCCATATGGTGGGATCCTGTCTGAAGCGGAGGCCGACACTTCGAAGACCTTGCCCTTGCAAGCGGACCGAGACAAGTTTGAGCAGGCCCGTCAACGGGCTGAAGATGAGTGGCAGCGCAAAGTCCGAGAAGCAGAAGTCAACGGTGAAGCAACCCCTACAGCCTCGCAGAAGGTGTCTGGTCCTCCATCAAAGATCAAGTACATCAACTTTGGTGGCTACGAGATTGAGACTTGGTACGCCGCACCTTATCCGGAGGAGTACAGTCGCAATCGTGTACTTTACATTTGCGAGTTCTGTTTGAAGTACATGAACTCGGACTATGTCGCCTGGCGGCATAAGCTCAAATGCCCCGCAAAACACCCGCCCGGTGATGAAATTTATCGGGACAGTTCGATCTCAATCTTCGAAGTGGACGGTCGGAAGAATCCAGTCTATTGCCAGAACCTCTGTCTCCTCGCCAAGCTGTTCCTGGGATCGAAGACTCTGTACTACGATGTTGAACCATTTTTGTTCTACGTCATGGCTGAGTACGATGATTTGGGTTGCCATTTTGTTGGCTACTTCAGCAAAGAGAAACGACCGAGCTCGGCGAACAACGTATCTTGCATTCTCACCCTACCAATTCACCAACGCAAGGGCTATGGTAACCTCCTCATCGATTTCTCATACCTTCTCACACGCATCGAGGGCAAAAGTGGCTCACCTGAAAAGCCTCTCTCTGACATGGGCTTGGTGTCTTATCGCAATTACTGGAGATTGATTCTTTCGTACCAACTTCGTGACCTCAAGACCCCTGTCAGTATCGCAGATCTGTCCGATCGGACTGGCATGACGGCAGACGACCTTGTGTCTGCCTTGAAGGACTTCGCGCTCTGGTCCGGGATCCCATCACTAAGACCTACGCACTTCGCCTCGATAAGGACTACTTTGAAGAAGTGATTGCCAAGTGGGAGAGCAAGGGCTATGTGCAGCTCAATCCCGACGCGCTTACATGGACCCCATACATCATGGGCCGGAACAACCAGTCGCATTTCGACCGAACGCCTCTACATGCGGTCGCACCTCGCGACGACCCAGATGAGGATGACGAGGAGCTTGACTCGAGAGAGGATGCAGATGAAGATACAATGGCGAATGGAACAGATACAGACGCGTTCGATGAACCTGCCGGTCCACCGTCCACCGCTAACCTGCCGCAAAGAAACGGCATTCACGAGCCGGAGCCCGCAGAGCCCGAGCCCATCACCAACCCAGCTGCTGGCATTCCCCCTTCACGCTTTGAGCTGTGGCCTCCAGTACATGTTCCCGCTCCACCCAAACGCAAGCCTGGCCGCCCATTCGGCAGTTACAAGAACAACTCTCGGACACCCACTGCTACTCGGACGAGTGGTCGCAACACGCCACGACGAGCCTCGGGGCTTCCCTTTTTCACTCCCAACGGCGGCACCCCCAGTATGCGCCGTGGGCGTAGCGCCATGGCAATGGACTCCCCGGCGACGGACGCGACTCCTGCCCAGACCACGGGCGTTGATGAAAGTGAGCTTGCCGACGAGGATGCGGTCCTCGACCCCAGTCCCGAAGATCTTGGTCTCGTAGTGGATGATGCAGCAACACCAGCTACAGGTGGCGAAGCCGTGGAGAGCGAAGAGATTGAGCAATCCGAGGTGAATGGAGATGACCAGCAAGATGATTCCACAGAAACCAACGGCCTCAATCACGACGAGCTGGAAGCTGCCGATGAGTCGGACGCTGAAGGTGACCCCGAGTTTGAGTCAGAAACTCCTCAGACCCCGGAGAAGAAACGGACATCGGCATCCAAGTCTCCGACGGCCACATCGCAAAAATTCAAAGGGAAGCAGTCAGATCAGCATACCAAGACCCCACAATCTGTCAACCGCAAGGCCTTGGTAGAGAAGTTCCAGGTGGTTGTCTCCGCCGAACCCGAATCAGGGAGGCGGCGAAACAGCAAGATTGCCACCACCGACACCAATGGGATTGACTCCGACGTTGATGCCGAGGGGGAGGACGATATTGACGGCGAGTATGAAATGGATGGCGACGTGGTGATGGAGACATGAGCCCTCATTGCGTGGGTACATCCACGGACATGAAAGACGGGCGCCGGTGTTTGCCAGTATACCCGCGAGGTCGCAACGCATATGGACAGGGCGTTAATGTTGTTTGATTTCTATTAAATTTCTATCTCTTCGTCATCTCTAAACTTGTTTAGGGACCCTTTTCGTTTTCCCACTCTTGGAGACGATGGACAACCCACCTCCATGATGAAACGATCGATTCGTCGCACGACGCCTCGATTGACTTTCCACTGTTTCTTCTTCAATGTTGCTCAGGGATTCTCTTTTTCTCACTTTTCTGCTTCTGTCCAGCCAGGAGCGCCGGTCTGGAGTTGGGCGTTATTGGGTCGTGCATGGAAACCCTTATTCCTTTTTTTCCTTTTCCATTTAATTCATCCCCATTCCATTCCATGTTCGATTTCTCCCACCTTATGGGCATGGCTACTCTTCTCTTCGCAAGCGGGTAACACGGTGCGCATATGCCCAGTTGCCCAATGTATTAAGTTAGTGTCTCGTGTAGCCTATCGATCCGACAATGAAACCCAAGATCTACACTACTTGTCTCCCTGTATAGAATTCCTTAGTATGCTCCATATCCAACCCCTATCCGTAATCTCGCTCCGTGGGTGGCTTCGTAGGGTACCTCGCATCCATTCATCACCATATCAACCAGGCCACAACCAACCCAACTAAAAGCGCAGACTTGTTACGCCGGACAAAGTCCGAGTACACAGTACCGAATATGATATTGACAGTTGATCGACGACGTGCAGCGAACCATCGATCCACGCACCAGCCACACTAGACAGGTCTAAATTGATTAGTGATGCCTGTACTGTAGTGGTTGAATCGAGTCAACCCCCCATGCACAATGCACAAGGTACCCAGGTGCAGCGCAAACGGAGACATAATAGATGGAGCAGAAACTCAATTTGCGCGACCGCGGGGTATGCTCGGGTAGAAGTTGGATGTGGAGGGAGAGGGCTTAGCGTTAGGTCTAGCTTTAGGAGGTGTATACCCGATAGGGCGGCTTTGAGTTTGTTTGTGATTACTTTAGGTAATCTAATCTTGTTCTTTTGAGCTTAGAGCGGGTCGGGGAGAAGTATGGTGCAGTTATGTATGTTATAGTTCTACTGTGTGTACTCCGTACATATTCTAGTCTCACGGCAGATCTCAGGGATACAATGTGAGGTGTCCTATCAGGCAGAGAGACCGATCGATGCATGGTGAATTATAATGCTTATTATTGATGGATGAGGGATGATGGGTGACCCGATAAACCGGAACCTCGGAGAATTAAGAAAGGGGGTTCCATCAGCATACCCCATCCAGTCGGATGTGATCCTAATATAATCAGAGGGAAGCCCTATATAGTCAACATTATACACGTCGCTACAACCAGTACACATCAATTCAAGTCCCACAATAGCACTGCTCACAGTTTTCACTGTTTACTGAACCACCGATCGGCAAGATCGGCGGTCAGGGCGCGGGTTCCTCCTCCTTGACGGAGCGTAACCTGGAAGAGTTAAGGCCAGCTGTCAGGGGGGCTGGTTTCAGGGAAGAGAGTTAGCGAGCATCCATGGAACGGGCAAGGCCGGGCTTGGGGCCAACCCGCGGGCCTCACTTTAAGCATAACCGCATAGCGTTCCAGAAGGTGGTGATTCTTGGGTCGGGGCCGCTGTCAGATTTGGCTTTGATACATGTTCTAATGTTGGTGGATGATCCTAAATTGGGGTGGTGAATCGGATAAGCTATGTTTCTGTACAGTACTCTGTAAATATAATGCATCATGCCATTGTTCATTTCCCCTCCTCTTAATTCCTCTGACCTACGGAGTCAGTCCTCCCGATGCCTACGGAGGTCGTGTCCAGTTGAACTAATCTGATTAGTTCTTACCTGACTCTGGCAGTAGGAATATTTCCGATGGGGCCCTCCTGCGAATAAAACCCTGCCATGCAAGAATCATAATCATGCTAAAATTTCCCGGTGCCACTTCATCGTGCGTCGGAGACTCGGATCCCCACATCCATTCTTTTCACCACCGCGCGGGTTCGGTGTTCGTGAGGTTTGCGGATTCTCGAGTCCTTCAGTGGATGGAGACTTGTTGTGTTGTTCTTGTTTTTTTCTTCTCCCATTATTAGCCTGAGTTAAGGCAGCTTTTCCAACGTACCTTTTCCCTTTTTCTCTTTTTTTTCGTTTTCGCGCTTCGCTTTTCTTCCCCTTCTTTGATCCTCCTCACGTCATTTGCGGGTTTTCCCTTTTGATTCCCACCTCTGTGCGGTGCGTTGGCCACGCTCATGCTCATGCGCTTGATTCGGTCCATTGAGATCCGCTCGGCTTCCCCCAAGCCTGTCTTTTCTTTCTTTCTTTCTTTCTCTCTCCGTGGCCAGCCTGGCTGTTCGCATCAAGGCTGGTCTCGAGGCAGCGGTGCATGAATTGGACTTTTCCAGGACGTCGTGCTTTGGCGCCATTCCCTGCGGCCGCCATGCGGGCTGGTCAGGAACCAACGGACCGATGCAGGCTTGGGAAATCAGACCACAGTTTGGGCCGAGGCTGAGGCTGGATCTGAACCAGACCATTTACTGAATCCTGGGGGGGGGGGGGAACGTTTTTTTTTTTCCTCTTCACGGCTATCCCCAGAGGGCTGGTTTTTCTCTTCTTGTTTAACCAATACCCAGTCCTCTCTCCGGCGGACCCCCCCTCCTAGCGGGGCCACCGAGTCCGCTGCCAATACGGCGGTCATCAACGCCACGCAAAGCACGAAGTACTGGGCGCGATGGGCATCAAGCAGATCGTCCACATCGGCGCTTCCTTTCATCGAATACTGCTGTCATCCGATAGACTTGACTTGCTTGGTATCGCTGCAGTGACAGACTCAAAGCCTCCCTTGCATGATCGCCGCATTATCAGCTATTCCTCAGGAAGTGGGCCTCTTGTCATATCCAGATGCAGCGGCAGCCACGCCAGTGCACGCCATGCTTTTTCCACCCTGAGAGAGAGGTTGTTTTTTCCCCCTCGGGTGCTGCACAATACTTTTTCTCTTTGTGATCTCACCACAAGTAATAATCTTCCTCATCTTCATGTACATTGAAAAGGTACCATGCATGCAGCCCAGGGGCAGATCATGGTAGTGACTGGCTCCTCCAAAGTACCCAACAGCCTTTCCTCGCCAGTTCCCCTCAATCCTCCCCTCCCTCTCTCTCCCCTCCTCAGCCGCAGCAGTCACCAGCAAATGGGCAAGTGTGGCGTAACCTTCCTGATGAGGCCAGGTGAAGAAGCGCGATCTGCAAACCAGGCAGCCCAGTCCACAGGCCAACTGGTGATCTGTCTCCGGTATCCTGCAGGATGCCCGATCGCGCCAGTTCCCGGACCACCCCAAGTCTCCCCAATTCCTCCGCTGCGCCCTCGGGATGATGTCGGTGACCAGGGCCTAATTTTCCATTCGACCAAATCGAAGGGGATCTCCATCCTGCTCTCAGGGCTGCCCAACTGGTGCACCCACCCCCGCCGAGTCGGTGCGCTTCCCATACAGTCGGGTACCGGATCTCCCCTCCCTCTGTCTCGCCTTCGCTCGCACTGCTGAAGCTGCATGGCACACGGACGATGTGATGCATCGAATCACACAGCGATGCAGAGGGTTCGTGCTCTCTGTTTGGACATTCTATTTCCAATTGCCTTTTTTCCTCTTTACCCCATAAGGCTCTCTCCTCTTGGCTTTTTTGCATTCCCTAATCCCCGTCTTGAAGAATTGTGCCTTTGCTTTCCGGTTTAGTTTCCCCCCCCCCTTTCCCACCTCGTCGCATTATGACTCGGTATGCCTCGATTGAACTTTGCCTGTCGACTTAATGTGTTCGTGTTCGGTCCGCGCCTCCGAATTCTTACTGCGCCTGGGTTTTTTGTCGAGGTGACGATATTGACTCGAGGTCATTGTCACTACTGTGTACGTCTGTGACAACGGGTCGGCGGCGTATTGAACGGGAAACGGCTTTTGAATCGACAGCTTCATCATTACCAGGGATTCTCGTTGGACATCAAGGGCTTGTTATTGCGTGGAAGACGAGCCAAACCCGCAGACGGGACCTTGCCGAATTTCGTGTCACGAACGCGTGGGTACGTCCAAGAGAGAACAAAGGACGAGATCGATCGTGACCTTGAAATTCGAGTCAACAAGACCAAACTCCACAAACCCAGTAAGACAATCCCCAGTGATGACCTTTTTCCAAGGTCTGAGTTTGCGAGGGGGAGGTCAAGTGGTCAGTTCGATGGTCCAGTCGTGGGCCAGAACTGCGCAATCGCACTACCCCTTTCGGCCAACGGGCAGATGACATAAGAAAGTTCTTGGAGCTATCAGCAGGCTTCACACTATTATTGTGCCCCCCTGTCGGATTTGGCCATTTTGGCTTTCATGGCTGGCCTCGAATTTGAAACTAAACCTTGCTAATCAGCCTGCCTGGACCTTTTAGGACACTATCACTAGTGAGCTCTTCCAGTTAGGGACTCGCGCTGACTGATTGTCTGACTCGTGTGTGTGTGGGGTGCAGCGCACCGTCTTTGTCTCCGCCCAGAGCCTCCGCCACTGCGATCAGCTGGGGAGCCACCGTGACTTTGACTGGACCTCGCCCTTCAGCTCGCAAAAGGCTAAACTTGGCCAAAAAAAAAAAAAAGACCGCACACCCACCATCCTCGAGCTAAAGCAGTCTAGCAACAGCTCCTCCGCTAGTTCTTCTAGTTTCGGGCGCCCACCCCCCAGATCCTGGTCCAGCAGGAAAAGGCCATGCGGCTTGAATCTTGCATATCCGGGAATCCACTCTGACTGGAATGCTTAGACGCCGGAGCAGGGCCCGAGTCCACTTTTTTTGCGCGGTTCGACAGGAGCTCATTTGCTCCTCCCGTTGGGGCCTCACATCCCTCCCTATTACGTGCATAGCCGGGGAAGGGCCGTTTTCGCGCTTCCAGTTGGTCCTGTCGCAGGTCCAGGACGAGTAGTCGTCCAACCGTCCAACGGACCAGGGTCGATCATCAGGGTCGATTCAACTGCCCTACCCTCTGATTGGGGAAACAAACTAATTGGAACTTTCGGAAAGACCAGAGGTATTTTTTTTTCCCTCTATCCCTTCTGGTTTCTCTCGTTCTTTTCAGTTGCTCTCGCTATTCCCCCGCCAAGTCCATTTGCCCATCCCCTTTACGGAAGACCACCTCTTACGCACTAGGCCCTTCGGCCGATCGAATGTGCGCATCATCCCGATCGTCGCCAGCGCCAGTGCCACCGTGCCCGCCAACCGTGGTTGACTCAGTCGACCCAGTCGGGCCCCGGTCGACCGCAGCTGAACCCTCGTCTTTTTTTTTTCCACATTTTTTTTCTGCGGTTCCCTCCTCCACTTTGATTTCCGTCTTAACCGTCTACGGTCTTCGACGGCGGGTGACCCTCTGGTTTTCCAACGGTCGACCAGTCTGTTCGGGCTCCACTCTTCAGCTATACACTGTACAACCTTGAGGCGAAAACAGTGTGCAAATCCGATTTTTTTGCCCTTGGTGTTGGGGGGTGTTTTTGGAGCTCTTTTTGGCCTGTTTTGTTCCCTTGCTGGGATTCTACCAGACGCAAGTCCTCGACCAAAAGTCCTCACCACTCCCTGCCTGCTCTTGTGCGCACCCACTTTGTTTCTTCTTCTCCTTCCAGGCAGGAACTAAAGAAAGCGTCCTTTTTGGGAAACCTCATTCTCCGAACTTGTTCCCCCGCTTGACTTCCTCTCCTCCCCATCGCCGTCGCTATTGGCTCCGCGGGGCATAAAATTTTCAGGTCCATTTTTTTTCCGTTAGTCTTCGACGGAGCCCAGGCCGCGAGTCGGTTGTCGGTTGCGGGACTCTGATTTGCTCGCGGGGGGAAATTCGAGGCCCAATTGAATTTTTGCGTTTAATCGACGTTGGAGGAAGAGGGGGGCACCACCCCGGGACCTGCATTTGCAGCTGCAGCATTAAACCATTCAACCTCTTGCGGTCGGAAAAGACTAGTAAGAGTCCGGACTGGTGCTATCGACTGTTATCGGACCTTTCTGGGGGGGGATCTTGGGATCTGGTTATCTGGCCGTGGGCATCTATAGGATTGATACCTTTGTGACTGCTGGACGAACTGCACGACCACGACGGGACTGTGTCTTCGACTGTTTGACCAGGACTGTTGATTACTACTATTCCTTTTTTTTCCTTGCTCGCTCGACTTGCATCTTTGCTTTCCATTCCTCCTCCTCCTCCTCCTCCTCCTCCCGTGCTGGCTGTTGTCTGCTCTCTTTCCGTTCGCAGCATCCGTTTGCGGCACCGCAGTTCCCATCGCACGACCACTGGCACTTCCCACCTTTTTCCATTCTGCAACCATCAACCATATTTCCACTGCTGGTTCATCCACCCTTTTTTCCTTTTTCGCTCAGCTTCTTCCCATCCTCTTTCGTCATTGCCAATCCATCGTTCGGCGCCTCGGTACGAATCCATGGGAACTCGACCTGTCGGGGACTGTTCAACGCTGGTACTGCTCCCGGAACGCTCCATCCCAAAGTCTGGATTCGCCTTCCATTCTTTCCTTCCCTCTCGCTCTGCCCACCCCCACTACAGCTAATCCATCCACCACCATCCACCACCACCACCACCACTCTCCCTCCACCCATCCATCATTCATCCATCAACCATCCACTATCTACCATCGACCACCGGCACTCACACCATCAACGACATCGTGACTCGTGCTGCGCTCTCTTTTCCCCTCTCCGACCCAATCTTTCTCTTCTCTTCTCTCCTTCTCCATTCCTTGTCTCCGTTACCTTTTTTTCCCTCTCCCACTACCTGTGCACCCGTGGACAAACGCCCGCGCTTGCTGCTCCTCCCGAACCATCCCTCCACTAACCTCGAGCTCGTTTTCTCGGCTCTTCATCCGCGGGCTACTCGTTGCCTGAGAACCCTTTGATTCTTAATTCTTCCGTATCAACTAACCCACACCTTGGGTCTTGGTTCCACCTTCTCCGTCTTGATGAGTGCATCGACGTTCGCCGACGCCTCTCTCTCGCGCGAAGCCCAAAGGTACGTAGCAAAAAAAAATAATACATGCGAAAAAGAGCCTCCCATCCTCATCTCATCTACTTTTGTGTCGTACGCCTCTGCTTGTATCCTTCTTCTTTACGTTCTTTTGCTCTTTTCGTCGTCTACTTCGTTCTTCCTACTGGTATATGTGCCTGACAAGGGTCGCAACTCTTACTCGGTCGTCCAGGGAATCCCACTGACCATGTTGTCCAACACCAGTTCTGACTTTGACCTGACCATTCGCCAGCAGCCCGACCGGGCGCGCGTGGCTGGGGGCAAGGAGAAAGGTACGTCCCATTGATTTCTCTCGTCCGGTCCTCTCCACGATGAGTTGCTTGGCTCTGGTCCTGGCTCTCCTCTCGGGGGGAGAGGTGCGGTTCGGAGCCGCGGGGAGAAGACCTCGCGAGCAAGGTGACCCGCAGTAACTAACTCACTGGCTGGGTTCGCAGAGCGCAAACCCATCGATCCGCCCCCGATCGTCCAGCTCCGGGTGCGCGAGGAGGGTTCTTACCTGGCGCAGTAAGTGAATTGCATCGCAATCCGGATGGTCGTTCGTTGAGGATGCTAGCTGACCCCGCAAAACAGACACTACCTGCAAAGCCCCTACTATTTTATGTGCTGCAGCTTGTACGATGCCACAGAAGATCGTCCCGTGCCCGTCGCACCCTCGACGGCCCTAGCAGGAACTCTAGTCTCGTCTCTTCACCGGTTGAAGGACGTGGACAACAGCGGTAAGTGCTTTAGCAGGCACTTCAGCTGCAGTCCTCCGGAGGGGACTCAGACTTGAGAAAACGAAGATCAATGACTGACAATGATCGCAGATGGAGGGTTCTTCGTGTTTGGTGACCTGTCTGTAAAGATCGAGGGCGAGTTTCGCCTCAAGTTTACTCTCTTTGAGATGCGCAAGTGAGTCGCGTGCCCTCCTTCCCACCCTCCGGTCGGAGGGGACTCAACGCTCCAGTGCAGCAAAGGCTGACTGGACAATCAGGGATGTCGTGACCTATTTGAAAACCGAGATTTCGGATCGATTCAAGGTGTCGCCTCCGAAAAACTTCCCAGGCATGATGGAATCCACCTTCCTCTCGCGGTCTTTCGCAGACCAGGGCGTAAAGTTGCGCATTCGCAAGGAGCCTCGGACTATGATGTAAGTTGCACATGAACTCCGCTGGACAACCAGCCATTGTCGGGAAAGATTGAAAAAGGGAGCTTTGATTGTTGACCCGCCCTGTACAGGAAACGCTCTGCACCTCGTCCTGACGAGTTCCCTCAGGCGATTCCTCCTCGATCGCCAGATCGCCAGCCAGTGCAGATCCCGCCTGCCGCGACGGGATTCACAGGTTATCCAGCAGCGACGACGAGTCGAGACTACAGCCAGTACTACGGGGCTCCTCCTGTCAAACGCCATCGTACCTCCATCGACTATGGCCGACAAGGCATCTATGACCAAGATAGCCGGATGGCGGCTCGCCCAATGGATCCATATAGTCAGCCGACGCCAATGTATAGCCAACAGACTGCATACCAAACCCCGGGCATGCAGCCGTACCAAACGAGTCAGGTAGTGCCAGACTATGGGGTTCGTCCACCGTTTTCTTTGAGAGAGCATCTGTCTTGGTTTCCATCAGACGAATACCCGTCTTAACTAACACCTCTTTTTCTCTGGCTTATCTAGATGTCATACGGCCTTCATCCATCCGCAGCGCCCATGTCTCAAATGACTGATCCCTCGGGGCAGACGCGGCCCGGCCAGCAAGCTGCTGTGGGGCAGTTGATGGCGATGAATCAGCCTGGCACACCTGTACGGCATCCCAAAAGTGAGTTTTAGTTGTAAAGAGGCCCCTGGCTAAGGATTTTGTTCTTCTTTGGATCCGACCACAGACCCCGGACTCGACTGGAGCTATGATCGCTCAAGGATACCCTCGATCCGGATACCAGACACCCGAGAATTCGACTGCGACCATTCTCCCTCCATTGCAGCGCAGTTATCATCAGGCCAGCAACAGTGCCGCTGCCCGCGGCTATTTTGAACAGGTGCCTCCCACGGCCACACCGATTCTGCCTTCCCAGATGGCCCCCGAAGGTAATCGCTATGGCTCTGCGAACGAAACTCCTCAGTGATTCGATACGATCGAGCCGTGTTTGTATAAAATCATCAACCCACATAACCCGGGACCAGGACTGGATCTGGACCCTCGGGCGCTTTCTGGACGTTTGGGGGGTTTGGGGGTCTGGACTGGAATCAGAAAAATTTTTGCCATTCTCGTCGCTCGTTTTATCCCTTGGCCGGGTTGTTTGACCTTGACGGATCCCTCCTGGCTGTTTATCACTATGTCCTTATTTTAACTTGTCTTCTCTTGCTTTCCTGTCTGTCTGGATAGACGGGGGCCTTTTGCTAGATATTACGCTTTTGATGTGCTTCATACTGGGTGGCTTCGGGTTTCCTTGTTTGGTGCTGTCTGTCCTTTTTTTTTGGTTGTTCCTGTTACTTGTTCATGTTACTGGCGCTGTTGGACTGGGTAGAACGGGAAGGGTGTGGAGGCTTTATTCCTTTTTTCTTGGCCTTCCTGAAAAAAAGCGAGGTTATCATTATGGTTCGTGGTTTTCTCCCCGTCCGTGTATATACTGGCGTCTCTCCTTAGCAGTTCATCGCTGTGGTTTCCAATTTGGTGATGGTCGCAATTCAATGGCTTATGCTCTTCGAAAATTCCCTCCCAGTTGTCTGTCTAGTTTGTCTGTTTTCAACTCCTTCTCTCACTTTGGTGTACTTGTGTTGCTGTTGCCCCAGTGCTGTCTATTCGCTCACTTCTAGTTAAGGCCCTTCTGCGCCTTCCTTCCTCACTCTTCCTTCCCTCGTTGATTCCCTCCACCATCCACACCTTAGAATCCCTTTTCCTTTTCAGTACCTCTCTCCTCCATATCCTCACTGTTCTGATCACGACAGCAATGGATTCATCCGACTGCCCCTTCAGCAATCTTGATGTCTGGTGCGATTGGTCTGGCGATCCAACCGAAGCCGTCCAGGTCTGCATGTCAGTCGAGGTACGTTGACAAACAACAAACAACACGTCTCGAGTCCCTTCTTACCTATGCTAATTCTCATGATTCTACTTTCGACTAGGTCTGGTGTACACCGAACTCCCAGATAACTCTGCTGGACACCTCCCATCCATGCATCGTCCAGATCGTTGATTCCTCACTCAATCCGGTGGTGAAATTCAAGAACCTGGTTAATGTCAATCTGCTCCGCCAGGAGACGGGCCCATACACGAGCTCGAGTGCAAGCACACACGAGTCCCTAGCGTCAGACGACCAGTCCCAGGCACCAGTGACGCCCAAGAAGCAAGCAGACCCAGCGACCTCGGACCCGAACACACCTCATGCAACATTGCACCCCGGGCACCCGAACCTGCAAGTCGACACGCATACACCCTCGGACTCGGGCAGTGTCCTCCGAGCTGGACATACCCTCGATGGATCACCCGGTGATAGCCTCGATGCGTTCTACGCCAGTTTCTACCGGGACAGCTCTTCCTCCGAGTTTCTCAGTGAAGTCGGACAATCGCCCACGAACCCGCGCAAGAGAACTGCAAAGGCTGCCTCACTGCCGGACTCGGTGACTGACTCGGAGAGATCATACGGAGGTGCGAAACTCAAGAGTAAAGGTCGGATTCTTGCGAAGGGTAGACAATCGCCAGTGTCTACGCCTTCGACTTCGTCTTCCTCTAACCATTCACGTACGCGAAGCTTGATCCCTCGGCCTGTGAGCGTGACCAACCATGTGCGCCCAGACCCTACCAAGTTTCCATTGCCGACGGATTCGGTGCCCGTGTTGGATGTGGAGTTTCGACGGTTTGAGAATGGCGTGTCGCCCGTGGAGAAAAAGAGTCGGGTCAATCATCATCAGAGCGAGAGCGAGAGCGTTGCAGAGACATTTTCCGGAGACACCTTGACACCTCTGGCAAGTCCTACCACTAGGACTAGTCTGAGTGTAAGCAACGGCGATACTGGCAAATCCTTGCAAGAAGGGCAAGACGTGGAGAAGCGTTCAACCGTGGCATCAGCTGGTAGCCCATGTGATATGACCCTGATGTCGGACTCTGTGGATGCATCTTTTGGGGGAATTCCGATCCGGGGGATGTGCGTTGTGCAACCCCCAACTCCGCCGCGTTCCCTCGATCGACCTCGTCTTGACCTTGTTGACCAGGTATTTACAATTCAGTGCTCCTCTGGCCTCCAGTCAGCATGGTACAAGGCCTCTGTGGCGTTTGTTCTGCGTCTCCAGCCAGGTCGACCGCGTGGTTGGTATGAACTGGTCGTTCCGGGTCTGCCTCGCCTAGGTGCGAATGACCATGGTTACGTGTACCTCCGCATACCGGATGGCCAGGGGTTGGAATACCGTACCATGCACTTCAAGAGATACGAAGTTGTCGAGGGCTGTCTCATCGCCCAGTTTCCACTGGTCCAGTCCAAACTGGTCATCCCCATTCGCCCTTGCGATGCCCGCTTTTACGGGTTCCTGCGCGACTTTAAAGTCAATCAGACCATTCGCACGCAGGTGACGAAGGATAAACATGACTCGTCCTCATGCATTGTCGAGTATACCGCTGTTTGCTCGTTGGACCTCATTCAGCGCGACTTTTGGGCCGAGCAGTGCGGATTCTACATCTACATACATGGTGGACCCGACGGCGAATTCGCTTGTCACTTGGAGACGCCAAAGACCAGTTTCCAAACTATTCAGCTTGACTCGAGTCCCGCGGCTGAGAGTGGGATCACTCAGCTTCAGGTTATCTGCACACAGGCGAATCTGGAGATGTTTGCTGTTACGTGGGAGATGCGTATGCCCCGCGGAGAAGCTTTGAACTGGATGCCGCGCATCACGGCTCTTGCGGAGGGGTATCATGTTGAGGAGGAGTTGCAGAGTCGGTATCTTGATGCTGAAGAGGACGAGAAGGAGATTGTGCGTGGCGAGGTCAAGTCAAGACTTGTTGCCCCGAAAAGACTGAATAGGAAGAGATGTCTCATTCTTTCGCTCACGAGAGCGGTCTGCTGGTCGGTATTTCTGTTTTTGCTTTTACAACCTGTGGTCTACTCTCTTGGTCTTTATGATCGTGCGGTGCGTGAGGACGCGGGTCGGGAAATTCGGGATATTCTCTGTGCAAAGTTTCAGCTTTGTGTGGGGAAGACCTCGTTGGAGCAAGTGAATCTTCATCATACAGGAGAGGCTCCCATTGTTCCAGAGATACCCGAGGTTATGGATCCCATGGAGACTGCCGAGGAGATTACAAGTCCTGTACTGGAAGAGATTGATCAGACACCGCAGCAGGAACTTGTCTACCCTACTCGTATGTCACTGCGTGATCGAGTTGATTATTTCCTTGGTTGGAAGGGTCCTCTTCTTCTTTCTGGAGTGTGAGGTGCTGGAGATGAGTTGGTTGTCAAGCGTGGACTTGAGCTTCGTGACTTGTATGAATACGTTTTATCCTGATCAGGGTCTTATGGAATTGCATTAGTGTGTGATAGTTGAATCTTCTCTTTACGTACATTTATAGAATATCAAGCACTGTCCAGTCATTGATTGTCGTACAGCTCTTGGGAGGACCTACACAGCCAGTTATGTTAACTTATCAAGCGTTAAAAATCACTTCCAGCCCCATCCACTACCCCCCACCAGTACCGAAGTCTAGCAGTCCGTATAGACTACAGTCTACTGCAGCTACCTAATCACCTCGGTGGCGTGCAGCTATCCGCCTTTCTTGATGAGCGATGAGTGATAAAGCTAAATAATAAGTCTCACTACGCTCCGCAATAAGTAGATTGATCATATAGAAAGTCTCTATACAGCCATCCTAAAGCCAGAAACCACTACAGATTTATATGTGAGATACAGAAGCTCAGCACCGTAGGACATAATCTGTACGGACTTTGAACTATAAACTACGAGCTATGTACACAATATCCAGCCCGGTATATCACCAGATTAGCCTACCTACTCCTCCCCCATATAAAACCCCAACACCTCCTCCACAGCCCACCGCAACACAACATCCATCCCAACAGCCCCCTTCCCCGGCGCAACGCTCACACCAACATCATGCCTCACATCAACGCCCTCCCCAACGCGCGCAACAATATCCCCCTCTCCCTCCCCGTCAACCAACAACCACGCATGATCACGCACATACCGCGGCCAAACAATATCATCCACGTAGCCTGGCGGATCGGTCCAGAAATTCTGCGGTGGCCGATCGTCTTCACCTTCCAGATCGATTTCTCCCTGCTGTGACTGCGCCTGCTTCTGCTCTTGTTGCTCGCTTAAGTGCGCAGCTGTCGCTGCCGTAGGTGGTTCTGGCGCAGGCCCGATAGTAACATACCCACTTCGTCCCTCCCTCCTCGCCTTTACAGTCGCATAAGGCGCGGGTAAGAAAAGTGGTAATCCAATCTGCGCATGCACAGGTCGTAACACGCCATAGTCCGTCGGATAATGCTCATCCCCCGCCCCTCACCCTCATCCCATTTCCCACTATTGTTCTTAACCTCCCACCCCTCCGGCGACGCATACAACAAAAACCCCTCCATAAAAACCAGCGTGCCACTCCGCACCCCCTTCTTCGCCGCAATACGCGCCTCGACTTCCCGCCGTAGCTGGGTCACCAAATCATCCGGTACGCACGGTCCCGTATTCTCGTTCTGGTCTTCTTTACTTTGGAGTCGGGGCGGTAAGTGTCCGTGGCGTCGGACGTAGGAGAGCGCTTGTGCGAGGAAAGAAGTGTCTATGGCGGCGGAAGTGTCCCAGTCTTGGACTGTTTTGCCGGAGGGGGTTGTTGTGTATGGGATTCTGGGTGGGATGGTCAGATTGCGCTGATAACAGTAGAACTTGTGGGAGGGGATGGTTGTGGGTGGGGGTGTGTACTGGTCATCTGGGTAGTAGAAGTCATCTTCGTGGATGATGAAGGTGTTTAAATTGTTTTCTTGTGCGGTTGAGCCTGGGGTTGAGTCTGAGATCGAGGTTGAGGTCGAGTCGAGGGGTACCCCGCAAAAGATGCGTTGCAGGAGTCGGGCTAGGGTGGTCTTTCCGCTGGATGAGGGCCCCGAGATGCCGACTATCAGAGCCTGAGAAGGCTCTGTTGGTTCTGGTGAGGTCATGCTGTGTGGTACAGCAGTCTCTTGGGAGAGGAATGCGGGGGGAGTCAGATTGAGGAGAAGGTCATGATAATGGAGGGGTTGTGGCTGACCGCGCTATTGTTATCTTATCGGACATCTGGAAGATCGGCGCCAAGGCGATGTATAAACATGCTTGGTTGGTGAGATCTGCATATGAAGGAGCATTGTGAAATCGAGTAGTTTTAACGATTAGTGATGATAATTCGTAATGAAGCCTGTTACTATACTCTTCTCGATTAATTCAAAGTTCGTGTCGTAGATAGCGTGGAAAGCCGTGTCCAGTCCCAGGGAAGCGAGTACTTGCTCCTTGTTAGATCTGTTATGCTACAGCATAGGTGAATATACTCAAATTCCTATTCTCTAGATATACATCTGTCTCTCCCTTCCTCAGGGACACATGCAGATACTCAATTTGTGAGACAACTAGCCATGCATTGCTATGTTGAAATGTTGAATCGGACCCTCGGCGCCCGTGTTCCCCAGCCCCATGCTGCACGAGTCAATTCCTGCATAATACGCTGGACAGCATCAAAAGACATTGCTCCACAAGCCTGAGCCTCCAGGTGTTTGAATAAGTCCGCCAAATTCACAAAATTTTTATGACACCGACCATTTCTGTTTGGACAACGGTAAAATCTGGGACCGTGGGCTTCGGGATTTCCCGTAGGGGTCCGCAGGTGCGATTCGAGCTCTTGGTGCGTCTGAAAGGTTCGATGACACGCGAAGCATTCGTGGTGGTCACCATTCTCGGTGCTTTTGGACACAGACTCGCTCCATAGAAATGATTTGGTCTGAGCGTTGGTCATAACTCCGAGAGTATCGCAGTTTCGAATGAGCCAGACAATGGTGTGGTGGTCAAGGCCTGGCGCATTGGCACATCTTGCGTTTTCAAAGTGGGCTACCAGAACACTCGCTTTGTTGAAAGATTTCCCGCAGAATGGGCATAGGGTTTCGCACTCTCGATGAACACCGGAAGTCATATGCTGGGTGTCATGCAGGTTAGCCATCAACTGCAAAATTGTATCTTGAGACTCAAACTGACATTCTGGAGAGCATCCCTGTTTGGAAATCGCTCATGGCACCGTGCACAACGATTGCGGTAATGGTTGACTGCCCACATATGTCTTTCTGCGTCAACCGCACTGGGGAATGTCTTGGGGCATAGCTCACAAGGAAATGAATCCTGCTGCTCCATGCTGTGATGTGGATGTCTCGTTAGACTCAGGAGGTGTGTGCTGGCTGTCACTGTGGGTTGCTATCTCGATTAATCTAGGCTTAGGATATTCGAGTGAGTTTGATGGTTGATCTTGGAGAAGAGGAGAAGATGGTGGGAATAACAAGTGAACATCCGGTGGAAGCGGTGCAATCACAAGTCTGTAGAATATCGTACGCCATGATTCTCCTCCACCCCGGCAACTTCCTCTTATATGTCAGATTATATAAGCCAGTGTTAGCTTGTCGATCATCTTGGCCAAGTCGAGGATTATACCGTAAACAGCCTTGTTTGCCGTGATAGACTGTCTATACTAAGGTTCAATTGTTCAGCCAATCAGAATTGATGTTGGAAGGAAAGTGGGCCGTCCCCGTCTAGGCGGTGAAGATTCTGCCATGTCCCCGTATGTCTTCTCTTTCCTCTCAGAGTCCACCTGCATTCTCTGGATTTTCCATCCATGTTTCATCAGTATGAATTCGTGGGGGCCCATGGAGACTCACCCTCCAACTGCATGGCCTGTTGAAAGACTGGAGGAGTCTTTCGGACAAAATGATGGCAGGGCTCTCCCGTCTGCTGCGACAACTACGGCTGACCCCGTCTTATCAACGATCTCGCTCAACGCCCCCACAGTATCACTGCATGGAAGTTCTTCGACATTGATGAAATACCAGGACTCTGAATCTGGCATTCCAACGGCCAGCTCTTCAGATAATATGTCAAAGTCTGCTTTGTCTTCTTCTGTTTCAATGAGTACTCCATCGGCAAATGACCACAATGATGCAGAAGTGGTCCAGTCTAACGGATCCGATGGTTACAATATGTACCTTCCTGTTGGGGTCATATGGAGGAATTTAGATCCTGAAGTGCAATACCCAGAAGTCGAAATTGCATTGTTAGAAACCCATCGCTGGGTCCGAACGGAGGCACCAAGTGGCGGCAATAATGTTCGGGTGTATGTTGACCACAGCGTGACCAGCCGCAGCAACACTCAGCGTTCGATAACGAAGTTGCGGACAGCTTTAAAAGCTGTGATGGCCAAAATTGACAATTCTCCTCATGCATGGTACGGCTATTGTGTCGATAACCCCCTGGATAGCAGCAAGCCAAACAGGGCCGAAGATGAGTCCCTGTGGTACATCTTCAACACTTTGCAGGACCCATGTCCTCAAGTGGAAAAGATGAATGATTTTTGGTCAAGACTAGCAATGGAGGAATTGCTCTCCGAAGAGCACTTTGCCGACTTGCGTCTTAAGACCAAATTGTACCCATATCAGCGGCGCTCGGCTGCCACCATGATTCAGCGAGAGGCGCAACCAGAGCGGATGCTAGATCCACGGTTACTAGCGTGCAAAGGTCCGACGGGACGTGAGTATTACTACGACAAAGAGGACGCATACATTACACTGGACAAAGTGCTTTACTCCGAGGCATGTGGTGGTAAGTATCTTCCTGAATTGCGACTACAGCTCGGATATTGTCACTAACAATAGAAAATAGGTATCCTTGCAGAGACCATGGGCTGTGGGAAAACCCTTATCTGTCTTGCGGTCATATGTGCCACCCTGGGTCATGCTCCCAAGATCCCAATTGAGTACATTTCGACCTCGGAAAAGGGAGATCTGGTTCCGATAAGAGAGAAAACCGGATCTCTTCTGAATATGGCAGCCGCTGCTGCAGAACGACACTCGCAGCCGTGGAGGACCTTCTTTCGGAAGCTTCGTCAACATGAGAACCGGCACTATGAGCGGTGCCTGAGGGCATGTGAAGCTCACCGAGGGTCGTACGAAATTCCTCCGCATCAGACCAGATATCAAGGAAGACACAGCCAGTCATACGCTAGGCCTCCAGCTAAACGCGTCCGTCTCTGCTCCGGAACTATTGTCATTGTCCCAAACAACTTGCTAGATCACTGGCAACGCGAGATCAAGACACATACTGAAGGGTTAAACGTCTTGGTCATGGGGCAAGGATCAGGTCAGACTCCGCTAGCGGATGAGCTGCTACGTTACGATATAATCCTGTTTGCCAAGACACGGTTCGAGCGTGAAGCTGGCGAGCCGGTCAATAATCGGCGCGATAGATTCGTGCAGGTTAAATCGCCATTGACGGAACTTCACTGGCTGCGAGTTATTGTCGATGAAGGTCACAACGTTGCTGGTCATGGCTCAAAAACAAATATGATTCACTTGCTCAGCCAGCTGCATTTCGAGCGTCGGTGGGTCATTTCTGGAACGCCGTCAACGGGACTTTACGGTGTTGAGGTCAGTCTCGCATTAAGAGAAGCAAATACTAGTGATACCGAGTCTCCCACGGAGAACACTGCTGCTGCTCTGCGAAGTCGAAAGAAGACGGGCAATGCGGTGGAGAATGAGTTGAAGGATCTAGACAAGCTGCGCCGAATCGTGATTGATTTTCTGGATTTAAAGCCGTGGTCAAATTCCCGTGCGGATGACGCTGCAGATTGGACCAAATACATCAAGCCAATCGGGGAAGATGGTCAGCGTCGTAAGACTCCGGCAATTCGAGCAACTTTGCAAGGGCTGGTGGTGCGACACCAATTGGATGTTGTCAACAGGGAGATTTACATTCCAAAGCTGCACAATACAGTCGTCTATCTTCCACCGACTTTCCACGACAGTCTCTCCATCAATCTGTTCCTTTTCGGTCTCGCGGTCAATTCAATTACTTCCGAACGCCAGGGGCCCGATTACATGTTCGCTCCAAGTAATCGGAAGCATCTAAACCAGACCATCAATAACTTGCGACAAGCAGGGTTTTGGTGGGCTGGCTCCGATGTCAACCCACAAGATTCTATTGACCATGCTATGAAATACATGGAGAAGAATCGTGAGAAGATGACAGTCGAAGACGTTGAAACCCTGACCCGCGGAATAGAGATCGCGCGCATAGCGATAAACTCTAGCAGCTGGCGCGAGTTCAAACATCTCCATGAACTTGGTGTTTTCCTCCGGGACTTCCCTGAAGACCATCGTGCACACTGGGCGCTCGATCAAAGTAGTTCAGACAAAGAGCCTATGCTCATCGGCATTACGCAAGCTTGCCGAGCCCAGCAATATGTGACGCAGCATCTCAAAGCTTCTGATCCTACGCAAGGTCTGGCCGGTGCTGGCATCAAAACTCGCCACGAACTTGAGCGTCGCGACCAACGAAACCCTCCAAAAGGCGCACCAGAATCAGCAACTCCTACTACTCCAGGCTCGTTATACCATTCAACAAAGCCACAGACCAACAAGTCACCAAAGAAGACATTCACGCGCAACCTCTTCCGCACGCTCCCAACAACTTCCCCTCTCCAGAAAACTCGATTCGTCGCTACCGCCTCGGCCAAACTGACCTACCTACTCAATAAAGTACTTGAGTTCCAGTCCACCGAGAAAATAATCATCTTTTACGACAACAACAACTCCGCCTTCTGGATCGCTGAAGGTCTGGAACTTCTCGGTGTCGAATTTCGCATCTATGCCAGCACCCTGAAACCCGAGTTGCGAACGGAGTACCTCAAGCTTTTCCGCGAGGCCGATGACGTACGGGTCCTGCTCATGGATCTTCGACAAGCCTCGCACGGGTTACACATTGCCCAAGCGTCGCGAATCTTCATCGTCAATCCAATCTGGCAACCAAACGTCGAAAGTCAGGCGATCAAGCGTGCGCATCGCATTGGCCAGACTAGACCGGTGTACGTGGAGACCCTGGTCTTAAAGGACACGTTAGAGGACCGCATGTTGAAGCGGCGAAAGGAAATGTCCGAAGCAGAAATACAGCATGCGGAGAAGAGTCTTCTAGATGATGGAACTATGAGTGGAATTGTGCAAAGGGAGCCATTTTTGGACATGTACTCGGAAGAAGATACGGCTGCCGCATACTTGGAGAACCCGACGGGATTCTTTGATCGGCATCGGCTGCCAATACCTGATGGTGAGGATGTAGTCATGGCTAGTCCGACGAAGGACAAGGGCAAGCGTGTCTCTCGTGGGAAAGAGTCTGATGCGGATGATGATACGGCAGTGGAAGAGCATGCAATGCCCATGCGCAAGAAACCGCGTGTTGGCTTTGCTTCTGGAGTCGGGGGTTCAGGCGGAGACAACGAAAATGTACCTCAGAGCGAGGTGAGAACAGAGCGTTCTCTTTTCGGCGAACCAAGCTCTACCTCGAATACCGCCGGCACACCCGCTCCCAAAAAGGCACGCATTGGCTTCGCTGCCAATCTGGACGTCTTTGACGATGACGAGAGCTCAGAGCCAAGTACCCCTTCAGCTATATCAAGCTCTCAGCCACAATTGACCTACAATGAAGAAGACCTGCGACAGTTGCAGGTCTCGCTGTTTGACTGATGAACGATTAACGATAGCATGGCGTTGGTTAGGATATGACATGGTGTATCTCTTGTACAATACCCGCAATTATACACTATTTGGAATAGAAACTCATGATACAACTTTCCAAATATTCATTCATCCCAAAAATACATTGAAAGTCCGTCAAAACCCCCATCCCTTCCAAGCAACCACCCCCAAAATCAGACCACCTAGCGAATGACCAAGCCATTTCCCACGCCATCCACCAAATTCATGACCCCCGTACCTAAAAGTAGTATACGCATCTACTTGCGCCGCGACCTAGACATTCAAGCACAACATTAGTACACTCCCAAATACAGCATAAAACACACCAGTCTAGTCCTCTGAGGTCAAGAAAAGATATATATATATACATACCACAGTCCCAACAACCAACCCCCAAACCCCGGTCCGATTCCCCTTCAAACCAAGCAAAATATAAGCAACACCCAGCGCCAGATCCCGCCCCGCAATGGAATAAATAAACGGAGAAGGCTGCTCTGACGGTGCCAGCGGGAGCCCGAATAGTTTGTACGCGGGCTGTGGGGCCACGAGGCGGAGTATGCCTAGGCCGAGGAGGGATGTTCCTAGGAAAGCCGATGTTGGTGGGAGGGGGAATGTCATTGTGGGGGGACTGTGTTGTTGGATAGATTTGGGCTGGATGGAGGAGGGTGAGGGCGGTTGGATAGTGATTCAACAGGTGATGTTGTGTCGAAAGGTAGGGGTTAGATACTTTTATGCTTACGTGTTGCTGTCCGGCTACGGCTTAGGTCTCTGGGAATTGGAATACGAGCAGATCGAGATAGAGGTAACAGTCGTAAGAACATTTTAAGAAATTCTGTGGCCCTGCGCTTGCACCGTCTGGAATGTTAGGGATGAGGTATGAAATTCAGGGTAGATCTTCCGTGATGTGGTATTAGAATCAACATAAAGAATCCATGTTCTATGTCTGCGGATTCTCCACAGTGCCATGGACTACCCAACTATATCAAGTTCAACTTCAACAAGAAACAAACAAAGAACCACCATGCAATAGATCTAACCAAATCAACTCAGCCCAAAACAAATCAAGAATCCCTCCAACCACCATCACCATCACCCATATACATCCACCAACCCACCATCCCAACCATCCATCCCAACCAACTCTTCTACCCGCCACTCACTGCGTCAAATAATCCTCAATCTCAAACCCCATCCTCCTAAGCACCTTCTCCTCAAACCCACCAGCACCAGCACCAGCACAACCAACCCCCTTCCTCAAAACCACCGTCCTCGCATCAGCAAGTCTAATCTCCACACCCCCACCCCTCTCAACCTCCTCCCTCGCACATTCCCGCACATGAACCGTGATATCAGGCCCCACACACGCACGCCACAGACTCGCCATCCACTGCCAGTGGTCCAGCGGTGCGTAGGAGTCATTTATCGGCACGCTGCAGGCAAATGTATCCGCCGTCGTGAGTTGGTAGCGTGGTACGAGGGCGATGGGGGTTGGTGTAGGGGGCGTTGGCGCGGGTGTGTGTCCGCGGGCGAGGGTGGAGGCTGTTGTGCTGGGGATTGCGATGGAGGTTTCTGAGTCTGTGGAGGTTGATTCGGGGGAGTGGATTTGGAGGGAGGCTGTTTTGGGGATGATTGTTTCTGGGGAGGAGGGGGCTTCTGGGGTTGTGCGGGTTTGGTTTTGGTCGGGTGTAGTTGTAGTTGTGGTGGCCATGTTTGCGTCTGCGTTGGTGTTCGTTGGTGTTTCTGTTCCGGGGGATGGAGGTGATACAGACTTGACGAAGCTGATGATATCGTCTGAGATGCGGTGCCAGGCGGAGATGGTATTCAAGTAATCCACCGTGGCATCACCCCTAGGTCCGCCCGCATCAGCAGACCGAGGTGCTTGCACATCCGGACCCTCGAAGACACGCACGCTGAACTTATCTTCCTTCTGCAGCTGGCTTTGCAGGTACTCTACCGCAGTACGGACGAGTTCTGGGTCTTGGCCGTCAACGGCGATGACGGGTCCGCGGGCTGAACTGTCGCGGAATGACGGGACGAGAGGAGGAGAGATTTTGGCGAGGAGCTTGATTTTGTTCAGGAATGGGATTGTCATAACGGCAGTTTCGACGCTGGACTCGGCCGTTGAGAAGGGCGTGAGTGGTGTGGAGGGGATGGCGGTTTGCAAAGGTGGGAGTTTCAAGCTTGGATCTAGGACTGGTTGGGTCTGGATTTGAGGCTGAGGCTGAGGCTGGCCTGGTACGCCTCCGTATGCTCGTTGGGAGTGCACCATGGGCAGCATACTGCGGGATTGATGGACACTAGCGGTTGCGCTGTACGGAGTCAACGGGTATGGCGAATCGGGACTGCGGTCTCGATGGGCGTGCATGGGTGGTTTCAGAGAAGTATGCGAAAGACGACGCCGCTTTATCTCGGGAGACATCACGTCGTCTTCTTCCATCCTTCTTTGTCGAGGCCGCTCAATCCGATCGATACGGATAGGTTTAGGGACTCTATCAGACTTGTCGCGGCACTGGGAGCTACTGGCGGTCATCACAGTGGTAGTGACCATATGCGTACGGGATGATGGACCTGAAAGACTCCCGCGGTGACCTTGGCTTACCATCGGTGTGAATGGAGTCATCGGGGACGAAGGGGCATTCATGAGACGGCCACCACATCGATTGCAGGTGGATCTGCCAGAGGGATTGTGACTGATGCCTGAGCCAGCGTTGCGAGAGGAACCATCGCGGCCGACTCGTCTTGGTTGATAGCGGTATGCAGGGTACTGCTGAGCATGGCGGATTTTCTCTTCCTAAAAGATCAATCAGTATGAAAACGGGGGATTAAAAATATTTGCATCGAAGGCTTACCTCCGCCAGAGCTTTCCATTTATTCTTTTCCTCATCCGAAAGATGCCTCCACTGTTCTCCAATGATCTTGGAAATCTCCGGATTGGCCATGCCAGGATTATTCAGTACCACAACTGCCTGGTGGTGCTGACGATACAGAATAAAAGCTGACAAGAACAAGTTAGCCAATGTCACATTTGAACCAGCTATATCCACATTTCTATACAAGGCCGATACTTCAGCTGCAGTATCATATCAAGTGCGCCAAAAGCACCAGCCTCAAAAACAAAAAGGAATTGTCCAGCTCAGACAACGATATCTCGGACATCAAACTCACCATTACGAGGCCTGGGAATCTTCGGGTCTGGCTGACACAAACAAAACTGCACACCCTCACTCTTCACCGACTTGGTCGGGCTCGAATTCCCAGAACACGAAGTACTCCGATCTCTCCCCAGATCCTTCGTCGAGATCATCGGGCCCGGTTTCGCATGTTGCTGCACCACCGGCGAAAGACCAGGATCCTTATTCATGGAACCTCTTCCATACGACGCCAAATGCTGATGAGTCTGGGCAACGCCGTTGGGCCGCATATCGGAAGTATATCGTGCATTGTCAGCGGTGGCAGGTACAGGTGCTGGGCGATGTGGCAGAGCCGTGTAGGACTTTTGCCGGTGGTCCTTCATTATTTTGTGGTCAAGGAGATCGCTAGGTCTGGCCAGTGTAGATACTGGGGCAGACTCATAGCGTAGAGAGGCCGGGTTGGGGAGGACTCGGTCGTAAGACATTTATCTATACGGCCGTGGGGCGGGCAGCGCGACGAAATAGGAAAAAGAGACCCAAAAAAGGGAAAACAAGTACAAGGTCGAGGGCAAGAGGATCAAAGGAAGAAAGGTAGGGGTGTGCGATAAGGGTATTGGACCACACAAGGGGAGGGGTGGAAAAGAAAGAAGTCGAAGAAAGAAAGGAAAGTTGATGGTTTGGTATAGTTTGGAGGCGAAGCCTGGGGCCAAGGAGGCAAAAGAAAAGGGAAGCACAAGAAGACTGGTTACCAGTCAACTTCATGGAAGAGGCGAGAGGAAGATGAAAGGAAAAGGATAAATAAAAGCAATGGAGACAGACTAGGGGGAGCTAAAGGGTTATTGAATTGAAACAGGAAATAAGAATGAGGAGAGGTAGATGAATGAAAGACCGGGGAGACAAAGGAAGGTCGATCTATAGAAACAGCAGCGGATGATAGGTGGAGGGAGGAAAACAGGCGAGATCAAAAACGAGAAAAAAAAAAAGGGAAAAAAGAAAAAGAAAAAAAGGGATCCAGATCAAAAAAGATCCAAAAGATCAGAGCCCGCTAAGGGGGAAAAGAAGAAGAAGAAACGTGTACGGGGGGAGTCCGGCTGATGCTGCCAAAGACAAAGAAGCGCAGCCCAGCGCCTAATTTTGCGAGGGTTTCTTTGTTTGACGTGCAGCGTTGGGCGTGGGTGGAGTCGGAACAATCCCTGTCAGGTTCACTCGTGTCATTGACAGATTAGGTTGGGAAGGTTGAAAAAAGTACCAAACGATGGAGGAGATTGGCCCGGTTATTTGGACTATACATTCAACTATGGAGTCGTACTGGATTGGGATCGGGGGTCCAAGGGAGTGTAGTATACTGTATACTACTTACTACATCAGCTACTACTACAATACCAGCCACAAGGGGACTCTGTAGCCACTAGCCACTAGCCAGCGCATCATCGAACAGGCAAACGACCAAGAAGAATCATTGTTGTCTTTGTCACCATGTCCGCATGCGGCGAACGACACCGCGAGCTGCGGGAAGCCTGATTGGTCAGGCAGAGACAAGACCCCCTAGCCTCGTCGGTTCCCCAGCAAATGTCGAAACAAAGGAAAGACATGCTTAGACACGCTAGACATGCTAGAAAAAAAGAATGGAGATTACCCAGCCTCAGCATCAGCATCGTGGATAAAAGGCAAACCAATTAAATTACAAAGTATGTCAGCAGTCTCGACTCACGATACAAACATGCTGTTGTTGCTGCTGCTGCCACCCAAAAAAAAAAAAAAAAAAAAAGGAATAGTATGGTGTTCCCTTTTTTTGAGGAACTCCTGGTCAAAGGAAGACAGAAGCCACGCAAATAGGATCGGGTACCCGCCGTGCAGCGAACCTCATGGCCTGGTTGAGGTTCAGATCGAAAAAAAAAGACGAGAGAAAAAAGTCCCACCCCTGGACCTAGACAGTGGACACTGGTCACTGACAGACAGCTCTCCATCAATCATCAAGCAAGCAAACAAGCTCTTTTACTCTTTCATGTCCATGATCCATCAATCCCCTTGATCCATTCCTACTGTACTGGCTTCTCCACTCTGTCACAACCCGCATCGGAGATGATCTCATCTCCCGCCGATCATCGCTCCACCGTTGCAACGATCGGAAGGACCACCAGGAACAATACCACCCAGCAAGAACAAGAGAACCAATCCCATTACGAAGGTACCAGAAAGTATAGCATTGAGCCAAAGAAGGATGATGAAGTATTGATTTGGTTTGTCAGGGTCTCCTTTTTTCCCTTTTTTTTTTTTTTTTTTTTTTTTTTTTTCTCTCTCTCTTCTCGTTTCGTCATTGGAGATGGACTTCTGTCTTTCCATGGGTTTGAGGTTAAACAGGAGCCCCCTCGTACTACCTTATCTGTTCGTCCCGACTGGCTGGAACCTCTCTATTCGTGTCGTATTGGGAATATGAGACCACGGCCATTGAGACAGGAGGACCTGTCTCTTGGGGAGTCGAGACCGAGGCCGAGATAGGAGGTGGGAAACAAGAAATCAGAGATCAGACACGAAGAATGAGAGACACGGGGATCGCTGTCCGGTTTCTCTCTCCTGACCCGGTCTATGCGGGTCTTGCTCGATTCTGTTTCTGATATCATCTTGCGGGCGAAGAGTCTTAGCCTTGAGTCCATGGGCATGGACATGGCCCTGGACATGAAGGCCCGTTTGGTGTCGACGCGGGAAGCGGCAACTCTCCCACTCCTCTCGCTTTCTACAGAGTTTTGCTGCAACGTGGGCTGGATCTTTTTGGTCTTTGCTCTTGGGTCTTTGATTCATGACAATGTCTAAGCTGCAAAGCCCCGTCGGCTGTGGCGCTTGGGCTCTGCGTCTGTCTTGGGCGCGAGCTCATCCGAGTTGGTCTTGCTGGTGGGCCTGGCCACTGGCTCCTTGGGATTCAAGAGGACCCCGTCAATCCCATGGTAGATCTCCGTCGCCATGAGACGGTGCGCACTAGGTCCCAGATGCATATCGTTCCTGGTGGTAGTAGTTTTTCTCCGGTCAGCGAGAAAAGGCATTTAAAAGCTGTGGATCCACGAGCGAGACAGTTGTCCCCCGACACGAGAGACCAGAAACAGCAAAAAGGAGGGGAAAAAGACTCACCAGAACAGATATTTCTCGGGGTGTTCACACTGTTTCCTCGCCTTGGACTTATCCTTTGACATCATGACCTGAATGCCACTCTCGCTCTCAACACAAGCATCCCCAACATTCTCCCACCCAGGATCCCGATTCGTCCCCAATCCATTCTCCTCCTCAATACCAGCCGCATACAACTGCCAGTCCCGAATCCGATCCATCACAAAAGCATTCGTATCGAACAAGTAAATCGTGCCCCGATCCCACTCCATCGCCGCCAGCCTTAGCTTCGTATTCCAAGAATCCAGGATCCGCACCGCATCCTTATACTCCTCACCACCCGTAGCCGTAAACCCAGGCAAAAAAGTCACATCAACCGTCTGCGTCAGGATCACCTTGAGCTTATCCGTCCCCGGGCCCCAACGCTCAGACAACCGGTTCAACTGCTGCATCAGCGTCGCAATCCGCCGCTCAACCGAGGGCTCCGCCTCATCATAACTATTCGTCGCAAGGCTCCAAATGTCCCAGACACCAAAGGAGACGACGAAAATCGTACAATCCTGGCGCGAACGAATCTGCTCCTCGGAAAGACCCACCAACGAGGCCGACTCCGCGTCCAGCCATTGCTTCAGCTGGGTCTTGAAATCAGCCAACTTCGTCTGAGACAGACGGCCGAATAAATCGAGCTCGGCATTATCCACCACCGAGCCAGCATATTTACCCCTGAGGGCGGACTTGGCTGTCTGCGCAAGATTCTCCTGGTGACATGAGAACTAAACCGTAGAGAAGGAACGCATTAGTAAAAAGGTCTTCTCTGCTCAATTTCCCAAACCCCAACCCCAAATCCAGACTCGCCGGTCCAACCAGAAGATAAACGGGCAATTCTTACCATCCCACAAAGCCAATCCGTCCATACCCTCCCCTGCTCCTCATCCGTCTCATTATCACTCCACGAATCCCCAAACACCACCAATCGCTGATCAAACGAAGATGCCGTGCGGAACTGCTCCGCCGCTAGAGGCACAATGTCGCCGAGATTGCGCGAGGTCAGAAACCAAGCCGAGTATAGGATTGTGCATGCCGCTATGGCGCATAGCGCGTAGAAGCGGTTAAATAGGCGTATCATGGTGTGAAGAGAGGAGAGAGAGAGTGCGTGTGTGTGTAGCTTATTGCAGCGGAGGTGGCGGTGGGGGGTGTTGCGATGCAGTGAGGGAGGAGTTGTGATTATGGGAGATGTAGACCCAATTATGGATAACTGGGTTTAGCGCATTCAGTCGTGCGATGATGGGGGGATTTTGTGTGGTGGTTTAATTTCAGTCGAGATGGTCGTTGAGGTCACCACTTTTGTAAGGCGGGAGCTTGAAATCTGCGCTGCGACTGCGATTGAGGGGGAAATGCAATTTTATCGTCGTTCAGCGGGGTGAACAGATTATAGCGACTAGCTATATATTCTCCATGTACCCAGTTGACAATCGAAAACACGAAAAGGAGAGACCAGTGAAGGTCTACGGGGGACGAAGGACGAGCGACGAAAGACTGAACCGGGCGAGCCGGAAAATCCCAGCGGGGACCCTTGGGCCAAGGATTGGCAATAAACCAAGAAATGGAGAAGTCAGGACTCGGAAATCGGAAATCGGGGGCCCAAGGAGTTGAAAGAGGGTCACGTCCGTGAAAAGTGGGTGAACCACTGTAATCAGGTGGGAAGTACTCTACTCTGTATTCCGTTCAAACTAAAAAAATCCAACCAGTCGGGCTGAGGATGCGATGGAGGACTGTGTCGGTGATTAGGGGGTTTTTGGTTTCGATGTAGGCGCTGGACATTGAGTCTTATACGAGGGATTGCATAAACAGAAGAGGCGAAGAAGAGAGTAATCTTACAGGATACTACTATTCTACTAGTCGACTGGAGTAGTAGTGTAAGGATTTAATCCTTTCCAGGCCGCGTGGCCAGCGGGGCCCGCTTAACGTGGAAAGGTATCGCGTGTCCTAACGAGATAATTCCACCATGGACGGAAAAAAAAGGAGTGCCAGTATAACTGATCTAAATGATGGGTTTCGGTTGAATAATTACTGCTGTTTAGCTACACATATTACCGTTGAAACCTGGATTGGCATTGATTGGCATGGTAGAAGAAACCGCTCTGCTCGTATCCCAGTTTTCTATCTCCGCCGCATACGAAGTGGATCCGCTGAAGGGGAAGAGATGAGGAGGGGTGAGGTATCAACCGAGTACTAGTTACTCCGTACAGTGTTGAGTGCAAGAATAATATACATTGTACATCATAAGATACCTCTCTCACTGCTCACACCCAGGTCATTTTCTACAAATCCGACTACTGTACTCAGTAGATACATATCCAATGATCTGTCGAATCCCCGTGGTCAAGCATTACGAGACCAGCGCCACCAGCGCCAGGAAAGGCCGCTGCTGCCACTGAACGCCAAAACGGAGAAAATGGCGCTGTCTCTGATCGCCATGGTTGGTTGGGGGAGGGGAAGTGCGGCAGGCGATCGGGGCGCTTGGTTCCTCTCCTGAAGCGGTAAGCTGTACGAGCGACGGGATGGCGGTGCCAAGACGATTTCTGCTGCGCTGGGAGTGGATTTGATCTGGTAATGTCTCATAGGGCAGACTGGTACATACTTTGTGTACCTTGTTTCAAGGAGGAGTATTGGGAGGGGGACGGGGTTATTACATGGTGATGGACAGGGGGGAGCGTGGGGTAAAGGCCACGAGTGCATTAGGATATTGAGGGGATTGGTTGGTCTTTTTTGATTACTTTCGAGGGCCTGAGTCCGAGTTAGATCGATCAGGGTTAGTGAGGTGGAAGTACATACAGTACCTCGGTGGAGATATCAGCTCTTCAGCTCGGGTAAATGACAGGATCAGCTCGGGTACATGCTCTTTATTCATGTGGCTAGTACGAGGTCCTCTTCGCTGGAGATCGAGGAACTATAGCATCTGCGTTTTATAGTGCCTGAGAAGCTCATCTGCAGATATAACATCAGGAACGACTCACGACTACACTGTTCTGAGGTATGTTTCTACATTGTGACGGCGCCCGTACATTATCCAAGCCAGGTAAGGAGTTATTGTAGATCCAGGGACAACTAATACAATCGATATCGCACGTTTTCAAATTGTCTATTTTTACCAAACCCCGACTGTTATAACAGGGTAGTAGAACTCGATTCTGTCCTGTCATGGGTGAAACTTCACACGGGACGGGATGCCATCAACAGATTTCAGGCCTGAGGCACTCAACCTGGGATGGAGAACACACACGTGATGCCCGCATCAGGTGACCCAGGCTGTCCTCAAGTCACATGATGGGGTTAGCGACGCTGACTAACCAGTCATCCCAACTCGGTTAGTGCCCGCTGAGTCAGCCACGCACACACTCGCTACACCAACCCTCAGCAATCCGAAAAATCCACACAGCCGAACCCTTCAACCTCACCTGTCGACAATCCCGCGCTACCGTCTTGACCGCGCAACCTCCGTCAAGATGAAGCTCAACATCTCCTACCCGGCCAATGGGTCGCAAAAGATTATCGAGATCGACGATGAGCGCAAGCTCCGTCCCTTCATGGAGAAGCGCATGGGCACCGAAGTCAGCATCCCCCGTCTCCCCCGAATTCAAGCATACACACACAATTTGCATCTCCGAAATTCTCCCTCGACGTCTCCTACCTGCACACACATCTACAAAATCATACACGAAATATACAATTGCGAAGAACGAATGGGCTGATTGGGTTTTTTTCTCTTTCCATTAGGTTGTCGGCGACTCCCTCGGCGATGAGTTCAAGGGTTACCTGTTCAAGATCACCGGTGGTAACGACAAGCAGGGTACGACATTCCCCCATCTCCCAGATAAATGATACCATGGATGGTTCAGAAAATGAATGGAACATTATGGCTGACTGGATTTCGATATACAGGTTTCCCCATGAAGCAGGGTGGTACGTTTTGAACCGACTGGTTTTCTGGCCTCCAAAAAAAATACACCAGAAAACCCCCTTCACGACACGAACGCATCATACTCATCCAATTTCTAGTCCTCCTCCCCATCCGTACCCGTCTGCTCCTCGCCGACGGCCACAGCTGCTACCGCCCTCGCCGCACTGGTGAGCGCAAGCGCAAGTCCATCCGTGGTGGTATGTCTGCCCTCAAAAAGTCCCCGCACAAAACGAATCAACAACATTGACACTCCTTTTCCTTTCCAGCCATCACCGGTCTGGACCTCTCCGTCCTCGCTCTGTCCATCGTCAAGCAGGGTGAGAACGACCTCCCCGGTCTGACCGACACCGTTGTCCCCAAGCGTCTCGGCCCCAAGCGTGCCACCAAGATCCGCCGCTTCTTCGCCCTGACCAAGGACGATGATGTCCGCAAGTTCGTTGTCCGCCGTACTGTCGCCAAGGAGGGCAAGCCCGAGTACACCAAGGCCCCCAAGATCCAGCGTCTGGTTACTCCCCAGCGCCTGCAGCGCAAGCGCCACCAGGTCGCCATCAAGCGCCGCCGTGCTGAGGCTGCCCGTGAGGCTGCGTAAGTCATACTAATCTCACCGTACAAAACCCTTCTGGTGCAGGCTCTAATATCTTCACAGTAACGACTACGCCAAGCTCCTGGCCAACCGTGTCCACGAGGAGAAGGCCAAGCGTGATGAGCTCCGCAAGCGTCGCGCCTCTTCCATGCGGAAGTAAATCTCGCCCACAGTGTCATGATTCATTTCTGTGGGACGGGGTTTAATGGAATAGGGGGGATGAGCGAGAGTGAGCTTCACGTTTTCTGGGCCAATGATTTATTTTCGGGATTTCTCCTTCCTCAACCGGGAAGGAGGGGGGTAATATCATTTTTCCCAGCAGACGGGCGGAAATATGTCTGATTCAAAACGCGAAAAAAGGGAGTTGGGCAAGGCTCACGACAAAAAAGAGAAAAAAGACAGGAGGGGGGTTTTGGTGGACCACCCCTTTCACTGCCCTGGGTGTGCTGGTGATTTCGGGCACTCGGGGGTGATGCATTCTGTGTTGAACCTACCTTTTGACAAACCCTTTTTTCAATGGAGTGCATGCAAATTTCATTGTTTCTTAAACTTTTTTCATCCCTGGCGTAGTGTAGACCCTGATCAAATGGCGAAATGGTTGGCATTAGTTGTTTCGGGTTTCCAACTAGAAGTCGACGGTCTACGTCTGTTACAAGAATTTGGCTATAGTAGAGTAGAGGCCTTGAGTATGCATGCCTGCATAGGCCGCTTTACTCTTCTGCTCCAAGCTCTTGCTCTAAACTTTACAAGTTTATTCAAGGCCTATGTGGGGTGTCACTTCTCCGGGGCTATCTGATCAGCCCTTGCTCACGTGCCCATACAAGTCCTTGACCAGGCCATCCAGAACGGTTCTTCCGCCTTGACCTATTTACAGTATAAATAGCGCAAGAAAATAGAGAGTGCAGCTAGGTATATCCTCACTTCAATATCGACCCACCTAGGAGGATAGTATCCTCTAAAGTCCAAAGTCCCTGACCACATTTAGCAGCGCCCAATCCGGGAGACCCCATTCCCGCTGAAGGAGGCATGGAAACTGGATTGAAAGACGTACCAGATCCAGATCCAGATCTAATCTAGACCATAGGTACAAACCCCTAGACCAAACTTCCATGGATGATTTATTCAGGAAATATCTCGGGATGAAAAGTCAATATCAACCAAGTCACTGTCTCAATATACGAAAAACTGTGGATTCCAATATCGACCGAGGACGTGAAACAGGTCTGGAGTGAGTCATGGTAATCGTATAACTAAGTCTCGAGACATGTCTAATCATTAGCATGCAAGTACCAGAACAAGACACTGAGAAATCCACAAGACACGATGAACCCAGAAATGCCAGTATTCTAGCAATGAGAGAGAGAGATAAATAGACGTGGGTTCACAAAATCCATTTTTCTATGGAACACCTACAGCAGCAAGCCAATCCAACATAAAAATACACCAGTCGCAAATCACAAAAGGAACAAAAAGCAACTCAATGGCCATCGAGGCTTGTGATAATCTAAATGAACAGGAGAACACAGCACCAGCAACAACACTGGCGCGGCAATTCAATAAAAGCAGGAAACAAATTCAGATATGCAGAATGCAATTCAGCCCTGAGGTAGGACAAGGCTTTGAAGGTCAAGTACCGAGTCAACTTGCTATAGTCACAGCGAGGTAACTTGATTTTTCAAAGGAAAATAGCGGCCAGTCAAGCAAATAGAAAGAAATCAAATCCCAGCAACGCATCCTCGTTCGGCAATGTAAAGGAGAGAAAGAAAATGGTCATAACAATCGTATTTTGTTTTCTCCAGCGCACACCCTTCGCTTTGTTCGCATTGAACCAAAGATACACATACACGCATGAAAAAGACACCCCTCGGTCACTGGGGGGTCAAGGGGGCGGGGGGTATAGGTAGCGGGTAATTCGTATAGTAAATGGGTAATAGAGGAGGAAGGACATTTACGCAACAGCGTGAGAGAAGAGGAAGCTGACAGACTCGCCGTTGTGTGTGCGGCGGCAGGCTTCGGCCAGTGTGGGTGAGATATCAATAGTCTCGATCTTGTCGCACAGCTCCTTCTTCTCGGCGTGGGGAACGGTGTTGGTAACCACCAGACGGTTCAGACGGCTACCGTTCAGGTTCTCAATGGCCTTGCCGGACAAGATACCGTGAACAACGATGGCGTTGACTTCCTTGGCGCCGTGCTGCATAACGGTGTCGGCAGCCTTGACAAGGGTACCGCAGGTATCGGCCATGTCGTCGACAATGATAGCGATCTTGTCCTTGACATTACCGACGAGGACCATGCGGGAGACCTCGTTGGGGCGGGCACGCTCCTTGTGGATCAGGGCAAACTGCAGATCAAGACGATCGGCGATGGCGGTGGCACTAGCAAAAGATAGACGTTAGATCAAGCACGCCCTATAGTTTAGACTGGAGAGATGGAGAAATATGCTTACCGCTTGGCACCACCGGCATCAGGACTGACAATAACGCAGTTTCTCACGTCAAGGTTCTCGCGGATCCACTTCAACATACTAGGCTCGGCATACAGGTTGTCCACGGGGACATTGAAGAAGCCCTGGATCTGGCTAGCATGCAGATCCATAGTAATGACGTGGTTGCAGCCAGCAGTCTGGAGCATATTGGCCATGAGCTTGGCAGTGATGGGCGCACGGCTCTTATCCTTCTTGTCCTGACGGGCGTAAGGGAAGTTGGGGATGACGGCAGTAATGCGGCGGGCCGAAGCGGTCTTGCAGGCGTTGATCATGATGAGGAGCTCCATGAGACCGTCGTTGATGTCATTAGGCCGTGTTGATTGCAGAATGAACACTGCACAAATCAAGGAGAACCATCAGCACTAGCTCAATCACCTTGGATCCTTGTGCTTTACACGGTCGGATCCGAGAGAGGGGAGTCAGAGAGTTAGCGTACCATCTTCGTCTCGGACACTTTCACCGATTGTGACGCTAGTCTCCTGGTTGGAGTACTGAAGGACCATGATCTTGGTCATCTCAATGCCGAGGCTGGAATCATCTCAATTAGCCTTTAGATCGCACGATCGACTTCCGGAGCGAGAGAAATTGCGGCGGGCCCCGGGGGATCGAGCAAAGGCGTATAAAAGAGGAAGAGAACTCACCGGTCAGCCACGAGCTGGGACAGCTCAGGGTGACTGTTGCCAGTCAACAGCTTGATCGAGTTAGACGAAGACATGATGTGTGCGGAACGAGAGGGATTCTCGCAGGACTAAACGGTTGTCAAGCCGGAGCTTTTTTAAAAAATCGATCCCGCACCTGCCACTTTGGGCCCCGCATTTTTTTCGCGTCCCGTGACTACTCACCGCCTGCGGCACGAATGGACCGAATGCGGCATTTCGATGGGCTGAGGTAGTCAGTCGTGTATACCTCCCTCGGTACTCTTGCTAGTAGAAACCATGCGAACAACTCGAACAGAAAAACTAAGATGGATATTCCCGTTAAAGCATGCAGCAATCTAAAGTAAGTACAAAATTAAGAAAAAAAGACTCAAGCAACCAGTTGACCTGTACTTCAACCGGAGGCTCAGAGCCACAGTTTTCATGAACCCTCGTCTCGTTTCGTTCTTCCCCGCCACTTCCTCCACTAAGATTCCCAGAGAAAACGCCATCCAATGCTTGCGCATAAATTAAGCATGTAGAGGTAGTCCCGTCTATGCGAAACCGAAGTACTCGCTACCAGCCGTCACCGCGGTGTAGAGGCGTTGGCGGAGATCTTCATAGCTTTCATATTCAGGAAGATCGAGCTCTGTAAAAGACAGTTAGTATAATTGTTGACCAGTGATTCAAAGAATCGAACTCACGGTTGAAGCATGTGTGTGCGCTAGGAAGGCGATCTTTGTTGCCATAGTCGCGATGGATGTTGAACTTGCTCACACCATTCATACCCTCAAGCTCCTTGAAGCCGTTGAGAGGGACCTTGGAGGTACCAGTGACGAACTGGAGCAGCTTGGCACGCTCTTCCTTGTCAAAGGAGCGAACAGCACGCCAGAACCACTGGATCTGCGACGAGGAGGCAGAGTAGTTGTGGTACTCGGTATTGTTCTTCCACTCGTCCACATCAATGTCAGGCAGACCGGAGATCAGAAGCTCTAATTCCTGCTCGTTGAAAATGGAAATCAGGTCTGGGGGAATGATCTCGTGGAAGCCCTTCAGGAAATTGTCTAGCTGCTCCCGCACAGACTCCACCAGCCGGTACTCGACCACACGCTGGATATACTCTTCCTTGTTCTCCTGGGTTACTGGAATGTTGCGACCATCGGGGATCAGGTCGATCACCTGCTTCTCGCCAAAGGCATCGGTCTCGATAGCGAAGGTCTCGGTGATGATGTCGGTAATATCATTCTCCAGCATCCAAAGAAGAGACTTGTAGTAGTCCAGATCAAGAGTCTCCATATCCTTGATAGACACAGTACGTCCAAGAATGCATTTGTAGACAGCACGAGAGAAGTGGCAATCCAGAACGCGACCCTCGTACAAGGCCTTGCCGATGATCCGTCCAATGAATTTGAAGAACATCAAATGCTCGGAATTGACACCACTGAGACGGTTGGGGTGGAACGTAGTCCGATCGGCAGCAACAGGGATGAAGAGTGCGTAGTTAGGGTTGAACATGCCACGAGCGAGGACCTGGAACCATTCACGGGTCACACCGCCGGCGTCCACACCTTCTTCTCCATGGAATCGTACGTTCAACTTGCCATACTTGAGCTCATCTGCACTCTTGAAGTACAGTGACTTGAAGGAGTCAAGGAAGACCTGGTCTCGGCGAACAGAGAGTTGAAGAGGAGCATGAGAGTGACGAGGCTCCGCACCGCGAGAGTGTACACGACGAGTGAAGTAATTGCGCTTGTTGTCAAACTCCAGAACCTTGGGGTTCTTCACGAGCAGGGAGAAAGTACCACTCATCAGCCTAGGGTTCTGGCGGACGAGCTCATTGAGTATCTTGCGGTGCTCCTCGGTGAACTTGAAGAAAAGGTTTTCCATGCTCACACCAGCATCGGCAGATGCACTGTTGACAGATAGTTCGCGACTACCACGAGAGAGTGGCTGGTCCTTGAGGGTGGTGTTCTTGCAGACAACCATCAATGCTTCGATCAACGGCAGGAGAATGGTAGCTACGTTCAGCATGTTCTCCTTCTGGCGAATAACAGTCAAGCAGTCGCTCAACTTGGTCCACAGGGGGCCGAAAGTAGCACTCTCATACAGTCTCTTAAGCACGTCCTCCTTGGGTGCGGCTTCGGGTTCTGGGACCTTGGACTTGTCGATGCGCGAAGGATCGAAGAGGTAGTCGAGAGCCGTGAGAATGCGGAGCAACTTAGCCTGGTCGGAGCTGGCGGGGGAGAACTTGGCCAGAGCCAGACCTTGCATATCAGTGCCAGTCTTAGCCTGGTGGATATGGGGAAGAAGTTCTCCAAGGTCGGCAAGAATGGTATCGCTAAGAGTCTGCGCTTGAGCAACCAGCTCCTCGCCGATGACATCCCGAGCTCCAGGGATGATCGACAGGTTGTTGATGGTAGACAGAGTGTCACGGAAGGTCTTTCCATTACATTCACGAGCCGCAAGAATATGCACAACCAGTCGGAAGTTGTGGTCTGGAACGACTGGAGGCTCAATAGATCGGCGCTTGCGCTTCTCCTCGGCAGGCTGCTCGTCGCCAGTCTTCTTATCATCTTTGTCCGCTTCGCCTTCGGCAGTGGTACCTTGATCCTCAGCATTCTCAACGGTTGGCAGAGGAGCGTCGGTCATGGTAGTATCAGTACCAGACTCGGCAGCAGCGGTTGATTGACCAGCCTCAGCTGGCGCGCCCTCTGGCTTCTTGCCCTTGTCTTGCCCGTCTTGCCCGTCTTGCTTCTCCTTTTCGCGGCGGAGGAGAACGGTGAGCGGCTGGGTAATGGTGCTCAATAGGTTAGACAGCTGCTCCATGCAGTTCGGGCTATCCATGATCAACTTGCGATCAAGAAGAGAAAGCAAAGCATTGAGGGCGAACTTGTTGGCGCGGTTCTCCTTGCCCTTGCCCTTGCGGAGAGCCTTCAGCTTAAGAGACGAAGCCGAATCATGCTCGGTCAAGAAGAACCAAGGAATATGGGGATTGAACTGGGAGAGGAAGGAAAGTGTTGCCAAGCATTGCTGCACCACCATGATCGGGGTAACCTCGCTGCTGATACTCGAAGATGGCTGCAGAGAGATGTTGCGCTTGACAGACTGGGGAGTCTTCTGAGCGTTAGGGGCCTTCGCACGGAGAGAGAGGTGCGAGAAACTTCGCTCGATAGCGGAAGAATCAACACTGCCATCTTGTAAGACGGACAGAATCAGGCTAATCACCTCGCTTCTGTTCTGGCGATTCTCACAAACGTTGTGAAGAATGTCGTTCAGCAAATGACGTGCGTTACCCTGTAGGGGCATGAACATCAGGCGAAGTAGAGTTGCAACACCGGCCTTGTCCAGCATTTGGACCACTGGACGTCTCTGGTTTTTCTTAGAATCCAGATCTCCAGCAGCTTCGCCTCTAGGGCGATGGTCCATTCCAGCTGCGGTGATGTCGCCGAATTGAGCAATGCGGCGGCCACCCAAAGCGCGAGCCTCGGACAGATATTCAGGACCCAAGGTTGCAAGTACATCCTCGGGCTGGTCCGCGAGAACAGCTTGGCGTAGAGAAGGGTCAAGGGTAGCGAGGAAACTAGCAGCATCCATCTCCTCGGCACGTGGCTGGGGACCACCAGAAGCAGCTGCCTGTCGACGAGCAGTCTCACGTTCTCGTCGGCGCCGATCAGCGGCTTCCTGCTGTAGCAACTCTTCGCGGATCTCTGCGGGCAAGGCTTCCAGGAACTCCTGGTTGATCTCGGTGGGTTCCTCGCCGGCGGCAGCAGCTTGAGATCGCTGCTCGGCAAGTTGCTGCATAATCACTTCCTCCCGCAGCTCCTCTGGTAGCGCCTCCAGGTACTCTGGGTCGATCTCCAGGCCGGTGATATCAAGCTGCCGACCTCGGATAGTAGTATAGACGCGTTGAACCGGTTCGGCAGGGGCAGCTTCAGGCTGAGCAGTAGTGGCTGCTTCAGCTGCCGCATCGGTCTGCTGGATGTCTTCCATAGGCTCAGCAACTCCCGCAGCCTGACGCTCTGTTTCTTGCTGTTCTCTCTCGGCCTGGCGGCGCGCATTCTCCTCTTCCTCTTTGCGCTTGCGTTCGCGCTCTTCTTCTTCACGAGCAGCCTGCTCCTTACGTTCTTTCTCAACCCGTTCCTGATCGGCACGCTTCCGGTCTTCTTCAAGTTGCTTCTTGCGCAGCTTCTCTTCCTCAATGGCAGGAGGGACCATGACTTTCAGCAACGAGTTGATAACTCGCATCGAGTTCTCCGAATAGGTACCGCTGAACAGAATGCGAGCTTCTTCCTGCCAACGGTTTCTAGTGGTCGACAAATTGAACTTGACAGCATTGTGGGGATCATTGCGGCGGGATTGCGATGTCTGTTGCTGGGCGTTGGCGAACAAGTCGTTGAGACGGTTAGGAAGAATTGTTCGTCGGTCAACGTGAACATGTATACCATCTGGGCGAGTAACAACACCCAATCCGGGGGCTTGTGGTCCTCCACCAATGGCAGCCATAATAGCGTTCATGAAGCTCATTGGGCTGTCCAATTGAACAAAACGACTACCGCCGCCCTCAAGTTGAGCCCAGTCAGTGAACATGTCAGTACCGGTCCCCCGCATAGCATGAGGGTCAGCAACTCCTCCGTTTCGGACAAGCAGAGGGTTAGTTCCATCATCGTTACCGCGAGAGGGCACCTGGTTTCTGTGAACCCGGTGGAATGGCTGAATTGGAACGAGGCCACCATGACGGCCGGGCATGATTTCAGTGACTGCAGCCCATGCAGAAGGGCCACCACGCATGCGATGGTGATGGTGTCGAGGTGGCGGGGCCTCATCACCCTCCCAGCCCCAAGGCTCAAGAAGGTCGTCATCTAGTGAATCGGGATTAGTTAGCTCAAGATTATACATTGCACGCAGGTCACAATACAAGGAAAATCTCACCTTCCATGTCGCCCTCAGAGCCCTGATCCATGTCGTACTCATCGTAATCATCGGCTTCTTCCTCAAGCTCGTCCATCTCGTCCTCGTCTATATTTCGTCGGTCAGTAATCAGGAGGTTTGCAAAGAAAAGGCGTGGTAACGGGGGTATTGGCGTACCGCCCATCTCGTTCAACTCATCGAGCATCTCCTCGTCAAAATGGTCTGGGATCTGACCTCCCACGCCATGGTCATGTAGATCATCGTCACCTGTAGCTTGGTTGAGAGCACGGAAAAGCTCGTCAATGCGGTTGTGTGCATCACCGGGCCGATTGGCTTGACGCATGTCAGCCAGCTCATCTTGGAACTGATTCATCATCTCGGCCTCTTCTTCGTCCTCGGTAATCTCGTCGCTCTCCCACTCGTCATCTTCGCCGTCGTCAAGGCTTTCGTTGTCGCGGTCGCCGGTGATTTCGCCAGCATATATGACATCATCGTCTTCCTCCATGTCTGAGTGATCATCAAGGTGGTCGTCATCCTCATCCTCATCGTCGTCCTCATCGTCCTCATCATCGATGATGACTTCGACTGCATCGCCAGGAAGACCTTCAATGGGACCGACGCCATCCACGTCATCTTCTTCGTCACTAACGACTTCACCATCGTCCTCAGGAACGTCCTCATCATAGTCCATCTCATCATCGTATTCATCATCGTACATTTCATCATCTTCACCCTCGGATTCCTCCGAGCTGGTTTCCTCCTCGTGGCGGGGCTCCAGCATACCAAGGGTAGAATGGCGGAAAAGATCAGGAGTTTCCTCCCGCTCGTCTTCCATGTCCGAGACGGAGGTGGCAGAAGAGATTTCATCATCTTCAGTGTCACCAGAGCTAGCCGTAGAAATTTCCCCGCTGTCACTAAGCATCACCGCAGTTTGTGTGAGCTTGTTGATCGGTCGCAGGATATACTTAATAACCCGCTTAGATGAGGGGAAGTTCAAGTCAATCTCGGCAACAGAGGCGGTCAACGCAGGAATGAAGTGTTTCTCAAACATGGCTTTGGCGATCTGTCTTGCTGAGTTGGGAAAGCCAGCATCCTGGGAGAAGGAATATCCACTAAGCATCTTGTCGAAAAGGTCGGCCAACGACATCAACTTAGCATACTTGACGTCAAGGGGTTCCGTCGATGCATTAGCTTCCTTGAAAGAGCGCAGAGCATGCTCCAAGACAAAGCGGCGAACAAATGCCACTTCAGGCTCATCGTCTTCCGTTGGTTTCGGCTCATTGCGACGTCTGGAGCCAGGCAATTCATACGTTTTGGTGCAGAGGGCCACGAGAGCCTGCATGGTCCAGGTAGAAGTGATGCTGCGCTTCTTGAAAGCCAAAGACTCGTCATGTTCCATGGTACCAATCGGAACGAGCGCGTTCAACATATAGTTGAGAATGCCAGATCGGGGTTTGGAAGGAGTGCTAGCAAGCGGATCGGCTTTGCGCGAGAAGTTGATGAACTCGACCTTGGTTCGGGTGTAGGAACCCAAAAGCTCAGTCAGGCATTGAAGAAGGAAGCATCGGTAAATGTAGATCGGATGATGCTCAGCCTCGAATGACGGCTTCTCGCTCTTCTTAGGGGCACGACTGGTCTGAGCATCGGCACTGCTGGTCACCGATGGAGTGGGCTCGTCCATGGCCATCTCAACATCTGTTTGGAGTTCAGCAGACATTTCCAGAGCGGGTTGTTCAGTGGACTCGGTCGTTGGAGGCTCTTTGTCATCCACATCTTTGTAAGACAAGAGTTCAGACAGCAGGTAGTGAATGACACCGTCTGGGTTCTCCACCACAGGAGGCTTCATCTCGGCGGCCTTCTCCTTCTCCTTGTCCTCTGCGGCCGACGACGCTTCCGCGGCGAATGACTCAGTGGGCTTGTCTTCCTTGTCTTGACGTTGGCGAGCGTTACGGTCTTCCTTCAACGCAAGAGCTTGTGTGCGGTGACTGGCATCATACCGGACCAAGCGCAACTTCTCGTTGGAGACCTCGACAAAGATCTCGGGGTTCCTCAGAACGAGATGATACATCTGTCGCACGTAGCCAGCAGCGTCGATCTGGCGAGAGGGCTTACTCTCGAAATTCCCCACGATCTCTGCGGTCATGATCTGTCGAATCGTAGCTTCATCTTCGACAATGTGTCGCAAGATCAACATAAAGGCACTTTGCAGCTTGTCGTTGGTTGCGTTGGCCAATTGCTTGACCATGAGGAACAGGCGCTGCAAGTTTCGCTTGGGCGCGAAACGAACGGCGATGCTGCGTTCGCGAGTGAGAATGACCAGAATTCGACAGACGGAAAGCGCGAGGCTATCATCCTTGCCAATACGAGGAAGGATTTCCACCAGAGCCTCGAAAAGCTCCGTCTTCTGCTCGAGAGGGACAAGGGGCTCTGCAAGATGAGCGGGGCCGGAATTGCCGCCGTGGGGATCGTCGAGACTGGGCGGAGACCATGTGATTTGCGGCGGTTGACAATCATCAGATAGCAGCTTCTCCAAAATGAGCAAGACGTGACCGATCCATGGGAATGATTCGCCCGCGGACTTCTCGGGTGTGGGAAGCTTGATGAAACTTAGGAATGTCGAGAAGCAATCCTTCAGCTCCTCCAGAGTCGCAGTGTACATCTTCGGATCCTGAAGAACCAAAGCCAGAATGTGAGCATAGGCAGCCACCTTCTTGCCAGCTGTCTGGAAGTTTTCCATCTGCAAAGAAACGAGGGACTGAACAAGGGTCTCCCCGATATCCCGTCGGAAGCTATCGGGCTCAGGGTGATTCTTGATGGCGGAGCTTATCAAGTCGGCAAGCTCGAAGGATACGTCGTGGTGCTCGTTCAGAACATCCAGGGATCGCTCGATGAGATTAGCTCGGACCTTCTCTCTCTCAGCGTTCAAATCCTCGATGGTGACCAGCGGGCGCCGTTCGACTGGCTCCTCTCTCTGGTCCTCTCTCTGAGATGGATTGGCTCTCGAAGATTGTTGATCGGCGGACTCGCTGTTTGCCTGGGGTCGACGGCGCTGGCGCTGGCGCTCACGCTCCGTGAGGAAAAGAGGCCCATCTTCGCCGCGAAGCATGCCCTCTTCATCGTTCAGAACATTGGAGATCGCACGAGCCAGGCCGTCGCGCATGGCACTGGAATCGTCGTCATCATTCGTAGGATCATGCACAGGACGTCCCGCCTGAGCCAAGATCATAGCAAGACCGCCCTGCTCTAAGAGACCCCGGTCGAGAGGCGTAACATCGCCGAGACCGTTGTCTTCGGGGCCCTCGGCACTAGAAGCAGCCTCGGGCGGGCCGGTCTGAACATCACCAGGGCCAGGAGGGACCCTAGGAGGAGAACGCAGGAATGTCCGGGCATTGCAGTATTCCTCTGCATAATTAATATTGTTGTTGCAACGATACAAAGCCTCGTGGTTCAGCTCAGAGTCTTCGAACCCCTTTCCGGTCAGGATGGCTAGCCTGTCCTTGTTGATCATGAAGGGCTTCTTGACAGGTTCCGTTACAGCAGGAGCGATATCTGACTTGTGTGCGGCACCTTGCTCGTGCTCTCCATCCAAAGACGATCGAAGGATCTCAACCAAACACTTGACAATTTGGCTTGATGACTGAGTCGCAAAATCCGAGTTCCACATGTCCTGGGCCATGGGAAGGATTTCCATGCGAAGATCCACGATGAATTGGCCAGCCTGGAAATAATCATGGCGGTCACGCTCACGATCATGGTGGCTTGTGAGGGCCTGTGTCTGGTTGGACTCCATAATGCTTTTGCCGGCGGCAAGTTCGGAGAACAGCGCAAGGATAATCTTGATTCCACCGTAGGCGGAGGTAAGTCGGTCAGCCAACTCTTTGTCGGCCTTCTCGGGATCGTTCTGAATCGGCTCAAGAGCCTTGACTTCGCGCATGAAGACGTCGCAAATATCCTTCAAAACCTTCAGCCCATTGTTTCGCTTGAATGCAAGGAGGACGAGGGTGAGGTAGTTATTTGAGGGACGGTCGTGAGTGACCTCATAGAGAAGATGCGAGAACGAGGAAAGAATGACAATGAGGTAGGCAAAGCGATGTTTTGAGCTGTCACACGAATTCGCAGGTCCAAATTGAAGCTCGCAAAGGACAGCGTCAGCAATAGCATCAGCCACCATGTTGGAGTTTTGCCTGGCTGTATGGCTGTTCTCCATCCGCTTTCGAGTAATAAGACCGAGACCCAGGTTGTGGAAGAAGCCGGTAATAGAAGTAGGCAGGGAGCTCAAAAGATAACGGAGAGTTTGAACATTCTTGAAAGCTGCACTTCGCTCTGTTGCCGCTTTGCTCTCCTCTGTTTCAGGCTCTTCTGCGACAAGGGCCTTGCTAGCCTCGGCTGCACTCGAGCCTCCGGCCTGAGTAACTTCAGATGAGTGGGCCTGGATAAATGCAGCCATAGGGTTGGAGCCGGGCTTCTCTGGTGTTTTCTTCATAGCTTGCAGCCATTTCTCGGGAATATTCTTCTCGAGCATGATTTCTTCCCAAACGCAAGCAGCATGGAGATTGCCAAGAGAAGCGACAAGGGTAGCATATTTGTCTGCAAGGACAACCTGGCTGAAGGGATAGCTCTGTGTCGCCGACCGCGTCTGGTACAGAGGCATGGCATAGATCTCGCGAAGCAAATCCGTGAGGACAAGAACGGCGTTCATATGCTTGACAAAGGAGGTGCCATGGTTGACAGCTGGGGTGGGTTCTGGTGCCGGCGCCTTCGAGTCAGTTGGCTTGACCAGCGGCGTGAAGAACCCAGACTCTTTGGGCGCAGTCCAGAAGGCCTCAAGGTTGTTGACTGCCGAGTGGGCACGGTGCATGAGGGATGGGATGATCAAGTGCGGCTTCGTTTCAGCAAGCATGTGCACCAGTACTGTTAGTTCTTGATTGGCATCCGTGTTGTGGAAGTCAAACGACAAGCTTTGAAGAGTAGCATAGTCCAGAACGAACTCTGCTCCGCCAGCGAGAATGAAAGAGGAGCAATTCGGCTGATTTTCGAAAAAGGCGCCCAGGAATCGAATGGCAGGGAAGAGATAGTCTGTGACAGTGAGACCATGATCATCCTTGTCCTTCGGCTCGAAGTCAGCCTGCGGCGACGGAAGCAGCTGGTTGACATCGCCCAGGACAAGCTTTCCACCGTTTGGAAGAGAATGAGCATTCAGCTGGGGTACGCCAACAGCCATCAGATCTTCCGTCGACGCATCACCGGCAGTACCAATCTCACGGAAAAGAGAAAAGACATCTCCAGACAGCACGACTTGACCATCAGAGTCCTCTTGCCAAAGCTTAGTGCCCATACCCAGCTCCCAGGCCTTGACCTTGCCGAGGAGGTTGACCCGAGCAGCCATTACAAGAACGGCAGTCATGATAGAGGTCTTCAGGGCTGGGTGATGACGAACTAGTTCATCAAAGGTTGTACCAAGAGAACGGACCAAGTTGGGATCATCCTTTAGGCACTTGACATGCTCCGGGTTCTCGAAAATTTCGAAGAAGCTTTCGAGAGCATCAGATGACTGGAAAAGGTCCAAGCCTGAGGAGTTCAAGCAAATAGCGCCGAATGCTGAGGGGATGCAGGCAAGGGCATCAGCCGCTGCGATAATTCCTGGCGCGAGAGGAGAATCCTTGGGTCTAGCAAGAAGGTATTCTCGACCTTTCTTCTTTTCATCGACAGGGGTAGTAGGCACGGCGATGGGCGCTTGACTAGAAGCCTCGCCTTCTTGGGGTTCGGCAACCTGGGGTTCCACAGCAGCCGGCTTCTCCTTGGCTTGGAGCTCGCGACCCATGACGGCGGCCAGCAGACTTCGACTGAGACCAGCTTCAGCGATGACCGCATAGCTCGTTGGCTCGTTGTGGATGAAGCTGCTAAGAATGTTCACGGCATTGCTCCAGACGTGCGAACCGAAAACGCGAGAGTTCTCAAAGACCAGCCGCAAAGATGTCAGCAGCTGAGGGGAGTCGATGAGGTTGCGCAGCACGCGGTCAAACCCACCACCGTTGTGCTGCATGATATGGTTGACAAAGCGGAACATCCATCGCAATGTCTGCTGTTGGAAGTAGGGGATCTGATAATCGATCGACGGGTTCTTGTACTGAGCAGGGAATCCATCTCCACGAGAGACCTTCTCAAATGCAGTCTTAGTCTCGTAGTCGATCAGATCAGAGATAGCATCAAAGCCCTTGGACGCAGTCAAATTACCCAATGTTTCACGGACGGCATGAACAAAGGTGTCAAGGAATTCCATGATCCGCGAGTAAACCCGACGAGCTTTCTCTGTTCGAAGGTTGAGGATGTCCACGAACATAGGGATGAGACCCGCGGCGACGAGCGTCTCCGGAGTTCGGGAGCTTGAGCTCGGAAGTGTGCGTAAAAGACCGAGCAGTGCATCTCTCCATTCATCCTGATAAGGATCATTCGTGTGATCCTCCTCGGCGCCCAGTTCATTGACGAACTTGCGGGTCAGGAACAACAGGACTCCGTGATTGACATTGACACTCAGTGCAGCACAGACGTCATTGGCGCGACATTTGTGTTTGGCAAGTGCATCCAGCGCCTGAAGAGCCAAGGCCTGCACCGTTCTCGATACTTCAAGGTCGCCACTAGCGCCTAGATGAACGAGGTCGGCCAACTGGTAGGTCAATTGAAGACGTTTTGATTGTTCCATGTCATATTGAAGAACCTTCTGCTGGAATGTGGATTCGGAGTTGACGTATGCAAGGTTTGTCACGGCGAGGATCCGAATGGCAAGGATCTGTTCACGAGAAGCACGCGACTCGGTCAAAGCCTGCGCAACTCGAACCTTGTGTAGCAGCTCATACTTCGACTCAAGAGGCAGATTTGGAAGGTTAGTGGCCAGGAGATCTTCAGCTTTGCCTGAAGAAACTTTCGAGAATGGCAGGTCCAGGACTTTCCCACCGCGAGACGGCTCATCCGGTTTTCCGACGGAATTAGGCGCGACTACAGGAGATTCGTCCACATTAGATGCGCGGCTTGATCGCGGAGTCGGATGCGTGGCACTACGCCGGAGAGGGGTGGGTGTAGTCGGCGCGTGAGGGGCTATGTCTGCCTGTCCAAACTCGGATGTCGAGCGGGTCTCCTCGGAGGAGCCAGAAGGATAGTACAGGACACGAACGTTACCCCATTCTTCCCAGGCCTCGTTATCGCGAACAATCGAGACGAGGTCATTAGCATTCAGTTTGGTGTGGATGGCATTGTCTGTTCCTTTGCCCGAAACAGCGGGAGATGCAGCAAATGGCGTTTTACCCGCGATGAACGGGCGCGGGAACGGGGCTGCGATCTTCTGGAGCTTCTCCAAGTCGATATTGTAATGATTTGCCAACAGACTCTGTTGGTGGGACCCCCGTTGGCGGGAGTGGTATCTCTGGGCCAGGCAAAGGGACAGGCGCAGGGTCGATTGGAGGAGGGACAGGGAGGTAGTGTTCAAAAGGTCGCCCAGACGTTCACTGCTGCTATAAAGACTGCGGTTGCCACACTTCTCGAGAAGCAGACGCGAGAAATCTAGAATCGCCTCCACCAACTGTCGGTCTCCATCGGGTCCGTATCCCAAACTATTCAGCTTAGCATCGATGCCCTCTGCTGGTGTCTTGGTCGGGTCGGCGGCATATGACTCCTCCAGAACGCTTCGACTGAATGATTGCGTCTGAGGGCCGATGTTGAGGAAGTATTTGTCGATGACGGAGGCCAGAATCTCATCGAAGCGGTCCAAGACATTGATCCAATGGTATAGATCGCCGCGAGGGAAAGGCCATAACCGGGGGAACGTGGTTAGGAGTGAAGGAAGCTCTGCAACGGGAAGACTAGTCGCACGTCCTATTAATTTCCCCAAGAAAGGTGACTGTAGCAAGAAGGAAAATTTTTTAGTCAGGTACTGTGTAGGAGTCCGACATGGAATTGCCGATGGGGACTTACAATTGTAGCCTCGTGCTTTTGGCTAGCCACCTTCTTAATTCTCCCCATGTTGACGATTGGACAAACAGCCAACCATGAGGAGGTTGAAGAAGTCCAGGAGAGAGAAGTCTCCTAGAGGGTGAAGTGGGGAGGTCGTGACGACCAGGTTCGCGGAGAAGGCGCGAGGATGCCTTATGACGTTTAAGGTCTCCTCTCCTGCCTCACAAAAAATCGGTCTCGCGGGAGAAAGAAAGGAATTTGGGGATCGTCGTTGGTTATCGCCGGTGAGCTTTGAAGTTAGATATCAGCCACGCGAATGAATCATCCACTTGATGGGTGCTGGGAGCTGGTGTTTCTGACAGCTCGACGATCGACGCAGGTTGGGTGAGATCACTGCGGGTAGAGAGAAGTCAAACGGTCGGGGAAAACGGTGCAGGACGTTGACCGGGACGGTGTTGACGAGGAATGGGTGTGGAAGTTGAGGTAAGTAGGATGATGGAAAGGAGAGGAATGATGGCGAGGGGGAGGTGGGGAGGAGATATGAAGATGGGGTTTCCAAAGGCTGGAAGCTGGAAAGAGAAGAGCGTGAAGCGAGAGCCCGAGCCGGGAACCAGAGCGCGAGAGCCCTGCACCAGAGCTCGTCCTGCCGGCAGAAGAACACAGAAAGCTGGGCGGAGTGGCCCTGACCGGTTCCCCGCCAAGGCGGTCAGGCGCCAAGGCATCCTACGCTTCGATCCCATCTATTGGATCTCACTATGACTTTTATCAAGTTACAAGGATTTTGCTTGGTTAAACTTCTGTTTTTTTTTTCTTTTAGTCGCATCTATCTGGCTCTGAAGATTGTATCTCCTAGAGCTCTCTCAGAAGTGCTTACAAAAATCCACTTGCAGCAACTCTAGAAGCACCCTTAGAAAAGTACCTTTCAGCCTCATTTTATACACAAACAGTTGTAGCAACAAACTCAGAAACATAAAGGGAAAACATCCATTTCGGTCAGAATCTACATATCAAACATCACACTCCCTATTTACTCGCCGCTTTAGGCAGCTCCCCATCCCACTGAATCTTCATCGTCGAAGGATATGGCGAGATCATACTATGCTCGGCATCCATATACATAGTCAGACCTCCCAGGGCGGGCAGCTTCTTCAACTGGCCCTGTGGCCCAGGAGCACGACGAAGATTCTCCAGTTGCCCAACAACCCGCAACATAGTGGGCAATGCCACCTGGCACACGGCGAGGCCGAGACATTGGTGAGGACCAAAGCCGAAGTGGGAGTATTGGCTCAGATCGCGGTCCAGGCGGACCTGTTCGGGGTCTGGCCATGCCTTGGGGTCGTGGCTTGCGGATACCTAGAAAGGGCGAATGGTGTTAAACATGAAGCAAGCTTACATTCGGGGGGGGAGTAGACATACCAGATTGACGAAGATCTGTTGGCCGGCTTTCAGGGTGATCTTCTCTCCATTGTCTTCGATGACTGTGGGCTTTGCGACTTCGCGCGGCAGTGCGACCGATGAGCGAATGCGACCACCTTCCATGAAGCTGTCAAAAAGTAAGTATCACTCGTAAAGCATGTGGCAAAGGGTAGAGTAAGGACTGAGCTACTTACTATCGCAACAGCAGCTCCTCGGATTCTGGAGTATCTTCCTTTGATAGTCGTTGAATCTCAGCAAGGTGATGGGCATTCTCCGGCTCTAGGTAGAAGTCCAGACATTGAATGAACAGCTGAGCCTGATTCGCGACCATGGAACTAGCCGACGGAAGAATGTGCGTCCAAACAATCTCCTTCGCTGGCAGTCCACTATCCAGCAAGCGCTGGATCATGTGAACTCCGTAATCGGACAGGTAGTCATGACGGTGAAGACGGCTCACAATATCAGCAATAAACCCAGCCTTATCAACAAGCTCAACATTGGCCATGACCAACTCACCCAGCTGTTGGGCAACCGAGCGGGAGGCCTGCTCAAGCTGGAAGGATTTGGTCACCTCGACATCGTAGAAGATACAGGTGAAGACCAAGGCCATGATCTGGTACAACTCTTGCTCAGTAAAGACACCCCGAGGGTTTGACTCAGTCTTCAACGAGAGGGAGAAGATGTGTGCACAGAAGTGGATCTGAGCAAGGTTGGACACATCCCGGACGATGTCGACCTGGTTTACGCCGGCGATCTTGTAGGATTTACTCTTCAGAAGCTGCAAGGTAATCTCCTCATAGAACGAGCGGACTTCTGACTTCCATTTATCCCGGTATAGAGCATTACCAATCATCTTGCGGGACTGGGCGTTTGGTGGGCGATCACCTGACAGCATAAAGTCACTGCCGTAGGTGTGGCCATCACGACTCAAGATGAACTCGAGCTTCTTGCCCCAGGTAACATTGAAGGTCTGTTGGTCCGCGAGGATGGACATGCAAGCGGCATGGGAGTTGATCAGTCGAGGTGGGGGGTTGTAAGTGGGTCGATCGAAGCTGTATACTTCACCTTTTCCGAGGCCTGTCAGGATCTTCTTGTTCTCATGAGGCACAACCATTGGGAAGTGTGCGTAGACCGAGTCACCGCGGAAGTGGTTAGGGAAGGCTCTCAGGATCAGCTTGTAAAAGACCGCACCCTGGTCGACAGTCGTGTCATAGCTTATTTCGTTGAACGCCCAATTCGTCAGGTGTTTCGGAGTGTAGTCAACTGTATAGAAGCGGTCTCCACGAACGAGTGTAACTGCATCCGAGAGAATAGCCCTCGAAGTAGTGTAGTTTGCACACAACCCACTACCTGGAAGAATTGGGTCCTTGGCATCTTCAACAATCAGGCCAGGGTAGAGCTCGACCAAATCTGGGTGATCGTAGAGATGTCTGAGCTGGTCAGCAATGTAAGGATCCGAGTTGATCTCTTCAAAGGTCTTGTATGGCTGCAGGTTAAAGAATGACCGGAACTCGTTGAGAGTAGCCAGGTTCCACGACCGTGCTTGCTTGATGCCCAGAACTTCGATCGTACGGAAGACAGTTGGCACGTTTGAGGCACCGAATGCTCCAGCAACATCTTCCACACTCTCTTCAAAGATCTTGACCAGATCATCGTCACTGAAATGGCCATCGGCCTGGCGCTGTAACTTGGCAAATGGGCGCTCCACAGGATCCTCAGGCAATGTTGCCTCCCATTTTCCGAGACCCATGGCGAACTGCTGAAGGGAAATCTTACTCGGATCCTGGCCCACAAACAGCTCCCTATACATATCCTCGGACCACTTTTGGTCACGAGCAGAGATGCACGAGTGCCATCGGTAGACAAGGTTGAACTCAGCCGAAACCTGGTTTCCAGTGGCTTGCTTGGCCGCATCACTGAGCAGACCATCCTTCATCTCCGCACGAGGATCCAAACTCCAGGTACTATCAGTCCTGTTGAGGTTGAGAATAGTTCGAACGTAGTCTTTCAAGATTATGTTGACGTAGAGACCACAGGTAACCAGGCGTGACGTTTGGAAAAGATCGTTATCCCAGGTGGCATAAGCTTTTGTGTTTGACTCATCTGGTTTCGTGAATCGGCCACCCTCGTTGATCTGTGCGAGTTGCTCGGCGACGTAGTTGTGGAAACGGTTGAACATGATCAGCAGAACACCGACACCAGGCGGGAATCCCAGAACTCGCTTGGTGGAAAAGCAATCCGGCTTGAGCTTTCCATCCTTGAATGTTCTAACAGTATTCTGTTCATCTTGGTTGTTTCCGTAAAGTGGAGCCAGGTCCAGGTAAGAGGAAGTCAAAGAAACTGTAAAATCTCTGGGGTCGGTTTGGAAAAGATCTATTAATGGTTAGTCATGCCCAATGAACCTTTTTTTGAAACTTTTCACCACATACCATGAATAATGATAGATGCAAGATAGAAGAGTACACTGGAAATTTTGTTGGGGTGTTCCTTGAACTCCTTCCGAGCTAGGAGGCTATCGAAAAGGGTCTCCGGCTCTGGGAGAGCAGCAGGCTGCATTGTCTGTGGTCGGACAGATCGTGCATAAGGTGTACCAGCGGCACCAATGTTGGGCCAGAAAGGGTTCTGGTTGTTGTCAGTAAAAGATCCCAAGTGGCTCGGGCAAATCAAGCCCATACATTGCCTGATCCATCTGCTTTTCGATATGCAGAGTCCCGTCCAAGATAGCTATGTATTTGGTTAGTGCCAGTCTACCCTCTGGATCGATGGATGAGCTTGACTAACGAAGTAGGCGGGTGCTGTAAATCATTCCAAAGGGTACTCAGGAAAGTATTTGTCAAGTCCTTCCCATTTTTAGATGTAGAAGGCAAACCTGCTGCGAGCTGGTGAAATGTTAGAAGATGGATATCTCAGAATGTACAATACATGACGAACCTGGATCACTCGCTCCATGATGTATTCCCGATCGTTGACGGGGTCACCAGTAATTGCGCTCTTAGCGACCTCGGCCAGAGTCTTAACATCCTTGAGATCGACATGGCTCAAATCCTGGCCCAGGCCAGTGGTCGTGTTATACTTGACGTAAGTACCGTCGCCGGTCTCAGCGGGCAGGGATCTCAGCGATGCCTTTACAACCTGTTCGACCTGGGCGAGGGAGCTCCCGCCGCCATTGGCAAGGCCTTTCTGTCCAACCATGATGAAATAATAAAAAAGACGTGAGAGGTAATAGTACAAGGTCCAAAGTTTCGCGAACTTTTGGCAATCAAACTGTACAGCCAAGAAATTAGTACGTCAACTTGGAACACCAACGCGAAATGCAATGAACAGCCGAGGCTTCGGATCATTGCCATGCGGTGCGAGGGAAGCAAGATGGCCAGTCACCGCATTGCAATAGCCAGCATGCGAAGAGATAGAAAAATCTGCATACCAATATACAGCAGCTCACAAAGACGTTCACTCCGAAGTCGGCAAGTCAATATCGAAACTCACAAGGCCAACAAGATAGCACCACAAATTAATCGAGAATCCCAATCACACAGATAGAGGCAGATATACAGAGTGAATTGTCAAGAACGCAATACATGCACGGGTCGGGGAGTCGGCGAATCTTTGGGGGGAACACACTACATTATATGATGCCAGCCGTTCAATTCTCCAATCCATTTGGCTGAATAGAGAGCCCCAGGCCCCCAAGACATGGTACTCTACGGCTGAAAAACCCCCCACCCCAGCCTGGGAGATGAAGTGCCTCCACTCTCCCGTAGTTCTTACGGGCTTGACTGGATCGGTGCTGGTCAGTCATTTAGCGCCACAACCCTAAGGAACCCCGCTGCTGGGCGCAGCATGGGCAAAGAGAGACGATGCCCCACCCCGGCAGTGGGAACTTGTGAACAATGGGGCATCTGTTGTTCGTGCGTCGAATTCCATGTGAAGCAAAGTCTTTTCAATTAAGGAAGACTCGCACAGCAAATTGTTCGTTACTTGTTGCAAGCCAAGTACTTCAGTCTCATGGCAGAGGACCCCAGATGGACTCATGTTGAGGCCAGTAATACGAAACCTACTACGCCAGGTATGTCGGCTGAGATCTCCTGGAGTTGCGCCGCTTGCAGCCTGGGGGGTTGGCTCGGGCTTCGCCGTGAAAATGCCTGACAGTTTTGGCCCCACGGGTCATGATTGGCGGGGTGGAGCCTCGGGTTTCGAGTCTTGACAGAGTATAGGGGTGTGTACTACTGTACTATGAACGGATACTCCGTCCACTAAAAAATACCGTTCAAGTCCACTGGCAGGTATACATATGCAGGACTGAATGTCAGGGAGCTAACCCCAATTCGGCTCGGGTAAGATAGCGCGATACTGGATTTTGGGGGCCTAGCCAGACGTAGTGCAGGCATTGTGTACGTCGTATTGTGTTTTGGATTTGCTGATTGGCGACTCTGTTCGGGCAAACCATTGGAATGATTGGAGCGCGTTCGCCCGAGCTGAGACTGGTGGACCTAGCCAGTGTTAATGAATCATAGATCATTATCAGGGAATGCAGAATGTACTGTAGACATCGAACAGTAGTCGATCGCGAGGGTGGTTTCACCCGGGCTCAACAATTAGGTGGCGCAGTCTGAGATAGTATCCTTGGATCTGATGGTGAGCCTAATAAATGTACCGTAAACTGTCAGTAACATACTCTGCACTGTGTGGATATTAGCCAGAGATCCTTGGGGGCGGGGTTGTTCAGCTCAGCCATTGTGCAACCTGCTGGACTATCAGAGACTAGGTCCTGACTCCTGAGGCTCCTGAGAATTCTTCATATTGAGAGCGACGAATGGAATGACGACGATTTGGAAGGGCTGAGAAGTCAGCCCGTTATGGCGTCAACCGGCCCTCGTGATATCCACTCAGAGTTATTTTATTGATGGAATACACAACATGACATAATAACAAAGCTAGTAACTAAATATGAATCCGTCATACCGATTAACCTAGCCATGCCATTCAGGATCCCTATCAATCCAACAATGTCTTTCTCATTGTTATTGTTTCTAGAGTATCGTAAGGGTTTTCCTCTCATACTGCCATAGGCCTACATGTCATCGCCTCAGGTGTCGACATCACGTGGGATCAACCGAGGTCAGTGTCTCGTTGAGGACTCGTCAAGCCCAACAGATGCGACTTCTCGACACCTTGGGTGCATTTTCCCTCAGCTCATCTACCTGGCTCCGTCTACCTAAAATTGCAAGAGACTATCAATTGGAGCCGACATCCATTCCTCACCCGCCATGGTGTCTCAAATTACTCTCATCGTTGAGCCCCGGGGTGTGTTTTCCTAGCTCCTATACAAATGCCAAGCACATACACACGGTCAATTACTCCAGAAAATGAAGGACTGACACTTCACCAGGCAAGCCTATTCGCAAGCTCCCCAAAGAGATCACTGTCGCCCTCACCTCCAACGGCGAGGAGCTCTACAATGCTATCGCCAATGCTTCCGGTGCTTCGATCCACCGTCTGCGCATTACCAAGGGAAGTGACCGCAGTGTGGTTCCCAATGCGAAGAACACCACTATCAAGGATACCGGCTTGAAGGAGTCGAGTATCATCCACGTCAAGGACCTTGGTACGTACCAGCGCCGCCAATTCACCGAGGCAGCACAAAAAGAATTGATACGAAAAAAAGAACCGCGTAGCTTCAAGAAACACCAACTAATCCCATTCTTCCCACAATAAACAGGTCCTCAAATTGCATGGCGCACCGTCTTCATCATTGAATACCTCGGACCCCTCCTGATCCCAGCCCTTTTCCTCTTCCCCCTCCGCGACCTGATCTATTTCAACTTCGACAAGCCCCTCCCCGAGCCATCCGACATGCAACTTCTAGTCTGCGCCCTCCTGACCTTGCACTTCCTGAAGCGCGAGTACGAGACCATCTTCGTGCACCGCTTCAGCAACGCCACCATGCCCGCCCGCAACATATTCAAGAATAGCGCTCACTACTGGGCCCTCGCCGGCTTCAACATCGCGTACTGGGTATTCCGCCCCGACGCAGCGGCTGCCTCGGCCGATTACAACCCCATTCTCGTGTACGCCGGAGTTGCGTTGTTCATCTTCAGTGAGTTGGCAAACTTCAACGCGCACTTGGTGCTGCGTGACCTTCGTCGTCCCGGTACTACCGAACGCGGCATTCCTTCCGGGTTTGGCTTCAACTGGGTCACTTGCCCCAACTATATGTTTGAGATTCTGGCCTGGTTGGGCGTTTACCTGGTTAGCCAGCTTAGCTGGAGCGTTCTGGTCTTCACTCTTGTCGGTGGTATCCAGATGTGGAGCTGGGCCTGGAAGAAGGAGAGACGCTACCGCAAGGACTTTGGCGACAAGTATAAGAAGAAGCGCACTGTCCTTATGGCTGGTCTGTTCTAAGCGGAAGATCCTGGCCAGGCGGATGGGACAGTTCCTGAGCTGTTATCGGCTATCTAGACCCTCGGCTCAATAAATGCTGAGAAATAATTAATCCTTCTGTGCCCAGCAGGTCCTATGTCAGCACCGGAGCTCGACGGTATTGACAAATTTCTTCGGACACGCATATTATGAAGGGCAGAGCTTGTTCATCAGGCACACGAAAAATCGCGAATAATGCAACATGTACTCTATGACTGGATATAGAAAATCAAAAATTGATGCCCGTGTTTTCTTTCTAACCAAATGCAAGCCCATGATATTAGCAAAAGAAGTTGCCTCGCTGTAAAGAAGAGAAACAGTCTATAACGCCGAAAAACACCCAGCCCAGAATGCATGATGGACAACAATGGTGAACACAGAAAGATAGCCCACAAGATACTTCACTAAGTTCTTATCAGGACTGCTCAAGGAAGCTCAGACAGCCAAATATTCAATGATGGAGCGTCAGGAACCCTTGGCCTTCTTCCACCACATGGTGTAATAAGGATCCAACTCATCGCAGTCCTGAGCTTTCCCCTCATCACACGCAGGGAAGCGAATGACAAAGTCACCATCCTTGTAAGAACCATCCAGCGAAGCACCCGACGAGTCTTTGCTATACGCATTCAGCATCCGCTGGGGTACTAAAGCCGTTCGAGCCAGCACCGTTGGATGCCACTGCATAATGTGGTCCTAAACAGCGAGAAAAAGAACAAAAAGATTAGCGCGCACTTGATGTCTCCAAAGTCAGAGCTCTCACCAATCCATGTATCTCAGCCTTGGCAAAGTTATAATTCCGGAACAACGGATCAAACCAAAGATCCAAGAAGAAGCGCGCAAAGTCCCCATTCTTGAGAATAAAGCTCGAGGGACTCAAGTCCTCACTATCCTGCGTAAGAATGAAATCGACATCTTTTTCTTCCAGCGCAAAGGTCTTGATGATGCTGTCCGGCGGCACGATGGGGACATCCTTCAGCATCACTGATTCGAGACGTGTTCGGTCGAGTAGGTGGGATTTGAGGGATGTGGTAGGATTCATGATGAGCGCGTGAGGGCTCAGATGAAAGAAGTATTTGGATTTGGGGTGCGCTGCCATCGCATGGCGTACTGCTGGGATGAGGGCCCAGCTTCGAGGGTCGTCACTTATAGCTTCCTCATAATCGGAGACGCTTGCGAAGAAGTTCGTGTAGCCTAGTTAGACGAGTATATTAGCAGCGGCCCCAACGAACCAATCAAGCTCGAACAAGGAGAACCAAACCCATACTTACCGTGGCGTTTGGCGTAGTCTTCCCTGTTGGCGATAATCTTATCGATATAGCTCTGACTGAGACTTTGACGATCCAGCAACGTCACGATCACCACACCCGCCGTACCAGCCGGCGCCCCAATAGAAGTCGAGCTTGAGAAGAATAGATGCGAGACGAGGTAAAGCAGCGTTAGGATGGCAACTGCAAATATGGCGACCGTCTTGAGCTGCTTTCTTCGGTACAGCGGTAGCCGTGAGGAATGGGCGCCTGGGAGGGAATTAGGGCTCCTCCGCGGAGGCAATGCGAACTGCATACTGAGGGATGGTCCCCAGCGCTGGACCAACGGATTGTGGGACAAGGATGCAGAGACGCAGTGGTTCGAAATCAATCAAGGCATAGCATCGAAGATTCACAGATAACTGTTACAGAGGGATTAGCGCCGCTGGGGATGGTGTGAGAAGTTGAAAGGTCCAGCGAAGGTTGCGTAGGTTCTGGACGGCCTCCGAATCCGGTGGGCGGCGGGTCCGTTCTTGCGCGCGCATTCCAGCAACCTTTCCATCTTCACCAACATTTCCCGTTTCGAGTTAGTACTGATCGTGGGCGATAAGGGATAGCTAGGGAGCAAATCGGAAGGGACCATTTGTCCAGATGGATGTTGGCGCTCTAGTAAATTATGGTCTCGGAGTCCTTTGTCGAACATTGCTTGCGTGATATAGAATTGCGATGATGCCGTCATCTAGGGGCATTGGCTCAGGGTTGTGCAGGGCCAATTCCAGCGACAGTTGGTGATTACTCCGTACTATATTCGGCGGCTAATTACATATTCACACATCCACCAGTGTTATATATTCTGCCCAAGATACCAATTAGTCCTCAACGGCTAAGATGATAGAAATACATCTTTAGAGCGTTCACCGTACAGCCCTTGATCCAAGCGTAGGAGATATCCATATGGACAACTTTCTGCAAACGATACGTGTACCTGTGAATGCAGACTTGGCAATCCAGAATGAGCAGCTCTGTTTAAAAATCAAGACTCGAACAGTAAAGATATTGATGACATTGGAGTATAAGTACACAGAAAAGAAAAGAACCAATATGCACGCCCAGCAAGATCGCATCCATGCGAAAATACATCACTACCACATTGGCCGAGATAGTTCGGGGACCTCGCTGCGTAGGGATGATTGAAAAGACGAAAAGACGCGGTGCTCGATCAGCGTCAACTCTTTCGTCGCGGTAATGGTACAATGGTAAATTGAGCGCCGGTCTCCGTGTGTGTGCCTCGGCCGGCTGTGAGGCATCACTAAGAGGATCATATCCTCATCTAGTCGGTTTTTATTGCAAGGGCCGTGATCAAGGCTCCACCTCCGCGGCCGCAATTTTCCGAGCATCGTTCTGGCGATCAGCCTGACCCTTAGGACGAGGCTTCGTGATGGCCTTGATGTTGAGCCTCTCCTCAACCTTGGCCTCGATCTCCTCCTCCTTGGTCTTAATCCACTCCTCAAACGACAAAGGCTCTGGAAGACCCATCTTCTCTCGATGTTGCCGGAATTGCTCCTTGATTGCCGGGCTTTGCATGACCTGGTATCGCAGGTGCCATCCGAACATACCAAGCTCCTTCAGACGAGCCGGCCGATCAGACAGGAGGTAATTGTCTAGACCACCCTCATTCAAAATTGTTCGTAGTGCCCGGCGTGTGACCTTGATAAAGAGGTGTTCTTGGAGCGCCTCGCTCCACATCTTCTTGCGGCGGACATTGGGCTTCCAGCTTCGTCGCGTCTTGCCCTCGTTGCGACCCTTGGAGATCTTGTTACCGAAGCGAATCATGGCACCTCCGTAGAGACCGGTGTCGGCTTGCTTGTACCATTGTCGAGGACCGTAGGGATAGGCTGGTACGTCTTCCGGGAGTTTCTTTTTGGATTGTGGTGCCAATGTTGTGGAGAATGCACGCTTGGGGGTAGAGACAGAGAGCGCGCGGAAGGCCGCAGTGAGGGAGAAAGGCGCGGCCATAGCCGACCTGGACGTAAGACCTGCCATTGGGAGTAATCTGGGCAGGTTGAGCATCAAGCAAAGAAAAGAGGCCCAGCTGATGCAGTTGGAGAGCGGGAAGAATTTGGGGGTTGCTGACCGCCTTTGGCGCGGCTCCGTGACTGGCGCAGATCCCTTGCTCGCGAATTTCGGTCAAGAGACAGAGCTGGGTGGACCATCGCATTACGCTTGCTTCTCTATCTGCTTGACCTTTGGAAAGCTTCTATTTGACCTAGTTTCTCACCACAAATACCGATTGACCCTATTTCCTCGAACTCCTCTGGCTCTCCGAAGCCACTTCCTCCAATCATGGTCCAGATCAGCGAAGTGAAAGGCAACTCCCGCGAAAACAGGACCGCCGCGCATACGCACATCAAGGGTCTCGGTCTGCGGTCCGATGGAACACCAGAGACTACCGGTGATGGATTCGTTGGGCAAGCTGCTGCCCGAGAGGTGAGTTTCAGCTCCTCTCAGTGATGATGGTGACGGGCGAAACGTCGCTACTGCTCTGGCCTCGCCGTAGCTAACACACTCCTTTCATCAACAGGCATGTGGTGTTGTCGTCGATCTGATCAAGGCGAAGAAGATGGCTGGACGGGCTGTCCTGCTTGCTGGTGGCCCCGGCACCGGAAAGACTGCACTCGCTCTTGCAGTATCACAGGAACTGGGAACCAAGGTGCCGTTCTGCCCCATCGTTGGCAGTGAAATCTACTCCGCAGAGGTCAAGAAGACAGAGGCATTGATGGAGAACTTCCGACGAGCAATTGGTACGCAATATACAAGACCGGCAAACTTCGCTCTTGGATCACCGAAACTGACCCCAGACTAGGCCTGCGCGTTCGGGAAACCAAGGAGGTGTACGAGGGCGAAGTCACAGAACTGACTCCGGAGGAGACCGAGAATCCCCTGGGTGGTTACGGACGTACGATCAGCCATCTTATCATCGGATTGAAGTCAGCCAAGGGTACCAAGAAGCTTCGCCTCGACCCTAGCATCTACGAAGCCATTCAGAAGGAGCGCGTCACAGTCGGAGATGTCGTCTACATTGAAGCCAACACCGGCGCTTGCAAGCGTGTCGGACGTTCCGATGCCTACGCGACAGAGTTCGACCTGGAAGCCGAGGAGTACGTGCCTGTTCCCAAGGGCGAGGTGCACAAGAAGAAGGAGATTGTTCAAGACGTCACGCTGCACGACCTCGACATGGCCAACGCTCGGCCACAGGGTGGACAGGATGTGATGAGCATGATGGGCCAATTGATGAAGCCCAAGAAGACCGAGATCACAGAGAAGCTGCGCCAAGAGATCAACAAGGTGGTCAACCGATATATCGACCAGGGCGTCGCCGAACTGGTTCCCGGTGTGCTGTTCATCGATGAAGTTCACATGCTGGACATCGAATGCTTTACTTATCTGAACCGCGCTCTGGAGTCTTCTATCTCGCCGATCGTGATTCTTGCCTCCAACCGCGGCCACACCGTCATCCGTGGCACTGACGAAATTTCCGCTGCCCACGGTATTCCACCCGACTTGCTCGCCCGCCTCCTCATCATTCCCACTACCCCTTACTCGTCTGACGAGATCAAGACTATCATTCGACTCCGCGCCAAGACGGAGGGTCTTAACATCACCGAGCCTGCACTGGACAAGGTTTCTGAGCACGGTAGCAAGGTCAGCCTGCGGTATGCTCTGCAGCTGCTGACCCCTGCAAGCATCCTTGCTCGTGTCAACGGTCGTCCTGGTGGTATCGAGGTTGCTGATGTTGCTGAGTGTGAGGACTTGTTCCTGGATGCCAAGCGAAGCGCTATGATTGTCAACCAGGACAGCAGCAAGTTCTTGCTATAGAAGCAGTCTTGAGGTGACAGTGTAAAAGGAGGAGTTTCCATGATTATGTATACCATGGGGGTATCTTTTGTTATTATTGAAAAGGCGAATTGGGTTTGTGTAGGCCTGATTTTTTTACGCTAATGCTATCTGATGTTACCCAATCTTGAAGTCCGGGGCTAGTTGTATAATGATGTAGAAGACCTGCCAGGTACGGTCCTCTTTGCTGATCATGCAGGCGTCTGCAGGATGCATTTGAGAAATTCATTCCACATCAACTTATCTTCTACTTGAATATGTCCGCAGTAATTCTAGAACTTACACTTCCCACCCTCTATTTCTCGAAAATCCTATCGAAATGCGTGTTGCAAGTCCTTCTATAGATCAAAAGTAACCCAGGCCTCGGTCGAGATCACGTGGGAAGGACATCGTCATCCGTCAAGCCCCAGCCTCCATTCCACCCCATCATCTCACTGACCGATATCAGCGCCAGCTTCCGGGTTGCTGCACCGCTGAGGCTTAATATCCTGCACTTTCAGGCCCCCACGAGTCCAAGGCGTTCATATTAGAAGGATCATTCAACCAATATCCCCCTCGAATCCAGAACAACGCATCCGTTCCTCCCCAGATAACGGTGGAGCCTGCGGCCCGGACCAACAGCACACCCACCAGACCGACACACCTACCTTCCTCTTGCTCTCTTCCTCTGTACAGCCCCTTCATCTTTCGACTGTCAAGATGTCAAACCCTCTAGACACAGATGCAGGCTCGGAGATGTTCGCCAGCTACGAGAACGAGCTGAAGCTCGTCCAGGCGGACCTAAACCAGAAGCTGGACCAGATCGCCGAAGCAAGCGGCGAGCAGCGCAAGTCCGCAATCCGACAAGCAGAGCAGGTTCTCGACGAAGCAACTGAACTGGTAGGCATATAAACACCCAATCCCTACTACGACACACCCACCCCACTCTTCATTCATCCAAGTCTATCCAGCTAACACATCCTCTCCTTATCACCAGCTCGACCAAATGCGCATGGAGAAACAAAACATCCCCTCCGCCTCCCGCTCCAAAGTGAACATGCGCTTCCGCAACTACTCCACCGATATCGACGACATCAAGCGCAAGCTCAAGTCGCTCTCCGACGACCGCAAAGCCCTCTTCGGCGACCGGTACACCGACGAACCGGTTGACGAGCATCTCGAGCAGCGCCAGCAGCTCCTTTCCGGCACTGAGCGGCTCGAGCGTAGCTCCGCACGGTTACAGGGGGCTCAACGGACAGCGTTGGAGACGGAGGATGTTGGGCAGAACGTGTTGGCCGATTTGTACGGGCAGCGACAGACGATTCAGCATACTCGTGATAATCTGCAGCAGAGCGAGGGATATGTTGATACGAGTATCAAGACTTTGAGGGGCATGGCCCGTAGGTACTGCGCCCTTTTACCCCGGCCTTTTTTGGGTTCTGGCTCGACCGTTGTTGGTTTGGTTTTTGGCTAACGTTTACGTGCAGGATGGCTACGAATCGGATAATCACGATTGCTATCATTACGGTTCTTGTCCTTCTGATTGTTGCCGTTATTTACAGCAAGTTCCATTAGCGAAGCGGGGTCTCTTTTTCTTTTTGATGGCGTTTCTTTGATCTTGGAGGCTTTTTAATTGTATCTTTTTTTACGAGACGCTGTATGCCTAGTTAGCATTCTGACGACCATTGACGATGGCCTGGACTTCATGTCTAGTCTATAGCAGCTCATGGTGATAATTGAACACTGATCATATTTCAATTTTTTATCTTGATTGGTGGCAGTGCTTGTCCCTGGTCCCTGGTCCCTGGTCCCTGGTCCCTGGCCCTTTGCCCCGTTGGGCGCACTAGCGCCATAGTCCCCTAACCCACATTTATACAAATCAGTCTCCCTTTGACTTTTCTTGAGTTAAGATAAACTCTCTATCTATCGAAGCAATCCATCAGGTCGTTAGATTAGAATATGCCCATGGACCGTCTTCCCACAGAGATCATCGACGCAATCACCGAGCATCTCGACTCCGAATCTATCAAAAATTTCCGCCTCACAAGCAAATCTGCTGCACAGAAATGTCTCAACCCGCGCTTCCTCTCTTTATCATCGCAGGCAAGAACAGATTTTACACCAGATAGCCTCCAAAATCTTCACAGCCGCGCCTCACACCCAGTTTTCCGAAATGCCGCGCGCTGCTTGATTGTCCAAGTCATAGTATACGACCACCGCGGCGTGTGCCCGAAAAGAACCAAACTCGAAATCTTTTACGGGACAAGAGATCCATGGGGAATACAGTGGTTGGACAAGATACAACAGGAACGCGATAGCCTGTCTGACGAGTTTGTCATTGATTCACTCGCGACTACCCTGGATAGTTTCCCGTCCCTTGACGAGATCCAATTTGAGCCGCGCGTTTTGATTGCCCCGGGGGTTAGTCGGTTATTGCTGATTCCAAGCCATGAGTTTCCGTGGATGTCTCATGTGGTGTTCATTGTATTGGCAGCTGTTGCAAGGTCGTCTACTCAGTTGCGGAAATTGGATATCTACAATGGTTGTCGGTTTGGATGTCCGTGGCTTAGCCGCCACAGCGTCTCTGCGAGTGAATTTGCCTTTTACATCAAAAGGATCAAAGCAGAGAAACCGGCACGACGCTCTCTACCTATCGAGGTCCTGGGGTTGACCGTCTCCAATATCTCCAGTGAAGACTGGAGTCGTGCTGGTAACCAAACGTCGTTGCGGGCATCTCGTGCAGTGTCCCCATCTAACGATGGACATGAACTAAACGGCTTCTCTGGCGTGCAGCAATTGCTCCAATTGACGAGTAAGCTTGTTAGTCTACACCTCACCTTCGATTTTGAGATGGAGGAAAACACAAGGGGACCTGAAGACCCTTATAAGATCTTCAAGAGTATCGCAGACGATGTGCATCTACCCCGACTAAAACATTTCTACTTGACCAACTTCTCAGTCACGGGTAATTCATTACTCAAGTTCCTCGGAAGCCATCCGCAAATCATATCACTTGATATCTGGAGAGCTTCTATTCCCGAAGAGGAGAGGTGGAATCCTACATTGAGGTATATCAACACCAACATGCCTGTTTTGAGAAGCGTCGGTCTTTCAGCTCTCAGAAAAGGCGACCGATTTTGTGAGCTAAATCCAAGACCTCACATGAGGCTCAATACCTTGGGTGATTGGAATTTGGGCTTCGACACTTGTACTCATCGCTGCCCTTTGGACTGTGATAGCTGGCCACGAGCTCATAAGTATCTTGGCCGATTAAGCAGAACAGATGTTAATTCCCGGTTTGTGTATTCTCGATTCGGGATATTCTGGAACTGTGATCCTCCAGAAGGAAGGATGGTCGAGGGGATGGTCGAAGGTAGTATAGCAAACGATTTCTGGTATGATTTGTTCCATCTTCCAGGACGAGGCCACATGCTTACATGAAGGGTTTTGTTTTATAGGGACTGTTCGGATGAAGAAAGTTGATTGTCAACGCACTACTGCATCTATATGACTTGAAAAGCACGAATCGCCTTTTGCCACCACTAGCAATTTATGTACTGCAAAACAGGGCCTGTAGGTAGATAGTGTAGTATGTGCTATATGTGCTATTCCAAAGGGGTATCTCATGCAAAAGCAAAGCAACGCCAAGAGAGCATGAAGCGAGATTCATGCCTCAAATCCAAACATGTTCATATAAAACCAATCCATCCCATCAATAATACCCATCCCAAATACCTCAACTCATAACCCTCATAGCCCCAAAGCCAGCATTAACCACCACCCCCACAAAAACAGCCACTCCCTTCCTCCAACTCCACACGCCCTCCTCCCTTCTCAACCACATCGCACAACCGACAGGCCAAAAGAAGCCCATCACCGCGCCCCATAGCATATCATCCATCGCCGTCCTCGATCCAGACCCAAACCCACCATCATCATCCCCAATCGCACCCCCTCCTCCACCACCCTGCGCCTGCGCAACCGTCGACCCCTCATCCATCCACCGATCCTCTAGATCACGCAATTCCTCACCCGTAGGCATGGTATCTGGCGTCCGAGAGACGGACTGCACGGCGAGGAATTGGGATCGGAGGGCTGTGACTTCGGCGGGGGTGAAGCCGGCGGAGAGGAGGCGGTCGAAGCCGCGTGGGGCGGGTGTTGTAGATGTTGTTTGCTGTGGCTGAGCTTGGGATTGTGATTGTGAGGTGCTGGCACCGGTAGACGCCAGGAGAGACGAAGAGCGAGACCCATCTTTCTTCTTTTGGAGGAGGATGGTTGAGGCCACGGATGCCTCGGCGGATAAGTCGGACTCGGAAAGCGCGATGTCGCCGATGGAGCAGTGGATGTAGACGCGTGGACGGGAGTCGCGGAGGGGCTGCTTGCCCTTCGCTTTACTCTTTGCTGAGCCATTCTCTGTGGCGGAGAGCTCGTCTCCAGCGTCATCGTCTGCGGGCCGAGGTGTGCGGGATGGTGAGGGTGGGAGCTTGAGGGAAGTAGCGAGGGCGGTTGTGTCTTCTAGTCCGCGACCTGCGTAGATGAGGCGAAGCCGGTGAGAGGAGAGTGACGGTGGGAGATTGGCGCGGATTAGTTGTTTGAGGCCTGCGCCTGTTGTGGTCTCTGCGTCTGGGACGTCGAGGTGGAGGTCGGGTATGGACGCGGAGAACCGGACGGTCAAGAGCAGGTCGTCCGCCATCAGTTCGTTAGGTGCGTGTGGGGAGAGAAAGGATGGTGACGCCATGTTGTGCTGGGATTAGACCAAGACCATGTGTTTGTTGGACTCGATGGTGTCCAGAGCTGTCGAAACTCGATAGCTACTTGAAGTTGGAGAGTCCGGGGGAAGTGGATGCTGAATTCCGACGATTATCAACGGCCGGGTAAGTATGGAAGGGGAGCCAATGAAGTGAGTGGAGCAGGATAACGGATCAAGGAGAGCTCTATGAGACAAAAATGAAGTATTGAACAAAAAGGAACACTCAGTAGCATTGTTACGGAATACCGACAAAAATAGTCGCGCCCGGGATCGAACCGGGAACCTTCTGAGTAACTTGGATCCATCTGAAGCAGACAAATTCATCCCATGTGAATCAGAAATCATGACCATTAGACCACGCGACTTTGATGAATAATGAAGACCGAATTTGACTCTATATTCCTAAATACTTCTGCTATTATCACAAAGAGGTAGTGATGTTATGCTGGCTTAGGTGAACTTAATCGATATTATAAAAGTAGGTAGTGTTTTTCTATACTTATTACTCTCCCTAGTTAACTGACTAGTTAGTTATTATCTTTCTATTTAGTCAGAATATAGGACCTAATAGAATTCTATTACAAAATACCTAATATATCATTCAAAATTAAGATCTTAGAGTAGCCTGATATTAGTCTTTCCTAGTATAGTCAAAACCTAACACCATTATATAACACTATTTCAGATAGACATTCCATCAAGTCGCGTGGTCTAATGGTCATGATTTCTGATTCACATGGGATGAATTTGTCTGCTTCAGATGGATCCAAGTTACTCAGAAGGTTCCCGGTTCGATCCCGGGCGCGACTATTTTTGTTCCATGGACTTGATGGAAGAGCAATCCTGGTGGGGCTTTTCGGATTTACCAGGAGGGAAGTATGATACTGGGCCAGTCTGGCTGCAATCTCAGCGAATACAGCAATTAACATAGTTTAGACGACCATCTTCACATACATGATTCTCCTATGATACGCAGTTCCAGGTATCAATGGAAGGACATTTTCAATGATAGTACTGGAGATATATTCTTTTGATCACGATAATGCATTGATCGATGCTAGCAGTCCCAGGACTATGCTTCTTCCATATTATTAACATATACCAACTTTTCACTCAACATTCCATATCGCCCTAGCAGACGACAATCGAGTACTAAAAACAAACAAAACTCGCTATTTCCAACACAAATCAAGAATGCATCCACTTTAATGCGGAAGGAACTCCCTAGCCGAAGCCTTGAATCTCGAAACCATATATCCAGGGCTGCAATTCGCCTCCCAGTCCTCATCAAATCCTTCGTTCGGGTTGTGAGGGTTAAGACTATTCTTCCTCTCCGTTGCAAGCAGAGAGACACCATGAGGCACCTGGTCCCCTAGTTCTGATGAATCGGAGCCCCTGCGTTCACCGCATGGGCATGTGGAAGTTGTCCTGGCGCCTGGTGTGGTGCAGGGGCAAAGGCCTAGAGAGCGATTGCATGGGACGCATTTGTAGTATGCGCGGCTGGTGGCTTCATTGGAGTTGTCGAGGCGTGTGGACACACGGACTCCAGGGAGTCCGCATTGGTCACATCGCCAACCTTGTGATGGGCCTTCGAAGGACTGCATGGTGTTTATATGAGGGGATTGTCTTGCTGGGAGATGACTAGAATGATTGTATAAGTGATTGTCCAGCAAAACAGAAAAATAAAATATCTTCAAGACTTACATCAAGTTGGACTTGAATGCGGAAAAGGAAGCCGATATAGAAAGAAAAGCCTTGAGAATAGCCTGAAAGTAAATCTGAATTGCTCGGCAGTCAAGTCCGGGGAAGAATCCACGCCTTATAAAGATTTTGATTTTGATTTTTTCATTTTGCGGGGGAAAAGGAGGGCGATCATTATGACGCTATTTACAGACACAAGAGACTACTGCCGAATGGTACAACCCCAACATCATTTGCCAAATGATGCGATGCGAATGCTGGGCAACCCCATAGGATCCTCACGAAATCACGTAAAATATGGGGTTCTAGAACTCGGGGACGATCACAAACGGAAGGCGTGGCTGGATCGGGTAAGTACATCCCCGACGCAAACCGAGAAATTAGGTAATATCGCGCAAACGGGTCAAGTGACCCCTGGAAACATTTACGTTTCTCTGGTTTTATAGGTGGGTGGCTGTCACAGAATTGGCAGCCGATGAAGTAAGGGCCCCAGAATGCTTGAGGGATTATTATCCAGTCTATGGTCGTGGACGTGGCGTGAGGATCTATTGATTGGATCACGAGCAGTGCCGAGTAATCACGCGATAGGATGGGCAGCGTCACTGATTCAGGATTCATGAAGAATTTGAAGGTGTTGAGCCATGGTAGGCCTAGACACCTTCGTTGAAGTGTGCACTTCCAGGGGGGCTTGGATGTGGATCTAGAATCCTCTTTCGAGACAGACGATCCGGTCGGTATGTCTGGTGATATATATCGCTCTATAGAGTCTATACCGGGTGCCGGCCCGGTACTAGATATCGTTGTTATTCCAAACAAGCCCTTATGAACATATGTACAGAGTCTTCTAATTCCATATGTATTCAACTAATCCCCACATACATACACCGCCACTCTTCATATTTTTTCTTCGTACCATCTCAACATGCAACTCATGACTCAATAATGTACAATGCCAAGATACAAGGCGTACGTCACCTGACGTGTCCACTACCAAGTGGCAAGCTCGGACTGATTGTTTTAGAAGATAGTGGAGAATCATAAAATTCAGATCTAGTTATTCTGGGATATAGCAGCGTGTATCATAGTCATTGTTAACTTGAAAGTATTAGTTGCCGCGGAACCTCGGAAGTAGCCCTGCAAGTATCGACTCATAATGCCGAGCTCCCTGTGACGATGCATGTCCTCATCTCATATATTTTAACGGTGCTCTGTATTTCTTGCTATCCTAGCAATAGTCCGAGCAATATATGATGTTTGTTGGAAGATTTGTACACCCCTTGATCTTGTTTTCAATCACCTGTAGATCGGCTCCAACTGTAATCGCGGTGCCTGGCGTGGAACTTTCCTAGAAGGAGTTGCCTTAATCTTAGATAAGTAGCTGGGATAAAATTGATCAACCAGCGGGCTAACCTTGTTTTACCTAGGTTCCCTCTTTGTTACGAGTTCAATAGAGCCATGCAGTAAATGTGCTTACCGCCATATAAGTTACTTTTAGCCGCGGTCTATTCTCGAATGGTCTGATTCGAGTCCCATGAGTCATGAAGTCCATTATACTAATCTATGAAAATACAGTCACATGATGTAATCGCGAGATACAGCTAGGCAGATTTCATAAAGATGGAGTCAAGGGACAAGCTGCCAGGCCTCTACGGCCTAGAGGAATCTATCAACAAAGCTCGAGTCTGTCCGGTTGCATGACCGCGGAAAAGCGATGGAATCGCACAACGGAGTATGTCGGTGGAAAAATGGGATGGAAAGAAAGAGGAGAATCTGTATCAACTGGATATCAAGCGTATGTACCCGCCCAAAAGAGCGGTCGTGGTCCCCGAGACCGGGAACCGAGTGTGAACAAAAGATGAGAACGCCGTCCGATGCACCGTGAGCGAGGAACGCCGAGAACCCAAAACAAGGAGACATGTCGAAACGAGCGCTTAAACCATGAAGGATTCACCGCAACCACATTCTTCCTCTGTTACCAGGGGTTAGTAACCAGACCAAATACTGCGTGGGAGTTGATTTGTAATACAGGGGAAACTCACTGATATTGGGGTTGCGGAAAACAAATCGCCTGCTCAGCGGATCTTCGTGCCAGTCCATTTCACTGCCAATAATGCTGAACAGAGCCTTGCTGTCGATCAACACCTTCACGCCATCCTGCTCGACGATCTCGTCGAATTTGCCCGGCTTCTCCACGTACTCGAGGTGATATGCCAAACCCGAGCAACCGCGGTTCTTGACTCCTACTCGGATGAACTTGGGCTCAGGCTGCACCATCAACTTGCGAAGCTGCTCCGTAGCCAGCGGTGTCAATTTCATGGCCGCCTTGCGTGCCCTCAATGGCCGACGGGGCTTCGGGGAAGTCTTCAGAGCAGCGGTCGAGGTGGTCGTGGTCGGCTTGGGCTTCTGAGCTTCGCCTTCTCGTAGGGAGACTGTGGAGGACTCTGATTTCGAGGCGGTCTTGGTGGGTTCTGTGGGGAAGGGGAAATCGGCGGTGATCGAGGTATCGGCGACGCCGTTGCTGCGCGGCATCGGGAAAGACGACGGGAGTGTGTGTGGCCGGTATGCAGTCGCTGTTTGCATATCACGTTTGGAAGACATGTAGGCGTTTCCACTCGAGGAGAAGCAGCGCAACGACTGGGAGAAGCGTTGGCCGGCCGAGGGCTTCACCCATCGGAGAAGTGTGGCGGATGATGTCACTGGGCGCTGCATGGTGGTGCAGAGACTCATGATTTCGAGGAAACACAGATGGGATGAGTGAGCGCAAAGAGAGAGCTATACAGGCATAGGAGCTGTCTGTGAGGACGAGGGTGGTGGTGTTGTGAGTGGTGAATTGAATGCGGGTGGAAGGAGAGAAGAATCTCTCTGTGTTTGTCCTTCCCCGGCGGTCCTCGGATTAGCTAAACCTATTGCATGATCTGGGCTCCCACCAATCAGCGTCGAGGTGTTTCTACACACGGTGGCGCCACTACAAGACGGGTACCGAATGCTGTACGGAGCATTTATACGGTGCATTTATATAAGAATAGTGATTGATCTTTGATCGAGAAAGCTATTTATTCGAAATAGCCATTATCTACATATTATTTGAGCTGGCTGCGCATCTCATCACACTCTAAGCCTTTAGTCTTGTCTATGCAGTTTGCGTTTATCGGTAGATGAGTCAGCCATATTGGCCTGTGGCGGCCTGAGGCATCAAGGTGTCGGCTGGTTTGAGGCGATTTGCGGAGACTACAGAAACACTTCCTCCTTCATAGCAATGAGGCATGATAGTTTACTCAAAATAACCTAATTACTTGATCAGGACCTGATCTGCTTGATGATATCTTCTAATGGTGGCATATCCATCATTTATTTCTCTTTCCATACATGGTAGATAATCCGCGGCCTAGGCATCTCCATTGTTAAGGACATGTGGCTGGACCCGCTGACAAAGTGGCTGGTGCTGAGTTGTTGGCCTCGCTGAAGCGTCAAAGAACCAACCACCCAACGACTGCTGCATATTACATGTTACAAATTCCAGGGGTCTAGATCCTGTGCTTGAATCATGGAGGCCTCGCCCCTCACGCAGCAGACCAGGCCCGAGACGTTCACGCCAAAGATCGTTCAGCTCTACGAGACCCTCTTCAAAGTATGCCCCTCCAACCCCATACTGCCTGCCCAACACATTCTGATATTCAACTCCAGACCCCCGACGATGTTTATGTGGAGCCCTCTGAGGGATTCTGGAGGGAGTTCTTTCTCCTGCCCCCAGATAGGGGCCGGTTGCATTCCCTGCTGGACGGGTTGAGTCCTGACGAGACGTTGAGTCTACAGGTGCGTGTCCATTGTGGCGACGACCTGTCTACCACGGCCGAAATTGACCATATGATCCAGACACAAACAAAGCATCTATTTACAAGGGCCATTCGTGAGGCGTCTTCCGGAGTAGCTCCTGTCGACTCTTATGCATTAGAAGTGAGTATTTACGTGCGGTCCCGAATCAAACCAAGTCATTGACTGACAGCACGATACAGACTCTGACGGTCTTTTTGACCAGCATCTTGAGCAAAAAGTACACGAATCCTAGCTCTGATCTCATTACAGTCCTTGCAGGCCTGGACGAAGTGGATCATGTCATTTCCGAGTTTGTGGCTGTTTTGGATGGCATTGTGCGCAATGGCAACGGTCGTGAGTAGCCCGAGTCTCATAACGAAGAATGGCAAGTGAAACTAATATTTTCTCATCGAAGTTGAGCTCCGTCGTAAAGCAATCAGGGTAGCCATTGCCATGACCAGCGGGGCATACAAAACCAGCCTTGTCTCCTATTTCACCCATCGGGATCTCTTTCCCTCGCTGATGAAGGTATTAATCTTAAGGCTTCCCAAATCGTATATCAAACGCTAATAGGAATCAAAACAGTACGTCAATGATTCAGAGACTCCATTAGACATCTTCGATCCCTTCTTGTTGCTGGGTCTATTGGCAAACTACAACAAATTCGAATTCCAAAACCCCTACCAGCTCCGACTCGACGACTTTGTCAACGAAGCAAGCATCCAAAAGATTGTCAAGGGCGTCGGCCAGACATGCAGTGGTCTGCGCAACGGCTACGTCGCCGTTCAGGATGATGTACCCGAAGGCTGGACCTTGACCAACACCCTCATCTTCTTCGGGCTACGAGCTCTCGCACCTGGTGCAAGGGACAAAGCGAATCCACCCACGGCAGAGGAGGCAAAAGCAATGTTTGCCGATCTGTAAGATACCTTCTCCCAAGTTCCTATACCGCTATACGCATGCTAACACAACAGCAGCCCCGCACAAGAAGCCGCCATTCTAATGGCCACCTACGACTTTACAAACTCAAACAAGCTCTTCGGGTACCACCTGGTCCACATGAACCCGGAGAAAAACGAAGAGTCCCCATTCTCCAGCTTCCTCTCCCTATCCTCTTATCTCTTGCAGCACGCATACCGGTCCCCGCGGGTAGCGCACTACGCCGAACTAAGCCTCTTCACGCTCCGCATCCTCGTCGAAGACCCAACTCTCTGCAAACACATCTGCAGCGAAGATGGCAAGCGTCGTGTCCGGCTGTGCCGGCAGCGCCAACCATATCTCCCAGTCGTCAGCGGAGACCGCGTTCTTGCATCCGTCGTCTTCGACGCTATGATCGATACTATCACCCATAACCTCCGCAGGCGACTGGACGTCAACATTTACAGGTAAGCCAGTCCCCCCGCATCATATCATACACACCTTCCCCCCCCCCCCCCAAATCCATACCATACCCTAACAATCATCCAGCCACACAATCGCAATAACCCTCCGCCTCCTAACATACCTCTCCACCAACAAAATCCGCCTAACATACCACTGGTCCGAACTCTGGCGCACCCTCCTCTCCCTAATGCGCTTCCTAACAACCTACGCCACGGACCTCTCCTCAAACCCAAATATCCAAACCCTAACCTCCTCCCTCGCCGATCTAATGGCTTTCTGCATCTCCGCAGGCGACACGTTCCTCCCCGACCCATCCTCCTACGACGACCTCTTCTATAAACTCGTCGAAACGGGGCCCGTCATCTCCAAATTCCGCGACGTCTACGGCTTTGCGAATACCGGTACCCCTGCACGCCCCGGCTCTGGTCCCGCAGATCCCACCGCGAAAAATATCCATGCCGCTGCAGTCGACACACTCCTATCCGTCTCAACACATTTCTACACCCTCCTCTTCCAGTCCGATGGGAAAGATCCCGCGGCGGCAGCGGCGGCGGCGGCAGCGAGTCCCAAGGTTGACGGTGAACCTACGCCCGTAGCGCTGCCGTCTATCAAGAAGAAGAATTTGAGTCCGCGCGAGGTTCATCGCATTATTAAGCAGGGGTATGATACGTTGAGTATTCAGCCGCCGGAGGGGTTGACGACTTGGTCGCGGTGGAGGGAGACGGAGTGGAAGGGGGAGTTGAAGAGGGCGGCTAGGTGTGCGGTTGATGATGCGAGGCAATTGGTTTCTTGAGTGCTGGTGTGACGGGGTGGATGGGATATGGGGATGCCTTGGGGTGTTGTTCGAGTTGGAGGTTTTGTGTCTTGAGATATCCAGTAGAGAATACATGTTTACGTGTGACAAACTATATGGACTAGGATGGTATGTACTCTGTAGAGAGGATCTTTGATAGATTTTGAATTTCATATTCCCATTCGCTCCTCTAGTAGGAGCAATGCTCAGGATATCACCGTGTTATCAGAAAAGCAAGAATAAACACAAGAAAGAAAGAGAAAACACCCGACCCATGGACCTCTTGTGAAGGCTCAACGAAGAAAATGAAACAACCATCGCCGAAGCATCAAGAAGCCCGATAGGAAAAGCAAGGCACAGGATTGTAGCTGCACAGGATGACAGTGGATGGAGAAGAAACGGTGTGTCCTGGAGGAGAATCGGAAGGGTCCATGAGATCAAGCATCATCACCATCCTCGGCTGATGGTGTGTGCGTGTGAGATTATGAGATGGCGAGAGGGTGGAAAGGTGAATGGAGATGATAATGAAGATGAAGATTTTTAGTTGGAAGCCTTGACAGACTGTTTGACGACGGCATCTTCGGCTGAGATGTACTCGGTACGGAAGTACTTCTCAGAGTTCTTGGACAGCCACAGGGAGAACTTGGAGAGCTCCTCGCGCAGCCGCTGGGTAGCCTGGAGGTCCATGTTGGTCTGTGCAAGCAGTTCGGGGAGGAGACCTATAGGAAGAAAGATTAGAATCAAATCAGAAGAAAAAAGATCAGCAGTAAGGACAAGGAATCACTTACTGAAGAGACGGATGAGATGCTCAGCTCCGTAGACATCGACAGGGCCTTTGCCGTCGGGGGTATTGCCGAACTTCTTGCGGAACAGGCGATATTGAGGACGCTCGTAGCGGTAGAGCAGGAGCTTGTCGAGCATGGTGTCGAAGTACTCGAGAATGCCGGCAATCACCTCGTCCAGGACGTCGACATCAATGCGCATCTCCACGCGCTTAGGAGCCTCCTCGTCACGCCACTCCTGGAGAATCTGGCGGACGGGCTTGGGAGCAGGGAGGCGGATGACGGCGCCATTCTTGGTGACGCGCTCCCAGTCGTCGACGATCAGCGCCTTCAGGTTGTCCGGCATCACGATGCGGATAGAAGGGCGGGAGTGGAAGGTTTCCTCCTGTTCAAGGTCGGAGTGGACCGCGTTAGTGCAATTCTCATGAGAGGTAGTGAGGCTCGTGAAAGGACCAGAACGAGTGATTGTTCTCCTTTTTGGGTTGAGATATTCATGGGTGAAAGTTGAAGAGGGGGCAGGAAAATCCTTCTTGCGAGGCATGATGGCTGGATGTGTACTCGATGACGATGGAAACTAGCCAGGAGGAGTCTGGAAAGATGTGTTTGGGAAGAATGGAGGGAAAGATGGTTGAGATGGGGGGAGATGTCTTGATGTGGAGACCAAAAGTGAAGGAACAACGACAACGTACCTTCTCGATGTCGGTCTCACCACGAGCCCGCTTGCTAGCCCGGCCGGGTACCGAGTTGCCGCGCTCCTCACTGTCACGGACGGAGCTCCGGTCGGACATGGCGCGCTTCTTGGCCGTGGGCTTCGCATTCTTCTGGCGAGCAGCAGCCTCCACCTCACGGCGCAAGTTGGCGGCCAGCTCGCGGTTCTCCTCCGTGGCCTTGCGGAGGCGGTCCTCGAGAACCCAGTCGTCCCAACTGTGAAAGAAAAGTAAGCATATGATCTCTTTGATATCGATGGAGACAGAGAGCAGTCGATCATGAAAAACATGATGAACCGACTCTATTCCGGGGATCAGAGTGAAAGGGCATGATGGGCAAAAGTGAGAGGAGCACGAACAGACGACGCCGGGTCTGGAGACGGGACATGCGAACGAAGACACGATCCATGGTGTATTTTGGAGGTCTCAGAGGGGCGTGCAGAAGATGAAAGCAACGGTGTAGAGGGAAAGAGTAGAAAAGAGCAAACCTACGTGTTCTTCCAGCCCTTATAGTGGACTAGATACTCGAGGACGCTCTTCTTATCGGCGGCGTCCTTGTGCCGCACCTCTAGGATCTTTGCATCGTAGAGGATGTCGTGGTGGAAGCAAAGGACCTTTTCGTCCTTGCTGTACATGGAGGAAGCGGGCATGATGGAGAAAGGGAGGAAAAGAGAAAAAAAAGATGATGGAGGAAAGCTTGGAGGCGAGAAGACGAGAGAACGACGACTGTAACAGGCGCAGGACTAGCACTCTGAAAAGGTTGAAGAGAAGACGCAAGAACGAACTTCAACAGACACGCACAATCTTTAAATAAGAAATTCCCGTAGGCAGTGAATGGTGAAGCTGAAGTTGCCTGGGATAGGCAACGCCTGGTGCCTTTCGAGGAGGTTGATATCTCAGTCTTGCCAGGAGACAATCTGCCCAGGCACCTCTGGGAGAAGTCGGTCTGGTACCTGTTTGAAGTTCAAATCAAGTCCTGCCTAATGCTCAATTGCTGAAAGAAAGCTCTGGAACAATGGAAGCCTCTAGCGTGAATGTCGTGACGCGTGTCGGGCACCGAAGATGGTGAGGAAGTGCAATTCCAGCAAAGGCGGAAGTGGCCCCTTGGAGAAATCAGGTGCAAGGCGAGAGTTTTTGACAGCCAGAGGACAGAATAAAGTCCACAACTCCGTCCCCGATTGTGGAAATCTTTGTTGGGTGCACAATAAGATCTGTCGCACAGTGTTTCTGTGAAGTCCTTGGATTACTGTTGCGGATTCCTCGTTATCGTCTCCATCTCAACGTCAAACACGTGATATCGGCGCGCCTCGACGGGAGACGCGACGCGGCCGCTTCTCATTTGGGAAATATTCAACTTGCAATCTGACTCGATCATTATCGCGAGGACTGCACCGGACTGTATTGATTGAGGAAATCCAGAAAGATTGTGTTCATTCAATCATGGCACCTTCGGAAGAATCTATCCTGAGCAACTTTTTGCTCTCGCCAGCACCTCTGCCGACAGTCCTGTCCCTGCAGAAATTCACAGAGCTATTTCCCAAGCGACTGCGCAGTCATCCCCATATTCGGACATTGTACCGAGAGCTGCAGCAAGTCAGGGAGCATGACATGGACCGGGTCAATGAAAATATCGACCAGGAGATCCGACAAGGCGAGCGACAGAAAGCCGAACTCCGCAGGGCCAGACGTGCCGCGGGTGTTGAAGCTGCCAATGCTGATGAGCAGCGGGAGATGGACGTGGATCTCCACCTATTTGGCCAGAATTCCACCACACCTGATGCTTACCATTCTGCGGAAAGTCTCCTGGCAGCGATGGAGACTGCCTGTGCAAACATCGAGCGGGAGATATCCGGTATTGATCGAGAGGCTGCGGGCCTTTTGAAAGAGCTGAATACGACAGTTGGCAATTTGAGTGATCTTCGTTATGGCAAATTGCAGGGACCAGCTGGCACTGCTAATACATTGGCCAGCGAGACTATTCAAGGTCTGCAAAACCTCGAGGAGGCCTGTTACAAGGGCATGGGCTCTGGTCCTTCTTGAGTCGGCAAAGGCTTCGATTGTGGCGTGATAAATTATCCTCCTCGACGACTTCAACTTCTACAGCAAATTCGCTTGAATAGCTTGATCATCTGTGGTGAGTGACTCCTATGGTCATGACAAAAGGAGCTGAAGGCTGACTGTGCAGACCATTTGGGCCAGCATGAGACGAACTACCAACATGGAGTACTTGTTTCTCTATCGTGCCCTGACGAGAATTTCAAAGATGGCCGCCGTGTTTAGAAATAGACTGCTCTGAACCATCAGATCAAGGCCCGGTAGAGGATGGTCTGGAGAGAACCAGAAGACCCTGATCTCCCGGCTGCCTATCTGAACAGTATCTCCTCTGCCCGCAAAGACGTGATTCGACAAGCAAAAGACATCAGAGTCTGTACTGCGATATGCAAATCATCCTTCTAGGGAAAATGTACCTGAAAAGGGCAAAGGGGGCATAATACAAGGCAAGAAGAGGGACTCGCCACTGATAGTACACTATCCTATAAATATGCAAATTGTGTTCGCCACGATCTCATCATAACCTCCTATAACCTCGTAATTTGCAGTCCAAATATCATCACATCGAAGATGTTCTGCCCTCTGAAGCCCTTCGTAAACTCAGTCTTTCAAATGAATGTACTTTCTCTCCCCACAATTTTGATGTGGGGTCGAGCGACAGGACGCGACCCGCGTCGCGCCTCTAGCTTCGTCTCTAAACTCAACAAGACTTGAGCAACCTCCTGCGATAAGATCATCAACGGATCCCTTTCAATACCTTCAATCATGCCCTCAATCCCACTGCACCCGCGCTCCTCCGGACTCGCTCCAACCAAGCCCACAGGCGCCCCCTTCCACCCTGTCCACCCCGTCCACAACCCTCTGCCTCAGCTTCTCCAAACACCCTCAGGTCTCGCGCTCCTCGAACTTCAAGGCACAATCAACGTGCCAGCCTCAGAGACGGAACAAGATGGACCCGATGAAAACCAGGACCTCGAATCTACATCCTACGAAACCCCCATCGGCAAACTCATGTTCCCGGACTACTCGATCCACAACCCGGATGACACCAAGTGGATGAAACGGGTGTATCTCTATGTTGGCCGGTACCAGCGGATGACTGGAGAAGTGAAGAAACTGCCACGACCGATTGCGGTGCTACAGAAGAGGGCTGGGACAGATGGGTCGGAGGAATTGGAGGTGGTGGAGATTGTGCGGTATAAGGTGTTTTTCAAGAACCGACCGGAGCCAGTAAATGATGTTTGAGGCTGGAGTTGAAGGGATATATATGGAAGATTGATTGATGGATCTTTGGACATGGGCTGATGGATTCATGACTTGAGGGAGTATGCTCGCGCTGGTACAAGTCTGTGGAATGATGTTTCTGAGGGACTACAGTATGGTTATGGGCTATGCTGCGCCAATCGGTCCTCGCGGACGCCATCACCGACAGATACAACGGTACCCAGGCCATGAAACAGAAGATCTACAATGCCGCTCCGTTGTCCCGCGCGTCATTCCTCGTCCGAGTCCATTTCAGACTACGATCTGCTCGGTCTTGCTCGGATGCCCGTCGGGACAACGAAGGGATAACCACGGCAGCGCCGTGGCTTCGCCGATAACTGTGCAGCTCCCTTCATCTCCAGTGAAGATCCCCGGAATTGACCATGAGGAATGAAACAACCAATGTCCCAATGATATCAGCATTGCCTCTTTTGTCTTATCGCCAAGCCCAGGGCCGGACCCGCGGAAAGGCGGGCAAAAAGAATGTGTGACGTGAAAGTTTATGCAGGCGAGCCCGAGAAAACAATCCTGAAAAATAAGCTTTGTCCACTCTCCCTTAACCAGCTTACTCTCCTTCCTTCATTTGCCCAATTCCTGCCTTCTCCAGCTCAAAACTCCCAATTGACCTAGTCAATAACTCTCGACGGCGAGGGGAGATAAAAGCAAATTCCTCGCCATCGACCTCCCCTCCTTCACCTCCTAACCAGCCACCCGCTGCAAACAAACGCCGTCATGACCATCCCCGCCGCAGACGAGACCATCTTCCCTACAAACCTGGGCCCTGAATACGTCGGCTTCGACCATATCCTCTGGTACGTCGGCAATGCCAAGCAAGCCGCATCCTACTACATCACCCGCATGGGCTTCAAGCCCATCGCCTACCGGGGTCCAGAAACAGGCTCGCCCTACCTGGCCAGCTACGTGATTGCCAACGGCGATGCGGTCTTCGTTCTCACAGCACCGGTTTGCGGACCTGAATCCAAGACGGAGAACAATAATAATGCCCTCCAACGCGCGACGGACGAGGACCGCGCGGTACTAGCCGAGATTCACGAGCATTTGACGACGCACGGCGACGGAGTCAAGGACGTCGCGTTCCGGGTTACCGGGGACGTAGGCGCGATGTGGAAGCGCGCCGTTGAGAACGGGGCTGCTGCTGTGGCGGAGCCGAGGAGTGTGAAGGCGGATGGCGAGAGCGATGGATATATTATGAGGGCGTCGGTGGGGACATACGGGGATACCGTGCACTCGCTGGTCAATCGGGAGCATTACAAGGATACTGCGCCGTTTTTGCCGGGGTATCGGGTTGTTGATGGTGATGAGGATCCTATCAACCAGATCCTGCCGCCGGTCCAATTTCTGGAGATTGATCACTGTGTGGGGAATCAGACGTGGGGTGGAGTGGATCGGATTGTGCAATTGTAAGTTGACACTACCATTGTTTCGAGCAGAAGGTGGAAGGTGACTGGAGCTAACGAGATGTGGAATAGCTACGAGGAATGTTTGGATTTCCACCGTTACTGGACGGTTGACGACAAGGATATGTGCAGCGAGTACTCCGCCATGCGGTCCATCGTGGTAGCATCACCAAACGAGGCCATCAAAATGCCCATGAACGAACCCGCAGTTGGCAAAAAGAAGTCTCAAATTGAGGAGTAGGTTCTTCCCCTATCATATCTCGATACCCAAACCTTTAACCCCTCTTTATGCTCTATCTAGTGAAGGTTCTGACCATAATCCAGATTCGTCGATTACTACCACGGTGCCGGTGTCCAGCATATCGCCTTCCGCTCCAACGACATCGTCTCTGCCGTCACAAACCTGCAGGCCCGGGGCGTTCAATTCCTCAAAGTCCCCAGTACATACTACGCCGACCTGCGCCGGCGTCTCTCACATGTCTCCTGGACGCTGAGCGCCGACGTCGACGTGCTGGAGAAGCTCAATATCCTTGTCGACTTTGATGAGCGCGGGTACCTGCTGCAGATCTTTGCCAAGCATGTCGGGGATCGGCCAACTGTGTTTGTCGAGGTGATCCAGCGACGTGGATTCGATGGGTTTGGAGCTGGTAATTTCAAGAGTCTATTTGAGGCTTTTGAGCGGGAGCAGGCGCTGAGGGGGAATCTGTGATATCTGACCCTGTGTAGGGATTTGATATCTTGCTGCATAATACTTTAGACTTGTCGATCCAGTCATATCCAAATCATCGGGGCGGGGCTTTTCTCTTCTTTTGTTATGTGTTCAATCCAAGGAGCTAATAGAATCAAGTACCTTTCATGTTGATGCAGGTGCTCTTCGAACTGGTAGTATGTTCTGCTACACAGCTGTACAGGCGAAGGCTTGATCATGAAGTATTCAATCCTCATTACCCTACTACAACCTCCCCCGTTGGAAATCTCCTCACTCAAACGACCAACCCCCGGTCTTCTCCCCAAAGAAATTATCTGGATCATACTTCTTCTTAATCCCCCTCAACCTCTCAAATGTCCCAAACGACCTCAACGGCTCCTGATCCACATTGGCATCATTAATAAAAAGCGGCAACCCCTCCGCATTCCCACTTTCAACCACCAGATCCCTATAACTCGCCTGCACAGCATTATAATCCGCGTCACTCATACCAGGAGGCGTACTAATCAAATAATTCAACCAAAACCATGGCCCGTCCGGCATCTGCATCGCATTCCCGCCCTGCGCCTTACTCGCGTCCGTCAAACTGCGCGGCACGGGCTGGAAGTCCAACGAGAGCAGGATGTATTTGCCCTTGTTGGATTCGGCCCAGTCGCGCCATTTATCGAGGGCGTTGGCGTAGGAGTTGTTTTCGGGGCGGTGCACGCCGACGCGGAAGATGTTTGCGCCGCGGGAGAGTTCGGTGGAGAGTGGGATGGGCATGTTAACTACCTCTGGATACGTTTTGATACTGAGTGTGTTGAGCAGGTGCGGGATGGAGGTGAAATTGGCAAAGGCGTTGCCTGGATCAGGCCCGTCGTAGACGAGGAACATGATGATTGCTTCGTCGAGGTTGAGATTCAAGTCCGGCGTTGGGAGTTTCTCGTATGTGCCGATGATAGCTGCCTTAGGGTCGGTGTTGTATTTGATGAAGTTGCCGATAGCCTCGATGACGGTGTCTTTCTGCGGGAAGGTGTAGATGATATTTCCAGCGTATAGTTCGCCGATGGGCCGACTTTGTACGGTATACTTTGTGACTACGCCGTAGGCATTGCCGCCGCCGCCGCGGGAGGCGAAGAAGAGATCTGGATGGGAGGATTCTGATGCGGTGACGATCTCGCCGCTGGGCAGGACGATTTCTAGTTCCCGGAAGGAATCGCAGGCGAGACCGTACTGCGGCGAGAGATAGCTCATGCCGCCGCCGAGAGCGAGGCCGGTGCCTACGCCGGCGAGACGGGCGCCGACGACGGTGCGGTTATACTGGACGTAGTAGTCGTATAGATCGCCGAAGACACCGCCGGGTTCGTACGTGGCGAGGGTTGTTTCGGGATCGTAGGATTTAGCTGTCATATGGCTCATATCGAGGAGTACGCCTGCGTCGACGGAGGAGAAGAAGGTGTTTGGATTGTGGCCGCCGGCTTTGATGGCGAAGCGACTGTCTGCGGCGCGGATAGCTTGTAGCGCCGTGGAGACGTCTTGCGCAGAGGTTGGATAGACCACGCATGAGGGTTTGTAGGCATCTTGAATAGTGTTCCAGTACTCTAGACTCTCGATATACTGGAGGTTGAGCTGGCTGCTGACCACCTTTGAAGAGCCTAGCTGGGTGGTGATGTTGGCGCAGGCTGCGGGACCGGCTGCTGTTGAAGCCGTAGTCTCATGAATGAGGAAGGCACCTGCCAGCAGGGGGAGATAGACGTGTATCATGGTGATAATGCTCGAGGCCACCAAACTGTCATTGAGAAGAATTGCTCCCTAGGGGGCGCGTCGAGGCTTCAAATAGTCCACATTTCCATTCTAACATTGTCGCGAGGATTTCTATTTCACGTGAGTAAAGAACTGTATATTCAGGATGTCCATTGAAAAGAGGATGATCCCTCGGCATTTGTATACGATAGGAATACGGTGGACTCGGGAATGGGGATACGATGGGAATACGCCGGTTCGACCGACAACGAGGGGGGGGTTCACTTGGCCTCAACAGGGTAAAAGGGGCAGCGATCACAATCTCCAGTAGCCTCAGCGAACGACAACGCCATGATGGAGGGAGATCAGAGCCTAGATGGGGGGTCCGATTAACCTCTTTTAGGGCACACTCCGGAATTTATGCAGACATAATCCTTGGAGTAAGACTTGGTGGGGCTATCTTTTGGATGTTGGCAAATGAAGAAAGTCGGGCAAGTGTGGGGGATTTCGGGGCTGACGTAGATCCCCTGGGAGAAGGAGTTATTCCATTAATGCAAATTGATCCTGGGCTTGTTGGATTCCTCCTGTGAACTTGTTTTTGAGGTGGTTGATGGCATCTTTTGCTGCACGAATTAGATGACAAGCAGTCCTTTCTCAATTCATCAATTAGTGCGAGTGATGGTGTAGACATCACATGCGAATTCCTTCGTATGATCATTCATCCTTTTATGGTTTGATTATCCTCTCCATGAAGTTGAGACCAATACGTCGTCCTAGCTAGATCTAGTCCATTCAATAATAATGACTTGGTTAGAGTCAACCCTGCAGTGACCCAGCACGTGCACGAGTAACCCTAAAGACGCAGACATTTCGCCTGTTTAGTACAAGCGACTTGCCGATGCTTGCAAAGTAGTTTATCAACCACGCTTTATACAATTTAAATTGTACATAGCATATCGTAGAATGTCAAATTCTGTCAATCTCTGTATTAAAATAGGATCCATGTTGATGCGACTGCCTTATACTACGAAAACCCGGCATCGGCAAGGATGGCCAAGTATAGTAGTGAGTACTTTCCCACCGATGATAATCTTGATAACAATGATATCTACCTAGTACTTGAAATACCACAACATATATAAGAGCCCACTTCGCAGAGCATAGCTCTCCCTGGCCAAGCCTATGTACCGGAATTCCTATGCCACGTCCTGGCTTTCCCCTTCCGGATTAATACTCAGCCCCTCGCCGCTTTTGCTCGCTGAGTAGAACTGAGCACGCACCTGAGCGCTCTGATCCGATCAGTGAGCATGATGTAAGCTCACTGATCTGCTCACTGATCAAGTCTGACCCTCTCACTGGACAAAGAAAGCCCTGAGAGTGAGGCACCTTAATAAAACGCAACATGCTAGCCCTATCCACGTGAAACCCTCATTGTCTAGACTGCCCCCATGGTCCTATCGAAAAAATTATTGGCATCAATAAACCGACGTTGTATATTGGTACATTTGCTAGTATTCATTGCGCCTCGATGGAGCCTAATAGCTAATCACATAATCAGTCAATTAAATAAACTGCATGCTCCTGGGCACCCCTGCCTACTGGTTTCACGGTCTCCTGGATAGACATAGAGGGAGTGCTAATCTTAGAGTAATTATATGAATCTACCGGGAGACGGCAAGCCTCGTTTTTTTCAAGAGAGAGCCCTGCGGGCAGGGGAGTTGCGATCACCTTAGTTAGCTGTAGCTTATCTGTTTGCACCAGTGACCAGGATGTAGAGCTCCTGTGGCTCTAGAGGAGCTTTGCTTCCGTCCATGACTCTCTGACCCCGTTTTCGAAGTTGAGTGTACAAGCTCGTTGTTTTACGTTTTATTTTTTTCGGGGTCCAAGGAGCGGGGCCAATGTGATGTTGTGGCTCCTGTAGTCGTCGATATAGCTATATCCGTCGAATGGATCTAGTTCTGCAAGAGTGATGCTAAACGTGGACTCGATGAAAGAAATAGAAATGAGATTATAGGTAGATTCCATTTCTCCGTGTCATACTATCATACTCTAGACTACCGGCTGTCGTGATGCTCACCAGGAACTATAAGTCGTCGACACGTGACCGGATATCAATTTGATTAAGCATTTAAGGCATGCTTATTGAGACGACTAGTGATCTTAAGATGATTGATTCATCGACTTCAAATGATATCGCTTTTAAAGCCGATATTATGTTGTTGCTACCCCTTCCTCTTTATTGTCTTCAGTTCCTCCTGCCTCGTGTTCTCTGGAAGTTCTGTAGCTATACAAAACTAACTCAGCTCATAAACGTATTAACCACAGGCCCGAACGTTATGGTATTGCGTTTCATCTTGTAAAGGCGATGTATATGACTGCCATCTCCATGAGACGTACTTTCTTAATTCTCTAAGAATGATATTTTATCTATGAATATCGCTCACAGGCATCCAGATGCAGCTGTCTCGTATCCGTCCGCAATAACGTGGTTTATAGACAGGTTAAGTCTGGAATGTGCCAAACTTCCCCCACTACTCCGCACTGGATACAAAGAGTCTTGATTATTCTCTGGCTACTCGCTAATAGAACTTCATACTAAGTTTTCCAATTGTGTGAGATCAGGTCATAGAGGCAGCCGTGACTAGACAAATACGCCTACTGAGACTAGTGGATCTAATCATTTCGCAGTATTATCGAGAATTCCATCACACTACTGGTAGCTTCCACTTACTAAATAAACATACCGTCCTCTATACTCTTAAAATACTCTTTCAACAGCATAATTTCTTACTTTAAGATCCGGTATCTCATGAGGCGTGATCACATAGTTGAATACATTCCTTCGAACCCGCAGTGGCACCTCGATATTACGAACAACCTACCACCCACGCTATGATGCCTGTGGCCAGTACCCTAGTTCTAAGAAGTTCTTGGACCTTATTGTCATTATTTACAATATAATTTGACTGCCATAAACCTCAGTATAGGCTCAGGCGTTTCGGTTGAGGTTCGTAAATTCTTTGATCGAGATTGGACGTCGCTTGTTAGGTTTCATTTCTTACGCACGTTGAAGTAATTTGCACAGTTCGGTATTTCTTCAATTTCCATGTTCTCCTTGTTCTCCATTCGTTCCGCGTTGGAGGGATCGTATGGTGTGGACACAATACATTTAGAGTGGATAGAGATCCTCAATCTCTCAACATAATACTAATATCCTCTCGAACAAACGACAGGGGAGAGATGTTCAACTTAAAAAACGACCTGGCGCAACGCATGGTATATCATTCAATGATAGCGCGACTTCTCTCTATAACTGGCAGGGATGTGGTTCAAACTTGGTCGGTCCACTCGCCCATCAATACGACTAAAATGAGGGAAGGGCGTAGGTGGCCCAAACCCCGGATCGTCCACAGTAGCCTTGCTAGAACTGTCTGGATGTCCATTTTAGTTGGAATATCAAATTACGTGGAATGTTTGTTTGATATAGAGATTGGGTTTAGCTGCCCGGAGACATTAGGCATGGCATTCTCTACCATTGTTCCACTGCCAGATAGGGATTTTTGGGAGCGGCCCGTACTTGCATGCCTACCTACTTGCTTCTGCCTTCGACTTTCAGTCTGTTACCTGAGTGTGCCCTTCTAGTTTGATTTTCATTTAGCTATTTTCGGCCCGAGAAAACAACAAAGGATGACTAGGCAGAAATATCCTAATAATGCCTGCCTGAGACTAAAGCAATGTGTATAAATAAAGATATCTATATAGGCATCAGCACCTATGTAGAAGGAGATTGGTGGCATCTCCGTCCACGAAACCATCATGACCACTGTGAGTGCAAAAGAACCAGATATGATATCCCCGAGTGACTCACTGCTATCATGTAGTACCTTCAGAACCACGCTATCTACAGCGAAATTGACCGCATTGGACCTCGTGACCATGAGTCCACCATGTACGGAATATGGAATGCCATCCTAGCCCTGCAGTTTCCTGTTGCCCAGGGATACATAATCCGTCCCCAAGACCGGCATACCTCCCAGAGTGGCGAACAGGGCTTTTCAGATCTTCACGTCTTCCAATATCGCAACAATGCCACTAACGCCGACAAATTCCTCATTGTGCAATGCAAAAGGGCTGGCACCGAAACCCAGAACGCTGTTTGGGAGCAAGCCGTTGATCAATTGAGTCGGTACTTGAGCGCCACACACGGTAAACGTCGGCCCGCAGCTCGGACTCCTGTCTATGGAATAGCTGCTGTTGGCCGGTATGTGCGCGTGTACAAGTACAACGATGTCAACCAGATGGTTCTTAACTGGGTACCAAAAGGTATGCGTTGGAAAATGTGGAATTTGAAGGATCATCCTCAGCAAATCCAGCGAATTCTGGATCACATACTCAATAACCACTAGCGAATAGCTTCATATCTATGATGAAGAGTTGTTCCCACTTATTCAGAGTCGAGTTATGAAACTTAATAAAACATCCTAGTCAATAATTCGCAGTACCTACCGTGGGTACCTATGTACAGTAAGCCTGGCTCTGAATACATGACCAATCTTCGGAATATCCCGTCCAAATTTCCTACACCAGGTCTCAACTTATCCTAGCGTTCCAACAAGAAAATCCAGTCACCTTACCGCCTAGTCGCGTGAAGACCGGAAAACGACATTTAAAGTTAAAAGAAATACATATAACGCACAAGAAGGGAAGAGAGGACTAAGAGGCCAATCTTTAGAAGGCAAGGGTTCTACTTGAGATTAGATATACAAGGGTCACATGACCATGAATATAGAGAGCATTCAACACTTTTAGGCGACGAGCATTAGGAAGAGGGAAGCGTAAAAGTTTCCAGCATTTCAAGTAATCTGCCTCAAATTTAACGTTGACAGCGATCTTCGTAAGGCCACTCAAGGTACTGACTTTCCTTTTTATACCCCACGAGTTCTTGAGGGAACTCGAATCTATAGTCAAGTTGTTACGACATGCGACGCGCCTGGACCCGTTATCCGAACAGAGTAAAAGACCAAATGTTTTCAGAGCGTATTGTACAGGACCGATATAAGTAGCGTACGTAACGTTAGGAGACCCACGAGCCTAACACAAGGTTTACTAGCCCGGCTAATCAAATTCCCCCGACCCCGTGAGTCAAGCATTCATAATTGCATCAGTCCATGGCACCGACCCAGCATTTTTCTCTGCGAAGAGGGATCATTGAGTAAATCTGCTCTATTTCCATCAACTACGTATCCCATTCTTGTGGTCATTCTATCCTTAGACATCGTTATGGTGCGCCCAAGCCGGAACAACCCGTCCACTGAAGGTTGCCCCCTACCGCCGACATGCCTCCTTTGTCAAATGAAGATCCCAGATACTTTCAGCTATGGAATCGCGGGACATCCAGACCATAATCAGTTGCTTAAAGATCGGCAGCCTTGGAAAAGTTACTGGAGGACCAGTCATAAACATGTGATGGTGCCCTCAGCCAAAGTCGAAGAGGCAGACTTTGGTGATTTACCTCGACTATGGTCATGTTTCTGTCGAGCTAGTAAGTCACAAATGATATTATTCTATATTCCGAAGTTTTGTAAGGACTAACTAGTATATCTAGTAATCAAGGAGTCGGAGACTAAGTATCGTGTAACGGGTGTTAATGTCGCTCAATCCGGAACAGATTCTGATCTATACAACTTTCCAAATGACCCGAATATCGCGAGAATTGGCGGGAGAACAAACGCCCGATACGATCCTCAAATATTCACTAAATGCGCCGCGGCGGCGGCGGGAAGACAACCAGCTGTGCATAAAGGGAAGCGACTCGGGTTTATTATCCATGCTCATTGCTGGGTGCTCTTTAGTCGAGCGATTAAGATATCACCGACTGAGATCAAGCTCGAAAAATTTATCAAAGCTTGCCGATCTCACTGGCGCAAGTCAAAATTAGAGATTCTAGTCGATTACAATGCGTCCCTGTCCATGAGCAGGCCGAACGAGGCCATACAGGAGCTTGAGTTCGAGTGTGATATTTATCAGAATCCAGTGATCATCCCAGCTCTACAAGAGGTCATTATCCACGCAATCGAACGACCCTTTGCGACTACGTCCCGGGTATATTTCAATAAACTTCCTACAGAAGTCAATTTTCTCATCTCTGAGTGGGTCTGCCCGATTGACTATACCTCGGACAATGTTCGAAACATGCGAAATATGCTCCTCGCATTCAGATGGGATCTACCAGATTGGTTTTGGCTAAGGCGGCTATCGGAGGATTTCTTCTTTGAGCTAGATATTCTCAGAAAGACTAGCTCTCCTCCACCGTCTCAGATGAATTTGCAGATATTACGACTTGATGTGATGCGTCTCACCTTTGATCGAACATGGTATCCTCACTGTGGACTGGCAAATCGGCAACGTATACACAGGAATATAGTTGCGATTAAGAGGGGTCTAGGAGGTACTTAAGGGAAGTGTCTTGCAAAAAGGATTGCTTCAGAGGTGAAATCTATTTGCTTTTTATAATTGGCTCCGTCGAATGCGTAGCGTTTAAGTTACTCCCGGGGTCAAGTGTTTGCTCTTTGCTTAGCTGAATTTAGCTGAACGTTTGTAAGATTCTTGCTTACCATACGTCGTGCATCTTGAACCTAAATGGCCATTTTGTTCCCCCACCGCGTCGGACAGTATAACATGTGTTATAGACTCACAATACTCCATAGTTACAGGCGAAATCATTTCCGATTTTTGGCAGCAATGCAAAATGATTGATAATATCATCGCAAGTCTAGTCAGCTACGCGCTATAGCGACAGAAATTGAGCAAACAGGTCCCGATTCCCTTCTATCTACCATTCATACAACTACAAGGGCCGCGGGAGTGGGTTCTAAGCAACCGTCTCCTCCCTGCCCATCCACAATACAGCTCTTCCGCCGGGGCTCCTCTTCGCTATTTGGCTCCTCCAACGTTCCCCTTGTTTCCCCTCAAGGACTGACACCGAAACAGATGCCGTGGGAGATAATGCGCTAGCTCAGAAAGGGTTCAGATCAATCTCAGAATCGAATAAGCTATTCAAATAGCCAGACCCCACAGTTGACGGCGACGAATGCTTGCACGAGTCCGCAACGTGTAGCATAATCAATCACAACTGTATTCAATGCTATGAGTTCGATGGGACGGAATGGACGAAGTAGAAGGAGTGGATGGAGCGGAATGTGGATGGAGTAATTAGCCTGAGCTAAATCATCTACTTAAGAGGAGATCGCGGATGTAGTTAGGCCTTAATGTTCGAATGTGCCTAGAGTTACCGATAAGCCAGGAACCAAGTCTATATCAACGGAGGTCTAAGAACGTGTAGTCTGTGGACGGGATTATATGGATTTGTCGAGATACCACATATAACCGCATAGACTGAAAATGTCGCTCATGAAGCATTTTTGGCCTAGCGGTTATCCTGCATCGTCATCAGAATATTATATCCGAACTTCGAAGTAAGCCTATATAGGCCTATAAGGACCTAACTAGCATATATAGGAGGATCTGTTGGTGATGGGCTCTCCATACGGAGAGCGTGTCTTTGAATGAGAATGACAGTGGGCCTGACGGCTCAGGCCACCCACTAAGGTCATATAACGAAAGACTTTAGTTAGGTGACAGATAGTCTAAGATTAGAGGGTCAGGATCTAAATCATCTAATATTGGTCTATAAACTTGAGTGTCGACTGACTGTTCAATAGATGCCCTAGATAAATCCTGAGTAATCAATCCGGGACAGATCAGTGAGTAGCCAATCACAATCACTAAGCAGTCTCTGAGTAATCAGTGAGTGCTCACTGATCAATCACGTGATCACACCGAGCATATCAGAGAGTCGGAGCCTCGACTGAAATCTACTCGGTGAGCTTGACTCTGAGCGCCCTCGTAAAACCGGCGGCAGCTCACAAAGGAAAGCCCCACTTCGCAGAGCGTCGCTCTCCCTGGCCAAGCCTATGCATCTCCTATTTCCGCTCGGTTATTCGCGCCTCGCCGAGTGCGGAATTGACACGCTCTCTCTACCCACCAAATTCCGCACTCATCTCCAGTAAACCATTTGAATAACGACAATCCCATAGTCCCAGGAGTACAAAATGTAAATGTTAACACAGTTAAAACTAGAGTAACAATACCAATGGCTTGTGGAGTAGTATCTCCAATAGTACCAGCACCAGCACCAGCAAATACCATTCTACGATCCGCCAGGATCCGTAGTACCCCACGAAATATCCAGTCCCGCCACCCGCCCACGATCCACAGGAACCCCGGAAGTAACCAACACCGACGGAAGAAATATAAAGAAGTCAAACGAACATAACTCCCCAATGCCCCGCGGCCTAGAAAAGACCATTCACCTCTTCCCTCGCGCCTTTCCTTCTAGATCTAGATCTATATCGTCGACCTTCACAACCCCATTATCCAACTCCGCTCCCCCCACCACCCCCACTACCATCACCAAAATGGCCCCCATCGAGCGCATCACCCTCTTCAAAATCCCCAAGGAGGAAGACCGCCAACGTCTACTGGAGCAATACAAGATCCTATCCAAGACCGCCACCAAGGTAATTAAAAGAAATAGCAAGACACGAAACTCCTGCTTCAACTGTACCACAACCTTCTAACACGGCCCCCTTGCTCCCACAGGACGGAAAACCATACATCGTCTCCGCAGCCGTAGGCCTCTCCTACGACGACCCCCGCAACAAAGGCTACAACGTCTCGGTGAAGACGACATTCGCCTCGCTCGAGGATATGAAGTACTACGATACCGAGTGTGAGGCGCATAAGGCGTTGAAGGCTGTTGCGGGCCCGGTCAAAGAGGATGTTCTTACGACTTATTATGAGAATATCCTGTGAAGAATAATTTGTGGATTAAGTGGGATTAACGAGAGAGGGAGAAAAGGGCTGGTGGAACTGGTTTGGGTAGGAGGACCTGGAGGCATGATATGATTTCTGTGGTTGGATGGGTTGGGTTTGGTATAGAGGTATGGATTTGGATACGCTGTCAAGGACCGGGTATAACCAAACCAAACCAAATCAAATGGAAAAAGCTCATAGTCAAAATCTTACTTCCATTACTTCATTAGGATGTACACTGCGTAGGTCGAGTATGCGGGTTTCATTGAATCGGTCATGCTAAAAGCCAGCGTGGCAAGGGAAAATAGCTAGTAAGACACGAGCGAAAAGAATGGAAAACAACTCAGGGTATGATAACGCATCAAGGTCATCCAAGCGACATGCTAGACTAGCTAGGAAGCAAAACACAGGACTATCACAACCATATAAGATTCGTTCGTAACAGGTTACAGAGTAATGTTGAGTATGTAAGTACAAGAGTCGGCCAGAGGAATCATGGCAAGGCCGAGAGACAGCGCAAATGACACGCAGCAGAAATCGCGTAGAAAACAAGCATCCGGCCCATAGGCATGGGGTCTTGCACAGCATGGAGGAGGATCCCAGATCCGGCGCGCCTGGCTGTGAATGAGAAATATACAGGGGAGGGAAAGGTTTGGACCTGACATGGTCCGACGTGAGATAAATGGTGGGTGGTAGAGGTGGGAGTGTTTAGTCCAGGGCGCGGCGGATGTCACTCCATTTCTGGCGGAGAGTATCGTGTTCTTCTGAGATCTGGGATGTTTTTATCAGTTTGACGCCAAAGAATAACTACGAAAAAGAAGTAATGGCTTTGTACATACCTCGGCCCACTTCATCTTCGTAGCCACCAGCTCCTTCTCCATCTCCGCTATCGAGTCCTCCATCGCACGGTTCTCGTTCTGTACCTCAATGTTTCGCTTCATGATACGGTCCATCTCGGTCCGTAGCTTCTCCTCCACCTCGCCAGGCTGCTTATCAACTACGTTCTTCAACTGGTCAACTTGCAGTTTCAACGCGTCATTCAAGTCACGCAGCTCCTCATTCTCCACCTTGGCATGCACCAATTCCGAGGCCAGCTGCACATGCTCCTTATCCGATGCCTCGGAGCGCTCCTCCAAAAGTCGTAGCCGGGCGGCTTGTGTGCTCACAGTATGACGGAGGCCCTCTAGCTCGGCTTCACGCTCTTTCTCGGTGCGAACCTTTTCCTCCCACTCGCCGGTATATGAATTGATCATCTCCTGCGTCAGAGGCACGGCACAGGCATCTTGCACCATAAGGTCCGCACGGTATGTCTCCTTGTCAGCAGCGCCAGAGCTTCCGAAGAAGCCTGACTCCAGGATGGAAGAGGCAGAGGGCTGCTTGTCGATGTATGCATCAAAGAGACGCTCCTTCAGGAAAGTCGTCAATACACTCATGTCCTTCATTTCCAGCAGTGCCTCGGCATTGCGACGCATGATGGCAATAGAGAACTTGAGAATCGTGACCTCCAGGCCTTCCTCAAAGATCAGATCGTAGATGCGGAGGACCAGCTGCAGCGGGAAGCGGTAGGCGAAGAGAGTCAAGAACCATTGTGTTGCGTACAATTGCGGGGGCACACCCCGTCGCCGGAGGTGGCAGTAGAGAGCGGGCTCTAAATCTTCCAGTAGTCGCTCGAACTGGTAAAGGCTGCGGTGGAGACCAGGCATTTCCGAGATGAACATTTCACGGAGTCGATACTTGTTCATGAGTTTGACAAGCAGTTCAAAAGCATCGGCCTCGTCCATCTGTAGAGTGGTTAATCAATCATATCAGGGCAAGAAAAAAACCATTGTCGTCAAACTTACGTTGAACAACAGAGGCATGATGATGAAATTCATGCCTTGAGCATACCCCACGGCCTCATCATACAACGCATAGGCCTTGCACAGCCCGAACAGGCTTTCTTGGCTGCCTTGCGAGACAAAGTATTTCGAATAACTTGTCCGAGCACCCAAGTCTCTTCGGATAGTCTTCTCCAACTTCGACAGTACAGAAGCCTCATCCTTGGCCTTCTTCAAGCGGGTACTCTCACTAGCGGCCTGCTCTCGGGCCATCTTCTCGGGATCTGTCTCCTGAGAAAGACTGGGAGTAAGGCTAGTTGATTGTGTCCCGGAGCCCGAGTTGTTGGATCGGATAGAAGAGCGCGATGACGGAATAGACTCTTTCTCGGCCAGACTGTTGATCTGGACGCTCGGCGTTCGCTGGTCCTTGTCTGTGCCACGGGCAACCAATTCACGGTATTTCTCCTCCAACTCGCCAATCTTGCAGTCTGCCAAAATCTGCCAGATCACACCACGGATAGTCTGTGGAATTCCTCGCTTGATAGCGGCATTCAGTTCCTCCGAGCTGGCTAGGGCCTGTGGACCATTGTTGACCAGCTGTTGCCAGAGATCCCAGTCCACCGGTGTAGCTGCGTCAGTTGCAGATTGTGAGAATCCAGACACGGTCCCAGGGGCAAGACTAGGGTTGATGGTCGACGGGGGGACGCCTCCAGGAGAGGTTGCTCCAGAGGCAGGAGCAGCAGGAGCGACCAGGATACCGTCTTCACCTTCTTCCGGAATGATTGGAGGGCTAGCACCAGAATGGCTGATACTCGCATGACCCGAACGTATGCTACCTTCGTCGTTCTCAGGGAGAGTAGACTCCTCCCGCATCCGCAGAATCTTAAACTGGTCCTTCAAACTATTCCGTCTCGGTTTTTTGGAGTGAATGCTCGAGGCATCTCCATCCACCAGGTCCAAACCGCTCACGACGGTCGATACCGAGGTAGAGGTGTTTCTTCGGCCACTGGGGGGTGGAGACTTGATGTCTTTGGCACTGGTCGAGCTGCGGGAAAACCATGCGAAAGGTCCACTGGACTTGCGGGTCGGGGGAGGTGGAGGGGCCGCAGGAGGAAGGTTCTTGTTGACTGGGGGAGCTCCCCATGGCAAGGAGGGCAGGCTTCCAGATAAGCCCATCAATCCAGAGCTTGGAGACGCCACCTCATCCTTCGGAGGCACTGGAGGCGACTCCGACTTGAGCTCGGGCGTTCCAACCTGATGGGTGAGATGCTCGTCGTCCTTGCCGGTTGTCAGATTCACCTCGTCCAGCGAAGATGTAGTAGATAACCGGTGGGAGGTGAGCAAGGGGGACTTCTGGGCCACGTTTCTCCTAGGGGTCTCCTCTCCTTCACCCGCCTCGTCCGCTTCCACCGGAGTGAGTATTTGATCCCGAACGTCCTCTTCTTTCATATTCTCTGTGGTGTCCAGCCTCACATCCTTGATAGGAGTGTGCACAGCTTCAAAATCAGCCTCGGCATCGGCCGTAGCTTCAGCCTCATCCTGTCTGGCGTTCTTTTTGTTCTTCTTCTTATTTTTCTTCTTTCCGGACGATTCACCTCCGTCTGTGGTCTCGACCTTCTGCTCGTCCTGCGATTCAGAAGTGAACGATGGCTTATCTGTGGTTTTGGGGGAAGCTCCTGAGCCGACCGGCGGGCTTCCAGTTAACGACCGCGTGGATGAAGATATAGGAATAGAGACATTCAAGTGCTCGGGGACTTCAGGGGCATCGTCGAAGGACTCCTAGCGAGCCAAGGTAATTAGCAGTGTGGTGGGCAGAGGGTGAAACACGTAAACACACGACAGTACTCACCCCTGCGTAATCGCTGCTGTTACGGTTCGACGACATCTCGGTCTCAGGAGAGGGGAAGGGCAATCAGAGGGTGCGACACTCCATAAGACCCGGGTAAGCTTGTTCGAGCTCAGGTCATAGAAGAGAAGAAAAATAGGGGAAGAGACAGAGAAGGAGTGGAATGAGCCAGCGTGGAAGGAATTCGGGGATGTCAGTTTGGAGGAGTCGATTGGAGGGCCAGGCACGTCCCGCGGGTGATTGGGCTGGTTGGCCTTTTTGCGGGTGGGGCCCCTTTTCTTCTGTCGATCGGCTTGTGCTTTGATTGCAGATGTGGCATTTCGATTGTAGAATGTAGGATTCTTGGATATAAGACATAAGATACCGCGCAGAGAGTATATTCAGGGACTTCAGAATAACACCGTATCTACTACTTTATTATACAGTCTCGACTTCAGCTAGCATGCTTAAAGTGATGACATGCTCTTTCGTCCCAAAAAGGGGGCCGAGGGATGTACCGCGGGAAAGAAAAGCAAGTAAACTTCGGAGAATAAAATTAAATCAAGATTCATACTGGCAACGTCTCTTCGCCAGGTAACGTCTTCTCAAAATCAAGCCACCGCTGTTTCCGCAGCGGATCGAGTTGCTTTAACTCTGAGAGCCAGCTCAGAATCTGTTCTCGATCCTCGGTGGATAAACGACCGGCCACCTTCGAGATTAGCAAGGTACACTCGATCAGTGCCTGGTACGTATACTTGCAGTCCTCGGCCCCATCGAGCATCTCCTGGATATCTTCGATTTCATTTCGCAGATACTGAAGTCGCTCTGACGTGCTCAGATTCGGAGCCATAGTCCGGGGGCGACTGCCGGGTCAAACACACACATCAGATTCTGGTGATAAAACCACAAGGACTGGTCATAAGGATCAATCAGGGCTTGATGAATGAGAGTCAACTCTGGGCAGAAATGAAATCATAGAAAGTCAGCCAGAGATCATAAAAAAGAAACCCTCCGAGGCAACACAAACTCACCGTCGTCCAACATCTTCCTTCGCTCCTCGTCACTGGCCGACTGCTCCTCAAGTAGTCGCTGGATAAGCTTTGTACGGTAGTGCCACGCGGAGAAGTTGGACAGATTGGCGCCGATCATCTTTTTCGCATACTCAAATTCCTTCTGGGTCATGCTGGCAGCCTCGGCGGGGGTGCCCAGTTGCTTCAAGGTCTCCACCACTAGGCGTCGATATCCCCAGCCGTGGAAGTTCCGACTGTCCAACGTCAACATCTTGCCCACGAGGACCAGCTCCTCTTGCCAGAACTGGCGAGACATGGCCAATGGGAGCAGTCGGCGGGCTTCATCCAAAAGCCACAGGCGGTAGTTCCAGATCCAGTAGCATTTGGGGAAGCTACGTAACAGAGGCATGAGAAACACCAGGTCGTTTTTGATCAGCTCGGCGACCTGGTTGCTGGATTCTCCTTCGGCACAGTTCCCAGCATCAACAAACTGATGCCGAAGGACTTGTCGCCGGTAATTCCACACGGTGTAGTACTCTGGGTTGCGACTCAGCAAGTCGGAAATTCCCTGAAGAGTCTCGACCGTATATTCATGTTGGGCCACCTAAACCGAGTTAGTATTCCCATACAACTTGAAATTGAGTCCGAGGGAAGAAGCATCATTCATTCTCTCACCTTCTCTGACACCAGGCGTTCTAGAGATTTGTATTCATCAATCTTCTGTAGCTCTTGCTGCCGCTCTTCTGGTGTCTTTTCCACCGGTTTGAAGCGCCGAACTCCATGCTGCAAGTCTGTTAATACATATTTCCAATGTATCAGTGATACTCCCAACTCACGCTTGCCATTTTGAATGAATGTTTGCCAGCCAGTCGGGGAAGTGTTGAAGGGAAACAGCAACCACCGCTCGGCATCCCACGATCGGCATCACGTAATCACCGCTCCGATTGGAAGGCAGCTGCTGTACGATGGATTTACTTCCAACACACGACACAACTCTGGACAAACTGCTCGACAATCGTACTGCCTCGACCCAGAGGCATTCAATACACTCATTTTTTTTGTTCTCTTTCAGACCACTACTTGAATTTGTCTGACTCTTCTGCACCAGTTATCGCATCCAGCATTAGCCATGGTGGATTCGCGATGTCACTCTTTCGAGGATACTTCTTCCACCAGCAATCACCACATAACACTAACCTCCTTGTCCCAATCCGAGTCTTCCCAAGATGGTGGATCTCTCATATTCACTGAATTTGCAACCATTAATCTACGATTAACCGACTCACCAGCCAGCTCTCAGAACTCTCTGCTCCTCAGACCAACGATAAAAGCTGCCAACATTGTGACGCACTTACAAGAGAACAGAGGCGCAACCTCTCCCCCCTCTGGCTCTCCACAACGAGGTCGGAGGCTATCCAGGGGGACGCCAAATGGGAATGCATCACGAGCGGCTTTTCGAAGTCCGATCTCGCGGGACAGGTTCATTCCAAAGCGGGAATTTGGCAATCAATCGTCAACGTCCTATCGTGTGAATAAATATCCATACCAGCTGTCTCCTCAAGAAAAAATCCTCAGGCAGCGTCTTCCCGGAGAAGACCCGTTTCTCTCATCACCTCGCCAGTCTCCAACTTCTCCCAGCCAGAGGTCAACCCCAACACGGCCTTCCCAAACACCACACCACCGGCCTCATCTTGTCACTGATTCCCTTGCCTTGGGTGGTGGTGTTGCTGGCAATGAATTCATAAGAAGAGTCAGTGCAGGGGCTGTCTGGGGTGTTGGCGGAGCTTCTGCAGTTCTCGGACAGCCTCCGATGGCCATGTCAAATGGGACGCGGAGCATCTCCAGTCGAGGCGGAGGATCTCCGGCTTTTATGGCAAGATTTTTGCCCAGAATTACACGCCATGACGACCTGAACAAGCATGAGTCAAGACTTGCACTCGCCCTGGATATTGACCCGGCAACTAGGCTACTAAGTACATGCGCAGCCCGTGAAGAAAAGTCTCCCAGTCCAGCATCACTAAACTACGAACGATACTCGCCGTTTGTGTGGAAGGATAGTGCCTGGAAGAAAGTCGAACGGGCACACTGTAAGTTTTATGACTGACTCTTTTCTTTCTCATAATGCGTTTGCGTCTTTACACTCCTTGCTTCGCAGCTGGAGTTTATAGCCGGGGGACCATTCATAATCTGTACCAGTGACTATCTATATGCCATCTACTGAATCGGCTTATTGGGTGAGAGAGACAGCGCTTTTAGTGTTGTATAGGAGTTTAACTGACCACAGGAGTGCTTCTCAGGGCCGACGAAGCTTTCCAGACAAGAAGTCGTTCCACCCAAACCTTTTCGGATCTTGGATGCGCCTTTCCTACGAGATGACTTCTATTGCTCGACTCTGGCCTATTCATACACAGTTGGAGTGTTGGCTGTGGGTCTCGCCCAGTATGTCTACCTCTGGTCCGAAGGCTCGGCTCTTGATCATCCACCATTTGGAGATGTTCATCCCTCAAATTACGTGACCTCTCTTTCGTTCTCTTCTGAAGATGGAGGTCGGAGCATCCTCGCCATTGGCCGTCAGTCTGGTCAATTATCTCTCTGGGGCACCTTTGAGCCCAAGGTTCGCTTCGAGATCAGCCATCCCAATAGCATTTCTTGCGTCTCATTCAAGCCCAAAACCACACGGAGAATTTCAGAAAGATACAACAACGTGATAGTCAACGCAGAAGACTTGGCTGTCGGGGACGAACTGGGCAGTATCTGGTACTACTCGGTTGAGTGGCCGGAGATTAGTAGTAAATGGAGTTGGACAGGATCCATGACACTGCTTGCGAAGATCTCGGCACACTCCCAGCAGATATGCGGAATGGCGTGGTCCCCAGATGACCGTCTCCTTGCCACGGGCGGCAACGACAATGTCTGCCTGCTGTTTGAACTGCGTGAAATTGTTCATTCATCTTTCACTGACGCTTCCACGTTTCCCGTATCAACTGATTCATCTGGTGGTGTGGGCGTACATCCCACTCCAAGCCTTAATCTGGGTACTATGCCGCGACAATCGCTTAACCGACAGCGTATCGTGAGCGATCTTCTCCCATCATGGTTTCACTCGCCACCTATCAGGCCTTCTATGGCAGCTCCCCTTCTCAGCCACGCAGGCACTCTGATATCCGGGAGGGGTAAAACTGTTTTGATTCCTTCTAACCGCCAGAAGTACCGCTTGTTGCACTCGGCTGCAGTCAAGGCAATTGCATTTGCACCGTGGCAGCCATCGCTACTAGCAACAGGAGGAGGGTCTAATGACCGGTCAATTCGATTTTGGCACACTCGGACAGGAGTTTGTCTCGCGACAATCAACGTATTTGCGCAAGTGACTAGTCTGATCTGGAGCCAAACTCGGCGTGAGATCGTTGCAACCTTTGGATACGCTCAGCCCGATCACCCAATCCGGATCGCCGTCTTTGCGTGGCCCAGCTGCGCCCAGGTCGCCGTCATTCCTTGGGGCCCGTATGGAACCAGCTGGGATGGACCCGAACAACCCAGCTACGACTGTGGACGTGCATTATGGGCAGTGAGCTATCCAGGGCGAGCTCCTCGACCGCCGAGCATCACACCAGATAACTCTGACATACTCACTCCACCGGCATCGCGATCGCCCACTCCTTCGCCGACACGATCACAATCTACAGAGCGTGGAAGTGGCCCGACCACCAGACGGCAGAGAAACTCGCGCGCCGTTCGGCCAAAGGAGAAAGAGGGTGGGATGTGGTGCTCGCGTACCATGCAAGAGGGATGCATTATCGTCGCATCCAGTGACCAGACCGTCAAGTTTCACGAAGTCTGGACGGGCCGTCGCACGAGTACTGGATCTGCTGCGTATGGCCTCTTCGGAGGTAGTGATATTCTCGAAGGCATGGAGGGAATTGAGAAGTTGGGTAATGAAGTCATTCGCTAGACACTGCACACGGTCTGTCGTCTGTGCTAGTATTTGTTAGTATTGTCTTGGTTGCTCTGCACAGTCGTGTATTCTTACTTTTGTTGGAGGAGTGTTGGTATAAGCAATTCGTCTTTGGTCGTTGGTTTTGGCCAAGGTCTGTCCATTCATGAGATACGGCACGTTTTCATTGGCTTGGGCGCATTATTATGGATTCGACTGGGAACATAAGCCAGTGAACTATCGTTCAGCGAAGAAAAGAATGTTGATCTCTCTCCACTCCTCTGCATAACCCCTTGGCAATGCCGATCAGTTATACTTTCGGTTCTGCTTACAGAACTCCGTACGCCCCTCCTTAGAGCTTTCTTACCTTGAATTAAAACAAAAATCCATTCAGTAACACACAAGCAAGACTACTGACCTTGTTCAATCATGCACCCAATATCCTTCCTCTCCTTCTTCTCCGTCTTCCTATCCCTCTCCCTTGCAGCACCAAACACCCTAAACATCACAGTCATCAACGCCCAAAACAACCACTCCACCCTCGAATGCTGGGCCATTGAACCAGGCTTCCAGACCTCCTCGACAGCCGGCACGTCGGGTACCCAGGCACTGAATCTGGGCCCTATCGGGGGACCGGGTACTAATGCGTCGTATACGGTTCTCCCGCCGGGTTTTGATGGGGGCAGACATAATGCTCCTGCGAGGCAGTATGTATAACATTTATCTTCTCGTTCTTCTTCTTTCCTTTCCCTTCTCTTCTGTCAGGGCCTTCATATCCCCTTGTCCAGTTCCATGCATCCGCTCTCTAAATATCAACACACCCATTTAACCAACATACCTACCCAACATCTACTCACCTAAATACTGAGCCACTAATACCCGTCATCACCCTGCTAACTTCAACCTGTCCTACCTAACAGATGGGTTATCTTCCTCACCGGCCTAGCTCACATAACCCTCCCCAACTCGACGGCCGAAGCCTGGGTTCCCGGCGGCAAGTACGGGGTTATCCTCGCACTTGATACGGCGGGCGTTAGTATCCTGGGCCATGTTACTAGGTATCCCTCGACGGGGGAGACGGTTGCGGTGCAGGTTCCGTTGGGCGAGGGGGGTGTGCCGGGGCATGTGGTTTTGTATGAGGGGGGTTGTGTTGGGGAGGAGGTTTCTGGGTGAGCATTTTGAGTATAGGAGGTATGGAGGGGAACAGAGTAGGATGGTTAGTTCCACGCAAGCTAATATGTTTTCTGAGAGGCTGGTAATATCCAGGTTACGGGAGAAATTGAAGAATCGATGTTTTAGTACTGTATCTACTTGTATCAGGACAGCCAGCGCTATGGACATGTTGATCCACGGACATACAAAAATGTAGAACGAACAGGAGTCATGAAGCACAAGAAAGAGGAAGAGAAAATGCAGGCATCTGATGCATCAGAGTATATAAGTAAAAATCTTTTTATCAAAACACAAAAATTCAAAATCCCAAGACACGTCCCTCCGCGTTTCATACAAAAGCAAAAGGCAGCGAGTATAGACTCACGGCCCAACTCATTTCTTACCACCCTTCTTCCGACCCGCAGTAGTCTTGGCCTTCTTCGAGGGTGGAGGAGCCTCGATCATTTCGTCGTCGGACTCCTCGTCCTCCGTATCAGCGACAAAGTCCGCCAGCGAGCCCTCGCTGTCCTCGTCTTCGTCATCCTCGTTCTCCTCAAGTGACTCCTCGGCATCGGAGGAACCGGCAGATTCCTCGGCCTCAATGTCCAGGACACCCTCGTAACCATCCTCGTCGTCCTCATCATCCTCATCCTCCTCGTCGTCGGACTCGTCGATACCGTTCATCATGGATTCGTCCTCAACTTCCTCGAATGCAGAGTCGCGGATCGACTTGGTCCGCGGCTTAGCCTCGTCATCTTCTTCGTCGTCTTGGCCCTCAACGTAAATGACATTGTCCTCGTCCTCGCTGTCCATCTCGTCACCGCCGCGAATCGACTGTCGCAGTCCCAGCTGCGCATCCAGCATGTCCAGCTTACCCTTGAGCAGGAGTAGCGATGGCAGGCTCGATGAGCGTTGATCCATCACCTTGTATAATGTGGCCATGCGGTTCAGGAGCTCGGGGTGACCGGCCAGTGCGCCGCCGTGGGCAACACAGGTCCACTGCACCCAAACAAGGAGGTGGCCATAGCGGCCAGGCCGAGAGGAGAGACGCTCGGCGAGCTTCTGGAGAAGAGTGGCTGCCAGCGGAGACTCGAGGCGCTGGATAGTAGTGCGGATGATGGAGGTGTCGGCGGTGTGGAAGCAGGACTCGAGCATGTCCTTGTCGTTAGTCTTCAGGGACTGGGTGAGCACGGTAGCGAGCGACACGCCAGTGGGGATCTGTTGGACGGCAGTCGTGGGCTTGCCGGGGACAAGAGCACCCATGAGATTATCCTCGTCCATCTCGGCCTCGACATCGACTTCTTGACCAGCGTTGGCGCGCATGATCTCGCCGAACGAGGGCTCAGCACCCTCCTCCTCCTCTTCCTCGTCCTCGTCGTCGGAAGCGGCGTTCTCCATATCGACGTCCTCATCAGCGGGAGCAGCCTGCTTAGTAGGCTTGGCGGAGTCCTCAACATCAGAGTCCACATCACTGCCAGAGGCAGAGCCAGCCTCGTCATCATCATTCATCTCCACATCATTATCCACAATATTACCAGCCTCGACGACAACATGCGTCTCGTCCACCCGTCCCTCGCCCACATTCTTCGCGCTATTCAGAGTCGCAGATGCGACAGCAGAGCTGGACTTGGTCTTGACAACGGCCTTGAGCCCTGTGAACGAAAGCTCCTCGGTGGTCTCATCGAGCAGCTTCATACGCTGGAAAACGGGGATCACACCACCCTCGGCATAGGCAACAACAATATCAGGTCCAACAAACGAGGTTGATACAACGGGAACGCAAGCATCTGAGTCACCAGTGCGCAGGACCTTGAGAGAGGCATTCGCCTTCTGGGTCATCTGTTTTCGGTTGGCCTTGGCGCTGGCAGTATTGGCCGGGGCCGGAGCAAAGGGTTTCGTGAAAAGCTCGATGGTGCCGTCGTCGGTGACAGCGGCAAGAATTTGCTTTTCGGGAGTAGTGCTGTCGAGGAGTGACACGGAGGAGACATCCTGCTCGGCGACGAGATTCCGTACGAGCTTTTGGCTGGAGGTCTCGAAAACGTTGATGAAGCGCTCGCCGTCGGATGCAAGGAATGAGCCGTCTGATGAGATGACGGTGTGAATCTGGTTGCGCATCGCAGGGAACTTGACTGGTGGCTCTTCGGAGTTTTCCACATCGACCAGGAAGGGTGTTTGAGATGCGCAAATGACAGGTGAGCTGGAGGAGATGGGGCGAGCGATGGCTGTGAAAGTTGAGGAGGCGGGCAAGTGAATTGTCCTGTTCGACAGGCAGTCAGTAAGATGAGCTATCAAACGAGATCACGATGAGCTTTCGAGAGAGAATGTCTCGGTCATACCTTACACTCTGCCCAGTGCGCAGGTCCCACTGAACAAGCTTATTATCACCACCAATACTCCAAGCCTCCTGGGCCGGTTTCTCTGTAGTAAACTTGAAATCCTTGATACCCTTGTCATGTGCGCCAGTAAGAGTACCGACAATCTTATCCTCCGACGGGGAGAACATCCGAATATCCGAGCTGCTGGTACCAATCGCAACCACAACGTCGCCCTGATCCAACCCGTCCACCGCGCCGTTCACATCAGACCCGCGCTTGCGCTTCTTCTTGGACTGATCGCGATTCTTGCCTCCGAAATATCCCCAATCCAGCGAGGTGACCGTCTCCTTGGGTCCCAACGCATGTTCGCATTGTAGGCGGCCGGTGTTAACGTCGTGGATTCGGAGGTGCTGCGCATCCAGGCCCTGGATGACCGATGCGAACAGGGCCAATTGGTATTCCGACGGGGAGAAAGCAGCTCGCAGGATAGATGATTTGCTGCTAGTGCCAGCAACGCCGCCGGCCGGCGACGCAGCCGTGCCAACCTTGGCTGGGCGAGATGTCTTCTTGCCCATTTTTTTTTCTTGGAAGCGGAAGCTTTTTTTCCTTTCCTTTCTCTTCGCAGGGTTTCGGTTTTCGGCTCGGGTGTGAGTCGTCAATATGATCGTGAAGTACCGAGTCCCCAGGAAATCAAGAGAATCTCCACGATCAATTTGCTGTAATCCCGAGGGAGTGTTGGCTGGGGGATTCTGGGACTGGTAGTCTTGCAGTTGCGAAAAGGAAAAAAATGTTCTGTAGACTCTCGGGCTGGGCGCTAATCCTTTTTAGGGATAGCGCGGTTTGATGGCCTTATCTAATCAGCGCGCTCAGGTTTGGAGAGAAGAGAACCAAATGGACGTTCTTGTGTAGCAGGTTCGAGGTAATTTCTGGTGGTTCTTGGAATCACAATCTTTCATGTTATGTAGAAGAATTGACTGACAACAATTTTGTGGGAATTTCGGCTTGAGTTGATGGTGTGCGATCAGTCCGGAAGGTCTGCAAACACTGAATATATATCTTGACTCACTGTGTGATGTGGTGCTCGCGATAGGCAGTCTAGAGTTTTCCAAATCAATCTCATACTATAAAATCATAGTTGTAATATGGTATACTGCAATGCCCTTCTCTCAACCCATCACCATTTCCAGTCAGCATACGCATCTCTCGAGAATATCAATCAATACAATAGTATGATTTCTTTCTTGCTGGCCTATCGACCATCACATGACGAATGTATAGGTCCAACATGCGATGTTGTCTTGATGATTCCATTTCTTCCGTCCATGCAAGATCTAGATCGGATGTAATTCGTCTTGTAAATCAGCGTGGAGTTGCGATTGCCAATACAGTGTAGAGAGAGAGCAGCCAGTGGCATGAACACGCAGATCAAGCTTCCACCGACTTAGGTTCATATTTCCTTTTCTCAATGTCTTCTGCTGTATATTCTAAGATTTGCAATAATACAATTTGCCGGAGGAAAGGGACCAGAACTATAAATACTCCAAATAATAGTCTCAATGTATCCAACCGGGTATATACTTCATAATTTGTGCAACTCGGCCAGGCCCCAGTCCCGGACCATGTGACGATAACTCCGGAGTTCGCAAGTTATCTGCCTAATCTGTAAGGGCCCAGAGCGCCTCTTGTTGATTGGCCCGCGGCCGCTCCAATCTGCAAACCAAATTCCCCAAGCCGCTTGGCATAGTCTCCATCACTGATCGCTTTTCTCCTGGCATGTTCTTTGAGCTCACTGACAGCTTGCAGACCCCTCGTTACAATATCTCGAGCACCTTGCGCTAAACCAATAAATTTTCCATTACGCCCGTTCATTTGATTTATTACTAAGCCAACTGCCTGGCCCGACCATTCGCAAAGAGTATAATATCACGTGATGTGACGTTGCGGACTGGACGAATAACCACACTAAGCCGGATTCGGAGATAACCCTAGGGCTTGAGAGGGGACAAGGGAGAGTCGATGACACAGAGCCCGGCCGCCCCATGATGATCTCATGGTTCTATCCCTCGCAGACTATGGGCTCCACCTGGATAATCTGGGTAGGGCATGTTCATGAACCTCTTGGGAAATGATTTGGTGCGAGCTGGAGAGTCAGTTCGGTGACGGACTCGAAGGCAAGATCGAGACGAAGTTTTCAAAGGGGAATAAAAAAAGAAAAGCCAAAATTTTTCATTTCAGCGATACGGTATGGTACGGATGTCGGACGAACCAATCAGAGGGGATGAGAGGGAAACCGAGGGAACCAGCCTTGGTTGAACCAATCAGCAGGGGCATAGCACGGGCGGTGGAGTAGGCCGTGGCAGTGGCCTTCAGCCATCAGGTTCCGGTCGGTGGTCCTGCCTGGTCCTGCCATCGTCGCTGGACGAGGAGGCCTGTACTTAAGCCAAAAGGCTCCCGCCTCCGAAAAATCCTCTGCTTCCGTCCTTTCTTGCCCTGACCGCCCCCTTTCTTCTCCCTTAATCCGCCCGCCCCCGACCATACTCCTGGTTTATTGGTCATTGGCCATATCCCCCCTCTTCGCCCCCCATCCCTAAACAACGCGTCGCGTCGCGCTTGCTCCCTGCAGCTCTCACTTGTCGCTTTACTTGAACTGGCCGTTCTGCCCGTTTTGTTTATTCCGATTTTCTGATTCTAGCCCCTTCCCCCATCTCCACACCTCAGGCATATATCAGGCACCCTAATTCCTCTTCCCTCTCCCCGACCTCACCTTCCAAGTCCCGTGACTTGATCACCACTTCTGATCCTCGACGGGCTCCTTAACTCACCGCCCACGTGATCAACTCACCGCCTTCTTGGCAGTATAAATACTTTCGCCCCCGATCGCATTCTCCACTCTTTATATCTCACAATCTCCCGAGCTCTCCGAGCTTGCTCTCTACCTTTACCATTACTCGCACCACACCATCCGATCTTCCCTCTCTTCCTGATTCTTTCCAAGTTATCCCGTGCTAGTGCGGAGTGTGTATCCAGTTGAATTTCTCTCTCCGAACCAGTCGCGCGATCGCTCCGCTCTCCCGCATACCCTCTCACTTGTTTCACCTACCCTCCCACACCTAGAAGCTGTGTACTCTGGTCCTTGTCTAGAACTCAGTGCAAACATACCCCATGGCGACCCCGCCTCCCGAGGCTCCTTCGGTGGTGAAGGAGGATAAGCCTCAGCTGCCTCCCTCTCCGTCAGGTGCCTCCGCCCCAGATGTTGCGACAAACAGGTAAGCTTGGTTTATTGAATGATTGATCGGTTCACATGTTTGCTGTTCTCTTTACTTATTCCCCGGTTGATGCGTTTGATATCTCGTTTCACATATTTCACATGCCGACATATGGCTAACTTTGACCTTCAAGTGCTCCCGTCGCTACTTCAGACATCAAAACCGATGGCCCCGCCTTGACCGAGAATCACACGACCAAGATGAACGGCAACACTACCCACTCCCCTGCGATTGCCAATGGCACGAGCTCTGCGGCTTCTCCTCCCAAGTCACCAGTGCTGGATGCCCTCGAGCCTGCTATGCCAACTGTCTCAGCTTCCACCGATACCCCACCTACCTCTGCACATCCTGCACCCCAGGAGACAAAGGCTCCAGAAGAGACTGCTACTCTCACTTCCACTCTTACTCAACCTCAGACTGCCGATTCTGTCACCCCGGCTGCGACAAACGGCTCTGCTGAGAAGAGCGGAGCCAATACCCCACAAACCTCTGCGATCCCCTCCACTGGGAGCCTCCCCCCCGCAACTTTTGACGGTACCGCAGATGCGCCCCAGGATGCGATGGCTGTAGATGTGCCAGAGAAATCGCCTGCCGCTCCAGTCAAGACTGAGCTCCCCCACCACCCAACTACCGAATCCGCCACTCCGAACCTGCCTCCTCTCCAAACTGATCACGAAATGAAGGATGCCCCAAGTGCTCCAATCTCCCCCTCCAAGGTGTCCCGGGAGCGGGAGACTGATCCAGCTGAGGAGCCAGCGGCAAAGCGGACCAAGGTGGAGACCGAGAATGGCATGCCTGCGGACAAAAAGGCTCCAGAGCTGCCTACCCCTGCCACTGAGACTCCTGTTCCAATCCGAACTGGGGATGGACCTGCCATAACGAAAATGCAGCACAAATTCCTCACCAAACAAATCTCCAGCCTGAAGCGCATGCATGATTCGCGCTTCTACCGAGTCCCTGTGGATCCTGTTGCTCTGAACATTCCCAACTACCCGAGTGTCATCACGCGCCCAATGGATCTTGGCACTATCGAGAAGAAGCTCAAGGCCAATGAATACTCCAATCCTCAGGCGGTAATCCATGACTTTTCTCTCATGGTCCAGAACGCGCGAACCTTTAATGGGCCTGACCATCTGGTCTCCCAGGAGGGTGCGAAACTGCTCGCTACTTTCCAGAGACAGATGAATAATCTCCCCAAACCGGATGAGGTAGAGGAGAAAAAGAAGCCTAAGAAGGCGGCGGAGAAGACTTCGGCTGCTCGACGTGAGCCTCGCACCTCCACGGGTGGTCAAGTTGCCGCTCCGATCCCAACTATCCCGGCCCCGGCCCCGCCTGCTCCCAAGGCGCCCTCGCCTCAGAGCGCTACCTTTGCACTGGGACCCGAGGGACTGCCTGTCATTCGTCGGGACTCTGCCAACGCGGATGGACGTCCCAAGCGTTCCATCCATCCCCCAAAGCGTGACCTGCCGTACTCTACCAAGCCCAAGAAGAAGAAGTACCAATGGGAGCTTCGCTTCTGTCAGGAAGTTCTCGAGGAGTTGTACAAGCCAAAGCACCAGGCCATCGCCATCGCCTTCTACTATCCTGTGGACCCCGTTGCTCTCAATATCCCGACATACCACAGCGTGATCAAGCACCCTATGGATATGTCGACCATCAAGGCCAAGCTCAATACTGGCCAATATGAAAACGCCAAGGAATTCCACTCGGACGTCAAGCTGATGTTCAAGAACTGCTATCGTTTCAACCTGGAAGGTGATCCGATCTACCTCGCCGGCAAGAGCCTGGAAGATATCTTTGATAAGAAGTGGAACGGCAAACAGGAGTATCTCGCCAAGCACGAGCCTCCTCAAGAGCACAACTCGGAGTCTTCGGAGGAGGACAGCGATGAAGAGGCTGAGGAGAGTGATGAGGATATGGAGAAGATCAGCTTGCTCCAGCGACAGATTGCCGAGATGTCCCGTCAGGTCGAGATGATCCAGAAGAAGAAGAAGACACCTCCTGCCAAGAAGGGCTCCAAGTCTGGAAAGTCTGGTGCAAAGAAGGACAGCAAGAAGAGCGGCAGCAAGAAGGAGAAGAAGAGCAAGAGCCTCTCAAAGGTCGAGAAGTCTCGCAACATTACCTACCATGAGAAGCAGATCATCTCCAACGGTATCAGTAGCCTGCCGGACAAGAAGATGCAGGAGGCCCTCGGTATCATTCAGCAGAACGTTCCTGCTCTCAAGGTAAGTTCTATCCGCGTTTCGTCCGCAAGTGCTTAGCCGAGGTTCTAATCTGACTGTGTTGCATAGGGTACTCAAGAAGCCGAGATTGAACTAGACATTGATGAGCTGCCTAACGAAGTGCTGCTCATGCTGCTCAAGTTTGTGAAGAAGAACGTTCCCCACATCATGGATGACGAGGAGCCTACCACCGTGGGCGGTAACGTGGCCCCCGCTGCTCCCAAGCCGAAGAAGAACAAGCCGATGAGCAAGTATGAGCAAGAGGCTCAGATCAACATGCTCGAGAGCAACCTGTCTCGCTTCCAGGGTGGCAGTGGCTCTCCAGCGCCGATGCCTTCCGTCGAAGCCAACGAGTCTAGCGACGATGAATCTGATGATGATTCTGAGGAGAGCGAGGAGGAATAAATCCTCTCCTGACCAACCTGTACGGTCGTTCCGACTAGTGGGAATACCCGCTTTGTCTGTGTAATTTGCGTTCCGAGCGTTTCTTCTCTCTTTCTTTGCCCTCTCCTACGCCCCCGACATCATGAAGCCTGGATATCGATGCTCCGGTTCTACAATTGCTTCACGTCTTGCGCAAAACCCAATCGTTAATTTTCGTTTGGGTTAAGACCTACCCTGTACATATCTTTTTCAATTTTCCCCTACGTGATCCCTCCACACGAACACAACAAGCTCTGAAACGCACTGCCGGGCTCGCCAAGATGGGTATTCGTGCTGGCCATGGGATTTGGTTTGATTTGCTTGCAATGTTCTCCCCTTCCCTCTTCTGCTTGAATGTACATTTGATCTCTATCCTTACCTTGCTGAGGCATCACCCCAGCCAGGGTGGACTAGAGTCTTTGCTTCTCAATGATGAGACGAAGGATGGAAAAAAAATGGCGATCGAGATCGAAATGGAGCTGGCCAGGCTTCACATGTATGATTACGAACGAAACGCGCAAATGCCAAAATGTACTTTAGTACCTTAAGGTATCTGGTGTTATGGATTTTGTAGTTGTCAACCCAGTTGTGTGCCCGTGTAATTTATCTTTAGTCTTTTTAGACTTCAAGACATGTAATTCTTAATTTAGATTTAGCTCTTAAGCTCGAGGATGCTGCAGATCCCCACTTCCAGCCTATTGGCGGTGAACCTGACCTACTGACCTTCTTTTAACCTCCCACTCCTCGCCATGATTCCCCCTTGTGACCCTACCATTCTAGAACAAAACCCCCAGTTCAAACGGCTATATGAGAATCTCACAACAAATCTATTGAACCCGGATGGCTCGACTTGTGCCCACACCGCTGATCCAGCGCGGAGGGCTGTTGTGGATGTACGTCGCGACGCAGCCGGGCAGCTAGCTCCCCGCATCACCATGTCCCTTGGCATAGAGACAAAATCTAATGGCTTTGCCGGATAGGACTTGAAGCAATGCCAGCTCCGAAGCGCAAAGAAGAGGATTACAGAGCACACACTCAAGCAGCTAGCTTTCACAACGGACAGTGGACTCTCCGACGAGGTACGTCCCACCCTACATAAACGACTCCTTTCCCCCAACCACTATCACTTTACTAACTCACATCCACAACCCAGTGCCGTGATATCCTCGCCCTTATAGCAATATACCTCGAAACACCACGTTCCGCAATAGACCCAGACACACCACAAGATGACCCCTCGCAACCACAACCCTCGGACGACACGCTCACCCTCCTCGCACCAACAATCTCCTCCTTCTACACCCAAATCCCAACCTTAATAACGCCCTTCTCAACACTCCTCGCTAACACCCTCATAATACTCCGCGCCCTCTCCGCAACACCAGACACAGAGCCGACGCAAACCCCCGCCCCTCCGTCTACAAACCACCAGTCCCGCACCCGCGCTCGAGACCGCCGCGTGCGTGCCTCGCTAGCACCGTCTCCCCCTCTAGCGGCGCAGCTCCGTAAACGGGTCGACGCACTGCGCGCTGCGCAGCTCTCAGAGCTCCCCGCGACAAGGAGGGATATGGCCTCGACAGCAGCGAGGGTTATGGCTGTGCGGGCTGCGGTGCTGGAGCGTGTGGTTGTTGTGCTGGAGAGGGCGAAGCATGGGGCGCTTGCGAGGGGTGTCAGAGCGCGGGCAGAGCACCTGGCGGTCGTTGCGCAGGGGATTGAAGGGAAAGTTGAGTGCGTATTTCCCCACCCTCCCCTCTAATGCACTTTGGACGATAGTAGTGGTGTGGTGTGGTGCGGTGCTGACTTGTTGCAGGGTGTCTAAGCTTGAAATTGCGGCGGCGCTGTATACGCCTGAGACACTGGGTGCGTTAGATCGGTACCGAGTGCATTTGCGGGAGTCGAGGGCTCGTCTTGATGAGCGGAGGGTGGTGGTTGTTGAGGAGTTGGAACGGTATGGGGATGGAGGGGGTTGACGGAGATTGCGGGTCGGTATGGAGATTTGGTTAAGGAGGTTGAGAATGCACGGATTGAGATTGCGAGGTTGGGAGAGTAGGGTTGATGCTTCCTCGGTGGCTAGCTAGGGTTGGCTGTTTTGATGGGATATCCGGTGTATCAATATGCCATGCCATACCCCTGCGTGTCCATTTTGTGACTGGTTGGCAGAAGCTCTGGGTATTCATGATTAGGCTGATGTATTATGCCAGAGACCGGAAACAATCTGCCCCCAAAGCTACTAGATGTCATCTATACTCTTTTGAGTGGGAATCTCTTGACCAGCACGCCCTTGAGGCGTAGTTGGGAGAATTGCATCCTCTGTTTCATACTCAGTTCTAGGGAATATGAAACATATACACCGAAGATTTCTTTTTCCAAAGACGATCTACAGTTCTTCCCTTCTTTGGTCATATGTTTCACCTTTCTGTAATTGCGCCGTAAAGACAAAACAATCCGATGATCCCTAGACTTGTTGATAACCTTCACCCGCGCGATAAGATAACATTTGGCCAGACGATAAGATGGCATTCACGTGCCGCCTTCCCACAGTCACATGACCCCTCCGCCATAATTTCTGTCCGCCACCCAAAAGTCCCATACTCGCAATCAACATTGAGTCAACGTTCTCTATTTTCTCTACAACACCACGACCTGAAGTTCTCGATTCCACCACAATACCTCCGAAACCCACAAATACCCACCACCCATAATGGCCGACGACGCCCTCTCCATCTACGACGAGATCGAAATCGAAGACATGACCTTTGATCCAGCCCTACAAATCTACACATTCCCCTGCCCATGTGGCGACCGCTTCGAGATCGCAATCGATGATCTACGCGATGGCGAGGAGATTGCTGTCTGCCCCAGCTGCAGCCTTATGATTAGGGTCATCTTTGATCTGGTATGTTTATACTCCGGGTTGAATGCGTGGACTGTGCTAATAGACGTTGTATAGGCTGATTTACCCAAGGCGGATAATGTGCAGAGCGCGGGTACTGTTTCTGTGCAGGCTTGAATGAACTCTGAAAGTGGAGATGTTTACTTGAAGGGCCCTCGGTGTGGTCCGTTGGTGTCGACTCGAGGGCGACTCTATTTCTCACTTGGACTCAGATTGTCCTTTGTGGTTGTCTGCCATGTACCGACCACTAGACTACAACCAAAGCTGATCTTCTCAAGATTGTGACTCGAGGTTGGCCTGCGACTCCACAGCCCCGAAAATTTCGTCGTGCCGAATGCTGCGGGACTTTCAACTGTTCAATGATTACCCGCATCTCGAGTCTCGATCGCGAGGCCGTGATCCATATGACTTGTTTGGAGGAAGTTGGAACGGAGCTACTCCAGCAAGGTCACGCTGATGAGAAAGAAGGACTCGAGGGTGGTATGTAAGACGTGTGTTTTGCTTTGGAACTTGTCCTTGTCCCAGAACGTGTATCAGTTTCTTTGCATTGTAAGGAGGAACTAGCGAAGTTGTCGGTCGGTAATATCGTTTGGGTCTACCGCTGCTTCCCGGCCCAAGTTATCTGGGATGTTTCTATCATCAACTCGAAGGGACAAGAGCAAAATGCTGATCATCTGGGGTTGCGACCCAACCAATATTGTCGACCGACGGCCTCACCAAACCCTGCTCTCAGTACAAAGGAGACCCATACACATTCTGCGGCAAATCCAAGTTCACATCGCACTCATAAACCCCCCTCAAGCCCTTTGCCAGGTGGTAGGGGCTCTCGGTCACTAGCGATCTTGAGTGTTGAAGCCTCTTGAGAGGCACTCAGTTCGCAATTAACTCTCGCCGTCCATCGCTGTCCATCAAATTGCGAATACTTGATACTGGAAGGCATTTATGATACCCACTTGAATACATAGCAACATCAATCACTCCGCTATACTACTTTGTATATTGGCTCGCATATATTGCCAGGCACAACTGCCAGTCAAAAACTATTTCAACAAACCAGGCAGCACGTGAGACTCCGTGAAATTCCACAGTAACGAAGAATCCTGCGTATGGAACGCCGCGCCCGTATACCAGGTGCCTCGATAACCCTGCAATCCATACAACTGCTTATAAAAGCCACCCCTAATCTTCTCCGGTGACACTGTCAACTCGAACGGAGTATGGCTATTAAACCGCACAAATTCCGGCTCGACCTTCTCCGCGAATCCATTGTCCTGCAATTTCTTGACGTACGACAAGATTTCGCGTCGCACATGGTCGTCTGGTAGACTGCTTTGGCTGCCATACTTGATATCGAAGATGCCGTCTATCGCCGTTGGGACCACTGCGTAAACCAACGGTACATTGGGGAGGTTGTACGGAGTATCAGCGCCGACGGAGATTGTGTTGAAGCCTGCTGGTAAGCCGGTGTTCGTTACTAGGCTAGTCCAATAACCCGTGTTCTTGAACTGGCCGAAGAGGCCGGCCTCGTGGTGGTCTAGGTCAAAGGCCCGCAGATTCTCCAGTTTCTGAGGAATGGCGATCAAGAGTTTCTTGGCTTTCACGATCCGCCGGCCGGATGGGGTTTGCACCACTAGTGTGACTCCGTTGTCTTCTCGGTGTAGTGTGGAGATCACAGTGCTACTCAGCAGCACGTCAGATCCGAGGAGTTTGGTGGCGTGGTCATAGATCTCGTAATTATTCTGACTCGTTACAGCGAGGAACCCGGTCGAGAGAGCTTGAACAATTTCCAGTCCAAAGTTCTTGAAGACGTATAGTGTTGGCTGTACGAGGAAGTCACCCAGACCCTGTCCGAATCGGAAAATCGTCAAGGATGCGTTGTTGATGTCTGGGTGTTTGGCGAGGAAGTCTCCAAAGGGTTGCAGAAGCTCCTCTGGAACAGGATCCGGAAGAAAGAAGCCGGAATCGAGCTGTGGGTATTGAGCTAATTGTGTCGCATACGCCAACGTGCGACCGGAAGATCAGGACTGGTATAGTTGATTGGTTGTGCCGTCTGACCATCCAAATAAATTGACCCTACACCAAAGTTCGGTGCAACGACCCAAGACACATTCAGCCGATCGAGATAGTCCTTGACAATCTGCTGGGCGTGGAAGACTTCCACGCCGTAGTCCACAGGCACTTTGGTCACTGGGTCTTGATATGTATTGGTATGGCCGCCCAAAATGCTTTCTTTCTCAATGAGAATGACCGATTTGCCTTGATCGCGAAGTCTGACTGCGGAGAATGTCCCCGAGGCACCACCGCCTATGATAGCAATATCGCGGGTGATGACTTCCTCATCGCGGTGAGCGAATGAAGTGTAAGCTAGAAGCCCGAGAATGGCGAGGGTCCTGAGTGCTGGTTGAAACATGGCTATCTCATGAACTCTCCACGAGCTTCAGGGGGATGATGTTTATAAAGGGAGAGAAGAGATAATGTGATAGCTGATGATTGTTGTTATTTAACCTTTCCATCGATAGTATATGTCCACATACAGTATATGCTTACTGTGTCTGAGGTGAAAACAAGCTGGTGTACAGTAGTGGATTGACTATGTACTCCGCATCGCGATCCACAATCCTCAGCCTCAGCCCCTTGCAAGTTGCCAGAATGGATGGCCATTGTTGATTTCCGCTTTTGAGAATTCTCCGTATTACTGTATTATGGCAGACACGTTGTGATTGGCTCCATGGAAGAGCGAGAAGGATTACCAGGTACTTAACTAGGTTCCGCTCGGAAAAGATTATTCTTCATCTTATTTGCTCGACCGCTCGATTATGAACCGCCCTAGCGCCGTGCTCATGCCCTGACGCCTATGCATATCCTAGTATACAATTTCCTAATTAGATAACTTCCTCATCAGGCAATATTAATACAGGCTGATTTGGAACGACTGTAGAAATCAGCGAATCTCGTCCCTAACCCTCACTCGCTACTAGCCATCTTTCTAGTGATCTTGTTAGTTATCTTGTCAGTCATTGTGTTAACTAGTTATTGTGTTAGTCAATCAGTCATAGTGTTAACGAATTAGATATAGTTAGTTATCAGTCATCGTGTCAGTCATCATTTCAGTTTTTTTTTAGCCTTTGATCCTCTCTTCACGTTCTTTTCTTGTCTGTGGTATTTAGATTTGATTATCGTGAAAGAGGGCTATCAAGTAGAGAAGATTCCTTGTAGTTTACTAGATTTATCAAATATCTTATTTCCTTCATTGTCTGCCCTAGTAAGTAGCCTCAAGCAACATATAGATTAGATAATAGTAGTTTTAACTAACTAGTTAACTAACTAGTCAATTTGAAGTGTGAGATAATGATGTAAGCGGAGTTCGATGCCCTGGTAACTAGTTATTCGGCTTACCGAAAACCAGGACATTTGACATGCTAATTAGTTACCGAGGTAGTTAGTTAATTTCAGGATTCTACCGGGTTTTCTGCTTTACAACTGCGTTTCTGGTCGGTGGCCGCAACGACCGCTGTAGGTTTACAAGGTTCAAGACTGTGAAGTGCGGTGTTAGGTTTGGCTTATTTTGAGATTGCCTAAAACACCCTCTGATGGATCACTTGCTCGAGTCCTGCTTATGTTTGTACCTTGCAGTAGGATATCAGAAATGAAAAGCCAGGGTTCGAGCAGTGCAGAATATAGCCTTGCTGTGGTAGGCGACGGGAGTGGAGGAATACGTGAACGAGTCGGGCCAGGTCCTGCATGGGGTTGATTACTTATGCTCACAATGGAAGGAGACGTCAACCTTCTGCCGAATCAAGATGAATTATTTCTGAAAAAATCCCGTTTAAACCATGCTTATCCGCCGTAGACGCAACATTGGAGATCAATTGAGAGGCTGGGAGCTTTGAGGAGAACTTTGTGGATGATATTACCGCAGAGCAGCCTTGAAGAGACGCGTTAAGAAGAGACGCGTTAACCGATGACACGCAGGTGGCTTATCAACATAGCAGACGGACTGTCAATGTAATATGAATCCATACAGTAACCTTTATAGGGCAAACGGTGGCCGTGCCCGATAGTCACCCCAGTCGCCCTTTGATCCCCCGCGCTAAATTTACTGCCCATCACATCAGGTATGAAAAAAGAATCATGACAAGTCGGACAGTCCTTTGACATTGAACACTCATAAAACTAAAATACAAAGTCTGCCTTATCTGCCCTAGAAGAGGCGATCAGTGCTCCGTGGCCCAATCTCCCAATCAAGGGCAAAAGATTATGACAAATGCGATATCGACCCTTCTCTGACATATCATCTGGTGGTCTTCGTATCATTCGACCAGACAGAGATGAGCTTACTCATCCGCACCCTCACCATAGATATCCTTGGGAAGCTGCAGCGTCAATTCCGTGTTCAGAAGCTCCGTCAGGTTTGATCCGTCCCGCAAGTAGATCCATTGGCCGTGCACGAATGGGCGCGAGTCCTGCTTCTCGTATATGCGATCACCCTCGACAATCCAGTCAAACCGCTTGGGGCCGGAGATGGGCGAGCTGAGCCAGATTTGCTTGTTGGGGGGTTGTTTGTTGAGGACGTAGGTGCCGATTGCAGGAACGGTGATGTTGAGCACACCAGCCTGGGAGATGGTCAGTACATGATATTGGTTGGTCGGAAACATTTTGAAATACGAGAGGAGTATAGCAGGGGGAATAGAATTGAGTATAGGTAGGATATGCAATGGAGAGAATCACTCACGCTGTACTCTGCCTCCACATCTGACCCCTCCTCTTGTGCCTTCTCTAGCTCCCCGAGGAGAACATTGAAATAGTGTTCCGAGTACTCGTGGTATTCTTCCGGTGTCAGAGGCGACGGCTCAGTGACATGTGCACCTAAGCCAGCAATAGGTGTACTCTCAGGATTCGATGGCCGGGGGTTCTCCGAGTCAGGCTGGATGCCCTTTGAGAAGAATGCGGAAGAGGTGAATGTCCGCGGATGCACTGGGTAGCTGCGGCAGAGGGGAACCACGGCTTGGCGGGTAGTGCTAGAGGTGCATGAGGAGGCTCGGATAGTCGAGCTAGCACGGAGTAGACGGGGTACACTGCGGGAGAGCATTGTGGGATATTGAGCGAGGTTGAAGATCTCAAAGGATGTGGGAAACCTCGGAAGGTTAAGTGAAGCTTGAGCTGCGGAGAAGTGGTCCGCCTACATCATCGGTCGGGTACAACCATACCGCCTTCCCGAAACGGATAGCTTCCGGAAACGATATTATTGGTTAACTGACATACATACTGTACCTGTAGGAGGATCTAAGGTGGAGTGGAAGGTTTAACATTTTAAAGTAGACAAATCTAACTCAAGGGAGATACTGTATTTTGAATGTGTATTTTAGATTGCAGATTTCTAAAGAAAGCTCTGGATTCTCTCTCGTTTGGCATGTCGTGCAAAGTCACTTTACCTCAGAGCTAAGCCTGATGAGGAAGGACTTTTTAGCTTATTTGCTGGCGATACCCTAATTATGAATAGCAAACTCTACCTTTCCTACTGTATATAGATGGAGCCATATATCAAGAATAGCCAAAAGTTTCCGTTGTTACTAGTAGACATCATCGATGTAGAAGGATGGTCCAATGTGAGGCTCCACTATACTGCCATACAGTCGATCACTACGTCAGTGTTGTTTCCTTGCTTGGAAATTGGATAAAGTACAACAAGGTAATGTTGTAGACTTACGTACGACCTGGCCAATCTCTAACAATTCTATTATAGCGATAAAGTCAAGTTAGTCACTGCTCTGAAATACCCATCAATTTCCGCCCAGTAAAGCATCTTCTTAAGTCACCAGGGAAATGCAGCTCCGATTCTCCTTATTGGCACTTACTGCCACGCCTGTATTATCTTCTTCTTATCAATTCGATCCCCTCAAACACTCCGCAGGACATTGCCCCTTACTTTGCTTCCCACGATCTCCCTCTTCAATCACCTCCTCGACGGGGTTACAATCTCACTCGAGCGGCTTATTTGATCCGCCATGCCGTCATATACACGAACGACTTCGATTATGAAACTTATCTTGAGCCCCCCGTGAAGAAGTTGCAAAATACGTCCCAGGACTGGTCATCTACAAAGACACTCAAGTTATTGTCTAATTGGAGTGCACTGATCGACGAAGAGCACGTGGAAAAGCTTACTCGTGTTGGCCTGCAAGAGGCTCGATCGCTCGGAACCAGCCTTCATCAAAAATACATGAATTTTGAAACACCCAGGGTTATATGATCCTCAACCGCGGACCGGATGGTGAAGAGCGCGCAGGCGTTTATCTCCGGCTTTACGAACAATCACACAAGTCTCATCAACCTGAACCCAGGCCGAGGAAAGCAAAAAGGCGGGAGCGAATTCATTGACTCCTTACAAGAGCTGCAAAGCACACAGTTCTTCCTACGGCAGCAACCAATCCTCAGTATGACTGCTAACCAGTCACTTACTGAATGGAAATGATGCTGATGACTATCTAGGCTTTCGGAAAAATATAGAAAGCCCATAATCGCACGGTTCAATGCCGAGGCACCATCCTTCAACTTTACTGCAGGTGATATAACCGGCATGTTCGAGTTGTGCGGGCATGAGAGCGTTATTCGCGGCTCTTCTCCTTTTTGCTCTCTCGCTCTATTCAACTCGGATGAGTGGCTGGGATTTGAGTACGCGAACGACCTGATATACTTCCACAACACGGGATACTGCCGGGGCCTATCTCCTGTTCTCGGATTTCGGTGGGTCAACGCCAGTGTCACGACATTGAAGGACGAGTCTTTATGTCAAGAGCTATACGTATCATTCACTCATCGCGAAGTCCCACCGACTGTCATCGCAGCGTTGGGTGTGAATAATAATAGTGCGTACACGGGAGCAAATAACGTGAGCGAGACTATGTCTGAGAATGGTATCAACTACAACCGTGCATAGAAGAGTAGCGAAATTCTTCCGTTTCTCACCAATATTGCTGTTGAGAAGATGTCATGCCAGAGCTACGGCTATGAATAAGGAAAGTATTATCGGATTCTGAATAATGCAGGTCCCCAGCCGTTGGTCGAATGTCGGGATGGGCCTGGTGGGAGCTGTTCAAAGGACAAGTTTCATGATTTCATTGGCAGAAGAGGGGAGTTATTTGGTGGCTACAACAAGGCTTACGGAGTCACTGACCTCCCATCATCCTTGGCTATCTATGGACCATAAAAATGGTCGTTATTGCGTGGACACATTAGTACAAGTGGAACATGGGAGGATGATTCGATGCACGCACATATTTGATAAACCTATTGAGATGATAAACACTAGATCATCCCTTGAATGAGACTCAATAGTTTCACCTCCATAACTAAAGCCCCTCCATTGACCGGCGTCGAGTTTCCGAGCCAAAATTGAGGGTAGATTATGTCCCGACCTCGCATTCATCTCTTTTCAACCAAGCCACCCCACACTTCGACCGATTTCCAATAGACTGCACACTAAAACTTTTCGTACTAAACCGAATTTTGAAGAGGTCCCGAGCCGAAAGAGACTGACACAACTTCGAAGAACTGCATTTCCATCATTTGGTTATCCAAATACGCTATGATCGGCATTTTCCATGCGACTATAAAGTGGAGCCGAGGGTGGAGCCGGCCCTGGTGAACCGACTCTTAGTCCATCAATAGACTGGGTATGTCAAAGATACGTGGAATCTGATCTGTGAAAAGAGTACAAAGCGTGGACAAATCCCTCAGGTACGTCTTTCAGGAGCTTCATACCTAAGCTGTGCAAAACTTCTTACCAAACTGACAGCATCGAAATACCTCTATTCAATCCATCATCATGCGCATTTCAGGTCCATTTAATATACTACGCCTGTTAATTGGGCTGGCAGTTATACCATTTGCCGCTGCACTAGTCGGTAGAAAAGCGGATAACCCGTCAAACAGCCACTGCTCTCGGGTGTGCATGACCAACATCGTCACCCAGGTCCTGGATTCCATGGTGGCTCATAATCCGTACGCCTTACCGATGGCACCGACCTACCGAGCGACTGAGAATTCGCACCCAGCAGCACTCGGAATGATGACATCGTGGCGCACCATCACCAAAGCAGGCCCGCCCAGTCTGTTAGCAATCGACACCACGAATGGAACTGCATATTTCGCCCTAGATATCAGTGAAGGAAACGACGCCACGGAATCAGTCCTTCGAGGTCGACTTAAGGTGGTTCATCGGCAAATCACCGAGATAGAGCTATTCATCAATCGCTATCGCGGTGATCATGGCTTTTCTTTCTCTGCTGCGGAACTTCCAACGAATTACGAGGTGTTGATGTCGCCGCCAGCTAATCGAACGAAAGCCAGCAGAGCAACACTAGAGGCATTAAGCGAGTCACTGTTCGCGACGTCTAGTAATTTCTCAGTTACGGTCGGCGACGCCTGTCAATTCACCGAGTTAGGTTGGAAAGTTGTTGATCCAGGCACGAATGGGACTGGTTCAACAGATCCCTTGGGCTGTGTCTGGCCCTCTGATCACCCCACAGACACGAATGCACGAGTGGGCCTAGTCATCGACGAGGAGTTGGGGTTCGTTGTGACTAGTGGCACAATTCCAGGTAAGGTTTATCCGTACGGGAATATCTCTGCATTCATCCCGGACGCCATGACTTCGGCGCAGGAGGCTCAGGAGGTGTGGATTGAGGAGATGAATGCCCTCGGTATTATGCCGTTGCTTTCTCCCACTGGGGCTACTGGAGATACACTCGAAGTTCTTCAGTACTATAATGGTGAGCTTCAGGCTATGCAGATCAATGTGTACCTGAGTGGTCCCGATATGACATCGCCCTGGCTGTAGCGCATGTCGTTGTTGCTGATCCCTGATGTTGATGTCTGTGGATGCTGAAGAAAGGGACGTGAGGATTTGCAGCCTCTGTTGCATCTACATGGACCTCTGTGCTGTTAAATTAGCAGGGCAATCTTGAGATTAGTTTACTCCATCCCATATTTTTCAGCTAGTCCATGCTACAAATTATGAATTAGCATTGAACAATCTACTATTTTGTCTCATTTTGTGTCTCTATGATACCAAGTTCAGAGCTGGTCTTCAAACAATAACAGCCAGCTGATGAGATATACTCAATGCGGGTCTTCGACTCGTCAATTTGACTTGTTTTCTATCTATTGCAGGATCTCAGTTTTTCATTTACAGTTATTCCCGATATCAACTCTAAGCCGATACCCGTGCGGGAGTGGAACCCACGATCTCAACGGCTATACACCATGTTGGGCACACGGTAGCACAATCTGTTACGTACAGTTCAAGTCTGCGAAATTCCGTCCGATATCTGGTACTGCGAGTAATCATTCACTTACGTTAACCTAGAAGGGACTAGCTAGTGCCAACACTAAATGACCACTCCATAACAGCATCCATGTCTCGCTGCATCTTTCTATATCCTTTTCTGTCTAAGTTCTTCCAAGTTACAATCACGATTCTGCCATGTCTCCCACGCAATACAAACTTATCTTCAGGGTACCCCCCTCTCACCTGGAATCCTGCAAACAAGCAGTATTCACTGCCGGCGCAGGGACATATCCTGGAGGGGTGTATGGAGAGTGTTGTTTCGAAGTGCTGGGGATGGATCAGTTCCGACCAGCTGAAAAATCGACCCCCTTCATTGGCAAGCCTGGGCAGCTTGAGCGAGTCGCCGAATATCGAGTTGAGACATTGTGTGTTGGCGAGGATGTGATGCGCAACTCGGTCAAGGCGTTGCGAAAGGCTCATCCCTATGAGCAAGTTGTGATTGAGGTCGTGCAGCTTGTCGATATTGAGGGCAGTGACTTTTACTAAGTGAACTTGAAACCCTTGGATCAGTATGTTATAGCTCTTTTCCCTACTATATTACATAAAGTTCCCTTTTCTGACAGTCAATGGGCAGTTCAATGTCATTGCCATTTCTCACGCAGACGGGCCCAGCAAAGACTGCCCCCCAATTGAAAGGCGAGGCCGATGAACGGAGGGTGGATAGAAATCGGAAATGGTCGGGTTTCAAAGTGGAATTCGGCAAAGAAGATAAGGGGATTGGTTGATAACCTTAATTACTGCCCTACATATTGTTATATTCGGAGTGGCAGTCCACATTTGTAATTTCAGCAACGTTATGTGCTTCAGCTTCCTCTCTATTAACAAGTTTATCTAAATGATTATCCGATTATTTCTGTGAATATCTCCGACATCATAATCCTGTTTGTCTTCAAAGCATGATAAAAGGGCTCCACTCTAGTGGACCTGCCATCAAGTACACGTACGTAATAGGCCATGGCGGGTTTCGGTTTAGCCCGCATTCCCGAGGACCACAGTGGCCTAGACTGGCGCAACAACTCTACTCCACTGATACAGTGATTCTCGAAATCGGCTTGACCAATACACACTTAATAACTCTTTTTCGGACCCACTGCCAAGGTCTTAGTGCGAGTAAATTATTGAGCGGGCGCGTTGTAAGATACATCTTGTATGGTACGTTACCTCCCTGCATAATATTACCTAATACGTACATGTATGCCATAGAATTCTATGGAACCTTAGTGTGAATCTCTGCAATTCCAACAAGGAGAGGGCCATTGGCTGCCTTGTTCTTGAAGATTGACTAGATATCAGCTCTTCTTCTTAGCCTGCATAGTATGCGTCTTCTTTGCTAATCACACAATTGCGAACTTTAATAAGTAATGCCAGATCTGCCCTAACCTATCCTAGGCGATCTCAACAGAGATCAGAAACCAGGTTTATCAGTTCTATAAGGGGAGCTATCTACTATTATCTCTCTGTAATGCTTAACCCATTCAGTCTTTCTAAAACCGGCTGGGCCCTATTGTGATCTGGACCGAGGGCCTTCTGGAAGCCTGCTAGTGCTCGCTGGTATAGCTCACTATCCGACAAAGTGGGGCCGTTTAGGAGTTGACTCTTCACCAATAGGGTTGTGATACTTGTCATCTTGGCAACCTAGCAAGCGTAGTTGGATGTCGTAATAATACGATGATCTCACGACGTTGGGGTCTAGGGCTAACCCATGCTAGGTAGGGGAATGGTACAGTATACACCAACTAATAGGACAGAATCATGCATAAGTGACAGGCCCCACCAAGGGCAACTTTTCCTGGTTATCTTTTCAAAGTTATGCTAGCTCCGAAGTTGTGCTTAGTTCTGTTCCAGTCAGCCAGCTCACTCTATATTATATTAACCCCTTCCTCGCAGCGCTAAGTTCTGAGCTTTACTAGTCATAACTTGCGAGGGTGTCTCTTTGGCCCAGAGAACCTCAACAAGTGATATTAGAGCCAACGACCATCCTGACCAGGCAGGGGTTGCTTGTAGGCGAACAATACCCTCAACGGCTCCTGATAGTGTAAGCCTCAACTAATAATCACTCACCCTTAGTCTGTCGTTATAGGAGGCCCAATAAAATGACTCTCAGTTCTCTTCGTTGACCATGATAATTACGGCGTTCAACAAAGCATGGCGCTTGACCCGTGGGACGGATGATATATCACAATATGCACCAACACCTAGCAATTTGTTGTACCCTTTAACAGTAGAGAAGCAATATCAAATCACAGCAAGTAGCTTATTCCCCACGCCAACATAATCAAAACCATCCAAATAAACCTGCAATCATAACCAGAAGTACAGGCGGAAACACCCAATGTTGCAGCTCGCCGCCTCCAATAACCAACCGACTAACAAAACCATCAGTGATAGGTAGGCTTAGGGCTGCACACAAGCCCTTGCCTAATAGCCTCTCATCACCAGTAGTCCACAAGATGGCGACGAGGAGGCCGACAGATATATTCCGCACGCCCCAAATACGCATGAGCGCGTGGCTGAACGTCTTGGCCTGGGGATCGCTAGGCACAGGGAAGCCAAGGCTTTTGAGGTGATTGTTGGGACGCAGCGTAGCATTCATGCCGAGTGAGATGAGCATTATGCCCAGGCCGAGACTGCTGTTGAAGATGATAGGGTGTGTCATGGTGAATGATTTTATAAAGTCGTCGTGATAGAATGGTTCTCATAAAAGCTACGTTGTCTTGATAGAATGTGATGAGAGTGGAGTCTAAGCTTGGATTAGCACACACCGCACAAAAGGAGGACGAGGTGGAGGAGGAGGAGAAAGAGATCTCCCAGCAGATCATCAAGTTCCTTGGCGCAAGGTAGCCTTCCTCATATGATTTGCAGAGATCCACCTTGGAATTCCATGGGTTTTCACTTCATACACATAATGTAATCTTACGTCCCATATTACTGTAACATACACGACGCATTTTACTGAGCCCCTCAGCTTAACGCGGGCCGCTCAATAAATTATCGGCGCTAAGGCCTTGGCGGTGGGGCCGAGAAAGAGAGTCTTAGTGTGTATTGGTCAAGGCGATTTCGAGAATGACTGTAGCACCGTTATGAACGAAGTCAACAATACTGGGGATGCCGATAGAGATTATCGAATAGTACCGAAGATAGTGCTCCTCCACTCCTCCATTAACAATGCCCGGTCTGTCCCGTAGGCGCCCCCCGAATTACTGTATCCCTATCGAATTACCTTGTCGAAGCTTAGGTAGCTTAATTGGAAACCTTAATTTGCAGGTGCAAATAATAGACCTGTTGCTCCTACCGAAAACGACCGAACCCCATACTTCTGCTTCACTTCTATCATCGCCATCAAAATCACCACCGGACCGCCAGTATGGACCCATTACCTACATCGGAAGATAAACTACCAGCTGGTGCAGGGGCGACTATCTCGGTCATTGACTCGGCCAGCCTCAGTAACCTGCCCCTCGAGCCGTACTTTCACTGTGACCTGCCACGGCTTCAGCGCGTCACGGTGCCCGCCTTCTCATTTGTCATAACAAACCAACGGGGCCGCTCTGTCTTGTTTGACCTGGGTCTACGCAAGGACTGGCCCAAACTGCCACCGACTGCGGTGGCTGAGATTCATAACGACCAGTTGGGTATTCATTGCGAACAGGACGTGCTCGACATCCTCGAGGCACACGATTTTCCTATTGAAAATGTCGAGGCGATTGTTCTGAGGTTATTTGCTCCTTCTTTCCTCCATTCGCTTTTTTTCACTCCTTGAAGATCAATAGCTGACTCCTCAGCCACCATCACTTCGATCACATCGGTGATCCATCTCGCTTTCCCTCATCGACCGCGCTGGTCGTTGGCCCCGGTGTGTGCGAGGCCCTGATGCCCGGCTACCCAGACCAGGAAATCTCGGAGATATTGACGTCTGATTATTCGTGAGTCTCCGTGTCACATCCAGTACCATCACAATCAAACAACCAAGGAGCGTCCTGACCCGAGAAAACGGTACTGACTAGAGGCCGCTCTGTCCGCGAAATCGACTTTACCTCGACAGACCTCTCCATCTTAGGACTCCCAGCGCTTGACTACTTCGGCGACGGCTCTCTATATCTACTCAGTACCCCTGGCCACGCGGTGGGCCACATGGCGGCTCTAGTTCGCACAACCAGCAGCCCTGACTCGTTCGTGTTGCTGGGTGGCGATGCATGTCATCACTGCGGCGAGCTGCGACCTTCACCGGGGCAACCGATACCAATGAGTGCGCGGTCGTGCATTACCGGTTTCCTTAACACCCATTCCAACGACGGGTCGCAGCCATTCTTCAAAATCCAGCGAGATGCGCGCTACGCTGCCTACTGCCATAATCCCGACGAGGCGGAACAGACTATCCTTCGCCTGCAACGCTTCGACGCGCTTGACAACGTCTTGATCATCTTCGCACACGACGCTAGCATCAAGACAGTCATCGATGAGTTTCCGGCGACGCTGAATGACTGGCTCATCAAGGGCTGGGGTAGTAGTTGCCGATGGCGTTTTCTTCGGGATTTTGAAGAATAGCACTTGTAGATAAGATGGTCATTGATATGAATTGGAGGGAAACTGATTTTAAGTTGCGCAGATTCCTGACTCGAGATAGGCTTATCGATGCAGACCTGTACTCACTCATCCAGTGAACACCAAACGGTGAGTATCGGACAGCCCATTTGAAAGCTTTGCTCGACATTGTTGTCATTGCACAACGGGCGGAGATTCTATAAGTATTGACTTAGAGAATCAGACTCATCGTCGATTCTGATGTCAACTTGCCTCCACCAATGAAGCCATCACGATCACGCTCAATGCGAACATTTGAGGCGCGAGAATTGTTCAAGTGCGAAGAATGGAGAGGAACTATCAAACCACGATCAAAGAGTTGAACAGTCTTCCCAAATTATGATGGCCCATCTCGCCGTCGGAAAAAAGAGGGTCAAGTTGGGAACACTCCACTTTTGTGGCCCCTCGGCTTCGGATCGAATTTTCAAAACCGAAAGCCGAACTAACTACTCGGTTCAACACGGTCAATATTTTTGTGTCGAAATGCGAGGGCAGATGAAATCGCACATAAGTAAAAGAAAAAGAAAACATGGTTTTTGCAACAATTGATACCAGACAACCCAATAAGTGCGACCACATTCTCGTTTGAGAAAATGAGGGAAGATAAAGAAGTCATCGACACCGACTCCGATACCGACAACTATAATGGTGACAATAAGCCACCGGCTCTGGACGATGACCAAGATCAGTACATGGATGGTTGGCGGGGATGGCTAGTCGTTGCAGCGGCGTCATGTTCGCTATTCATTTATTTGGGAGTAATCTACTCCTGGGGTGTATTAGGAGCTGAGCTTGTGAAGACGACAACATTTTCATTAACGACATTGACATTCGTCGGCTCGCTAGCCACTTCGTTCATGGTTTCGCTGAGTATACTGGTTGGTATGACGATCCGACGATTTGGATACCAGAAGACAGCCTTTGTAGGTGCCATTCTCATGGGACTGGGCGAGTTCTTGGCCAGCTGGGTGACGGGGAACCTGGCTGGTCTATTCATTTGCCATAGCGTGCTCTTTGGCGTGGGTGGAGGATTGACGATTATGGTATGATAATGACATCAATCCATCCGATCTATTCATCGTTGCATTTCTAACATTTTCCAGCCATGTTCTACTGCCCCTCTGCGATGGTTCCGTAAATACCGAGGCCTTGCTACCGGCGTGGTCTTTGGAGGAGGCAGCCTCGGAGCCGCAGCCCTGAGTGTCGCCGCAAACCTGCTAGTATCGGAGGTTGGTGTACCATGGACTCTCCGGATCTTTGGTCTGCTCGCGTGGGCCGTTTGTGTACCAGCGGCGTGCATGATCCGGCAGCCGAAGAGCACGGCTGACCCTGTGCCACAACTACAATGGTACGTTTCGGTCACTTGGAGCAGCACAAATGCCATACTGACAGGATGATTCTTGCAGGTACCGTTTCCGAGAGCGAGCGTTTATCCTTATCTTTGTGGGCAGTGGACTCGGCTGTTTCCCGCTGTTCATCCCGTCATATTTCATTCCGATATACGCGCGAGCTGTGGCATCACAACGGGTCGCAGTTATTATCTTGGCAATGTGGAACGTAGCGTCGACTGTGGGACGCGTGCTCGCAGGGTTTCTGGCCGACGCGGTGTTGGGGCCGTTGAACAGTCTTATCTTGTCCCTGCTGTTGGCAGGTGTAAGTGCACTGGCTATCTGGCCCTTTGCCGACTCTGTCGCTGTGCTGTCGGTATTTATTGTACTTAATGGGCTTGGTTGCGGTGCCTTTTTCAGCCTAATCCCAGCTGCGGTGGGATCGATGTTTGGAGCCAAAAATACCATGGGTGTCTTGCCGATCCTATGGGCTGGATGGTTCTTCGGATACTTTTTTGTGAGATCCCACATCATCGCCCCTGTGCTTCTGTTATTTAGACTGTCAGCTAACAAGAGTTATGTAGGGCTCTCCAATAGCCGCTGGGATTTATTCCTTGTCCGATAAAAATTCTGGAACTGCTGCCTACCGACCGGCTGCCTATTATGCGGGTGGCATGTCTATCGTTGGTCTGTTGTTCATAGTGGCAATCCGCTGCTTGTATTCCCGTCAAATCCTCGCCCGAGTTTGAGAGACCCAGTCTGCCAGATGGCTCTGTTGGGTGGCCGGCGTTTTTCTCGTCTGAGACGATGACGAAACTTCTCTATACTGGCTATCATCGAGGCCTCAAACTTGCTCAAACGCCGTGTGTGCGACACCGAGAAGGATTTCGATCAAAGAAATCCTCGAAACCTATGAGTCAGTGCTTACAGGCACGTACAGTAAACCTGTTGGTCGACCTGTCCCTCGGCCATTTCCACGATCTGGGAGATCAAGGAAACGTATCGCGAATGGGCCGATCAGGGTGACAAGTCGGCCAAGACCTGCCTAGGTTATCTTTCACAGCCATCCGATGCCTGTTGACATACCAGAGATGCGATTGAAGGCTGGACCTTAAGAACAACAATGAAAGAATGTTGTCAATAACTAGAAGTCTCATCGGCCTAGTCAAGGTGCAGCGCATCCCAGATTGGTTACTCAAACCGGGTGACTCTGCCTAAAACCAGGAGTCTTGATTGGATGAAAACACAATGAATAAATCCATACGTATTCCAATTCAAAATCAGCCCTCATATTCCGTCCCTCATCTCTGCCCGTATCCCTCTAGACGGGAGCATCCCGTTCTAGGTAAACTGCCCTAGAAAGGAGGGCCAACCCCTGTCACACAAACACGTGGTATCCCTAGAAATCAGAATAATTTATGCTGACTATTTCATCCAAATCTACTCCGTAGAGTGGTTGCAGTCGGGGCTAGGCTGCGGGGACCAGCATAGACCAATTTGTGGCCTTTGCAAGCGAACTATTGTATGATATTGATGTGTGGCTAAGAATAAACATATGTAATATGGAGACGTGAATTAACTGGGCCTGGCAAATTATTGCTTTGAGGTGTATTTTTAGGGATGGATGTGGAAGTCCAGTTTCAGGAGACTTGAGATCGAGGTAGCGGTTGGAGGTTGAATCAATGAATTGAAATGCGAAATGGGACATAGAACTATCCAATGATATAGACAAGGGCACGAGTACTGCAAGAATATATTCGAATTCTCGCTCCAGAAAATTGTTTCGTTGTACATGCTGAAAACTATCCCCGAAGGGCAATTGCCATTGGCAGTCAGTCAGCAAGATGGGAACTCTGGATTAACGAATACCATACGTTACTCCGGAGTAGCATAAACCCCCGGCAAACATTTACCGCTACAATTGAAAATGTATCTGCAGCATTCGGAAATCATTTTCACTTGTTAGTATGGCATTGGCACCATCGCCGAGATCTGGCGCCCACGAACCTAATTGACTCTTCATGTACCTATAGGAGCCCCAGGAAGCCAATACGCAGCCCAGTCAGCATTACGATCGGAAAAACATGACCGTGGAAGAAATTCGCCGATGTGCCCTGTTCCTTTGACAGCCACATCGAAATCAAAGATAATTTGTGCCCTATACCTGCCATTAACAGTGAAAATGCTACCCAAAGGCTCGGGTGCCATCGGAGCAGGCGAAAATCTAGAGAGCATAACGCCTTAACGCCTTAAGCCACATCGCCGTTTGACCGGGCGCACAGTCCGGTAAGGCTTGGCCTTGCGTAGTGGGGAAATAAATGCCGGAGTACCTTTGTAGGAGAACTCCGTCAGTTAGTGAGTGAGTATTCCGCCAGTGATCATTGGTGAGCGGTTTTCTCTAGCAAGATGATCAGCGAGGGGCAGAGCGACTAGCGGTGTTTCAGGAGTGACGAGTCCTCCCCCGCTGTTAGCAAGCCACTCGGGGCGTGTTCGCGGTGTGCTTTCTTGCGGGCATTGCCTACAGGGGAGACCAGGCCTGGCGGAAGGAGTCTGGGTGTTGTGCTGAAACACTGGCGTCGATCGGGTGCTGGGGCCGGATCGCCTGAGAGTGGCCGCTGCCGTCATCAGTGGTGGCGCTCTTTCTGTGCGGTGAGGGAAGAACAAGGCAAGGGTTGTTCAGGATCTGCCATTGTGCGCGAGTTCATTACCGTGCAGTTGGAGGATACTATACTCCATATACTGTAGGGTATAAAATCACTAGATATGGGCGCAATTACTGATTAGGGTTATTTGTTCTTGTCATGTGCGTGTGTACTTCGGGAAACCTCCCACATTCCACGCATGTACTGTAGTCCACACTTTAAACTAACCGCAACCACAACCACTGTAGCCCTAATTCTGGGACTGCAATGCCATTCGAGCATGTCGAGTCAAATGAAGGGGCTCTTGAATGACACGGGCATGTGTGATAGGTCAACTCGGGCCAATTCCCCTGGTGCCAAGGACTGGGTGGCCATTCACAGGATGAGAGTACGGAGAGTTATTAGGTGTAATTGAGAAAATACATAAATAATGCAGTATCTGCTGGCAGAAATGGGATTTGTGCTTTAAACGCCTGACTAACTAGGCATTAACCCTTGTTAATGCCTGAACTCGGCCGGCGGCCTGAAAAGCGGTCTGCACTGTTATGCACCTTTCAAACTGCCTCTATTCTTTTGCGTACATGTGCCTGGAGCGGCCAGCCAGGGAACCACATCACCGCGCCACTGGATCTCCAATCGAAATGCATCCTGTTCAACTTTCCGAGCGGCCTACGCAAGCATCTTCCATGGTTCGTTCAGCTCGGCTCCACCATCTCCTCTTTCCTTCCACAAGTTGATGTGGAATCTCACATGGTCGCACATCAGCATTGTTCCTGAGATATCTGCCAGGGGGCATCCAATACCCGCTGACTCGACTGCTGGTGGCTGGCCCTTTGAAACGCCTTGCCATTGTTCTCCTCAGGCACCGGCAACTATGACCCGATTGCAATCAGTGCTTTGCTTCCTTTGATGACCACCAAAATAACCCGGATATGTACTCCCCGAGCGCAGCCTGAGAACATCTTGTTTAGGCCCCGTCTCACTGGCGGTCCAGGCTACTGTGGGGGTCTGCGTCTGCGGATATCTAGCCTGTGGAGTACGCAAGGATATGCATCTCGAGAAGACAAAGAGAATTCTCGCGGCCCCACTGCCGCGGAGGATGTGTATTGTACAGTTTACTACGGGGCCTGAACTAACTCAAAAAGGGTGAAAAAGAGTCTCTCTGAAGCCCAAATGTATGGCCAGGCCCCAAACTGGCCAATCATCAAATTTGCAGCCCTGACGGCCTGTCAGAAAGGCACTGAGATCCAATCGTTGTCTGCCCCTGCCTTTCCCCGTTACGATGTGAACCTTTTGGAAATCCCGTTCCGTGGGTGACGCAGCTCTCTCATGGTGAAGACTTCCGTTAAGGTGCCACTTTGCATGGCCTTTGCCTCCGGAGGACCAATGGCAGCCTGGTAACTCTTGCGACACCTCCACTTGGCCCCTCTCTTGCTCGGCGCAAAAGATGAAAGACGTGAAGAAAGACGTTCCAGCCCAAGACCGCACGACTTGATAGTAAAGTTTGACGCACAATGCATCGGCGGATTTGACATTTAACCTCCCTCATTCCCTTTCGACTCCTTGTTTCTGTGCTTCTTTTCCCCAGTCTGCGTGTGTCAGTTCACAATTCCTTTCTTTTCCGATCCTTGAGATCACTCTTCGATCATTTCAATCTTTCTAGTTGCCTGTGCCGTGCACGGTCTAGAGTCCTTTCTTTCGAACATATTCGTTCCTTCTCGAGAACAGGCCTTCTCGAAATTTCTCAATTGTCCATTCCTTTTACTTTTGTGAACAAAAAACACAAGTACATATCTCTTCTGAACATATCAAAATGGTCTCCTTCACCCAGCTGTTCACCACTGGCCTCCTCGCCACCTCGGCCCTCGCCATCCCAGTTGCTAAGCCCATCACCGTCGAGGTAGAGAAGCGCAACAGCACCACCAATACTTCCAAGCGTGGTGCCGCCTACAATGATATCGCCCTCGTCTCCCCGCTAGCCTCCACCGGCACCATCTCCTGGGCCTACACCTGGGCCTCATCGATGTTCGGCAGCCTGCCCTCTAACGTCGACTATGTCCCCATGCTCTGGGGTGCCAGGGACTTCGGTGGCTGGGTTACCGCCGTTGAGACTGCCCTGTCCTCCGGCAGCAACTACATCCTGGGTTTCAATGAGCCCGATATGACCTCCCAGGCTGACATGTCCGCATCTGAGGCCGCCGGCTACTACCAGACCTACATCACTCCCTACTCCGGCAGGGCTAAGCTGATTTCACCCGCCGTCACCTCGTCCACCACTTCGGGTATGGGTCTGTCTTGGTTCCAGGAGTTCATGAGCGACTGCTCGTCGTGCGGCATCAGCGGTCTGGCCGTTCACTGGTACGGCGACACCGCCGACGAGTTCCAGTCTTTCGTCTCGCAGGCCGTCAGCACTGCTGCTAGCTACGGTCTGTCCGAGGTCTGGGTTACCGAGTTTGCGCTCAGCCAGGATGCGGGCGGTGTCATCGATGCTGCTACCACCTCTTCTTTCCTCCAGACGGTTCTGCCCTGGCTCGACGCCCAGACTAACGTCACCCGCTACTCGTACTTCTATTGCGCTGATAACTACCTCCTCACCGACACCACCCTGAACCAGGCTGGTCAGACTTACACTTCCTAAGTCTAGGGGTTGCGAGGGCGTGTGCGTGATACGTCCACAGTGCTTCAATCCGTTTGAAGTGAATGGGGTTGAAGAAGAAACATAAAAGAGATGAAGGGATTTTTTCCTCTGTTATCCGGCGTCCTAGGATGGGAGCTCACTCGTTATTCCCTGATTCCCCGAGTATCCTAGTATCTATTCTGGCGCAATATGACGGGCCTCTTCTCGTCCGGGATTGTCTCTTTTTTCCGATTCAGTGCTCGTTCTCTCTTTATTTGTCAGATACTTAGGGATTGACACAAAGGTCTCTATCACATATGCATGCAAATAACCAACGGTTGATTTGAGTTTACTTGATTCAATATTCTTTCCTTCTTTCGGAGTTTCATTCCTAGATATCTAGCGGCTATTCCCAAAATAGCCCGCGAGTAAACTGCAAGAAACAACTGGTCTTATGCACAATCTGAGGGGAGGGCGGTTTCACTTGCCGAGAGTTGAGAGGTTCTTTGTTGGTGGCCACTTTGTTGGGCGTTATCTGATCCGATTGGTTGCGGGTCATATTGGTCGCTTATATTGGTGCTTATTTCGTCATGCCTGAGTCAACCCCACCACCCGGATGAAATAAGGTAGGAGCGAGATCCCCCAAAAACATGGAAGATGAAAGAGAATATGGGCTTACGACGAGAAGGCTACCGGTTTGACCGGGTCCCAAATGTAGGATGTAGGACTCGAATCATAATCTCGCATAACCTTATTCGCACGCAAGTCAACAGTTGTTCCCTCAGCATCCCGAGAATACAATAGGTACTGACCTAGAGGACAAGGCTTTGAAGAAGTAGAATCTTACTATCCAAAGTGCTACATACTAAATGTAGTGGCAACCTCCTGAGGTCCCGAAGGGTTGACTGTACTACTCTGCTGTCCGCGTCCCATCCATCCTATATGACAGGCTACATATAGAGAATGATAAACGCCACCCTAGAAAAGTAGACGTGATAAGTAATCGACCCCTACCAGGACTGCCCTTTTGATATTTGACGCCTCAGGCACAAATGTTACCTGATCGTACCGTCCAAGCCGGCTTTAGTAGACTGAGTCTTGAAGAGTGTTGATGCAAACGTCCGTGTTGAAATTCTTGTCTTGAAGATTTCTGGCTGCGTTCCCAATTATCCTTGAGAATCCCTTTGCACATGTCTTCCGGATCTTCTTGGTGAACAAAATTATATTTACTGATTCTGGGGAATGCAAGCCCGTGACAACACCAGGTCGTTGTCTCCTGGGTAGAGTTATAGCCATCTGCCTGTCTCTACCACCCTGTCAACCTGAAGCAAAGGAATTCGTAACACAACGAAAACGAACAAAGAGCCATATCTATCCTTTTTTTTACATTTTGCTCGTCATTTTTTGCGTCGTTCAGGATAATCCCCCATCATTGCCTCCGATTCTTCCAAATGCCGCCGAGAAGTAGAACCTGAGTAGCCTTCGGATCTCGGATACTGACGTCTATATCCTTCAACACGCCATACTCTTGATGTATCCGACGCGCGGTGTTTCCTAAACAGCAAATGACGACTTAGGCTTATTTTCAGCCCGAGTTTGTTTGGCCGCAAGGTAGGAAATGAACTTTCTTTCGGCAAAGTCACGAATGCTGCGGCACCGGCCAGCCCGGGTTCCGCGGCAGAGGGTATTTTGCTATGCTCGGACCGAGGCTTGATAAGAGAGCGGAGGCATCATTGATACACTAAAGCCCTTGAGTTAGTACAATATCTCATGTGAAAGACAGTATCTTTGGATACGTCTAAACTAGCAACATGGGAAAGGATTAGAAGATTTGGCTTTGCATCTTCCATTGACGTTCTTCTCAAGGCTTTTCCAAAATTCATTCTATTGCGATTCTAAAAGTCTTCAAATGTGTCCCAGTATAATTAGAGATACCTTGGGAGAGATGCTTTCTGTCAGGAACGAAGCTTAGAAGCTCCACAGATCGGTGTGTTCAGATTATTAGTGAAAGTCGTGTTAATAACATTCACCACGAAGACTTTCTGTATTTATGCATTGAATGATAGAAGGAAAAGCCGATTTATAATCCGCGATTTGTATTTGGCAGTTCACAAATCCCAAGTCTTGATTTAGACCCATAATGAATGTTAGGGACGACTGTAAATTGCCTGTTTAGTCTTCGGCCGGGTAGATCGGCAGAACCGTCGGTTGCTATCCGGCAAGCCGGCCAGCAACATACCTACGTAATTCGGCCCTTGACGGGATCTCTGACCCATGGTTTTATATCCGTAGATCTGTTTTGATGACGATGAAGAGTAAAAACAATAGATCTGCCGTGCTGAGGTTTGTATAAATCCTTGCATAAAAAACAAGGGTATTACCCCAGAATGATGATCTGAAGGCCTTGGATTTCGTTTTTTACCCTACAGGATCCTTGAATTGTTTCGACATCTGCATATCATTATATCATTCATTATCATCGGTAGTCTCTTTATCTGATTATTAATTAAACAGAAATATGCCTCAGGTCGGCTTTATACTGCGGATCCCATGTAGTCAAGACCCATCCGTCCAGGCAACATTGAACCTAGAAAGAAGACAAAGAAATCCGAGGAAGATCCCGATTGGCCGTCCCTGGCGGCTCAAGTCAGACCCCTATCTCGGCATTCAGTCCGAGGCATATAGTTGAGCTGTCAGTCTTCCTGTTTGGCTATTTTTACATGCTGAGTTCCCCACATAGACGGAAACTCGGGTGGCGTGCTGTTCCATTTATGCCCATGAACCTATTCATAATGGTAAAAAGTACAATAGTACACCAGCTATTCCTAATACTAGTCCATATTGACGGAATATAATACGGAATATTGCAAGAGATAGTGATTACAGAGAGGCATAATGCCTATTACCTGGCCCCTGGCTCCACTTTCTTCAGGGCTCTTCGGATCTAGACGACGGTTCCTGGCTGGCGATCCTATAGATCCGAAGGTACTGGCAGATCTTATAACTATACACTGCCACCCAATTTTCAGACAGAATAATCAACAAGAAAGACCAATCTCCACTCCTCATTTTCGCTTCCATCATGGAGGACCACGAAAAAGAATACGACAGCACTTCACCTCCCGGAACTGCCACTGAAGAAGGGAACGTGAATTACCTCAACACACTTACTGTTCCTGATATAAACCTCCGAGAAGCCAGCAGTGCCGAGACCCTAACACCTCATCCCTCTGTCGTTCCGCCTCCCCAAAAGACTGCAGAATGGCATATGACACCGCAAGTCATTCGGAATGCCGAACGCGACGAAGCAGCTGGCTTCAAGAGACGCGAGCTAGGAGTCACTTGGCAAAATCTCTCGGTTGAGGTTCTTGCTGCTGAAGCAGCAGTCAAAGAGAACATGATCTCCCAATTCAACGTTGCTCAACTCATCAAAGACTTCCGGCGGAAACCACCTCTCAAGTCGATCTTGTCGAACAGCCATGGATGTGTCAAACCCGGTGAAATGCTTCTCGTTCTTGGACGTCCCGGATCCGGATGCACTACTCTTCTCAAGATGCTTGCCAATCGTCGCGAAGGATACAAAAACATCACCGGAGATGTCCGGTTTGGAAACATGACTCCGGAAGAAGCGTCAAAATACCAAGGTCAAATTGTGATGAACACCGAAGAAGAGCTCTTTTACCCTCGGTTGACAGTGGGCCAGACGATGCACTTTGCTACCAAGCTCAAAGTCCCTTACCACCTCCCCGGGGAAGCCAAGAGCGTTGCCGAATATACCGCCGAGACAAAGCAGTTCCTTCTTGAATCCATGGGTATCGCCCATACTGCCGATACAAAAGTTGGCAATGAATTTGTCCGAGGTGTGAGCGGTGGAGAAAGAAAGCGAGTATCTATCATTGAGTGCCTCGCTACGAGAGGCTCTGTTTTTACCTGGGACAACTCGACAAGAGGACTGGACGCTTCTACGGCCCTGGAATGGGCCAAAGCCCTTCGAGCCATGACCGACGTGCAAGGCCTTTCTACTATTGTGACGCTCTACCAAGCTGGGAATGGAATCTATAATCTTTTTGATAAGGTTCTGGTCCTCGATGAAGGAAAGCAGATCTACTATGGCCCGGCAGCAGAAGCCAAACCATTCATGGAAAATCTTGGATTTGTATACACGGATGGTGCCAATATTGGTATGGGATCTACAGCCCTGACTTATCGTTTTCATGTCCTGACTTAACTTTCAAGGTGATTTCCTCACGGGTTTGACCGTTCCGACCGAACGAAAGATTAGACCTGGTTGGGAGAACAGGTTCCCCCGGACGGCTGATGCGATCTTGACTGAGTACCAGAACTCGGCAACATACAAGAACGAAGTGTCTTTGTACGGGTATCCCGACACTGACCTTGCTGCCGAGCGAACGGAGGCATTCAAAGAATCTGTCGCCTGGGAGAAGTCTAAACACCTACCTAAAGGCAGTGATTTGACTACCAGCTTCTGGGCCCAGCTTATGGCATGTACGGCCAGACAGTACCAAATCCTTTGGGGCGAGAAGAGCACGTTCTTGATCAAACAGATTCTGTCGTGTGTCATGGCATTGATTGCCGGCTCTTGTTTCTACAACTCTCCAGACACCTCTGCAGGTCTTTTCACTAAGGGCGGTGCCGTATTCTTTTCGTTGCTATACAACTGCATTGTGGCTATGTCGGAGGTCACCGAATCATTCAAAGGTCGTCCTATTCTGACAAAGCACAAGTCTTTTGCCATGTATCATCCGGCTGCGTTTTGTCTAGCTCAGATTACTGCGGATTTCCCGGTATTGCTGTTCCAATGCACGATCTTCTCGGTTGTGATCTACTGGATGGCTGGATTGAAGCATACTGCAGCGGCGTTTTTCACTTTCTGGGCTATTCTTTTCATCACAACCCTGGTAAGAAATTACTTCTGTTCATCAATCACCCGCCTAGTGCTAATTGTCTTATAGTGCATTACTGCGTTGTTCAGATTCATCGGGGCTGCCTTTAGTACCTTCGAAGCTGCATCTAAGATCAGTGGCACAGCCGTCAAGGGTATTGTCATGTACGCAGGCTATATGATCCCGAAGCCCCAGATCAAGAATTGGTTCCTCGAGTTATATTACACCAATCCCTTTGCATACGCCTTCCAAGCTGCATTGAGTAACGAGTTTCATGGCCAGCACATCGAATGTGTTGGTGGAAATTTGATTCCCAGTGGCCCTGGATACGAGAACGTTGGATCCGCTCATAAGTCTTGTGCGGGGGTTGGCGGTGCTCTCCCAGGTGCCGATTTCGTGACAGGAGACCAGTACCTCTCATCCCTTCACTACAAGCATTCTCAGATGTGGCGGAACTTTGGTGTTGTCTGGGCCTGGTGGGGTTTCTTCGCTGTCCTGACGGTTGTGTTCACATGTTTCTGGAAATCTGGTGCTGCATCTGGATCTTCCCTTCTCATTCCCCGTGAGAATCTCAAGAAACATCAAGTTGGCAGTGATGAGGAAGCTCAAAAAGACGAGAAGCGTGCTGCTCGGACCACCACTGATGAGCCAGTTCAAGTCGATGATGACAATCTTGTTCGCAACACGTCTATCTTTACCTGGAAGAACCTCACTTACACAGTCAAAACACCGAGTGGTGACCGAGTTCTCCTGGACAATATCAATGGATGGGTGAAACCCGGCATGCTCGGGGCTCTTATGGGATCTTCTGGAGCTGGCAAAACAACCCTACTTGATGTACTCGCACAACGCAAGACCGAAGGTACCATAAAAGGCTCCGTCTTGGTTGACGGCCGCGAGTTGCCAGTCTCCTTCCAGCGCATGGCAGGGTACTGTGAACAGTTGGATGTTCACGAGTCTTATGCCACTGTGAGAGAAGCCTTGGAGTTTTCTGCTCTACTGAGACAGTCTCGAGACATTCCAAAGGCAGAGAAGCTCAAATACGTTGAAACAATTATTGACCTCTTGGAACTCCACGATCTCGCCGACACTCTTATTGGAACTGTGGGTAATGGGCTCTCTGTTGAACAGCGAAAGCGTGTGACAATTGGAGTGGAACTTGTCTCAAAACCTAGCATTCTTATCTTCTTGGACGAACCTACTTCAGGTCTTGATGGTCAATCCGCGTACAACACCGTCAGATTCCTTCGGAAGCTAGCAGATGTTGGCCAAGCGGTCCTAGTCACTATTCACCAGCCTTCTGCTCAGCTATTCGCTCAGTTCGATACTCTCCTTCTCCTCGCAAGAGGTGGGAAAACTGTCTACTTTGGTGATATCGGCGACAATGGGGCCACGATCAAACAGTACTTCGGCAAGTACGGGGCCATTTGTCCTCAAGAGGCGAATCCGGCGGAGTTCATGATTGATGTCGTCACTGGTGGCATTAAAGAAGTAAAGGACAAAGACTGGCATCAGATCTGGCTCGACTCTGCCGAACAGCACCAGATGATCACTGAGCTGGACAGAATGATCGAAGTTGCTGCTAGCAAGCCACCAGGTACCGTTAATGACGGCTACGAGTTCTCCATGCCTCTCTGGGAACAAATCAAGATCGTCACTCATCGCATGAACGTCTCACTTTTCCGTAATACCGCCTATGTCAACAACAAATTTTCCCTGCACATTATCTCGGCAATGTTGAATGGATTCTCGTTCTGGCGACCCGGTCCCAGCGTGACCGCTTTGCAGCTCAAGATGTTCACCATATTTAATTTTGTCTTCGTTGCTCCGGGTGTCATCAACCAACTCCAACCCCTCTTCATCCAGCGCCGTGATATCTACGATGCCCGCGAGAAAAAGTCCAAGATGTATTCCTGGATCGCATTCGTCACTGGACTTATCGTTTCGGAGTTCCCGTATCTTTGCATTTGCGCCGTTCTCTACTTTGTTTGCTGGTACTGGCCAGTTTGGAGATTGCCTCATGACTCCAACCGCTCTGGAGCGATCTTCTTCATGATGTTGATCTACGAGTTCATCTACACTGGGATTGGGCAGTTCATTGCCGCGTATGCACCGAACCCAACTTTTGCGGCGCTTGTCAACCCGTTGATCATCAGTGTTCTCGTGCTGTTCTGCGGCGTCTTCGTTCCCTACGACCAGCTGAACGTGTTCTGGAAGTACTGGATGTATTACCTGAACCCGTTCAACTATGTCGTCAACGGCATGTTGACCTTCGGTCTATGGGGACAGAAAGTAACCTGCAATGAGAACGAGTTTGCACTCTTCGATCCGACCAATGGTACTTGTGGCGAGTATCTGGCGGACTACCTGACTGGTAAAGGCAGCGGAGTCAATTTGCTGAATCCAGATGCTACCTCGGGCTGCAAGGTCTGTGAGTACAGCACTGGAAGTGATTTCCTGCGGACACTCAACGTGAACCATTACTATTATGGATGGAGGGATGCAGGAATCACTGTCATCTATGCCATATCGGGCTATGCGCTTGTGTTTGGTCTTATGAAGCTGAGGACCAAGGCGTCCAAGAAGGCCGAATAGGTTACACGCCGGACATGATCTTGGATCGTAGAAGGATGGTGAGAGGATATCTAAATTGCCAATTCATAAATAGACATAGACATAGACTGTATATAGATTGACATAGAAATGGGCATCAGCGATCAATTCTTTTTTGGGTTTCCTTTCACCTTCCTATCTATCACACTGGAGTTGTGCATCCTATGCCGTAGTATATCTCCCCAATCATCTCATATTATATGATTGATAATATTTGATTTGAATTTTACTACTATGATTCTGTGATGATGCTTGCAAGCCAAAATAGCAGGTTCTAAACTTTGTTTGGCAAGTCGGGGCCAACCGGACCCTGAACGTGGAACGGAGATACCAAATTCCATAAAATCATCATCCTGTGATTCTCAAGTGCGAACAACAATATCATCAATCTTTACAGCGTCATCGTTCTCGTCCAAGATCAACAAAATGGAATATCTGGTCGCGGATAACTCAGGGCGAGGATTTTCCCAGGGACAAACCAAGGAGTACAAAATTGTCAACACTAAACAAATCGGCAATGATCGAAAAGACACAAGGGAATAGCATCAAGAAAATGAAACCTGTGGACTTGGAAGAATGGAGAGCTGCTCAAGACCAACATATACAGCAATACGTGGAAGAGAGAAAGTCCTCGAACGGGAATGAGATCAACATCAACGCCTGGGCTCAGTCAATCATAGAAGTCAACATACAGCTAGCCGAAATAGTCCAACGATAACAATTTGTTAAGGGTAAAATCGATCAATTGTTAGCCTTCCTCGGGAGACAGGAGAAGAGAAAGATACGCGCATTGCACGACGAAGCGCACAAACTCAAGCTGAAGTATTGGCGTCTTGACAGACAGATGTATATCTTCGAGGAGGGATGTCCAGTGGAAGGCTTGAAGAAGGGCTTCAAAGCACTGCACAGCCAGTATGGCTGGCGTTTAATAAGTGATTGGCTTCGGAATGATTGCGCAAGACGAGGGGGCTGCTGCGGTCGAAGCTGTAAATGTTGCGGTGAGAAACCGCCGGTTCAAGACAGGCTGAGGGGGTGGGGTCATTGCACGACAGAGTGTGGCTGTTGCAATCGCATTCGAGGGTTCGACTTGAAGAAGGAAGACAAGAAGCTATTTCAACCAGACTTCGATATCAATAAGTGGCAGACGAGCCCTTACACTTTGAGCATATCCATGGCTTACATGTGGGGACTGGAATAAGCCGTGAATGAGTCTAAGAAGACACACAATGGGGCAATCCGTGGACCAAGTCATCGCGAGATCAGGATAATGTACCAAAGGCGACATCGGGAAGGAATCTGTCTATTTGCTCTAGCCTTCCTGAGAACGTACAGACTATTGCTTAAGACCCGCAGAAAATATTGGGAGTGTATGTCCTATCCCGTACATTTCAGGGCACGGGATCTAAATTATGAGAATCTTTAAGACGAGTAAACTTTGAACGTAAGACAGCACCGTTATATGCTTTTGCTATGATGAAGAGATCCCTGTCCCAAAACCCAGGTCTATGTAACCCATTAAGCATGCCCCTACCCCCACAGACTCCAAACACCGGGTATTTCCCAGTCCCAGAAAGAAAAAAAAAGATAAACCGCCCATGCAAATGCAAGAATCGTGAAATAAAAGAGCATAACACCGAGTATCATGTCATCGTCACGTCCTCCGTAAGCGCTGGAGTCGTCTCAGTAGATGGCTCGGGAGGATCGTCAGTCATTTCGTTGTCACCGTCGTCATCGCCGTTGATAGCGGCACCATTCTGAATGGTAATTTCGGTACCAACTTGAATTGGAGACGCATCGGAGCCATTTCGGTCCTGGTTCTCCGGAGTTTCCTCCCATACGCGCACGGTCTTGTCCAGGCCACAGCTCACGATCATGCGCTTTCCATTCAGCTTACCCGTATGGACGCTTGAAACAACGTCTGTGTGGCCCTCAATTCGTTGAAGGATATTCTTGCTGACAATATCCCAACAGAGGATTGCGCCGTCCTCGCTACCACTCACGGCAAAAGCCAAGGGTGGATTATACTTGACTTCAGGTGAGCCATAGTAACCAAAACAGCCCGACAAACTATACTTTTTGTTGACATGGCCCTGAAAGGTTTTGATAACACGACTTTCGACGTAGTTCCACATGCGAACACAACCATCTAGGGTCCACGCTAGAATGTATTTTCCGTTCGGAGAGAACTTGACACAAGTCGCAGGCGGGTTGTCTTCGTGCACGAGTGTTTTCAAGCATTGACCGCTGTGGGTATCCCAGACACGGACAAGTCCATCCAAAGCACACGAGACAATAAGGGTGCCGTCGTGTACGACATCGATGCCAGCAACAGGATCGGAGTGGGCGGGAAGGGAGCGTATAACACGCGCTCGTCGTACATCCCAAACGAAAACGGCCTCATCATAGGAGCCGCTGACGAGGATATTACCCTTGGGTGCGAACGCTATTTGGTAGACGTAGTTGTGGTGGCCTTCGAAGATTTTTGTGTGCGCTCGACCCTGTGACAGAAGTACTGTTAGTCGTGAAGAAAGGCAGATAATCAAGGGGTTTTTCCTCACCGTATTGACATTCCAGAACCGAATGGTCTTGTCATCAGAACCAGAGGCAATCCACTGTCCGTCAGGGCTCCAAGCAAGTGTGGAAATGCCAGCAAGGTGGCCCTCAAAGGTATAAATCAATCGGCCAGTCAACGTGTCCCAGACCTTGACAGCAGCATCGGCACCTTGAAAAGGTCATCGTTAGTCCTGCATTTCGTAGAGTCAAAGAGCCAGGTACATACCTCCACTTGCAATCATCGAGCAATCTGGCGAGAACTGCACAGCAGCCACGCCGCGCAGGTGGCCCCGGAGCACAAATTTCTCTTTGTAATTGAGCTGCACCGGCTTGAGAGGTGCCTCGACTGAGGGCACAGGCGTGGACGACCGATCAGACATATCCTCTCGTGCAGGTGCGAGGGCCTCGTCACCATTGCTCATCCTGTCCTCATCAGACCCGCCATGAGACTGGTCATTGCTGCTCGAATCGGCGTGACGGTTAATAGGCGAAGGACTGCGGCGGTTGCGCGAGCCGCGCCAGTACTCATCAGCATCGACAGCGAGCTCATCCGAGCTCTCCGACTCTCTGTATTGCCTCTCATGGTGTTTCGGCCGTTTCGGTGTGAAACTCTTCTGCTTCGTCCAGCTACCTCGCCGGAGCTTTGTTTCGTCGACTCCAGGGCCCGCGGCCAATTCGTCTGATGACGACTTCACGGGGGTCTCATCGCGTGACTCTCGCCGACGTGTTCGGGGACGCGCACTATCCATGAGAAGATCGAGGCAGAGACGCAACGAGTAATCGCAAGACAAACGCGCCGCTTGGAGTTCGATCGCAGCTGCGCGAAAAGAAAACCAAAGCGCGTGTCCGAAGGCGGTGAACGTGACTGCCACTCAGTTACATCACCGATCGACAATCGACAGCTTCCCTCAACCGCTGCTTGCCGATTGAATTGCAGCTTTGCAGTGCGTGGCTCAAATGGCCTCTTCTCTCTCTCCAAGTGAGCCTCCGACTCACATTCGAATTTTGACCCTTAATTGCTGGGGTCTGAAATTCATCTCCAAGTATCGCCATGAACGTCTCTCCGAGATTGGGCGGCAGCTGGCTCTGGCCAACCCGCCGCCAGAAATAGTGGGCCTCCAGGAGTGTTGGACACAGCAGGACTACGAGAGCATTCGCGACCAAACGCGGCATATACTACCATACGGCAAATTCTATTTCGGAGGAATTTTCGGCGCAGGACTGGCCATTCTGTCGAAATGGCCCATCGAGGAGAGCAGCATGTACGGTTACCCGTTGAATGGACGACCAACGGCTTTCTTCCGGGGTGACTGGTTCGTGGGAAAAGGAGTTGCCTGTGCTAGAGTCCGATTCGGACCTGGGGTGGCTGATGTCGCCGAGGTCTTTTGTACACACCTGCATGCACCGTATGAGCGTGAGCCGAACGACTCCTATCTATGCCACCGCACCGCTCAAGCTTGGGAGATCTCCAAGCTTATGCGCGGCGCTGCTGAGCGTGGACATCTAGTTATTGGTTTGGGAGACTTCAATATGCTACCCTCTTCTTTCGCCCACAAGTTGATCTCGGCCCAGAGCCCTGTCCGTGACGTCTGGCGCGAACTGCACCCCGACTCGTCCGTCGGCGCAGCCATTGATGCCGTCGAAAAGGCACGAAACCGACCAATCCCATCCGCCGAATTCAATTTGATCGAGAATGGCGCTACTTGCGATGGTGCTTTTAATACATGGCGCTGGTCAAAAGCTATGCAGAAGCAGCTCGACAAAGGTGACGATTTGCCTGTAGACAAGGACGCCCCGGACATTCGCGCCAAACGTCTCGATTATATCTTCGTTGGCGATGGCGGCTATGCTCCGGAATTCCCTCCTCCAAGATGGTCCGTCGAGTCTGCACAGGTCAGCATGACCCAGCGCCATCCCACACTCCGCTGTTCCTTGAGCGACCACTTTGCTGTCGAGGCTGTTATTACTCGATCTCCGACGGGAGTAGCTCCCTTGGCCTCAACCCAGACCGAATCAGTCCCTTCGCCCACCTCACCACCCCTTGAGAAGACAACTTCTACCTCGTTGGCACCAAATGCCGCTCTGTCTCCGCAGACATACGACCTCATCATTGAGATGATACATACCTATTTGCGCCGCGAGCGATCACAGCGACGCTGGCGTCTCGCTCATTTTATTGTCTCTGTATTTGTCTCTATCGGATGCATGGTCGGCGTATGGTGGGTCGGCAGCCGCACTTATATCGGGTTCATCTTGAATCTGGTCAGTACCCTGAACTTCGGGGCTGGTATTCTGGATGGATTAATCGGTGGACTGTTTGTTTCGAGTGAGCTTCGTGCACTGAAGGAGTTTGAATGGGAGGTACGGAATGCGAGAAGTCTGGTTCTTGCTGCGGAGAAGGGCCGTCCTGGAAGCTCCTAGCCTCTGTCTATGTTTTATACTGGTGTTCCTCGCGCCTTCAATATTGTACTGTACATCACTTAAAAGGCCCAGTTCTGCACAGACGGGTCACATTAATACATAATATATTGATCAAAAATCAAGAGATCATTCAAAATTACATTCTCGGGCTATTTTTGGAGCCCATAGGGACGATCGGGCAGTCCTGACAAGGTTGGCTGGGATGCTCATGCCCGAAATCCCCTCGTCTCGGAATACAGCAGGACCTCCTTCGTCAGATAGGGTATCCTTGGGATGCAGACGTGATCAATCTACGTGCTGCATTGGTAGGCATCACGACTCCATCCGTATGGAACAATATCTCCTCAGCGGTATGTCCGGTTGTGTTCAGCGATAAAGAGCGAGAGGTTACTATGTATAGCGGAATCACAGGAATGGAACGAGTCTGAACGGCTCCTGTCCCGTGTTAGGGTACATCTTGATATCGATCTGGAAGCGGGACTGAGCCAGATAATTTTGAGAGGGCAGCAGAGGGTAATCGACAGTTTCGCATGGAGATGGTTCGGCAAGCAGACTTGGATCAGCGGGAGATCTGTTGGCGTAATTGGTCGTATAAGGAAGGGTAAAGACGATGACAGCATGTCTCCACTTGTGGACATCTAGCTTGCTATACTAAAAGAAGTGCGAAATCTTTTCATCTTAACTCGTACTAGACGCCAGCATGCCTCTGAGCATGGATTAGTCGCCGCCAGAAGTGGCCCTTACGAGGGAGTGCATACTGTTAAAGGGGTTTGACTCATAGTTCCTTGATCAAATATTAGTACACTCACGGTCATTTCAAGCAACTGAAGACAATACTGTATTGGTCGATGGAGATGGTCGCACAAGACATTGAACGATTACTTCTTATTCAATTTACACAAAATCAGAAATATCTCATCTGCACAAAAAGAGTGTATTGTGCTTTTTCATATCGATAGCAAAAAAGAGCCAGCTAGACCGTATTCATATCCCCGGTCATCAGGGAGTTCATCATCATCAAAAGGGTCGAGGTAAACCGAATTTACTCGGCACACTCGCGCTGGCGCTCATCAAAGACGGCCAACGCCTCCTCAGCAGCCTTAACACCACTCATAACCATAGCGCCGAAAGTAGGGCCCATGCGGTTGAAACCGTCAATCTCAGACAGCTCCATACCACCAATGATAAGACCCTTGGTGACCTCACGGGTGTTCTTGACGATGGCGTCCTCAGCAGCGTTCATGTCGAGACCACGCATGCCACCGAGCTTCTCGATGGTGTTCATGGAGACGAGACGCTTGGCGCAGAAAGCGCCGAAGGGGCCGTCGTGGCCGGTGGTACTGATGATGATGGGGGCGTTAATGGTGTTGGGGTCCATGCAGGAGTGGTCGTCGTGGTGCAGGGTGACCAGAGTCCAGTTGACGACGACGCCGGCAATGCGGACGGAGTCGCCGTCAGGACGGGTGATCAGGTCCTCGACGCAGGTGGCGTTGAAGAGCTTGACGTTGGGGAAGGACAGCACGCGCGACAGCAGGGTCGAGGTGAACAGGGCGGCGTGTTTGACAACCACAAAGTTGGGGTTGTTGGGCTCCTCCTCGAAGGGCACGCCCAGCTCGTTCAGGAAGGCGTCTGCGGGGCGACGCAGGACCATGGCGGAGAAGAGCTGGCCACCGAGCCAGGCACCACCACCTGTGGAGATGGGTTAGTTTTCTTTGGCTGTCTGGATGGTAGTGTCCAAGGACTAACCAGGAGACACGGAGGCCTCGAGAATGGCAATCTTCAGGTCCGGACGGGCCTTGGCCAGCACGTAGGCAGTGCTGAGACCACAGGAACCAGCACCGACGATGACAACATCGCTCTCGGCATAGTTGTCCAGATCCTGGTAGTAGCGCCGGGTCATGGCACGAGAGACCTGGCTCTCGCGGATAGGGGCGAACTTGAACTCATTCCACTTGCCGCCGAACTGCTCCAGGAGCTTGCTCTGGCCCTGACCGGTCAAGGTGGTGGAGACCGTCTCGGGGACGATCACCTTACCCTTGATGCCGGTGGGGGCAACAGTAGGCTCGTAGATGGCAGCGGGAGGAGACATAGTGGGTTAGGGATCAAGTCGGGAAAGTGACTTGAGAGCTTTTCGTTAGTTTTCCATTGCTCTTGGGAGGAATTAGGGGGGAGGCATGATCCTTTCGCTGGTATTATCCAGATATCAAGTTATGACCGTATAATCTCAGAACGAACCCACGTCGATGGCAGTCTCGGCTTCAGCTAGTCAAGTAGTTGGCTACCCAGGCTGGAGAGATAATGCCACCAACGTAGAGAACGAACACCGGTCCACGCCCAGAGGTTACCTGAGATACCTTGATCCCTGAAAGATAATGTGCCCAGCCAAAGCGTATCCATGGCTTCCCAATCGGATGGGAGGGGCTGTATGTACTTGACCGATTGGGATCTGGACAATGTTAGCTCTGTATGCTGCAGTTCGAGGGTCCATAGTTACAGTAGTAGCTAAAAGCCTTGATTGAATAGAGTTGTAACTTGTAAAAGCTGATGAAAAAAAGAAAGAAAGAGAAGCAGCCCAAGGTGAGGGGCAGGACAACCTTATATGCGACCGACCCCACCTCTCACGCACATTACCATTTGCGTGTCATCACACTCCCGACTCTCTCCGACCGGTGAACTGAGAGGGGGGCTATTGTTGATCTTGATCGCATAATGACGTTCATGATTCGCTTGTCTCCATGTTTTGGCTTTTAGATATGTTTCGCGTTCTCCTTCCCATGGTTGTTTGATGTGTTACCCGTGGGAAACTACCATACTAGCTCTACGCTTAGACCATAAAAGGCATTAGGTTAGCTTATTGCTGCATAAGAAGAAGTCAATTGAGTTCTTCTAGAGGCCCCCAAGTTCAACGAAAGAGTGATGATGCTGATTCACCTCTTCGCTAAAGACCGAGAATAAGCGTCGGAATACTGTGCTCCATCGAGTCCACCCCGACTTCGGCCACCCACCTCACGTAGCGTTCTCTTATACACGCGGCAAATAACCTGTAAGAATTGATCGGGAGTGAGACAACACGGGAGCACAGTCTCAGCGAGCTGTACAGTGTACTCCTCGACCTTCGTTCTGCCCTATCTATACAGGTGCTTCTCGGATACTCCGGAAATGCGGCGGTCAATGGGTGTGTCGTACTGTGACTTCTTAGCTCTATTTAACCGAGATTCTACCATTAAACATAATTGCATCTGCGCAGAAGAAAGATTCAAAATATGTCCTTGGGAATTCAATGAGGTACATCGCAGGAATCGCTTAAATTACACTCGCACAGCACCAACTAACTCCCCATCCGAAGCCGGGAAAATGCGACCCAATTCCGCCGTGATTTGAACAATCTCATTCGACAATTGGCGACTCACAATGACTATCGCGCGTCAGTAACCTGGACCAGTCATGCAGGCCTGGGGAATGCCTTTGTCAAGGACTTACTATAGGCGTAGAGTAACACATAGTCTTCATCATTCGTCGTGTGAGATGCCTTCTTATCCAGACGATATCGAGAAATCTGTGCCAAAAGTTCGTCTCGAGACCGCTCTACATTCGGAGCGGCATCGTTGAAGGTATGTCCAAGATCCACGGCTGACGCTATATCTGTAGTAAAAATGGAGGTTGTTAGCAATGAGAAATCGACGTTTGCACTATACAAAGGGGGTGTGATTCCCAAACCTACTTGCGAGAAGATTACCGATGCACTCGGACATCCTCTGTCTGGCAGTAGTCGTATGTCTCAAAAGTGAAATATGTCCTTCAGAGGGCGTAGCGAGATTAGAAAGGACTAGGTCCATGGAATGAAAGTTGTCCACAATGCCTCTCGTCCAGCGAATGACATTACTGTAAGCAGCATCCGGGAATCGATCTCTCAGTTCAAACTCGGAGCGTGCCGAGTTCTGCATAGGTTCAAGTTGAGAGAGAAGACGCTCGATCTCGGCTTTGTCGCGGGGGTTCAGATACAGAACAGGGCCACTTGCGTCTCCCTTGGATATCGTGTTCAGTGGATCGGATTCCCAAACCAGAGCCAGTCGAAGCCACAGTGATTGCAGGGTTTCGTCCAGTTTTGCTCGTGCGCGAATGGGCCAGATTCCTCGAGTGATAATGATGCCCCAAATATTGCCTGTTATGACAGAGATGACCCGGCGGAGAACAATCGAGGTGATATCGAGGTGTTCGCCTTTGTCGTTCGGGTCATCGATATCCACTCGCGAGTGAGCGAAAGCATAGAGAACAGAGAGGTTGTAGGTGAGTAGAATGAATCGCCCCATGGGCCCTTGTCCTTTGACAAGAATGATGTAGAATAGCCCGATGGCCATGGCAAAGCCTGTCAATGCGAGCTTCACAGCATCACCTCCTGCGAGGTACCAAGCACAGATCGAACAAAGACCCCCAAGACAAGTTCCGAGGAAACGAGCAAATCCTGTAGTGTTTGATGCACCGATGGTCATAGAGCACACCAACATGTATGAGACAAGACCCCATTCCCCCTCCAGGAGAGATAGAATGGTCTTGTCACGGATATGAAAGAAGGCAAGGCATAAAGCGCTGCTCCGATGCCTACTTTAAGAGCGAACTTGATCTCATCTTTTCGCAAGAAATCGAACAGTCTCACAGCATCGCTATTGGACCTTTGGTGCCGTGTCCATCCTCGATGTATAACCTCGGGATGGTCGCTAGTATTCGCCATTCGCAATGAGCTTCGCGCATTGGCTGCAGCATGGTCATTTCTTAAGGCTGACACTAGCAACAAGCAGATCAGCGACACGATCGTCGTACACTGGCGAGATAAAACCACTTACCTTCGGCTGGATCTATCACTCGTTCTTGACGAGCCGGCCACCATGAAGGACGCAGCCACTCCCAGGACCTTCCGTCTGGTCTTTCATCAACCTCAGCCTGCAGCTCCTCTAAGTTCAAAATCAACTCTCTTAGCTGCTCACTCAGCTCAAGCAAAGAGACGGAGAAATACTCGCAATTGGCGAAGATTTCCTCAAGGCTGGCCTTGTCCACCTGAGCGGGAGATATCGTCTCCCAATCACGACGCAGCGAAGAAAAGGCAGCATGTCTGGCTTCTCGGTATTGATTCACAGCTTCGTTGATGCGTGTGGTCACACCATCGTTGATTGAAAGTCGATAGTCGGGTGCAGGTCCAAAGGAAATTTCAGCAAATAACTCTCTCAGTGTATGAGCAAGTGAAAGCTATCAAGTATGGGTTAGCAAGAGTTACGGTATCACTCATGGATTCTGCTTATACATACGATAGACACTTCAAGTCCAGATGTTAGTTTCTCGAAAATGTCAGCAGGAGAGTAAACTGAAGAGGACTGTTGTCCCACTTCGGATATCAGGCCGGGAGATTGATCATCAAAGTGTTGTCTACCTGCCGATGAGATAGGGTGAGACTCGCCAACTAGCCCTGAGGGGGTGGGAATGGCAAGATTGGAGAATTCCGTTATCCTGGCCGAGGACTGTGGCGTTCTTGTTGTATATTTAGTCGGTGCAAGTAATTTCGACTGCAAAGCAACTGCACTGCGTAGACCTCCTAGGCCATGCGTGATATCTTGCATGAAACACACAAGGCGTTTCTCAAGCGCGTGCTCTCGCTTCGTTCCAGACACGTAGTGCTCGAGTTTGGTCTCACCAAGCATCGTCTTCAACCGGCCAAAAACTTTGTCATGATGTGCGGACAGCTTCGCAAACTCGGCCGTTTGGAGTTCACGGTCTGTACCGCGGAGGAAACTCTCGGTAATAATCATTAGCATCCCCGTGACTGTGCCCGTTAAAGTAGAGAGATCTCCACGGAATTTCTTCCGCGCAGAAACAGGCAGTATCAACAAGGACACAGCCGTCGAAACACCAATACCCAAAAGAAGCATCCTGAGGATCTGAGATATTTTTGTGATGGAGAGGTCACCTGTCTGGACAGCGCCTTCTTTCGTGATGACCAGAATGGAGGCTAGAGAAGCCAAGGAACACGCAACATTGACAAGCGGGTCTTGCAATCTCTGTTTAATCCATCCAATAAATCCAAATCCACCCATAACGAAGACAATCAACACCACAGCATGACCCAACTCAATCAAGTCATGCTTTCTTTCAATAGTGATGGTCACCCACATACTCGATAAGGAGAGGAACGTCGCAAAAGAAAAGCGACGAAGGCGCATATCAGTGCCTTGTACATACTACCCTGCGATCTGGCTGGGTGGAAGTAGATCGTGATAGTCGCGACCAAATGTTTTCCATATTGGTTACCCAACAAACTCCCGATAAATGGGATGAAAACTGCCAAAGATGCAAGTAAATAAGCAAGGCTGCATTTGAAGATGCCAACTGCCTGCTCCGAGGCGATCAAGACTTGCGCCTTGCGCCATATTCGTGAAATTTGCTGGACAAGTCTTGTTGTGAGTCGTTCTTCCGCGACATCTTCGTGGCTTATGAGGAATGGTTCAAGTTCCTCCCGTTGATCGTGAGCGTCGGGGCGCATATCGAGGTCTTGCGGGTGAGACGGACTCGATATCGGCGTGGTCTGTCGCGACTACCAACAACAACGAGAAACGATCAGTCAGACTCGGTGCCAGTTGTGGGACTTGCTTACCCCAAAGGGAGAGAGACCCCTGGACGCCATAACAGGATGAAAATCACCACCATCCAACTTCGGTGAGGTCTTTATCGAAACAGGCTGCGATGTTCCCGGTCAAGAGATCCGCTTTGATCTCCACCTCCGCGGCATTTCTGCCCCTCTTATTGCCACCGCCTTTCGTTAGCGGCGTGACTGCGCTGCACTAGTCCGGAAACGGGTTAGCTGCGATATCTTACCATGCTTAGTCGAGCGCCCTGTCTATTGGGCTTCGGGAGAATAAAATCGGAGTTGTATGTTATCGTAAGCGATGCAAAGGTCAATTATGCAATTGGTCATGGCCCTTGGGGTTTTTCGAAAGTGCGATCGGCAGCTTATGTGCATACTATTGCTCAACGACACTATCGTAGTCAAAATCTGCGGCCAGATTCATGTGACCCTTGACTGATATACTACTGTAGATCTCCAGGTGAGCCAACACTTATATTAATGCAATAATATGTGCCGATTTGTATCCATTTTCCCCTTGTTTACCATTTCCAAAAAAACATCAAATCATAAAGGTCCTGACATCATTACGAGTCATCACAGAGTGGACCTGCACATGTGTGGAGCCCAGCTCATAGCCACAAGGATGGGGTTGGGAAGCAAGTCAACTATGTACAGTAGAACAGCGAACCTTCTCCATCATTTTTGTAATCATCTTAGAGCACATATCTAAAGCTGGCGCCATAATTGTCCTCTCCCACAACCGCGTCACCTTTACCTGGGTCGGCTGCGATCTGCTCTCCATATTTCTTATCGAGCTGGCGGTTTTCCCAGACCAACAAGTACCGAAGAGCCAAGGAAAGCAGGGTGGTGAAAAACATAAATGCCGCACAGATTGACATACCCTTGATAAATCGTGGGGCTTCGTTGTCGGGAAAAATATTGGTTCCCAGGAAGGGACCGCACTGTCCGATGAAGTTTAGCAGGATGATGCCTCCACCACGGCGGGTATCGGAGCCTTGGTTATCTGGTGCGCAGATCAGGATTAGCAAATCGAATTTGTGATTGGGCAATTATCTATTGCAGGGGCAGCGGCGAGGCAAAAAAAAAAAAATAGGGATTCAACTCACTCAGAACCCATGGCAGGATATTGGCGATCGAAGGGAAGACTCCACAGGCGGCTAGAAACACGCCAAAGTATCGTGGGCCCACGGACGTGCAGGTGGCACACAGAACATAACCCACACCGCCAATCGCCGATAGTACTGCGACCATCAACCCACGCTGCTGGAGCCGATCCGCTAGCCAGGTGGTCCCAATAGTGCAGAGGAAGGAGGCAAAGAATGGGGGTGCAGTGAGGCCTTGCGCATTGATAGCTGTGAAGCCCATCTCCTTGAGGATAGTCGGCAAGAAGACGGGAAGAGAGGAGAAGCTAACATTGCAGCTGAAATACATCAACTACAGATTTGGAAAGATAAAAATAAGCCTATCATTCCAAGGTTCCTGTTAGATGCATTACTTACCGCTGTGAACCAAGCCTTTGCGTCCAAGAGCATCTCAAGCAACTCCTTCCATTGAACCTTGCCATCCCGCTCTGGGTCACCAGCCTGCTGTAGAGACCGCGCTCGGGCAACTTCCTTCTCTTCCTCGGTCAAGAACCTCGCCGTAGAAGGTCTGTCCGGAACAAAAAACCAGGCCAAAAGTGCGGAAGCGCAGACAGGGACACCCTCGACGAGGAAGAGGAGTCGCCAATTTGCCAATGCTGCATGGCCGGAGGTGATACCGAAGGCCAAAGCGCCCGCAAAGGTATTAGCCAGCGGAGCAGCCGACAGGAAGAGACCGCAGCGGAGACCTAGCTCGTTGCGGCGGTAGAAGAAGGACAGCAAATAGGGGACACCAGGTCCAAATCCAGCTTCAAAAGCACCCATCAGGAACCGCAGGGCCATCATGGTCTGCCAGTTCTTCGCGGCCGCTTGGCATGCTGCCACCAAGCCCCTGCCATGCGATGTCAGTCGGATCTGTAGAAATTTCCGTTTCCACTTCTGGAAGGATCATCATCCATGTGGGGGATAAGCATACCAGGCGAATACAACAAACGCGGCCCATTGGTGTGGCTTGACAATCTTCCACATCATCGCCTGGAACTCAAACAACGTATACGAAATGTAGAAAATCGTGAGTAGCCACGGGTACCGATTGCCCGTCAGCTCGAGGTCTTCTGACATGCCGGCAATCTTGGCATTACTATATTCATCAATCAGTATTTCCGCTCAACCTCTTTTGCAGTGGTAGATTAGACAAACCCAATGTTACTTCGGTCGAGAAAAGCAAGAAGGTCTAGTCGCACAAACCTCGTTAGCATGCAACCTTCTTGTTTTTTTGTCACACTGAGTCATGACAAAGCAATTATGATCATACAGAAAAATGCCATCAACGTGGGCACACGATAATCCAGCTTCCTCAGCACACGCCGCTCCAATTCCGGGTCAAGAGTTACCGCGACCGCAGCGGGAGGCTGGGTCTCCTGGCTCTCCTGATGAGCCGACATGGTCTTTTCGACATCTTGATCAGATGTTGCTTGTTGAATATCGTCATCTGACGTGTCCTTCTTGCCAAAGAAACCCATGGTGGCAGATATAAAGGCCAGAGGAATGGGAGAAGACAGAGAACGAAGGCAAGCCTTGAACTTGAACCGAGTCTTCGGGGGAAAAGCCAGGACTTATAGTCTGTGGGGAAACGAGACCATCTGTGGGGGGCCTGGGGGTTACGGTCGCAATGGGGATACTCGACTGGTCACCTACAGGATGTACTTGTGTGATACTGTATGGTGTCTCTTTAGCGCAACGATTGGCGCCACCAGCGCCCACCGGCCGATATGAGGAGAGGCATCGACCGGGGAAAATCCAATCAAGTGGATTTGTGCGGAGAACAGGATAACGGGACTAGGAGTCTACAAAAGCTTGAGTGGAGTTGCCCCCAAAGTTTACCCGCATTCATCCCCGGCGCCGGCTCTCGTGGGCAGCGGTGCACGCGGCCTACCCCAACTAAGTCGGTGATCGGCATCCCCGGCTACGACAAGCGGAACATCGCCGAGGAGGGGGAAGAATAGTAATCAGCCAGTTGGATACGAAAGTATAGTAGCCTTCATCTCACGTCACTCCGCAAAAAGTGGCCCTAAGTGAGAACGAGTGATCGGAAGATGGGATCGGGATTTGGAGATCGAGGCTCAGGCACCGGATTAAAGGCCTGGTCATTAAATCAACACCGTTGATCCATATTAGACCGAGATTGACAGAGGGAGGATGGGAACAACACTCGATGGAAATGGAGGATTTACAGTAGTACAACTTGCGAGGTACATTAAGTCGACGATCGTTTGCGCAATTGTTCTTAGCGGAACCCTGCACTGCCCTTTCTTTCACGGGCCTGCCAATGAGTATCCCGTTCATTGCTCCTGGCGTTGGCTCATTTCCCCTCCTAAGGTGTATATTATTATTCTCGAAGGTTAAACTTCTCTATGCGCTAATGTTTCCACTTCTTGCGGATGTTATGCCATCTTCAGTAGTTATATGGACATACGCTGCCCGACTAAACTTTATAAAGGGACCCATCCGCATTGAGGCCCGGCAAGGCTTGGCACTCGGCACTCAGAACTTGGGCCGAATAAATAATGGTGAAATGTAGAATCGATCTCTCCTAAATAATGGTATGAGAAGATCTGTATGAATCGCCGATGGTACTTCTTCCATCTGACCTACATTTCAATCGCATGTATGGCGCCAGGGATTGTACATCATATTTCAATGGCAAAAAATTCATATTTGGCAGTTAATAGCACAATCGGACGACTTGAATACTTGGATATATAGACTCAATCAGTGCTCGTCTGACCTTTTCGCCGAGTCTTGACCTGCACGCATCCATTTCTATGATCTCGACTCCTTGAAGGCATCATCTCCAGCTTGGTATCAGACTCGTCCGGACGACACGGATTGAGCCAGCCGACCTGCCCGACATCGGCCACCGTATACGTATACAGTTTTCGAATCAACCAACTAGTTAACCTAGTTAACTTTCTTGTTCCTTTGTCATCAACAGAAGTGAATCGGCAATGTGGAGTGGAAGCTTTCATGGCCTTGGCGCCTTGTCATGACCCAGCTGGTCCCCGTACGTGATATTGGTGCCTCAGGTGTTATGCGTAGTTGGTGCGTTTCGTCTCCCGCACCGCATCAAAAATCCTCCGCGTCGCGTTGCCAGGAGCTCCATCAGTCCTCATCGAATCCGCGCGAGCTACATTACTGCCATCCGTGACATCTCTAACAACCCCCCACAAACTTTCGAGCTTATCTCGCGATTCAATTGATTAAGTTGGGTACCCGAAAACGGGCGTCGCCAAGATGGATGACCCAGCATCCCGTATCCCGGCAACTTTGGTAGGTAACCCCAACCCGATCAAACACGCTTGACACGGTTCCTGGGTCAGATGAAATGACTTGAATCTAAGAGCTGACCTTTTCGCCTCACTTACAGATTCCGCACATGCATCTTGTCTCGCGGAATCGCTATCCCAACATGCATATGATGCCGACCGAGACGGCCGTGGAATACCTGCTGAGCGCGCCCCGGGTCTGCCAGACACAACCTATGCATTGGACTTTCTTGGATGGTCCGCAGGATGGCACAGTGATGATGACATGGCAACCGCTTGCGCACCTGGGCAACAACTTCGCGAGCGACGGTTACGTCTGGGCTGATGCGGAGCAGGCTTTCACCTTTGAAGCCCGAGGATATGTATGATATCCCAGCGCGCGCCAACATAGCGGATAAGATACGGAAAACTAATTCATGATTCAATAGACCGTTGAGATGTTCCTCCACCGCAGCGGCTATCACCCTCCCAACGAGAACGTGGCCAGCCACTGCCGCAAGCGCTATCGCATTGTTTCCTCTAAAATCCCGAATGCCCCCAGCCCGATCCGTCATTGTGGATTGTTCACTATTCTCGTGCACCTCAGCAAGATCACATCCCCGCGACTCGCATCCCTGTTACGCCGCAAGTACAGAACATGATGGGCCAGCGACGCTTCTTGCAGAGCCAGGGTCAACTCGCTCGCAAGGAATTTCTCCTTCACGACCGCAACAATTGGCCTACAATCAGCTTCCCACCCCAGATGCCTCCTCAGGGCTTCGCTCAACCGCAGGCCGCCGCCTATGCGAATGCGCAGCCAGGGAGACCTGGGTTTTACCCAGCCCAAGGTCACCCAGGCGCAGTGCCTCCTGCACCGACCCAGGGTAAGGCACAGCGCGCACACCGTGCTCAGTCAACAGCGATGGCAGCGGCAGCTGCTGACTTTGCCCTCGAGGATGAGGATGTCTCCAGCGGTGACGTGATGGACCTCTTGACCCCTCGTGAGGTTAGCAAGATGCGGTATGTGCAGCATCATGAATGGATGGAGGAGATCTTTGCATCTCATTATGCCATTTCACAACTTACACCGGTCTCTCTCGGTCTCGGCCGCAAGGGAGAGTTGGAGTCATTGACAGCGGGATTCTTTGATGCACCAGCAGGCGGTGAAGGCCAAGAGAACCAGGCCCCTGATGCTACTAAGCTTGAACCTGCCAAGGCAGAGGAGTTTGCCGATCGCGTCGCGAAGAAGGTTGCTGACATGACGGCTGAGATCGAGAAGCTCAAGAAGCAACACGCCCGACGGATGGAGCGCTTCAACCGCAGCTCGCTGTTCAAGGATGCCGAGTCGCGTCTTCGTGACGCCGCCGCCGATCCTGCAGCGACCGGAACTGAAGTCTGGCGACTGGAGGGCCGGATCACCGTTCCTAACGAGGAAGGTGAAACCCCACAGTTGGACTACTTGGAAGAGAAGGCCAAGTATAAGGTGGACGATGTGGTTCGTGACGTTGAAACTGCCTGGAAGAAACAGATCGTTCCCGAGCCCAAGGTTTCATGTGTCGAGAAGGGCGGTCTTCTTGAAAAGATTGAACCTGAGCAGAAGGAAGATCCCGAGTCATTTACCAATGATATGGTGATTGACCAGGCTGATTCTCATCTTCTGAACCAGTTCGGTGGCTCCGCTGTGGGCGGTAACGAAGGAGTCCCTGCACAACCCGGTGCCGAGATCTCCGGGGATGTAGACATGGACATGGGCAACCAGCTTGGAGGGGCCGGTACCGCCGGTGAAACGGGCGACTGGGTGATGGTCAATGATGAGAACAAAGATGGCAATGCGGCAGCTGGTGCTGGCGAAAGCAATCTTGAAAGCGCCAACTTTGACGATTTCACCAATATTGACAGTGCCGGCGATGCTCTAGCGGCATACACCGAGCAAAACGATGGGCTGGACTTGCCCGACCTGGACAACTCTGCGTTCGGCGATGCCTTCCATGCTTCGGACAACGAGCACTCGCACAATCCTGATGCGGACGAGATGTCTTAGACTTGAAACGAAAGCTTAAGATATAATGTACGGAGGCGCTTGCTACGGTTCTATTTTGCGTTTCCTTTTCTGTTCTTCTTTTGCTTAGCACGTTGCGGGCTATGGTCTGCTTCTGGGTGTTTGTCGGTGTGTTGGGTAGGGTGGTCTTGGATTTGAACTGATGAACGGTTGCTTTTGCATCCGGATTTCTCCTTGGTGGTGTACAATAAACAGACAGAGAAGACAGAGAAATCTATGATCTAGCTGATGATCTTCAACCTCGGGGATATCTACAATTAGCATGAGGGTTGTGCACTGGGTTTCTTCATAGATAATACTTTTCGGCAACGTATAATTTCTTTCCTGTCGAAGTTTCAGCCCAGTAGTAGTGAAATATTCTTCTTTTATTCAAACTAACCATTGCAATGGTCATGTGGAGATGTATACCTGGACTATCAGCTAAGATGGATTGATTTCCTCTTTGGGAAAGAGCCTGAGGCGCATACATATCAATTCCGAGCTAAAGTAGAAGTCTCTCCAACTCTCTCAACTGAGCAATTACGCAAGAAAGAAACTACTCTGGCCTTTCGGTCCCCTCAAGTCTCCAGATTACCTTCCTCGTCTGATAAACGTCCAGTATGGCAAACTGTGGGGAACCGACAATCCGGGCAGAGATCCAATGAACCACACATGAACATCAAGCTTCGACCAAGCTCCATGACTCCTCAAGAACACTTATTCGGCCAGTCAAATCCCTTGAATCATCGTAGTTCACGCACTCGACTGCAATCGGAATGGTACATGAATTCAGCATCCGCCCCTCCCCGTCATGACGTCACCCAGCCACCGGGACTGCACTTCCCGCAGCAGAGCAACGACGAGATTTAGGGTTGGGCGCATCGTCATCTAAAGGAAGGCACCATCCCGCAGCTTGGCTGGGCCCCAGAGTGTAATATAACTCGTGTCGCTCAGCTTGTTGGACTTCTGGTCGATACCTCTTGCACAGGCTGCATATTCCACACACACCGCAGAACATATCAGACCATTCTATACCAACATTATAATCTACAAGCTACGATGTGCGAAGCGGACAGACTTGCCCACCCTCCCGATTATCAGCGCGCTGACGTACATCACTAGGAACCGCAACATGTCGATCCGCTCTCGCAGAGAGCCCACCGGCGGCCGCCACCGCTTCACCATATCCACGTTCCGAGGCATGCAGCAGCCCGAGCTAAGCCGCAAGCTAAGCCGACTCATCAAGAGCGAGAACTCGGCCATCGGCGCACACGAGAATGCCGGTCGGGAGCGCACTGCCATCGCCGCCGCCCTCTCGGATTGGGGCGAGTCGACCGAGGATGATGCCGTCTCCGACATCTCCGACAAGCTGGGCGTGATGCTGTCCGAGATTGGGGAGCAGGAAGATATCTTTGCGCAGAACCTGGAGGACTACCGCGGTGTTCTGAAGCATATTCGCAACATGGAGGCTTCCGTGCAGCCGTCGCGTGACCAGCGCCAGAAGGTGACCGATGAGATTGCGAAGCTCAAGTACAAGGACCCCACGAGCACACGTCTGACAACACTGGAGCATGAGCTTGTGCGTGCTGAAGCTCAGAATTTGGTTGCCGAGGCGCAGCTGTCCAACACGGTATTTTGAAATTACTCGAGTTTGACCGGGCCAATCTCGCTAACGTGGATCGATTGGCAGACCCGCACAAAGCTCAAGGAGGCCTTTGATATCCACACTGCCGCGGTCATTGAGCGCGCGGAGAAGCAGATCATTCTTGCTCGCCATGCCCGTCGCCTGCTGAACTTCATTGACGATAGCCCTGTGGTCCCCGGCGATACGCGCCATGCATACGACCACGAGTATGACGCCCGCCAGGTTCTTGAGGACGCCGATGCGGATCTCCGTGCCTGGGAGCCAACCTTGGAATCCATCTCGAGCGCTGCTGTGGAAGTTCCCACTCACGTTAATGTGAACGAACCTGAGCAGGAGGTGGAGAGCGTGGGCACTGGCCCTAGCGGCGTCGCAGTTGGCAATGCGGTCCCATCGTCTTCGAAGCAGCTGGAAGAGCCCGTTGCTTAGACAGTCGTCAGGCTGAAGGAGGACGAGGGGTTTTGGTATTCTGGGTATATTGATTGTTTCATTTCCTGTATGAACTCCTTAATTTTTGAAGGAATGGGCGATGAGTTGTTCATTTTTGTCTCGCTGGTATCCAAGCAAAGTTATGACTAGGAAAATTGACCAAGACACATGCGGTTTAAAATTTGGAAACGATATACGTTGCAGAGCAGTTTGCTAAGTTCATCAACTTAATCTTCCGTGTTTCTTCCTCATCCCCCCCGTACCTCGATCACGTGATCACTCACACCAGGCTTCAGAGGTGACGCGGAAACTCCCAAGCTCCAGCGGAGCTACATCCATCATCAAACCCGTGCTTCCTCTTGTCCTTTCACCACCTCCTTCTAACCCCGATCATCTTACTTTTAACTCCCTTTTTCTTCCTCTAATAAGCACATCATGGACAAGCTGGTCGCGCAATACTCGCGCCCATCCCATCAGAATGAGTCCTACTCCGAGCAAGAGCAACAGGACCTCACGGAGAGCCTCCCTCCGCTCTCCCTGAAGTTCGCTCTTCCCCCCGTCGCCAATGTGAGTTACTCCAATACCAACGAAGCTATCCATCAACTTGGAGCTGGCTGTCACGGGACTGGGTTGCTTGCCCAGGTCTCTCCCCGACCTTGAAGCTCGTTATCATAGCTATGCGGCGAACGGAGCTACCAGCAGCACGCGTCTATCCACAATCAAAGAAACAAGTCTTGCTAACCATTTGATTTGATCCTTCTAGCCCTCTGCTTTCCTCCGTGCCATGACCGATGACCACTCCAACCCCAGCTGCCCGATCAAGCTCGCTCACGGAACAACAACCCTGGCCTTCCGGTTCCAAGGCGGCATCGTACGCTCCCCTCGAGAGATCTGCCAGTCTTTCACCGCCATGTGCTAACGAAATTCTCTGTGGAAACAGATTGTGTGTACCGATTCCCGAGCAACGGCCGGAAACTGGATTGCTAGTCAGACAGTGAAGAAGGTTATCCCCGTATCGCGATTGAGCCGTGGCGAGGATAAGCCCACGAATGACCCTACCCCGGGTCTTCTGGGAACAATGGCTGGTGGTGCTGCTGTGAGTTTTGTCTATTGGGGGGAGAGAAGACCAAGGGTTTGATGGAGTGTTTTTGTACTGACCAGACGGATCGGTAGGATTGCCAATATTGGTTGCGGTATTTGAGTCAGCAGTGCACTCTGCATGGTGAGTTAGAGACCAAAGTTGTGGTGTTTATGACGCGGAGGGTGGAATGATTTGCTGATGAGATAATTCCTCAGAGATCCGACACAAGCGCCGAATTACGGTTGCAGCAGCCTCCAAGATCCTCGCCAACCTGACCTACTCATACAAGGGCTACGGCCTTAGCATGGGAACTATGCTTGCAGGAGTGCGTACCCCCACCTCATCATTCATCTTCAATTTCGAAGCATGATCCAAACTAACATTGATGCTTTGCAGGTAACTCCCCAAGAAGGTCCCGCCCTGTACTACATCGACTCAGACGGCACCCGCCTCCCCGGAAACCTGTTCTGTGTCGGCTCCGGTCAGACATTCGCCTACGGTGTGTTGGACGCCAACTACCGGTACGACCTGACCGAGCAGGAAGCGCTGGCCCTCGGCCGACGTGCCATTCTGGCTGCCATGCACCGTGACGCATACTCTGGTGGTTTCATTAATCTCTACCACGTCAAGGAGGAGGGCTGGGTGCACCACGGCTTCGATGATATGAACCCTATTTTCTGGAAGACGAAGCTGGAGAGTGGCGAGTTCTCGAATGTTACGTCGGAGTTGTAGAGGGAATGGTTGAATTGTATTAGGTATTGATCTTGATGCTAGGGATTAACATGGGCTTCTTCATAAAGAGTTTTGTTTTGCTTGATGTTCGTAGATCAGATCTGGCATGTCCTAGAAAACCTTATGTCTATGACACAGGTTAGCGATAAAGAGCGAAGTCGAGGCCGTCGAGCTAGAATATCCGCTCTTGTCAATATGATACGAAGCATGAAGAAACAGGTCGTTCATACAATCTGACGGACATCAAGTTCTATGTGCCTTAATCAGGAGATTCTACCTGTATCCGCTTCTGTTCACCATCGCGACATCTAGAATCCAGTGAAGTGTCATATGATCACCCCCATCCTAGTCCAAGACCTTCATTGACATATACAGTAATTACAACAGAGGATCATTGGATTGCTCAAGAGTAAAAGCAAAATTTAAGGCCTTTCGAGAAAACGGTTACGGCTAACATATTAGGTGCTGGTAAGCTCCGAGTCTGAAGGCTCGCATACAGGCAGTCTAGTGGCCCAAAAAAACACTCAACTGGAGGGCAATAATTTCTGACCATTAGATAGTTTTCTATTAATTAGACATGTTAATTATCTGGTGGGTCGGAAGTACGCTGAGTCCGCCAGGCTGAAGGTTGTGTGCTAAGAGAGTGTCACGAAGCATCTTCTTTAAACGCCACAAGGAATCGCTTGAAACACCAGGACAGAGAGCAGGAGACCGGCTATGTATTTTGTTTGCAGAAAGGAAGGATGGATTAAGTGAAGAGTGTGAAGGGAACTTGAACGGACTTCTTCGCAAAATCCTGGATTGTCAAGTACTCATTTCTTGCCGTACAGTGACCCTAATAACCCCATCCTCGAAGCTCGCTTATTAGAATCCACCAGCTTATTAGAATCCATCACAATCTCCGAGGCCTCGAGCTCTACAGCAGGCTTTTGGAAGATGCGAGGTTTTTCAGGTTCCTTGTATTCGCGTTCTGGAAGTTCCGACTGGGTAGGGCGAGGATTAACATGGACGTCGATAACGGATGTCGAAAAGTTCGACTTTGGAGAATTGTAGATCTCTCCCTGGAATGATAGATGAGGAGTTAGTATAGACTCGATATCAGATGAGTGAAAACTGGACGGTACATACCGTAGGGACTATTGGTATCTTTTTCACGTAACCCATGGCTTTTGATGAATCAGACCAGGAGAGAACAATGGTCTCTTCATCTAGCAGTGGCACGAATGCCAATGCAAAAGAATCGGACTTTATTGGAAACGCTTTGGACGTTGCAACTCTTCGGATATCCATAGGAACCGAGCTCAGGTCAGATATTCGGTACACGTAGCCTTGGTCGTTGACCACCGCCAGCTCTCGTCCGGACGGCGCAAAAGCCGATGCCTGGATGCGATCACCCAATTTGCTTTGCCGGTTAGAAGACGAGCTTTGCGATCGGATCTCGGTCTTATGGCCTCCGTTGGGATGGATGAGCACCGGAACGCCGGATTGTGTCCATGTTGTGATACAGACAAGGTCTTCTCTACCGTCTTTCCCTGGCTGGAAATGTACGGATGACACCCCATTGTCTTCTGACTCATGAAGGGGAACGCGATATCGGCATGGTACAAGCTCTTCAAAATCCGAGAATGGGAACCGCGATAAGTACACTTGAATGGTTCCGCTCTTTGTGCTCCTGGTACTAACGACAAGGACAAGCCCGTCATTCGAAAATGATACCGTGTCGACGGGAGGACAGTCTTTGCAATCCTGGTGGTGACGAACATGAAGTCGATATGGTCGGGCAGACTGCGAATCGAAACAGCTATACAGGCCGACGGTTGCGTTCTCGAATCCCACCGCAACGGTCCCTCCTGTTGGGGATATTGCCATACACCTGCACCACGGCGTAGGCCTCATTCGATACTCAGCGACAGTGGATGTCATCTGAGTAAGGTTTTTAATCCGCAGCTACCCGCATGAACTATCAGTAAAACAAAACATCTCATGTTTGGAAAAGGTAATCCCGCTTACCGTCAACCTTTGATCTCGATCGCCAATCACGTACGCCATGTACTTCGCCGTGACAGCTGCTAGGACGCAGAACCCTTCTGTAGAGACTAAATGTTTGAAGCTGGCAGGATCTGTGCTGATATCCCAGAGCTGAATGGTTGAATGCGTCCAAAAGAGCGTGTGGGTGGAGTTCTGCGAAAGAGAAACGTTGATGTTCTGAGAGGATTTTCCCTTTGTGGAATCCTTCGCCCGACTAACTAAAGGTCTCAAATCAATCTCCTCTGGCTTTTGTGCCTCGAGGGTAGCTGATGATAGGGAACTCGTATCCGTAGGGTCTTTCGTATCCTTTCTAGACCTGTTGAATCGTGATTTCCATTTTGAAGATTTCTCTGAACGATCAGGGGGCGAGAGTGTTCGAGTGCCACTACTCGATGACAAGCTTTGGCTTGTGAAAGTGACGGTTTTGCCAAATTGTTCAATTGATGTTGTCCTAGAGAATTGCTCTCCCACATCGTCTGCGGAAAAGGGATGCTCTCCAGTAATGGGCCTTGGTGTCCTCGGGGGAGGGGTGTCGCTCATGCTTCGGCTACCAGGGGGCGGAACATTCTCAAAATAATCAGCACGAGTACCATTGAACCGTCTCTGTGGGAGGCTGAACAGTGCTGGAGGCGATAAACTTCCTTGTGTCCCTTCTGAGCCCCGTCGTAGCTGGTCGGCTTTGGGTGGTGATAACAAAAACTGGGTGGGGAGATGCCGTTCCACATTGATTGCCTCCACGTTAGGAATGATTGACTTGAGACTCTCCCAAGTGTATCGTGCAAGTGGTAGCTCACGTAGCATAGTGGCTTTAGAGCCACAGAGTTTGCACGACGAGTCTGGCGGAAGGATGATCTCCTGCGCTTTTCCAGTATCATCCTGGAGAAATGTTATCAATTCTGCTACGCAAATGCCGAGGGGTATGGGATCTACATACTGTAAGAGATCTGATATGTTCTACATCCTTGACCTGAGAATATCCGATCAAATGACACTGTTGACAGTTCACCGTGTACAGCCGTGGACTGGTTGACTTCAACTGGTCAGTGGGGTCGTCCAAAAGCTCAATATACCTGGTGATCTGGTACACATTATGCATCACGGCTCGATCGCTGATACGATGAATCATCTGGCGGTAACTGAGTTTTTCATGCAGCGTGTCCCATGCATCTATTATATTTCCATCATGGTCACTGCTGTTGGACCCATGCTGCATGAGGCTGGGGGTATCGGGTAGAATGATGCGAAAGGACTCGCTGATAACCGGTACCAGTTTCCCCGAGGGAATGAAGGAGGGGGATCCAATGTGGTTGATTGCATATAGAACTGCATCGCGAGTTTTCTTTGAGGCAGCTTCTAGCTCCGAGTCGCCCGACTTCTGGCTATTGACCACGAACTGGACATTTGCCCCAACAACAAACTGTGACACGTCATAAAGAGCTAACAGCTGCGATATCCATGTTTGAGACGACCCGCTTTGAGGTATAATAGTCGAAATGGAGGACGAGGAAAGGCAGTCGGGCAACGGAGACTACAGCGGCTCGGGCGGCGAGTTAAATTTATGCTTTTATTCCATGACAAAGTATGCGACCTGACTGGAAAGAGGGTACTTACCAAATCCTCTGGCAAACATGGAAGCTCCTGTTTTAGTCTAGGTGGTAAGGTCAATGTTTCGGGTGCAGAGCAGAGTGTGTCTGCGATTGCTCTACAGACGGAGAGCAGAGACGAGTTGGTATCGGGATAACTGTCGCAAATTCGCTCCATGGACCGTTGGATGCGCACAAACCGGTCTCGACGGTCTCTTGCTTTTGTATTTGCTGGAGGTTTGGGATGAAGCAAGAGAATTCGGACTGTCGATAGTAACAAGCGGGCCAGATACTCGTCTCGAAAAGCGGTATCCCACAGGACCTCGCGAGCCTCTAGTACGATCTGGAGTATAAATTCCACAGCACGCACCGTCACCTCCCAACTCACAAGAAATCCAAGAGACCATCCAACTGGTGATCGTCCTGGGGCTGGTAGTGTGAGCCGCTGGATGAAGAAGATCACGTCGAGCTGAGCGAGTAATGCGAGAATCAAGTCTGCATACTTGTCTTTGTCAGAGTCTGCGTAGATCTTCTCCAGTTCAAAGCGCCCAAGTAACTCGATAATGATATCGTCAACATCGCTCCGAAGAGCTAACAGGCTCCAGACGCCTGTTAAACTCGTGAACAGTGGCGATGGTGGAGCCGTTGCCATTTCCTACGTGTTGGTGGGATGCGAGGTTGTTTGTCGCTTTCCCGCACGTCCTTTTCAGGTCGAGAACAGATCGGACTTCAAGCACGGGTGCTTAGGCGCAAAGATTTTGGGACCGTCCAATCTGGACTCTTCACGCTTCGCTTTTCCTTCCTGAGGCTGCATACAGGTCTAAGATACGAAGTCGAGGGATGATTGGTGGGAAAGAGTAAGCACGTACAAATTAGAGCATTGAAGGACCGGAGCAATGCAGATGAGGACTAGTGCAGGACTGGACGAGGGTCGATCGACTCGTAAAATATCCCGCGTTTGCTATTGACAGTTACTTTTAACTTTTTAGCGCCGGATATCATTGGTAGGCGGAATTACTACCTCGTATTGCTTCAAGGGCTGAGGGGACTGGGGTCCATGTGATAAATGCATCGCTTCTGCAATGTTGGCTTTCTGTCCCGCCCCATTGACTCCCTTCTTTTTCTCTGGAGGGCTATATCCTGTCCATTGTCTTCGAGACCCATTGAGAAGAACACCATCTTTGTTGAGTGTTTGGAAAGCCCCTTCGCAAAGATGACGGCGGCATGGCAGTCACCAGAACATGATGTTAAGGATGAAAGCTCAGCCCTCCACAGCCCCGACATTAATCCTGATTATCCATCTGTTGACGATGGTGTTGACGATGGGTCACAGGATGATGGCATCCGTGACCGCAAAAGTGACAGCCTATGGTGGGCATCTCCTTGCATCCCAGGAATAGAGTAGTTCTAACTGTATCTTCCAGGAGAGTCTTGAACGAGAGGCAAATTAACGTAAGTCAATTACCATTGTAGAGTGAGCACTGAATTAACCATACATACTTATTTTACTTATGACGAGGGCAGATGATCGCATTTACTGGGTATGTCGCTTCGATTACTTCCTTTTAAGGAACTTGACGTTGATAGTGTCTTTCTCAACATAGAACAATCGGAAATGGTACGGAATTTCTTTTTTGTCTCCCTGTCTCCCTATTGAAGCACCATAACTAACCAATTTGAAATAGGACTCTTCCTTGGCAGTGGGAAAGTACTTGCAACAGCCGGACCTGGAGGTGCAGTTCTCGCCTACGCTATCATGGGTACCGTCATCTCAGCGGTGATTTCCTCTGTGGGTGAAATGACTGCCTTAATGCCAGTCAATTCTCCAATGATGGAATTTCCCCGTAGATTCTTGGATCGAGGCGTTGGCTTCGCTGTCGGATGGGTTTACTGGTAATACCCTTGTATCGCCGCTATCATTTTGGCCACATTCTAACGTTGTGAAGGTTCTCTTACGTAGTTATGGGTGCCGATCAAATAGTCACTGTCGCATCTGCCATACGATTCCAATACGGTGATGATCACACGTTCATCAGCTGGGATACAGGCATGAATACGAATCCCGCCATATGGATTTCGGTGTTTCTGGTTGCGGTTGTCGTTTTGAACATGATCCCAGTGAAGGCGAGTCGTGTTCTTGAGAGAAACAGTCGCTTTTCCCATGATCTAACAAGGTCTCTCTAGTACTTTGGAGAATTTGAATACCTCGTCGGATGCATCAAAATTGTGTTTATCACAATGTTGATTCTAACAATGTTCATTCTCAACGTCATGAAGCGTGAGTATTATATAAACACCGGCTGTACCTGCGCCGCCGAACTAACTGAAACAAATAACATAGCGCGGTCCAATGCATATTACAGTACTTCAGTGGGGACAAAATGTACGTGCACACTTCTCTTCGAAAAGTCCCAGAAATCTGAACTGAACCTTCGCCTAGATTGGAACTCTCCATACGGCTTTTTCAATTCGGCCCACGAGGTCAAGGATGAATATGGGAATCTCGACCAAACAATCACAGGATCTGTTGGGCGATTTTTAGGCGTCTGGTGCGTATGCCTAACCTTCTAGGAGACATCGAACAATGTCAACTGATCTGTCCCCTACGTAGGACTGCTTGTACTCGAGCAATCTTTGCTTACACGGGCATGGACATGGTCACCATCACGGCAGCGGAGAGCAAGGCACTCGCAGACTCAGAGGCCATGAAAATGGCTTCACGAAAGATTTCTCTCCGTATTATCACCTTGTACATTCTATGTGTGCTGACGGCATCATTCCTGGTGCCAACAGATCACCCTTTCATCAACGGAGAGGGACAATCTACTGGATCCCGCTCGATCTTTATTATTGCTGTTGTTGAAGCTGGGTTGCCTGCGCTTGGTGAATTTTTCAATGCAATGTTTCTGTTCTCAGCGGCCACATGCGCCGCTGACAACCTATACGTGGCATCACGAGTCTTGCATACTCTTGCACTGCGAGATCAGACTGGGCCCGAATTCATCACAAGGAGGCTGAGGCAATGTCGCGCCGGTGTGCCAATGAGAGCTGTGCTTCTATCCGCGGCCGTGATGCTTGTTGCATATCTGGGACCTACTGGTGCGACTGGTGCAGTAAGTGAATCTCGATTGTAAGGAAGATGACTCCATAACTGACACCATGAACAGCGACTTAACGAACTGTCGTCCAACTGTACGGTGTCTTTTTTGATAGTCTATGCCACGATCTGTGCAACTTACCTATGCTTCTACCGAGCGTAAGAATCTATAGCCCACTGGCCATCTCAAACTCAGAACAGAGTACTGATTCATCATAGACTGGACGAAGCGAAGCAATATGGCAACACCAGTCAGACGCAAGCTGCAACCTATGATCGGAATCATATTCGTTACCCTTACAAGTCCCACGCACAGTGGCTTAAGGCAGGATATGGCATGGTCGCCTGCATCATCATGCTCATATTCAACGGTGTCGACTCGTTCTTAACCACTCCGTTTGACTCTCGGACATTCATTGCCTCATATATCAGTGTATGCCATTTCTCGCACCAGCTGTATGGATATTTGGATAATTGCTAATTCCTCTAGATCCCCGTCTTCCTCTTGCTTATCATCAGCTACAAGATCCGCAGACACGGGTTCAGATTCTCCCAATGGGGCCCAGAGAGATCCAAGGATCTTCGAAACTGTGTCCAAGTATCAAGTGACAAGAGAAAGGGTAGGCTTGAATTAGCTGATCCCGTCTTCTCCTTCGAGAACGTGAAGAGATTCGGTATGTGGTTATGGGTTTGGACAAAGTAAGGTCGGAAAGTGTTTTGGTCTTAAGTTTTTAGTCGGTCATGGGTGACCTTGGGAGTGCGCAGCCATATGCCTTCTGATGAAACGAGTATGATGAGTCTAGCAACTACCCTTGATGCGCTGGGATTTGGAACTATTTTATTTACCTCTCGTAAAATACCTCTTCTACGAATTCGATAACAACTTACTTGCTTTTGATCGATATAAGACGCAAAATAAGGCACCTGTCCACCGTCGACAAGTAGAAATATGTATACTTTAAAACGGCGTGTACGATAACAAAGCGTTGGTGCAGGCTTTTAATGTCAAGCAATGGGCAAGGGGTCCTCCTTTCCAGTGCCATCAACTGCGCCTGTTTCCACAAGGTTGACATCCCTAAAATGCCACCGTAATTTATCATACTTAGTCCCCCATTTCTATCTAATCACCAAGACCCGGATTTGGTTCACTAAATGCCAAAGAAGGCGATAGCTGATGTTCTAGTTGACATGAGGAGAGAGAGAATGTTACTCTGATCACTCCGAACTTTCGCTCCGCAGACGCTGGCACGATAGTAGAAGATGAAGACGAGGCAAGACGGACACGGGCATAGTGGAGTAATTGTACTAATTGCACACTCCGCAGTGGACAGTACTTTAGCTCATCTGAAGTTACCTTGCTGGTGATGCTATGAGATAGCCATCGCCTCATAGGCATACTTAATGCCAGGAAATCAACCAGTGGGCCGTCAGCGGCAGTGCATTGTCATTCTGACGATTCTAGCCCTCCATATCTCGCATATCACCTCAACTGGAAAATTTGAAAATATCGACAGTTCTGATTCTGAGGAATGGTCTTAAGGGGAACTCAAAAAGTACACAGTATTGCTTTCATAGGCACTAGTCTCAGTCAACCCACATAACACATTTCTCCGTGCGAAATAATTCACAAGTGCCACCCCCAGAGTATACACAGTATATCATTGCCATTTCTCATCAATTCCGACTGCTCCTCCCTCCAACATTCTGTTTCTCCGGCGTCGCCCTCGATATCAGCTGATCGATAACATCAGGCTCGATCTTGATCTGCGCGCCTCCTTGCGGCGCCTGTCTTGCCTGCGCCCCGTAGTGCTGCTGCTGATCAAGGGGCTGCCGCGGCTGGTAGTACTCGCCCTGCCCCCGTTCCTGGTAATATTGCTCTTGCTTGGGGGCATAGATTTGCTGCGGCGGGGCGTGGGCCTGAGACTGGGCGTGATAGTAATCATCTGGTCTCTGCGCGGCGACCTGGGGCCTCTGTCCTCCGTGGTAAAACTGGTCTTGCATTGCATAGTGCCCTGCCTGATGCTGAATAGGTTGCACAGGCTGTTGGGGTGGCTGTGGGCGGTAATAGTCTTGTTGGGGTTGAGTGTAGGACATTTGCTGGTGCACCGGCGGGCGATGTTCATCGGGACCTTGGTTGTGATAGTACAAGCGGCCCGTCCCGAGATCCCGACTTTGATAAGTCTCGGTCGATGGCGGTTGCACACTCGAACTTGGATAGGAAGGTGGACGTTTTGTGTATTTCGGAGGGAAAGCGGGCTTGTGATCGGGGCCGGAGAGCTCGATGGGTTGGTCCGGGTCGTTTATGGCCGAGGCGTAGCGCGATGAGTCCAGGGGCAGAGTGGAATTTTGTGCGGCCGGGGACTTTGTCCCAGTGCTTGAATGCGACATGGCTGGACTGCTTCTTGTATTTGACGAAGCCATGGTGAACCCGAGTCTTGCACGCTGGATGAAGCGGGGTACGTTGGAGATGCAGAGTGGAGGTTATTTTGTTAGTGTCCTTTTTTGCAGTGGGGCTGAGGTGATCAACTCTTGACACAAGTACACAGAAGTACTGGACGATAATAGATACTGTGAGAAGTACCTCTGTACATTCTTAGCATAGCCGCAAGTACCCAAGTCCCGTTTCTCAGTCGTATACAAGGGCGTCTGTTTTTTTAACTGCCCAGAACATGTCCTTGTGGATCCCACCACCGCCAATATCAATGGTCATTTGATGCCTAAGAATTTGTCGTGGACAACAGAATTCCTCTCTTATGTAAATATTTAGATCAAGTGGCCTCCTGCTTTTGTTATCAACTAATCTATTATAAACGTATAATTCCACTGTTTAGATGCTCGTCACGTGAGCACAATGTATGCACTTGCGATTCAATGTCCACTTGTGCTGATATATAATTCCTCGCAAGAGTACCTGTCTTTGACATTGATTATTCGGGGAGTACTTCTGCATATATTCCACGGCCCTCCCGAGGTCCCTGTTTGGATGGCAGACCCTTACATAGCGGTTATGGACTCCCGAACAATAAAACAAGTAATCAAAATCAAAAGAAGGTCAGTACCTAATCTCTTCCAAAATCAATTCATATCATTGAACACATATATAAACAGACAAGAAAAGTAGAATCAAGAAATAATAAACAAACCAGACAGACGCTCCATCTATGACATGAGAGAAGAAAAGAAAACAAGATCCAAAAATATTTTTAGACTCCACCCAGGCATCACGAAACGAGGTATATACTCAACCCCCGACTTAGTTATCGATCTTGAACTTCATACGGATACCCATAGCTGCCAACTCGACATCCAGGAACCGCAGGACACCCGGCACAGCAACGACAGTAACATTATCACCACCGACATACCGCAGGCCATCACCATCCTCCCACGCCTCAGCACGGGAGTCCTCAAAGGTCGCGGACCGGGCACAACGACGGCAGCGCACGATACCATTCGTACCACCCAGCGCGCCGACTGTTGTCGCCGCCGCACCAAGCTTCTGGTTAGGCGCGGCCTTGGCCGCGGCAGCGGCAGCACCGGGGTTAACGGCCGCACGGCGGGACGCACCGGAGCCCGAGACGGCGACTTGGGTGGACAAGAAGGAGCCGCAGTCACGGCAGATCCAGGCGTGTTGGGCGTCGGAGCAGTTCATTAGACGGTCTTGCAGGAGGAAGGCGGCTCCGTGGGCAATCAGGGAATCGCGCTCCATCTCTCCAACACGGATACCACCACCCTTGGCACGACCCTTGACGGGCTGGCCGGTCAGGGCGTTGACGGGACCTGTCGTGCGAACCTGGAACTTGTCGTTGACCATGTGACGCAGACGCTGGTAGTAGACGACGCCCATATAGATGTCGGCTGCGAACTCGCGGCCCGTGATACCGCTGTACAGGGGCTCGTTGCCGTAGTAGTTGTACCCGGCCTTGAGCAGCTGGTGGCCGAAGTAGTCGGTGGCGGTGTTCTCTTCGGAGAACTGGAATGGCGTGCAGTCCTGTGGGTGGCCGTGGAGGGCACCGGCTTTGCCAGCCATGGACTCGATCATTTGGGCGATTGTCATACCTGGGGCGATAGTTAGGTAATGTTCATGGTGGAGATGCGACGAATAAGGAAAGGTCGTTGTACTTACGGGATGGGAAAGCGTGAGGGTTGATAATGAGATCAGGCTGCATGCCGCTCTCGGAGAAGGGCATGTCGACGGCAGGCCAGAGTTGGGAGCAAACACCTTTTTGACCGTGACGAGACGAGAACTTGTCACCGATAATCGGCTTACGCGGGATACGGTACTTCACACTGAGCGACTGGGCGGGTTCATTGCCGTTCTCAGAACCCATGATGCGAATGCTCTCAATGTAACCAGCCTCGGCATCCTTGTACTTGATGTAATGCGTGATACCATCGACATTGACAAAGGAGTCGGTAGCAGCGTCGTAGCGGACGTTGTGGTAGGCAGCGATCTTATCGCCCTCCTTCACCCGCACGCCAATGTGCGGCAGACCGTCAGAGTCAATCAAGGCCTTGGCCTCGGCACGGATCTCATCGCCGGGTGCGAAACCGAAGAGCTTGGTGACTTCACGCCTGGACTTGCTGCGGCGCGAGTCGCGCTCAGCTAGGCTGTGAATCTTGGTCTTGTAAATCGTTCCATGACCGAAGCCACGCTCGTGAGCGGACTTGTTGATAATCATAGCGTCGTCCATGTCGTAACCGGTATAGGAGATAATGGCCACAATGGCGTTCGTGCCGTTGGGGAAGTTGTCCAGACCGTAGGCGTTGTATAGAGGTGTCCGGACGACTGGAGTCTGACCGGTTTGAAGGCGGTACAGCTTGTTGTCAGTACGGTAGTTGATGGATGTGCCGGGGGTACCCATGGTCTGCTTGCTCATCTGACACTGGTACATGTTACGCGGCGACTGGTTATAGTCGGAGAAGGGAGTCATGTTTGCGACGATCGAGAGAATGTTGGTCGGGGTGTACTCAATGTGAGTTGACAGGCCGGCGATCAAGTCGGATTCCAGACAGGCAATCTCCATGAAAGGCTGCTCAAAGGGACCCACGAAGTCCAGCCCCTCATTGGCCAGGTATTTGACTGGACGGTACATGCGTGCAGACTGCGAGAACATGTAGATACCAGGATACTGACCACCGTTGGAGTTAGGGACATAGCCAATCTCCAGACCGCGGGGGATGTTGTTGGTTCCAGAGACCTTCCAGTAACGGAGTGTGTCGTGAATCTGCTTGGCCTGCTTCGGCGAGCAGAAACCAATGATACGACCGTCCAACTGAACGACGATGCTGTCATCGATGGCAACGGAGGACTCGGCCTGGACACCAAGCTGAACGAGGATCTTGGGCAGGTGGGAAACCTCGAGGTTGTCCGTGGCAATCAGACACTTGTGGGCCAAATGATTGAGCAGACCACAGGGAGAACCATCAGGCGTGTGGACTGGACACAGGAAACCCCAACTCTCAGGCAGCAGCTTACGCACGGTGGTGGTCTTCAATTGAGCGAAGAAACTACCACGGTGAATCATGCGGAAGTGACTGATGAAACGGTAGAAGTTGATCTTCTCTGCAATGACGGTGTAACCGGAAGTTTGTTGCAGATCGAGACCAGTGGGACTGACCAGGTTACCGGTAGAAAGGAAGTACTCGAGCGCGTTACCAATGTTCTCGTTAGAACGCTTGACGATCTTGGCCAAGAATTCTCGCTCAAAAGCGGGATCCGTGAACTTGGCACCGCCATTCCGCATGGACCAATCGCGAGCAATGGGACCGAAAGACCGCAGCCATTCCTCGATACGCTCCTTCAGAATCATACCGTACAAGAAACCACCCAGCAGAATCTCCTGGTTGGAGACAGCGTCAGGGTTGTCGGGAGCGCAGTCGCCAGCAACCAGAGCGTACAGTTTCCGGATCATGAAGATGATCATCTTGAACTTGTCGTAATCCTGAGTCTCGGTGACATTCTGGTTACCCAAGTGAGGCAGAACGACCTTGCGCAGGAACTCAGTACCGACGTCCTCGTCGGACATATCGGCAGGCACTCCGAGGACAGGGCGGAAGCATCTGCCCAGGTGAGCGCGGCAGTCGTAGCGGCTGTGCTTGTTGTAAGCCTGGTAAGTTCTGAGGAGAAGTTCGACACGGTCCGTCACGAATGTGTTCTTCATGCCCTTGGAGGTGGCGCTGCCAACGAGGGTCTCGAAGATCTCGCGGTCATTGGTCTCCACGAGAGCCTTGAGGATCATCATGACGGGAACGAGGAACTCGTTCTTGCGCCAGGAGAACCGGAAAGTGACGTTTCCATCGGACAGATAGTGCAAGACGTTTGTCTGCGACGTCTGGTCGGGCCGAACGGATCGTATTTGGACACCAAACTTGGTGTAAGTGTGACCACGCTTGACGAACGAACCACGAATGATGGACATGGGGTAGTTGCGCTTGCCGACGATCAACATACGGACCAGCTTCTCGTTACCATTGACGATGAAATAGCCACCCAATTCCTCCGACTCCTCCTTGTGCGTGACGAGATCCTCCGGGGTTGCCTTCTCGAGGTGGCAGCGATTAGTGCGCATCATGATAGGGACCTGACCCAGCTCGCGCACAGACTCCATCCAGTCTCCATTGTTGATCTGGTACTCCAAACGAGCACGGAGCTTTCCACGGTAGGTCGAGTGTCGCTCACGGCACTCGGAGGGGTAGATGTTTCGGTTCTTGTGGCTGAACTTGTTGGTCGGTGGGAGGGTGGGCTTGTCGAGGAAAATCTCCTTCACGCGCACGTTCAGACGGTTGCGCTTGGGCGCCCGACGGCCTTCGGCGACGCGAGCCTTCTTCTGCTCAGGGGACTCGGGTTCTCCATCAAGGAAAGACTTGATACCGATATCCTTGAGACCTTCCTCCAAGATCTTGCTGCCTCCGAAAAGTTGGTTGAAGGAGTCGATATGCGGCTTGATCGACTCCGCCAGGGTCGGGTAGGCCGTGTGGTCCTTGGGCGGGTTCTTGAAAAGATTCTCACGCCGCAAGGTGTCGTATGCGACCGACCACTCGGTGTCGGTAGGCACGGGAGCCATGGCTGGGAGCTTGCGGAACTGGCCCAGCAGGGAAGAAGAAAAGATTCTAGCGGTAGAATTAGGGGAGGGTTCCCAAAAGTGGACTGGGAAACACTTGGGGCGACAGAAGTGATAGCCCCTTGGTTCTACCTCAGCCTCCTAGGAAGAATATCCAACGAAGCGAGGGAATTGAGCCAGCAATGGCAGCTTGGATGAGAGCGAGAATGGACGCTGCTTGGGGAAATTTTTCGAGGTGGAGCCGGGCTATCCTCACGTGGTGATAGAGAGAATATTATGCCTGAGGCTTCAACATTACATAATCTGCATGATGCGGCGGGGAACGAAGTATACAAATCACGTTCAATCGAGAGGATGGATTTAATTAATTGGTTCCATATATTAATTTCACTATCGAGCGGTCATTTCCTTTCTCTCAGTATCTACGTCTCTCTGCCACTCTCTCTACTAGTTGCTGCCTCAACCCCGGGCGCATATAGCCCCGACACTACGCCGGGGCCTCCTGCTGCGCCAGTTGATTGCAATACGTCAGGCTGCGAATGGAGCGAATGGAGCCTAAGCGCCCCTCTGACCGGCGGTCATGTGTGCCCGTAGATCCTCAAGGACTCCCTCGCGCTAGTCACTTTAGTTCATGGTCTCGCAAAGAAGGAGTAGTATTGTAGTATTCTGGATAAGAACAAGTCCAAGGCTCCCTTGACCCTCGGCGCTACGAATATTCAAGAAGGAAAATCCCCCGGGTTCAGAACAGATTCAAACGCTCAGGTCCACGGTCATTGCCTGGTTCCGGTTCCTGTTTTCTTTTCTTTTCCTTTGATCTTTGATTCTCTTCTCCTTCATCATCAACCCTTCCCACCGTTCTATAACTGCAGCCAACGACACCTGGACCCCCCGTTTTGGAGCCGCCTCAGTAGCAAAGACCAGAACCGCCCGCCCAGTTTCTGGACTTAACGCGCGCCGCTCGTCGACCCCACTCGACTCTCCTGGTCCTTTTTGCCCACTTCGGGTGGCTTTGGATCTCAACTCAGTCCAGCAGCCACTCTTCTGTTCCTCATTGTTTTGGTGTTTTTCGTTTTCTCCTTGTTACTTTCTCCTTATTTTGGGACGTCTCATCTACAAAGCATTATACAGTCGAGTGTCCGCGTGCAACTATCCCCCAACCCCCCCTCCCAGTTGCCCTTCTCCCGTTTCTTGCTTCTTGTTCTTCAGCCTCCTCCTCCTCCTCTTCTTCCTCCCAAAACAAAAATCCAAAACCCAGCAACCGCCCGCCTCCGCCATGGCTGGCATCTTTCGTTCCATCTATGACTGGCTCCTAAGGATGTTCTGGTAAGTGTGGGCCCTGTTCAGTGCCGGAGTTTCATATTTGGCTCTCGGGAGATCCAACACGCCTCCTCCCCGGCCCGTCCCCGCTGACGAGTTGCGCTGCTAATACCGGATTTCTTTCCCTGCAGGGCGACGGAGATGGATGTCACAATGATCGGCCTGCAGAATGCCGGCAAATCCTCCTTGCTGCGGGTGCTAGCGGTATGTTCCCAAACTTTTCCCAGTTCCCCAAGCTTTCGCATGGTTCCTGACTCCCTTCCTACCCCTCTTCTTTTGTGACTGTGCTTCGCTTCGATACGGTCTGCTGATCGCGTTACGTAGGGTGGGGAATTCACGGTTGAGTAAGTCGTTCCCGTCCGAGCACTGGACAACAAGGACCGGCCACTCATAGGCCAAATAGTTCCATTCCGACCATCGGATTCAACACCAAGCGTGTACAAAAAGGCCATGTAACCTTGAAATGGTATGACGAGTCAACCTCCGAGTCTGGTCTGGACAGTATGGCTAACAGTCGTAGTTGGGATTTGGGCGGACAGCCTCGATTTCGCCCGATGTGGGAACGGTATTGCCGGGGCGTGAATGCGATCGTGTAAGACACTCGTCCATGAATTCTGCGGAACTTTCCGGCAATGATGCTAACAGCTGTGATCAGATATATCGTAGACGCAGCGGATAAGGCGGCGCTGCCCGTCGCCACAGAAGAGCTGCACGAGCTAATGGACAAGCCTACCTTGGATGGGATCCCGCTGTTAGTGCTCGGCAATAAATCCGACCTCCCAGTCAAACTCTCAGTCGACGAGCTGATCGACGCCATGGATCTCAAGTCCATCACTCACCGGGAGGTCAGTTGCTATGGCATCAGTGCCAAAGAAGAGACCAACCTCGACGCCGTGTTGCACTGGTTAATCGCACGCGCCAGCCGGTAACAGGATTGGCCGTGGCGATCGATGACCTTGACTTGCCTTTATCCTCTATGTTTTCCATTTCTTGGCTTCTGAGCGCGATCTTCTTTTCTTGTTGGTCCTCGCATTGCGGGGTTTCCTGTTTATATCTGGTAGACTCTAGCGTGTTGGCTCGCAGCCTCGGATGTGACGATGTCCATGATTCATGGTTTTTCTCCTGCTTTTATGCTCTTATTTCGATGTTGTTCACTCCTTTTTTTTTCTCATTCTGGGAGCATGCAATTTGGGATCGCAAGCTAGCCAGTTGCTCGATCAAAATGATCTAACGGCCTATGTTTATGAGGAGCATCTCGTGTGTAAGTGAACTGGTTTCGTTGGGTTGTGCTTCATTAGCCAGGATATCAGCGTGTCTCTTTCTTCATTTAGCCATGTTCCGGAAATTCAATCGCAATTTGGACTCTGTCACAATTGTTTTTCATGTCGAGAAGAGCACACATCTCGGTGTAAAGAAGTGCATGGAGCAAAAAAAATTCGCAGCGGCGATGGCTGGCAGCCGGACCATAAATAAGTGCAACGCACACGGACCAAGTGATGCGTTGGCATTGCAGCTCGAATCAGCACGTCGCCCAACACCCCCGCCGAGGAGGGTCACAACCAAAAAGACCCTCTAGAAGAAGATGGAAGCTGATCAAGCTGTGAAATGTGGAGCTGGACTATCTTCAGCATAGATATGTCTACTTTCTACCAAGGTGTATTTCTCTTTTCTCCAGAGCGCTATTAACGATGTACTAGGTAGTCAGTATACCTAGTCTCAAAAATGGACAACGTCTCGACTGCGACTGTCGAAGGCCGATTTCTTTGCCGTTCACATGTGACTCGAGGTTAGCGTTTCAGAAAAGGATCACACACGGCGCAATTTGGAGTCGGTTATGCTCGGCCGATAAAGACACTGAAGCCCCGTGGGTCTTGCGTCGGGGGAAGAACCACGCAGTGGACACGCTAGGATACCTAGGATAGGTACAATACGTCCGAGAATAGTAGTACTCAAAAGTTTGGGTTCTTACTTAGTGCTATGCTGACTATAGGGTCTTGTTCTTCATAACTAGTTCGTTAGTTAAGCGGTTGTCAGCGCGCCTGGCTTCGGATTCGGTTATACGCCCCGCTGGTCGGGCGTATCAGCGTATTTCGTATTAGAATCTGCTATGGAAGTTTTGAAATTCGCTAGAACCCTGAGCCAAGCCGCTTGCGTCGCAGATTATCCGGGCGTCTAGGGGATGGGTGTCTGGTCCACGGATGGGGTAGTATTGTAAGATATTCAAGTCCATACTAAGGTTCGTTACAGGATGATGGCTTGGCTTTTCAGTGCATATGGATGTGACAAATCACGAAATTTATAATTAGCCGAGAGAAGACATAAAACTTGTATGCCATAATATCGATCAACAGTATCGTTGAATAATCCCAGAGGCGAGATTCTGGAATCATAAATGCGTTCCGATTTTCCCGTCAGCCCTGCGCCCCCCTCCACTTGGAGCATGATCATCCTGATTGGCTCTGGCCTGAGTATACCCCGACACTGCGCCGCAGTGCCTCTGTCCACGTAGGATGGCTACGTATGCCGACCCATTCTGTTCTTTTCTGCGTGAGATCTTAGAAAAGAAGCGGCTGAACTATGGTATTTGAAATCTACAGAGTGTGCCTTGACAACCAGAATCAGAAATATCCAAATTAGATACGACTAGTTCGACCGTCCCACTAGCAAACGGGGCCATCGGGTTGCTCATGAATCATCGCAAACCTGCAGCCTAGTGCCAAGACCCACCCGCCCAGCCCCAGGATTGACGGCCCTCAGCCACTCGTGAAACTCACTTATTTCCCTCCTGCCCTGCTCCTCTCTTTCTCCCACAACCTCCTCCAACAGCCGGCCATGGCGATCATTCCACGATACTACTGGTAAGTTTAGACCTGTCCCCGAGCTACCTCTCAACTCAACCCCAGGCCTTCTCCCTCCCTGAAAACCTTCCATCGGGGACTAACCTCCGCTGCAGTAGCATCTACGATGACAACTGCAACTCATCTTGGGATAGCTGGGGTCGCTGGGTAGCCTTCGGCGTCATCGTTGGCATTGCCTTCCTCGTCTTCTTCGCTTTCGCGTAAGTCTCATCTCCCCATCTCTTCTCGTTGTGATCGCCTCGATTCAAGATTCAGCCTCAGCTTGTGGTCGGTCAAGGTCAAGCTTGTACTAACATCCACTCTCTCCCACACAGATGCTTCAACGCCCGCCGCCGTCGCAACCACGGTCTCCGCCCCTACGCCGGCACAGCATGGATGGCTCCTCCCCCTGGAAATCCTCCTCCCAACCAGCCCGTCTACCAACAACCATACGGCGGGAATGACCCATACTACTCGCAACAACCACCACCTCAATATTCAGCCAACCCCCAGAACTATGGTTACTTCGGTGCCCAACAAGCACCCGGTCAACAGCAGAGCGGTATCGAGCTCCAGCAACCCGCTCACGCTCACGGCCCCGGCCCGCGCGAGTACAGTCCCCCTCCCGGCCCTCCTCCCGCGAAGGCATGAAAAGTATCCCACTGGGGGAATGAACAGACCAGATGACGACCTGAGCGACCTATTATCTGCATCTCGTCTCCACCTCCTTCCTCGCCGAGTCACTAGCCTCGAAATCAGGTCGTGAGATGGGGACATTGGGCTCTGCTCGCCAGATCAGTCTCCTGTCCTGTCTTGTCTTCCTTTGCTTTATCATCATGCAACGAAAGCCTCGGATCTCCGGCGTTTTTGCTTTTATTTTCTGGGTCGGTGCGAGATTTGGGCTCTGATATTTTCTGCATGTTTCTTTATCCCTTTGTCTTCATGATACGCCAAAGATCACCTACCTATCTACCTACCCTTGCATGGGGAGGATTGACTATGTTTTTCTCCCCCGTGTCTCTAATTTCCTTCCTGGCTGTCTGATTGTTAGACTATCGGCGAGTCTGCCTGATATGTGGAGGATATGATACGCATTTCGGGATTGTTGATGGTCGACGAGGATGGCCGGGTTGTCCCCTCCCCGTTTTGGATGCCCTGGTCCATTAATTTTGAGCTTCTTTTCTAATGACATACCCAAGGTTTACAAGTTTATTCTGATTGACTGTTCATGAGATTCGTAGAGCTGCCTTACTGGTCAAGCGTAGGCGATTGGCAGGACTAACATACACAACTGATCCAAATCCTTCTATCAATATCTTACCCGCCCTATGCGTAAACTTAACCCTATTTATAGTGTGAATTACACGACCAAAGGCGAATAAGTAGGCCTGTCTGTTACAGGCGAGCCGAGACGGTTAAAGTTCGAGTAGGAATTTGCTATTGACTTCGGTAGACAAGTATTCAAGCAGGGTTGTTCAATATTCCTGCTCTGACTAACTAATTGAAAGACTATTTACCAAAGACAATAGAAATCTGATCAATTATCTCTATATTCAGTCAATTCAATCTCTAGTCCCTGCTCAGTCGTCACGTAAGCCTTAGGTACCCCAGGCACACCCGCCCGCTCCACCACGATCTCAGATCTCCTCCCCCCCCTCCACACTTTTTTCCAGTCCTGTACCTCGACCTCAATCACCCTCACACCAAGGCCAGGGCCCATGGATATCGACGACATCCTCGCCTCCGTCGACCGCGGCCCCGGCGCCAGCCCGGAGTCCGCCGCCCTCGACCACCAACAATTAACGCGCTTCTGGATCGCCGAACGCGCCGTCTCGGAGGTCCTACCCTGGCCGGCGCCACTGATGGAGCGAATGATGGACCGCGTGCGCATCCAGGTACAGTAACATGACAAGACCAATGCCTCCGAACATACACCCTACACACTCCCTCATTCCCTGATTCCAATTGAGACATCGATCGGGCCAAGCACTAACGGTTTGCGGTGGGTTGGGTGTTATCCAGATCGAAACAATCGAAGACCTCGCCGCATCATCCGCAGACACAGTATCCAACAGCAACACATCCCACAACCCAAACCTAAACCTACGCCTCTCAATCCTCCAAACAGACCTCGCCCGCACCCAATACATACTCCGCTCCTTACTACGCGCGCGCCTCGCAAAACTCACAAAACACAGCATGCACTACCTCGTCCAACTAGCCAGCCGCAACAAAAACCCGCTCTCATCAGCCTCGCAATCCCAGTCCCAATCGTCTACAAACCCCAACACCACGCCCGAAGACTCAGTCCCCGATATCTCGGCGCTAGTCGATACGGCGCCGCTCTCGGGGCCGGAGACGAGCTTCGTACACGCGCACCAGACGTTACTGGCCGGACACTATGGAGGCTCGTTTTTGGGCGCGTTCCCGCCGCAGTTGAGGCGGTTGGATGATAATGCTGGTGGGACGAGTATGGTGCAGGGGCCGGAGACGAGGGAGGTTGTTTTTGTGAGGTGTTTGGGGGCGGAGGTTCCTGTTTTTGTGGATGGGGAGGACGGAGAGCAGGATGTTGGTGTTGTGATGCGGATGGGAGATGTTTGGGTTGTTAGGTGGGAGGGGGTTAGGAGGGCTTGGGAGAGGGGGGAGGTGGAGTTGCTGTAATCTGATTTTGGGTTTAGAGCGGTGATTCTTCGGGGAGGTGTTTGTCCTTGTTTCTTGGTCTTGGTTTTCTGTGATGTGATGGTTTCTTCCTGGCGAGGGTGGGGGTTTATTGGTTGATGTTGATATTACCTGGGTTGGGGTTGGAGTAGCGGCATTCCTGGCGTTGGCGTTTAGTGTTGCATTTCCCATACCTCCCTTATATACCTTGATCATGGCTCTAGATGCATATTTTGCAATAGGGCGCGTAAAAACGATATACCTTGTTCACAATCAATCATCGTGTCGAGTACTACTACGCGGGAGAAGTGTGGTGTAAGAATAGTCCTGGCATTGTGCCGTACTCTAAACAAAAGTGACCCTGCAGACTGCTTCCCCATCTTTTATGTACTCATTCACCCTCCCATCCGTGATACGCCGGTCGCTAAACCCAGAAGAAAGATAGAAAAAACACAAACAAGCCAGCCATGCTGAGATATCAGATATGCATAAACGTCGTCAAGCAAGTGGGGAATGCAGGTCGGAAGGGAGGGAATCATCATCAGGTCTTAAGCGATGTATCCGTAAGTGGCCGGTTCGTCTTCCAGACGCTCCAGATACTCGCGATCAATCAGGCTCTCGATGCGCTTCTTGACCATGTTCACGTCGGGAACAAAGCGAGCCGATAGCTGGGTGAGGACCTCGTTCATCAGGCCAACGTGACCAAGCTTCTTCCGTTGTCTGTGTCGGAGGTTAGTTAATGTAATCGTGCTGATAGTAAAACCGGGTTTGTCGACTTACTTCATGATACGGACGATGGCAGCCTCGATACTGCCACCGCGCTCGTCACTCATCTTCTTCTCAGTCTCCTTGCGTTGATCCTGGTTTTCAACCTTATTCGCGCCGCCAGCAACCACGCCAATTCGGACCTTAACGAACGGGCTCTGGAAGTTATTATTGAAGAAGAACCGGTCCGTAGGGTTGACATCCTTGCTCATAGGTTCCTTCTTAAGGACTCGCGTCTTCGGAGCAACCGCCAGCGACTGGAGGTTGCGAATAAGGTCGTACTCGGGGATACCAGTACGCTCTTGAATCTCCTCAAAGGTCAGGGATTCGCCATCTGGAATGTTGTTGAAGAGAAGGAGGATGACCATCATGTATGTAGAGACGTTGAGCTCGAAGCGGCTCGTCTTTCCGTTGCTTCGCTGGAATGTGGCTCGGAGATCGACGGAGCCCATGGGCGCCTGCCAAGACAACTTGCGGCCACTGTGCTTGTCAAGGTAGAACTTTTCGAAGCTCTGCTTGATACTCTCGACCTCGCGCGGGAAGATACAGCGCATCTGCATCTCGCCGTTTCTGGCCTTGAGCATGGCTTCCAGTGGCCACATTGTACTGGTGAGAATGTGGACGTCCAGATCGATACGCTTTTGATCGAGATCGCCATGGCGGGCAATATGCTCCTTGTAGCTCGCCGTCAGATCCTCCGAAACTGCCATGTCCTTGAACATAGCCTCAATGCGCTGAGTGAACTGGTTGCCGACCTCCATCTTCATCTTGGAAATCATTTGTCGCTCCGCGTCCATGCTGGCTGATCGTTTCATCAAGAGTCGGCGGGCAAGGTGCTTCTTGTAGTAGGTCTCAAAGAGATCCTTATCCCTGATGTATCGCAAAAGCGTGATACCATTGTCCAGAAGGGCATCCACCTCGTTTTCCGTCTTGCCTTTGATGCCCTTCTTGAGATTCTCGTCGAAGAACAGCGAGAGGTATTCCGAGCTGCGGCTGTTCTTGTTGATGAAATCGTTGAAGCTGTCCTCGATGGACTTGTGGAGATTCTGGTCGGACATGAAAGATTTCTCCCAGACATCGTCAAACTGTCGCTTAAGAGCCAGGATATCGTCGACCCACTTGATTGCTGACGCAGTCTGTGGATTGACAGCTTTCTCTTTCTCCTTGCCCTTTTCCTTCTTCTCGCCTCCAGCGTCCTTTTCAGGGGCAGATGGAGCCTGTGGCTGAGCAAGGGACGACGCGTTGATTTCAAGGCCCAGCTCGACGATGCGCTTACTCACCTCACCAGTGAGAGCGCGCTTTTTCTCGTCCACCCTAGCATTGAGGATGTAAACGTTCCACAGGCCATCAAGCTGTTTCTGGTCAAGCATGTACCGAACTCCTGTTCCTTCCAGGCGAACCACTTCCTCGATATTCTCGCGAATGAGTTCTTGGTTCAATACTTCGGCAATCTTCGGCTCAGTTATGGCGGCGAGTGTGTAGCGACACCGCTCCTGTTCCTCGGCAATGCGCTGCGAGGCAATGCGGCAGAAGGTTGCAGCATCTCCAACCTCCAACAACCGGATTCCCTCCTCCCTGTAAAAGTCTCGGCTGGTGTTCAGGAAAGCTATTTCAAATGTAGTGAGGTAAAGCTTGGTGCTTTCCTCCTCTGCGATAGTCTCGTACAGGCCTTCCAGCATTTGAATGCAGTGCCGGATCAATGGCCGTTCGATGATATGGCCTGCGCGTTCCAGTTGAATCATGAAGAGCACCGTAGACTCGAGAACATCTGCGACAGTGACATTGGAGCCGGGACGAACGGGGGCCCGGAGGACGTGATCGCGGAAGAGAGCCATGGAGGCGACGAAGATGGAGGGCTTGGTGCGGTCTGCGGAGATGATGCGGTCCTGTAGGAGTCAGTTCAGCGGCCGTAAGACGAGTAGAACCCCCACCTCGCCTCGGTTTACTCACCATGTACATCAAGACATCCGTAATCATGCCCATGCAGAGCAGATGATCAGACCAGGCATCTTTCAGAACAGCCAAGAAGCGTTCCCCCGCAGCGCGCCTCTCGTTGGACTGGTCTTGAACATCCGCCATGCTCGTAGGATTCTGTGCCCGTACAAGAATCGGCAGAATGGAGTCTGTGACCTGCTTTTGAACATGATTCCGTAGCCAATTCTCTTCCAGCGACTTGGTCCGCTCGTACAGGTCGTCACCCCGCATCATCAACACCATCCTGTATGCATTTCGGTAGAGTTCTTCGAACGACAAAGAGGAGCCATTCTTCGTGTGGATTTCTGTGAGGGAGGACGAGAGCTCGCCCCAGATTGTATCGAAATCCTCTGTCGGCGCAGATGCGGCACTCTGTGGTCCTCGTTGTCAGTACTGAGCTTCATGAATGCACCAGACCTCAAGCTGACGTACCCGACGAGGAGCACGAATCTTGTGTCGAGCTCGCATAGCCGCCATATTGCCCGTGTGAGGGTTATGGACGGGCTTCGAAACGCGAAATCGAGGATCCAGTGGGATTGCCATGGTTGGTGATTGTGAGCTGTGTTCCTCTCCGCGGAGGAGCCGCCGGAATATAGTTGTTCCGAGCCGACTCCGCCTTTCAAGATGCGCCGGGCGTCGATGAACTCTTTAATCGTCCTTCAAAGTCGACCCTCGAAAGAAAGAGAGCAGTTTTTTTTCGTCGCACCAAACCAGTGTCACTGCAGCTTTGCCTGGGTTTGACCTCTGTTGCTGCTGTGTCAGGAAATAAGTTCAAGATGCGCCCTTTCACGCCACAGGCCCTCCGGCCACTCCGTTCCCTCCTTTCGCAGACCACTACGTTCAACACTATACGCACATCTACATCCTCATTGCGCCTATTCTCGTCTCAGATCGCTCAACCTTATCGCATCACATCATCTCCTATTCTCTCTCACTCCCGATACATCATCCCTACCACACGCCGACAAAACTCCACATCCTCGCGGCCTCTGACCGAACAGCCCAGCGACAAGACCGAGTCGGATGCCGTTCGTCAAAAGAGAAACGAAGAGCGCCGCAGAAATGAAGAGGCCTATCAAATAGTTTTCACCTGCAAGCCCTGTGGTGAGCGCTCCTCACATCGCATGTCGAAGCAAGGCTATCACCGCGGCACGGTCCTTATCCAGTGTCCCTCATGTAACAACCGCCATGTTATGAGTGATCACTTGGGCATCTTCTTCGATAAGAGGACTACACTTGAGGATTTGTTGAAAGAGAAGGGCCAGGCCCTGACTCATGGACACACCGATGGCAACTTGGAATTTTGGGAAGACGGCACTGTCAAGAGTTTTGGGCTGGATGGGAAGCAGCTGTTGGATACTTCCAACGAAAAGTCATATTGAAAGGCCCTTGGGAGGATACCCATTTTATCGCGTCTAGTTCTCAGGATGGACCCGATTGACTGAGGTTCGTATGAGCCCTGGAGGCGATTGTCCTGTATCACTACTCCCCACTCTTGGCATGGCGGGCTCCTGGCATCGATGAGGAAAGAAAAAAGGGTCTTAATTTGCATGGCGTATTGAGGGTGATTATTTTATTTGTCGGCTATTTCATAATCATGTAACATAGATCATATTGTACAATAGAACCTGCCTTTATGGCAATTCACCATATTCACACATCTTTGAACAAGTCCTGTGAGGCGCCTCTACTTCTTTAGTCCATCCCACTTGGGTTAAAATAAAAAAATCCTGGTTATTGTAACAACCTTCTCTTATTTTCATGTTCCTGAACCACAAAGGCTAGAAACGGTAGGTCTATCTCAGCGAAATGATGCCAACAAAGGCACCCCCTTGTTCCAAAAATCTCTACATGGAAGTACATCGTCATCCACACACTTCTACAATGCAAAAGTAGAACTTTTGAGGACACAGGACCCAAAAATTGACCGACGCAGGGGTCGAACCTGCAATCTCTTGATTCGTAGTCAAGCGCCTTGCCATTGGGCCAGCCGGCCGTGTCCATAATCCATTACCAATAGGCCAAGCCGGACTCGGTAGATGCAAAGTTGGGCCAAAATGTGCATCCTGAAGTCGGAAAAAATCTGCACACAAATGACAGGCTGTAATTGGTCTGATGGCCTCGGCATGCCGTGTGTGGACCCACTCCATACCCATCTATGGGTATCGAAGTTTTTAGCTGGACTCCACTGCGGAATACACGGACTTGATATCGCATGGTAAGTAAGACGGTATTAGTAGTAGTGAACGTATTCCAATTCAGCTCTATCACAAGAGCATCTAATTTAGTTTCTAGATCGAGTCTTCATGCGGGTTGACCCTTGCAAAATCCCGCGATTCAATGGAGTTCGGGGTATCTCGGTGATAGATACGAGACGTGGGATCAATGACGCACGACGTACCCCAGAGTGCCCGCTGTAAGTACGGCATTCTCTAGTGCTCCACCCCGCTCTGCCTCTACTTGAAGAAGCTTTGAAGAAAATTCAGTGCTCGCTCAGTTAATCTAGGAATGCTCTTGGAGAAGCAACCACAGTATTGTACAACAACACCCGACACCCCCGACATCCGGTCTGTGGCGGGCTTAGTCGCTCTTTTCATTGAAATCCCAAATAGTCCGGGACGCTAGATTCGGCCGAGATAGGACTATAAATAATTGCGTCCCACGTTCCTCAGCGGATCTCGCCACCATCACTTCATTCAGTAAACTCCATTACACTAACAATTCACCAACATGCTTACCCTGCATATTGCGTATACCGAGCCTGTCAATGACAAGAATTCAGATAGTCCAAGACTGACTCGAGAAGATGTCTGGAATGGTCTGAAATTGAAAGCCCGACGGCCTGAAACTTTCATCCCTTCTTTCGACGATTCGCGAGTCATAGAGGAAAAGGAAAACGGCAAGGTCATTGTTAGAGAGGCACATGTTGCGGCTGACCTCCACGAATCGCCTATGGCCGGTAAATGGGTTACAGAGGAATGTACGTTGCATGAACCAGTCAAAGTGAGTGCTTCAAGAATCACCGATTGGTGGCGGATCCAGGTTGCCTAATAAGAAAGTAGACCTATTTTACGTTACCTGGAGGTTCGATAGTACAGAACATAATCTCCGAGGGGCCTGATAGGAGTCTTTTTCTTACATTTACTTACGACTGGAACCTGCCGGATGTGGAGCCCAGGACGCCTGAGGCTAAGAGGGCTGAGAGTGATCATATGAGAATAGCGGTGTCATCCGTCCAAGGAACTATTCGGGCGCTGAGGAAAATGGCTGCGGAGAAAGCAGATCATTTATAGTCAATTCTGCTTGTAATTTGAGAAATATGGCCATCGGTGTATGAAGGATCTCGAAAGCATATCTGAGTTGTTGTTTGTGCTGCTGCTTGTGCTTCTCCTGCTCGAATGCGGCGAAATGATCAGCGTCTGCCAAGCCGCGCTGGCCCCCTTTCCTGCCTTTTCGGATTTTGCTATTCGCACGACGGGTTTTCTCTATTTCACGGCGGCTAGCCTTTATAGGTATAGCGCGAATCTTGAAAATAAACTAAGAGTGGCTAGCCGTCCGATATTAGCGTTTGTTCACAAGGCTCGCATAAAATGATTCAGCCCCGGATCGGAATGTAGAACACGATACTTAATAAGTCATCCATTGCCTCAGCAAATTCCTGTCGCACTGAGATTGCTTACTGTAACAAAATCTCTGGAGGTCGATCGAAAGCGGCCCTTTTTGGTATTCTGGACATAATGTCGACTTCGGATGAATCCCCTGGTGAATATCTGCTGATTCGGAACGCTGCTGAAAAAGAAAGGTCAGTTGGCATTCAGTCACCCTGGAACCCAACCTTGAATGATGCATATGTCTTAATACTTTGATAGACTAGAATTGCAATTCAAATCTTGGCAGGCCAGTATTGGTTATCTGTTACATCCTTCCATTACACAGCATGATCGCATGCGCATCGCAGATGTCGGGACAGGCACCGGGTTAGTATGATCGCAAACCTAGAGGCAACCCCCCTTTGATGTTAGACAATCGCTGAATATAGAGATGAAGAATATGGTTACGTGAAGTTGCAAAGATCCTCCCGAGTTCCTGTCAACTTGACGGATTTGACATTTCCGACGCCCTGCTTCACGATAAATCGAATTTGCCACAGAACATCACTTTCTACCTTCAGAATTTCCTCCAGCCCTTCCCAGAGCAGTTCATTGGGAAATATGACGTTATCAATGTTCGAGTGATGGTAGTCGCCCTATCTTCTGACGAGTGGGAACCCGCTGTCCGGAATTTGATGACTCTACTGCGTATGGAACATGACCCTTTAACCTCATCCGATTGAAGATGTGATCTAATTTTCCTATAGGTCCTGGTGGTTATCTACAATGGGTCGATTGTGCAGCCCATAAGTGTATTGTGAAAGCACCAGAAGGAGCTAATCCCGTCAACGCCAACCGTGGCATCGAGTTGTTCCGGAAGACTATGAATGCTTTGGGCAAGACACCAAAGTAAGTCGCTGTCTTTCAATATTTAAAACAACCCCAGATATTAACCAATCCAGTATTGCTGCCTTGTACGGCATTTTCCAGAAAAGTGGACTCGATTCTTGTGAAGAGCAGATCATTACTCTCGAGAATCCCGAGGTTCGAGATAACCTTAACCTTTCCGTTGCAATTGCAATCGCGCATGCTCTCACAGCCGCTTTCAAATTACACAAGCTGGAGGATATCCAGTCTGAAGATGAGATCGCGAAGCTGAAAGAAGGCATGCTGGAAGACCTTCGGACTACTCAGTGCTACTTTTGCTTTGATGTTCATGTTGTGGTTGGGCAGAAATCTTGATCTGGTCTATCTTCACTACGCAGGATCTATATATATGTTTTATGTACCATTGGCACATTGTGAATGTGCCACGGCCAATACTTCCAGCAGAATGTACACAGAAACTTGTACTTGATGAACCTCAGGTAGGTCGGGTTGTAACCAGTAGATTTCGAGGGTATACAGTAGTTCGACTTCGTCATTCTTGATTTCCTGCCCGCCAAAAGTTATGTGATCTTGCATATTCTGGCACAATCTCGCATTGAGATTAGTCATTTTTGAAGTTGCGTTTATTGGCCGCCGTAGTACGACATCGTTAGCTTGGCTATGTGAAGAAGATCAAGAACACAAGCAGTCCTTGGCACACGTGTGCACTAGTCGTCGTGTGATTTGCGAGTGTGTGCGGGAGATGGCTCCGATGTTGCCGTGCAATGTGAAGAACCGAAAGCTTGGTCTAGCAGATATCCCCGCCATGCTATGGGAAACCCGGCGGACCCCCGACTAGACCCTGTACATTACCACCCACGTTGCTAAATTTCAGTTCTCACCCGAACTACTCACACCATCAGCACAGTGCGGTGGTCTTCTTCTAGTAGACCGTTATAACTTATGTAGACAGATTTATTATTTCATTGGTTCGCCAGTGTAAAGAATACTTCATGCCAGGAGAATCCTCTATTTTGAACAGACGAATTCTTTCCTGGACCCCATCCTAAAGCGCCCTAATCTGCGTTTAGCTTAGCGGTAGATCTCCTTTTTCAAACAATATAGTCTGTTTATTACATGACGGTATCGTTACATATAGGACCGTGTTATGCAGCAAATATATAAGCACGTGCGACTTCATTGGTTATTTCTACGGACTTGCAGTACTCCAACCTTTGTCCCAGGCCTCGTTGCGGGGCATCAGGTTACAGTAACGTTGCTCCCGAGTAAGACTCTCGGGGGCTATAGATGATTCCTACCTTCATGCTCACTTTTCAATTAATCCGCAGGTAAAATCATTTTTACCAGCAGGAATTTTTCAGGCGCCTGAAAGGGACAAACAAACTCATGTAATATAAACTCAACCGCCATTACCGCCATTACCGCCACCACTTCCTTCGCCTGGTCCTGTACAGGCAACGAAAGGCAGGAACTACGCGATTAGTAGGTTAATTCGCAATTCATGTCGACCTATATGCGAGAGATCTACACTAGATTTCGAAACCAGTTATACCTACACACTCTTGCGACTTCATTCCCGGAAAATAAATCGGAATACGCTAACCTCTTTCAATGCACCGCTCTGGCGTTGCGGCAGAAACGTATCGGTAACGGCCCGACCATAGTTTGTGAGTCATCGTAACAATACCGTAATACTAGTTACCTGGAATCAGTTGGACACCTCTTTTCCCGTTCCCTGTGGTCCTGTTCCCGTTCCCCGCATTCTTCCCATCGGCAGCACAGCCTTCATAGACGGCCGCCTATCAACAGAAGGCAATGTTTACGCTGATATGCAAGGGGTTTCTTTCTTTTTTCCATTCTGCCTTTTTTTCATGTCCGTGGCTTTTTTTATCAATTACACGTCTCATTTGCTGCTAGCCCCAAACTAATCTGGCTCGCCCAGTTAGCTTACAGGGGCTTTCGAAGGATTCGTGATAACTTTTTAGAGAGAAGCCTATATTACCTTAATTATATATCTCAGTCTGTTGCCCCTGGCATCTATGATAGCTCCTATAGTACAGCGAACATCTAATAGAGGAATCCCAAATAAACTTATAGTAATGGAGCATTCAAACGAACAAAGTCGTTCGTCTATAACCACAAGTCATACTCATTCCACCTCAATACCATTAATCCCACGAACAAAACCAAAGCCAACGACTTCACTGTCTCAACTTCATTCCGGTGTCGACTCAACCAATTTTCTAACTCCACCCGCCAAGTATAATAGCCGCTATCTTTAAGCGCAGATCGGAGACCTGGGAGTCCGTCTAGGCTGCGGGCATTCCATTCACGCTGGTATGTTTGCATCTCACCGGCATCAACCTTTTTGGTGGAAAAGTGGCCCAGTGTTTGGCGGTCTTTGAGATAAGGTTTGGATTTGTTGGTTTCGGGATCGATTATTTGGGTCAATAGTGGGACACCATAGCCACAGGAGGTTTGGACCTGCATATTGCTTGTTAGACTCAATGCACAAGATGGGTGACATCTCTCCGACGGATTATGCTCGGGATGCTTTTCAGTTTTGCTGTCCATCAGACTGATTGACCCTCGAGCCAAAGCCACACCAGAGACAAACGCTAACCTTGAAAACGTCAAGTTTAATGATAGCACGCGCTCCCACGGTCTGGGGTTTACCCATGCGCTGTGAATATCTAAGGAACTCAGGCTGATCCCACTCAATAACAGTACCAGTACAGAATAGCCGCAAGATACGAGGAGACGTGTCAAACGAGCAGAACATCACGGTAACGCGACCATTTTCGCGTATATGGGAGATGGTTTCGCAGCCAGACCCGGTTGAATCGATATACGCTACCTGGTTTGAACCGAGGATCGCAAAGCAAGAATCTGGCAAACCCTTTGGAGAAAGGTTGACATGTCGGCCACGCAGAGGAGCAGATGCCACAAAGAAAACTCTTTGGCGTAGAGCCCAGTCGCGCAGATCGCCTGGAATGGACTCGTAGAACTTGCCCATGGCTTTGAGTGGATTGACGAGAGGGGTTTACAGAGAGAAGTTGACCTGGTATACAGTAGAGCGTGTATAGTACGGAGTTAGTTTCGCGTAAAATATACAGTATCGCTTGCAGTCCCATAATCGTATTGTAAATTACACATACTATTATAGAAGGCGGTCTGAAATGGGACCTATGGGACCTGATCCAATCAGGCCTTGCATATATCGGAAATATATTTTCCGGGACTGAAGTCGAAAGTGTATGCAGGTTTAACTGATTTCGAAAACTACTGTACCTTCAAAATTTATCCGACTTTCAATCATAGCACCCATTTTACATTGATAAATCTGGATGTGTTTACAGTAGGCTTCGAAACAGATTTCATTATTTATGAGTGAAAGAACTGTCAAATTTCTAAAGAACTTGAAGAATGGGTAAAAAGTAAATCTGAAGCCTGGAACGCAGCAAATGATCAAGAAAAGGACGGAAAATTGAAACAAGACCTACTAGATCTGCTTCGGGAATTTGGTTAGTTGGCTCGTTTCTTCCGAAAATCACTCTACAGATCTAGCTGATCATTCAAGGCGGGGTGTTCTGTTTGAAAGTACTCCTTGGTGGGCGACTTCACAGTTTACAAGAAATTCGAAACACACAAAATATTGATCGGAAAATCCTAGGAGATGAGAAAAAGTTCGAAATTTCTGCAAACGTTATGAGTCCAGTGGCCGCACTTACAGCTGGTGGCAGTCGTGCCAGGGGCAGTGAGACCGACGACCAGAAGAAAGCTACGGGATCGACATCTCAGATTTCCATTGAATGTCAAGGTGGGAATCCGTTGGTATGTTGTAGGTGGGTACTTTCCCGTTCATGAGTGAATAGCCTCGTCCTGTTGAATATTTGATTGGCGCCGCAGACATAACACTTAGTCTATTCAGTCCATCAGATTGGATGTTGTCGGTATGTTCCAGCTACTACTGGAGGGTCATTGACGTGAGTTCTTTTAAACCCACCTTCGTTCAACTGGGCTAAGCCACTACAGCAAGACGAGCCTAAAGATTCGCTCTCAGCTATTCTGATATTCAGGAAAGGGCCGGCAGACGTCATACAAGAGTACATTGAGGCCCTAAAAAAATCAGCAGTATGTTTTTCCAATGTGGGGTCGAGCTATTTTTAACGTACAAAATCCACAAAATAGGAAAACAAGGACGACAAAACGCCCTCGAAGAAAGATAAAGGTGAAACGGCTGGTGGGCATAAAGGCCCAAGAACAGGCTCGAGTTCAACCCATGCAGGCCGTCATACCGGCTCAAGAACACGCCGGTGTTCTAGCCACGCCGTCAAATAGGAAGACAAAGAATCCGTTTACAAGAACTAAAAATTGGGCAAATACAGAATTCATTTATACAGTACCTTCTCGTTGAGCTAATGATCGAGCAGATTAAGAAGATCAGGCATATGCACAGATCATCGAGGCATTGGGAGGGAAATGTATAAAGGTATATGTCGATCTAGGAGATGGTGTTTTACTACTCAAGAAAGGTTAATTCAGCGGCCACCCAATTTCCTATATGCTTTTTATGGTAATCCAGGACAATGCGCAATACCTGGTGGTTCTTAAATCGATCCTCCCAGTTCCTCAATACTAGTACGTTCGGATATCCTGTGATCCGACACCATATCTTTCCCACCCCTTCAAGGAGTCCTGCCTACAATCTGACAGATGGACGAATTAGCGTGTGCAGGAGAGGAGTAGGCGACGAACTAGCCACGTGTCCAGACCTTCCTCCACGATTCCACGGAGAATTACAGTATCTTACAATGATTCATTTAGCCAAACCACTCGATACCATACGACTAAGCGGGGGTTGTTTATGGAATAACCCAATACAGATTAGTGCATTCTGGGATAAGGTCTAGGAAACAATTCGTCTGTGTACAAAGGGGAATCTGTTTTCGACTCCGACTGTACACGTGGTCGATTGCCAGGATATAACACGATAAAGATACTAGATACTACGACGCTACTACCTCGCTTGCATCTTGGTTAGTTGAAACACAACGTGGAGTGACGAAAGCAAACTATAGCATTTGAATGCGATCGGGTTGGATGGGTATAAATAGGTAGGTAAATGTAGCTACAGACTAGATTGTATCATCCAGCTCTATCTTATTCTTCACCTTTACCACCCCTCTCGGTACGATGATCTTCTCAAGGACTACTGCGCTTTGCGCGCTGGCATCGGGGGTTTACGCCCAGTCGCAATATACTTCTACTGGTACGGCTGCCGTAGCTGCGGCAGCTGCCACCGCGTTGACTCTATCCCCTACATCGAGTGTGGCGGGTTTAACTTTCGATCGCTTTGTTCAGATCTGGCTAGAGAACGAGAATTACAGTGCGGCTATCAAGGACTGTGAGTGACCAATGTCATTAGATTCGAATATAGCGCATATTACTAACCTGGGATTTAGCAAACCTCGCCTATCTCGCGTCTCTAGGCATCACACTCACGAATTATTTCGCTATCACCCATCCCTCTCAGGTAAGATGACCCGAGTTTTGTGGATTATCCCTTCTTGCTCACATGGGATCGCAGCCCAACTATGTGGCCGCTGTTGGTGGTAGCACCTTCGGGGTCGCTGATGACAATACGCACTATATATCTTCAAGCACAAAGACAATCGTTGACCTCCTGGAAGGCGCTGGTGTCAGCTGGAGTTTGTATCAAGAAGATATGCCTTATTCTGGTTTCGAGGCAAATTATGCCAACCAAAAAACTGGTGCAAATGACTACATGCGCAAGCATAAGTGAATCTCCCGACACAAAATTGTGCGAGAGCGCAGAGTCACTAACAAACCGTTCGCAAGTCCTCTAATGAGCTACAACTCGGTGACCTCAAATACCGACCGTCTTGCTAAATCGAAGAACTTCACTATGTTCTATGAAGACCTGAACAACAACGAGCTACCTCAATGGATGTTCATCACCCCCAACATGAGTAAGTATTTCTCGCTTCTCCTGTCGAGATTCTTTGAACTTGGACTAATTCCAATGTGACTTGCAGCCAACGATGGCCATGATAGCTCGCTCGCCGCAGCTGGAACTTGGTCTCGTAACTTTTTGACTCCTCTGCTCTCAAATAAAAGCTTCAACACTGATCGTACTTTGATAATCCTTACCTTTGACGAGGGTTTGACCACCGGGACTAACCAAGTATATGCTGTCCTTTTGGGTGGTGCAGTCTCAAGCACGAAAGTTGGTACCACGGACAACACCGCATATAATCACTATAGTCTGTTGAAGACTGTGGAGACCAATTGGGCCCTGGGCAACCTTGGAGAAAATGATGTGGATGCCACTGCGTTCTTCTAGGCGGTTTACAATGATTATCACGGAGGAATAGCGTCGATAGTAGCAGGCTATACAATTTCGCCATTGGTATCAATCGGTAACTAAGCCTCGTCAGATTTATTGATACTTCTCAATGATAACAACTTGGGCTTCTTCCCTCAATTTTCATTTCGTTCAATATGACAAATAGTATACCCCAACATCAATGGCCCACTCGCTCCCCGGTTCCATAGAGGAATTCGAACGATACTTTGAGGTACGGAGCAGAATTCAAGTACTTCTTTCATCGTTACAAAAAAGGCCGGCTAATTCCATTCACAATGATTAGACTTTCTTCGAGAGAAAGGAACGTGTGGTCAATCTAGCTTCTGCTATCGAGCTCCTTAACTAAGCACATCCTCATCTTGACTACAGCACTTTACAATTTTGATTCCTTCGCGATAGCATCCCTGAGAACTCGTCGCAAAATTTTCCCAGACTAGATCATGTCAACACATGTCAATGCTAGTATTTCAGCAGCACGTACCGGAGCTTTGGGGATGGCGTCGGTGAACACAACACCACCTGTGAGTCTCTTGATCGTTGATACCTTGGCATTGACGAATTGCATGATATCATCCACGGAGACGGAAGCCCCCGGCGCTGCTACAACGTAAGCACGAGGGTACTCCACATCTCCCCTGTCTTCGTTAGTACGTGGAACAAGGCCCATCTAAGAAAATTTTGTCGAGCCTCACTTTCTCACGCCGATGACGGCGGCGTCATTGACAGCAGGGTGATCTAGAAGGAGTGCTTCGAGCTCAGCAGGCCAGACCTGGACGCCTTTCACCTTGATCATTTCCTACCACAAGATGTCAGTCGTTGTGCTCGGCTTCACTCACATGTCCACCATGACTTGCCTTCTTTCGGTCCACGACATAATACCACCCATTTTCATCCTGGCGTGCCACATCTCCTGTCTTCAACCACCCGTCTGGGGTAATAGTCTCATCAGTCGCCTTTTTGTTTTGCCAGTAACCCTTCATTATGTTCGGTCCACGGAACCATATCTCCCCACTTTGCCCCGGCGTAACCTCGTTCTCCTCATCATCCATCAGCTTAATCTCACAGTTCGGCATGGGCTCGCCAACGGAGCCAGCTAGTGCCGTTAGGGTAGGATCCCAACCGATAGAATTGCAGCAGGATCTGTGCGCAGAGTCAGTATAGGGCCCTCACTCCAAGCCATGCCAAGTGGTATTTAGCGAAAGAGACAAGACGAACTCAGTGGATGCAAGGCCCTGCTTGACATTTACGTGTCCCTTGGGCCAAAGCGATTCGTACTGCAAAGTCGGTCCTGGACCTAACGGTGCTGCACACGAAAAAGTCTTGGTAACACTGTTGATGTCATACTTGCCATTCTTCAACGCAGGATGTTTGGTCATGGCAACGATGATGGGCGGCACAAGGTGCAGCTCCGTGATACGAAACCTCTGGATATTTTCTAGCATACGGTTGATCTCATATTGCCGCATGATATACGAAGGGACCCGTCTAGCGATAGAAATGGTGCAGAAATAGCACATTGCCAGGCCGTGATAGAGCGGAATGGTGCACAACCACCTGGAATTTTTGGCCGCCAGCTCCTTCGTGCGGAGGTTAGGATCGAGGCTCATAACGAAATCCGTCTGAACGCAATTTGCGAGAATGCCGTAATGTGACGCCTCCGCTGCTTTTGGAAGACCAGTGGTTCTACCAATCATACTATTAGTATTTTCGGAGACATGAAGAAATCCCACGGTGACGAACCCAGAGGTCATTACCGTATAGACAGTTGTCGACTTCGATTCATCCGGGGTTAGCTTCTTCCAAACGAAACGCCTGCCTACCTCTTTCGGCGCTAGTAAATGCTTCCAATGCTTCACTCCAGCTTTAGAATTATCATCGCCGCCGCCATCCTTGATTAATGGAGCATCGTTAAACACGAAAACACGCTCCCGCTCCATGCCTACCATTTTGGCGGCCTCAAGAGCGCAGGCCAGAGTTACTTCACTCGCCAGCATGAACCTTGGCGTGGTAAGGTCCAGCTGATATGCCAACTCGCGGGCATTGAAGTGTGGATTCGCAGACTGGTAGATGCCACTAGCCATGATAATGCCAAGGTTGATGACGGGGAATAGAACATCGTTGCCACTGAGAATGATAACTCGATCGCCTTCTCTTAATCCCGCGGCCTTTAATCCAGCAGCAAAACGCTGGGACCAGAGACGCAGCTCAGTCCAAGTCATGTACAGTTTCTCTGGGTCTTCAGCATCAGCAAAGGCGAGAGCATCGCCTAGTGGGGCTGTAGGGGAGCCGAATAGATAGGTCGGAATGTCCACCTCCGGAATAGAAACGCTCCATCGTGATTTCTGTGGCATGGCAAGGTAGTTCACGGTACATTGACACAAGAGTTGAACAAGTGAAAGCGGGGAAATATTGTTGATTCTTTCTAACATTATAACGTCGGGGGCCTTATATCATGTGACTATGTATATAAGCGCCCATTTCGATGGAGAAAATCTTTGCTTAGTATGTTTAGCTTTTCACTGTGCCAGCACGGAATTCTGTAATATGGCTGGCGGGCCCAGGCGAAGACCGCTCTGGAGATGGGACATAATGGATGGTATCTCATATTGAATTGTAGAAATCTGTGCAACATGAATTGTTCCAGGTATATACTCAAAATAACCCTATGCTTCTAAACGCCATGTTTTTTGAATGCCGGCGAAACCAAATAGTAAACCTATAAATGCAACACACAAATCCTGTTCCTTTTTGTTTACCAACCCCGTCTCTTGCCACGGTGCTCCAAGCCCTTCTCATGTCGCTTGACCCTCTTCCGCTCGTTCTTCCTCCTCTTATCACGCTCGAACCGCTCAGGATCGGCAACGGCTTCAATCCGGCGTTTGGCACGACGTCCTTCCCGACGTTCCTTGATCTGGTCCTGAACCTTGGTCATCTCGGCGATGTATTCGGTGGTTCCAAACTTCTTCTGCAGCGAGTCCAAGACTTCGTGGCAGTTCGAGACGAGAGCTTTGCAGGTATTCTGGAAGCTCTCATCAGAAGAGCGGGGAGGGGGAATAGATGGGTCGGTCAAGTGCTGCAGCGGAAGAAGAATGACGGGCAGAGATGGGAGAATCTGCTCGGCTTCCAGATGGCGGATGAGGGCAGCCAGGAGAGCGATGGAGGCAGTCTTCGGGATAAGAACATTGGGTCTCGTTGAAATGACCTCCCGGCGCAAAAGCGATGAGATCTGCGAGAAGATATAGCGGATAGCAGATTGCTTCGACTGCGTACCGGTTGCCTTGTTGTCTTCGCCATCGACTTGGCTTCCAGCATCCACGTCCTCATCCTCATCTTCACCTTCCGACTCGGCCTCCTCGGCTGCCTCGGCTTCGGTCTTCTGGAATTCAAGACCGTTTTGCGCACAGCATCGACCAAGGAAGACCAGGTTACGGACACTCTGCATTGCCAGTTCCTCGGAGATACCCGGGGTGCGAAGGGACCGCAGACTAGCCCGGAGCAGCTTGAGCATGGAGTCCTTGTCCAAGACAAGGCCAGAGCTGCAGGCCAGGGGAATCTCGCTGTAACCAGTAGCGGCATGTGTTTTCGCCACATCCGCCAACCACATACCGACGAGGTTCGCAGCGCAAGTCTTGACCCATGCGTGAGTGAAGAAAAGTGACTCTTGAATGGCGGCCCAAACAGAGGCGCAGCTAGCGCTCAGTCCGAGAGTAGGGTTCGTTTTGCAGAGCTTGGTGAAAAGCTGCAATGCGAAGTAAAGTGTCTCCCAGTTTCCATCATCCTGGTCTTCAAGGACGGACTGCATCAAGTCAGGGAGAATACTTGTGACGAACCGTCCTTCCTTCTCTTTTTCGGTCTCCTCAGCCTCGAAGTAGATCCGCATAGCCTGCAAGCCAATACTACCCAAGGCCATGTTGTCGGTCTGCTCCAGCCAGGAGTGAAGGGGAGTGAGGATAGTCTTCATCTGTTCCTTGTCTGCTCGGTTGTAGAATTGCCCAAGTAATGCACCGGCCATTTCACGGCACTCTGATGAGTCGTCATTTGCCATGGCAAGAACAACAGGCAAGAAGAATGTGCTGATCATATCCTGAGCCATCTCGTCTCCTGTCTTCGACAAGAGCAAATGAATTGCCTCCAAGACCGACTGCCGTCCTTCTTGGTGCTTGTACTCCAAATTCTTGGCGAGGAATGCAAGCTGTTTCGACCATCGGCTCTTGGCTTGTGGATACTCGATGAGGAAGTGGATGTAGGTACCCCGTGCCAGATCGCGCGCAGAGCGAGTCTGATTGGTGACCATCATGGTTGCAATGTTATCCACAAGCTCGTACATTTCCGGAACGACGAACTTGCGCGACATGACTGCTCGGATGAAGTTGAACGTCACACCTTGCCGGTCAGGTTCCTCGATATCGGCTGTCAGGCGCTGGAGGAGATATGCAAGGTGTCCATCGCGCAGTTTGGTGGTCTTTCGCTCGCGGATCATGGAAGAAATCAGCTTCAGCGAAGCTTGTGAAGCCTCGGAGTTGGTGCTTGGTGACTCCTTGATCATCTTAACAGCCTCTGTGAGGTACACATGAGAGTTGTTATCAATCTCGGGTAAGGGGAGCTTGATAATCGTGGAGAGCAACCGCAGAGCAGAGACCTTGACCTCTTCTTGAGCCTGAACAAGTGCGTCACCAATGATAGGCAGGAATCCAGAGAGGTTGGATGCTGTCATGAGCGAGCTAAACTTGTTCAAAATGGCGCGAAGAATGTCAAGTGCAAAACGGGTCAGCTTGTAAACGTGGGATGATGTCGTGCCACGCTTCTCGCCTCGCTTGCCTCCTTGCAACTTGACCAGGAAACGTTCCTCCCTCTCCCACTTGGCAGTAGCCTGAGCAGTAGTTGGGGCCTTGTCCTGGTAGGATTCCTTGATGATTTCGTAGCAGAATACCAAAATCTCTCGGTTTTCAGCATGGGGATTTCTCAGGAGACCAATGCCAATTCGTCGCATGAGCTCATCAAGCTTTTTGACAATGTTGGAGTTAAGCTTCTCTCGCAGCAGTGATTGGAGCGGACGAACGAGGCTCGCCAAGTGGCGGATTGTGGTATTCTTGGCAAGAAGCTCCATGGAATCGTAGCTCTTGTTACTCTTGACCTCCTTCATCTTGCTAACATAGTCTTCAGCATCCTTCTCCTGACCAACGGTGCCGAAAGTGTCATCCATGACCACGGCAACCAAATCCCCCAAGCAATAGTCCAGGTCGCCTTGACTGAAATGGTCCGTAGTCGCGACGAGCATGGAGTGGACGGTGAAGGATAGAACGTGAAGCTGGTAACCACGAAGAAGTGTGTTGCGCAGCTCCTTCAGGATATAGCCAAAGTAGACCGGGCCGAGCAAGAGGGCAATGTCATTCAAAGTCTTTCTTGCAGTATCTCGAGAATCTTGAGCTTTACTCTTCAGGGTGCTGCAAACGTCGAGAAGAACGGCAGGAAGACGGATGGCCATCTCCTGCTCAGGAAGAATCTTGAGCAACTTGATTGTCGTGACAGAGGCGGGCAGACGTAGACTCATCTCAGTCTGCTGCTTGTGATGGATGAAATTGGTCAAGAAGGGAATGAAGTTGGTTGTCAACTCCAACGAGACTTTTTCCAGAGTGGGCAGTGTTTTGGCGAGTCTGCAATGGATCGAATCAGACAAGTCCATCTTGTCGGAATCATCCGTAGCATGGCCATTGGCCTTTTCGCTGACCGTCTTCTTCTGGTCCATCGCGCTTGACAGAGCATCAGACATCCGACCCAGGAGTCTGAGAATGTTCTTCTCCATCTCGGGTTTGCTCTGCATGTAGCTGCGGTATCTTCGGAAATTGGCACGGAACTGACTCCAATCTAGCCATTCTGCCAGGGACCCAATGGTTGCTACAGCCTCAGCGATCAGATTGTGACCACTCTCATCCTCAGCTTCATCAAAAGAAAAATGCTCAATGAGAGGTAGGAAAATGGTGCCCAGATTTGAGGACTCAATGTTGCCTTTAGCAGCCTCCGCAGCAAGTCGACGCAAAGCGCGCATCCGACGGTGCTGCTGGATGTGGAGGATATTGTTGAAGAAAGATGCCTCGTCATCATCACCAACAAGGAGAACATGCATATCTTGAACAGATGGCCTGGTAGGGTTGAGCTTGATGAAGTATCCGAGTACGGCGACAATCTCAGAACGGATCAATTCGGACTTCTGGCGAATTCCGTACTTCAACGATGAGAGTAGAACATCATTGATAAGTGCCTCGAAGCCTTCATCACCTGTCTCGGTCGCTGCTCTCTCGATGAAACGCTTCAAGCCGAAAGTGGCGCTAGATCGGATGGCGAGCTCCTCTTCATCCTTGACGTGGAAGAGCATGTTGAACAGGAGAGGTCGCCACTGCTTGGCATTAAGATTTTGAGACATCTCCTCGTTGATCTTTCTGAAGGCCCCAAGGCGCCGCTCGTAGTCAGGTCCAAGTTTCTTCACTGAACGAGAGTTCAGATCAGCGCAGAGCTCAGCGACTTCGACGAGCTTTTGATCGCGAGAAGCAAGGGCAGTGAAAACTCTCGCCAACACCTCTCTGTTCGCGTCATCCTTGAAGTAGTCGAACATGGACGAAACCGCCTCGAAAACTTGCTGGGATAGCTCAGTATCTTCCTCGGGGTTGTACAGAGGAAGGAAGTGCTCGAGAATCCGCAAAAGACCAGACTTTGTCTTGGGGTTGACACGGTCTGGGGGCTGACGAAGCAGGTACGTCGCGATGCTAATGAGGCTAGAGGTCTCACCAGAGGATTCGACACAAGGCGCGGTCAGAGACAGGGCAGTGACACCTGAAAACAGGACCGGTTTCGAAGGTCCTCTCTTCAAGAGGCGACCGAGATGGGAGAGGGCATGCTCCAGGTAAGGGGAAAGGACCTCAGAGCGAATCTGCTCCGCTGGGAAGTCCGGCATTGTCTCGTCTTCATCTTCACCATCATCCTTGAGTTTGATGCCGCTAGCCAGTTTGACTAAGGGCACGAGAACTTCATCCAAAGCGAAGATCTTGACCTCGTCACGAGCGGATTCAACGGCCAGGACGTCGATGACCTTGGTCAAAACGTCCTTGTTGTGGTTCACCAGGTAAAAGGTCGATCGCGGAGCAGAAGCCCAAGTGTGGAACAGCCGAAGCAGCCCAGAAACACCCTGTGCAGTCTCAATGGGGAATTGCTCTAATCTGTTGTCAATGACCTCCCGGAAAATGATCCGGACATACGGAGTCCAATCCTGATCGGGAGAGATAGAGAAGACCAGGCTCAAGCATCGGATACCTGATTGGCGGATGTTCTGGAACATAGATAGAAGGCGCTCGTCCTGGCGATCAACGTAAAGAGCGCTTTTCTCGTCGTAAAGAGATCTGCATGCTCGAACCAGACAGTAGACGATCACATTCATAGCCTGAGTGGTATAGGCAGTCATGCGGCTCTGGAGGGTATCGAAAACGGTGTCGATCATCTTCAGCAGACCAAGCTGTCTCCTTGGGCTTGTCAATTCATCCACGAAAGCCTTTTCGTCATTCTCTGTGTCGTTGGCAATAGCCACTTCAGCAAGAGGACCAAATGAGATGTTAATAAAGAGTTTGAAGTCCTCCTCCGAGAGATGCGAAAGGGTACGCAGAATAGCCTTGCGGCGGCCAGATTGGCCTGCTTGATTAGAGCTGGCACCCGCTTTGGAAATCATGCGACCATAGAGCAATCGAAGAAGCACTGGCATCAGGACTGGACGATGCTCCTGCTCGATCAGGCTGTCTTCCCCGCCAGCTCGGACAAAGACCATCAGCTCGTCCTTGAACCTGGACTCATCCAAAATGTTAAGCAAATTCTCTTGGTAGGGAGTAACATGGGAATTCTTCCAGGTAAAGAGAGCTTTGAGAGCGGCCTTTTGAATCTCCGAGTTACCGTGACAAAGGAGACCCATAACAGCTTCATGGACCTCCGGTGCCCTGTAAAGAACCTTGGGGTTCACAAACTGACCAAACAAGGCAAGCATAGACAAACGGTCCTTGAAACCCCATCGGATTGGCGCCTCTGAGTTGTCAGCTTCAGTCTTGACATCTTGTCCAGGAGCGTCATCCTGATCATCACGAAGAGCCCAAGACAGAAACAAGGGAACAATTTGACGAGATCGCTTCTCGGCAACGTTGGGGGCGGCGTTTAGCACTTGCAGGGCATGGTTTCGAGGCAGAGCAGGAATAAGATCAGCAATCTTGTGTTCCTTTTGGAATTGCTGGGAGAGGGTGATAGACGGAGCTTGAGCGACGGCCCAGTTGGTACCGACAGTGCGGTCGATGTTGTTGACGTTAAAACACTCATAATAACTCGCCACGAAGTTGTTTTCTTTATCATCTTCCGGCTCCTCATCTCCAGCAGCGTCAGAGTCCCGCTCCTGTAACCACTGGATAGACAAATCGGAGACAATCTTCTCTCCTTCCGGGTGTTCACTGATGGTCTTCAAGGCAGCAGCAGAGTCATCCCATAGGGGCGCAAGCTTCTTAGAGAACAGGCCAAAGCAGAAGTATGGAATAAGAGTGGCCATCCACTTGCGAGGCGCAATCTGTGGGTAGAGAAGCGCCAATTTGCGGACATGCATCTGGACTGTTCTTGCGCTCTGCAAAGTCAGGGGGCTTTCTTCGACCTCAATAGCCAGCGCGACAGGTGAGTGGTCTTCTTTGGCATATTGAACGACGAGTTGCTGCAAAATTTGAAGAGAGACGAACCTCAGTCGATGAGATGGGCCGGCCAAATTGACAATCAAGTTGGACGCAAGCTCATCCACCGAAGAGGTTTCAGGTTCTGACTCTTGCCTCTGCACAACACACATAAAAGCGAGAACTCCTTCAAGGAACAGGGGTAGGCGCGAGAACTTGGTGGAGGCAGCGAGTATAAGCTGCCAGAGACCCGAGTCAAGCTCCCCAGCCTCTTTTGCCAGCTCGACATAGGCCTTGAACCCCTGTCCAAGATAGAATGCAATACCTTCAAGTTTCTCGCTGTCAGTCTCAGAGGCAGCGTCCTTCATCGCAGACAGGATGTTCTTGTGCAATTTCTTGACAATCTTAGATAACGTAGCAGAGTCCGCAAATAGAGAAATCGCCTTTGGAAGTTTTACCAGAGCATTCAAGGTGCTCTGGTCCTTGGCCGGATAGACCAAAGAGTCGTAGATACGGGTCTTCAACCCATCAGGGCAGGACACATATCCTGGCCTTGAGACCTCGGGTGTGATGCAACCGGTCTCGTGCAGCTTGAGAAGAGCAAGACACAACTCAAATTCATGCTCCTTCCACGAAGAATTGATGAACTTCTGGAAGTAAGGCACCAGTAGACTTTGGAAACGCTCAGAGCCCCATTCTGAAAATGTAGTACAGAAGAACAGGAAGTACTTCGCAAGAGGCCCAATTGATACCAGATCCATGAAGGAGCGCATGAATGGGAGCATCTCATCCATTGGCGACAGCTGAAGAGCATATGCAACAGCTCCAAGGAGCTGGGGAATCGACTCCGAATGATCATCAGGGCTTGCCGCGGCCTGTTTGAGGAGCGATACAAGCGTTTGGTGAACCGCCTTCCAATCTCTGATTCTGGAGGCTTTCCTGGTTGCCACGCAAACAAAGATCAAGCGACAGCACTGGGGAAAATTAGAGTTTTCACTCTCTTGAGACCGAAGATTGATGTATTCCTTAACAGTGTCGATGATAGGCCCAAAGGTGTCCGGTGTGGTGTGGTGAATGAGATTGATCACGACTCCAGTAGCGACTTCTGCGGGCACTCTCTTGTTTGGAGTCGATGGAGGAACTTGGTCCAAGACACAACGGAGGACGTCCACACCATTAGAGTGGAGACCGTGGTTGACACCCTTGATGGCATCTGCAAACATCACCATCAGACCCTCCTTGTATGAGTCGATACTCTTCCCCTCTTCCGCAGTTTGCGTGATATCTTCGTAGAGGAAGGAGACGGCGTTTTCGAGTGGTGTCTTGTTTTTATAGTAGACAAGGCCGGCTTTGCGAATCAGGAAGGACATCGACTCGGCGGCGAATCGAGCAACGAAGGGTTTTTGTCGCTCCTTGCCGAGATAAGGAGTCATAATTTTCAGCAGTTCGCGTAAGTCCGGTACCAACAAACGAGAAAGAAACTTGAATATCCATGCCAGGCAGGTAAAGCTCCATTCGACGACCTCAACATCGGGATGTGTAGCTGCGACAGATGCGACCAACGTAACGGAGGTGGCGAAGTGCTTCTCAAAGCGAACTCCAAGGTCTCTGGCAAACTGGGCGAGCAAGCTCAGTAGTGGCTCCAGAGAGTTCTGGTCTCTCTTCTCAATAAATTCTACCAGCAAGCCCATAATCTTCTCTTCGTGGTATACAATCTGGGCGAGACTCTCGGAAAGGGCATCGACTCGACGGGTAAATTGCGTAAAATTGTCTGACAGGTTCATATCAACCCAGTGGTCGAGGGCCGACCGGAAATAAGAAGTCGCTTCGCCTTCATCTTCACCAAAGCTCGCCCGGCGCACTCGGTGGATCGGATCGATTTTGAGCTTTGCGATACGCTGCGAAAAGCCCTCGAATCGGTGTGTTTTGGTAGTTTCGGTGCCACGTTTCAAGCGCCTGGTGGGCTTGGCTCGTGAGCCTTGCGCTACCATCTTGGAGAATGCGACAGGTAGCGCTGCTGACGAGAAAGGTACTCGGGGAACTTTTTCTCAACCCGCATCGAATACAAGAAAAGTTGAACGGTATCCGGCTCCACTTTGTTCCGCTGGGGAGATTCGCAGCATAGCGCTAGCCTAAACAAGCTAGCGTGGTCACGAGGTGGCCCGAGCTCCCGTTTTCCAGAAGCGCGCCGCATCCTTGCAGCTTCACTATCAATTCTGCTTCCAGCAACACTCATCCCAGTTGTAGTGCAACGGTTGACACGCATTCTTCAATTTCTTAGGACTGACTTCGTGAGCTCTGTGCAAGATCTCCGGTGTTAATCCAAAGCTGGCGCTCAGACCAGAGCGCGGCTTTCTATTCCTCCGGCATGGCTTCAAAGATGTGAGAGACCCTCGGTAGCCTATTTCAAGAGAACATGAACTGACCTTGAGAACAGTATCGTCGTTGGTAGCCCCAACTGCCAGCTAAAGGCAGTGTTTACCAGACTGGCAAAGTTGCATACGAAACAGAACTTCGCTTTTGCAATCATTGTTGGCAACCTCTTTGGTGACTGCTCCACAGAAGCCGAGCTTGATGAGATCTCAGCCCTCCTTCAGGGCAACATCCATGTTCCTGTAACAACTTACTTCACAGTGGGTAGCCGACCGCTCCCTACTCGAATTGTGGAGAAGATCGAAGCCGATGATGAAGTCTGCCCGAACCTGTACTTCCTCGGGAAGCGAGGCATCCTCAAAACTGCTGAGGGCATTCGCATTGCAGCCCTCGGAGGTCAATTAGATCAGTCAGGATCAAATTCCAAGCCCGAAACCAACGCCAGTGGAAAATTCCAATCAACATACAGCGAGTCTGACGCTCGTGCTCTCTACGGCATGCACAACGCAGACATCTTGATCACGAATCAATGGCCCAAGGATATCCGCTTTGGCTCCAAAGTCGCAGTACCAGAGGACTACAATTCGATCTCATCCGAGGTCCAGATAATCTCAGACGTATGCGCCACGCTCAGACCTCGATATCACTTCTCCACATCCGACTCGTTCTTCTACGAGCGAGAGCCTTTCTTCCACATGCCGACGGAAGACAGTCCCGATACTAAGCCAATGACGCGCTTCATCTCCTTGGCCTCATTTGACTCCAAGCAGAAAGCCCTCTACGCATTCTCGCTCGATCTCACTGCCACGGCCCCTCTCACTATCCCGGCTGGCGTAACCGCCTCTCCCCTCTCAGCACCCCAAGCAAAGCGCAAGAATCTCCCCAGTCAAAATCAATCATTCCAACGCTTCGCCAGCCACGACCCCTCTCGCGAGTATAACCAGCACCGCGGAAAGCGGCAGCAGCGAGAGCCACCTCCAGGACCGGACAGGTGTTTCTTCTGTCTTTCCAACCCCAACATCGCAACCCACCTCATCGCCTCCATCGGCGACCAAAGCTACCTCACAACCGCCAAGGGACCTCTCCCTCCAGTCAATTTCTTCCCGTCTCTCGGCTTCCCGGGCCACATCCTCATCATCCCCTTCGAGCACACTCCAACCCTAGGCTTGATTTCAGACCCGGCCACTCGCTCAAGCACATACATCGAGATGGTCCGCTTCAACACCGCCCTGCGCCACATGGTCAGCGACCGCTCATCCGGGCAACTCGGCGCTGTGACCTGGGAAGTAAGCCGCGCCGGCGGCATCCACACACACTGGCAATTCCTCCCCGTGCCAACGGACCTCATCAAGGAGAAACTAGTCGAGCTTGCTTTCAAGGTAGAAGCCGAGAATCTCAAGTACCCGCGGTTCTCAAATCTCGCACTCGCGCAGTCAGACGGTGCCGCCGACGGTGAACCCGAGGACGGAGGCGCACTGAGCGAGCGGGGCGACTACTTCCGCGTATCGATCTGGAGTCCCGGAGAAGAAGAGAACAGCAACGAAGAGGGAAACGAAAAGGAGAAGGAGAAGGATGCGGAGTCCAGCGGCGATGCCGAAGCGGAAGCCGATGCTAGCAAGACCCAGCCCCGCGGGTCAGAACAGATCATGACGCTAAAGCTGAATCCGAATTTCCAGTTCGACCTGCAATTCGGCCGTCGCGTTATGGCGAAGTTGTTACAGCTCGATAAGCGGATGAATTGGAAGGATGCGACGCAGTCGCAGGCTGAGGAGGAAGCTGATGCGAATGCTTTCAAGGAGACGTTTAAGAAGTATGATTTCTCGCTCGAGTAGCGATGTCGTAGTACCACTGTGTGTGTGAGTGATGCGGATCTTATGTCTGAATGGAAACCATGTGATGACGGGGACTCTCCTATCCTGTCTCAAATACACCTCACTAAAGGAGTGATTAATCACTGCCTGTTCAGCAAATAACTAATGTACGATAGACCAAAATGAAGCCAATGCCATGAGTACATGTCCGAACAACAATCTCTACCTTCCAGACATTATCTAGTTGCTGCTGCTGCACTTAAATGTCCATGGTGATTTTCATTCGAAGACAAATGTCCGTCATGTACCTAAATATCCAAGACAAATCTCAAGCTTCCGTAGAGCTCGAGGGGGAGGTCATAGTCGTATACATGACACGACACACGCATGCGGTGGCCGCAAGGCAAGCACGGAGAAAAAGAACAAGACAAGATTGAAACGGGACATGAGCATAAATGACTCCGATGCAAGACCCAGCCATGATGGGGGCACAAAGAAAGAAAGAAAAAGAAGAAAGAAGAAAGAAAGGGCCATAATGACGAAGAGAACATAGTACAAGAAAACAAAATCATGGTATCAAAGTGCCTTCTCATGACCAACATCACAAAGAACAGAACCAGCGCAAGATCAAAAAAAGAGGGGGTAGGGGTACCAATCCCCACGAGAATAAAGAGAAATCAAAATCAAAAAACCAAAATCATCCCTCAAACATCCCTATACGTGCCCGGCGCAGGCCTCCTCCCACTCTGCAACAAACTCGGCGGCCGATCCCTCCCCGACTCCCCACTAACCGCAGCCCCATACTCATGTCCGCCATACTGGGACGGCGCCGCAGACTGGAACGGCGGTGGCGGAGACGCAGGGTGCGACGTATACGTTGGCGGGTACTGACTGGACCCGAACGAGGGCTGGCGCTGGAAACCCATACCGGGTTGAGGCGCGTGCGCGCGCTCCGCGGAGGGCGAGTACGCTGTGTGCGGTTGGTAGGATGCTCCTGATGAAGGCGAGGTGACGGCGTGGTAGCCGTTGCCGTTGTGGTATTCGTCGTATGGCTGTTGTTGGGAGTGGTCGTAGGCTTGCTGGTTATAGGTGGGCGCGCCGACGGGGGATGTCAGGCCTGGTGAGCGGCGGGCGTAGGGGTCTTGTGCGGCGCCGTAGGCGGTTGCTGGACCTGGGGAGCGGCGGGCGTAGGGGTCCATCATTGCCTGGGGTCCTGGGGAGCGACGCGCGTAGGGATCCGCGGCGTGGGTGGGGGTGGCTACGCCTGGTGAACGGCGGCCGTAGGGGTCTTGTGCTGCGGCGAGGGCAGCGGCTGGACCTGGGGAGCGGCGGGCGTAGGGATCTGTGGGTGTGAAGCCTCTGTATCCCGCGGCGGAGCCCGTCCTGTCTGGCGGGTAATCCGAGAAAGAGGTTGCGCCGTGTAATGGCGAGGCACCCTGTTTTCTATCCGGATGGTTGTGCGGGTTCAAGGGTTCCATCTCGACGTCGTCGTGGTGAGCCGGGTCCTCGACATGCTTATCGACGGCGGCGGCCCAGGTGGGCATTGCCGGGAGGGCATCTTCGTCGATTTTTGCGCCGGCGGATTTGGGGGTATCGAAGGTTGCTGTTTGGACGGCGCCGCGGTAGACGGGGGTGCGGGGGATGGTTGGTATGCGGTATGAGGGTTTGGTTGGGGAGGAGGTTGGTTGTAGGGGGTTGGTTCGTCGTAGTGTTTTGATTGTTTGTTTCTGCGCCGACCAGAGGGGCAGCAGCATCCGCAGCAGCATTTACAGCATTGATAGCCACAGCAGAGACAATTGATGATGCATCCCAGGATACCGATCAGGATGACCGAGCCGATGATGATGCCGACGATAACGGGCCATCTACAGTCAAGTGAGACATTGATCAGCGTGGGACCCTCCCATCAGGGCGCGTGCACTCCTTGGGGTGGAAACTGGAAACTCACTTGCAGTATGCCTTGGACATGCACTTATCCCAGCTCGAGAATGTCGAGGGAACAGACTCGATATCGTTCGCGACATTGCGCGCCCATAATCCCGCAAAACTTGTGGGACTCATGATGAGGGTATATTGGGGGTTCTAGCGCACTAGAACCGTCTCAATTCCTTCGGTTGACAATACACCCCTTGGTATACACGAAAATTCGCAAGACCGATCGGAAATCAGGCCAGATCACAGCTGCAATTCGTATATCCAACTCCGAAGACACTCACGAGGAAGCGCATGCGATAAGAACGAAGTTGGACCCCGACGAACACCAGCGAACGAAGGAGGATTCAAGGCGGGGTGCAGCCGAGCCTGATATCGAACAAGCGGGCTATGCAGAGAAAGCAAAACAGAAATAGAAGCAACGAATGGATACGGCGAACTTTCCGGGTTGTGTCGTGGTGTACCAGGGTTCACGGTGACGAGGCTTTCTCGGGGAATCACCAGCCGATTCGAAACGAGCGAACCAGGCAGCAAGAATCGTGAACTGGTGAGTACGAACGAGACGGAGGGGGGCTGGGATCAAAGTCAAATTCCAGGTTTGACCTTGAGACGAAGAAAATGAGGTTCGCGAGGGCTCGAAACGAGTGATAGCCCTGCTTTGCTTCTCGACGATAGACGTGAGGAAGAGAAAGAAGAAGAGGAGGAGATGTTCAAGTTCGCTGAAACACCGAGGGGGGAGACGAGAGTTCAGGGTTGACAGGGCCCCATCAACCCCCATCGCCCGCCCTTTCTCCGCCTATCACAGCCTCCACATTCTCGTCGGAGACTGAAAACCGCCAATCTTCATTAATCGAGGGACTTTTGCTCCACCGTTTGCCGATCGCGCAAAATCTGACCAGGAGGCGGATGAGAGATGACAGTTAGGAGTTCCAGTTAGGAGTTCCAGGAATAATAACAAATTGTTGGTGGGCTAGGGCGCAATATGGCAGGACAAGAGGTATGGGCTACGGAGGTCATACGGGGATTGGCATACATACCGAGGAATCTACCAGGAACAACGTCATTGTAGAATGTGTTTTGATTCATTCTGCTCACAAAGGGAAAAAAGAATTTGTATCTGCAGCCTCCTTTCAACGGCTCCAGCCACACCGATCAAAATCCCACAGACACAGAAAACGTAGTGTGCCCTGTTTCACAGACAGGCAAGTAGTCGAGTTATGTACAAGCTGCATAGCCAATTATCATGTATGCCATATGCCATCCCCAGAGCTCCCCCTCAACAAGTCAACAAGCCGAGATGAAGGCCCGGTCCCCGAGAGACCAGGATCCAGGTAATCATCAAGTAACAATGTGTGTAGATGGGAAGGGGGGAATGACGCAAGAGAAACACAAAATGCCCGTAAGCAGTGGCTCCGAAACGGGCTCGCAATGAAGGCATTAGTAAGTGTTCCATCGAGATGCAAATTTGGTACACCAGGTGAAATGTTGAACCATTCCACTTCGGATCAAAAAAGAAAATACCTGTACAGGAAGGGTGGGAAACATCGGATTAAAGGGCAATAAGTGCGAAAGGAATGAAGCCGGAAGGGAAAGGGTGAAAAGAGAGGCAAGGCAAGGCGTTGCCGGCCGAGATGCAAATTAGTGCGTCGCTGGTCAGTGGGAGACACCGGAGTAGTCGGCTGAGCCAACAGCCAAGACGTCTTGGTGGGCAGTTTCGAGTTGAATTCAGGTTGTCATCGAAAACATAGGAAAGATCACTCAGGTCCACGGCCTGAGGAATGATGGGTCATGATAGGGAAGTCAGTTATCCAAGTCGTTGGTGATGTTCATGGAGAGTTGTCAAGGCAAGTATTGTCGAACCATGCACGAAAAAAGGAAACGGTCGAAGCGTTCGGATATCGTCGAGAAGGAAAAAGGAAACGCTGAATCGTGCGGGACTCTGGAGGTTGAAAACGGAGAGAAGAAAGAAGAAAAAAGAGAGCCCGGGAAAGAAAGGATGATGTGATATCGACGGCGGGATATCAGGTCGGTGGTCAAGAAGGGGGGTTGAAAGAGGTCGACACAAGTCGACGGAGACCACGCTCTGAGCATGTGGCCGAGGTGGATAGAAAAGGAGAAAGGAGGTGGGAGGAAACCACCCAGAGAGAAAAAGGAAGAATGAACAAAAATACAACGATCAGAAAAACACCTCGCTCCAAATACAAGACACAAAACATGGAAAAATCCACCATGCGCCAGTGCAAAAACGTAAAAGTGCGAAGAGACATCAATAAGAAAGCATGCGACGACCAGGCGTCCGATTGGCAACCGGGCTCTCAGCGAATGGAGAACCCAGCGGAGAAGCCAGAAGACGGCTATTCCGATCATTTCCCAAGCGAGGACGACCAGTCGGGCTATCTTCCATCTGCGGGGAGGAGTGCTGGCCAAAAGCGAAAGTCTGAGCGCGGTTCAACTTGGAACGCTGCTTGACCTTGCCGAGTCCACGCTCGCAGGCGAATTCATGACCGTCGGCGTTCATTTCAACATAGTTTTGGGGGTAGCAGAAAGCACGGTGCTCTGCGTAGAAGGAGCTGTAACCTCCATCGAGAATGTACAGATCAGGGTACGTCAGATTAGGATATGAGTCGATATTGACAGCCCTGTCGTGGTGGCGAATGTACTTGGCCATAATGGGTGCGCGGTGCGCGGAATATTCACAGTGCAGGATTAGGGCTGTCCGGGGCTTGGGAGCGCCGAACAGTTCACCCGCAAGCCGCTCCTTGTCGTTGTAGTTGAGAGCGCCGTTGATGTGGCCACCCTCATACTCATACTCGAAGCGGCAGTCAACAATCATGATGTGGTCGAAGCGATCGTTGAACTTCCCGTCAAGAAGTTCAAGCAGAGTGTGCTTGCCAATGCGAGGCAGAGTGTCCGCCCGATCCTCGGGGACGAAGTGAGGAAGCTTTGGGGTTGGCGAACTTTCCATGTCGCTGATGGACTGGAGGGGTGCATTTGTGGGTACCTTGGCCTCTTTTTCGGCAATCACATCCGCCGGATGCTCAAACATACTCAATGATCGTCGGCATTGCTTACGAGGACGCATCATAGGGTGGGAGGGCTTGCGAATGGAGTGGGTTGCGGGCGAGCCGCTGCTACGAGCGTGTTGGAAAGGTGGCCGCAGACGCGGCGGAGCCAGGGTGTTCGAGGAGCTATTCCGAGAGACAGACCGCTCTTGAGGGGGAGAATCACCGAACATGTCCTCCAGAGAGGTAGACGTGCTCAATGAGGTTTTGGCTCCGGCGGTGCTGAACCGGAAGGGAGGAGCTTTGCTTTCATTGGCAGGGCGAGTCATACCAAGCTGAAAGGACTGGGCCTTGCTCTTGGCCAAGCTGGGACGGAGAAAGTGGGGACGACGGCGCCTACAGCCATTGATCAGTCAGATAAGGTTCACAAGGAGGTATATACTTCGGATTGCCCGGAGGAATGTGATAGGTGTCTTACTCAAGTGGTGCCCGAGTCAGGGCCTCCATGGGAGAGGCCTGGAGAGGACTGGGAGCTGCAGACGTGATGGGCAAGTCCATTGGACTACAGATGGGAGAGGGTGAGTGAACTTCAAACTCCGTGGTGACAATGAACGCGGGCTTGTGAGGTAGAGGGGACATCTCCATCACGTCCATTGCTGGTGCGGGTGAAGATGAAGGGAGGGGGGGGAGTGGTCATCACATCATCTGGAGTGAGGGTATCAGTATTTGAAGTCTTGGTTATGCTTCACATGTCGTTGACACCAGTACTCACCACGGGCATTAGCTTGACAAAGGATATTAGAAGTGAACAAAGACCTCCGTGGCGTTGCCAGTTGCGGGCTAAAATTAGGGTTAGCATGACTGTGCAGTGGTTCGTGTCCGTGGACGTCTTTGTTCACGACTCTCGCCCCCTCGAACCCTCGACACCTGACACAACGAACCTTTGATCAATGTGGAAGTTTTGAGACAAATCAGCAGCAAGGCTGGCTGTAGGCGAGGGAATTGGCTTGACGTTGAAGTAATCCGGACCAGACTTCTTCATTGACAGATCCTTGAAGTTGAAGCTATTGGTGCCAAAGCCGGACAACGACGGATACGATGTAGGTGCATCTGCACGGAAGCAGTGACCAAACAGCATAGAAGGAGGCTGCATGGCGGCCAACGGTGACGAGTGTTCCATGATTGCAAGACTCGGGTATTCGAATTGCAACTGGGAGAGGAGGTGATTCCGACGTGATACAGTTGGGGGAGGTTGAGTCAAGTCCAGGAAAAAAACGAGACGACCAATTCCAATGCTTGCACGCAGCCCTTTTCTTTTCCACCTGAAGGGAAATCCGCCAAGATGCTTTCACAAATGAACGCTGGATGCAATATGCAATATGCAAATCTCAAGTTTGACCGATACCAAATGTATGTCCAGGTATGTCCACGTCCGCCAAGACCCCGGAATCGGAAGAACCACGAGCTCACGCAGACTTGCAGCGGGTGACGTTCTCACAGCCAGTCCCAATATATCCTTCGATCCTTGGTGACCTCGAAAGCACCCTCACAACCACCTATGGGTGAGAGCGGAATCTTTCGTGGAGCAGGAGTGTCGGAGTTTACAGCGACATGACCGGAGGGGGGTGGACGATCGGAGGTTCGGGGATGCAGCAATTGGAGGGGCCGGTAGCTTGTGGCCTGCGGGCTGAGGATGTCAAGTTGAGGGGAGTCTGTCGGAGAGCCTCAGCACGGAGGTCGGGATCGAAGGAGGAGGGATCGGAGCTCGGGCGAGGGTTGTCGAAGGGCATTCAATGTCAGAATGTGTCGTGAAAAAGGGAACGAAGAAGAGAGAAAAGAAGTGGAACAGAAGGGTTTGAAGAACGAAACTGGTGAAGCTGAAGGGATGGGTCTGTTGCAATGGCAACGCAAGTGGGGAGGATCTCCAGATGAGGGTACTGTACGGTCTACTCCGTGGGTATCGTCAGTATGGTATGGATCGTATGGCCGGTACCTGATACACGCCGGTACTGCGGGTGCAACCACGGCGCACTCTGGAACTGGTATTTTTCCGTATATTCTTGTGCGATCGCTGTGAGAAGAATAGTGAACTATATACATGTCTATATACTTAACTACCTACTAATTTACTACTGCGGGAAATATCCTGACTACTGACTTTGTCTCCGTATGGTAGGTCGTCCAGACAGTCCTCGGCCAGCTTCTCTCTTCTCAATTGTACCATACACCCTCTCGGTACCCTACGTAATGATGCGGCAACTGATGGCTCTCCCCTGCCAAAGTGGAACCCACCCTCCCACACCTGCTCCTCCTGCACTGCGGAGTGCGTTCAGGTACGATCGCTGGTATGCAAGCATGCAGCCCTTCACCCTGTCTTCCCGCTTCGGTTCTTTTTTTGAATTATTCCTCCGGATATCCAGACTCAGTATGGATTGGCAATGCCCCCGGGGACCCTTGTATGCCCGTGGTCTCTGGTCTCCTGTCCCCCCTCCCCGTTTTTGGCCCCAGTGGTTGCCCCGACTCCCTTGCCGCCCATCTTCCCAGACTACTGGCTGCACAGCAACCCAGCGCCTATCAGCGTTCCCGACCCTCCGCTCTCATTCTTTTTTGGGCTGGCTGAGACGCTCGGTGCACCCCCGTTCACTAGGTGACTTGGACTCTTTTTCCAGGATTTTTTAGGGCACACTCAATCATTCGAAGCGTGGGCACTCCTGCGAAGAGTGAGCCATTCAGCACGCCCAGCAAAGCTAGACAAACTGACTGACTCTTGGCAAGTCTCGAAGACAGACCAGATAGCATTCAATAGCTTTGCATATCCTGGCGACAAATGCTTCCCCTTCTGTCTCTCCCACCCCTGGCCTACCCATGAACTAGCTCTTCAAGTACATATGGAGATATCCAGAGAAAACCTCCAGCCCTAACTTCCTCGGTTCCAGATTTTCAAAAACCGTTATGACACTTTTCAATGCATGGCCGAATCTTTTTTCTTCATAAACGTCGTCGTTACCATACATCGTACTCCATCCATAATCATAATTTTCCTTCGACTCCACGGCCGAAGGAATTATCCATCCTCCTCCCAATAAAAGCGCCTTTCGGTGCGTCTTCGATGGGTCTTCCGTATCCACCAGTCCCAAAGAATGATATGGTTTTTTAGGAAAAAATTTTCTACTCGTCTCTCATCGTTCCCGTGCCGTTGCCGTTGCTCAGAGGAACCAGCTCAGCTGAAAAGAAAAATTAAAACGGAGTAAGATCGAGGCTAAAAAAACACCAGGGGGGCTCCACACTTGATACTGCGTTCCACCCGGTCGGAAAATAGAGCTCAGAAAGCTAAACGAGCTCGCTGCAAGTGATTTCTTGGGATCGTCCTTCGTATGCAAGGATGCATACATCTTGCCCCAAGGAATAGAGTCAATCCCATGAGGGGATAGAGGGACGTCACTGGGTGATTCATTCAGATAGAGGTTGGTGGATAGCAATGAAATGTACTTTTGTAGATGTGGCTCGGTCGGGCGATTGGGAAGTACCGCCCGAGCAGCCCCGACGAACTCTACGAAAAAAGACCGAAATCGCGTGACGCTGATTAGTAGACGGTCACAGCCCCGATCGGGCGAACTGGTGAACTGTAGTGTGGTCTGGAGTCATCGTAGTCCAACATATTCAGAGGGCGATCAGTTACCCCTTGGGGAAGCCAGGCGCGCGCAATATCGTCATTTACGGTAGTCGAGGTTAATAAATTCAACCACTTGCTCCGAAGGGGAGATAAGCTACTGTAAGATTCGAACGATTGCCCACTGAGATCGACGAGGTGATTGGTTCGCAAGATATAAGCATCATTGCAGGGGGTCGTCCCTGCATGAGCCTTGCCCAGGGTCGCTTCCTATTGAATAGGATGATCATGCTGTCCGGACTCTACGAAGCAATTCGTAGTTCGTACTCTATTGTAGATAGGATCAACCCCCACCGTCTCCAGTACGGAGAAATTGAAGCCATGCACAATCTTGCCAAAAGGTAGCATCGAGGAAAGAGTGGATCGATCGTCTCATTCTTTGCCAGATCAAACGAATAAATTGGATCTCTCATCTCATTCTTGCCAGATCGAAGTATTGGCTCTGGAGATAACCGCCTTGATTTCCAATCATAGCTATAATACGCCATCGTAACTGTCCTGATCGTGGAAAAATCTGGGGGATAGGGTGGGGTTGATCTCATGCCCGTGAGGGTGACCTTACATGCGTTTCATCCACATTCTCGTTGATCAAGGGCACCGCGAGGGGAATTCAATGTCGCGCATCCCTTCCATCCACCCCCTTGGTAGGATGGCGCTAACAATTGGCAGGTTTAGCTATTAAGCCCTTGTGCCAGTCGCGAGGCAGGGTAGGTTATTGAATCCCGAGTTGTGTCCTGGTGACTCTGACTTCGGGATTCAGCCGACCATCCCACTCGCACACGGGGCAACCGCTGCGTTTCCTGAGGGATTGTGGGGTTGCTGTGGTATTCGGATGGGAATCGAAGTCCAGTATTGGAAAGCATCATGATTGTGATGATGATAATGATGATTGATCCGTGCGCGTGTGGGTATGGCTTAACGTCATTGTTAGAACGAACGTGCAGCACCGTTCTATACATTTTACTATGTTTCGATTCTATCGAAAGGCAGCAATACCTACGGAGTACTCAGTCCACTACTAATTACAACCAGGCAGGACAGAACTAATCAATCACCGCCGAACATATCCGACCGATGATCACCAGCCAACAAAGCCCAGTACTTCATCCACAAGCTATATCCTCTTGCTCTAACAGGATTTCTTTGTTATGACACCCCCCATCCGACATGGCACGATCAAAACACCCCGCCCCTCCATCCACATTTGCCACCATGATATCAAATCGGCTCTGGTGAAAGAAACCTGAAACTGCTAGTCGATGGAGTAAGCAACAAGGCTAGCCAGTTAAGCAGTGGGACTTGCGATCATCCTAAAGATTGCTAAATCCTGCACCCCAAGTCGTGTGGTGTTGTGCGATTCTGGGCTCTCGTTGGACACCTCTCTCTTTGTCGTGCTCTTGGTGAAACGCCGACTTCACCGTCTCCTATCCTGCTGTTGTTCTGGTCTCCGCTCGGTCGAGGCCCGTCAGCTTGCAGCTGGTCGATTTTATGCGTCTCAGAGTGCATTGCGCTGCAGCGCTCGTGTCGAGTCTGCAGGTCTGAAGACTCAAGGGCATCCCGGCATGGTCGGGATGCGGTGAATAATGCCTCGCACTGTCCATCAATCAGTCAATCAATAATGGACCGACCCCATGTTGGTCCGTGGGGCTACGTCACTCTCCGGAGTATGTTCTCTATCTTGTTCTCATGCTCCGGTCTGGACGCCTATCACCAGTGATGATGGCTTCATGACGTCTCAAAGCCTTGAAGACAAGAAGTGATTGTTTACGAAACGCGTCGTCCCTTTTAGGGACATTGTTTTGATGTTATGTTATGGCCTTGTGAAGCACAGTGCTCGGACGGTCAGATAGCCGCCTGCATCCCTCAATATCGAAACCAATCAGACTGGCGAAGCAGCTGCATTGAACGACCGATAACTCGTACTACTTTTCGCATGGACCGGGGTGTCTGGTCGGGCATCCCGATCTTCTTTGTCTTTCTCACAGCCTTCCCTCTCGTTTAGGCTGCGCCACCACTGCAAAGACCCAGACCTCTGGAGACTGGTGGAGTCAATCATCGCGATGATGTGACCCATCAGCTGCGTCACAGCGCCGTGCGCCATCGGCCAGTCGCATCGAGTCCTGGTCTCGTCGCAGACTCGAAGCTGCGGGGTTCATCACATCTTCCTCCCCCGTGCCATGCCTTGTTCATCTGCAGCCTAGGCATCTGGACCGCTGTCCTCCCCCTCCATTGCCCTATCGTGAGGTCAGCAAGCGCTCGAACCTCACTGGAGGGGGGGACACACTCGGCCCAAACTCCGACGCGTAAACAAACCAAACTTTCCCGCCAACGCGAACCGGATGCGCAATCCCGTGACCGTCATCCAACCAGATGCCTGAAATCGGTGTCAGTGACATCAGATGATAACATCGACCTCGAACAACACAGTCACCATCTTGTTTCTGGATTTTCTGGAACGGCCATCGTGTTTATTGTTTTGAGAGGGACAACAATACGAAGCACACCCTGCAATTCCCATCTGACAATCCCAATACTTGAATTACCCTTACCACAATTACCATCCGTCCATCACCCCATCTCATCTCATCTCCCCAATCTTCCCCTCAATCTCTGTGCTATCCCTCAAAAGGCTCAAACTATTCCCTACGGGGTATCTCCCTCCCACTCCACTTCTTACCTAGGCCAGGAAAATCGCAGCCCCCATCTTTTGTCGAGGCGCCCCCATTCCTAATTTGTCAACTCGATATTGCTCCAGCACGGCGCCGCCGATCTGCGGCGCTATTGAAATGCCCCGGGCTGCCATCACCCACGCTGGCCACGCTCCTCGGCTGCGTGCCTGTCAGCCGCTTCGAGTGTTCCCCCCAAAAATAAAAATACCCCTCCCTCTGGCTGACATGCAATTACTGTTTACAGCTTGTCTGGCACAGCCTTACAGGCAATTGCTCGGACAAAAGGTATGAAAGGACGACGGAGACTTTCTTGTCCTCCCCATTCAGCTCGATTCAAGCGTTCATCCACAAGGCGCACAGCCCCGATCGTGGCACGGGACGGCCGGCGCTCCCTCGGCTCCGGATTGCCTTTTCGCGCCGTCGCTGATAGATCACAGATGGTTCGTCGTATCGACGGACTAAGTGTCTAGTCTGGATCCTCTGGGAGCCTCTGAGACGAGTAGCGCAGATATTAGCGAACTAGTACTCCGTAGTCCGTCCATGATTAGTCGCCCGCAGATTAGGAATTGGGGCTCTCCCTCTCCCGCGCCGTACACGCCTGACGATTCATATTCGTTACTCGGAGTAAATCCTTGAGTAGAGAATAGTGTATGGAGGAGTCATGTCCATCCGTAGTGCATTAATCGAATTCTTGAAAACTTTAATAAACCCCATCTCAACCCGCATCAATGATTTCCATTTACTGTACTCCGTATGTAGAAGTCAATTGCTTTTTCTCTCTTTCTTCTGTGCTGTCTCCATACAGTTGACCTGGCACTGTGATACAGCGCCCCGTCAAAAAAGCAAAATATGTATCCATTGATTTCCGTCTTCGCGCCTCGTCGCCTCGTTCCGCGAGTGCCTGACGAAACCCCCTTTTAATACATATGTACTTTGTACTTTGTACCTCTGATCCGATGCGCGGTTAGCTGTCAACCACACCGCGCAGGAGGGCGTCTGCATGGCCGACCCACGTAGTCCACTCCACGGCATGTCAGTCGCTGTGGTGTGCCACATTGACGCAGGAGAAGGTTAATCTGCGGCGATAGATTCGAAAATCGTCGGGGTTTAGATGACCTGTAGGATGATGGTCTTCGAGATTAGGATGCATAGCTTATGTTGCTGTGGTTGCGGTTGTCGGAGTCGCGGACTAACACCTCCGGAATATATACAATACAGCATGTCAGACTCGACTCGGAAAGTTATGTTCAATGACAGTTCCTTTGCCATGCCGTGTCTGTCCCTGTGCATGATACCAGTAGATTTGACACTGACATTTAACAGGCGTAGAGTCTCACCATGGAACGTGTGTCTCAATATTGCTGCATCGCTGCCTTAAGCAACTACCTAGTTCGTCATCCGTATGTACACTCCAACGCCCATTGAAACACATCAGATTCGACATCTCTAGTCCTTCGCACACTGTACCTGTTCCTATCACTTTTTCAGGCAAACCATTAGCCTTTTCTCTATCTTTCCTTTTTCCTGTCCAACGCACACAGGTACCCTCTAGATCCATCCATCCTCCATATTTAAACTCGCCACGCTGTACAAACCTACAAATAGCTCCCGGCTACCCAGACAACGAGTCCATCCAGGCCCTCCGCGGAACCGGGCTTGCGCATGCTCTACCCTCAAACCCACACGCAAAAACTAACTATAGTTTCGTGCCGAATGGACTATGAACTATTTGGTCTGGATTGACACTTGTGCCGCTGTGGTATGATCGTCGCGGAGATCGAGGCTTACGCATACTCCATACTCCGTCTATGGTGTAGGTACAGTTCTGGATCTGCTTGGCCTTGGAAGGTTGTGTGCGTGGTTGCCGTGGTTTACCCCTGAACACCTCTCACAAAGAACTCGTCAGAGTGGCGATGAGCTGCGGGTTTGACAGAACATAGTTTGTAAAGATTGTGACATGAAAGAACAGAAAGAACAAGTAATGACATCTTGAAATATTCGGGCGTTTTGTCTGCTTCGTTTTTTTGTGGTCGGGTTGATGGGGTGATGGTTGATTATGGGGGTTGGATGGTGCCCAGCGGTTGAGATCATTAAGTTAAGAAAAACGGGTTCCTTCCGGGTTGATTTGGTCAATTGGGGCATGGCACATGTGATTACTATCAGCGCCGCTTCAATGACTTTATTAGGGGCGTTCTGAGGCTGAATGGGATTTTGGATATGTAGAATGTGCTGCGTAGTGTGTACTTGGAAGTGTGAATATATATCGACGGCTTTCATGTCTACATTCTATAGACTAAGTCGGGTGTGAGTGAGGTCCTCGGGAGCTAAAGTTCTTGAACATAGCCTGCGATAAAGTAGGAATTTTGACCATATTCCTTCAGCAGCTTTTTCGCAGTTGAGCATCTACATGGTAGATACCTAGCTACTTCAATCATAGATGTTTCCAGTGATGAACTCCTATCTGCGGTCTGGCCGTGTCGCCATGAGGGGTCGCATATCCAACATTAAGAGAAGACATCACTGGGCAGTACAGTCCTGACTCCCAATAGATGGATCCTTTTCTCTACACCCAAATAATAATCTTCTCATCAATTCAGCGTGTTGTCAATTCGCTTGCAGTTGTGATGCCACGCGAGACTGAATCGATAAAGAACAGCTCTTATCAGCTTATCAGTACACGCTAATCCCAAAGAGGTAATCGACATCCAAATTTTCTGCGCCTCAACGAGCAATGCTACACTGCTTCCACAGCAAGGAGCAACAACTTAGCAGCTCCAATCTCACGGCTGCAATATTAATAGCCACAGCAGCAAGCTAATTGGCTTCTGTTTCGCTATATCTCCAGAAAAAATGGGGTTCGACAAGTTCGCCACGAAAAAGCGCCGTCGCGAACTGTACAATATCGACGTAAAGCTCGTCGAGATCTACGAGGATCTCGCCAGTGAAAAGGACGAGATTCGTTTGCGTGCCGCGCAGGCTCTTGTCTCGCAATTCACTCCTGATAAGAACCCGACCGATGAGCAGATCAAGAAGGCACTCCAGCGACTGTTCCGCGGTCTCTGCAGTAGCCGCAAGGCTGCTCGCATTGGATTCTCCATTGCGCTGACCGAGGTCTTGACTCAGATCTTCTCGGCTGCGAGGGAATCGGCTGAGTTCGGTATTGCGGATGCGCTGAAGATTTGGGAGGCGCAGTCCAACTCCTCTGGCAGTGAGACGGGACAGGTGTGTTCTACGCAAGGCAATGAGTGACAGGACGATTGTGCTAATCTGGAAACTTCTGTTGTATAGGAACAACGCGACCACCACTTCGGCCGTCTCTTCGGTGCGGAAGCACTCATCAAGTCCTCTATCCTCTTCCAACCCTCTACCTCGTTCACGGAATGGACCAAGGTCCTCGACATCGTTTTCGAACTCGCCCAGAAAAAGCCTTGGCTGCGCGAGGAGTGTGGTTGGATTATTTACCGCTGTGTCTACGATCTCTCTGCGCGTAATATGGATGCCAAGTTCGTCGAGGCTGCTGTGGAGCGCCTTTGCTCTCATGACTTGGCCCGCTCTCCGGAGGGTGTGGCTGTCTGGCTGGCGGCAAAGGACATGTTCCCCAAGGCTGAGTTGCCCAGCAAGGTTTGGAAGCACGATGACCCGCTGGACCCGAAAGAGCGCGGCAGCCTGTCGAAGATCATGAAGGAATCGTCTGCTGAGCAGACCGACGGCGAGAACAAGGGAAACAAGTCCTCTGGAGTGTGGAACTCGAAGTTGCATTTCGCCTGGGATGCAGTTATCTCCCGCACCAGCGACGTGGCCAAGGATGGCTCCAAGCCCAAGTCCAAGTCTGCACGTTTAAGTTTCGTTGACTTCTGGACCGAAGTTGTCGATAGTAAGTTATCAACGTTGCGATTTGCGGTTTCATTACTAATTAGATATATCATCTAGGTGGTTTGTTTGCATCTTCATCCTCCGATGAGCGGAAATACTGGGGCTTCCTCCTCTTCAACAAAGTCCTGAACGAGGGCTCATCCCAGCAGGCGAATCAAATTTTCACAAAGAACCTCGTGCGATGCCTGACGAACCAGCTCGCCGTGGAGGACCGCTACTTGCACCGTATGGCTGTCAAGGCTACCAAGGCAGTTCAGACTCGTGTGTCGAAGGAGCCCGGCTTCGCCGCAGCCGCAGTTCGTGGCCTCATGGGAACCAGCGGAATCGTCAACTTCGACCAAGTCACCAAGACCAAGACAATTGAGAAGATTGTGGCCGATGCCAACAGCGACGCTCTGAAGGAGATCATCCCCGTGTTTGAGAAACTTATTCTTAGCCCGGGCACGAGCGATGAGAAGGCTGCCGCCGCGAACCGTCAATTTGTTGCCAATCTGCTGTTGTCTATCGTGCGCGCGAAGGCCGCGACTGGAAATGGCGACTCTGAAGAGGACTATCAGTCAGTCCTCGAGCAGATTTTGTTCATCTTCGTGCGTTTTGCGTACTTCATGGACAGTGCACCGGAGCCTGCTTTGTCGCAGGCGACACAGGAGCTGCTGCGAAACCGGATCAACTCTTCCCTGAACAGTCTTCTTGCTTCTCAGAAGTACGCCGCCACGATTCCATATGCTGTGGTGCGCCAGATTCGCGATGGCGCAAAGTCACAGGAGCATGGAAAGTTTATCATCAACATAGATGACAAGCTGCAGGAGTCGGTCAAGACTGCGTTTAAATCCTTGAAGAAACTGTCTAGTAAGGTACGTTATCTCGAGCTGTGCTCACACTTCCCTTTTTTTCCGCTTTGCTAATAAGCTTCTGTAGGAGAAGAAGGGAGAAACTTCCAGCATTGCCGCTTTCAAGCTCCTTTACTCCTTGACTGTATTGCAAGTGTACAGTGGTGATGCCGAAGCTGTATCTATGCTTGACGAGCTGGAGTTCTGCTATACCAAGTTCCTGGGCGAAGACTCGAAGTCGAAGGATACCTCGGATGCCTCGGATGCCCTGGTTGAGATTCTCTTGAGCTTTGCCTCTAAGCAGTCACAGCTGTTCCGCCGTATGAGCGAGCAGGTCTTTGGCGCTTTTGCTGATCAGGTCACTGAGAATGGCCTGGAATCGTTGATTTCGGTATGTACTTAAAGTCTACGTTTCTGAGTTTTGATCTAATCTTTTTGTATAGATTCTGGAAGCCAAGGAGAGCCTGGCTGGCCAGCAGGAGATGTTCGAAGACCAGGGTGATGATGATGACGAGGAAGACGACGAGGAGGATGACGTTGAGATGATCGACGTCGATGACGAGGACAGCGATGTCGAGGTGGTTCTCGGCGGAGGCGCCTCTGACTCGGACTCCTCAGACGATGACGAAGAAGAGGAAGAGGATGATGAAGAAAATGCCGCCGAAATAGCCGACTTCGAAGCGAAACTCGCCGCCGCACTGGGTACCCACCGCGCGAACCCAGACGCTGACGGCTCGGACTCAGACTCAGATGCTGACATGAACGACGACGACATGGAAGAAGTCGACGAGAAACTTGCCAACGTTTTCCGCGCCCGTCACCAAGCAGCCTCCCAACACAAAGACAAGAAAGACGCGCGCGAGAACATGGTCAACTTCAAGAACCGCGTGCTCGATTTCCTCGAGATCTTCGTCAAGAAATGCCACTCCCGCCTCCTTGCATTGGACCTGCTCCTCCCCCTTCTCAGACTCACCCGCCGCTCAACCGTGAAGCAAATCGCCAACAAGGCCAACAGCGTTCTCCGCGAGTACACCAAGCTGTGCAAGGGCAATGCGCTCCCCACGATCGATAACGAGGACGGACCCGAGGCTATTTGGGAATTGTTGCGCGCTATTCACAAGGAGGCTAGTCACAGTGGACCGCCCGCACATGCGACGGCGTGTAGCCAGGCTTCGCTGCTTGTGGTCAAGGTCTTGGTTGCGCAGGATAAGGCTGCGATTGCGGAAGTTGTCGATGTTTATGCGGAGACTCGTAAGGCGCAGTTGATTAGCACTAAGTGCCATATTCAGCCGTCGTTCTTTACGGATTGGAATAACTGGTGTGTGTCGGCGAGCAAGCAGCTGAAGAATTGAGTGGGTTGGCATAGTTGCTGTATATAGATCACGCCTCTGGCAACTGTTATTCCCCGTAAAAATACATGTTCCATTTCCCTATGAAGTGCTATAACCTTGAAATGTACTACAGTCTCTGATTGCTGGAGCCTCAACGCAGGCCAAGGTTCTCTAGGACATGAAACGACAATCACTTATAGCTACGGCACTGATCCCTTCGAGGGTGATCTGAAGGGACAGCGAGTGCAAGATGTTCCATGATTCTCAGATGAGTAATATGAGTAATTTTCAGGTCTCGTTATAGGTAATGGCTTTTTGAGTCTATCCCAGGTGAAGCTTCAACTACAAACTGATCGACCGGCGCAAGCGAAGCATCTTATTCCGCCTGCATTTCTTTGAGCCTCTTGATCATCTCATGGAAAGTACCTGTCGAATCCGCAGCAACTTCCTCCCTCATGCTGAAGATGTGGGGATGTTTAACTAGCTTTTTGGCCAGCCACCAGAACTCCAACGCATGAACCATGAACCCCGATGGACCTATCAATGACAGTTGATGCTCCGCATATCTCGAGTCCCACATGAGCTTCCATCTGTCCAGAGCACGTTCAATAGGTTTCAGAGGTTCTCGAGTATTTGTGATGATCGCAAGTGCCTGGAGGTCAAATAAGACGCAGTGAAGTGCTATGAGAACGTCAGTTTTGTGAATCTTATAGAAGAATGGGTTTAGCCGTCATACCGCTTAAGATAAGGAAGAGCCCGAGGAGACTCTCAATTTGTTGAATTTCCTCCCCTTCAAGGTCAATTGACTTGTCATCCATCAATCGTTTTACTACCGATCGAAGAGTCAACGGTGGTGCTTGAGATGATTTATTCAGAGTAGTATCGCTTGCTTCGGCTGGGTCGACCGCATCAAAGATACCATCGTGCATGGGCAGGCCAAAAATTGCTTCACAGAGCCTTAGCTGGGGAGGGGAGTGGTAGAAGATGACACAATGAGCGTCAAGAAGATAAACCCACGCCATGACTCTACCTCATTCGTTAGTAAATCACGACTGCACGACTGAAAGACACAGCTAACCTCACAAGAGTCTCTTTGTGCATATGTTCCTCTAAAGTGGTAACGTTCCCATCAAGGACGGTACTATTGACAAACTTTGTAAGATTCAACAATCGAACCACAAATATCAAAGCTGGCAGTCTCTGGACTCGGATTCGTCTCTTTATTTCCAACTTAGCCTGTGAGCCTTGTAGCTCGATGATGAGTATCGCCGCTTGAATAAGCTGTATGATTGCCGTAGAAAGGACCGGATGTTTCTCTTGTTTCAAGAGTTGCTGGAACTCAGGACCCTCAAAGATAAGATACTCAACCACATCGTAATATTCGCTATAGGCTGAAGCGTGCTCAACAGATGAATAAGTTAAGCCGTATAGTAATATAGCCAGGACGAGGTGTCGGGATGCAGTGTTGACGTTGAACGAGGCCTTGTGGATGAATGGATTGCTGCTGTATGCATACTGAAAGAACGCATTCACGAAGCGCATAATATTTGCCTCTGAGACGAATGCACGGGTTCTGGTCCGGCAGGAGTCCAAGTCCTGAGTGCATGAAAGAGGAGCCTGATCGAGACAACGAAAGATCTCTTCGCTTGTTCTTGACAAGCTCGGATAGTTATCTAGCCCGTATAACAAGCTGGAATCTTGAGAAGTTGCATCTAAGGCCGACGGATTTATGAAAGTGTGGAAAAGAAAGGGCCATGTCTCTGTGAATTGGCCCGAGGTGCTCCTAGGTCCGAATGGACCACCATCTTGTTGTCCTGCTAACAGTCGGTGAAAGTCGTGCGGACAGTTAAGGAGGAAGGAGACTGATATTCGCCGCTGGGACCCTTGAAGACTTTCTGCGCCTGAATTATTCGCATGCCCTCGAGCACACGATTCACGGGTCTCCTGACTATGGCTGGCTTGACCGGTAGTTTGCGACCGCTTGACAGAACTGTATGAGCAAGCTATCCCCTTGAACAAACAAGTCTCACAAGGAGAGTCCCCATCGCAAGCTACACGGGCTAGTGCGCAACCATCGCAGGCTTTGCGCTTCCTGCCGCGCGTTACCGGCCCTATTGGGCGGTTACCTTTCTGCTTGCAGGTTTTCGAGTGACGGAGCAAGACATCACTATAGAATGATAAGTCAGAAAGGAGAATCAATGCAGTATAAGGAATGACTATACCTTCGCACAAATTGATGATCACAAAATTCACACACGGCAGGTCTCTTAGAAGAGTCTGGAGTTGATCTTGTCAGTCTTGCAAGTTTGAACAGTGATTTTCGAGTCTTACGGTTTGCCTCGTGTCGTCGTAAATGACTGATACTAGAGAAAGGCCGGGCACATTTGTGACATTGATGCACTGGCGCTGAGACCGAAGTAGGCATGTTGGAGATTGCCTCGATGATGGTAAGGAGAAGAGAAGGAGAAGTGGGTTGACGTTCATGCAATTCGTGGCTCTCCCAAGGTTTCGCCGCATCGCGACCGTTTACCAGACCGACCAGCCAGCCTTGCATGGAAGAGAGATCCCTTGGGGGCGCGACACTTTGATCTCCCAATCGATTCATTTGATTGTGATTTTTATATTTTTTTAGAAGATCCCACGTATTATGCGCAATTCTACTTGTTCATTCGGGACTGGTGGGACGACTTGAAAGATAGTCGGGAAAACCCACATTGTCGGGAAAACCCACCGCGCAGCAGGACCAAGTATATAACACAACTTTGTGAAATGAATTTCCATCCAAATGACACGCCCTGTCCTTGATTTTCAATGTCATTCTATACCTAGCTTTCTCATTGTCCTCATTTATCCCCTCTCTGAGACATCGATTTTGTCTTTGTCGAGTACAGTCCTCGACCTTCGAGCATTGATACATTCAACCTGGAGCAATGGCTCTCAGCCACTTTTCAAAGGCACTTCAAGGTATTCACTTTATTTGCCCTTCGCTACATTCACTAAACGAATCGATTGACGCTTTTCAGTGTCCCTTTGGGCGAGAAATTCCACTGCCTTGTTACAATCACAACACTTTGTGTCGAGCACCGTCTTCGAGAATCGGAGCATGCAGCAACAATATTCAACATCCAAAACAATCGAGGCCCGAGAATCTCTGAAGAAACAATTTCCCGGCTCTAAGACTGCGATATCGACTAATCTAATCGCACCAAACAACACAGCAGAACATGTCTTGTCAGTACATCCCCTTTCAATCCCTCGAAATATGGAAAAAGTTAACACCTGCTCTGGCATAGGACAACATTCGACCAAATAGTCAACTGGGCTCGCCAAGGCTCCCTCTGGCCCCTAAGCTTTGGCCTCGCCTGCTGCGCCATCGAAATGATGCAAGTCTCCATGCCCCGCTACGACCAAGACCGTCTCGGTATAATCTTCCGTGCCTCCCCGCGACAAGCCGACGTGATGATCGTAGCAGGCACCGTGACGAACAAAATGGGCCCAGCGCTCCGCCAGTGCTACGACCAGATGCCGGATCCAAAGTGGGTCATAAGCATGGGTAGTTGTGCGAATGGGGGTGGCTATTATCATTATAGTTATAGTGTTGTGAGGGGGGTGGATAGGATCGTGCCCGTGGACGTTTATGTACCGGGTTGTCCGCCGACACCGGAGGCGTTTCTGTATGGTGTTTTTCAGTTACAGAAGAAGATGAGGAGGACTAAGGTGACGAGGATGTGGTATAGAAAGTGATGTAGGAAGTGGATGAATCATGCAATTACATTATTGCTCAGGTATTCTGATACGCGATCCAATCATAAAAAAAAGGGAACTGATTACAGGAAATATGTGCGGTGCTTCCTCCCCAATCTTGTGCCTGAAGATGACATAGAACCCCTTGAAGAGCGCCTTCTATCAAGCAAGTACTTCCTTTCCCATCGCCTAGCCCGGAAATCAATCACGACTCACAAACATTGTGAACACAATCACGCCTAATAGCATCCAGTCAGTACGGTAGTTCTCCCCAAAAAGGTTCCATAATTCAGAATACTTATGGGCCATCATCTTCGGTCAGAATAAATCTCTGATCATTCCCACCGGTAGGGAAAGCCATTTTGAGGACATCTTTCTCGTTGCTCAAAACCAATCCAGAGTCCGGGTCACTGAACATAGTCTGCCCATCAGGATCGACAAGCTCAAACTTCTGACGAAGATTGAGGTCAACGAATGGAGTTAAGTAGCAAACAGTTCCACTCTCCGGAGGATCGCAGTAGACGTAACGTGCTTGGAATCCTGTGTTTTGGGCGATATGGTAGAAACCAGGATTGCCGTAGGCTGGCTCAAATGAAAAATCGACGCTATCATCGACTCCGAGGCGGCCAAATTTAAGGTCCCCCTTCCAGAAGTCACCTCATGATTCTTTCAGGAATAGGTTGTTCTCGGCTGATTTGATCAGATAGGGACGGTATGTACGCACGGCATGCGTCAGACTGGTAAGGGATGCCAGGAGGAGGACGGTAGCGGAGAAATTCATTTTGCTTGATATTCGAATAGACAATGGGATCAGAGAAGGTGTGGTGTTGGGACAGACCGGGGATAGCAGCTACATCTTTCTAGGCAGCTCGAAGGGACTGTCCAAAGGAGTAGGCTGAAGCTGAAAGAACTAGGTTGGTTTGACTATCCCGGGGCGGACCGATCCTAAACCCATTGAAAGGCCCTCCGTACAATGAGATTGATTCTAAAAGTGATACCAGACTGATTCTAGAGGATCTACCTTCAGCTACAAGAACTATACAGAGCACTATTGACTGAAAGACCTCGTGACTGCAGAGGCTAATGCGATAAGGCCTGATTATTTAATTAGTACCGATCTATCACCCAATGGAAGGACTCCACATGGTGCCATGGATCTACCCGGCAGCGATCATATTCTAATAGCCCGAACTCAGATTAAACGTAAGTCATAAGTTTTACGATATAGCCACGAGAGCCCCATTGTGGCGGTAAATGCAAGTGGCGCTGGCTAGTTTATACGAGGAATTATGAATATGGAGGGACCGTCGATCAATCAATAGTAACGGACAGGATCGGGCTAACATGCTTAATTTACCACCAGCTCAGCTACGCCTCCATCTAAAGTTGCGGGTAGGAAGGCAACCATTTTCTGGCGGGAGAGGCTATCATTTTTGGCGTCGATAGGTTTCACAGCTCCCTATGTTCTAGTTGTAACAGACCTAGGAGAAATGTCACCGAGTAACACATATCTCAACTCTTGTCCTCTGCAAACCCGCCAACACCTCAAAACCCAGTAATATACCGATGCTGAGTCGTCTCCTCCAAAACCTCCAATTTCATCCCCACCTCCACAAGCCCCTCACTCCTCGGCGCAGCCAACATCCCAAAACAAGGCTTATACTTGATCCCCTCATCAACACGACGATATGAAACCAGCATATCCCACGGCTGCCTCTTATGTTTCGCCGCGGAATCCGGGTCGACATTCGGTACTTGACAGCGCGCACAGCGAGCAACGATGTCCAGATCAATTGGTGCGTGGTTGACCTTCTGTTTGGGAGTACCGCTGGTGTCTAAGCCCGACTTCTTAGGTGCATTGCGAATGCGGACTGTCTTCCATGAATCTTCGACCCAGGGTGTTTCGCCACGGACGATGATATTCGGCCTGAACCGCTCGACGGTGATTGGGTCGACGTCGATGCGACGAAGGCGGGTGTTCAATTCGGCCAGTGATGCTTCCGAAGCAATCAGAATAGGGAATACGTCGGGGAAACCGGTGCTCTGGACACGGCCTAGCAGCTTGGGAGCGCCGTTGCCTTTCAGCACGCGCGGTGTGGGACCCTTGTACACCAATGCAACGGGGCGGCCCAGGAACTCTGAGAACGGAGCATTGATAGCATCGCTGTAGATGTATCCATCCGTGTCGTTGTCCCAAATTTTAACCGGGGCCACCGCCGTGTTAGCCTCCAGCCATTCTGTAGATGGATGAGAGGGAACACGGACGGTATTAACCGCAGGCTTGTCGGCAGCGGTAGTATTGGCAGTAGTCTTGGATGGAATGGTAACTACCAATTCAGTTCCATCAGCACTTAACCCCGTCCCGATACGAGTCATATCCGGGATCTGACGAATAGTCAAAAACTCGCGCGTCGACGCATCAACCAGCATCCAGCGCCGATCAAGATCAAGGCCGTGTTCTTTGAGGGTGGTAGATTGGACCTCGAAGCCACGGCAGGATTTTATGGGGTACATGCGCAGCGAGACGATTTCACTGGACTGACGGTGCCAGCGCCAGAGTTGGTTCAGGCGTGCTAGCAGTGAGGATGAGGATTGCTTGGTCCATCCTTTCAATTGGGGGGTGAGGAGGAGGGGAAGTAAAAGCAGGAGTCCGAGGACGAGAGCTACTAGTGGTGGGGTTGGATGTATATCCAGCATGGTTGTGATTGTAGATTGTGGTATGTGAGAGCTGGGTTGGGTGGAAGGGAGAGAAATGAATTTTGGGGATATACTTGGAGTCATCGGGTTATTACCTCAGGGTTCTCCACTCTGGCCCTGTACTTACGTTTGGAGTCTGTCTTACCAGATGTTTCAAATATTACAGAGATATGACTAGTCAATGTATGCAGGTATATGTATTTTATGAAAGAGTCGGTTCTGCAGGGCTTGCCGAGGGATTGATAAGGACTCGTTCTTGCCGTTTTGCCGACGCTGGCCGCCTCGGTGCCTGGGGCCAGACAATGGAAGATATCCAAAACACGAGATGAGTTGATATCGCAACTAAGATAGAGGAAGAAAATTTATCGGTATAGATCATTAAGCAGTAGGGTGGCATTTAAACTTGAAACAATATTAATAAGGTGTTATCTAAAGTCAAAGGTCAGCTGTACCCCACGGTCACATGATCAATCTGGGATGTATGTGCTTGTCTATTGCAGTGAATATGTCCGATCCTGCATATCTAAACGTTGGCAGTTACTGAGGCCGTTGAGATGACTTGATACTTGACTGCTGGCGCCAAGGTTTTGCATACTCGTTTCTGCTTGTACTCAAGCCCTGAGATCGGTCACTGCTCCCTTGTACGTAGGTACAGGACGAGAGTGATACAGACCTAGAGGGAGTATCTTTAAAGATTACCAAGTAAAGCCCAGAGAAAACGACAGGAAAAAGTAAATCATATACTCAAGCTATGATGCAAATACATGCGCAAACCACATGCGAACGAACCAATGTAAAACCCGAGAGACATCATAACCTTGCCACAGAACCCAGTCTGCAACAGATGCAAATCCAGAAAAGACCCAAAAAATTACCTACCTCAACGCAAGCGCTCATTCTCAAAAAGGCTCCCAGGGCAGCCTTACACCAGGGACATGCCCCTACATACTCCAATGCACACTATATGAATATGGAAGATATACTCATAAACTATCACGCAGAGCTCTTCCGCTTCTCATCAATCCAGCATGTAACCATAGCCTTAATCAGCGCGAGCGCAACATTCCGACCACGCTCGATATCCGCATCCTCCGCGTTACCGGGAACATGTAAGAAGAGCACGTTCCGGTCCGCGCCCTGCCTCTTCGCCAGCGACAGACTGGTGTAGAAAATAAAATCGCACAGATAATGTCCTGGGTCCTGCGAGACGCGCAGGTCCAGGTTCTCCGGGGCCAAAGTCTTCCATACGTGCAGGAAGTGCTCGTCTGGCGGGTAGGGCACGGAAAGTCTGGTAGCCGTGGCTGTGGGAGAGTTCGATATCTGGCTGGCGCTCTTTATATCTTCTTCGCTTGCAAGGCCGGGTACTAGGACGGGCGGTAGACCCATCTCGCGCCATCTTTTCTCGCCGTCCTCGTACCCGTTCCGTCCCTCGATATCGGTGATGTTGTAGTCGTCGCGGTGGGCGAGCGATTCGACCGAGTAGTAGGGCCGGGGCGAGGCGATACCGATGTGGATGATTAGATCGGGACGTCGCCCGTCGTGGGCCGCTGCGTATTCTTCCAGGATTACGGGCAGAGTTTCCAGGACGGTTGCGTATGCAACGGGGATGGGGGATGGGTGGACATGGAGGGAGATGCGGCGCTCGTCATTTGAATCATCGGCGTCTTTGCATGAGAAGGTGAATGAAGGAGGAAGAGAGGAAGCGATTAGAAAGGAAGCGTTGACAAGGTTGGTTTTGAAGGGCTGGAGGGGGGTTCGAGTTAGTCTTCGTCTTACATGAACTGACCAGGGGACGGAATTGTGGATGGGATGTAGATGCGAGGGATCACTGATGATGTGGTGGTCTCGGGATCGGAAACAGCAGCGATCCGGTGCAGATCAGTTGTACGTCAGTGGGCAGACACTTACGCCAAATCCCGTTACAAGCACGGAGATCTCGTTGGAACCCTGCGGGGACGGGGAGGGCTGGCCCACCAGGGAGGAGTGGGTAGGCGGGACCACGGGGCCGTAGTCTCCCATGGTGAGTGTATCGGGGTGTATTTATAAGGGGGAGAGATGTAGAGGACGTAGTGGAAGTGAGGTATCACAGAGGAGGATGGAGGTCAAAGGAAGAGAAGAAAGAACGGAGGAGAAGGTAAAGAGACAGAGAGAGACTCACTGCGGGGACTGGGCTGAATGCGGGAATGCGGGGACTCGGTGCTGATTGGTCAGGTATACTTTGGAGACCCGAAGTTATACTTTTTGGGTTGATACTTGGGACTAACGTTAAGAGGTTGTTACCCAATAATGATGAGAGCTTTAGCTACTGAACTACTTGGTAGTGAGCTAGGTAGTAAGGAGAAATAACCAGAGCTATATCATATCTCCAGCCATAGAGTTGTCGACTATGACTTGACTTAAGTAGAGCCGGATGACCCTAGGTATCCATGACTATTATGATCGTCACCAGCACCTTAATTCTGACGAGAGCATAGCTACAATGATGTATCTAACCCTAACATGGTATATGTATACCTTCATGCTCGTCGAACATGCCCGACCAAATCATGTCTCACTCTGACATCGGCCGTGAGACCTTCCTCGGCAACCCAACCCATCCGCTCACCAATCCTCACTCCTCGAGTCCCCCGTTAGTCCCTATTCATCAACAGACCAACCCACGCACAGACGATTCTAAATCGAAGAGATCGGACTACAACCACCTTCATCCTTGATCTCCCATTGCTGCACTGCGTATTTCCTCGTATTTACCGAGTGGATCCCCCCCAACCCCCTGCCAAACCCTCTCGATTTGCCTAATCAGGCAGTGATCGATTCTGCACACTCTCGTTCTCGCATTCCTCTTTCTAAAGTCCATCTTCATTTACATACCTAAGGTAATGCAACAACTGCAAAGAGTTGTCGCCTACTCCACAACAAGGTTAAGCTTAGCCTTAAGCCACCGAATTATCCGACCACTTTTTAATCCAAACTACTATCGAGCATACTATTTACCATAATCGGTACTCTCTTCGGAGTCTGCCGATTCCGAGCCTTGCCCTAAACTCGCTAGTGTTGCTTTCCATCAGTCGACTCTCGGTTGGTCGAGCTTCCGGCTGTGGCGCTGATGGGGTCGCAGCCTCAATGCTTCGGCTGCGCTGCTCCCGATGACGATCTCACAATCTTACAATGCGATCCTCTACTAGTCGAGTAATCGACAACACATCGGCTCTGACTGGCCCGAGCGCAGAAAATAAGCCCTGCATGGTCCTTGTTCCTATAAAGTCCTTTTATTCGGCAGGCGAACAGACTGAGTTCCTCGAGAGAATAATAACCTCGACTTGTGCAGATCGTCTCTTCCTTCCCTGAACTGACTTCAATCACTCTGTGCTCGACATCTTTTAGCTTCAGAGCTGGCTGACCATGGCTCTCCTAGCAGAGCTCTTGACAACACCCTACTTAATCCAGGCTCTGTGCGTGGCTGTCTTCGTCTTTTTCATCTCCAGCTTCTGGCAGGATCTGGCTGATGAGATCCCTTACGGACGGGTGCCCCTAGTCGGCAAGAAATGGTGGGACCTGTCGAATAAAAAGGCCAAAGCACGGTTCGCCGAGGCCGCAAGAGCTCTGATCGCGGAGGGATTCGCCAAGGTAGGACCTTCGTTGGGTTCTCCTCTATCAGATATCAAGCGCTAAATACTCACGAGGATGAACAGGGCGTCAGCGTCTTCCAGGTCATGGCGACAACACGGCCACTGATCGTCTTGCACCCCAAATACGTCGATGAGATCAAGAGTCACCCTCACTTGGACTTTGAGCTTGCCACGAAGAAGGTAGGTTACACCATCTTCATCACATCAATCGCCCAGAACATGGGCACAGAACATCAGACTGACCATAGCCAGAACTTCTTCGAGGATCGAATCGCCGGGTTCGAGGCTTTCCACCCCGCCGGTGCTTCGAGGGTAATCCTGGACACGGTGCGAATCAAGCTAACCCAAGCACTCGGTATGCAAACCCCTATATGTTCCGAGAAAGTGCATCCCTGACATCGACCAGGCTCATTGACAATCCCACTCTCCATCGAGACGGCCGCGACGGTGAAAGAGACCTTCCCCCATCAGACGGTACAGTATCCCCTAACCCGCATCATCTAGCTTAATGTCCACGCTGGCTGACACTCCCTCGCAGAATGGACTTCATACAACTTCTCCCACAAAGTCCCGCACATAATCGCCCGCCTGTCCACCCTCGTCTTCATGGGCGAGACCGTCTGCCGCGACCCAGCTTGGCTCGACGTCTCGGTCAACTACACAATCGACGCCTTCCTCGCCGCCCGCGCCCTGCGCATGTGGCCCTCCGTGCTCCGGCCCCTAGTCCACTGGTTCATGCCAAGCTGTCAAAAGCTGCGGCAGCATTTTGCCGTCGCGCGGGCCATCGTTGCCCAGGAAATTGAGAATCGCACCCTCGCCAAAGAGGGCCAGCTTGCTTCGGAGAGTGCGCCGCGCCGCGCCGATGCCCTGGATTGGCTGGATGAACTATCCACGGCGTATGGGTCGGTGTCTGATCGGCCGCGTGAGCAGGTCGGATTGGCGCTGGCGGCGATTCATACTACGTCTAATCTGCTGACGAACGTCGTGTATGATCTTGCGGCGTATCCGGAGTATATTGAGCCGCTGCGGGAGGAGATCAAGGCTGTTTTGGCGGAGGATGAGTCGTTGAAGAAGACCAGTTTGCTGAAGCTGAAGCTTATGGATAGTGTTATCAAGGAGTCGCAGCGAATTAATCCCGTGAGCATCGGTACGTTTCCTCCCATCCTGACCCGTATCCGTTTTCCGTTTCGTGTCCCAATGCTCTGTCAATGCATCATATTAACTTACCCTCTACCTTTCACCCACAGTATCCATGAACCGCGCCGCCCTGGCCCCAATCCCCCTCTCCGACGGCACAATAATCCCGCGCGGCGCCACCATCGCCGTGTCCGCACACATCAACGAAGACGACTCCGTCTACCCCAACGCCTCCGTTTACGACGGCTTCCGCTTCTACAAAAAGCGACAGGAACCGGGCCACGAGCACCGGCACCAACTCGTCACTACGACGAGCGAGAACTTTGGCTTCGGGCATGGACGACATGCGTGTCCGGGCCGGTTTTTCGCGGCTAATGAGACGAAGATCCTGCTGGTGCATTTGTTGTTGAAGTATGACTGGAAGTTTAAGAGTGTGGTGGGGAGACCGAGGAATTTTGAGGTTGGGACGGAGAGTATTGCGGATCCGAGTGTTGAGTTGTTGTTTAGAGGGAGGGTGCCCGGGGTGGATCTTAGGGCGTTGGGGGAGTAGGAGGAAAGAATTCGAAGGAGAGATGGAAGGGGATTGAGTGGTGTATAGTCCTTGATGTGGATGGAGGTGGGATGATTCAAAAAGTTCTTGATGTTGATTTTATGCATCATGAGCATTGATTAGTACAATACAATATGACTTTTGAGTATCGTTTACACTCTGCGCCTCAAGCGTCAACATCCTACTATAAAACCCAGCTAAGGAACAGGCAAAGTTGGGATCTCGTCATCTACATCTGTCCCCTATATATAATGCTTCCTATGCATCAGGCTATCAGGCTATACTTGTACTTGCGGAACCTGATAGCGTTAATTCGTTAAACTTGCTCTGGTAGCTTCACGGGCCGTGAGACAGAGTTTCGGCAATAGATGCTTGGTGCCGTCAATAGCGGTGTACGCGGGCTTAAAGTGAGATAGGTGGTAGATATATAGCACATCGTCTATGAAGTTCTTGGATACTTTGTATTAAGGTAATGGAGGAAGGCAAGAAGAGAAGAAGAAGAAGTGAGTGCATTCTTAGTTGCTATCAGCACACTAAGCTTTTACTATACGTAGATACTCGTGCATAGAAGTGGGATGGTAGAAGGTCCCGCTGTGGCTTCTTTTCTCTTGTGGTTCAGTTCCACATGATCGTGATCGCGATACTGTAGCACGGACACTCAAAATCCTGCAGTAGGGTCCTCATCGCACTAATAATGAGCGGAGTATACTGTAGTATGTTGACTCCAACTATAAGGTTGTCATCTCGAGTATCATACTTATAAGTATATATACTCGGTACAAGTCTCGAAGACGATGAGATCCTTAATCTTGTTACCGAAAAGATAATAATAATAGTTAGTTACTGGTATTTAATTATGACTCAGGTCACCAAATTCCAGTGGACTGGACACGATGGACAAAATCGTAAGCGGAACTCCACCATCTCTCTCTTAAGCGGACCCACACAGCTTCAACACTTCTGTACCAATCCAATCCAAATACCAAAAATACCCCACTCAACACCACGAATTCACGAACCCAATACCCGTCACAAACACCGCGTCACGCGACGCGTCCTCGACGCGCTACGCGTGTCCCCTCCCAAAAGGGTTATATTGGACTTTCCCGTTTTCCCACTTTGCCCTCTCTTCCCTCTTTTCCAGTTTCAAAAAAAGGTTCAAGCTTTCATTGGTGATGATCGGGGCCACCCCCTCTCCCCTTCCCGAGTCCCGATCCACGGGTTTTCTTGGTTGGTGGGCTTTGGCTTTTGGCTTGGGCCTTGGGGGGAGGTTCAGGTGCTGGTCTGTGGGCAACGGTCCGGCGGTCCCGTCCCTAGTGGGCTAGATTGGCTAGTGGTGGGGTTGTTTTTGTTCACCGCACAATTGGCGAAGGGGAATTGGGAGGTTGTTGGTGATTGTGGTTGTATTTGGGATTGGATTTTGAGAGAGTGGTTGGTAGTACGCTCGATTGATTTTACTACTACTTCATGATTAGTGGTCCATAGTGGTGAGTTTGTAGACTGGCGTAAGGGAGTAACAAGTACATACTCCGTATAGATCGTAGAGTACCATGTACTCCGTACTGTAAATTCAAAGCTATGGGCAGCTGCTCGTGCCAATGATTTCACCCAGTCCCCGCCACTTTTATTCTACTGTACTCAAACTCAAAGTCTCCCCCTCCCGTAAAGGTCAAGGTCGAGCTGCAATGGACATCACTAACGTACTAAGCTGATCACCCGACGCAGGTAGCGTGACCGTTCGCGGGAGGATCAGTTTTGCTTGGGTTTGGGTTTGGGTCCCTTGCAGGGAGGGGAAGGGGGCCCACTGGGGGAAACTTGGAAAGATTCAAGATGTGATATTGGAAGACTAAGGACGGTGGGATGGACTTGTAGGACTCCATAGGCATACTATAAGCACACTGTCCTCCGTACTCCGTACTGGAAATCTATATTCTGGACTTCATCCCGCAAGCCTCGCTTATCTGGTGATATCGGTTCATCCACAATTGACCATACAGAGACGGGTCAGATATTGGCATCAGCTTTGGACTTGGGGAGGGGTGGTCGTGGGCTGGGTGGTGTGAAGCGGCATTGGGGTACTAGTTCCTCCCCAGCCCCCTCATTTTTATGGTGGAACACACTATGAAGGATTGGAGCTATTCTTGGGATCTAAGGATGCAATGCAATCATTTCAATGTGAGGTACGGAGTATAGAAGCTGCGGTGATTGAGATATTAGCAAAATGTCCTACTACGTATTCTATCCAAACTATACTCCGTACTCTGGTATACTCCGTAGTATACTATGAATTCTTGGTGCTCTGTACTATGTACGATGTATGACCCTTCATCCCCAGTACGAAAGCCTCCGTAATGCAATCATCCTCTTGATCAAGCTGCAGCGTGCATCAAGTAAGGTCCAGGCTGCAGCTTCTCGACTCAGGAAGGACTCGAGGAAGATCTAAACAAACCGACACATTCCTCGAGCAGGCCGAGAAATCAACACGAAAACTCCCGGACTCGTTGGATGGTGTCAAGGCGAAAGGAAGGGAGGGGGAACAAGCGAAAAGAAACTAACTTACTTGGTAGCTAGCGACAGTTGGGAAGCATGTCTAGGAACGAGTTTTCTAGTCGCGAGTAGCGCAGGCGAGGTGGGCCGCCCGTAGGACTGGCCAGTCCGGTACTCGATACCGCCGGATTGAGTGTTGGCCCCGGCCAACGAGGGGGTACTGGGTACCCTCGCTAGTGGTACCAGCGCAGGACCGAGTCCACCAGTCCACCGACTGAGACCAAACTGGCCCCGTTCCGCCCGTCCCTGCCCGTCCGCGCCCGTTCCTCAGGGCCTTTTCGCCTTTCTCTTCCCCCCCGTCCGCCTCACTACTGGCGCCCAACCACACCTCCTCTTCTCTCTCTCGCTCACTTCCTCTCACCTCTACTCTCCTCTTCCCTCCTCCTTCCACCCACCCCCCTTCCCTTCTCCTACCCTCCCCAACCCCCTTTTCCTCTTCTCTCTCGCGAGTCAAATATCGCAGTTTCTTTTGTATCTTGTCTGGCGTTCGGTAATGACGGCTCCCTCCTCTCCCTTCGCATTCGCCGGGATGGAGTCGCAGCTGTGATCGCCCGATATTCCAGATATCCGCGATATCCCAGTTGGCGCATTCCGCAGGAACCACCCAGAACACTAGATCGACTGAATTCTGGAACTGACTGCACGCCCTGTCACATACACTGTCCATTTCCTTGACACGCCTGACCATCTTCGCTCTCGTTCGACCTTTCTTTTCCTTTTCTCTTGACGATTCACGACCCCGTTACCCTCATCGCGATCGCTCGAGCTGTAACATCTCCCTCCCACAGCCGCGTCACTTAAACCCACACCTTCTCCAACCCTTCTCCTCCGCTTCGAATTGATCGTTCCCCACATACCAGCGAGCGGAGCTCACCACCCACGCTTACCATCATGGCTCAGCGTCAGCTTTCGCGAACGCTTCCTAAGAACTTTACCTTCCCGTCTCTCAGTACTGATGAGCCCAAGACGCCGGAACGGGAGACCGCTCAGATCGAAGTCCCGCCACCACCACGCCATTCTTTCTCCAGTTGCCGTTTGCCTCGCGTGCGCGTCCGCTCCGGCACTGACGTCTGCGAGCGGATCAACTTGGACCTCTTTCGATTCCAAGGTTCGCACGCTTCTCAGGATGTCCCCGTGCCGTCTATCGAGTACCCGCAGGGAAATTCGCCCTCGCACGCGACTTACTCCGAAGATCTCGCCAATGACGATCGCTACCTTGCACCTCCTCGCCAGCGATTGCTCTTTAAGACTCCCCCGGCCCAGATTCGCGGTACGCCGTTCGATGGCAACGAGTCAGAGCAGATGTGGCCTTCCTGGGATGAGACTCCGGGCTTGGCACGTGATATCAGACGCCCTGGGACTGCGTGCTCGGATTCTTCTTGCGAGTCTGTCGAGACTTTCGCCTCGCGCCCCTCTGTAGGAGGAAGCTGCACGAGCGTGGAGAGCGACGCCTTCGACAACCACTTCCCACTGGAGTTCTCCAAGGAGCCCGGAGCGGAGTCTCCCACCCTTCCCGAGGGACAGCATGTACAGCGATCCCATGTCAAGGACAGAATTTGGACTCGCGAGATGGACAATCATCTTTGGAATACATATCAAATGTACCTACAGGACCCGACCATAACTCCGTTCAAGAGAACCCCCGGCAGTATCCCGCCCTTGGGCGTCACGGCAAGAGTCGCGCGCCGTGCGAAGCGCACCTGGGATAACAAGCGCCTGTCCTTCACGCAGCCATCCCCGACCCAATCGAATGATCGAAGCGGTAGCTCCACGCCCCGGGTGCGGGAATCCTCCGTGCAACCCGCATGGCCTCGGTCGGATGCAAAGACCCGTTGCCGACTCAAGCATTTGTGCCGCCGCAAGTTCTCCATTTCGCCTTACTATCAGCGGATTATGCAGTCCCGCAGCCCGGAGCCCGTGGCCGACACCCTTGGTGTTCCCTCGGAGCCACGTGTTCGTGACTTTGCCGCCAACACGAATGCGTATGCCACCCGTGACTTGGGCGTTTCCCTTGTCTCGACCAGTCACTCGAACGTTTTGGCTCAGCTCGCCGAGCAGCCGGTACCCGGAGATCGATCGGAGTGGTTCAACAACGACATTGTGCCTAGCGTTTCGCATGCTCCTCAGCCAGTGCCTCAACCTCCCAGCCTGCACTATCAATTCCCTGCTGTTGACCCCCACAACGTGCCCCCTCGCTTGGGATCGCCTTTCGTGTACAGTACATGGGGACCGGGAGGTTCCCGCCGTCACGCCACAAGTGTCCCCCAGTCAGCCCGACGGGAGACGATCCATGTTCCTAACCGTCGTTTGCGTCGGGCGACTCACCTGGAGAATACTCCACGAGACACCGATGACGTCTTTACTAGCGACGTGATTAACGAGAAGGAAGCCGAAGATGACGAAGTCCAGACTCGCTTGGAGCATTTCCTGCGTGAGAACAAGTTCCAAAGCATTGGCAAGGGCCGGGTTCGCGTTCGAAACCGCGGTGCCACAACCTCTGGTGCAACGGCACCAAGGGACGTCGGCCAGCTCTTCTCACCCCCTTCCTCTCTGATCTCTTCCCAAGCCGAGGAGACCACCCCTGTCGCCGAACCCCCTGTCAATCAATTTTTGAACCTCGCCGGGGAGAACATCAAACGACTGGGTTCGCCCTTCAAGGCTGAGACCGGGTTCAAGCGTCGGGAAGCACCCGGAAGGTTCATCCGACATGCACCCTCGCTGTCGGAACCCTTTGCCAATGGCGGCATCGCGCCGTATGCCGGCCAATTGACCAGCCTGTCTCCAGCCCAGGAGCAGGAAAAACCTGCAGCACCGATGCTGCAGAACCCCTTCGAGGAGGGTCTGTCAGATGCCGAGCGTATTCGTCGGCAGATTCAGAACATGTCCTCCCTGCGCCAGTAATTGTGTGCTTGGTGCTTGTTTGGTCTGCTGTTGCTCTTCTCTGCCGTCAACTACCCTCTATTTTCCGACTGCATCGTGGTACCTGTTCATTTGCGAGATCTCTTTTCAACCCTTTGCATAACGACCTGAACGATACACGAGAGAAGCACGTCGCGCATTGCTTCTCTCACCTAATCGCAGCATGTTTTTTTTTCTCATGACAGCAACGGCCTTGACGAATGTAACGATATGCTTTTTGATGGCCCGAGATTTCCTTTCAACTTGCCAGGCTGTGCTCTGAGCCTGGTTTGCTTGGGCGTTATCACCCCCCTCCAAAAAAACAAAACCGACTGCCTTCCCACTACTATGATTTTTACCAACTCCCCCACCCGAAGAGAAACTTTGTGATGCTCTTTTTGTCCCTCCTGATTTGGTGTGTCGGATGAACAATCGTACACTGCGTCGACTTGTCCACGATCTGTTCTGTTCGATGAATGGATCTCATATTGCGACCCCTCTATCTATGTCTGTCGTGGATATCGCAATCCTGAACGCCGTGTCAGGTCGCTCCTTGCATTAAATCGATTTGATTCTGCAAAAGAGTGGACCAACCGACTCCCATTGGGACTTACTTTCATTATCTTCCCCCTCTATTCATTTCACTCAGCATCTTCGATGTCAGTGTGGGTGCCATGGATTCGAAAAGAAGAATGAAGACACGACTGGAATTTCTGGCTGTACAAATTCGAATTCCATCCATACCTGACGTTCTTTGATGCACATTCACTCTCTTTCCATCGACTGGACCGATCTATCATTTCCTTTTCATTTCTTCCTTCTGACTCCTGTGACCTCTGGTCATAGATCACGAACCGACAAAATGCAACAAAACCCGTGAAAAAATTCCGCAAAATTCCACCCGAAAATCGAGCAAAAAAAAATCCCCGCTGCCTGCTACTTCCTCGCCTAGCTGCGAGCCACTTTCTTTCCACTCTCCTTTATTTCTTTCTGCCACCGTCTCCAGCAGTTGTCCGTCTCGTATCTATTTGCTACCAGCCAAGCAACCTGAGCACTTTGCCATGCAAGGCGACACGCGCTGGATGACCTTCCGCCTCATAATTTCTCTTCGGCAATTCTCCTCCACCAGCATAGCTGATCCTTGCTATGCTGTACTGGAGCCAACAACATCCCCTCGACTTCACCTTGACCACCTTTTCCAGAGGTGATGCATGACCTTGTCTCCGATCCCCAAAAAAGAATGTGCACGACGATACACATGCTGTTTCACTTCCTTTACATAGACGAACCGAAACGAAACGACCGCACATGATTTTCAAATGTCCGTTGCGCCCCACGAACGACCCCTCTCCTGACGCAAGCGTGGTGTTTGATTGTCGATTTTCCTCTTGATCTGCTCTGCCTCGCCTTTGTGCTTGTGCCTGTGCTTATGTCTGTGCCATTTCAAGCTTGATGCCAGCGAGCTTTTTTTATCTGCTTTTTCCTTCTATTCGGGTACTTGTCTGTCATCTTTCGCTCTGATGAGATCTTATCCTTATTTTTTCATTCCTTGATTCGACTCGACTCGCGTGTGGAGGGCGGGCTCTTAATTGGTTCACACGATGAGTTCTGTTCTTGAACTTCATCATGTGCTCGCAGACGCAGTTGTACCTTTGATCAACCCTTTCTCAGGGTCAATTCCTCGATCTGATACTGCTCTTACTCTGCATTCTGCCCCCCTGCCCGCCCAAACCACCCGCCGAACTGTCAAGAACGCCTCCTGATCTCGAGACTGCGTGCTAGTACGTCGCATCTGGCTCGTTTTCCAGCACTTGAGCCTCTTATCTATGACAGGTCCATCCAGAGCCTTGTCCCGCTTGTTTGTGCTATTCTCATCTATTCTCTTTATTTCATGAATCTTTCTCAGTCCCATCATCTGCTTTGTTCAATCTTCGGTGTTTAGATCTAGGATTCTGTGTGACTTGCTTGGTTTACTTGCGGACCGGTGATTCTTTTTCTGCCTTGCCTTTGCAAAATGATGGATTTGGTTGGATCTTGAATTTATTTTTTTTCTCTTCTCAATTTTAGACGTGCTCGTAGTTCAATCGTAGATGTGTAGACATTCATGGACTTAAGTATGTAGGTAAGTCCTTGATAGTTTAGGTTGCAATGTGCCCTGTGTAGAATGGAGGGACTGGTATTGAGCGATGGTGAAACAACCCGTTAAAAGCAGTAGGTAATACCGCTATCTATGCATTAAATAGTTGTAATGCAAAACCAGTCAAAATAATCATCAACTCGCTCTAAACATCAATATGCTCATTGGTAGGTATGCAAAATGTCATAAGCAAAAGGGGGTATAAAGACCTTAAAAAAAACCGAAATATTATACAAAAGCAGAAACATAGGAAAACACCGCCCTCATCCAATAAGACCAAAATAATGAATCCCCCATGCCTTCAGCACCAGAAACCTGGAAGGCAGTCAGTCACGAAAGCAGGATACTGCCCCCTAAACACGCTCAAGCTTCTTCTTCCTCTCCGCAAGAACAGCCTCAATCCTACGCAACTGCAACGCAAGACCCTTCTTCTCCGCATTTCCAAGCAGCCACCCCTCCATCCTCCCCCTCACAAAAGCCATAGACTTGAGAACCGGCAGAACAGGGCCGTTTCCGAATCCACCACTATCGCCATCGCGCTCACCACCCTCCATAGCAACCCACCGCTCGGCACCAGGATTAAGCAATAAATCAAAGACATCGGTCCAAATCTCGCGATCCCAGTATCGTTTCAGGGATTCGCGGATACGATACGTGTGCGCGTTGACGTTGACGCCCGCACCGCCCTCGCTAGTACGAATAGGCGCGCTTTCGATGTATTTCCCGAAAAGCAGGACGTGGATGACGCCCGCGATACCGTAGAGATCGATTTGATGGGTCCAGGGCCGGGCTTCGCGGATCTCGGTGCACTCGTGCGATTCCGTCTCCCAGTCAGCCAGGAATTGGACGTTCGGCGCGAACGCGTTCATGTCGATTGCTCGGCCGAAGTCGATTAGCGCTAGGCCCTTGGCGCGCCAGCCGAAGGCGCCGGAGGGTGCGTAGGCGGGGGTATCGCGCGGGTCGGTGGTGCTGTCGCCGAGGTCGAGGAGGGAGAGGGATTTGGTGGGTGGGTCTGTTGGGGTGGATTCGTCGAGACGGACGAGGCAGTTGTCGGCTTTGATGTCGCCGTGGAGAATGCCTGTTGCGTGGAGGGCTTCTATTATGCGGAATAGCTCGATGGAGAAGAACATTGCGAGACACTCGTCGAGGCCGCCGTCGCTGGGGTGCGTGGAGCCGATGGAGTCGTTGCGGAGGATGTTGACTAGGTCGAGGAGGGTGCCTTGGCCGCGGTAGTCTTCGACGAGGAAGCTTTCGCGCGGGTGGACGTGTAGTTCGTGGGCGCGGACGACGCTGTCCAGGGCGCGGGTGTGCTGTGGTGCGTTGAGGAGGCGTTCGTGGGCTGTGCGGATCATGTAGAATTCCCAGGCGCTGGAGGGCCCGTTTTCGACTTTGACTGCTTCGAAGGGGTAGCGTGCGCTGTCGTAGGGGTTGGAATCTGAGTCTGAGCTGTAGGATTGTTGGCTGTCGACACTTTCGGCGAGGTAGACGGGGGCGTATGCGCCAGCGCCGAGCTCGCGGCGGACGATGTAGCTACGCTCAGCAAAGGGGAATTCGAGAATAGGCATCTCTGAGCGCTCGTCGTCGGCACTTTTGGATTTTCGGCTGTGCGCTTTGACAAACTTCTGGATCATGCTAGTGTAGTTGCTATCTTGGACATGGCTGTGGTATCCCGGGTAGGAAGCCAATGGCGGTTCCAGAGAGTTCAAGATCGTATTGCGGATACCCTTGTCAGTAGGATTGCACTGCAAGTCTTTGATGATAGCCTCTCGTCGGCGCGCCTTCGGGGCAAGGGCTTTGAAAGCAGTCGGACTAAACGGGACGTCAACCGCCGAGCCGACAGTGTGATCACCATGGTAGGGCGTCGTTGTCCCAAATGGACTGGAAAGCAAATCGCCCATTCGCGGTACACCCGAAGGTGACCTTGGCTTAGACGGAGTCTTCGCATTGTGAAGACTCCGGGCAGCCGTCATTGAAATGGAAGACTCGGTTCGTTCCACAATAGGTGTCATGAATGGCAGGCGATTCTGCGCCATAATGGCAGGGTCGCGATACGTTCCATAAGGCGGATTGTAGTCATCGGGCATTCGAGGTACGAACCGCTCCTTTTCAGGAGTACTATGTTGTGACTCGACCTCTCCGTGACTTACGACGGAATGGGAGGTAGCATCGGCGGACTCAGCACCAGGGACATCTTTACTGACACTGAAATCAGTCCAGTCACCTCCCGCAACACTGTCAGCCCGTGTTGTGTTGCCGTCCCCATATTCTGTGTCGTCATAAGATTTGTGGAAGGTATGCGTTTCATCATCGCCAAATTCACTCGAAGCCGCAGAGATGTGGCCGGTGCCAGTACTATCAACGGTACTGGCACAGTCCTCGTCCTCATACTCGCTGCCATAGAGGCTATCAGCAGCATCTTCCATCTCCGCCTTCAATGGTTGATTGAAGATGCCATAGATTTCATCCGTAGCAGCCCGAGTATGCATAGTCATTGTTGGTTCTCGAGTGCTCTTTCGTCGAGCCTTGGAGCTGGTCGGCGAGTCAAACTTCATTTTAACTGTAAAACGAGCGTTAGCTTCCACACACACACACACACACACGCAGTCCGGTTATGATAAGTACTGACTAGTCTGCGTTTCTCCTTGCACCTTGAATTTTCTCGCCTTTCCAGCTTTGCCTTCATAGGAGCCAACCTGCTGTGATGATTGAGACGGTTGTTCATCAGTAGCCAGTTTTTGTTCCGGCTGTCCGGACAGCGGCTCATCCTTAAACACATGAAGCTTCGCGGGCTGTACATCCCCAGCCGCATTGCCGGAAATCTGTTGCAAAGGTTCCTTATTGTGGCGCCAGTTCTTGTTCATCCAACCGCGTTTCATCGCCCGCAACTCCTCAAAACTAACTTCGTGCGCTGGATTCCTGTGGTCGGGATATACTGCTTCAAGGTCGACAAAAACACGCTCCCGCCGACCAGTTCGCGGATTTACCGCTTCCCTTACATGGTGTTCTGGAATGTGCTTGGGAGCACTTGGTTGTTCAGAAGGTGGACTTAGATTGGACTGTATACACACGATCGAAACACATAGGTTCAAGCCAGCAATTAGTCCTATGATCGTAAATATACGGAAGGTTCAAGAGAGGAAGGGCAAATTAGTATTGCAAACTCACCTCGTCCCTGAAGATAGCCATTTTTTGCGCTGGTCCGGGTTTCTTCCCCGCCTTCAATGTCTCCCCAACCCAAGGCTTGGCCTCCACCTCGTTTTCCTTCTTGCGCTCTCGCATCGACCCAATACTGTCCCATCCTTTCGTTTGTCCACTGGTCGCCGGCTGACTCGACTGTGCTGCATCGGCGTCGGAGAAAATCGCCATCTTCATCTTTCCAGACTTCGTCTTGGCAGGGGCGGCAGGCTGAGGTGCTGACCGCGAGGCTTGCGGATTTTCGGGAGAATCTGCGGAGGCAAATGGATCCATCTTGGCCGCCAGGGCGGGCCTGACAGCTGGGAGAGCAGGTGACGACGGCCCGGTATCCTGTGAGTGCTGCTCATATCGTTGTTGGAACTCGCTGTATTTTCGCGCAAGCCGCTCGACTGGCCGGGCATCACGGTCCATACCCAGCCTGTATACTTCATCTGCCTGTGTCCAACGCCCAGCACCCTCTAGCCAGGCGGCAAACTCTTCGTAGAACAACGCCAGCCCCTCACCAACGTGGTGCCGCGCAAGGAATGCAAATGTCTCGCGCGGGGCATCTGAGAAGAGTCTGATGTAGTGCATCCACAACCGGAGATACCGCGGGTCATTCCGGTAGTGTGATGATGATAGGAACGACTTGGTGGCACGTTCGAGCAGCGGGAGGAGACCGGATTCAGCCGTAGCCTGGGCAGAGGGGTACGCGTTCAGAGTCCATTTCACGTAGCGGTCGTAAACATCGAGTGGATCGTCTGATTCTCCTATTGACTCCAATTCATTCTCGTATTCCTGGCGGATTGCACCGTTGATGGTCCTTGTGTCGTTCGGTGAGGGCGTCGCAAGTTTATCGCTCGTGCTGCCCCCAGAGAAAATCCGGGCCAATTCTCGGGCTGATCTGCCACCAGGGAGGGATTGGACATTCTCTTTTTGGGCCTCGATAATGTCGAAGTCAATGAGGTCATCGGAGGCCGCCATCTTGTCGAGATCTTGACCAGATCTGACCTTGGGGAAGTGTCGACTAGCGGTTCGTGGAAATTGGCGACGGGTTTGGGCCACAGACGAGAAAACAAGACAAGATTCAGAGTTGACTCCCAAACGGGGAATTGGGTTATCGATAAACATCACATGACTGTTACCCCGGTGATCAACACGTGACTACTTCCTCCAGACATCATCCGATTCAATATGGTTCTATGAAGAAGACGAGGAGATCCTGCTTGACGGAGAGAAAAGATACCCTTTGGCAAGCTCTTCTATCAAATAACGTATCTTCTATATCAAGTTACTCCGCGTCAACCGATCGTGGCGCACCCACTGGTGGCCGTTCTTCTCACAATTTCTCCACAGCCACACCCAATCAGCTCTGGACCCATCAATTTTACCCAATTGCTATCAGTCTTCATCAGAACCCCCCGAGCATCAGTTGCAGGACCCAACTCGATGCAACAAGGCCATGTCTATACTGCCCAAAGACAAGTCATCTCCTACAGCAGCTAGCTCAAACACTCAATCCTCAATGCAGGCATCAAACGCCAAGGGCAGTCACAAAAGGAACCTCAGCAATGGGACACCAGATAACTCTCCATTGAGACGATCCAAACGACAAAGGTCCACCGCCAATCTTAAGGAGGCATCATCCGGTGAAGAATCAGAACCGGAAGACAGGGTAGTGCCCACGCCGAAGAAAGCTTCCAGCGCCAAGTCAACACCCAAGGCTACCAAGTCTAAGAAGACCCAGGTTGCATCATCAGTCAAGAAAGAGGCTACCGAAGAAACGGAGGTTGTTTCCAGCATCACTGCTAGCGAGATTACATCCGTGGTCAAGACTGAAGTAGCTTCAACGGTTCAAACGAAACCCAAAAAGGCCCGAAAGACCAAGGAAGAGAGGGAAGCCGAAGCAATGCCTCTAGCACCTCGGTCCCAGGGGCTGAAGATGTTTGTTGGTGCTCATGTCAGCGCTGCCAAGGGTCAGTACCTAGGAAGCCCTCGAAATGGATGGTTGAGGAGCTAACCGAATCCTCATCGAGCAGGTTTATTCAACTCAATCACAAATAGTACGCAAATTGGGTAAGTGGCAAAATACACCATTCTATATGAATGTGGAGCTAATAAATATCACCAGAGGTAACGCGTTCGCGCTCTTTCTCAAGTCACAGAGGAAATGGGACAACCCACCTCTGCAGGATAATATCCGGGATCAGTTCCGCAAGATGTGCGCAGAGCAGAACTATGATGCAGCCAAGTGAGCCGTCCTCCTCAGCCATCGAATGCATAGCCACTAACACCTCATAGACACGTTCTCCCTCACGGGTCGTATCTTGTCAACCTAGCCCAGAATGACAAGGCAAAGGCCAAACAAGCATACGACTCGTTCCTAGACGACCTCCGTCGATGCGAAGCCCTCGGCATCAAACTCTACAACTTCCAGTTCGTCCCTCTCCCAATCCACCCCTCAACCCCCCAATCCCATGCTAAACACCCCTCCAGCCCAGGAAGCACCAACCAAACCCCACTTCCAGAAGCCCTCGCCCGTCTAGCAGACTCCCTAACCAAAGCAATCACCGAAACAACCACCGTAATCCCAGTCCTCGAAACAATGTGCGGCCACGGCAACACAATAGGCGGCTCTCTCTCCGAATTCCGCGACTTAATCGCCCTAATTCCCAAAGAGCACCACCCCCGCATCGGCATCTGCATCGACACATGCCACAGCTTCGCAGCAGGCTACGACCTCGTCACTCCCGCAGGCTTCAAAGCCTTCCTATCTGAATTCGACGACCTAATAGGTCTCCAGTTCCTCCGCGCCCTGCACCTAAACGACTCCAAAGCTCCGCGCGGTAGCAAACGCGATCTCCACGCTAACATAGGCACGGGCTTCCTGGGTCTCCGCGCGTTCCACAACGTCATGAACGAGCCTCGTTTAGAGGGGTTGCCCATGGTCCTGGAAACGCCTATTGACCGTGTCCCCGGGCAAACCACTTCCTCCGCCGCAGACGACGACGCGGATAGTTGTGCGAGCGAGTCGGAGAAGAAGGAAAAGAAAAAGCCAGTGAAGAAGGGTGCGAAACGTCCGGCTGGTGCTTCTCCGGCAACGGTTCCTGATCCCGGCGTGTGGGCTCGCGAGATTAAGTTGCTGGAGTCGTTGATTGGGATGGATCCGGAAGGAGAGGAGTTTTTGGCTTTGGAGGCGAGACTTGCGGAGGAGGGGAGGGAAATGAGGGAGAAGCAGATGGAGCAGTATGAGCGGAAGATAGAGAGTGAGAAGAAGAAGGAGGCTAAGGCGAAGGAGAAGGGGCAGAAGAGTCTTATGGATATGATTAAGAAGGGTAAGGTGGAATAGGGTGATGCGGTGGGGTTTGGATTGATTGATGGCCCAGTGGGATAGGCAGCTCTAGGGTAACGCATGTCAGCCCCGAGATGATAACTACAATGATGACACCAGATTAAGTTGGAAATGAAAGAGTCATGATATTGATTGATTGGATATCAAAAGAAAACTAAGCCAGCCAATATGGCCCAAGAGAAGAAAAAAAAATCGAATTGATGGTATCAGGCAAGCCACCGCTCTACAATGAATTCAATAGCCTCCATGCAAATGTTAAGTAACAAGGCACCTCCTTTACCAATCGCCCACTCATCACTCCATGAGAAGAACTCAGCGTGTACATCAATGACCCGGCGATATGCGCAATCCACCCACACGACTGCGGCTACTTTGTCCTGTGCAGGTCCCAGACCGTTCATCAGGTGAAAGTGCCAGAGACAGTATGGTGGTGTCGCCGGTACAAAATACCATTCTAAGATGGCATATAAATAGATTGGATAGGAGATATTGTCATCGTTGGGAATGAAATTGAAGGACTATGGGTGGGAGGGGGTTGGCTCTGCATTGGCGAGACTGAAGAGCTGGAATGGATACCCGGGGAATCCTCCTGATCTGGTGCTTGGAGGTGAGTGGGGAATTCCGCCACGTCGGCCATCGTGGTGATAGTTGGAGGGGCGGACTTGATTGGTGTCTCGACCGAGTCGTCCTCCGGGATCGTGGTGGAGATAGACAGGTTGTGCATTGCGCCGCTTGCACGGACACGGAACGAGCGTCGTTGGTCACCGGCTGACGGTGCTTGCAGGTCATCATCGTAGTGCGCTGCAGGGGTCGAGTGCGCGGCGCCCGTCTCGGCATCGTTGACGCGGTGGTAGTCTCCAAACTCGCCACCGCTGGCATCTTCAGAGTCAGAGTCTGGCGTTCCGTCGCGGTCCCAGTCATCATGCTCTGCTTCGCTGCGCATCTTGGAGATTTTCATATAATTATAGCATCCAATACTTCCAATGGTGACGACCAGACCGGTTATATTGACGACCGTGAGCTTATCATGGAAGATCACACCTGCAGCACTGATCGTGACGACTTCTTTGAAGATTCCACAAATACTGAGAGTAACGACGGAAGAACGCTTCAATAGCGCGAATTCAGATGAGGTCATGCAAAATGCGAGGACACCCGGGAATATCAACAGACACGACCCGAACAAAGTTCCCTGCTTCTCGGCAAGAGCGAGGAAACCAAAGTGAATATCGTTAGGGCCCTCGACCGCGAGGGAGATGGCAAGAAGAGAAACGAACATGACGGGCGTAAGGAGAAAGAGAGTCGAGAATGGATTGGAGGTGGCCGGATGGCGGAGAAGAAGAATCTGAGTCAGTCCCCATCGGAAACCTGAAAAGAAAGCGGAGGCAATGACGAGGCCGAATCCAAGCGCATTGAAAGCGGTCTCGCCTGCTACCATCATCACCACACCGATCGTCATTGTAGCGATGACCAAAATCAATTTGACAGAAGGAGATTCGAGGCGGAAAAGGAAAGCAAAGAGGAGAACGAAGGCGAGTGCGGATGATTTGCACATGGTAAGGAAGGTGAGAGAGATGAATTTGAGGGCCATGTTGCCGAGGCCGATATCGAGCGATGTCGCAGCACCGCAAGGGACAAGGCGTGTGAGATAGAAGGATGTGGTGAGCACTGGGTCAGACTCTTTGGAGCCTTCCACGGGCGATGCAGAGTGCGAACCCGGGGGTGCTGAGGACGCAGAGAAGGAAATATCCATAGCAAGAGAGCGGCGAGGGTGAATTGGACAACCATGTGCAGGCTGGTGGTGAAGAGAGGAAAGGGGAAGACGCTTTCACTTTCGGAGAACATCCATTTGTTGTACTGCAGGGTAAGATGCATAATCGTTAGTCATTGGCCATGATTTCCTTGGGTCATCTGGCAAAGATAAGGGATACTCACGATGGAGATGGACAAGGAGAAAAAGTACCACAGCAGAATCAGCCCAGCGTTCGCAAGTAGCTTGCGAGCGACGTTACGATCCGCCAAGCCTAACGAGGGCAGGCCAAATCGCGAGGACTTGACGTCGGCGATACGAGCATCCAACTTGCGACGTTGCCGACGCCGTCGTCGCCGCTGGCGTTTCTGGTTTGCTGTGAGACCGGTCTCCTCGTCATATTGGTCATCGTCCGAACTCATCACATCCAACTCCCGATTCTCCAGGGCCAAGGACGATAACTCGGAGGTATCAGTATCCTCGGCTGTCAAGGGCTCCTGTTCGTCCCATTTGTTCGGACCTCCGTCTCCATGCGGTCGTAGGCTATCATCCCTCCATTCCGAGGGGCCCGGATGCATTGAACGACTTGCGCCCGTGAGCACCGAGCTCCGCCGTCGGTGGTGGCCATTCCCGGCGGGTGACAACCCCATTATCGAACTGGGGTGAAGAGGAGGGTCGGGAGGAAGGGGGTAGGCGAATCGAGATGTGCCAGCCCCATGAGGGTGCGACCGGGGGGGGGGGGGGGGGGAGGATGTACACGCGACCGCGTACCCTGTTCTTGATAGGGAGAAAGATGCGGGATTCGCGAGTGATGTGGTTGGTTAAGGTTTGACAAGGTTCAAAGGCCTCGAAGTTGTGACGATCAAAAGGAAAGGTGAATAACGTCGAAGGGTGGAAAGAAGGAAAGGAAGGGTCACGCGCGGGTGGGAGAGGGAGATGAGTTGACAGTAAGTTAGCTACGGAACAGTAGTCGGGAAAGCGAGAAAGTTAAAAGTTGAAGAACCGCCAGACTTTGGGCGGGCGATGGGGGCAAAATAGGGAGACTGCCTTGGGGCCTGAGGGTCTGAGGGGAAGGAGGAGTTGGCCCTTTAGCGGGTAATCGCCCTGTCTTTCTGGACTTTGGGCCTTTATCTGGCCAGCCCTTCAGAAGTTCAGGCGGGTTGGTCCCTCCTCCTCTTTCTTACTCCCTCTCAATCCCACTCCTCTCTTTGATTTGTTGCTGCTGAAGCCTGACTGGTCGCCACCACAGCTCCACCCAGCTTTCGCTCCACCGTCCGGTCGATCCGGGGTCCAGAGGACACCCCAGTCCGAAGCATTATTCTGTGCGTCCGAGGCTTGGGTCCAGCCACCTGCCATTGGCGGACTGTGACTTCCGAGGGAGCTTGCGAGGTATACCTAGTTATTGGGGGTGATCAGGGTGAAGCTGGGAAGAGAGCTCGTTGAGGTTGGAAGAGGTGAAGCGGCCCATCTTGAACCCGATGGCAGCGCTAGGTCTCACGGCTGATCTATTATTGCAGATCCGCTTACGCTTGGCAGACTTGACGCACTAGACATGCCAGAGCCTCCAGTCCATCAAAGCTACACAAATATAGTAGCAACACGAGATGCTACCGAGCTGAATTGCCGGATAAAATGAACTTTGCCTTAATGATGATGGGCTTCCTTCGGGTACCAGTGCAGCTCCATCCAATGGCCTGCCACAATGAGTAGAGCAGCTCCAACATCGATATGACCTCAGAGTGCAAATTCACTCTCATCATCATGTCGTTACCTCCCAGGGCCCTCTGGCCCGCACCCCGAGGCCATATATGTCCTCCTGGCATGCAGAGGTTATGGTCGACTGAGGTTGCTCTCCTTCCAACCTCACAAATTTGCGTGATCATCTTGACTTGTTAGTTAGATCGGTGCTGCCCACAATTGCAATCGATATCATCCTTCTTAGTGTTGAGACGCTCATCCTCACTTGACATATACGCCTTCTTTCGCAAATCCATCTCTTCATCGTCCTGGTTATCCCCGCCTGTCACCATGGCACAAAGACCCTTATATAATGCCATTGAAGACTACGGCTTGATCGGGGACATGCACACATGCGCCCTGATCAGCAAAGCCGGCAGTCTGGATTATATGTGTTGGCCGGTCTTTGATTCCCCCACGGTGTTTTGTCGTCTTCTGGATGAGAAGAAAGGTGGCTTCTGGTCCGTGGGGCCTTCCAAGGCAATGGTTGACACGCTCAACAAACAGCGGTATCTACCATATTCGAATCTGCTCGAAACACGCTGGACCAATGAAGATGGTGTTGTGACCCTGCTGGACTACTTTCCCGTGACGCCCAAGAAGCTGGCTCAGTCGGGCCGACTGCTATCGGGCTACTGTCCGTGCAACGAGCCTGGAGCCAACCGCTTCAAGTCCGGACTGCAGCACTCTGGCCTGATCAGAAAGATCGAGTGTAGCCGAGGGTCCATGGAATTGCAGGTGGAGCTATTCCCGGCTTTTAACTATGCCCGGGATACGCATACCGCTCGTGCAAAGCTGGAAGACGACATGAGCAAGCACCGGTTACAGACTGTTCATTTCGAGAGTGAATCCGAGCGACTGCAGCTCGAGATCTTTTCCGATTCGCGGGAACCGGATAAGCTGGGCCTCCCCAAGGCTAATCTTACCCTGGAGGAGCGACCAGCACAGAAGGGTCGCGGACTTGTGGCTTTGATTCGCCTGTGCGAGGGACAGACTGTGCATTTCGTGCTGCATAGTCCCGAGAAGGCTGTGCCTAGCTCGGCTCTGATGGCCGCATATCTGGGAAAGATGGAGGAGGACACATCCGATTACTGGACTGACTGGACTCGCAAGTGCGCATTCCGTGGGCACTATCGAGAGACGGTTGAACGCAGTCTTTTGATCTTAAAGCTACTCACCTACAAACCCACTGGTGCCATTGTTGCAGCGCCCACCTTCTCACTCCCAGAAAATGTGGGTGGTGCGCGCAATTGGGACTACCGATACTCTTGGGTGCGCGACACAGCGTTTACGCTGTACGTCTTCCTGAAAATGGGATACAGCCGCGAGGCAGAAGACTACGTGAACTTCATTTTCGAGCGAATCTTCCCGCATGCCGCACAGGACATTGAGCCAGGCAGCAAGCGACCCTTCTTGCCGCTGATGTTCACTATCCGTGGCGAGTACGACATTCCCGAACTGGAGCTGGACCACCTTGATGGGTACAAGGGTAGCAAGCCCGTCCGCATAGGTAACGCGGCTGTTTTCCACACGCAGCTTGACATTTATGGCGAACTCCTGGATAGCATCTATCTCTACAATAAGCACGGCAATCCCATCACCTATGATCAATGGGGTTCAATCCGCCGCATGGTGAACTACGTCATTGGCGTGAGACACCAAAAGGATATGTCCATCTGGGAGTCCCGAGGTCAAATTCAAAACTTCATCTACTCCAAGGTCATGATGTGGGTAGCCCTGGATCGTGGAATTCGCCTAGCAGAAAAGCGATCCAGTCTGCCATGCCCAGACCGATTCCAGTGGGTCCAAGTACGAGATGAGCTGTACGACGAGATCATGGCCAGAGGATACAACGCCGAGCGTGGCCATTTCTGTCAGAGCTACGAGAGCCGAGAGGTTCTCGATGCGTCGATTCTCATTGCGCCGCTGGTCTTCTTCGTGGCACCCAACGATCCACGATTCATCAGCACTCTCAAGCGCATTCTGCAAAGTCCCGAGAAAGAAGGCCTCTCCAGCGCCAAGATGGTCTTCCGATACGACCACCTGAAAGCCAATGACGGTACGCATCTCACTTCCCCCAGCTTTCCATTCCCATTCCTCTTCACTCGACCCGTTATTAACACCCACGTCGCACAGGTGTCGGCGGAGGTGAGGGTGCCTTCATTATGGTAACCTTCTGGCTCGTCGAAGCAATGGCCCGCGTAAGCACTCGCCCTCCTGCCGTGCAACCACCCCTCCCAATACCCCTCCCTCGACTAACTATGACCTCACCCGCCCGGGGTGTGTCTTGTCAATATATAGGCCGCCAAGTACGATGTCCCCATTCCGCATCTTTGGAAACTTGCCCTGTCGCACTTTGACAATATCTTGTCGTACTCTAACCATCTGGGCATGTTCTCTGAAGAAGTGGCTATTTCGGGCGAGCAGATGGGTAATACACCTCAGGCGTTTAGTCATCTTGCTTGTATTAGTGCGGCTATGAATTTGGAGAAATTGGGTCGTGAGGACTAGTGGGTAAGGTGTGGTGGGTGATGGGTAAAAGGAGCAGAGATGTTGGTGTTGCGATGCAGGCGTCTCTCTCCTTAAAAATGTTTTGTGTCAAGTTTTATGTTTTCTACTTTTTTTCATGCTAGAGGGATCTGCTTAATGCTTTCGATAATTTGATAATTTTTCGTTTCTTATCATCTATGTAATCGTTGCCCAGTCTGAAGGTAATCTGTTCTGCTATTCGGTACCTATACCAGGAGTATTTCTTACTATTCCACACTCCATCACCCCTACCTCTGATTTCCGTTCAACTACTGCGTGAGCTAGCAAATGTACCTAGTCGCTCAACTATTTTTGCCCTCTGCTGGAAACGTGTGCGCTTCGTATTCCACTATCTACATAATTGTATCGCGTAAGGAAGTCCGTTAACACATACCCTAAATCTCCCCACGTTGGGGCCACCCTCGATACGTATCATTGGCTGGCTATCAGAGCTCATAGGCTTTCATTAGTCAAATTTTGATAAGCCATTCTTTCCGTCTAATCTCGATCGAGGTTGTGGCTTAGGACTTGCGGGGTGCGTAGTTTAACTGGCTGGTATTCGTTAGCTAGGACTATTCTGTCCACTGATGGTGATGGCTGGGTGAAGATGGGTGGTTATTACTACACTACAGTAGTTAGTTACAGTGCTAACGAATATTTCACCATCCCTATTTATTAACCACTACTGTTGAATGACTATAGCTGTTGATTGACCATTCCTGTTGATGAACCCCCTAACATCTGCCGACTATGACTGCTATTTACTGGCCACTCCTGCTTAATCCCTCAAGATCTTTCTTAACCAGTCGTGATGTTATTTTCTCACCGACTACAGAAAGAATCAATACCACTGTAGCTACTTCACAAGACCTTTGCAAAATAGGTTAGACCCGTATTTAGCAATTCGAGAATGCAGTCCAACGGATCTCAGGTGGCGCTTACATAACCCCGCTTTGATGCGGGATCCGCACTCCGGACGGGCTGATCCGTAGCCTCACTCCACTAGGTTATTGCATCCCCAGACCGGACTCTCCCCTCAATCTCCGTCCACCTACCAGCTCTGTGACGCGACACACGGCCCTGGACTTCATACTGGTCTGCTCTAGCTATCTGGTGGCGCCCTGACTGCCGCCTCCTCACCCTGACTTAGCGCCTGGAATCCTCCGCGTCTCCTCAATGGCGGATGCAAGCTTGGATAGGGCTGATCGGCCAGCCTCCGATCAGGCGTTGTCGTCAGATGAGGAGGACCTTGTTTCAAGCCAAAACACACCGTCGGCAGAACCTGAGGCTCGCACTGCAAAAAGCCTCTCTTCCGCACTTGGAAAGCTACAACTTGACACCCCGCCAAACCCGAATCAGGCCCACCACAGCGCGACTCGGACTTGTACACCTGGCACTGATGCTTCGATTCTCGAGACCTCGATGTCGAAGCCTGAGAAGAAGAAGATGGAGCTACTAGACTTGCCTCTGGATGTGTTGAAGGAGATCGTCAAAGAGGTTCGTGAGGGGTTCTGGTCAAGTCCATCTCCGTTGTCCATCTGCCATAACATGCCGGGGACAAACGAGCTAACATACGCGCTCCATCATAGGTGACACACACGAACGACCTCACTTCCCTCGCACTAACATGCTCTGCCCTCCACAACCTCACCATCCCACACATGTACTCTCGCTTTGATATTGTCTGGCCTGAGTCGCTGAACCCTTCGACTGAAGACTACTCCGGGGTGGATGCTCTGTCCTACGGATTGTCCACACTGGTGATGGGTGAGGATGTATTCCATCAGATACCGCCGCCGAGATCCAATCAATTCTCACAAGTTTGCGCGCATTGTGGACATGGCGAGTCGCAGGCTGTCGCTCCCGGGTTCCAGTCGCGACGAGGAAACTACTATGCCCAATACACCCGCACGTTCTCGATCGGCAATGGCCCGTTGAGCTGGGTCCAGGAATACTCCGTGAATAGGGAGGTGGGCAAGATGCTAGGAACGCTCGTGGCTTTGGCAGTAGCTCGGATGGTCAATCTGGAGGCATTCATCTGGGACATGCCGACGGGTGTAGTCCGTGAGATCTGGCTTGCTCTTGCATCACTAGCCAACCGGCCGGGTCATGAGTGTCGGCTGGAGCGTGTTTGGGTGCGCTGGCATGACAATTCGGAGCATTTAATACGCCCCAATACTTCGCTCTTGTCGGGGCTACTCAGTTCCTTGAAGAACACCCATATCGAGCACCCTTCGCTATCAGTGTTGCCGCCGCTCAAGAGTGTAACAGTTCTCGACATAGATGAATCGGCTTATGTGGATGAGCTTGCAACCCTCATTGAGCGGTCTCGTCATCGCTTGATTGAATTGCGGGTTGGGATCTCTTCAAAAGCCAGTATGCTATCCTGGGTTCGGTGCGCTAAGGACAACGATGTCTCCTTCAACTCTCCGAAGTTGTGGCCTAGGGTTGGCGGTGTGCTTAGTATTTTGTCTAAGCGTGATGGACCCGCCCAGCAAGAGGACGCCTCTACAGACTCCACCGTTGAAGAGTCGGTGCCTTCGGAACCTACTACGTATGTTCCGTCGATGGAGCAATCTAACGAAGGGGAATCTGAAGCTCCACAAAGGATGAAATTGAGTGAAACACAGCCGTCTTCAGTGCCCGCCAATGAAAATGGACCTCTATCGTCCGCAGGCGTTCCCAAGTCCACTAACAAGACTTGTGTGCCATTCTATGGCACTCATACGAATAGTGATAAACTCAATCTCCAGGTCCTTGAGTTGGAGCGAATCCCCTTACATATGCCAACTCTTCTACCAACCATCGAGTGGACCCGGCTCACTACTCTTACCTTGATGGCATGTACGGACCATGAGAATCTCTGGAGAGCCTTGCGCCGAAAATATGCTCCTCCGCCTGTACCAGCTAACAAGCAACACAAAGGCGATCGTCGCCAAAGCCTTGATGCCACAGATTACTCCCTCAACCTCAAGCATTTACGGACGGATACCGTTTCCCCTTATCTGATGCTGTTCATCAAGGAGGCCATTGCTCCTAATACCCTAGAGAGCGTGTACTTGCACGAAGCACCTGACTACGATTCATCCGTCCCCATCGATGCCATCTACAAGCACATACTCCGCAGGCACCGGCTGAGTCTACGAAAGGTCCTAATTGATGCATCTGAGCGATTCATCACCGCCCCCGACATCACAACCAATCGGTGGCAGAAGTGGATATTCAACCACGAGATGATCTCGTTCGTCACAGGTGGTCGCATGCCGCAGTTACGGGAATTAGGAATGGCAATGGACCACCGCAACTGGCATCATTTCCTCCAACGACTCCCTAATATGCCACGACTGTACGCTCTCTACCTAACACACATCGGCAATACCGTCCAGCGGGATCTGAAAGAGCTCGCTCTTCAAGTGCTAGACATCGTCAGCATACGCCCAGACCTGAAAATCACCTACATCGGTCTACAAGCAAAATGCTATCAGATCTTGGAGGGAGGTCGCGACGGAAGCGAGCCGGAGTTTGACGAGTCGCATGCAGCGGATCACCATTCAAATGCAGACGAAGACGGCATCTCCGAAGATGACTCGATGGGCCCAACGGGCGATGATCACGACTTCCACGCACCAGATGACTCGGATCGCCTATCCAGCGATCTCTCTGACGGGTATGACTCCGAGCAGGAGGACGAGAGCGTATCGCGAGTGCGGTTCCGTCTGCAAGAGATTCTCTTTTACGATGACAAGATATCTATTTTCAAGACTCGGCATGGGGTGATTTGAGGAGGCGCCGTTTCCCTTTTTGGCTTACGCTGCTTCATTTTCCTCGACTCTGGTTTCTCTGGGCTCCCTTTCATTTACAGGCGTCGGATAGTTGTGGAGCTTGGGAATGCATGGGCTTTGATGATTCTGTTTTTAAGATACCATATGCACATCGCTTAGGATCAATTATGTTCATTATCAGAAATTCTAACTGCGTAAATCATCAGTAGTGAAACCCAAGGCAACAAACTATGGAGCTTGCCTGGTCTGATACTTAGCTGCCCGATTTCCATGAACCGAGTGTTTGTTGTGAACTCTGGTCATTCACTATTCGAATGGTAACTCCTGATCAAGTATGTAAGAGGGTTCTGAACCCATTCACAAAACGCGAGAACTTGATAAAATTCCAGTCTAAATTATACATAACAAGCTTTCGAACTGTGTCCTGTCGTGATATCACTTTATCTGCTCACTTTTCATCTCAACCACTAATTGGCGGACGAAAGTATTACCTCCGAGGCTCCCCTCGCGAGCAGGATGTCTTGGATGAATTGCGCTTGCTCATCTCGCCACGCTTCTAGCCCAACACGCTAACAAGCCTCTCTAGAAGAGCCAGGCTTAGGCTTCGGTTTTCACTGCCGAACAAGTGATAGCCATGAGACCTCCTTCCAACAAGTAATCCCTCATAAAACGTAGCCTTTTCCCTCTTTTTCTCGAAGACGAATTTGTGGATTTGTGTGCGTTTCAGAAAAAGCAGTGGCCAAGATGCAGATTTCTAAATTGCTTTTGTTGTTCGGTGTTTTGCTGTTGACAGGGGAATCCTTGGCTGCTCAGTGCAAGAACCCTCCCCAGCGCAAAGAGTGGTAAGAAACGTGTCTCATACATGTAATCTTCAAGGAACGAAGCTGACTTTCAACCAGGAGAGAGTTGACCAAGTCCGAGCGTTTGGATTATCCCAATGCAGTGACTTGCTTGGCCCACAAGCCGGGACGTCACTGGAGGTCTTGAAAATGCTACCAATCTTTTTCAAAGTTTCCAGGCAACTCACTCAGAGCAGACTCCGAACATTCACTGGGTGGTAAGTCCCACACCATATGTCAAAGATCTCTTGACTTTATTATCTCTTTGTCGATCATGCTGATCACAGCCGATTAGGGTCACTTCGCTTTATGGCATCGGTATTTTACCGCACCTATGAGCGTTACTTAAGAGGGGTATGCGGCTACAAGGGTGCCCAGCCGTAAGTATCTGCTTTAGTGTCGATCTTATTAGGTATGATGTGAATATTGACTGATGATTAATAGATACTGGAATTGGGCCCTCGATGCCTCCGCTACGGACAACTCATTGATGGCCATCTTCGAGACGGAGATCTTCGATAGCGAATACGGATTCGGTGGCAACGGAAAACCATTCCTGTCTGCAACTGCTGCTGAGAATCCCTTCGACCTCACAGGCCGTACTGGTGGTGGATGTGTCCAAGATGGTCCTTTCCGTAAGGGCAAATTTTTCATCAATGTAGGACAGCCCAAGGGCCAGTCTGACTGACTGCGCCGTGACTGATCCTTGGATCATGAACTACTTTGTGCGTCAAAGTATTGTTGATCATGTTGAGAGCCAGCCAGACTATACCTCATTTGCCCGTGCTTTGGAGAACATTCCCAGATTCTCCAGCCCAACATCCACGGCAGTCACCCCTTTGGCGTCGGCGGTGTTCTTGGCACACTTGGAAACTCCGCTCATCGCCCTGGTGGTAAGTCTACCTTCACTTGACTGGCAACATTCTCAATAGCTTATATACTGACATACGTAGACCCTCTGTTCTTCCTGCATCACTGCAACATTGATCGCGTCCTTTGGAACTGGCAGCAAAAGGATCTGCCCCGTCGTCTCCACGAGGTCGGCGGTCCTATTGAGCCACTTGATTACAGTGGTCAGAATGTGACTCTTGACTTTGAGATCAACATTGGCAAACTTGCCGGGAACGCAACCTTGGAGCAGCTACTCAACACCAAGGGTGATGTTCTCTGCTATGACTATTATACACCAGAGCTGGCTGCCCCGCAAGATGGTGGTAATACTGGTGGATGGCATTCTGGCCGTTATGCTAGACGCGGATAAGGAACTGAATACACATCGGGGCTAGATTTGCATATATAGGAGTGAGACTTCATGGCCTCGAATATTAATCGTCTTGCTGTAACTTAGAAGATAAAGCTGCGCCTACACGCATCATCTCCTGCCGCCAATAGTGGCTTCCATGCTATCAATTGGTCGCCCGGTTTCATCCAGGGATCTCCCGGGAGAACCCTGCAACCTCGGATTAGCAACAGACCTTAGAGAGTCTGCAGCTTAGGATCCGACTTAAGAAGACTCTCAACGTTGGCCATTGTTTTCGGGATAGCAGTAAAATCACACCAATAACCCCCATCTGCCTTGCTCATGATCTGAGAGTTAAATCTGGTCGGAAAATTGCGTTGAAGGGATTGACCAAAGACAAGAGGCACTGCTGCGATCTTCTGACTGGCATCCAACTCGCGACCCTCCTGTCTCATCACAGCCGGTCCAAAGTCAATATCGCGCCATGCTCCGGACCAATGTGTGATCGCGTAGCTGAGATCCGATGGCTCAACGACATGAAGGGGGTATTTCCGCTTGTACATCTCCTTGCTGACGGCCAAGCTGCGCTCGATATTTTTCAATTGAAGCTCTTCGTTGACTGCAAGGCGGTTCTTGTAAGCTACCTCCGCTAATGAGGTCTTTGCAATCGGAAGACGGCTAACGGCGAAGGATAGCGCATTGTGAAGATAGGGTTTGTCCGCTGGAAGAGCAGGATGACGTCCTCGAATATTAAGAGTCGTGCTAAGGGTCAGCATCTTCGAGGTCTTTCGGCCCAGGAAGGCGAACTTGGCGAGGATCGCAGTTATCACATCAGTGTTAGATAGTCTAGCAGCTTCCTCGCCGTATTTTGCCTTGATTACGCCCATACAGCGCTCGCGTAGGCCATCGACAATCTCGACTGGCAAAAACAGGGTCTTTCGAATTTCTTTCGAGTCCAGCACAAAACTCGGGATGAAAGGAATAAGCTTCGTGGCTTGCTCCCGACTGCTGAGAATGCGATATTTCCCCTTCATTCGCAGCTCTCTTTGCGAAAGTTTGGGACCGTCGAGCGCATTCAACGAGACCTTGAGAAACTCTGGCGGAGCTTCCCCTTGGAGAACACTCATCCAAGCATTGATCATGCTTCCAAAGCCCAGTTGATCGGATACTGCATGTGGGATATTCAATGCAACGATCGTGCTGTCGGTGTACTTAGTGATGTGTACGAAAAGCAAAGGTGCATTGGGTCTCTCGTATTTGCGTTCCACGGGCCATGTGGACGGTATCCATTCCCTCTCCATATCTGGGATATTGGAGGGTGCAAAGAACGGGCCAGATGTAGATGGAGGCCCTCTGGGTAACAAATTGATATCCTCCAAAGAGGAGTTTACTGAATTGTTTGTCCATTCGAACAAAAGATAAGCCGGAGGAAAAGGCTTAGGTAGACGATATTCGAGATCGGTCTTTTTGGGCTCAATTCGAGCTCCAAGAATTGGCAGATGATCTCTAATGAGTCGATCGAGAGAGTCTCGCATAGCTTCTTCATTGAGATTCTCGCGCACAACGAGAAACAACAGCGATCGAATGTTTTCCAGGGGCCGCCACTGATCTAAGGGTTTCAGGGGGAACGAGTTGGACCTCGCTGTGGATGTCACCATTTGTTGGGACTAGATTCCTTCCATTGGTCTCGGCCGCCATTGGCAATAGATCGGCTGGCAAGCCGTGTAAAAACAAGTTAGAGATCTAAAGGGGTAGCAAGCTTGGAACGAAAGAGATGGTATACACCAGGATTGAAGAGAATTAAGAATACGAGGAGTTGTTCAGCTGAAGCCAGCCTCGTGCTGACGGTAGGGTAAGCCGGTGATATACTTTCGCCGGGCCGAGTACTGGCCCTTTATGTCAGGTTCGGAGTCTAAGCTTAAAAAGGTTCGCGGCAACTTTAAATGCAGCCCAAACGCATGAAGATTGAGACACACGTTATTGGGTCGGAGATTTAGGCATTCGAAACACTTCTTTACACAATGTTTATGCAATTAGCATTGAATGATTTTCCTATCGTTCCAACTGTTAGAATGTAGTAACTCAAGAAGACGATTGGAGATGTGTTGAATGTTGATGAAGCTAAGATCTGATGAGATGTCAGAGGATCTCCAATAAGCAGGATCATAGTAAGTTTCTGGGCAATAGACCAGAGGCAGTACTCTGATCCTGGCTTTCTCCGTGTAGCAGCCATGGCCAATCTGGCAAAGAACAGATTTGGAGATTCTTAGGCTTCTAGGCCTGATAGAAAGAGGAAATATGCTAAGCAGGACGAGGAAGACGACTGAGACGACTGACAGGAAACTCACGGCCATGACAAAATAGCTATAATGAAAGCACGACTTTGGAACGAAGGACGAGAGCAGGACTCTTGATAGGTCAGGCCTGAAATACTGATGAATTCTCAATATCTATACAGAAATAACCCCACTTCAAGCATATTCGCGTTCAGCTAACACACTCGCTTCGATAGCATGTCTACGTTCCCGCTCATGTTCGCTAGAGTTATCCTTGAACACGTGGTCCATCTGCTCGAGTGTGTGACCCATAGTCTCCGGCATGAAGAAGAATGTCCAAATGCCGGAGAGCACACAGAATACAGCAAAGAATATGTAGGCCCCGTAGCCCGTGTCTTCCACCAAAGGAGGGGTGATAAGACCAATGATGAAGTTGTTCAACCAATTTGAACAAGTAGAGATGGCGACACCCTTGGCTCGGAGGGAAGATGGGAAGATTTCTAGAACATTCATTAGCGTTGGGTATCACAGGTATCCGGATCACCTGAGCTTACCAGAGGGTACTGCCCATGGAACAGGGCCCCATGTAGCTCCGAAAGCGACCATGTAGAACAGCAAGAATGCTGCACTGACCCATCCTTCCGTCCGATGTCCCTCCCAGTTCGAGCCAAACAGACCGACTAGGATTGCATTGACAATGTGTGAGATGGCCATCAAAACCGACCCGCCAAGCAAGAGCTTCCGGCGACCCAGAGTATCCATCGTCCAGACACTAGTCGTCACACCTACCAACTGCAGCACGTTCAAGATGCCCGACATGATAAGCTGCATGTTGGTGTCGAAACCCATCGTCTTGAACAAACTCGGAGAGTAGTAAATCAAGGCATTGATCCCGACAAACTGTTGAAAGAACATGATGCCGATACCGATGTGAGTTCGGCGCCAGCAGCCTTTCTTGAAGACATCCGCCCAAGAGGCCATCTCCAGCAGGATCGAGTTCTTGATGCCGCCGCCCTGTAGCTTCGGATGCTTTTCGACATTCATTTCCTGGTGGAATCGGACCTCGACTAAGATTTCCATGTACTCTTGGCGCACGCGCCTGTCCGAGGCTGGCAGGTTACGTAGTTTGGACAAACTTTGGAGTGCTTCCTCATTGCGACCCTTTGAGGCGAGCCATCGTGGTGAGAAGGGGAGGACGATCACACCGGCCGCGAGGATGAAGCCGGGAATCATCTGCAAGAGGAAGGGCAGACGCCACGACCATTCACCGGCCATGTATCGTGTTCCAAACGTGATCCAGTAAGCTATTACGATACCAAGCACGATACAGAATTCTTCGAGGACAAGCAGCGTTCCACGGCATTCTGGGGGACCTACACACAGCAGAAAGAGAGAAAAGGTATCAGTTTGCATATCTTGCAAATGAGGATAGGAGAACAAACTTACTGATCTCAGAGATATAGAGGGGAGCCACCATGGACAGCATTCCTATTCCCAAACCTCCAATCAATCGAGCCACCACGAGCATCGGGTATCCCACCGCGGCAGTTTGAAGAATCGACCCAATGGTGAAGATGACGACAGCCACGATAATGGAATATCGACGGGAGATCTTGTCGGCAATCCAGCCTTGATTTAGAGCGCCCAGCAGTGCACCCAGTTCAATCATCGCGGTCAATAGTCCCTTCCAGAATCCAGCACCGCTGCCCCCGACCCGCGGGAACTCCTCCAAGAACTGGTCCATCACCAGGATGACCGAGACGACACCCTGATCATAGCCAAAGACGAGACCACCCAGCGTGGAACAGGCCGCACACATCAACACAAACGGGTTGCTGACCAGACCTCTCAACCCCGGCGGGCCATACGGCTCCCGGTCAGCCGTGATATCCTCTGCATGATGCGTGAAGCCTTCCAGCGGAGTGTCTGGCGAGAATACCTTGCCCAGCTCAGCCTTGTCTACAACCGTGTCTGCCATTCCCACGCGAAAACAAGGTCTATAAGCGCAACTCTAGCAAAGAAGAGGAAGATGAAAAAGGAAGTACTCGGCGGTTTTCACCTCTTTGAGGAGGAAATTTCCGTTTCTGTCCAACCCTCAGAACCTAGCGTGGCCCAGGGCCATATTTATACCAGCCTCAGCTCGCATCTTCCCTGTCCTGCGTGGCCCTGGCCAGGCTCCCGACTATCACCCTCTCCTCCCCCTCCTCCTTACGCAGACGTGGTCACCTTGCACAAACCGAAGCACCGTGATTGGATGCTGGTGATACCAAGGACCGATTCCGGTATTGCGGGACCCTGCACAACCCGAGTCTCTCTCTCCAGTTTGGGGGGGTAACAGGCAGAGATGACGGAAGTGCGCGGTTTACCGGTCGCTGGGGCGCCGCAAAGGGGAATCTATGGGGATGATCCACAGCCCCGAGTCGTGCGTGGGGGAAATACGGGGAAATTGGGTGGTCAATCGTGTGAAACCGATTGACACTTGAAAACGGCTATTGGAAAGGCCATTTTTATCGGCGCCGACTGGCTGCGGAAAGTCTATTCTGGTGGATGAGAATGAGCCGTTGCTGAGAAGCCGTTGAACACGGCTCGAAGCTGGAGAAGGTCTTGTTCGATGATGTTCAATGGTTGCACGAGACTCGATGATAGTGGGTGACTTTAGGTACGTGAGTCTCTTTGCGAATCTCCCATCTCACTGGAACCTGCTGATTTTCACTCTCGAGAAACACTCAGAATCTCTGAAGTCGCCTGCAAACCCAAGATACCAAGATCATTCAGAGCATCTAACTTTCCCAAGCCTGGCCGATGTGGATCCCGCGCATCTCGGGCTCCCTCCGAGAGTTTCGTTACTTGCTCAGACCAGTCCAGGTTGGGACTAAATGCCGCTCACAAGAGGCAGATCCCTGCAGATGAGCATCGGGCACACTCGAAAGATGTGATAGGGTATTCGAATATCCGGCCAGATACTCTCATTCGGGCCGGTTCTCGTCGGCGTGGCAGCATGATGACATCCCGCGACTACAGCATACAAATGATGTTCGCATCTGATCGCTGTGCTGGGCAAACCTGACTTACACGGTCATTATTGTTTACGGGCAAGTCAACAACTCGTTAGCTAACTAGCAGTGATTTCCCCATGGGGTCTGATTTCAACAAGTCCACCCGGAATTCTCCAACGAGTTAGTGGTTGTTTCTTGTGGCCTTTTTGTTGTTTGTTACGAAACTGGCCCCTCTTCTTCCGCGGTGGAGCGGGTTGGGCTGGTCCTCATTCGGAAGACGGTCCCCGAGCCCGCAATCCAGTGAGACTACTGGCATCCTCGTTTTGGCTCTCTCCCCGTTTCTCTTTCCCTTTTCTCCTCCAAACGGATACCAGTTTCCGACCCCTCCAGCGACGTCACTCCTGCTGCCGACCCCCGCAGTCCAAGCCACCGTTCGCCGAGAATCCCTCCTGCACAAAGAAAGTACACAGACTCCCGCCAAACACTACCCACCCCCAGAACCATGGCTTCCTTCATAGAAGAGCTGTGGTCCAGCGTCTTCACGCCGGGCCCCACCCCGACGTTGTTGATCGCAACCAACGTAACCTTCGCCGCCCTCCAGCTCGTTCTCTTCATCCTCGGTCTAGCCACGTACAGCATCCATTTCGTTGCGTTGTCAGTGCTGTGCGCAGGGCTCTGGTATTCCATCAACTGGTTCGCGCACGAGGTGCGGCTCGCGCAGGCAGCACAGGAAGCTGAAAGGGAAAAGGAGGCCGAAACAGAGGCTGGGTCCACAGATAGGAAGAAGGATTCCGGCGTGGTGGACAGCGCCGACAGTGAGACAGAGACCGAGTCCTTTGCAGGGTCAAAGAAGGTTCCTGGGTCGTCCGCCGTTGCGACGGGCAGCGAGACTGCCTCCGCGAGACTACAACCCACCGAGCGCGATACCAAGAAGCGGCCGAGCACGGGCGGCGATAGTTCTGGATATGGGAGCACAGATAGCGAGTGGGAGAAGGTCGAGGATAAGAAGGCGTGAGGTCGCGAGAGAGCACCGGCACTCTGAGGGGTGGGCTTTGGCTGCCCCAAGCCTAGCAGCGACTTGCGGGCCTTCAGGGCAGAGGTGGTTTCTTATTTGATTCTTTCCTCTACGGACATGATGTCCGAGGTGACACGACACGACCTGATACGACCAGTCTCGCATTACCTTGTTCGTCGGACTTGGATTCCGTCGTACACAGCGTTCATCAGCTCTCATCACTTGTCTTTACTTCGCGGATCGTTATTTATTCCCTTTACCCATGTTGGAGACGCCACGCGATTCTCACAGAGTCAACCTCGGCGCACTCTGAGTAGCATCTCAGCTATTAGAGTAGACATCTCTTTCTTACAGCAGAATCTATACCCCCAAATGTTGATTTTTTTTTTCGAAGCAAACCCAAATGTAAACACTCAGTTGATGGTCGAGCGACCAGCGTCACGGGCCACGTGACTACGCGCCGCTTTCGAAGTTGCGAGCCTCCAAACACACTTCATTGTCGTTTGTTGATCGCACACCTCCAGCTTCCCGCAACTTGGGCTTGCTGAACATCGAATTCAGCTTCCTTCCACCATGCTGAAAGTACCCCGACCACAATGATATCCCCCGTCCCTCTCAATGCGGGCCGCCGACGCGTATTCGGCTCCGTCTTCTCCCCCACGTCACAACAAACTCGGCCACTCTTCGCCTCTAGCTCTGACCCCGACCAAACGCAACTCGCCTCTTTCCAATCCACTGTTTCCTCCTCGACGGTGAAAACGGCCTCCTTGGCCTCGCCTCAGCAAGAACAATTTCCTGAAGCTCGAGACCGAGAAACGTGGGACCAGGCCTGGTCTGCAGTGACGGCCTTTTTGGCCGTTCCTGACCAAGGGTTCGCCCCAATCTACGATGCGAGAGAGACTGATGGAAGTGATGCGCTGAAGGATTGGAATCGATTGAGTCCGCCGTCGAAAGAGACTGCCGAGGCACTGTCTTATTTGACGGCGGCAGAACAGCAGGGCAGTACGGCGTATGGAGCGACAGGGTTGAAGAGTTTGATCGACTGGTATGGTGATGAGATACGGCGGCACTTTCTGGGGAATCTTCGGAGTGGACTACATGAGGTATGTTTGGACGTGCGTTTGCGTATAGCAACCTAGTATTAACGGATCCATAGCTTTTGAAAACACCCGAGAAAGAGGGTTTGTTGCGGTCAATTGTGGACTGCTTGCAGCTTGCTCGTCGCATCTACTTTGCGCCCGTTGTTCATTATCTACTGCCTCTACTGCAAGCGCCGGAACAGGGAAGAGTCTTGACCCAGCTGCAACGTGGGTTCCATACGGTGGTCTCTTATTCGTTGCCGTGGTCCAAGATATCACCACTTCTGGGTGTGGAGCTGGCACAGGATGCCTTGATCATTTTGGGTATCGACACATTGCTCGGAGAGTCGGGCGAAACGGGTGAAGATGAAAACGAAGATGAAAGTGGCGAGGATAAGATGGAAGTCGATCCGCAATACTCAGTCTCGTATGAAGACTGGAAGAATGAAACCTCGGAGACGAGAGCCCATCTGATGACCGAGGGTGAAAATGAACAGGTTACAATGGCTCGAGACCGTCTTCTCGCGTTTCTCAATGGTCTGCAGCAGGTGGGGCTTGGCGGGGACAAAGCGCAAAAGGTGTTCGCCAGCGTGATGAATATTATGATGACCGACTTTGTCCGCGCCGCCTACACGGGTCAATGGGAGACGCCGTCATCAGTGCCGCAACATCTACGACATTGGATTGAGAATGTCTACGCACGACTGGCTGTACAGATTCTGGCGATCATACACACACCTCACGCCGGAAGTCAGCCTCCCAGTTCTTTGGATGTAAGCTTTGGCGACGTGGAAAAGTGGCAGGAGATAGGAATTGCTCGGCTAGGGGCTCTTCGTACCAGCGAGTTGTTCGATGTCATCGTTGATTGGCCAGCGAGTACGGGGGCTGTGGAAGACCTCCGGCATTTCACCACGCATCCTGCTGCTCGAGCTCATGTCACACAGTCGTTCATTACAATTCTGAACCAGAGACTGCTACACCCGGGTGCCTCGACCGTTGAGATCTTGCAATTGTACATCTCTATCATTCGGGCCTTTCATCTGCTCGACCCGAAAGGCGTTCTCTTGGATCGCATTGCTCGGCCAATCCGGCGGTATCTACGAGACCGTGATGATACTATCAAGGTCATAGTCAGTGGGCTTCTGGCTGAGCCCACAGCGGCCGGCGCAAAGACCCCGACATACGCTAATGACACCCTAGTCGAGCTGTCGACCGAGCTATCTAAGGCCCACCAGCTCTCTATGCAAAACAACACCAGTGAACTAGACTGGGATGATATGAACTGGATGCCCGACCCCGTCGATGCAGCACCGGACTATCGCAAGTCAAAGAGCTCCGACGTCATCGATAGCCTAGTCAGCTTATTCGACTCAAAAGAAACCTTCGTCAAAGAACTCCAGACCTTGCTCAGCGACCGTCTCCTCCAAAAGCGCAAGAATTACGACCAAGAAATTTCGGTCCTCGAGTTGCTTAAGGTGCGCTTCGGGGACTCGGCTCTACAAGCGTGCGAAGTAATGCTCCACGACATTTCAGACTCTCGCAAAGTCGACAAGTCTATTTGCAAAGAACAAGGTCTAAACAAACCGCCCGCTCGCCACGTCAAGCGCCCACCAAAGCCACCTGCCCCGGAGCTGCATTCTAAAATCCTCTCACGCTTCTTCTGGCCCACGCTTCAAGATCAAGAGTTCAAGATCCCCGACGAAATCGTCTCCCTACAGCGCAAATATGCCGCTGGCTTCGAAACCCTCAAGGCATCCCGCAAACTTACCTGGCGCAACGGGCTCGGCCAAGTCCTCGTCGAACTACAACTAGGCGATCGCGAATTCTCAGAAGAAGTCACCACCTGGCAAGCAACCGTCATCCACGCCTTCCACTCCGACCACGACGAAGACGCCACGCGAACCATTTCCAATCTATCCGAACAACTAGAAATGACACCCGCCCTCGTCCGCTCTGCCTGCTTATTCTGGGTAAGCAAGCGCATCCTCACCGAATCATCCCGCGACGAATACAGCGTCCTGGAATACCTCCCCTCCGAAGACGAAGACGAATTCGGCGTCTCAGGCGCAGATTCCGGCGAAGCAGATCTACAATCTGGAGATTTATCCACTGCAGCAGCCGCCGCTGAAGCCGCAGCAGCAGTCGCAGCCAAGGAAGCAGCCGAGGCTGCGGCCATGGAGAAGATGAACCTTTATTGGCAGTTCATCGTCGGAATGCTCACGAATCAGGGGGCGATGCCGCTGCAGCGGATTGTTATGATGCTGAAGATTGTTGTGCCGGGTGGGTTTCCGTTTAGTAATGAGGAGTTGAGGGAGTTTTTGGCGGGGATGGTGTCTCAGGGGAAGCTGGAGATTGCGAGCGGTGGGAATTATAAGCTTGTACATTGATTGGGGTGGGTGTGAAGGGGGTGGGAGGTGAAAGTCAGGAATATGCATTTGATTGGCGTTAGGTTGGAGCGGCTGATTACCTATACCCTAGGTTGTATGAATTATGACTGTATTTGAATTTGAGAAGATATGATGCACGTTTCTAGTGATGAGCCGCAGGTTTCAACCCCGTAATATAAAAGTGAGTAAATCGATTCCTGCTGCTGTTTACCTGACATCACTCTCGATACTTGTAATTGAAAGATGAATTTGGATCAAGCATCCATGCATTACCATGACTCACAGACAGGCCGTAGATTGCAATTATTGAGATGTTGATGAATATTCAGAGCACTCGTCACCATTCACTTCAGTCTTCGTACGACAAAACATTAATAATAGGTAGTGTTTCCATATGACATCCTACAACATATGGATGAACTACACACCCAGGGGCGTAGGTTTGACGGGTTCTTTAGGCGCCAGCTATCCATAACAAAGAACCAGAACGAACGGAGTACTCTACTTTGGATTCAGCCACATAGCCAGTCCTTAAGTGGTATTGTTCAGATACCAGCGGCGCACCAATGAAGTATAGAGTAAACCACAGACAGCAGGGCAGAAAAAAGGTATCATTGAACAGAAATTTACACATAATATCATCAGATCTACTCTGCATCCAACGGCGCAACAGGCGGCTGATCATCCACCTGAATGCCACCCCTCTTTTTCTCATTACTATCCCAAAACGGCAACTTCCAACCGCCCTCACTCTCCGGCGTCGCCAACCACAACCGCATAAGATGCCGTCTCGGCGTGGGCGGCGCATGATCCGTATACGAGGTCCGCGCATGGAAAATATGCGAATTAGACAAGAACTGGATATCGCCCACATCCAGAATCATATGCAGCGAGAGACGGTTGCATGTCTCCTCCAGCACCTTGAGAGCTTCCTGCTGGGCGTCGGAGAGAGGTGGGATGATGCCTGCGTCGGAGAAGCGGGTGAGGGAGCGGACGTAGTAGGGGTCCCATTTTGTGTAGACGCGGGCGTTTTCGCCGCGTTCGAGGTAGATGACGCTTGTGCGGATGTATTCGTCTTGGCCTTTGCTTGTTTCGCCTTTGCGGTCGAAGTACCAGATGGGTTCGATGAGGGTTTTGAGGACGTCGGGGCGTTCGACGGATAGGGTGTTGTAGACGTGGTGGGAGGAGACGATGTCTGATTCGCCGCCTTCGAGGGCTTTGGCGATGCAGAGGAGGCCGACGATGTCGGAGTCGTCGCAGTGGAAGAATTGGCTGTGCGGAATGGGTTAGCAGTTTGGATCGAAATAGGGTGACTCTGGGGGTAGGTAGTGCGGGCGGGACCATACCGAGCATTTGTGCGGTAGATGCGCACTTTATCAATCTGGGTCGCGTCCTCGCCGAGATCCTTGACGTGGCCCAGGACGTGGCCGCGGCTGTTTTGGCTGACGAAGTAGCCCAGGTAGGTGCCCAGTCCCATGTATGCGACGCCAGACTTGTGATTGCCCCATTTCTCGACGGGGAAACCCTTGAAGAGAATGAAGCCCTTTCCATCGATGATGTCCTTGCGGAGAGCTTCCAAGTACTTCGAAAGCTTCGGGAGAATGAAGTTGGACTAGATCGCCAGTAAGCTTACGAGTTATGTACCTCGGCTAGGTAGCTGTGAAACCTACCTTGGAGATACCAGTAAGAGGGGTCTTGGAAGCAAGGAACGCATCCGCGGCGATGCTCAGCTCCTCCACTTGCTCCTCCGTGAATCTATGTGTCCATTTCTCCGGGTTCTCGCGGTAATCCTCGGCCTTCCATACCGTGGGGCCAGTGATCTCGCGGGGGAAGCGCTCAAAGGGCACAATATGATCGTAAAGCGGGGGATGTTGACCAGTCGTCTTCAAGCCATCGGGAAAGATATCCAGCGGAGCAGTACCAGCCAAATTATGGGGCGCTGTAGGAAGCGCATCTGTAAGAGCGGGAGCCATGATAGATGTGAGACGCAAATACAGAAGCTTTTGGCAGGTCGAACAAGGGAAAAGAGATACGAGAAAAAGAGGGTTGAATTATATCGTGATAATGACCTGCAGAGGAGGCGCTAGTCCTATTTATAATTTGACAGTCCCGGCCGAGATCTGAACGGCGAGATGGAATGTCGTCTTGTCTGTGAGGGTTATCAAAGGTGAGGAATCGAGTCGCCAGTATGGCGTGCGAGGGTTGCGCTCCACACTCTCATAGGACAGGACATGCTGAGTGAGAACTCCAATAGGGTAAAACGGGTTTCACGGATGTTGCGCGCGGTACACTTACCAAAATAATTATGCCGAATGGAGTTGCAACGTCTTGGTGGTTGCGCTTGAGTGGCCGAGTCGAGTTGATTGGGAGACTTGGGCGGGGGATGGCGCAATTGGCGGGGGTCGATGTTGTGATGACTACGACCGCTCTTCGGGTGGTTAACTAACTAACTAAGTTACGTGAGATTATGTACTCCGTATAGGCACAAATTCCACACCTCAGATTGATATAGAGACCTTGAGCTGGGCGCATTAGTATGGATGGCGTTGTTATTTGTAGAATCGCAATTCCTATGCGGCTATGTGAATCTCGTAGGTCACAGCATATGGATAATGGGATGGATGTTGGATTAAAGATCAACAAAGCTGGCCCGGCTGGTCGGCACCAACCCGACAGCCCGAAAGAGAAGCTAACTAGCCAAACACATACGCAGTAACAAACCTCTCAGTTACGTGGAAGGCTGCTTGAAGAACTACTCGGCCGATAATTATAGCTGGGCCAATGTGTGCAGATTCTTCTCTCGAACATGGAGTCTGTAGACAATGTTTGAAGATCATCTTGTATCATCTGGGACTCGTCGTGATTGGCTGATTAATTGTTGAATCCAAAGTGTCGCAAATAAAGGTGCGTGCCTTCTCGGGCGAGAGAAGATTAGATCTGATAAACGTGGATAAGATGATGTTATCGAGCCTCCGAATCGCACACTTTCTTATTGGTTGCTTTTGCGAGTATGATAATATCTCTTCGGTTGACTAGAAACTCCTGTACAAGTACATATGACAGACAATCCTTTCCTACCTTTCTAATCTCTAATTTTTACTATACAGGCAAAGAATTTGGATCTTCCAAACTTGGTGTCTTCCAACTTCCCAGGCGTACCCTGAGGCACCAAATTACGCGGATTATGTTTCCTTCCTAGTTCGAAAACCGCAGTAACCTCTTGGATTGCTAATACCTCCTCACAACGACCGAGGACGTCGACTCTCATACGCTATACTCCAAACTATGACTTACTATCAACAAGTCAAAGTAGTCTCGGTCCTCTCCTCGCCATGACTAACAAGTTGGACCCTGGGGCGCCGTCCCAAACTCTGGCCAGTGCAGACAAGGATTGAGCTTCCTTTTTCGGGGGGCCATCCCCACCAGATCATCCACGAGGAACCACCACCACATCCTTATCAGGCATTCGGATGCGATCCGACGCCCTATCAGTAACCTTCAACGCGCCTATGTGGTGATCAAGCAAAGATTGCTTGAGATCAGTCCTTCTTTGTACAATCTCCGATTATTGCATTTGGTGCCTTCTCCTCGTTCAACAGCTTGACCGTCCTCTCCGCACATTCCTCTCACTTTCATACTTTCTATCCTTCATATCGCCCGCATATCTACATTTCTCCACATCTCAACACATGGCCCTCCACCGCATCCACGTCGCGGTCCTAGACACCGACGTGCCGTGTGCATCAATCTACATCAAGCGAGGCCTCTACAGCTCCCAGTTCCGTGTCCTGCTTCAAGCGGCCGCAGAACGCATCAACAAACATGCCAATATCAATCCTCAAGACGGCCCGCTAGCCGTACACGTCACGGCCTTTGACGTCGTAGGCGGCTCACTCCCACCCCTCAACGCTCTTCGCACAACCCCACGAACCTCAACCGAGTCTCACATCGGGCCCTTCAGTGCCATCGACGCAATCATCATTACCGGATCTGGCGCATCGGCATACGACCAGATCCCCTGGATTACCGAGCTTCAGTCCTTCATCCAGACAGTTTACACAGACTACCCACTGGTGAAGCTATTCGGCGCCTGCTTCGGCCACCAGCTCATCGCGCAGGCACTACTCTCCACGCCTACCAGCCATGTACCTCTCACAAACACGTTCAACGTGCAACCCGCACAGACGGGCTTCGAAGTGGGCATCCACCCCATCACCCTAGACCCCTCATTCACCGCGCAATTCCCATCCCTCGCCCGCACAGCTTCCAAAGGCCCCCTTCGCCTCCAGTTAATCCACGGCGACCAGGTCCTGCCCACCCCGCAAGCCGTCGCCGCAGCTACATCTACCGGACAAACGTCCGTCTCGCTCCCGGCACCGTGGATGAGTATCGGCAAGAGCGCAGCTTGCCCTGTCCAGGGGTTGTATAACCCTGGCCGGGTCCTGACGTATCAGGCCCATGTGGAGTTTGACACGTTTGTGACTGGCGAGTTGGCCCGTGAATTTGGACGGCGCATGGGTTGGTCGTTTGATGTGGTTGCCGGGTACTTGGATCGGATTAATGAAGCGTGGGTTCCTGGACAAGATGATGATGATGACTCTAAGGCTGCGGCGGAGGCGGTGGTGCTTTTCTTTGCGGGTCTTGAGCAGGGCTGCTTGAAGTTTGAGGGTGTGCAGCTTGTGGATGGATTGATGACGCCGCCGCTTGAGGAGATTTCCGCGTGAGCGTGATTTGAACGGATTTCCTCTTGAGATGCTTCTTTTCATTCAGTGTTTCTGAGAGGCACTTGTCGGGGCTTTTTCTGGATGGCATGCTTTGCGCCTACGCAGACATTTTTGTTCGATCTGTTACGCGCTGACAACCGGAGTTTCCCGACATTTGAATCATCTCGAATCATGTTGAGGGTGATTACATACTGCCATTGCGGTCGACAGCCCCTCGATAGTGGCAAGAATTGAGTTGCCTGGAGAGTCGTCAGTAGACCCTGCGTCTCTGCGACACGGTTGGTATGTTGATTCTGCAGGGATAGTAAGGAGGAAGTGACTGTGCATACACAATACCCAAAGACGAAGAAGGTGTGCTAGCGAACCTGTTTCTTGATACATTCCTCTAGTGAGGACGCATTTGAGCGACGATATATTCCAATTGATTCAATATATGAAACTTGCCTGGTCCAAAAATAGTTCAGACATACAGTATTCTTACTGTAGATAGTGGGAAACACTTTCCCGATACATAGCTCGTAGGCCCCGCAATGCGTGTACCCCTCAAAGATCGGAGAAGTCTCGGGCAACCTCCGGCGCATGAAGATGAAAGTTATCCCAGCGATAGGTTATTCAAAGATTTGAAATTGGAGCTTAGGCTTGAATTGATAACCGCGCCTAAAGATAGCAAGAGAACTATTAGTACAAGAGCTCAAAATCAAAATCAATGGACATTTGACTCGTGGTAATAATACCTTACCCCTCGGGCCCTAGCTAAGCGTCTATTAGAACTTACTCAGGTCCTCCGTATGTATCCAGATTGATAACCAGGACTCAGGTGAACCCCCCTTCCCAAATATTGACGCACGAGCGGTTCGCTAGCTGGATTTGTATTGTAGCTTCTCCATACTCCTTACAGTAGTGTTAGGAGTAGGAGGAACTGGAACTAGGCGATAAAGCTACCCAGATACACAGACCATACTGTAGTAACTGTACTCCGTACAGAGTACTAGTACTGTATGTACCCACAGCCCACAGCAAGGTCGTACCGAGAACGGCGCAAATCTCCACCGTGACAGATCTCCGCTCCGCCGTTTCGGGACCACACCCCACCAGCTAACCAGCTCAGCACATACAGAGGGTAAAAGCGATCAGACAGGAGACGACAGTAGTAGCTACAGGACGTAGTATGTAGTTTGGGATAAGGGGATTGCAGAAGCAATTACAATTTATCGGGGAGGTATCAACAACAAGACTAAATAGACTAGAGTAGAGGAGATACCTCCAACAAAGCTGATTCCTATTCCACAAACCACTTAACTCGTCTGCATACAGGGTACTGTAGCTACCGGCCAAGCTATATACCTATACTTCGTCCCAGCACCACCGACGTCGGTAAATCCAAGTACCCCGTATACGGAGCACATAGGTTTTTTTTTTTTTTTTTTTCCCCTTCCTTCCCCCTTCCTCGCAACAGTTCTCCTCATCCTCCTCCTCCCCATCCCCTCCCTGCATCTGCACGGCCATCCCCATCCGGGATGGCGCCCTTACCGAAAGACGCCGTCCACCAATGACGATGCAGATAATTGTGCCCATTGGGACTCCACTGGCCGGTTGGAAAAAGCCAATCATGCTGCTTTGGTATGCTCTTCATCGGCATGTGCCCCGTGCTGGGTGGAGTCGGGTAAACTCAGCGATGGGTGTATTACCTCCACTGGTAAATTGTAATTTATGATGGTACGCGTGGTGTGTGGGAATTAGAGTTGGAGTTGGACGGGCGAGGTCGGAAGGGGGGGAGGGGGGGAGGACAGTAGTTTAGTACGGACTCCAGTACTGGGCAGTGGGAGGGGGAGTTGAGAGGGGAAAATCTGGATGGAATACAAAATAGGTACCTATAAATACTATGAATGCTATCTCTGTCTCGCGCAATGGATAAGCACAGCTCCCAAGGCCAGGTTCCCGTAGCCAGCCTCGGTATCGCACGGCACCGGACCCGAGCTGGGAACCTGAGACGCTGAGATCTCCGTTTCCTTTGTGTGTTTCGCTGGGGAGGCCACCAGAAATAAACTCTTTGTAGTCATTGTTTTTTTTTTCTGAGGCAGATGGATCCAATCTGGAACCTCTATTTTAACCCTCCCTGTATTCTTTTATTCTGTCTATACATAGAACTATCATCCACAGGTCTCGTCGCAGCTGTTCCATGTAATCACGTCCATGTCCTCCGTACTTCGTACCGTATCCATGTATATCTTACCCGCCGTAAGTATCTCCGGTGAGCCGGGTATCGGTAATACACCACGTAACGTGGCGCTAAGGGCCTTTGCCACCCGGAGCTCCCCTCCTTCGCTCGAGAGCTTCTGGAATTTCGAGAGCTTCGAGCTGGGGAGAGCTTCGGAGGGGCCGCTGATAGCGCCTATCGTGACCTCCCCATCCCCTCGTTCAACGCTTATCGAGGGGTACGGAAAAGAGCATTCGAGCCACCATCTACTGGATATAATTCTGGTAGAACAGAATTCGGAAAGGAATTTCATAGGAACAAGTGACAACTGTCAATCTGATCCTCCAGCTTCCTTCGGCGTTCCACCGGGCTTTCCGAAGCCGTAAAATGACCGTACGCACGATCCCCAGCTCCGATTAGAAGGTGGATATTAAGCCAGGAGGGTCGGAGTACCTCCCTCTCTTGCGCATATGTACATCATGCATGCGATTGCGGGCCACACCCATCTCCAGCTAGGGCTGGACTGGAGCTGAGCAGAGGTAGATCTCTATTTTAACTAGGTTACAGTAGATTTTGATGATGACTGAAGACTGTCGAGAGGGGGGGGATCGAATTTTCAGCTGTGCCTGGGACGAAGAAACAAGCAAATAAAAAACGGTAGGGACGGGGGGGGGATTACCGTTTGGTACGGTCATTACACGCTCTCTTTTCGAGGGAACCGGCTGGCGAAGCGGGCATGGGTGTTCTTTAATTGTCACCAACTGGGTAACTTTGGGGTACTCTCGTTACGCTGACCAGCTTACCCAGCCCGTCTTTTCCTGTGCCACTCGATGAGCCGCGCTTTCGTTCATCCTTTTCTTCCTTTCTCTCCTCCCCACCAGATCATTCGAATGGGCTATTTTTGCGCCCGTTGTGATCCTCACTTCCTTTGTCCTCGACGTATATATACATTCCCGGGTCCTCCTGCTCTCCGACCCCGCCGAATCCCCCGCACAGACTGAGATTCAAGAGTACGAAGGACAGGCCACAGTGCGACAGCCAGAGACCGAGAGACAGACACAGAGAGAGAGGGAGGGAAGAGCACATATGCACCATGCCTCCACGAAGCTCGCTGACGAGCTCGTTCTCGGTCACCGACGCCAACAACGAAGTCATTTGTCCCTTGAAAAATAACGATGGATCCAGCTGTCGCAAGCGCTGTACAGGAGTAAGTTGGTTCCTTTGTCCTTTTTCTTCTACTTCGTCTTCATTTGCCTCGCCTTTCGCCGTCTGTCCCCCCCCCCCCCGTCGGGTCACTTTTGCCCTCGAACCCCACCTTATCGCCATCACGGCGGATGCGTGGGATGCAATGGCGTGGGAATTTAACCCTCCCTTACAATTAATCAGATGCAAAATCGTCCAGATCAAAAGCTGCGCTGTAGCTAACCTTGCTGCATAGGAAAAGCGCTATCGCTCCATGCAGGAGCACATCCGACGTGCGCATCCGAACCACTACATCCCGAAGCTCCCGGCTACCGAGGAGAGCTTCCTGCTCATGGTGACCACCCCGCCCGAGCAACGTGCCCACTTGTCTCCTCCAGAACCAGCTCGTCCGCGACGCCCTCATGGTCATGGTAAGTTCTGGCGCCCGGGGGGTTTTTTTCTTCAATGGGTTTCTTCATCTGCTTCTTCCCCCCCGAAGGACAGGGATTTGCTAACGGTTACTCGCAGATATCGCGGATAGAGACATCTACGTTGCTGATCCCAGCTCCCCGGCCACCCCTCGAGCTCTGGATGAAACCCACCCCGCCGCTGCGACCGCAGCCGTTGCGCTCGCTCAATTGCATCACCACCGTTTGGCCTCGGACTGGGACACTGATATGGTATGTACTTTTCTAGCTCCTTATGCTTCTCCTCCCCGCCATTCTCCATGAGATAATTGACTAACACTTTCCCCGCGCTCTTTACCCCACAGGACACCCACTCCGACACCGATATTCATCAAGGCCGCATGCGCTCTTCCATTGAACTCCCATCGCTGCGCGACCACTTCAAGCAAGAATCTCTGTCGCACTTCTCTTCGCCCCGCCCGCGGACACTCCTCCCGTCCATCCTCAATCACTCGCCGCCCGGTCGCTCCTCGACTCTGCCCCCGATCCAGCGACGAGACAAGCTTTCCACCCCGCGCAAATCATCCATTGCCCAGTCGGCCCGCAAAGCCAAGCACGACCGCCCGAAATCAAAAGAATTCGGTCGGCGCCCGAGTCTCGGCGATCGCAAGGCCCTGTCCGCAGAGCCGCAGACCGCTGCGTGGGCACAGGGCAAGCGCTGGGAGGATCTCATTGAAGCGGCTACATCCGCGACGGAAGCTGATGATGAGCGGTATTCCGAGGTCAGTTTGAGCGACACCCAGTCTAGCGATCCGAGAATTGACATGATGGAACTTGATTTCCAGGCTGGTCAGTCCCCGACGATTGCTCCACTGTTTGCGAACGTGACCTCTGCGCCCTCGGGACTCAAGAACCGGTCTTCTTTACCCCCAGCGTTCCAATCCGGCTCAGGGCTTCCGCCAATCTCGTCGCACCGACCGTTCCCGCCTCATTCATATGCCGCTTCGCCATTACACAAGTCGCTCACGCCCCCGCCATTCGAAGGCCACCGCGGTCGCGACAGCGATCTGGAGCCCTTCCCATCCATTGAGTCCTCGCTCGACTCCATGTCTTCCGCCTCGGGCAAGAATTTCCCCTCGTCAGCTTCCGGCATCGCGCGCTCTATCAATTCGGACTCCAGTCCCGTGTTGAACCTCATCCCACCAATTTCCCAACAACGCCAGCACCACCGCTTCTCAAACCCCACGCCTGCGTCATTCCGGAATAACGACATCCAGATCTATTGCGCACAGTGCAAGCGACCCTGGCCCCTGAACGAATGCTATGCCTGTACGGAGTGCATTTGCGGCGTGTGTCGCGAGTGTGTCAGCTTGTTCATCTCCAGCCCGCCCGCCTCCTTCCGCAGTCCCGGTAATGGCTTGCTGAACAATGCTCCGCCCCCAGGCCCGACGAGCTACCCGAGTGCCAGGGGATGTCCGCGCTGCCGAACGACTGGAGGCAAGTGGAAGGCTTTCCAGATTGATATCAAGTGATCTACTCACTACTTCACCCATGGCCACGACCTCGACGGCATGCAGCAACTCAAGAGATGATGTGGGTTTTTACGGATGTTATGAATTATGCCTTTGAGATATACGGTCCTTCCTTTTTGTTTACTTTGATTCGTCTTTTTTTTTGGACGGGCGCTAGGGTGGAGTGAATCACTTCTACTGCACGACACGGTCCTGAAATCTCAACCTCAACCTCAATCTCAATCAGCTCCTTGACTCGACAGGGAAGACAGGACCTGTCGCAAGATGCGCCATTTGATTGGAGTATATCTTCGGTGCCGGACTCCGCATTGAAGATTAAAAAAATTGCAAATAAGCTGGTTCTTTTTTTGCAGTGGACAGAGATGGTCTTTCTTTTTCTTCCTTGGTCTCCTGCCACGTTCCCGTTCCCTTTTCTTTTTCCTTCTGTTTCATGCCCTTGGTTTTTACGGGTACCGGTGGCATATTGGGGGGTTTATAGGGGTTTATTTTTCTAGTTGGAATTTGAGGTTTCAATTTCTCGTCATTTCTTTTTTTGTCTCACGTTTCAATGTTTTATGTCTATCTTGATGGTTACGTCTGTCTATGTTGATGTTTTATGTCCATGCTTCGGTTTCGTCCTTCATGAGTAAGGTTATGTGTTTTTTTTTCTGTTCTGTCACTTCTCATTCGGCCTTTCATTTCCACATTCACTGCTCCCTTGTGACGTGTGACGTGATCTTGTGCTACTGTCTACTATCTTCTTCGGTCTAGTATCTAGTCTTGATGTTATCATGGTATAGAAGAGAGTTGATGGGATGAAATGGTGGGAATAGCAGGAAGCGGATCTTGGTCGAAGATACTGGCTATGATTAGTCTGTCTTTCCTCTGCTTTTTCTCTTTGGGGGTTTGGTGGTTATCTCGTTTGTTTCAGTTCAGATTCATATTCATTCTCATACACATTTTGGAGTATATTTGTCAATTTACCTGATCTTGATTATATGTCTATTTGTTTCTATTATAGGAGGCATTCTTTTTTTAACTTAACAGTATCTTTCGCTCTTTTCTGTTCAAATGTGTAATTGGGCTTGAATAGGTTCCTAATGGTATCACGTTGAGACTTTGGTTACCAATAGCATCTATCATGAGTCAATCATCTTACTTATTTATATAACTAGTAGCAACGCCCTGCCTTGAAACGCTTAGATCGAATCTTCGACTTGTACATTCAACCTCCAAAACGCAACATGAAATCTAACTCGAATAAACACAAAACTCCATCTCTGACCCCCTCTATGCAACTCCTCTATCCTAAACCAAAGTAATACCCGTATAACACCCATCATTCCTCACCAACTCTACCTTCATCCCATCATCCAATCCAACAGAATACAAACTGCCCCCCAAATCCGCCACATACATAATATTATTCGCCCGATCCAACTTCAACCCAATCGGCTCATGGAAATGTCTCGCCAGAATAACCTTGTGCATATCAACCTGCTCCCCACCAACATACGCCCGATACAACGCACACCCCATGGGGTGCTCCCCCCGATCCGTCCAGTACAAAGTCTGCGTATCACTATCAATCTCGATATCAATCGGCTCCGGCAACCCATCAAACAAACACTCGATATCAGAGCGAGTCTCCGCCGTCTCGCCAGGCGGAATGTCAAGGCCTGCGCGGAAAATCCGGCCTCGCCCGCCCTTACTCGGGCCCCGCTGCGTCCAGTATATGTGCCCGTGTTCCTCGTCGAGGGCGATGCCCACGCACCACAGCCGCATCTGCTCGCCGAGCTTCATGTCTGCGGTAGCGCGGCGCTGCATGACGATCTCGTGGTTGCTCCCGTCGTAGCACACGCGGTGTATACTTGTGCCCTCGCGGTCGCAGATATACAGCTGTTTCCGCGCATCCCTGACGGAGATCTGTTTCGGCGTGTGTACTTTGCCCTTGGGGATGACACAGCGGACTTGACTTCCGTCCATATTGGCCGTCCACACCGAGCCATCGCAAGCAGCGGTGCTGCGGCCCATGTTCGTCCAGAAAATGCGCTGGCATTCGAGCGAGACGTCGATGCCGTCGGGCAGATTCTGGCCCACGACGACCGGGGTGAGTTTCTGCGTTGCCAGGTTCAGGCGCAGGATTTTGCCGTTGGTGTGCACCTGGGAGACGTCGCGGGCGTTGCCGCCCAGGCCTACGTCCAGCAGGTAGATGTCCTTTGCTGCGGTGGGGGGGTTTGCGGGCTGGGCTTGTGCGGTGGCAGATTTGACGGTTGGAGGGTAGAGGCCGCCCTTTTCGCTCTTTTTGCCGAGTCGGCCCTGCTTGATGTAGTGTTCTCGTAGCCAGTTGACTGTCTTTGCGGGATCCAGGCCGCGCTCTTGCACGTAGTTGTCTTCGATGTAGGCTACGGTGTCGAGGCCGACTTGGTCCATTAGTTGGCAGGGCAGGGGTCCGTTTTTGAACATGTGTTCCCAGAGAAGATCGATTTCGCTGGGGTCGCTGACACCTTCGGAGAGGATGTTCATGATCTCGCGTTTCACTGCGGCCCAGAGCCGGTTGAAGATGAATCTGGCAGGAGTCAAGGATTAGTTCTGGTGGTAACGTAAAGTAAAGTGGAAAGCAGGGAGAAGTGATAACGCACCCTGTCGACTCTCGTCGCGCAGTAACCGGCAACAGTCCACATTCGCCCATCACATCCTCCAGGTAGGAGAAAATCTGGGGATCCGTCTCTCCGCAGGTCATCATCTCCACGGTCCGAATCATGGGCGGCATCGTGAAATGGATATTGAGGAATCTCTTCTTCCGCTCAGAAGATACCTTGGACGACATCAAACTCGACTTGAAAGAAGAGCTGTTCGACCCAATAATACAATCCGCCGGACATCTCTCATCCAGCTCACGGAAAGTCTCAATCTTAAGATCCAGCTTCTCAGGAATAGCCTCGATAACCAACCACGCATTACTAACAGCGGGCCCGATCTCCGTAAAGGTCTTGTAATTGCCAAAAGGCGCCTGGGTGTACGACTCAAAGTCGACAGTCGAAACGCCCGTGTCGCACAGTCCAGCATCGACAATTTGGTTGTCATTGTGCGTCTCGTCGGCATCTCGGGATGATCCCTTGTCTTTGCTGATGCGTGGCATCAACGAGTACTCCTGCTTGTGGGCGTCGATGTAATCCACGACACCCTGCAACGCGGCGGTTGATGGATCCCGGACGTGCACATTGTAGCCAGCTGCCACGAAGACGCAGCCGATACGTCGGCCCAAGACGCCGCCGCCAATGATGGCTACAGGGCGGTCGGTGCGAGGTTTGACTGCCATTACAGCAGAGTTTGGTTGGAATCAAGAGGAGGGAAGAGAGGTAGGTTTCATAAGATATGCGAGGATTGAGGGTATGTGTCTATCGATATGACGTATGATGAGGGTGGAAGGCAAGAGGCAACTCCTACGGCGAGGCCGTTTATATATGTGTTATCAAGAGTCAAACATAGTGTCTGTTACCTGGTAGGCATGTATGCACGTTGACAATCATATCCCAGGGTTCTACTTTCATTAGACGCTCCATAAAAGTGTGCCACCGGAAACCCGGCATCAAGAACAGGAAGGGTGGTCCTGAGTATACCCATTTCGGACATATCCAGGCTCCGGAAGACTCGGGCTGGGGGTAAATCTTCCCAGAAATGCGTTTATACTGAATCGATCTATGACCCGGTTGCATGTAGATCCACCAAGGTGTTGGAAACTAGGCCCGTTCCTCGCGGGACTGATAGACGGAGCGGATTCGGCTCGGATTCGGTACGGAGACACTTCGGACGTTATCGGGTTGCCGAGGATATTCTTGGTCGGCGAAGGTTTTGGGGTTCGTTAGTCTTTGATTTTTCTATTGCCTGATCGAGTTCACCTCTCCGAGCTTATCTCATAGTGTGGATAGAGGTAGACCGTGGGATGGGATAGAGGTGGGCCTTCGCAGAGCTCTGAATATCACTACGTGCCGGATGGGTCCAGGTCAAAAATACAGGTTTAGAGAGGATTTCTATGTTCTTAGTTCTCCAAAGGATGTTCAGTGACTGGGGCATATAAAATTTCATTTGTCTATCCTGCTCAAGACCTATCTATTGATGCAAATCATCTAAAACAAATTACTCTTCACCACAGCTATCTAGAACAAAAACACCTGGTCCGTAGCCTTTGACAGAACACCCGGCTCTTTCCACCCAAGTCCAGCAAGCGCCTTCTTCATGGCATTGATCATCGGAGGCGGACCGCACAGTAGCATTTTGTTGGTCTCATCCGCAGGCGCCAGATACTCCTTGATCAAGTCCTGGCTAACAAAACCTCTATGTCCATTCCAACTCTCTCCAGCTTGCGAGAGCACATACTGCACTTGAAACTTGTTCGGGAATCTCATCGCAAAATCATCCAGCTCCTTCCGCAGCAAGATGTCCTCCTCCGTGTTATTTGCGTAGAGGAGACTCATATGTGTCGAATCTGTCTCGTCATCGCAGATTGCACGGATCAGCTGGTACATAGGCGTGATACCAGTTCCACCAGCGATCATGCCAATTTGTTTGGCGTATGTGGTACTATACTGCATAGCACCCTTGGGCCCTCGGATTTCAATCGTGTCACCGATTTGCATAGATTCCAGGTGCTTGGTCATCAGGCCCTGTGGGTATACCTTGACTAACAGTTCGATTCGTCCCAAGTCCGTATTGTTCGAGACTGGGGTATACGAGCGCGAGACACTTTGGCCATTGATTGTAGCTCGTAGCGCGATGTGTTGACCAGTCGGGAGGCCCAGGACATCGTCGGTATTCGGAAGACCAAACACGAAGCGGTATACATTGGGTGCAACCGAGTCCTTGCGGACGAGTGGGAAATGCTTCCATTTCCGAGGATCGAGTGGGGGCTCGCGTTTCGATTTGCCAGCCTTGCTGCTTTCTGCTGGCAATCTCTTTCGGAATATGATCTTGTCGGTGCGTGTGGTGCGGTGTGGAGGGTAGTGGGTGAACTCCTGCTGAACGTCCAACTTGGTCGATAGCCACATTGTCAGGCCCGTTGTGAGAGACAACTGCGCAACGCTTGCAATGCCAAATCCAGACCAGAACTGGCCGGAGGTAGAGCGGTTGGAGAGGAGAGTCGAAGCGTGGATTGACAGTTGTTTGAGCGACTCAAGAGTGGGTCTCCATCCTTGCCGGTAGCCATGGACTGCTGCTGCACCCAGAGCGCCAGTAAAGCCAAGTTTGACAAGAATGGCAATGGCGGAGTGCTTAGAGGTTTTTTTCACATTGATTGCTGCCGTTTGAGCAACTTGTTCAAAGGTCGGGCGATAGACTTCGATGGTCTCGGCGTGCTCCTGAATGATTTGTTAGATTGATGTGGAATTGATTTGAGAAAGAGCTGCATGTAGCACTTACCTCAGTTGGAAGATCTCCAATATGATATTTCTCAAGTTCTTCCCGGGCTTCATCAGAGTGTCCAGTCTCTTCAAATGATTCAGTAGCATCAGTGCCAGCAACTTCAATCAAAATAGCACTGCCTCCGGGGTGATCTTCAAGATATTTGGTAATATCATAGACCTTGTTATGCAGAATAATCCACAAATCGTCGGCCTTGTTATGTTTCTGCACTTCGTCGAGTGTATACATCGTGAAATATAATGTAGACGGCGGCTAACTTCATGCAACGAATTCGTGCTGCATCGGGTATATATAAGATCGCACCTCGGGTTCCCAATATTCTCTTTCACTCATCGGATATCTTCGGACCAAGAAAAACTCCATTCTCGGCCCGACAGCAATGGGAACTCGTCCTGCGATGCAAATAACCTCATTTTGACTGGTGCGCCACCGGCCCACATGCCTTTCGTGCGAAGTTCGCACGAGTTTCGGAGCCAACGGAGACCCTCTTGCAGCAAGGATTGACGTTACCTCCACTCATTCTGGATAATCGGCATGCATGGCAGCCTCGCCAATATTCATTCCGGCCCGATGGGTGATATATAAGGGCAGTTGCCGTGATGGCCACTATGGACCAGCAAGGCTGGAATCAACAAGTTCGTCACCATGCCCATCCCCAGCGGCACATCACCAAATCTTAATCCTTCATTCTACTTGATCGGAGATGACCTCTCAACCGCTCAGTCGGTTACACTTGACGCAAAATGGAAACTTGAAGATGTGAAACGAGCTGTTGGTGGTTTCTTCCACGTGGCTCAGCCATTAGGTAGGCATCTGTCAATGAATATAAAGTCTTCTTGGCTAACATCAACAGGTCTGAGCTTCCACGTCGGTGATAGCAACCAAGAGCTTACCACAGTTGACGAAATCCTCTGCACACCTTCATCCACCAATCCTATCGGCCTCCGTGTCGATGGTCAAGCAGTCCAAAGTCCCCAGGGCCCCGAGGGTCTTCCACTCGTCGGCAGTTTCTATGAAATCTTCCCTGATCACCTCGGAAATCACTATCGTCTCTTTCGCAAATACGGCCATGTCATCAAAACCTCCAACATGGGAAAGACGACATACCTCACCGATAGCCCCGAGGTAGCAGCCGTAGCCCTCGCCGAATCAGCCTACATGACGAAAAAGATCAATGAGAACCATCCCCTCTGGGGTGTGAAAGACAACACTGCCATCTTCATTGGAGACACTGAGACAGAGAACTGGCGTCTGGCACACAAGTTCCTCCCACCCGCCATGGGACCCAAGGCTGTGAGGCACTATACGCCGCTGATGCAGGAGTGTGCCCGCAAGTCATTCGCCGTGTTCGATGAACTTGACAACCGCAGTCAGTCTTGGAATGTGTATCAGTATATGGTGAAGCTTGCCTCGCAGACCATCGGCAAGTTCTCACTTGGCACGGACTTTGAACACTTCACCCACGTTGATGCCCCATTGCATCCCATCGTGACGAACATTGCAAATCTACTTTCTCTCAACAAGAAGATTACTGCCCGTGGTGAATGGTATCGACATCTTCCCTTTGGAGATCCTGCGCGGTTGAAGACTGTTCAGAAGACTATCTACTCTCTTTTGCAAGAGCAGATTGACCGTGTAAAGGGCTCTGGTATTGCCGGAATGCCGATGAACGAGGCTGCCATCAACGCCTCTTGCGTGGTGGACTACCTACTCAACGCGGTCGATGAGTCTGGCGAGAAGTTCCCCGAGGGCCTGGTCTTGGCCAACATGCTGATCGTCACGGGCGCGGGCTTCACGACTACATCTGCGTTAATGTCCTGGCTAATATACTGTCTGGTCAAATACGAGGGCACCCAAGACCGACTATACGAAGAGCTATGCGAGGCTGGTATAGCCAACGCCAAAGAACCAGTGACCTGGACTCCCGAGCTGGCACATAGCCTGTCATATCTTGACTGTTTTGTCAAAGAGACGCAACGTTTACACAATGCCTCTTTCCAGCCCGGTCGTACGACAAAGACAGACGTCGTCTTGCCTGGTGGGTACCGTCTTCCTGCAGACAGCGTAATTGTTCCTGCGCTGTACGCAATCCACACGAACCCAGAGGTATGGCGCGATCCCTTCCGCTTCGACCCTGGCCGATGGACAAGCGATGAAGTCAAGAATAAGCATCGGTGTGCGTATATTCCCTTCGCAACTGGTCCTCGTGGCTGCATTGGTTTCAATTTTGCGCTGTTGGAGGTTAAGATCTTGTTATCGGAGCTCGTGTCTCGGTATGAGTTCTTCAAAGAGGGATTGGATGCGGTTGAGTATGATCCTGAGTTCCAGTTGATTCGCCCGTTGAACTTTTATGTGCGAGCCAAGAAGAGAGCGGGGGTTGAATAGAAGGTGAATGGAGTGTAATCTAGCATTAGACCGTGGGGTTAATCAGATAGATCTAGGCCAGAACTGCTCAGCGATTATATACAAAGTTATAGATGATTTCATTGTATGGGCGCTCATTGCACTGATTCAGGCAAGATACTGACAGCCAGCGACGCAAGTCATTTGGACATAGACCTCGCTCCAAAGGAAGCGCACTCGCACGTTCGTCGAAAAGAGGGGCGAAGCCTGCACATAAATGGAGCACAGGTGCAGTCCGTGAAATATATGTACAGCTCATGTCGAAAGGCATCTGGCAGTTCATCGGACATTCCGTAGAACACAGGCACATAAATCATATTCCAACGAAAATATATCTCTATTCCCGTCATATCTTGATGTTTACGCTGAAATCAGTGATTCGGATTCCAATCAGCCTTTCCTAGACAGATATATACTCGCTTTCACGAACCATATCTACCGTTCTCTACCATTCCAACAAAATTCGCACTGCGCCAATAACATACTTGCATCAAATTAGCTATATCACGCCCAAATCCTTTAATTCAACCGTCATTACACATCCATGTTCATCGGAATACAATGCATCTCCTAGATCCGAGCCTTGAACCTCCTTGCTAACAACCTCAGACATTTCCAGCCCATGACATATACCCTATACCCGCCACACCACCAAATAGGCTAAATCCCCGACCAGCACAACCACCCCCCGACTCTTCTTTGCACAGTAGAGCTCCGTCTGAGGTACATGTATATGCACACCTTCCCCAGTAATAATCCCGGGCAAGCTTGCACAGACCACCCTCCCCGCCCGATGCGCCTAAAGTACGAAGCCCGAAGCACCGAGAAAATACACGGAACCATACCCCAGTTTACATTTATCCCGTGGCGTCGACAAACCCATCGGTCCAGTGTAGCCCGAGTCCAAAACTTAACCGGGGGTGGGGGGCCTCGTGGCCTGCCCTACCCCCCGCGCCCCTACGGCCCTACAGGCTAACTGCAGCACTGACTATACCCTATTAGCCTAACAGGCTAACCCGGGTCCGGGGGCGCAGTGCAGGACAGTGACACTATGTACGGAGTACTAGCTAGGCTCTAGGCTAGTTGGAACCTGGATCAAGCTTAGACGGACTAGAGAAGCACGAGGCTAGACTATCTTTGGACCGGGGCGTTGCAGGCTGAGAAATTTGTCGGGTGATATTCGGGGATATAGCCAAAGCCAGAGCCATAGTAGGTTCGATTAGGACTTGGGGGTCGGAGGGGGGTTACCTGATTCTAACGGCTGCTTTTATCACGGGGGGTAACTAGTTACACGCTGTGTCTGTAAAAGAATCAAAGCCACATTCGAACAAGGCTTTTCTGGTATTCGGCATGAACGCCTCCGTTGTTAATATGGAGGATGACCTATCGTCCACAAAGTATGTCTACTAGATGCCGTCCACGACTAGGATAAATTGTGCACAAAAATAGCCTGGCTCTGGTCATAAGGATGCCTCAACTACCTAGCACGGAGTATTGCACAACTATTCAAAATCTAGTACTCCGTACATGCTGAACATATGTAACTCCGTATTAGTGCGACTGACACCCACGTCCACACCCACACCCACATTTGACACACTCATACCCCCACGCTCACGCCCAGAAAAGGAACCATCATGAAATCATACGTGACCCCCGTGTGAACTTCGGAATCGGGATCCCACCGGAGCAGTCTTGCCTTGACCCTTTTGTTCGGATTTTACCCGAGGCCGATGTGGAGATTTTGGGGCGTGGAGAGAGAGGGGGGTTGGAACTTGGGTGGTTGGTTGGTAATTTGGGGAGTGGGTTTGTCGGGGAATGAAAAGGCTCGGTCGGGACTCGGGCCGATGGTTGGGTATTGACTGCGATGGAGATGGGACGTTGGAATCCTAGAAGAGAACGATTGTGGGTTGGATGAGGGGCTTTATTATTCAGAGAGATGCGTGCTATATTGTATTCTTGGAAGCTTTTACTCTTCCCTTCCATTTCTTCAGCTCGTAATGCATCGTGTCTGGAGGATCGTAGGGTTCAGGTCCTCGAACGGTCGGACACGGCTCCGTGTTGTGACGGGAACTGTGGGTGGATAAGAAAGATCCCGATCGCTTATTATTTTCCGCGCTTTCAGGGCGGATTACACACTACAGCAGATGCATGTACTGTTGCCACCAGGATATGAATTGTCGCTACTGCAAGGCTTATTACGCATAGGGTTTATCTATATGCGAGACCACGAGATCGATCTTCGCATGCAGGAGTACGGAGGAGGATACCACACAGTGTGGATCGTGGATATTCTCCGTTTCTCCGTAGGCACACAATCGCTACAGTCGACTCCGCCGGGGATTGCCGCAGATTCAAAGTACATAAACGGCCATCGAGGCTATGACAGACCGATTCGGTAATCCAGACGGCGGGACGGGAAACCCGTTGAAATCGGGTAAAAAGGGGATCGGGAAATGGGGGGAACGAAGGAAGAGGATAAATGGTGGAGAGGTCGACCGTAACTTAGTCTGTGCTTGTGGTGTGTAAGGGAGTTTGGTTTGAAATGTGGACTGAGGAGTTGGAACCAACGGTCCAACAGTTGCAACTCTTGGACCTTCTCTGACGGGTTGTGGATAGGAATGAATTGGGTAAAAGTCCTTGAGGGGTGGAAATGTAATGCCTACTGACCTACTAGGAATGATTCTGATCCATTCCATTGTGGTTCCTTCGCTCACATTCTGTACCGAGAACTGCCACTTCGTGGGGTGCTAAGGGTGCTAGGGTATACTCCGTTTGGTAGGTTATTACTCCGTCGAGTCAGCGACCCAGCAGGAAGAATTGTGGATCACGGAATTTCTTTTAATAATAACCGTCAGCTGAGGCGCCCGGATTCGGGCTGTCTCCGGGGAAAAGATCGGAGGAGTGGACGATGGGAAGATGAGCAGAACTTACTTCATCACTTGACGGCGTACGCTCTCCAGGACGGAGAAAGTTGCGGTTTTCGTCAAGTTCCATTGGATGGGTAGTTCTCTGGAGGAGTTTCCGGTGATCTGGTTGGATTAGGTTCCTGGGAAATTTGGGGTTAGAAACTCGACAAGGTTAAACAACTCGGGTTAGCCCGCCCAAAAAGGCCAAGAATGCCACATGGGAAAAAAAAAAAAGAAAAGTAAAAATAAAAAAAAAAAAAAGGGACGCCCCCTCCAGAACGAAAAAGCAACGAGGCGAGCCGAGCAGCGCTCGATCCTCGGGACTGACAAGAAGAACGGAGTCGACACGGACACGAGGGTTGATGATTGACGGATAGCGTGTGGGGGAGATGTTAGAGTCGCATTAAGCGCTTGACAGTTGATTAAGATAGGTTTACAGTGCTACGTTTGATTCTTTCCATACTACGTCTGCTCTATACGACGTCTACTTCATTGTAGTATACGGACGTATACCGTACCCCGTAGTGGTGCCGACGTGGTACTACCTACGGAGTACGCCTATGAAAACCCAAGTCCACCCGAACGGTTACGGTCGCTGAAGACTCTTGTGGGACAACCCGTTCCGCCATCCGCCATCCGCCAGCCTGGTACCTGCTTAAATTTCCTCTTTTAGCGATAATTTCTCCGATTACTGTATACTCGTGGGTCGTGGCTATTTGCATTCCGACGAGGGAACGATATTAATCAGTCTCCCATATCGATTGAACTTGACGGAGTATTAGCCCCCTGCAGAGCTTAACTCTAGCTTGTTTAACTACAGTCGGTACTACGGTCACGGCCAGTCATGGCCAGTACTACTATGCACGGGTTTACGACGGAGAATGCAGGACTATGTTCGGAGAGAAGCCGGGGGATCCGCCGGGCATATTTTTGACAGGCGTACAAGAATAATTCCCGTGGCCGGGGCTGGGATGGACGGACACATGATGGACACATGATCCAGGGACCAGGGACCAGGGACAAGGTACAGGCCGACGAGGTAATACGTCGGAGGACACGGGCGCGGGCATTTGGGAAGGATGAAAGCCACAGACGATGCTGTTCCCTTTGGCGTTGCCCAGTGTGCACATACTTTCTGTTTTTCTGGTTCTGATTCCTTCGCCTGTTCATGAGTAGGGCCGAGTCCAACATTCAAACTATAACAACTTGGTGAATGGGGATCCATTGGATAACAGCAAATCCCTCGGGGAAATTGCTTTTCTTATTTTCATTATTTTTTTTCTTTCTTTTTCCCACAGACCCTCTCTGCCTCATGCTTCATCCTCGTCTTGGGTCCAGGGTCTTGTACCCGCCACCTGGTCCATTTCCCTCTCGACCCGAGAATTTCTCTGGTCGGCTCGCAATGGCCCGACTTACCTAATGTGAATTCAGCAAATGCGGGGTTGCCCGGGGTCGGTTCGCTGGCGGCCCTCGGAGGCTGGGGGCCAATCACAGTGTTTGGGGCGTTAGTCGGACGGGGCCGAAACGCGACGGGTCTGCCGCCCGGAGGGGGGGGGGAAAGAACTCTCGGTGTATGACTTTTCTTTTCTGTGTTCTTGGTATGGGGGATCAAGGTAAGGGGGGAGGAGAGAAATGGGAGCAGATCTGTTTGGCTTGATTAAATTATTGGGCTATGAGAGTAAAGAGCGTTAAAGCATGTGGAAGGGATATAGCACGAACAGACAAGCAGCTCTTTATCCCCGTCCCATGTCAATTTCCCCTGCTGGGATCAGCCGTCCCGAGTCGCCCGTCGGCCTCGGTGTGACTGGTTGGTTTAGAGCATCAGCTGTGCAGGTTGGAGCTTCCCCCAGACAGTGACACAAATTATTAATCCGGTTCTGTACGCTGTGCTCGCGTATATCTGGAGAAAACTCCATGCCGCAGCCCAGTCATATTCCCCCATCCACCTATGCCGAGCCACGGGCGGGGGGACGGAAGCCACCTGTAGCAGGTACAGGAGAAATGATTGTTCGGGGAAACATCCGATGGGAAGCGATGTGGCAAAAGCAAATCTGGCAATGGCAATGGCAATCTGGCAAGCACCGGGCAGACCAGGAACACAGCCCGAACAGGACAGCATCCCTCCGCAACGCGGATAAACGCACGAAGAGCACGAGGCAGGAAACGGTGAGGATGGCCCTCCCCGTGGCACTAATAAATACATAGCTACGGAGACCGCCGTAACTAGGGACGTACAAGACCTATTATTATCACTATCTAATATATCATGTTCGGACGAGAGTAGTGTACGCTGAGTCGCTGACAGCCTACGCTCCTCATCACAGGGCCGGGGCCGATGCTGGTAACGTCACGGTGCTTCAAACTCCCAAGCGAGCGAGTAAGAAACCTCCCAGAACAGCCCCAGGGTATCCATCAGGACATACAGTAGTACCCTCGTGGGAGACTAGGAGGAACCCGATAACCCCGACCGCTACAAACCCAGTCGCTGATGTAACTTCCCCAAGGATCGTTTTGATCAACCGTACTCCTCGTCTCCAGACTCCAACCGCTTGGCGGATCTCGTCCTCTTCTCCCTGCGGGGAGCCCCGGGGGAACGACAAGGATGTTCAATTGGGTCGCCCAGGACCTGGGCTGGGCCCGATAATCCCGATGGTGGATGGTGGATGGTGCCGGTACGCAGTACGCACAGTGAACTCTAGTAGTAGTCGCTGGTCACGAGAGGTCCAGTCCAGGGGGAGTGAAATAGTATGCCCTATAGGAACCGAGTACTGTAGTATTAACATTCAACTATAGCCATAGGTGAGTGGTGTTCGAGTGCTGGTCGTGGCACCGGGGCTTGGGACAGATCAAAGTCCGTCCCACGAGGAAACACGGGGAGTACCCGAGGAATCACGGATCACAGGCCTCGTCTCGGGTCGTGGATCACCGCTGCTGCTACCAATGTAAGTGTAAGTACTCGGTTCTCTCCGTTGGGCACATAGATCCAATGGCGATCCAAAGAGGGGAAACGAAGACAGAGATGGAGAGAGGAGGCCAAGACAGTCACATCTGCCTCCTCTCTCCATCTCTGTCTTCGTTTCCCTCTTTGGATCGCCATTGGATCTATGTGCCCAACGGATTCTGGGGAAAAAGCAAGCCCTGGTATTGGACTGACTAGACTATCCTCGTCTTCGGTGGAGGGGATTACCCTTTCGCTACCTAATTAGTATTTGTTTTCAAAGTACGTCCTCCCTACTATTCTGTCCTCGTTATTTAGTACTCCGCACTGCAGTCTGTATGGAATATGAATATACCGTAGTCTCCCCATCCTCTCGGCCCTCGCACAGCTGTCCGAAACTCGGTCGTGCCGCTTTCCTGTTCTGGAGTTCCCGACGGCAAATGCACGTCCTCTTTGGGTGTGGAGGGAGTGGGGATCCATCATCCGGGTCTGGATCTGTTCTCCAGCTGGGGCTGCCGATCGGGCAGGAGAGCGCACTGGACAGGGCAGGGCACGATCGGGCAAAGGCTAAGGCTGGGACTGGGGGCCGGGGGGCGATACAGGGCAGAAGAAAGGTAAGGTAGGCACATGCGATCATGCATGGTGTTGAAGAATTGGGAGAGGGCGCTTATCCAGGGCAGTTGTTTATAATATTATGGGATATTATACATTATGGGAAGATCTACGTGTGCTTACTATGTAGTAACTTGAGGGTCTCAGTTAAGAAGTTAACACTACCAGGGACGAGTCCGGAGTAGCAGTAGACAGTACTCCGTATTCCGGGGAAAGAGACTAGCCGACGGAAAGTTACGTACATTCTCGGAATCCTTGTCCAATTCAGAAACTCGGAAGAGACTCGTCACTTGACTAAGAACTCAATTTCTAGCTCGGCAAGGAGAAGGTAGAAGAAGTGGTGGTGGTGGTGGTGGTGGTGGTGGTGGTGAGATCGGAGACCGGGTCAGCCGTTGAACCAGGGTTATCGAGGGAGTACAGTACGGATTTGGGGCTATTGATTGTATCGTGGTCCAGATCAGATATTATTATTCATGGAGTGATGTGGCCAGTTAGGAGGTTGAATTGGTTGGAATCTTGGCTGGGAGGTGAGTACAAATGAGCGGCGTTGGGATTTGGACTAGGAGAGTACAGTACGGTAGTAACAGGACTGGAGGTGCTTCTGTGGCTCCGAGGTGCGACGGTCGCGGTGTTCCACGCGGGTGGTTGCTGGGCCGTGCTTTTCGGTCGGTAAATGGTAAATGGGCGGACCGGGGCTGAGAGTCGGAGGATGATAAACATGGGTAATTTTAATAGTTATCGTGGTAGTGGTATCTAAAGAGTTAGTAAGTTGTAGAGTAGTTTGTGGTAGTTAGTAGTGGTCTCTGTTATACTATAGTCCAGGATATACAGTAGATCTCGTATCTCTAGGCGCCGTATTCACTGCTTGGAAGGCAAAGCTCGTCTTGGACTGCCTTTCCCGGTTGACGTCCCTCGGCAAGTCCAGGCAGGCCGTCTGCCACGTCTACCCCGGAGTACTACAGTGATACAGTGAGTACTATAGTATAGGCATACTCGGTACATAGTCTGTAGAGGTATATAGTCAAAGATATTCCAGGGATATGCGATAGTAGATAATCTCTACTCTAGAATCTACTATCGTGTAGTATTCTTAGTATACTACTACTACTCCGTGGGAGTAGAAGTCCTGCGGTTGTCGTTACTCTTTCCAGGATGTGTGGGGCTCCACGAAAATCCCAGTCCTTGCATACTTTTTGGGCCTCCGCAATTTCAAATGTCCAGTTCCCCAGCGGCTCTCGGCTCCATCTTTTTTTTTTTTTCCCTTTTCCTCCAGTACTCGGTCTCCGTACATTGGATGACCCATTTTTGACCTCTCCGTTGGCTTGCTTCTTTTGTTTTTCCCCCTTCCCCTCATTATTATTTAATTTATTATTTTTTCTTCTTTTTTCTTATTTTCTTCTTATTACTACTTTATCCATTTTTCCCACCTCTCCCTCTCTCGCTCTTTTTTTCGGCATTCTCGACTCCCGTTCCCTCCCGACCCCCCAATTCGCCTTCCCGGTCCGCAGCCCCGACTCTTCTTGACTTTCCCCCACACTCCGCCCATTCCCATTCCCGCACTTTTGCTTTTGGCTCCCCTTCCTCTTTGTTTCTTCCTACTCTCCCTCTCTCTCTCTCGCTCCTCCTACTCCCCTCCTCTTCTTCCCCGGATTCATCGCGGCTTCACTCCAGTACTGTGCATAACTTCAAACTTCACCCTGTTAGTCTCGCGATTTCCTGACGGACTGCCCGAACCGGTCTGAACATCTATACTCGGCATATGCAATACTGACGCGGGTTCTCGCCCATCAAATAGCCGAGCACGCCGCCTGGTAACAAACCAGCCGAACCGGACAACGAAACTCGTACCACTTTCTCTGCTTCCCACCCTCCCCCTCCACACCCTTTGGTGTTCCCCGGCTTTTCAACGCAGGTAGATGGGCCCTCGCAAACCGCCTGCAGTGTATCAGCTCGAGTCTTCTCGCTTTACCCCAGACCCGTGGGTCTGCGATTTCCACCGCCATGCGATCCAGCATCGCCTGCGCCCGGTGCCGGCGCAGTAAGATCAAGTGCGTCAATGCCGGCATCGACACCACCTGCCGGGCCTGCGAGTCCTCCGGCCGCGAATGTGTCTATCCCACCCCGGCCATCGGCGTCACCGGGAAACGCGACCTAGCAACGCTGGCAGAAGGAGACGACCGGAATGGGGATTGGGATGGTCCGAAACGCTCACGCCCACGCAAGTCCATCGGCATGTCAGGCGCATCGCCCGGCTCCAAGGCTGGCCTGGATGCGTTGGACTCGTCGATCCTCACCACTAAAGTCTGGGAGGCGGTCTTTGACCTCTTCCAGTCACATTTTGCGACCCTTCTACCTTTCCTACATCCTGCGACTTTCCTCGGCCAGATCCGACTCCTCTCGACACCTCCCGTCCCACCATCAGTAGCTTCGCTAGATGGCCAGGACTCGGCGCACACCTCGGCTCTCAAATCTGACCCATCATCCTCGTTGATTCCGCTCGGAGTGCTTGCGCTCACGGCTCGCTTCCACCCTCCTCTGGTGGCCTTCCACTCGCCGGCTTCACCTGGCCATGCTTCCAATCCTCTCGCCGCATCCGAATACTATGCGACAGCTTTGCGCAGCCGGCTGGCCGGCCTGGATGGCGCAAACCTTGCCCTACCCGACCTGGCTCGGGTACAGGCTTTGTTGATGCTGGCGCTGCACGAATGGGGGATGTGTCGGGGAAAGAGTGCCTGGGTATACGTGGGCATGGCTATCCGGCTCGCACAAGCCATGGGCCTCCCATTTGAATTAGAAAACGAATTCCCTACGCGCGACGTTTCCCGCTCCTCGCCTGGTTTCAAGACCGAGGCCGACCATTTCGGCCTTATCCGTCGTGCGGAGCCGAAGGAACTCACTTCCGACGACATTATTGCACAAGAGACGAAACGTCGGACCTTCTGGGCTTGCTTCTTGCTGGACCGGTGTCTGAGTAGCGGGAAGTATCGGCCTCGGATGATCCGGGTAAAAGAACTCGGAATTCAGCTTCCGAGTGATAATGCTTTTGCCTTTGGCGAGCGCGTACGAACGGCCCGTTTGAACGAGCCGACAACACGCCGTCCCCAGAGCTTCGGTTCACAGGGGGTGCAAATCCCCAGCATTCGGCAGAGCATTGGCGGGTTCGGTGACGAGAAGCTTCAGACCGCTAATGGCACAACAGACCCTAAGGCCTGGTCACCGATCTCACGGCGGAAGGATTCAAGTGAGGATGATGTGGATCGCTGGGAGGTCGGCGCTGAAGAGTCAGTGCTCAGCCGAGTGATTCGCATTATCCGCATCTGGGGAAGCATTGCCAAGTGGTCGTGTGCCGGTGGCCGACGAAACGAGCAGTATCCGCCCTGGCACCCTGAATCCCGCTTCGTATCGCTGCGTATGCAATTGAACGAGTTCCAGGACAGCCTGTCCCGCAACTTGCAATATTCCCTGCGGAACACTGACACCCATATCATGTATAAGACCACCCTGGCCTCGTATACTGTGATGCACGTGGTCTACTTCCTGTCCGTCATCGTCTTGCATCGTGCTTATATTCCATTCCTGCCTCTTCGTTGCAATGAACCCGTGGGTCCACTGGATGAGCCACTGTTCCCGTCTGATAAGGTTAGCGGTCCTCCTGAGGCGTTCTGGCGTGACAGTGCTCGCGAGCTGTTCAAGGCTGCCCGCCAGATGATCGACCTTGTCGTCACTTGCCAGGCCCGGGGTGTCCTCGTGGAGAGTCCGCTGGTCGGCTTCGCGATTTACAATGCTGCCTTCATCGGCGTATATGGTATTCACTTCCCACATATGGATCCCGATGGTCTTCTCGGTGTACGATCCCCTCCTGCGAACCACGACAGCCACCAGCCTGGTGCTGCCCAAGCTCGCAAGGCACTCGATATCTTGCGTGAAATGCGACCCCGTCTGAAGATGGCCACAGGCTGGTTCCGTACCCTCAACCGTCTGCACAGCTACTTCTCCAAAGTCAAGCGCGACTTCCGTCGGTACTCACGCAACCGGCTGGACAGCATGTCTGACGCATCAGATCACGGCGCCCCCAATGGCATCCGACCTCTTCGTGAAGGTGGATTTGGTGGCGGTCTGGAAGAGTTCAAGCTGCTCGAGAAGCTGTTCCTGGACTTTGGTACAATTGAAGACCAGCTACCAGAGTCCCTCGACGACGATGGCACCGCAATTGCTATGGCAGGCGAACCGATGCCTGAGCGTACCATGAATCTCAGTGACGCCGGCAGTAATGCCGTCAAGAGCGATGTCGACGGCAGTGACATCTTCGACGGTGCTGGTGGCCGTCGTGAGTCTTGGGTCCCCATCAACAGCCCCGGTCTGCCGCCCCCAGGCCACGAGGGCGACCGCCGTCCCAGCCTACCGCTCCCCAACAGCCGGCCCATGCCTTCGCAGTCGCCGTACTCGCTGCCTTCGCTGCAGCAGCATCACCCGGATGGGCCCATGTACACCTCCTCGCCACCCAGCCTGCCCAGCATCGCGGCAACCACCCAGTCACCCTCGCAATATCTAACCGCAACGACCAACCGTTTGCAGCCTATCAACTCCTGGCTTCCATCACGTCCATCCGCACCGCCGCCCCCATACTCCCAGTCGTTGCCTCCTATCAATGCCTCCGCATCCAACGGCCTGCCTGTTCTCCCACCCCCAGGCTCAGTCACCCAGCTCGCTCCCTCGCCCCCATTGACTTCTACCGAAGGACCTGACACGAGTCTGCTTTCGACAAGTCTAGGCGGTGATGACGTGCTCGCCTTCTTGGATGGTTGCGAGTGGGCACAGTTGTCGCTTACTGCTCCATCCGAGGTAGGTATTCCCGCTGGGTGGTTGAGCACTGTCTGGGCACAGTTTGCCCGGTAGGCCTGTGCTGAGAGTGGATGACCTTTGTACTATTATATTTCACGACTTTCCTTGACCTGTTTTTTTCTTACCTTGGGCGTCCTGTCTTTCTACATTCCTACCTATACCTGCTTCCACCTATCTTATCCCTCCCTCCCTCTCTCTATCTTCACAATCGCGGGCGACTTTCTCAAAAATGGGCAGGGCGGACTGGTTTATCTTGGCTGGGACTGTCACGGCGTTATAGTGGGAACTTTTTCCGGACGCCCGTCTAGCTATATCTGAGTGTTGTGTCCGTCTTCTGACAGTCTGTTTGGCTGTCATGAATCTACTCCAGCACTGGACAGTCTATCTTCTTCCCCCGCCCGCTGGATCTGCATCTGAACGAATCCAATCAGATGCTATGCTCCAACACCATACATTACCCCCTTCTTACCGGGCCTCATCCCAACATTCCCTTTCCTTTTACCTCTTTGTCGATTTCCTTGAGCAAGCTTCCAAGCTGAATTGAACTGCGTTGGGCTGGGCTGGATTGATCGGGATGAATACGATCACTTTGGATTGGATCGAGCGTGTTGCGATACCTTGTGGTTATCTGAACTATTGTCTTCTTGCGGGTCTTTGGTCTTTTACTGCTATGGAAAGGACTGTGTAGCTGGTTTTCGCTACTGGACATGCCAAGTATTTATTTTCTTCTTCGTTTTGGATGTGATTATGAGCCATGGCGTTATGTCGAGTTTGTGCGTGTCTCTGTCTCTGTCTCTTTGGTTTTGGTTTTGATATGAGTTGGGTTTGGAGCAGTGAGACTCGTTTCTTTTTCTCTTTTGAACCTTTGGTTCCAATTGATATGCCTACGGGCTGGTCTTTTTCTTCTTTATATGGGCTTTTTGTTGTGTAGAGTTTGGCTTGGTGGTTTGTAGAGTGTAAATTGGATTGTGTTATAGGATCTTGTTCTGGTTATGGATTGCATGGTGTGGATGTGAGATTCAGACAAGGCTTTTAGTATCGTTGTGTGTGGTTTGAGTTTGTAGTTCCTCTTAGGATTGGAAGATTTAGCCCTGCGATTGACATCCATTCCTGAAATGGAAGAATCTTGATCATTCAGATATTTGGACTACGTAATAAGAGGACCCTTTCGCTTTAAGGGGGGCTTCTACTGTGTAATGCCAGATGGTACATGTGTGATCGGTTCGAGGACTCGCTCTGGGGAACTATCAAACCTAGCATTGGCAGCTAATTCCCAGAGATAACATGATACGCTCCCCTTCTTCAAGTCCCATGCATAATCCCTCCTCGTCTTTCTTCCCATTCTTCTACAGCTTTCACTCTTTTCCTTCATCGATTTTGATACGAACAATATCCTCCGCAGCTGATTGGCCACTCGGCCTGTATCGGGATGACATAATACCTAACCGAGCCCCCGGCATCCCGCGGCAAGCCTCCAGTCCCCAAGTTACGGCCGAGTTCTGCACGAGAACATCTATACCCTACCCTACTCGCTTCACACCTCCAGCAATTGCCACCCTGATTATTGCGCATACATTACGGCGCTGATATTATGGAGAATCACGACTCCACATTACCTAATGCAAATAATGCTAATCCCTACCCCTACGACACAGCTCACGTGAGCGAGCTACTCAAGCGCAAGCGTCGCGTGCGCGGTATCAAATCGTGTTTTCCTTGTCGGCATCGCAAGGTCCGGTGTGATGGGAGTTTTCCGTGCGTGAGTTGTTTGAAGAGGGGTCATCCTGAGCTTTGTCGATTACCGGGACGAGGAAATGATGTTGGTGGTGAAATTACTTCTCCAGGTGAAGGAGTAAGGTACGTACTAGATATTATCGGGGGTTGTGTACACTTGCAACAACTTAGGTGATTACCAAGATTCCGTGCTGGTTTCTAATGTTCATCCAGCGAAGAAAATGAGTGCAATCATGGAGCACAGCATGCATCACTGGCTTCTCACGACCAATCCAACACCCAATCAATCGACCATATGATAGCCCGACTCTCCAAGATCGAAGACCAAATCTCTTCTTTAAAGGCAGATTTACTCCAGACGCGCACTGCTTCAACATCTTCACCACCAACCTTACATCCATATCCAAGTGTAAATCCTAATCCCAACCCTGACCTCCCATCCAACTCTAGCAAATCCTCAGGCAAACACTTCGTGGAAGATGCTACAGGCGCAACTATCTTCCTTGGAAGTCACTCTGATATCCCAGCGGCACTGGGATGCAGACAGCCATCGCGGGACATGGCTTTGACTGATGCACTAGTTCTGGATCAACTCGTACCGCGGACTTATCCGTTTACGTCTCTCTGGGGCCCCGAGGCCGGGACGGGGGAGATTTGCATGACGTTGCCGGATGATTCGGATATTATTCGGTGAGTGGTTCAATCACTAGTTTAGTCGTTTCGAGGTTTGAGTTTTATTTTGTAGGATCAGCTTGGGTTGACTTTGAGCAGGTACTGGCAAGTGTATCAAACGAGTGCGTACCCGTTTTACCCGGGGCTCGTGACATTTTCGCAATTCGAAGCTGCGCTGTTTGCGTTCCTGGACCAGCGTGCCAATGCGTCTCGCGGTAATGAGCTATCTGCACTGGACGATGTCGATCCGTCGTGGCTGGCTTTGCTGTTCGCTGTGTTGGCGGGTGGGGTGCAGTTCTCAGATGATCCGATTAAAGAGCGAGACCTTCGGTCGAAAGTTTTTAGTGCGTGCAGCGAAATCTTTGGGGTTCTGTCCTATGTTTTGGGAGGATCCACAGCTAATGTTGGGCGTAGTCTGCTCATCTTTCCAGTGTCTTCGAATCTCGAATTTCTTCAATAATACAGATATAAACCAGATTCAGGCCATGGCACTGATAGGGCACTGTTTGAGAAATAACCTGGATACAAATAGTGCATGGATTCTTATGGGTAGGTGTTTCGTTACTCGGGGTACTCCAGCCATCTTGTTTGCTAATCACAAGTTCAGGCGCTACTATGCGCCTTGCACAGAGTATAGGACTCCACGAAGAGAATTCCTCTCCCGAATCCTCAGCAGACCACTACCACCGCAGAAGACTCTGGTATATCCCCATCCGTATCAACCCTTGTCCACCCTTCTTCAAACTTTTGAATCCTAACCACAGACCTACCTACCTAGGTGGATCCTCCTCTGGCAAGACACATTCCTCTCATTCACCTACGACCGCCCACCCAGCACAATAACCCACAGCAGCTCCATCCCACATAACCCAGAAAGCAAAACCAAAACCAAATCAGGCTACACATTCGCCGAAAGCATCTTCGCCCTCTGCCAAATCCTCCTCGATCGCGCCCGCCACCAACCAACAGATACTCTCACAACCACAACACTAGCATACAAACACCGGATCCAAAATATCTGGAACGACGCAGCACCCTTCCTAATCGACAAGTCCGCCTGTCGCACGTTACAAGACCATCTCGAGCGGCTAGCGCTGCATGTACACATAAACTACGGCGTCTGCCGACTCACCCGTCTCATCCTCGAATCCGTATCAGACAGCACCGGCGCAGCAGCAAAAGGAACCGACATCGACATCGATATCCCCGCTTTAAAAACCGAAACAATCCAACACGCCGCCGATGCTGTCTCGAATTTCCTCGATATGCATCGACTATCCGCGAACGTCTGTCGATCATGGGCATTTGTGCATAACGCCGTGAGTTGTGCGTTTACGTTACGCAGTTTCGGGACGATGGGGGTCGGGGGGGGAATATGCCGGACTTGTGGGGCGGTTGATTGGTGTTTTGGAGAAGGAGGAGCGGATGTCATCGTGGGAAGATGCAGATGCGAATGTTAGGTGTTTTGGGCCTTATTCGAGGGCGTTGAGGGCGTTGAGGGAGAGCGAGTTGGGGGGGTTTGGGGTTGGTGGGTAGATTAGGTTGGTTGGGTGGGAGATTGGTTTGAGGAGTGGTAAGGTATTCTACTTTGAAGAGCGGCGTGGATCTTTTTCTTTCTGTTGCAGTCAATTCATTATAATCTGTTTATCAGCTTCTTGTGGAAGGACCCTTTGTGAATTGAGGGGGTGATCGTGTACATCCTCCAAGGGAAGAAACAAGACTTCAGAAGATGGATACACCTGACGCAAATTACTAGCAATAATTCACATTAAAAGATTGTATTTTTGTAAAGAAGGCATGAGATCAACGTATAAGGTCAGATAAATTACAAAACAGGGTATATTCCCGAATCAAAAAGGAACCAGCATCGTGTAGTACGCATTGCTTGGGTGATGACTCGCAGAAACATTTAGAAGAACCTAGTTGATATGTTAGTTATATGTCTTGAAGTCCGATTTGGGAGTTGTTATGCACGTACCAAGCAGCGAGAGCGATAATCAGATACATCATCATGAGGAGGACGCCCTCAAGCCAGTGAGATTTGCCATCTCCAATGAGGTAATTGACCTGCAAGAAAAGCCATTAGTATTTGGACAAGGATGGAGTGCTGAGTAAAAGGAAAGGGTCAAGGTGACAATCATACCAGAAGAACAGACACAAAGAGCAAGATAACCTCGAAACTGTCAAAGTTGAGAGTCTGCAAGAAGAACAGTCAGCAATCCACGCACACACAACAAGCCAGAACTACTCCAGGCGCAGGATGAAAACCCACCATATCATCTTTACCCATGATCCAACCCAAAACCACAATGAACGGCAACACAAGCAACGCAATCTGCATACTCGAGCCCACCGCAACACCAATCGCCAAATCCATCTTATCCTTACAAGCAACCGTAACAGCCGTAGCATGCTCCGCCGCATTACCAACAATAGGCAGAAGAATCAACCCAACAAAGGTCTCACTAATACCACCCGTCGCAGTCAGCGCACTAATCGAGTCAACCATGAACTCGGCGCAAACAGCCACCAACGCAGTCGAAACGCCCAGCGTCAGCATGGCGACGTAGATGGACAACTGGGGTTGCTCGGGCTCGTCGTCGTCGTTCTGGATATTGACTTCTTGGGCGTTGGAGCCGCCCATGGTGCGGGCGGTCATTTTGCCGATTTGCGCGATGCCGCGGTTGGCATCGCCGCTCTTTTTGGAGCGCTTTTCGACCTTCTTGGAGGGCTCGTTGTACATTTCTGTGTGGGATTTGAGTTGGAAGAAGAGGTAGCAGCCGTAGACGACGAGGAGGAGGACGGAAGTGCCTAAGTGGAATTGTTAGTATTAGAGTTAGGTACGTGGGTGCTCAAGGCTCGTCGACTTACCGCGCGATAGAGGAGCCGTGTTCTCCGTATTCGCATTCGACCACTTGTGGAACGCAGTAGGAATGATCAAACTAGCCACAGCTAGCGCCAAAAGACTAGCCGCCGTCTGCGCAACGACAACATTGAAATGCTGCTCAACGCGGTTCACACCGCCGAAGAAGAAACACATGCCCATAACCAGCAACAGGTTCGACAACATACTGCCAATCAACGAGGTCTGCACAATAAGAACCTCATCCTTGACTAGAGCGATGATGGCAACGATCAACTCAACAGCATTACCAAACGAGGCATTCAACAATCCGCCAATCGTCTCGCCGGTTCGCAAGGCGATTTCCTCCGTCGCATAGCTCAGCATCGCGGCGAGCGGAATAATCGCGATAAAGTTGACCACGAAGATAGCGATGGAATTCGCATTCGCCGCGTGAAGTGCGATACCCGCCGGCGCAGCGAGGATGAGCACGTTGATCCAGGAATTGAAGATTGTCGCGCGGATCTGGCTTGCTACCGTGAATTTGGGGCTCTCGGTCGGTTTCTCATCATCTGGTTCGGGGGACAACACTTCTTCATCCTTCTTATGCCCGAACTTGCCAAAGAATCCCTTGCGCTGACGCGTCTGAGTCCCGTTCGCGTCGGCATTACCCTCAATCTCGGCTTCGAGGTCTAGCCCGCGTGCCGTGGACAGATCTGCCGTGTCGTTGATAGGCTCCTGGCTGAGGTTGGAACCTGCTGGCTCGTAGCTGCCGGCTGATTCGGGTGGGAATGTGCCTGCGTAGGTGGGCCCTTCGAGGCCACCATTCAACTCTGCGCGGAGCCGTTGGTCATCCGAGAGACGAAGGTCGCCCATGCTCCGGGAATGGGGAGCCTGCGATTCCAGTTGGATGGAGGCTGAGCGGCGAGGGCGCCGGCGGAATTTCTTAAAGGGGTTGTGCGAGGATGGCTCGCCATCCTGGTCGTACCAGGCGAGGTTGCGGGCCTGGCGGCGGTAGATATCTATGGACATTGTTTAGCGGAGGACATTGATGGCATCATGTGAGGTGAGGGAGAGGGTGGTATCGATAGAAGTGCTGGGAATATGGTGATAACCAGAGCTGAACTCACGCATTATGATCAATGGTTATCGAGTAGGATTTGGTAGAGATGTGACCCTAAACACGACGCGACAATGAGGCTCCAAATAGATATCTGATCGAGGTGTCAGTCTTTGACAAGATTCGAAACAGCCACCAGCCTCACTACAGGTTTGACAAGAAATGGTCAAGCAAACAGCAGGGGCAAGGGCTTTCATAGACAGATGCTTTGATCAACAGCCTCAGCCTGCGCCTCAGCAACCGCGCTAGCTATCGCCAGCTGCTAGAGTGAAGCCTAGCCGCGCGGGACCCAATAGTATAAGCCACGTACGTGAGATAGAAGTACCAAACTTATTCGGCAATACAAATTCCTGATGGCGAATGGTGTGGAGAGGGATTGAGTACTGAAGTTGCGAATACGGGGAGGACGATACGTGGCGCAGTCAAGGCAGCCACAGGTAAAGGAGAGGAGGAATTATAAGAATAGAAGTAAGAAAAGGCAGAGACTATTAAGAGAGAATAATCCGGATTCTTTGTGCGATTCTCAAAATGAGTTTCTCTGGGGGAAGATGAAGCAAGGGGGGGGGAAAATCCGTCGCGTAATGCGAGTTCGTCAACAAAGGGAGCGGAGCGGCACAAAAAAGAGTGTGTGAGACGGGAGGAATTGGTGCAGCGGTCAGAAAAAAGAAAGAAACAAAGGGAGAGAGACAGTGCCCGAGGAGAAAGGCAAGAACCAGGCCTGACTGGACGATTTTGATTTCAGGAAGAAGAAAAGGCTCTGGATTAACGTTTGGCCAGTTCAATTATTTGCCAGCACAGCCACATTCGTGGGGCCTCAGGGGGCGATCGCAAGTTCCCGCTGGGTACGACAAGTCCTGTTAGGCCTTGGCACCGAAAGCAAGCAACCCGCCCAGGGGGCGTTTGGCATAGATTAGTGATGCGATCGGAGAGAATAGTCCATTGATCCTGGTCAGTTAGTTTTCAAACTCGAGGATAAACACCAGGGATATATTGAGTGGTAATAATCTCTGCAGGTTAGGCTTGTTCTGGTGACGACGATGATGGTGATGGCGATGGTGATGATGATGATGATGATGATGATCGTGGTGAGCTGGCATTTTCCGTGCTCATTTCCCTTTGGGGTTCCTTAGCCGAAACACGGGCGTCGCCACGGAGAACCAAGGTAACCCAAGCGAAAACAAGCAGGCAACGAAAAGGCTTCGGCTGGGGAAGCTTTGGCTGTACGAGCTTGGGATTTCTTGGCAAACCCAGGCCATCATCACGTCGTATCCCGTATTTTGACTTTCTCTGAAGACCGTGTCGTGGTTGGATCTTCGGGTCACACTGATGATGATGCTGCTTAGCAGCACAGACGCTGTTGATGGGTGTGGCACATTGCAGGACACTGGCCACGCAGACGTCCTCCTTGGAATTGCAGTGGAATTCCGCGGGGAGGGATATGATTGGCGTCGTTGGTGAGTCTGACCCGCTCTTGGCAGGCGCCAGCAGACATCTCACCGAATCACAACCGAGTTCAGCGTCGAATCGAGTCTAGACACCACCGAACATCCCTGCTCATCTTCAGAGTTCTGACATTTGACTTGGGCAGCGATGCCAGAGAAAAGACTGCAACGGCCGTAAAAGACACACACTCGCGTCGACATATGGTCACGTGTAAGCCACGGTCGTCTTTGAGAGATGCTGGTCAGAATCACAGCTGGGCATCATGCACGCCAACGAGTTGCGAATCATGGCGGCAGCCAAAACAGGGCCATGGCGAGGCTCAAGGTGCCTAAATCGGGTAGTTGTGCTGTTGCCAGATGGTCGGGTACGTCGGTGGCTGGTCGACCTGTGATGATGGAGGGCGACGATCACTGAGGAACAGCCACACCAGTAGAAGAACAACACAGCTGAATTGCGGCCTGAGGACTCAGGACTTCAATGTCGGTGAGGCCTCATACGATTCCAGCTGCAATGCTGACTTGAGACACCACTCCATCGGTAAACCCAGGAGATCATGGATCGCAGGATCCATCCTGCCTAGGTTAGTAATTCGTGAGGGTAAGCACTGCGGTCTGGTGCCGTCCGAAACCTCAGCTCGGAGCCCCATTAGGCTCCGAAAGGACTTCCTCCATAGGAAAGGCTGAAGGCTGAAGGCTGAGTGTAAGCGCAGGGCCTTTGAAAGGAGGGGGGAAAAGGGAAGGCAGTTCGCCAAATGACAAGGCCCGGGGGTTTTATCCTTTGTATCTAAAAGAGGAGGAAGAGCCTCCTCCGTAATGTTGGTAACCCGGGTTGCGAGTTGGGTGTTGACTCGGAAGGACTCCGTATTTTATTTTTCTTCTTTGCTATTGCTGCTGCCTGCGGTGAATGGGGACTGGGCTTAATATTAAGTATCTTGTTTGCTAGCCACTTGTCCTCGTGGACTGCATTCTTTGAACAACCCGCTTCCGAGATTCATGAAGATCAACGCCATAAGGCTGGATTTCTATTCTTGGAGCTGCCAAAAGGGGCAGGTCATTGTAAGGAAGCACGACGAGTGGAGGTGTCGCCCAGTCGAAAGATGGCCCGTTTTTCGAATCAAATAAAAAGTCATCCGCTTGAATTTTCTTGCTGACAGTAGAGGCTTGAAAACAAAAATACAGTATGTTAGTGGTCGGTAGTAGTGAGGAGAGAGACAACCGTGATTTGCCTGGTGTTTCTTGGGTCGGTGGCAGGGCTAAAGCACAGTGCGACACGACCCGCCCGCCCCCAATCTACTACCTCTAATCTCCCAGGCTGATATAAGGTAGACGCTATACATTCTCCTATCGAATGTGATTATCCATTGCTTTTGTCACCCAATAATAGTTGACAAATTTCGCAATAGTAGAAATTCTCTCCTGTCATCGATTATTGCATGCTCATAGAATCTAGCACTTTAGGCACCGCTATTTCCATGTTTCGTCGTAGTCTGCAGCTTGTGATGATACAAGGTAATGATAAAATGCCACAACTGCTTATACCATCTTTCTTCATGTGAATCTTACTTTATCTTCGACAGGTTCGCCTGTCATACCAGACAGACGGGGTTGGCACCTACGAAGGAGGGTACACGAATAAACAAGAATTAGAATCAGAAAATATGCATAGGGCCTGTACCAGCTATTAGACCTGACCATGGCTACACACACCCTCTAACCCTGTTTACCAGCGCCTTGATCATCTCGAATTTTCTAGGAATGTGAAGATATCCGAGGAAGACGAGTCCCAGACTGGGTCTCCCGTCTATCTTAAAATTGAACCAGCGTCTTTTATTCGGTCCTGAATCAACACCACAAATATACAATATATTACGCAGACTTTGTCTGGTGATGAAAGGCTTTCTATATCGTCGTTGGCACTTTGGGATTCGTTCTAGCCCCACCTATATCTGAAGAATTTGAATTCCAAATATGCTTCTTTACATCGACCCCCAAGGTGAGTCCCATATGGTATCAAGGTATCTTTTGGCGGTTATATATCAATCTCGCTCTTTCAGGTCATACTCTTAATTTTTCTATGCCTTGCTGGGCTTTCATCGAAACCAGCCATTGCCTTGGTTTCAGATAGGATTTACGTTAGTTAGTTTGAGCCCCTGTCTCTCAGGAGCTAGAATGAGGATGAGTATGGAAAAGACAATCAGTAGATGAAGTGATCGACTCATTGTTAATTTGTTCCAACTTTCAACACCTGGATATTAGAGACGGTTAGTATCAGAAAACGAACCGCAAGCTGATGCTGGTTCTTCTCATTCTTTGGCAATAGATAGGAGTCCAGGCAGTTAGTATCGAGGCCTCTCACTGCGCCATCAATAGCCACTCTGACTTTAAGAGGTATATCGCCTTAGGGTAAAGTGGCCGACAACGACGGTTGAGTTAGTGTCTATCAGGTGGTTTAGCCTGTAGTGGTAGAGTCCCGGCCTGGGTCCCTCGATCAATATATGTTTCTACGAGGAGATCGATTTTATGTTGCGTGCGAAACCCAATGAGGTTACGTTGCGTAAAATATGTGTTCGAATTCATTCTATTCTAGAATTAAGACCAACTAGTGAGCATCGAAGCACCTAAAAGCATTCGACTTCGTGCCTTCACGACCAGGAGGATTTGTCTGTGGTAGATAGTCTTCCCAGTAGATAGTCTTCCGATTGACTGCTCGAGCTAACTTGGAATCGACCATCACTAACGAATTTTTACGTACATCCATCGATAGGTAGTTACCAGAATACGCTGCCGTTATTGGTGGCATTTCGCATGATCCACATGATGGTCGGATTCAATAAAATATCTAGGTTGAAATCCAAGACTGTGCCACGAATAGCGGGCAGTCTCGGCCGCTCACATGGTGTCTGATTACGATCGAAGTCGATTTCACAGTTCCTCATGACAGGCAATCCTTGATGCCTATGTAGGTGTGTCAAATAAAGCCTTACATATACATATCGTCATGAAATCTGTCCGCCTTTGGCACTTATGCTCGCTCAACGAACCAGGAACAACGAACACAGCGGGATACAATCGACCCCCTTTCTCATAATAAGCAGTGTCCCTTCTGTCTAGCTCACCAAAGAAAACCGCAGAAACCCCTTATCCCCCTAGTCCCGACGTAAGCTACATCGATTATGGCCACTACGACGTCACATCAAGATACCACCCCCTTACGAAGTCTCCATAACTCAGGACCACCCGAGTCCACCACGCTAAAAAGCTTGCTCTACAAGATGGAGCATACACTTTCATAGCCTCGCCTACAATTACCCCCGAATTTGAGGGAATAAGTATGTAGACCCCATGATCCATCTGGTGTATGACCATGGAATATGGATGAGCCATTGAGTCCGCCGTGGGCCCATTTTTATGCAGCCGCTTCCGCCCTGATCGTCAGGGGTAAACAATAGTCGGCAGGTAGGGTACTGTACGGGGTACTGCGTACTTCTAATCGATTGTTTTGGGAGCTAGAGGTATGGACCTGGGTGAGTTGAATTACGCAATAGCGATTTGCTATTGACGAAGTTGGCGATCTTGTTTCTGCGGAGGACATCGTAGAGACCTAGCATATGGAGTATACTGGAAGTTCAAGATGGACCTGTTGTGCCGGCTCGTTGCTGGTATCTGGCTGGCCCACAGTGAGACGGGAGTAGCTTTCCTAGGGCCCATTGAAAGATGAGAATGGCCTGAATCTGATACAGAGGATTCTTTCGCGTTCTCTCCTTGGGTACGGAGGAGGCTTATAGAGAAGGGCAATACTAGGCTTGCCAACAAAATGTACGCCGTGGGTAAAAAGTTGACCATACTTTGAGGTCTCAAGTATTCGTCCGACTTGTGGGAAAGTGTCTGCCTGCTTGAATTTCCAACCGTGGTGGGATATGCGAATAGTATTGAACTGAGATTGTCTAGGGCACGGACGTGGAGCCGTGACGCTACTCGCATTCTTCGCATTCCCGGCATGGACACACGTTGACGGTGACACGGCTCGGAGGAATACTGTCGTCTCAGAATAAACATGGCTTCCGCATTCCAATGTCAGTTGCACTATAGCTTGTTTCATTGTTTTGCGTGGCAGTTGATCAAGAATGATTATGACGATAAATCAAGGCTTCTTGGTTCTTCTTGACCGACGTATGCCTAGATCGCCGAGGATGCCCATCGCCATGCTCACGACCCGGATCGCCCTTGGCGGGAGAGACAAGCTTTTCTGTTTGATGCGAACCGGGCGTTTGAACGGAGATTGGGAATTGCGTCGAGTTAGTTATTGGTGGAGGGTTTGCATGGATATGCTTTGGGCTTCTGGAGAAGGCGTGGCTGGCGGATGGACAACATTTGTGCAGAATGTGAATAATGGTAAAGGTATGAAATTTGTGCAATGGACTGTTTCTTTTTTCGGGTATGGGCGATGACTGGCTGGATCAGCTTTGTTATCCACTAAGGCAGGGGCCAGCCACTCAGAGTTTCGTTAGCCGGGCATAATTATGGGACCCTGTTATGATGAGGACCAGTCAGGGGCAAAGCGGTTTCGATTTGAAAGGGTCCTTTTTGAGGGACTTATTTTTTTCTTCTTCTCGTAGTGGGGGCTCAATAGCGGGTTCTGAGCGAGCAAGCGAATGATATGATGATATCCGCGGAGAGGAGATTGTTTCAGGGGCTCCATCCAGCCAGGGTCGAAGGTTTATTGGCATTGGCGCAGGAATATGGGCCCCCACCAAGTCCGAAACAAGTTAAGCTCCAGAAGAACTCTTCCCGGACCCAGTTTAAGGGTCCACCCGGTCCCTTCAGGGCCCAATGACCCTGAAGACCCCCGATATCTTGGGGGCCTCACCACATCCTGTGTGAATGTGTGTTGGGTAGGTTGCCAATGATGGCCTGCATCTGACAGCAAGAGGCTCCATTGATGCGCGATGCACCCACTGACACAGCCCGCCTGATGATGCGTCGCCATCGCCATAATTAATCAGGTTGCATTGGGGGCATGGGTACGGAGTACTTGATTGATGGTGGAGGAGAGTATGAGAAGTGAAGTCACTCTCCTCTTCCAGGCCCCAGGCAGTCAACCCTCCTCCTGGAGCCCCATTATTACTATCCAATCACCTGCTTGGCCCTCCTTCCCCTGCTTCTTCTTTCCTTCTTCACATTTCAACTACTTTCCTTTCTCCTTCTTCCTTCCCCCCCGTTACTTCCCAATTCATTCGTTTTGTGTTTTGGTTCTTGTGTTGGTACTACACGACAACACATCACACTCCTTTCCAACCCGTCAATTCTTGACATCACTCGCTTCCGAGCTCTCCCGCTCATCATGAAGTACTCCGTTCTCGCTGGCCTGTCCCTTGTGGGCTCGGCCATCGCTACTATCCCTTCCATTGAGATCAAGGGCAAGAAGTTCTTCTACTCCAACAACGGTACCGAGTTCTTCATCCGCGGTGTCGCCTACCAGGCCGACTACTCCAGCCCGACCAGCGGCTCCAGCAGCTCCAGCGTCAACTATCTCGACCCTCTGGCCGACGTCGAGAGCTGCAAACGTGACATTCCCTACCTGACCCAGCTTCGCACCAATGTCGTCCGCACTTACGCTGTCTCGCCCAACGCCTCCCACGATGAGTGCATGAACGCCCTTGCCGACGCCGGTATCTATGTCATCTCGGATCTGTCCGCCCCCTCGCAGTCCATCCAGTCCGACAACCCTACCTGGGACGCCGACCTCTTCACTCGCTACTCCGATGTCGTCGATGCTTTCGCCAAGTACCCTAACGTCATCGGTTTCTTCGCCGGTAACGAGGTCTCCAACCGGATCAACAACACCAACTCCATGGCCTACGTCAAGGCCGCCGTCCGTGATATGAAGACCTACATCAAGCAGAAGAACTACCGCAGCTCCCTGGCCATTGGTTACGCTACCGATGACGATGCTACCGTCCGTGAGCAGGTCTCCAACTACCTGGTTTGCGACACCGCCGAGGACTCGATCGACTTCTTCGGTTACAACATTTACGAGTGGTGTGGTGACTCTAGCTACTCCACTTCCGGCTACGAGGACCGCACTAACGAGTTCGCCGACTACCCTGTTCCCGCCTTCTTCTCCGAGTACGGCTGCAACCAGCCCCGTCCCCGTGAATTCACTGACGTGCCCGTCCTGTTCGGCCCCAAGATGAACAACGTCTGGAGCGGTGGTATTGTCTACATGTACTTCGAGACCTCCAACGAGTTCGGTCTAGTCTCCACCAGCGGCAACAACGTCAAGACTCTGGCAGACTTTGACAACCTGTCTTCTCAGATGCAGAAGGTCAACCCTACCGGTGTCAACAGCGCCAGCTACTCCGTCAGCACCACTGTTGGCCGCAGCTGCCCTACCGTCGATGCCTCCAACTGGCTGGCCGCCAGTGTTCTGCCCCCCTCTCCTAACGCTGATCTGTGCGCCTGCATGTACAACGAGCTGGAGTGTGTGCCCGTTGACGGCATCTCCACCGAGAAGATGACCGATACCTTCAACTACCTGGGTGGTGTCAAGGGCGCTATGGTCGGTGTCTCGAGCAATGCCACCACCGGCAAGTACGGTGCCTACTCCATGTGCAATGCCAAGCAGCGTCTGGCTTGGGCCATGAACCGCTACTACCAGCTGAACAACAAGGACAGCAGCGCGTGTGGTTTCTCCGGTGCTGCCTCCACTACCAAGGCCACCACTGCCTCCTCCTGCTCCGCTCAGTCTTCTGCCATGAGCGCCATCGGTACTGCTGGCACTAACGACGTCAACGGCGGTCTGGTCGCCTCTGGTAGCGCTTCCGGCTCTACTTCTACCTCCAAGGGCGCTGGCGCCGTCACCTTTGGCCCTCAGGCTGTCTACGTCGGTGCTTGGCAGACCGGTGCCTACGCGGTTGCCGCGATCGCCTCCGGCCTGTTCATGATCATGCTGTAAACCACTTGGCATCCAAGAACCAAAAAATGGCCTCTTTTCTTGTCGTTTCTATTTTTCTTCGTTTTGGTTTTTATTGTGATAAACTGGCGTGTCAGACCTGACGCGCTCCTTCTTTCGTGTGCTATAGTTTTGGCAGTCTCGCACCTTGGCGCACATCCTCCTGCTTTTCTTGTATTCGAGAACTTTTTCGTTCCGATAAATTGTTCATATAATCCTTTTCACGGTCCAATCGAGCCGGTGTTCATTCATTGAATTCGTTCCAGTCGTAGACCCGTAGTTTTGTACTTGTTAGCGCCTGTGGAGAATGTTGCGATTCGAGTACAGTACGGAGTACGACTCCATCACATAGTACTAGTCAAGTCCTCCTGTAGGTCCTGCCCGAGTTATATACCAGTCCAATTGCAATGTACAATGCTTACCAAGCTCCCACAGACTTAACCCACCAATTGCACCACACCTTGTCTTAGTAGTACTGTATGTAGTCTTATCTTGTGTAGCGCATCTCCCGCCCCCAACAAGCACGGCCGAGGCCACAGTGGAGTCGAGTCCTAGTGCGCGGCCCGCGCACCTCCCCCACTGACCCGACCCGATTCCGATTCCAATGGTTAATATAATAGCGCCCCCTGTCCTGCCCTGTTGAGTTCTGACTCATTTTTTTTGTTGCATGCTTTAGAAGGTTTGTGCAATTGAGGTTTTTGATTGGATGGGTTGGAAATTGGATTTGGTCTAGGATTGGAGGTGGTTGTGGTTGCGGATGAGTACTCTTGTTAGATGCAAATCGGGTTCGGTTGTGGGCGGGAGGATTTGGATAATACTGTAGTCCCATTGGGAGAGGTAGGACTAGAATTGCAATACAAGTGCGCTTCAATTGATTGAAATATTAATCTATGATTGTGTACCTGTATTGGCCAATTGATTCTCCATTGAATTGGAATCATGGATAATCGTACTGCAGCTCCTGTGGGGTCAACGTTTCTAAAGCTAGTCTAGTTTAGGAACGGAAGTTGATGGGCTGGCCTTTAGGATTGCATAGTAACTACATGCAAAACTACTTACTAACAGCCCATTGTGAGTTGTGAGTCAGAGTTGTATATCGACCAGAACTGGGAATGGGAATATAAATACTGCTGGGATATGTGTCTGGTGGTTGTTTCTTCAATTGACTTCCTCTGGACATTTATCTCAACTGTTCTTCGGCGACTGGATCCTGGTTGTTCTTGATTTCCTTCCTTCCATCTTGACTATTGCATCTACTGCCTTTGTCTCCCGAAATCTGTAACTTAACCAATTATCCATCATGGAAGCTATCAATTCCGCTTTTGCAACATGCAAAAGGGAGTCCCGCGCTGCACTCGTCACATACGTGACAGCCGGTTATCCAACCGCAACCTCGACACCAGATATCATGCTAGCCATGCAAGCCGGCGGCGCTGGTCAGTCCCCAACACCTACACAAAACTACTATTATCCAACCAAACATATCCCATTCTAACACCCACTCTTTACCCACCAGATATCATCGAACTAGGCATCCCATTCACAGACCCGCTAACCGACGGCCCGACCATCCAAAAATCAAACGCCCAAGCCCTGCAAAACGGCGTCCGGATCCCGGAGATGCTGCAGATGGTGCGTGAAGCGCGGAAACGCGGACTTACGGCGCCGGTTGGGTTTATGGGATATTATAATCCTGTGAGGGCGTATGGGGAGGAGAAGATGCTGAGGGATTGTAGGTCTGCGGGTGTGAATGGGTTTATTATGGTTGATTTGCCGCCTGAGGAGGCGGTGCGGTTTCGGGGGGTTTGCAAGGGGTTTGGGTGAGTTTCCTTTTTACCGTCAATGTTTGTTGGTTGGGTGGAATTTCTGGTTGTTATTTGATTGTGGGAGTTGAAGGGAGATTAAGTGCTGACCGCGGTTTATCTTCAGATTATCATACATCCCACTCGTTGCACCCTCGACTCCAGACTCCCGAATCAAGATGCTTTGCAGCATTGCGGACTCGTTCGTGTACGTCGTTTCGCGAATGGGCGTGACCGGTTCCTTGAAGGTGCTTGACGAGGGCTTGAATAAGCTCCTGGAGCGAGTGCATGTCTACACTGAGAACCGAGTGCCGACAGCTGTGGGTTTCGGTATCAACACTCGCGAGCACTTTGTGGATGTAGCCCGCATCGCGGATGGCGTCGCTATCGGAAGTAAGATTATCAGCATTCTCCGTGATGCACCAGAGGGAACAGGAGCGCAGAAGGTGCAGGAGTATTGTCTGCATGTCACCGGCAGGACAGAGCCTCGTGTTATCACTCTTCCCAATGAGGAAAACAGCCTTGAGGAGACTTTATCCACCGTCTCAGCGCAGAGCTTCACGAATGGAACAGCTGAAACACCAACCGATCTGAACACCCGCTTCGGCCAATTCGGAGGCCAATACGTCCCCGAAGCTCTCATGGAATGCCTCACAGAACTGGAATCAGGCTTCAATGCCGCCATCGCAGACCCATCCTTCTGGGCGGAGATCAAATCGTACGCGTCCTACGCTAACCGCCCTTCAAGCCTACACTTAGCACCCCGCCTGACAGCCCACGCCGGCGGAGCCCGTATCTGGCTCAAGCGTGAAGACCTCAACCACACAGGCAGCCACAAGATCAACAACGCACTCGGCCAAATCGTGCTAGCCAAACGGCTCGGCAAAACAGCCATCATCGCAGAAACAGGCGCCGGCCAACACGGCGTGGCAACAGCAACCCTAGCCGCACGCTTCGGCATGAAATGCACCATCTTCATGGGCGCAGAAGACGTCCAGCGCCAAGCCCTGAATGTGTTCCGAATCAGACTCCTCGGTGCACGAGTCATCGCCGTGCCGGGCGCGCATCCCGGTGACGGGGGTACACTGCGAGACGCGGTGAATCAGGCATTCCGGACATGGGTGACTGATCTTGATAGTACGCATTTCGTGATTGGGTCTGCGTTTGGACCGCACCCGTATCCGACTATTGTGCGGACGTTCCAGGCTGTTATTGGGAATGAGGCGCGGGCGCAGTTCCAGGAGGCTAATGGAGGGAGATTACCTGATGCTGCTGTTGCGTGTGTTGGTGGTGGATCAAATGCCGCGGGCATGTTCTATCCATTCGTGCAGGATGAGGGCGTGCAGCTTGTTGGTGTTGAGGCTGGGGGTGATGGGGCTGGTGTTGGTCGACACTCTGCCACTTTGGCGCGTGGTTCCGTTGGCGTTTTGCATGGTGTTCGGACCTATGTCCTGCAAGATGAAGATGGCCAGATTACATCGACGCATTCGATCTCTGCGGGATTGGATTATCCCGGCGTTGGGCCAGAGCTGGCGAGTTGGAAGGAGTCGGGCCGGGCGAGGTTTGTTGCTGCCAGTGATCAGGATGCGTTGGATGCGTTTAGGTTGTTGAGTGAGACGGAAGGAATTATTCCTGCATTGGAGAGTGCACATGCTATTTCTGGTGCGATTAAATTGGCGAATGAGTTGGGTGAGGGGAAGGATATTGTGGTTTGTCTGAGTGGACGTGGGGATAAAGATGTTCAGACTGTGGCGGGGATGTTGCCCGAGTTGATGCCGGAGACTGAGGAGAACTAAAAATTAGGGGTTGTTCAATTACAACACGGCGTTAATCTGGAAGTGCTTATCTTCTTCGGTTTTATTCTGATTTTGTTATTTCTTGAATTGACTATATGTATGTTCTGGCTCGTTTCTTCCAGCTAGGACCTATAGATCTCATACTGTTGAGAGAACCCCCTTCGGCAGATTCATTGTTTACCAGTCCCTGAGCCGTTTCGTCCTGCTGTGGGCTATAAGAGGCCTCTGATTTCCCCGTCTCCCTATTTTTCCTTCGAAATCTCTACTGACATCAAGTTCGACTGATTTCCCTGACAGTTTTCCGTGCATAGTCGTAGGTGACGCCTTCAACTGTGTCAACCCTATCGTTGTCCTTTGGGGCGAACTACGTCTGTCTTTCATATCGAGAACTGCGATGATTTACGTACCCCATAATTCAGAGGAATCTCTTATCTTTGATGGTGTGCAATACGAGTTGTATAGTTCAGAATCTTCGGTGCATGGTAATTATGTTCATCGACAGCCCCGCTTACCCCCGCTTACCCCCGCTTAACCTCATTGGAGCCACGATATCCCTGCATTTTCGACACTGGCACCGCCTCTAGGTAATGAGGCTGAGTCTGTCCATGGCTGCGCTTTCCTTCTTCAAATTGAGTATTCGTCCAATTTGGAGGCTTATCACATCTCCTGTTGCCTAGGTCCACGACATCACGTTCCCTGTCCATACCACTGATGAGCACGATATGTCTGATCCATTCTCGGTCGCGCTGGCGCGGTCGGTGTTATTTCATTGGGCATTCAGCTGTGCAAAGAGATTTCCAGCTACACAGAAGCTTGGCAGGGCTACGATATAGACATTGAGAGCATTGGTCTCAAGGCCGAGTCACTAAAAACTCCTTTGAAAAGGCTTCGAGATCTCGTCGAGGACACCCGACTGACAGACCCTGAAATTGCCAATGATATCAATGAGAAGGCACTGGGACTTGAGCATCAGGTCAAAAGGCTTGAGAAAAAGCTTAACCAGATCAAGCCCGTATTCTCAGATAAACCCACAGACAAATTCCGCAACAAGTTGAAAAAGGCTGCTTATCCGGTCATCTCGCGAGATGCGCTACGAGATATCCATAGTAATCTGGACAGTATGCAGTCAACGATTCAAATGACACTGGCCATGTGAGTCGGGCATGGAGCACAAATACGTATTATAGGAGTTATTATTGACAGGACTCAAGATTCAATGCCCAACAAGCACAAAAGTCTCAGGCCACGCAAGCCAAGATGGTCCAACTGATTGAAGAAATAGTGAGTTTCCCTCCCCGAATAATCGTTTGGTTACTTATACAAGATTTCCAAGCATCTCACTATGTCAAGGGTTTCATCAAAGAGTATGCCTGCACCTGGATTGCTTCGATCCTTTTGTGACCGTTACGGCGAAGACGCGCAATTGGCCCATCAACAGTCACAAACAAATTCGATCAACCAAACAAACCTATGCAATCTACATTCCAACCAGGCTTGGCCAGTGTCACTTCATCCGAATAAACAGAAGCTCACAGCGAAGACAGTCAAAAGATCTTATCAGTACCACAGTACTTGGCTCCGCCACACTATCAAGTTCTCTTTCTGGCTTTCAACTGGAGCTGGAGGCTTCTCTATTGCACCTGCTCTCAAGATACACGCTGTACTGGACGGATATAGCTGGACCAATATAGAGTTATGTGGCAGAGCGAATTCGTTGGGTATTCCCTTGCTTAGAAGAAATGCGGATGATATAATCCATGATTTTCAAGATGCTTTCTCTACTGGATTACTCAGGCCCTCGGACATGTTGGAATCAGCGGACGCAAGCTTTTCACTCGTGGATGTAAGTTCTCCATCCCATCCGATTGAGGAGGCGCAACTAACACAAGAAGATCTTTCCTTTCTTTCTCAGGACGGAGGTTGGTTCCATGTTATACAAGTTCGCCCTGTTTTTGGTGAACTGTGGCTCGATGCCTGACAACAATACCGAATATGGGTTCTTGCATCAGATGTGCTCTTTGAAAACCTGGGGAGTAGACGAATACACATTTGCCGAGCAAATGATCAACCTAGGTGGTCCCCTGAGCTCAATGCCATGGACAAAGGCTGGTAAACAGAATATGCGTGGTCTACTCGACAGAGACAATGAACGTAAGTTATTGATGGGACTCCATCTCTGCGAATTGGGCCTGACTTCTAGTAAAGTAATCGACATACCGGAAATTGCGAAAATTATACTCCGTGAATCGGAGACAGACCTGCGGAAAGCGCTGGAAACTGGATGTGCAAGTCCAAATGACAGGATACAGCACGTAACTTTGCTTGAGCTCGCGGTCGGATGGCCAGCTGGTGTAAGCATTCTCTTGGAATTTGGAGCGGATGCATCTGAATTTTCTCCGAAAGAGTCGACTTACAGGCCTCTTGATACGGATGATGCTGATTATGAAAATTACTGTAATTCGATGATGCCCCTTCTTCAAGCAGGGTGTAAGCTTGACTTTAGCGACGTACTGCATTGCAGGTCCCCAGAGATACGATCTTTGTTCATCCAGAAAATTGCAACTCGACGACAAAAGTTACAAGCGCTGGCACAATCTTGTTTACCATCACAGAGGCTCGCAGAGGTCCTTGGCGGTGACAGTAAGGAGGGCATCCTTGACTTTCACGCTTCTGAAATATGCACCGAGCTACTCACAAGAGGCTGGAAAGTTGATCGCTCGCTCCAGCCCAGCGCCCACTCTCAATCTTTATACCATGAGTGGAATGAGCACATCGAAGCTTGGGAGGAGCTTTACCAAATTGGCTTTCGAGACATCGATGTTCCAAATACAAATGGCTTCACCCCTCTGATGAAGCAACTCTCGTATTTCAGGGGGCGGGACATCCATCTGAACGTCAACCTCGAGAATATAATCTGGCTTGTTGATAAAGGGGCAAGTTTGTCTAGGCTTTTGCCCTATTCGAAGGCGACAGTTGCTCATCTGGCCAGCGGGTGGGTGACTCTCACGATCCTACGTGTCATCAGCCAAGACGAATATGACGGGCTTAGCAGATTTCCGGCGTTGAAGGCACGGATTATTCAATACAAAGATACTATTCTTCTGATCCCTTCTGTTCATGATCATTGTGTCTGTTCATGTTGCCTTGGTGGATGTACCACTTTCTCGGTGGCATTGCGAACCTTGATCAAACAATGGGAAATTATGTATCTTCCTATGAGAGAAAGGAAGAGGCTATTCCACCAGGCCTTCGATCTCCTTCTCCGGTGGGCTAATAGCCGACCTGGAATTTATCATGCTATTATTCGTTCTCTAACACATCACGCCTTAAGTTTTGCGGCATACATGCTGTGATGGGATTGGCGATTGGCTCCCTTTCCAATCAGAGGGTATCATAACGGAGGAAGAGATTGATGACATTCGTGAAGAAGATCAACATCTGTACGACGAACTCGAGAACTTATATCTGAGTTTGAAATGGAGTTCAATCAGCTTGGCTTGCCAATCACGGAGTTTTTGCACAATTACTGGCATGCCCGCATGATCGAATATCTCTCAACTCCTGGCACTTACGACGACGAGCACATCCAGCAGACTAGAAATCTTGGAATTTTGTTGGAGCCACATGAGATCGACATTCCTGACGTTGTTTATTACTTTGGCAATCAGGTTGATGAAGTCACATCAGATTAATAGCTGGATCAAGCAAAATCCAATTTTATCTTGTGTCTTGTTCCTCTTGCACGATTAGGGACGGCCCTATCGCAATGATTATGATTATATGAAGTGATTTCCTTTCCTTCATCGGACTCCCATTAGACGCTTACTCCATCAACCTCTCACCTTCCTCGCTCGATCCAAGGCTGGAAAATTGAATCCCACGAATACTATGACCCTTCCACATCAGGAGCATCACAAAGAAGAATGAAAACACTGCAAAGAATGCCATCATTCCGTAGACCCAGCCTACATCGACCGCCTCCACCCACGGATTGATGTAGAAGCTAATTGTCAGTCCGTAGGCAATGCGGTAAGCACCAATCACGATGCCAGCCTCCGCAGGGTACTTGGTGAAACACTCAACGACGTAGTTCACCGTGACTGGCACACTAGCAAGCGATCCGATAGTGACGATAAAAACTGCGAGTGCTAGGACCATATAGTGTAGATGATATTGTAAAGCGGCGCCAAATATTCCCAGTCCAATCGGATTGAGAATCAGACTGGGGAGCCAGAGGACATGCAGGCGGTATTCCGGCTTCCAGGCACCGTTGTTCCAGCGGCGTGCGAAAGCGAGAGGGAGCCGGTCGTTCAAGTAGTGCCCGTAGAATTGGACGAAGATGATACCGATCCAGTGGCAGAAGGTAAACGCCGCGTTTTGCTTCAAGGTGAAACCGTAGCCACCCTCTGCGACCGGCTTCTGGAGCCAGACAGGGGTAAGCGCGTTTACGCCGACATAGAAGCCGAAGGAGATGAGGGTGAAGATGCCCATAATAACAGTGACAGGACAAATGCCGATGAGGATGGGAGTGATCCCAATTTTGGCCTATTGAGTATTAGCTGCGGCCCTAATCTAGAAAGATGGTTGGACATGCCGTTTGCTTCCATGTCGTTGGCTGCACAACTCGATGCCCGAAGAAGAAAGTTGCTAACCGATTTTCACCAAATGAAATCGGAACCTTGGGGTTTTTGTCAAGATCCACGCGATTGAACCCTGTCTCTTCAAGACATAGGAAGCAACAAATCAGAGTGAATCCAAGCAGACCAACGGTCCACCAGAACTCCACAGGGAAAAAGGCCCCTGCTGAGATGAAGCCCGAGAATGTTGGACCAGCGATCGTTCCGAAACAAAAGGACATGTGCAATGCAGTAAAAGCACGGCCGCGCTGATGCAAGAAGAACAGGTCGGTGACAACACGAGGGCCTAGCACAGTCGGCACTGCACCGAAGAACCCTGAGAACAGGCGCGAGATAATATATGCTATGTAGTCATTCGGGTGGGTCATCACGGCTCCCCATACCTGGCATACCAGTGTACAGAGCATACACCAAAAGATGACCGAGCTGCGGCCCAGAAGGTGGGCAATGGGCGCGAAGAAGAATGGCCCTGCGGCCATACCGGCCAGGGCGGCTGAGTTCTATCTGAAGGTTAGGGGCTACCAAGCAGGAAGATAAGCGGACAGAACTTACCGCATAAGACTCCTGTAGCTTCGTCTTATGATACAGCTTTTCCTGGTCCGCAAGATTCAACTGCCCAGACAATGGCGCAACAGCGCCCGAGAACGAGGCCAAGCAAAGCACTGATAGGATAATGTACTTTCGCCGCAAAGACCAGTTCTGCCAAGATATCAGGTTAGCACTCGAACATCAGCGCTTCACGGTCACGCAACCCGCGCTTAAAGAACATCATCGCATACCAGGGGGTCACGAGGGTGGGTACTCGGCTGGGGGATCAAGACGAGATGCGCCTCATGCGCCGCTGGCGCCGAGGATGCCAAGTCTTGTGCCTCTTTGATATCGTCCATGGCTATCTTCGTTGAGCTCAAAGCCTCAAGAGCCGCATCGACTGTCTTGGGCGGAGAAAAGGGGGGTTGAACCGAGGGCCTTGACCTCTCCTTGTAGTTTTATTTTTTTTTTTTTTTTTCCCATGGACAAGGCAATTATTGGAGGTCTTGGCGGGCCGCGCCTTAATTTCGTGTCCGAGCGCCGCTCGTTGACGGGTTTGTCCTGTGACGCGTCAGCTGATGAAGTTTTGGGGCCATTCATGCTTCTTTGTGCATAGCACCACACTGTCTTACGTTGATGCATTTGCTTGCGGATTCAATTCTAGCTGCGTGATTAAGCTGCTTAGCATACAAGGTTCTCACATCTCATCTCCCAAGACGTGGCTGTGAGGCTTATTTTGAGATTACTTTTGTGGCGGCTTAGAGTGGAGCCACAGCCGTCACACAGAACCACTGGCCTCCAGTTAGCCGAGCTTCTTGCTATCATAGCATGTTGAGTTGAGACACTTTGATATTCCTCGAAAAACACTGTGCAATCTTTCCAGCTAAACGGCTTCAATTGTCGCATTCTGAAACTATATTTTCCCTCTTCATCTCCAAAAATCATACCATCTATAAGATCTATATTCTAAGTCGAGTTTCACCTCCAAGACTCAGAAGGCGAGAAGCATCCACTCAAACGAAACGTCAAGATTGCCAGGTGTCATGGATGCATTATTGATTTGTACCTTTGTAGAATATTTCTCAGGCTGCCCGAGGCCAGGGTCTTCTAAAGAAGTTAGAGTAACCATTCGCTGCAGGGTCTTGCAGGGGGCCTTGGGGCGGGGTCCTAGGCACCCGTCTTCAACTAGAGACGCTACTTCCCCTCATTTTCACTTTCAAACATGGACAAGATGCCGGTGCTTCTGTGCTTAGAGAACCCCTTACTTGGTAAGAGTGTCTCCAGTTCGGTCGAATTACGATACTGACATGCTCGCTAGATGTTCAGGCGTTTGGGTATGCCAGGCTTGATTGCCCAGGGTGTTGACAGTCTTGCTTACTCCATGTTCCATCTGTTTCACAGGGACAAGGACCTCCTCGATAAATATGGACTGAAATCCAATAACGCCATTCTCGCCGAGGAATCCCATGCAGGCCTTTTCGATGATTTGATCAATAACTACTCGGCGGAAACGACCGCAGGTGGTGGTGCCCAGAACACGGCCAGAGGCGCCCAGGTATGAGGAAATTGATCCTTGTCCCATCCTTCAAAATGGCTAAAGTTTGATCCAGTATCTACTCCCAAGAGACAGTGTTGTCTTCATTGGCTGCGTGGGTAATGATAGTTATGCGGATAATCTACGAACTTCATGCCAAAAAGCTGGTGTCCGTACGGAATATCTCGTTGACGAGACACACCCTACAGGCCGCTGCGGCGTCGTGATTACAGAAAAGAACCGAAGCCTCTGCACTGAGCTCGGTGCTGCCAATCACTACAAACTAGAGCATCTGAAACGACCTGGGATCTGGAATCTTGTGGAGTCGGCACATATATTTTTTGTTGGGGGGTACCACTTAACTGTCTGCCCTGAGGCAGCTTTGGCTCTAGCGAAGGAGGCAGCTACGAAGAATAAGGTTGAAGACTTCCTGTTCTGTTCTCATAAACTTCATACCAGGATGACTGATAGATTGAACAGGTATTCGTAATGTCGTTATCTGCTCCCTTTGTTCCAGTTACGTTCAAAGATGCTTTGGACGAAACCGAGTCGTATTGGGACTACATTATTGGCAACGAAAGCGAAGCTCGAGCATGGGCCTACTCCCACGGCTTGGAGGTAACTATCAACCACATAATTTGAGATATTATCTAAAAATAAGTTTTTTGGAGGACACTAACATACAACAAGTCTGAGAATGTTTCTACAATTGCTCAGCATCTCGCGAACCTGCCAAAGGCAAACTCCAAAAGACCTAGAGTGGCTTTGATTACCCAAGGCTCTTCCACGACGGTCATTGCGGTGTCTGGAATGCCGGGACATAGAGAGGTTCCAGTTCGGAAGATCGCCGCATCTGAAATCATTGACACCACTGGAGCCGGGTGAGTAAGACTCATGATTCTTGTTCTAGTGTTTTACAAGAAGAAAATTTAGACCAATTCGCCAACTTTGCTTTCTTTAGTGATGCTTTTGCGGGAGGACTTCTGGCCGGTATCGTCCAACAAGAATCACTCGAGACCTCGGTCGATATGGGACACTGGCTTGCGTATCTAGGCATACAACAATTGGGTTCAAAGTAATTTACTGCTACATGAAGGATTTCATTCGACTTTGCTAATATTTCTTTAGTTATCCGCTTCCAAAGCAATCCTACGTTCCTCTGTGAGAACTTCTATACCAACAAGAACTAAAGGGGTTATAAAGTTTTGCTCTTTAACTCTTGTCACAGGTACAATTCACGACAGATTTGATGCAAGTAGCCATGGGAAGTGGTTGTCTCATCTAGTCGTGGTAGAGTTTGGAAAACAGAGAATTAGAGCAATGACTGTACTAGATTCTGTGAGGAGAAAACGTTGGAAATGGAATTTTCCTTCCTCTCATGAATACTAGAAAACTCGCCGGGAAGTTTATGAAGCTCCGGCTGATTATTTTAATTGAAACGTCCCGAATTCCCGCATCTGCTGCGTCATTACTTCTTGTTTGGTCGACTTTGCTTGATCATACCGAAGCAAAAGCGACCATTGGTGCAGGACGACACGCTCTCTAGATGCAATACTTTTATTCAACATGCAAATTACCTGTTTTAGATCAATATTCTTCACCTCAAGTATAAACAACTTCATGAATACGTTCCTTATTAGTAATTTGCAAGCCCTCTTTCCAGCACTCTTTGCTCGAGCAGGAATGATTACTATAATTTTTGTGTTATATAACAAAGAATAATAAGGGGCCCCATAACTACGAAAGATAATCTGGCTCCAGAAGTGAAATGAAGATTTCTTAGCGTCTAGGGAATAGTTCTAATTCCGCAGGCTTAAATGATCTAACAACTTCCAACGCACGATTTCAATTCTGATAATGGAGCTACGCTCCCTTGGCTCACCTTGCCTTTCAAACTCCGTAAGTTCCTATATGCAGTACGCTTTCTGCGTCATTATTCGCACTATTTTCAGTTATGGCGAGCTCGGTGACTCCGTCTACCTCCGTCAGCAAAAGTGGGGCAGGCGATTTTTTTTTGTCTTCGGCGACTTGAACTATCGCCGAGGATACTGAAATACAAAACTGCGCGCGATCTCCATGAAATATTTGATAGCGTCAGAATTTAATTTGTTTCAGGTACCAATGCCATTCTTGGGAAATCACCCAACCTCCCCTTTTACGATCTTGAAGTTTTCCCAAAATGGCCACCAGTCCAGATCCTATGTCCCAAAAACCCGAGACACAACTCGACTCACCCCACGACTCAGAATCGGACATGGAAATAAACTCCAAGCCACAACTGCCCACTGGATATAACCTGCCGTTGTGGCGCAAATGTCTGATTCTTTTTGTTGTCAGTTGGATGACTCTGGCAGTCACGTTCTCTAGTACATCACTACTTCCCGCCACTCCAGAGATTGCCAGTGACTTTTCTACGACTACCGAGATTCTCAATGTCATCAATGCGGGTGTCTTAATCGCAATGGGGTTTTCCTCATTTATTTGGGGTCCCATGACGGACTTGGTTGGGCGTCGAAACGCCTATAATGCCGCTATAATGGTCTTATGTGCCTGTTCGGCGGGGACGGCAGTCGCAATCAATCTACACATGTTTATTGCGATGCGTTTACTATGTGGACTTACCGGAACATTCTTCATGGTCGCCGGTCAAACAATCATTGCGGATATCTTTGAGCCAGTCAGTCAATTTCTCAACTCATTCCTCGGCGGGTTAATTGCTGATGATGTTTTCAGGTCGTGCGCGGGACAGCTGTGGGCTTTATGATGGTCGGTTCAGTTAGTGGTCCTGCAATCGGTAATTATACACCACTCCGTCTTACGCATTCCATTGTCAGCGCTAACTAAACCAAGGCCCATGTGTTGGTGGTGTCATTGCCACCTTCGCTCAATGGCGCATCATCTACTGGCTCCAATTCGGCATGACTGCGCTCGGGCTTGCGCTCTCTCTGTTATTTGTTCCAAACATTCAGAAGAAGCAGCAGTCTCTGTCTGCCACCCAGCCGGTCAATCTTTCGTTGGTTTTGCAAATGTTCAACCCACTACGTATCTTCCGTCCATTCATCTACCCGAATGTTTTCCTCTGCGTAAGTGAAAATAAGCAATTTTCAGTCTCTCTCATCACTAACTCCAGCAGCATTTCACATGTGGTCTACTGGCAACTTTTCAATATGCCATTCTCACCTCTGCGCGCTCGATTTTCAACCCTCGTTTCCATCTGACAACTCCCCTTGTAAGCGGTCTGTTCTATCTGTCCCCGGGAATGGGATTTCTCATCGGAAGCGTTATGGGTGGGAGATTGTCAGATCGTGCGGTGAAGAAATGGATTAAAAAGCGAAATGGCGTGCGACTACCTCAAGATCGGCTAAACAGCGGTCTGGTAACCCTATTCGTCGTCCTTCCGGCTTCAACATTGATATACTCCTGGACGTTGCAGGAAGAAGTTGGAGGCATGGCTGTGCCTATCATCAGTGCCTTCACCGCTGGAGTTGGACTACTGGGTACATTCAATGGTTTGAACACCTATTCGGCCGGTAAGACATTGGATTTTCTCAAGTATATCATAGGACATATTCTAACGATTTCACCAGAGGTCATGCCGCACATTCGTTCCGAAGTGATCAGCGGTAAATACGTAGTCCAGTATCTCTTTGCTGCAGCTGCAACGGCGGCGGTCGAGCCACTGATCAATTCAATTGGCGTCGGCTGGACATTTACCATTTGTAAGTCTCAAAATAAGTGGAAATAACACGGATCATCCTTGAGCTATCTAACACATGTTCTTAGGCGTTGCATTCGCGATTATCGGTGGCTTTTGTGTTTTGGCCATTACTAAATGGGGCATCGATATGCAGCGATGGGTTGAGGAGAAGTTTGGCATCGATGAGAAACCATCATAATGCCTTGCATTTGCATTTCGATTTTTCATTCGCGACATGAACAACATTGCATATAGAGATAGAATGATAGACACATACCCATAGATGCATGACGATACGAGATTAATGAACATCAGGATTGAAGCATTTGAAACCATACCTCCCTTGAGAGCCCCAGAAACTAGAGATCTAGTCCTGCTACCTGAACAAGGACTATAGTCTGCAGGGCTAACCTACAACATACTGTCGGACTTCTGGCCGACCCACTACAGAATCATGTAAGAAATCTTTCATGACATGCCCCACTTTTGGGTGAAAGTGGGATATGATTGGTCAATATGGCATGTAACGTCTCGGCCAAAGCCGCCGAGCTCGGTGATGCTTGCCGATAACCTCGAGTGACACACCCAACCTCCTCTCATTCTCATACGGACCAATCTCAGCAGGAATGGAGTAAACAGAATGGCACGGGGTACAGGGCTGAAACGGCGTTCACTTTTTGCCGAGGAGGAAGAAGAAAGTCTTCGACAACAACGAAGGAAGTTTGTGGCGTGCGTAGACACCTCCAATCGTTTCTGTCACCCTGATGAGACAACGCTAACCAACACGAAACTACAGATGCCAGCGATGCCACGCTCACAAAATCAAATGTTCTGGCGATCAACCCTGTAGCAAATGTCGTGCGGTAGGCTGCGCAGACGAATGCGCATACGCTTCTAGAGACCGCCAGGTCAAAGTCAGCGAGAAGTAAGCCGGGCTTCCCCTTGCCGAACCGAGCCCTCGGCCACTCGGGCAAGTTCTTTAAATAGGTTTGAAAAAGACTAATACAACGTCTTCGCTCTAGCTACCTCGATCAACTCCTGGCGGAGAATCGGCGCTTAAAGGAGCAGTCGGTATCCTCGGCCGATGCCACCGAAGCGAGTGCCTTGCCACATACAGAACGGTATATCGCATGTACGACCTCGAAGAAATCATAGAATGTTCCACTAATACGGCGATTAGGGCTCCATCTCGGCCTACGGATGCGACTGATGCCCCTGATGCTACTAGCATCCAGAATCCTATCATTGGTGACCGGGCATGGTTCCATCGCTATGACCCATCATCGCCCCCCATCTATATCGGCGAAGCGGCATGTTCTGCATTTGCGACTCGCTTTCGCCGTTTCCTGACCGGAAACAATGCGACTGCGCATATTACACGCACACAGTGGGAGCGAGAAGAAGTCATCGCTGCAGCAGCTAACGAATCCAATGTCCAGTGGCCAAGTCTGCATCACGCTCGGCTGCTCGTCCGAATCGCAATTAACCAGATCGGACACTTGTATCACCTGATGATGCGCAAGACCACCGTGGATAAACTGGAAGAAATTTATCAAACAGGAAGTTTTGATTGTGCATCAAACAAGTGCAAATTCTTCGCGTTGTTTGCCTTTGGCCAGGCCTACTCCGTTCGATCCGATCCTACCACAGGATCGCGAGTTCCAGGCACAGCATATTTCGCACGAGCTATGAGCTTAGTTCAAGTTCTACCGGAGCGGACGAGTATCACTCATCTTGAAACCTTGCTGCTGCTCGTAAGTCTTCCGAACACTGTCGTATCTCGATCAAGGCTAACATGGCTAGTCCCTATTCTCATACTACCTCAATCGACGGCACTCAGCATACGTGCTAATTGGAAACGCCATGCGCATGGGCCTAACAATAGGTCTGAATCACAACATCCCCGAGTCTCAACTCATCGACCCCGTGGAACGTCAACATCGTATCGAGATCTGGTGGACAATCTACATCTTCGACCGCATGTGGGGATCCAAAATGGGTCTTCCAATGCAAATCCTCGACGAAGATATCCACGTCGACATGCCTACAACCATCTCTCCTAGCTGGCGACATGAAGAGGAACTCTCCGACACAGACTATATGACCGCGAACATCAAGCTCGCCAGAATTGCGGGCGAGACAATAGCCCGGTTATATAGCAGACGAAAGTACAAAGAGACCTTCCTCCAGCGCGTGCAAAAACTCCTAAAGGCACTGAAAAATTGGGTGGACACTCTACCGGAAGGCCTGCGACTGAACATGGAGGACCTTGAATCCAGCAAGAAACCCGTTGTCTCCTTACACATGGCATTCAATCAGTGTGTCATCCTCACAACGAGGCCTACACTGCTCCATCTCCTCATCACCCTCCGCCAAAACAACGGTTCAAGGCCCCTTGGAGAAAACATCCGCGACTCAGTCTCTCAACCCGTCCTCACCCTCAGCGAGGCTTGTATCCACGCCGCGCGCCACTCGCACTCCATGATCCTCACTCGCTGGATAAACGGAACATGTCCATCGTTCGGCTACTTCCACGCACACTACCTCTTCTCCTCCGCACTGATCCTAGCCATGTCCAGCTTCGTACCAATTGGCAATCCCAATGACATGAGCGGCTTCGACTCCGCACTAGACGTGCTCCGTTCAATGTCCGAGAACGGGAACCTCGCTGCTGCAGAGTTCTTCCATAATCTGGAGCAAGTGAAAGTATGTTTAGACGCGTATCGGGGCGCAAGTAAGCCTCAGAAAAGCGATTCAGGGCCTGAGCTCAGTGTAGACATGACCACCAATCCGCCTGCTGTGGCCGCACTGAGGTCAATATCTGGTCTGGCATCGACACTGGCGCCGTCTTCGGCGCATCTGCCAGGGGTCTTGGCTGGTGCGTCCACCGCGCCAGTGCTACCTCCTGACGGAGATTTATTGGCTGGCCAGCCGTCATCCCACGGGCCTGATGCGTATATTTTGCCGGCGCGGGACGCTGTCAATGGGTACACGACTGAGATGGCGTTTTTGGAGCCGACGATGCAGGATTTCCTGGCTCAGTCGGATATTGATCTGGGGCTGTTACATCCGGTTGATACATTCCTCAGCGAGGCGGAGAATCTCTATACTTGTCATGAGCTATAGCAGGATTGATTGTTGTCTGGTTCGCAGTGCCTAGAAGAATTCTACTTCACTCCTGTTTCCAGTAGTCTAAACCATTCTTCATCTTAGAGTAGTACAACCTTATCAGGAGTTGCAAGGGGCTTTTCTAGGCGGTTCTTGGATGTTGAGCCGACTACTGACTAAAGACTTTTGGTATCAATGGCTAAGCCTCGTCAGATTTATTAATGTTTAAGATGCAAGTTCTGGACGTTAGTCTGGCCCCGCGATTATGATTAGTTATTAGTGAAGGTACCAGGTGGTTAGAAAGGGTTAGCACAGATCCATGGAAAGAGGTCAGCAAGCATTGTTGTTTTTGTTGCTGTTGCCCAGGGTATGGGTGGTTGGCATATATGATGAAGGAATCTAAAAGAAGCCAGCTTAGAACAAGATAAAATCCTATCGCCGACATGAACAGATTCCCGATCAAGCAGGGAGACCAAGTAGGAGGAGATGACCAAAATATGAGGGCAGAATTGGCGCGCCCTTTCTCTAGGCCTGGTAAGCCTAGACAAAAGCCTTGAGATGGCAGACATAACGAGATATGAAAGCCCATCATGGGACAGACCAGAGCCTAGGGCGTGCGGTCAAGTTCAATAGAGAACTTCTCGCCGTGTCGAGAGAGGATGTCCATACAGACAAGCCAGGCTCGTTGAGATGATGGATCCTTGGTGGACATCTCGCGGAGCCATTGCATAGATTTCTGGATTTTCTCGACCAAACTGGCGGCCTCAGGGGAACCAGGTGTTGTGCGTGCGAAAAGCTCGATCAGGAGGACGGTTGTAGATTGCATGATGTAGTGTAGGACACACCACCAGGGTGAGACACCGAATAGCCAGTTGGCCTCCGGCGTGTCTGGAAGCATATCCAGCATTTTGCCTGCCATGTGCACACACATAGCTGCCATGGTGCCGCAAAGAGCGCCGCCGGGACTCGTGCTGGGGGCTTGGTAGGCGAGGTGTCGAAGGCAAGGCTGGGAGATGACGAGTTTGGTGTTATAGAAGCGGAAGCCAAGGTCGGCACGTTGACGGACGAAGGGATCAGTAGCGGTGGTGTCTAGGTTTGCGAAATGAAACTCTGCTGGGAGGCGGGAGAGCCACTTGTCAGCATTCGTATTGAGGTGAGATATGGCAATCTCCATCTCCATCCAGGATCGTTTTGTTGCGCCAGGGGCGTACAAAGTCTGAATAGCTTCTGTCATGAGAATATCCAGGTCCACTCCGTACAGAAAGGATAGCGATATGTTCGGCGTGATGGTATCATTCAGGTCCATCATTGGTTTTTCGGCTTCCTTTCCTTTCCTTGAGTCGGTCTTCAAGAAAAAGGCAGGATCGATCGAGCCTTCGCTGGCTCCAGTGGGGGTGCCGGCACCGCCACCGGAGGTCAACAGGGAAGTCATCAAGTTATTCCGGATAGAGAGGTTGTCAATGATTTGAACAATTCCGTGGACTCCGAAGTCCTCCTCAATGTAGGGGATTGGCAAAGGGGTTGTGCAAAAGGCCACGTCGGTACTGGGTGGGCGACCGGTCCTCACACAAAGCACCGTATCCAGCATGAAAAGTGCCCACCACACGCGGTATCGAGTCTCTTTTGATACTTGTGCAACACTACCGGTCTCGCTACGGAGGTTCAGACCCATGGCCACCGCAGATTGAATCGCAAATCCGATAACCCGCCATGATCTAGGAAAGGGGGGAACGTTCGACAATTAGACACCGCGCCTATAGAACCAAAATATCAACGTCAGGGAAGGGACTCCATAAGAACTTACCGGTTGACTTGACCGGTAGAAAGAAGATAGAAAGCAGTGAGACCTTCTACTTGCACTTGTTGCAAATTCGGATGGTCCAACAACGCGACATTGTCTATGCTCAGGCGCCAGGCCCTCGCAAAATAAGACAGATGGTCGTCGCCGTCCCCTTCCAGACCATCGCCAATGAGTAAAGTATACCTCGCAGCAATTGCAAACACAAGGTTCAGCACAGCAATCCATCGCTTCCCAGGTCGCACATTCGGATTTGTGTAGAAGGATCGGTATTGACCTAGGAAGACCCCTTTCCAATGATAGGGAACGCAGGGTGGACGGTCTGGAAATAGAGGTCCACGAGATTGTCGGCAATATGTTGGGGAGGGCGTTTCGATAGTTCAACGTGATCGAGGCTGGAAATTTCGGCGTCGTCCAGGAAGTAGTTCAGGGATGAGATAGAAACGGATACTCGATCGGGGGTCTCGCCGACGGGTGTTGCGCTTTCACAGTCGAGGTCGCGCTTCAGTTTGTACAGCCATGCCAATTCCGAGTGCTCACCCACAAATCCCATTGCCCGGACCTTTTCATCGCGGTTGAAGTCTTCTGTGGTGTGATCTGTAATACCTAAAGGATAGCTCGAAGCTTCCCCATCAGAGAATGATATAGAAGGGGTCTGCAGTTAGGCATGGTTAGATTCGGGGTCATTGTTAGTAGGATGTTGTGTGCGAGAAGTATGGAGGAAGGGGAATGCTATTGATGAAACGGGTAAAATGGTATGGGAGAAGCCGTTTGATCTCACCCTGACTAATTGGCGGCCGAGGATCTGATCAACATGTTGGGCCAGCGAAGGCTCAAGTCTCGGGTACAAATCTAGTAACAAGGTCTCGTAGGTATTGATCTGCGCGGTAAACTCATCCAACTGCCTAAATTTTCCAGATTAGAGGCAACTATCCAAGGTTCTCTCCATACGCAGCCTACGCACTTGAGCATCTTCTCTCGCTTCCGATCGCCGTAAGAACAGGGTATCCCAGCATCCTGACACCGGTGGCAGGATGGACGATGGCCACTACATTTGGCTTTTTGCTCGCGACAGTTCTCGCACGCACGACCGACGCGGCCACTGCTGGTATAGTTGATGGGACGTGTAGTTCGAGGGATGGGAACTTTTGGATTCAGGGACCGCTCGCTGGGGATTGGGCTGGCTTCTGGGGGATCTTGGTGACGAGTGACCAGCTCGTTATAGGGTGCCAGACCGAAGGGCATAATAGGCTGCGGGTAGCCAGGGATCGGTCTGACTTGCTCGAGGGGAGCCGACTCATTCTCCGGGACGTCCGATGCATATTCAGGATACAACGGGCGAGGGGGAAAGTTCTCACTCATCGTGTTGCGACTCTTGTCTCGCGGGTGCAGCAAGTTTAGTGGGAGGGGGTACACAAATGAGCGCCTTTTGAGCTAAGTGGCTTTTGGAAGGATTAGCCCTAGAGAGGGGCTTTGGGCGAGGCCCTCAGCTCCTGGAGCAGGAATTTTCTGAGATGCCCCGAACGGCCTGAATTGCGAAAAGCAAAGTGTCACGCAAGGGCATCGTGAAACGAGACGAGACCCCGAAAGTGGGTGGGGGCCCGCGGCCACGGAGAGCTGTGGTATGCTGGATGTCAATGCCGTGCGGTTTTGCCACTTAATCCCGGGCCGCTAGAACCCAACAATCTTCTTCAAAAGCGCCACTTTGGGGTGATTGCAGCCGATGCGAACCACCAGCGGGAAAAAAAGGTGTCTAGCGGTGCGAGATGCATGCTAGAGAAATTTGATGTCACTGGATTGTTGGTGTTCTCCCCACTTCCGACCAATCAACAGCAAGAAATGCTAGAGCTTGGGAATTTCCAGGCATGTAGACCGAAGCCCAGCCACGACAGTGGGCATTGTTCAGCGGGCGTTGTACCCCAGAAGTTCAATGAGTCTAAATCCATCATACTCGATCGGGCGCCTGTGAGATCGGTTACCTGTGGACAGGACATTATTCCAGTATTCCCTTTTCAACTGCGGTTTGAGACGCACGAAAAGACACACTAACCGATCGTGAGAAACAATACTGTCAAGGTCAGACCGTCCCATCAGAGCCCAAGAAGCTTGATGGTGTCCCGGTGTACTTGACTGACCATCGCTCGAAGCTTTGCCCACTGGCTTTCGCCGGTTGTAAGGCGTTACCATAGACATGTAAGTTCCAAATGATCGAATCAAGCTCCACGGTCATAGTCAGGTCCATCTGATTTGGTATTGGTACTGACAGGGGCCGAGGCCCCGCTGACGCTTTCTCTTTGGATGGGTATGGCCATTCCGAAAAGGGTGCCCCCGAAAGGGTGGTTTTGTTAACCTGAATCTCAGCGGTTGTAACTTTAAGAACGTACCATGCCCCTACCTACCACCCATGTCCAGGTTCAACTTTCTTCTCTTTCCCCTTCGTCAATGGTATTCCTCTTCTCGTCTTTCGCGTATCGCAACGACCCGTTGGCACAAGCCGTCCGAAATTCACATCGTAACGACACTGGAAAGGCCGATTGATGCAGAACCCACACCAGAGCGATGAGGCATCGAGCTGCCACGGAACCAGATCAGATCATTGGGATATCAGCCCGGGAGATCTATTGGATCATCAAAGTTACATCACTTCAATAGGCAGATGAAGCGGGAGGCACAATCTTTGGGAGTCACAGGCTGGCAATCTTCTGGGCTGAGATTGAGACCCGAAGTCAGGGTTGAACCACGTCGGTGCTGTGGCAGTCGACGAGACCCAGGAGCTGAGATGAATCAATGTACTTGGACAAAACTCATCATTCTTGCATGTGATGATTCTCCTCACGGACGAATCGTGATAGATGGTAGGAGGATACCATCCCCTCCCGACGCGTCCACTGGGATCAAGGCTCCCTGGGTCAGCGCGAGCTTCTCGCATTTGCAGAACGTCACGACGGCGTTAATGAGCTCAGCTAACAGCATCTTAGTGTATGGAAATTGTTTGTACTCTCCGAATTTCCATATAGATTTTACCGACTCGCTGTGTGATGCAAATGCCCTCGACGCGACCCGATCGGATCAGACATTGTCGACTGCTTGGACTTGCCAATCCACACCCTTATCGATCAGCATCTCGGTCAGCTTGGTCGATCTTTACCACAGGGGTGGTCAATTAATTCGAGATGTCAAAGATATTCCAGATCGAAACCTCAGCCTTATTTGACGACGAGCAGCACATCATCAACCACACGAAACGCAGAACCGACCGGACCCTAGAACAAACCGAAGACACGATTGAGACGAAAGAAACCACTGCGATACCTTCGTAGCTGAGGACTTATGCCGCATACAACCTCTTGACGAGGTGCCAGATGGACATTGTGAGACGGTGCCGGCCGTTGGACGTTGCCGGTGAAGATCAATGTGCCTCCTTTCGGAGCAGATTCAACAAAAGGGTTGATGAAGCATGTTAGTCACACTGAGCTGGAGTGACTCTCGCTTTCAACGTAAATTCTTCATCGAGGTGTGTACCACGGTGAACACATTCTATCGTTTATGAGGTGGCGACTTGGTAGCGGCTTCAATTCTGAGGATCGGACCTGAGCGTGATGTCGGCGCGCCGCACAGAAGGAGTCTCTCGACAGTCCTGCCGGTAGTCTGCATGGCGAGATCTCGAATGGTGTTGGAATCAGGTCGATATCGGTTTGGGAAGGTCTGGATCATGGAAGTGGTTCTTTTTGGGCGTTTTTGTAACAGCGTCCGTGATTCTTTCTGAATCGGGTTCAATAACCTGTTAAGACTCCAATTTGGGTGAGGCTCCTGTTAGAATCAGAAATGACGCTTTCCTGGTGAGTTTTTCTCAATAGGAGCGTTGTGGTGGTCACAAGTTTGTGTTGGTTCGAGATCGAACCCAGTGCTATTGGCAAGTCGAAATTATCATCAGACATTCGATGCCCATTGAGTGCATGGGCTCGCATTACGCCCACGTTACTGGGAATCGGTGAATAATCGGTATCTTCTACTCAGACAATTGGCTGCTCTTGAGAACAGATGCACGGCGTGGCGGCCAGCTTTGTTTCACGCCCAGTCGACTGGCTATCTTGATGTCGCAGGTATTCAGGCTTGCTCATTGAAACAAAACCAGCCGTGGGCGTACCAGCATTGGTCTTCTGGGGTTTCACATGGCCTCATGGGGAATCTTAGATGATGGCGAGTTTGCTTCCTCGAATTTCTGACCTGAGCAACGCGATATGAGGCACCAAAGCGACCCCGAGAATTCTGGTATCGGAATCCTGAACTGACCACGGATTAGGGTTGTTGTTGACCATGGTGGCTTCGTCTCGGCAGCTTCGAAATGCTAACAATTGTTTCCAATGCGATGGCTTGTTCATTCACTGACCTTTCAGAATGTGTGGAAGGAAGGCTGATAAAGTCTCCATGCTGGCATTCGCGTTCTGGTGAGACTCGTCGTAAAAACGATGGCTTGTGTCGTGCCGTCGCCATGACGTCGCTAATTTCGTATAAGTCCCTGCACCTTGAATTCTGGTTCCCGAGGCACAATGTCACTGCAGCTCTAGCTTCATAATTCGCCCACATTCAAGCTCGTGAAGACCCGTCCCCAACAACCCTAGTAGCTGGAGTCTTGAGGGCCAAGCCTTCTGCCAGGGGCGGCGCTCAACTCCAGTGCGACCGGATGGAACCAGAGGAAGCGTTCAGGCTGGTGTGCAAGGTCACTCTAGAAGGTCTCCAAGACTGACTACCAGTAGCCAAGTGAAGATGACCTGTGAAGATGACCTCCACGTCGCGACGTCTGCCTCTTTGGAATGGGAATTGCGCCGAAGATGGCCAGAAACCTGAGCCGTGCGGTCTAGGATGTTGTGAATTGCTCCATGCCGCCGGAGATTATTTCCGCAGTGGCGATTTGGCGGGCTCGAAAGCCCCATAGACTTTCCACATGCCGTGACGCTTGGGCTGCGCCTCCAGAAAATCTGCCGACCATCCTTGGGGAGACATGGGAGTCGTGTCGCCAATTTGATTTTAGCTCCTCTCAGGACGCGTTGAGCACTTGCTGTCGGAGCGAGAGGCCGTCGTGATGACAGCCTGAGAGATGTGTACCACGCTGCTCCTTCTTCACGACTTGGCGGGAAAGGTGAACCCTTCGGCCTTGTGGAGTACCTGGGTGTTTACCACAAGACAATTTCGTTCAAGCGGATTAGACAAAGGTGTTTCATACCCTCGAGCAGCTGTGGGAAGGTGGTTTGACACTGATCATGATGGTTGGTTGTGGATTCGAGGTGTGCTGGCCGCACATGAAGTCCCACGTCCAGAGCTCCTGTCCTGTGATGACAACACACCAGATGACTTACTTGTTTTCCCCCCATCAATCATTCGGTTCACTGGATGTGATATCATACTCTGTTCTCGTGTGTGCGATATGTGATATCTTCTTGACAGTTTCAAACATACAGTATCACGAACCCCGTTTCACCCGCTATTCCGAATGCGACATTTGAACTCGGCCCCATGAAGACTGTGCCTTTTCCCCTTCTTTCCCCTTATTTACCTGCTTTCTGTTCAAGTCACTCGCTCGAGGTTGGATGGACGTGACTGCGGTGGTTATTTCCACTTCCTTCGCCCGTTCCGACCTGCACCTCGCTAGGGCAAGCCACGTTCCCCTTTTGTCGGCCGAGATCTTGGAAAATACCGAGTTTACTCCTCAGAACGAATTATCTTGCGGCAACGGTGCTTATTGATCGCTCTCCGTACATTGTTGACGCGAAACCGCCCCGGTGTCCACATAATTGCTGATTTGGAAGGGCCTGATCCATTGATTCGATTCTACCAGCCCAATGAGTGCTGCTTCTTTCCTCTTCTTTCCTGTTTAGCATCTTTGATTTGCGCGTTTAAGAAGACCCAGCCATCTAGGCTCACGCTAGCTCTTCTTCTACGACTAATACCTCGAACACTTTGTTTCTGCGTATTTTCCTTCTTGAACCGATTTTCCAACAGCAGTAGTATCGCATTGTCTGATGGTTTGTGTTTTCAAACTCAACCCGAAGGCATATTCCAAGAGCTGGTATGTAGGGTGAGCCAGCCATCAAATAAGCCATTAGATGCCCCATCTCGCCTCAAATATAGCCATTTCAATACCTACCACGATCGATTCAAGAATTCTGAGAAGGTGGCCGTATCCAAAATGCCTTGATAATGGAATGAACCTTCATCATTCGGGTTGTCAAATAAATCCAGATTTGTGCCTGGGAGAGCGAAACATGTATTTCGAAGCACACGGGCACCTACTTTGGAATTCAATGAATTCAAGTCACCAAGATCCTCTGACGAGGCCCTACCATAACTCGCAGCCAAGCCTGACCTATAATTTTTTTTGTCTCACAAATATGTAGCTGTTATGGTGTCACCTCAAGGTCAATACAGTAAGCAGCATCATAAGAACCTTTGTATGACCAAGCAAACTGCGGTTTTCTTCGACCAAGAGGGTGTTATTGTCAATTTCGAAAGCAGTCATATAAGTAAGAGCTCACAACAAAGGCAGGGAGGATGACCAGGTCCTTTGAAACAGACCATACTGGAACCAATGGTTTATTCACGCCTTTGGTATACCGCGTACGCGAGCCAAGAATTTTCGAAAAAGCATCCCAAATGCAAACTCGACAGAGGTTATAACCCAGTTCCAGTACCTCCCAGTAACCCTCCACCCCTCCATGGTCTAGTGGTATGAGAAATCATGAGGCCGCGGCCAAGTTTGCCCCTAGACGAGCCCCTTCCGAGGAAGGGGTCCTCAGAGGTGGAGGTTACCTCCTTTTAATGCTGGCCGGGTATGAGGCCACCTCCGTGGCCAGCTCTTCGTCTCTTTTGTTTTTTATATCAAATAAATCCTTGAATACAGAGGAGTGCGCTTATTCTATTTTTCTAAGTGCTTTTGAAGGTTTGAAAGGGGGCGGGCTTGATTTAGGTGGGGGTGTTTGGGGTGTGAGCATTGAGGCCAAGTCTCTGGGCATTGTTGAGTGTCGCGGGGCTGTTTATATGGTGACAGAGAGGTCGGGGGTTCGTTCATGGAACGGAGGGTTATTATTTTTGGGGGGGGTATGATTGGAAAGTAACGTGACATCACGTGACCGCCTATCTTATCGGTGCTCCTTTGGATCCGCATGATTGCCCCCAATGTCGAGGCCGGCCGAAACAATCTCCAAAGAAGCTGCCAATTCGCCCTCGGTGATGCAGTGAAGCTGAAAGATGTCTCTCCGTGGGCCCATGCGGCGGTCCCACTTGCGGCAGGTGAGCGCCGCAAGCCTGGAGACCCTTTCAACGGCCCACTCAATGGAAGCATCGCATCGCGACCACGGCCCCACGCCGGACGAACGCATTGTCCGGATGTCTACCAGCTTGGCCCGGCGGCAATGCACGCTATGGGTTCACGACGAGATGTTCTCTCGAGAGGAGCTCCTGCTCAACCCCTCGGCATTTGGCGAAAGCGGAGTTCAAGTTGGTGATATTGTGGAGATCCTGCCTGTTCGCGCGTCCGGGGATCCCATCCACGCTAGCTTGAAGCCAGATGCCGCTGTCAAGACAGCTCGCGACGCCCACAGTGATCTCAATCCGGCTTCCAAAAATGATAGCACCTCTAAATTCAAGACCCCGCTTCAAAGCCGATGTTTATTTGTGGTCAAGCCTCTTCCACAAGACATCAAGACTCGACATCCCAAACTGGAGATTTCAGTGACGAGCAGCGTGGCTAATATCTTTGGCTTCAAAAATCGGACCCAAGTTTATCTATCAATTGTGGATCGGAAGAGTTGCGCCGCATCCCATGTAGATATTGCATTTCGTGATCAGTACATGGTTCGGTCTGACATGTGGCGACTGGTTGAGTCCGAGCTTGTGGACAAGATCGTCTACAAGGGACAAAAGATTATGTTCATGGGTAGTATCAAAGCGACTGTCAAGAACATCTTCATTCGAGAGAAGAAAGTTCTCTCTGGGTATTTTGCACCCAACACCATCCCCGTCTTTCGCAGTGAATCGGCCAAGTACGTCTTGTTCATTCAGATGTCTCGAGAGATGTGGGACTTTGACTCTGAAGGATCTGGAGATATTCTGTTCAGCCGAGTCATCAATGGATTCTTACCAGAGCTCTTCAAACGATGGGCTAACTCCGATGTCAAACATTTGGTTACTATCGTTCTATTCACCCGCGTCGAGTACGATGCATCTGCTCACCCCGGCTTGTCCAAGCTCAACAGCGGGAACTTGAGAAATACTTCTGGTTCTAATCAGGTCCCGACTCGGGACTTTTATCGCGTTGTGGTGAATGACATGGCAAGCGGCCATTGGACGACTATTCTGGATGAGCTGAAGAAGAACTTTCGAACATTCCTCAGAGATGTTTCCATCTTGAAAACTGATGATCTGGAGGTCGCGGCTGGGAGTGGCATCAAATTCTCAGCCAAGCCACATACCGCGACCATCGCTGGGCGTCCCAGTACAGCTCTGCGAGGCAATATTCTAGAGGCAATCCATCTTGCCTCTGCTCACCTGGCTTATGACCATATCGATCGAGACATGGTGCATACAGGCACATCAATAATTGTCATCACGCCTGGTAGTGGCGTGTTCGAAGTGTCCTATGAATCCCTTGCCTCTACCACAGAAGCTTTGGCGAATCGCGGCATAGCTATTGATCTGGTCTGTCTGAGCCCCATGCCTCTCCACTCGGTTCCTCTGTTCAAATATCGCGAACCGGTAGAAAGGCTGTCTAGCTCGTTGCCAACAACCAGCGAAATTCCAGGAAACAACATGTCACCAGAAATACATCATTCCATATCCAGCTTGGTCAGCAGATCGTCCTATCTGTCTCCAGGGTCGTATCTTTCTGCCACTCGCATGCGGGAGCGAGGCAATCTTCGGTTAAGAGACTGGAGTTATGGGATTCCTCATTGGCTTGACATCTCCTATTGGAATCCTGAAACATACCGTGAAGCTCGAAGAATTCTGAAGAACGATCCCAATGCGCCTATCCCTTCTACAGTCACTCGGCCGTCCAAAGCATTTATTCCTCGGGTGCGCATGTACGAGATCCAAATGATGGGAGTCATGGAAAGCGAACAATCAAACATTTCAATTCCATATCTCCTAGAAGGGCGGGACATATCGAGGCGTCGAGGATCCTGGCTCGGCACAGATACTTCTGCTCGTGCTGCTCCAAAGACACGTTTCGCGAATTCTTCATCGCTAAAGGTTCAGTACAGTGACAGCATGCGACCAGAGCCAGCCTCATTTCTGGAAAACATCACAGATCCCAGTGAGTTACAGATCAAGGGCCCCCAGAAATCACGCAAATCCGTCATGGCTTGGATGGATCAATACGACGACAATGTTTTCCTGGCGAAGCCGAAACGGCGTCAAGTCCAGAGGCCTAAAGTAAGCGCCTCAGTGAGCCTGAGGTCCAAGTTGCGGGCTTGCATGAAAGAATATCAGCGCGGTCTATCTCACGTCTTCGCGAGCATGAGTCGAATGCGAGCGAGAGCCATCAATTTTCACGGGCAAGTGGCCCTCGGAGACTCGATTCATATTCATCATCTGTAACCGCGCCACAAAGTCCTGTTTCTGCTAAAAGCCCATCGCCAACCAAGCCAGTGCTGAAGCCTGTCACAGCCATACGACCCCCGTCGAGAATCTCCCGAACAATTAGCTTTGCTCTTCGTGGTTTGAGTGCCACCCCGCCAAGGGCTCAAGCAAGTACTGGCGTACATGTAGAGCATGCCAGTGCAGGACCAATGTCCAACCAAAGAGGCCCTGCCAGCACCTTCTCAGATACCAGAAGCATTACATCCCTGAGTCCTTCGGAGACCGCATCGATTCCTACTATTGTTGATGTATCCTCCCGGCCATCTACGCCTCCAAAGCTGCAGCAGGAGCCTCGGCCTACACCTTCCAAGCCGATTTCCATCAAGACGCCGGCGAAGAAGCCCTCGGAGGTTTCAGAACAGTCCGGTCGTGGCGTGCCACCGGGGTCATTGTCAACTTCGGCCGCCGAGGTTCATTTTAATGATGAAGTCCGTGAAGAAGGCCCGATCCGGGGCCAGGATCATAGAATTGAGATCACTGTCAACCACAGCTCTCGTGATGGATCGATCCGGGCCTCGCCAAGCAAGGCTTTGTCTCCGTGGGTTCGATCTGTCAACCCATGCAACACACCAAAAGATGTTCTACGCGACACTAGCTGGTTTGGTCGTTGGCAGCATGCATATCCTCGTCCTCCGCACGTCGCTGTGGTCAAATGGAAAAGCTTAAAATCTCCAGCAGTGCTGCCGCTGACTACCGAAGAGTTCCCTACAGCGGCTGAACTCGCTTCTGACTACTTGCAAACACCTTATCGTGTCTTCTCCAACGATGATGCTGATGTCTTTGAGTCTCCCAAGACTCGTGGAGTACTTTTGAGAGAGATGATCTCGCTTCGGCTTGCCCATGGCTTCCAAATCATTGTCGGTAAGAATGTCGCTGAGGTATCAGCGCGGCCTGCTCTCGAGTCCTTGAATGTTTTCGACACACGAGGCCTTGAACGAGACGGGGGAACGGTGTTCTTGTCCAAAGGAAATGCAATCCATCGTCTGATCTGCATTGATGGCGGAGAAATAGAGGTGACACGCTTCACACACCAAGCAACCGCGTCACTTACTTTCCCTAAGCGAGCAAACTTCACGCTGTATCAACCTGCCATGCGAACCATCTTGAGCCCAGAATACGAGATCAAAGATATCAAACTGGACCCAACCGCGGAGGAATACAACTGGAACTATGCGGACAATTACGTAGCAGGCCATCGCGATTACCTCCAAAATCCGGCGCAGCAACTCCACTTCTGGCGAGTTCGTTATGTTTTGATCCCAATGCTACTGCATACCAATTCCCGGCGTCATTTGCAATCTTTCAATGAAGATAATGAAGAAGAAATCCACCTACTTGGAATCAGCCAGCTCACCCATATCTGGCAGCGACACAAGTACGTGTCTCCCGAAGAGAAGCGGTTTGAGACTTCGACGAAGAAGCGGGACACGAATCCACTCAATATCATGTATCAGACGCGAAACCCATCCGAGGTGGTCGCTGCAGAGCTCGATCGGCTGTTACTCACCGACCCGGGACTGGATAACCCACCAGCTCAACTTCTCCCTGAATCGGAACTGCTCGAGCGAACTAGCATCAACTTGTCTAGCTTTGCACAAATCATTCAGGGCGACAAGGGTGTGCGAATGATGGATCGACGCTGGCATTGGCGGCTGCATTACAACTGCTTCATTGGCTTTGAATTCACAACTTGGTTACTACAAAACTTCCGCGACATCGATACCCGTGAAGAAGCGGTTGGATTTGGGAACGAGTTGATGAAGCACGGCTTGTTCCAGCACGTGGAGAAACGACACAATTTCCGTGACGGCAACTATTTCTACCAGATCTCTGCCGAATATCGGGTGACCCGTCCAGAGTCTCGAGGTGGCTGGTTCCCTCAACTCCGAGGCGACAAGTCGATGCCGTCGACGCCTGCAATTGGAAACGTCAAGGACTCTCCGTCTAGTTTCCACACTCGCTCGGACAGCACTGATGACCGGGTGCCACCGACGCCAAATACCCCGTCCAAGGTCAAGAACAAAGTTGCCATCATGCTGTCCAAATGTCTCAAGTACGACGTGGATAATCGGAAACGATCGAATCGGCCAGAAGTCATCGATCTCCACTATGATCGACTGCACAATCCCGAGAACTGCTTCCATATTGAGCTGAGCTGGATGAACACGACACCGAAACTGATCGAAGATAATGTCCACTCGTGGGCTTCTACTGCCGAGAAATTCGGTCTCAAGTTGGTCCAAGTCCCGATTGCGGAAGGATGCGCCATTGACCGGACCCAACCCTTCCGCAAGCCACACGAGGTCAAACTGAAGATACCTCCTCCCAAGGGTCCCGTGCACACTGTCTTCAACAATGCATCATTCGCACAGCCAGGCCCGCCGGACAACCTGTACTACCAAAAAGCCCTCCTACGAAAGTTTGACTTTGTACTGGACTTTGAAGCGTCCACCGCATTCCCTGCGGACGTGGAGGTCTCATTCTCCTGGGGCAAGCCAGACTACAAATACCCGCAGTTCATCCATCGGACTGGTAGCATTATCGCCCAGATCACTGACGAGGGTCATTTCTTGCTGCTCGCGAATCGACTGGTTAGCACGCGCAGTGCAGCCAGCCGAGACGCAGGTCGGTACGAACATCACAATCGGCCTGAGTACCGCGGGCGCCCCGCATCACACGACGTCCTAGATCGCATCTCCCCACGCCTGTCGCCGCTCACTCGGCCACTCCATGACATCGGCAGCCCCCTTCCCCAGCCCGGATCAAAGGACATTGATTTGGCAAATCTCTACCGGGCCCCTGAGCACATCCTCAACGGCCTGGTTGAATTCTGTAACGACACCGCACAGCTAGAGCAGTTCTACAGCGAGTCGCACGTCCGCCCGGTCTCAACCAAGGTCGAACCCACCACTGTACACCTCATGGACACATCCATTCCTTCCCTGGAGCTTCCCGCCAGCGTGGTCAGTCACCACATCTCGCCTCCTCCCGGCTTGCCGTCGCGAGTCACCCAGGAGTCGCGGGATAGCCGGGACGGGCTGAAGTCGCCGGAGATGACACGAACCCGCGCTCGGGGCGAGAGTCTTAGTTACAAGGGGAGTCCGCGGAGTGGGAGTTTGCGTCCTCTGATTTGAAAGGCTTGACGCGGTGACGTCTCGGAGATCAACCCGAATCGAAGCTTAAGAAGGACCCCTGTATACCCCCCTGTTGTTATAGTAGTGTAGCTTAGCTTGTTATTCCATGTATTGTGATAGTCATGTGAAAGCATATGATATGCCATGTGTTTAGTCCAGCCATTGTAACTTCAACCAACGTAGTCTTCAGAAACTCGATTGGACTGTACTCCTAGCAATGCCCATCGTTAAACACCCGACTCCCTATCAAGAATTAACTACCCGACCAGCCCGCCAAGCATAAGCTCCACGCCGCAATTTAGCCGAATCTCCCGCAATTCAACCGGGTTGGATATCTCCACGCTGGTTGGTGGAGTCACCCCAGACGAGCTGCGTTTGTAGCTGCCAGTCCCCGCGGAATTGTGGACTGCCCCGCCACGACCAGCAGAACAACGCAGCGGAGTCGTCGAGTTCCACGACATCTGACCATGTCGGGCGGGATTCCGTGTCGAATGAGGGAATCCGAAATGTCTGACAACGATTGAAAACAGAGCGAGAGTCTGCTGGGTTCCCCTCATCTTGTTTCTCTTCTAATTATTCTCGTTTCTTGTCGCCCTGACAAGAAGAGTCCTTGAAGAGATTCATTGCCTTGAGGCAGCTCGGGGGTCTCTGCGGCATTACACTTAGCAAAACAGTCCGAGCCGGCGCAACAGCCATTGAGAAAAGATGAAGTTCACCGAGGGAATGTGGTCCCTTCAGGTATGTGTAAACCAATGGCAAAGGGATTATTTCCTTCACATGAATGCTGACTGCGGGATTTGTAGGAAGGCGTTCGCATTGAGTGGATGAGCAACATCGAGCGACTGCGCACTGAGAACGAGACGGTTCATCTACTTCTGAACAAACTCCAGAGAAGCCGTGGAGACACCTTGAACTCACGTATGTACTAGCGAGCATCAAGAATCTTGAATTCTCCGAGAGAGTATACTAACAACCGCATAGCCACCATCTCGGCGCAAGTCACCTCGCCACAGGAAGGAATAATCGGCGTCAAGCTCGTCCACTGGTGAGATTCCAAGAAGGCCGGTATCGTAATTGAGTATAACTAACTCCCAAAAAGGGCTGGACAAGTCGACAATGGTCCGCACTATCATCTCAACACAACCACTGGCCACACCAACATCACACACGACAAGGATACTAACAAACTCAACTACACTAGTGGTCCTCTAGCCCTGGACGTCAACACCGCAGCCAACGAGCTCGACTTTATCTTCCGCTCCCCAAGCGGCAAGAAACTCACCGGCCACTCATGGCGCTCAATCGGATACGTCGCAGACCAACGCACCGAGAAGCACCGCTACGAAGACGGGATCTACGCAGAGAAGCAGGGCTACATACTCGCGGAGCTCGATCTCGGTGTAGGCGAGAAAGTCTACGGCCTGGGTGAACGGTTCGGTCCGTTTGTTAAGAATGGGCAGACCGTGGATATGTGGAACGAGGATGGTGGTACCAGTTCTGAGCTGGCGTATAAGAATATCCCATTCTACATGTCCTCGAAGGGATATGGTGTGTTTGTCAATCACCCTGGCAAGATTAGTCTCGAGGTTCAATCTGAGCGGACTACAAGAGTTAATATCTCCGTGCCGGGAGAGGAAATTGAGTACTTCATCGTCTACGGTGACTCGCCCAAGGATGTCCTGCGGAGATATACTACTCTTACGGGTCGGCCGGGCTTGGTTCCATCTTGGAGCTACAATCTCTGGCTGACGACCAGTTTCACGACCAACTACGACGAGCAAACAGTGACAGGATTCCTGGATGGATTCCGGGACCGTGATATCCCACTGGGGGTCTTCCATTTCGACTGCTTCTGGATGAAGTCGTACCAATGGTGCGACTTCCAATTCGACGAGGAGATGTTCCCCGACGCAGGAGGATATCTTAAGCGCCTAAAGGAGCGTGGTCTACGCATCAGCGTCTGGATAAACCCCTACGTCGGACAAGCATCCCCTCTATTCGAAGAAGGCAAGAAGAACGGATACTTCATCAAGGTCAGCTCCAATTCTCCCCCCTCCCTCTCGACATATCTTCAAAATAAATCCACAATTCTAACACCCATCGCAGCGCACCGATGGCTCCGTCTGGCAATGGGACTTCTGGCAAGCCGGCATGGCCGTCGTCGACTTCACCAACCCCGCCGCCTGCACCTGGTACAGCAGCCACCTCGAACGCCTAATGAGCATGGGCGTGGACAGCTTCAAAACCGACTTCGCCGAACGCATCCCCGTCAAGGGCATCAAATACCACAACAACGCCGATCCAGAACGCATGCACAACTACTACGCCCTCCTCTACAACCGCATCGTCTACGAAACCCTCAGCAACCGCGTCGGTCCCAATCAAGGCCTCCTCTTCGCTCGCAGCACCGCACCAGGCGGCCAAGCATACCCCGTCCACTGGGGCGGTGACTGCGAGAGCACCTTTGAAGCGATGGCCGAGTCATTGCGCGGTGGCCTTAGTCTCATGTTATGCGGGTATATTTTCTGGGCGTCTGATATTGGCGGATTCGAAGGAACACCACCACCAGCGCTGTACAAGCGATGGGTGCAATTCGGCCTGTTATCATCACACTCGCGACTGCACGGGTCCTCCTCGTTCCGCGTCCCGTGGATCTACGGCGAAGATTGCTCGGCCGTGTTGCGCGATTGCGTGAAGCGCAAGATCCTGCTTACGCCGTATATCCTTGCCGAAGCTTTGCGGGGCCATCGTGAGGGAACTCCGCTCATGAGAGCACTTTTCTTGGAGTTCCCTGCGGACTTGAATACGTATGCTATTGATACGCAGTATATGTTTGGGTCGAACTTGTTGGTTGCACCTGTGTTCTCTGAGGATGGCGAGGTTACGTTCTACGTGCCGAAGACCGAGGATGAGGGTGCTGGCAAGTGGGTGTCTTGGTTTGATCATTCCAAGTCGTATGAGGGTGGACAGTGGTACACGGAGACTCATGACTTTGATACATTGCCTATCCTGATCCGCCCGGGCTCGGTGACGGTGACAAATCCTAAGATCAAGGCGCCAGAGGATGATGCGCTGCAGGGGATTCAGTTGTTGATCAATGGCACTTTGCCTGCTGGGACTGCTGTCGAGGTTGTGAATCCGGGTCAGACTGATCAGGTCCTGAAGACGCTGCGGTTGACTACTGCTGCTGATGGCAAGATTGTTGACGTGGAAGGTCATGAAGTGGAGGTGGTTTATATTGGACAGTGAAGGAGGTAACCATGTTTATGAGGTGTGGACTAGGATACTGGCATAGAGGACTAGACCTTTTACGAAAAACAAATTGCGATGGAATTATTAAAATCATCAAAGATGAATCTTTGAGAGTAATGCGTGAGGCATAGCTAAGCCTCAACAGAAAGATGGGTATCATAATCAAACAAGCAACGCAAATGCAAAATCAAAGAAAAGTGAGTAGATCACAATACCAGTGATGTGAATCTACTCCGATCGAATCAACTCTCACAAGCAAGGAGAGAGTGAAGAAATTGAAGCCACCGATGAGATCTCATCATGAGATCACCAGCAGTCCTCCACCTCCAGCAGCCAGCCCCGGATCCCTTGACGCAGGGTATTATCAGCCCCTGCCAACGCCCGTCGCCGCTCACGGTCAGCGATTGCCAGCTCACTTTCCACATCCTCCCGGCAGTGCTCGGCGGTGACAGACCGAACAACCTCCTCGAGGGCCCCAAGCACCATCTTTCGGCACTCTGCTCGCGGGACCTCAACGGGTGGGGCTTCTTCCCCCCGAGGAGTTGTTTGGCCTTTGTCTTCGCCACGCCGAGCACGTGAGGGAGACGGCGCACGAGAATGCGCCAGTGAAGAGTGGCCACTGTGACCGAGCACTCGCTCCACAGCATCCACCAGAATCCCATCAAGGTCCATGACAGGCTCCTCGATGAACTTCTCCTCCACATGATTCTCTTGTGCTTCGGAGAAAGTTGCATCGGGAGACTTGCCATGGCCAGTGAAGAAACTGGTGAAGTGTGAAGCGGAGCTTGCACCTCCGCCCGAACTGCGAGAGCTGCCCGCGTACAGTGCGTTGACGGGCGATGGGGGCGTGTTACTCTGCCCATAGTGGTCGCCCACGATGATCTTCCGCCTCAACCGGAGACGCTTCACGGTTGAGCTCCTGGTATCGGCGATCAACGTGGTCGCCACGTCCACCCACCTCTCTGAGCCCTCCGCATCCGGAGTCATGGGGATGTAAGGCGTAGGCTCCGCCCGCATGGCTCTCTTAATGTCCGCCTCAATCGCAGCATACGGTCGGACCGCTTGGAGCGAGAAATCTTCATGGAAAAACTTCAGCCAACCAGCAACGTGAGTACTGGGGCCGTCGGCTTCCTTCATGGTACTGTGGAACCCAGACCCACTACTATGTGTTGAAGCCATCGCATCCATGCTTGTGACCGATGTGCGAGTCTTTCTGGGAGAGGCAATTGTAGAGTCTCCGGATGAAGACAGGGACAAGAAACCAGGCAGGGGGAGATCAACATCGACCACGCCCTCATCCGCACGAACGGAAAGCTTCAGGGGGGACTCGCGGACCTGACTCGTAAGTGACGATGGCTCGGGAGAATCGTCCTCGGCACTATTGGTAGTGGCTGGAATGGAGATGTTACCACTCGGCGCGGCCTCGAGCCGATGTCCCGCTTCAGTCTCGGCGACTTCTTTGACCATCTGGGACAGAGTAGGCTGAGCCTGAGGGGGCGGACCGGAGATTGTAGAAACCGATCGCTTGCGAGCTTCTGATGGCGAATAGTAATCAGTCCCATCGGTGGACGACTCCTGTCGGGAGCTCCAAAGTCCAGAGAAGATACCACCCCATCGGCCTCCACCAGAAGGAAGGCTGCCATTTCCGCTCAAGACTGAGCTCTCACTCCGTTGTAGACTCTTCAGCAAGGTCTCCGATGCCAGGCTCTCATTGGTATCTGCGGCACTGTGATCAGATCCTCCCTGGCTGGAACGGGTTTGCTGGGACGTGAAATGCGGTACGGGAACCGTGCTACTCTGAGTGGTCATCGAGGTCGTGGCACCACTGGTATTCTGTGCCCGAATGTCCTTCGGTTGGATAGTCGCACTCAAGGTTTTGATCGAACGAGCATCTGATCCTCTGCGAGCTGCAGCAGTAGAGGATACGGGGGTGGCGGGGTCGACCCCATCGGCAGGGCGTTGAGCGGTGTCCTGGGACGAAATGCTGACAGAACGCCTGTGATGATCGGTTTCACTCGACATCAATCTTTGAGCACGAGCACGTCGTTCGATGGCTCTGCGGAGTGACTCTTGGCGAAGCACTGGTACGGCTGGGGGGCTTTGGGAGATGGCACGCATCGATGTCGATGTACCGGGTCGCATCGGCGAAGGCAGGGGCTCCAGGCGCTGCTTGGAAGGAAGGAATGCGGAGAGCAAGAAGATCAGGCGACGGGCAGTCATCTTGTCTGGACAGATGACAACGGTTCGGTGGGTCAAGATGGGGTCACTGTCCTGTTGAGCCTTTTGCTGCTGATTGTGACGGCGACGGTACCATTCTGGTCCCAAGATATTCAGCCATTCTGTGTGGTTACCCAAAAACGCAGTCAGCAGAACAAGGAAAAAGAAATTTGCATCCTTGTCGCCCAAGCCACGGACAATGGAACGTCCTTCCTCTCGCCACACTCCCCATCGGCTCTGACCGGTTAGGACATAGGGAGTTTGAAGAGCCAGGCTGATTCGACGAGAACTGCGGATTGCCTCCTCTTTGAGCTTAGAGTTCAGGGACAGTAGGTTAGCGGGAAGATGAACGATCGTCTGGTTCGTCCTCTGCATATTTGGGGGCTTGGCAGGCTTTGGGTGAGCCCCTGATGTAGAATCCACCCTCTTCAGCAGGTAAAGAATCTCGTTCCGAGCTAGCCTTTCAAGATGAGACAAAGTCCGGGTTATGACATCCCAGTGGTCAACTAGAAGGTCCAGACGCTCGTCCAAGCTAGCTGGAGGAGAGGCAGCGGACAAGCTATCGTCAAGGAAGGCACCCGGCCAGCGATAATCCGAATCCAAGGAGCTCGACATGCCGACTCGGGGCGAATCAGGACCGAGGGTGCTGAATCGAGATACCGGTCGTCCGGAATTCCGAGCCAGCAAAGGGATCTGAATCGTAATGGCGACCGCATACATTGGTGTTTTCTTCTCCTTGATCTTCTTTCGTTTGGATACGTCCGGGAAGGGAAAGCCCATCTCAGGAAGAGACTCTTGGTAGATGGCATTGGCGTAATCGTTCCTTTCAGCGGATGCCTCGGCTCCTTCTGGAAGGTTGACGCTGAACATGCGAGTCACCAGAACCGTGACCTTCGCGGGTGGTTTGCCCTCCTGCACTCGCGGAGGCCCCATCAACCCTGAAGGGCTGCCAGTGGTGTATGCACGTGCCAATGGACTCCGAACAGCTGGAGATGAGCTCGTAACCATCCCCGGCTCATCATCCGCGGATATAATATGCATTTTCGTTGAGGATCCACGGTAGCTGAAAGCACTGCTGCCGAAGATGCAGTTGAGCAAGCCGGTATCGTTAGAATCGGAGCCATGACGGGTTACCCCAGGTTCATGCCACGTTCCTGCTGGGGCCAGTGTGGAGCTACGACCTCGGGCTCGCGAGAAAGCGCCAGGGCTTGCGGGACTTGAGCGCCGTGCATCGGCAGCTGTGGAGAGCGGGCTGGATTCGACGACGGAGGATTGCGGGAGGAAGGTTCGACGGGAACCGCGAGTGAGGCTGGATACAGTGCGTGAATGTCGGGCACCGGGCTGATCAAGGCCTTGAGCGTCGATACCAAGGCCAGTGGGGGGCTGGTCAGGGGAGGCACGTGTGTCCAGCAGAACGCACGCATCGCGATCACCTAAGGCATTCTGAGCCACAATCACCCGGAAGTCTTTGATGGCGTCCAGTTCTAACCCTCCGCGGTCGTCATAAGCACCGGCTGTGGAGGCATTGGGGGAGTGGAAGGTTGTCTGCAATGGATATGTATGGGTGTTGGAACGGCGAAGAAGGCTAGCGTCGGGAAAGAGAAGGCCGGAGGTGTGCTCCTCCTCGGTCACTGATTCGAGCGGTGTTCCATGATTTCGTGACGAGTACGCCGCCGGGTTGAGGCTTGAGGCAGCGGTGCTGAGCAGTCGGCCCAACATGGTGAAACCACCCGGGGGTGTGCAAGGCCGCCGTTAGAGAGGTACTTGGAAGTGCAGGGAAAACGGAAACGGTCCGGTCAAGAAACGCAGTGTAACAATGGGTAGGAGACAGCTAGATGAATCTAGACTGCATCTACCCATGACCTAATTCCACTGGGCAGAGACCATCCTCAAGAGATGGTGGGGGAGACCTGAAGGTGCGATCGAGATTCGATGGAGGGGGAAAGAGTTGGAGAAGGGAAAGTGGGATGGGCTGCAGTGCAGTGGGGACGTCTGGGGAGATGGCAATGGGGTGGGAATTGGTAGATGAGGACCCCACAGATTGAAAGGAATCGAGGTCAAGCAAAAGAAACCCAACGGGACAGAGAAGGTCAGAGGAGAGAGAAAGAGAGATCTTGCCGGAGGAGAGTGGGGAGTGGTGGGATCAAGAAAGGGTGGAGAGGGAGGGATGAAAGGGCGGTGAAGAAGGAACAACGGGGCCTACCACATGATCTCAGCCTCAAGCTTGGGAAGGTGACACTGCAGTCAGTCGCTGATGCTGGTCGACTCGGTGAGGGCCTCTGAGTGACTTTAGTGACTGTGATCGAGATGTGTCGGTGTCGAGATCAGATGGGATACGTAACATATGACAGGTGATATACGATAGATGACAGGAGTTAGATACGAATGATATGAAGATCTATGGTGGGTTTCATCATGCCGCTAGAGAAATAGACTATACCAATATCAACAGGAGCTTTTTATGTTCACGCTTTGGACCGCCGCTTGACCTTATCAGCCAATTGTTTCAAGTCATCAAGTCCAGAGTCCTTCGAGGCCTTCTTTTGCTTCTTGGACCGATCCCGGCTGTCTGTAGGTGCCTCCGGTTCACCGTCATCTCCGGTGTGTCGGCGCTTACGACCCTCGTCCAAGAGGGCCTTCATGCCGGAGGTCGCCTTGAACCGGGGGTTGGTCGGGTCAATGGCAAATTCGTGACTCTCGAACAGGCGAGAGAACCGGGGATCGTTGACATTGACATTGAAGTCGTCGGTGACAGCAGCCTCCTGGTTCTTGTTCTTGCCCTTGCCCTTGCTCTTGCCCTTCCGTCGGGCCTGTTTCTCTGCCTTCTCAATCTCGTTCATGTCAAAGTGCTGGATCTTTGCCTTCTCATCGTCCAGCATCAGCAACTCGAGCTCGGCACGTTGGGCTGCCGAGGCAGCTTCCTCCGCAGCACGTTCCTCGCGCTTCTTGCGCTTCTCCTCCTTACGACGAGCCGCAGACGTAGCCTTGCCACTAGGATCGTTGAAGAATGGATCGTTGAAGCCCAAGTCTTCCTCCTCGGCTGGGTTGGGTTCGTTCTCAGCATCAGAACCACTCTCCGCCTCCTTAGATTCAGAAGGATCCTCGCCCTGTTTCTCAGCCTGGCGTCTTTCCTTGCGTCGCTTCTTGCGTTCACGCTCCTTCCGCACATAACGCTCAAGGGCGGTCTCCTCAATTTGGGGCTCGTTCTCAAAGATACTTGTATCCTTGCCACGGCCGCCCGCGAGACCAGATGTGAAGGTAACCTCCATCTCACCGACGGGGCCAGCGGACTTGGAAGAAGGAGTAGGTTTGGTGCTCAGACCAAGCAATTCACGCATGCGTTGTCTCTCGGCCTCCTTCTTGGAAAGCTTGACGCTTGTGCCTTCGTTTGCAGTGTTATCAACAACCTCCACACCGCCATCTTCCTCGTCCTCGCTGTCAGAACTGTCGCTCCCTAGGTATGCTTTCAGGTCATTCTCGTCGATTTCTTTCCGAGAACCGCGGAACGCCCGAGCCTGTGCCTCTTTTCGTGACTTGTCGTCCGCATCCCAGGTCAGCTTGACCTTGCTGTGCTGCAAAGCATCTGTCACGAATTCGTTCGGCTTGTATCCATCGGGGATTCGAGAGCACGTATCGCGAGGCTTGTCATCGGAGAAATCGGTATCATCGGGGACGAAGCGGAGGTCGAAAAAGTTGGCACTGGAAAGGTATTCGGCGCCATCGACGAGGTCGTAAACGTGCTTGGCACATTCCTTATTTGAGAACGTAAGGATGGCGTAAAAGTAGCGCAGCCGCTCAAGCTGGTATTGGCGCAGTTTCGTAGAGTTGAATTCTTCACCCGTGTCGGCCTTGAGCAAAGACTTCTTGATTTGCTCCTCCTCTTCCTCGGAATCAAGTTCCTCTTCCTCATCCTCATCCGCAGCGTCTCCCTTGGCCGAGGCAAAGATCTCTCTTGGAGGGCCCTCAATCTCTTCCTTTTCCATTCGCTCCTTTCCAAATTCACTGGGGTAAACGGTGACATTTTGGACGCGACCACCCGCTGGTAGGAAACTGGAGAAACAGGCCATCAAGTCCTCAGCACGGATGTTGTCCCAATCCAAGTTGACAACTGCGACGCGGTTCGTAACCTCTCCAAGTGGCACATTGGCTTGCTGCTTGTCTGGGAACTCGACCTCGTCGTCTTCATTCTCCACCTCATCTTCTTCCTCCTCGTCGCTGGAGCTCTCTTCGGAAGATGATTCTGTGAAGCCACCATCTCTAGCAGGATCATATGAACGTTCTTCCACGCGCTTCAACTCTTTTTGCACCTCGTCGTCGTCATCCGCGTTCAGATCATCCTCGTCCTCGTCCGCTTCATCCTCCTCGTCATCATCTTCCAAGCTGTAAAACTTCTTCAGCTGTTTCTTGGTGTCATCCTTTGCAAGTTTGCGACCATATCGATCAACGGCAGCATTTCGAGAGAAGTCCTTATCATCGAGCATGTGCGCAAAGCGCTTGTCGAGTTTGACACGAGTCTGGCGCTTGCTCGGTAGGCGATAACGAGGGTCAGATTGGATATTAGCAAAACGGGGATCAGCTATATATTTCAGTCAGTTAGTGATCTTGCGCATGTGGAAATTAACTTCTTGTTAACTCGGGACTGCACGTACTGATCACCGGGCCAGCTTCGCCTCTGGCTCCGGCCTTCTTGGACTTCTTCTTGTCCTGGCCTGCCATTGTGGAGTCGAGCTGTGTGCAGCAATGCAATCAGGCTTTTGATTGACAAAATGAAACCAGCTGACAGAAGCTTAACGAGCGCTCGTTAATTATAAGAAATGAACTGTCCAGCGCAAAACCGCGGACAAATTTCTTTTTTCTGCCGGTATTTTGGTAGGCGGTGTGTAGGCACGTGAATTTTTCCCCAAAAGGAAATCCTCGGGCCTCATTTGATTGGTCAAGATCTCTAGATAATACAATACCAGATCATGTATTCACTTGGGTTGATTTGGCTTGTCATAGTTCCAAATGCTGGATGGCCAAATTGGAGACCGAGGGTTACGACTTTTTCAATTGCCAGCAAGTCGTCCCCAGCCTCGCACCAGGGAGTTCGAGGGTTATAATATTTATGTACTTCATTGACTCGAGCGACTTCCTTATGTACTTGATAAAGGGGGTAACGAGAGTGAAAAAGAGACCATGAGGATAGCCTAGCATCCAAAATACCGCCTCTCCATCCACCTCGGCTCGCCATTCGCCTCAATACGACCAACAATGACATTGATCTTGGGGAAGACTGCAACCAGGCGCTTGATACCAGTTTCACCTGCAGCACATGTCACGAAGACAATCTTCTCTTCCAGCACACCGTGGTCAATCAAGACACGTACGGCCATCAAGGCAGCTCCTCCACTTGCCATCTGTGGGTCCAGAAGCATGACCATGGAATGGTCCTCGAGCTGGGGAGGAAGCTTGAGGTAATGCAGCTCTGGCTCAGAGCTGCTTACATCAGTCTGAATGAGAAGACGGCCGGTAACGCAATCGGGGATGGTCCGCTTTAGGGCAGTCTCCAGACAAGAGCCTCCACGTAGGATGGCAACTGCAGATACAGAGCCCTTCGGGTTGAGGCCCATGTACCTATTGCCGTGAGGCGTCTCCACTGTGGTCTGGACATAAGTTGTCAAGTCTAGGGCTCTGCAGGATCGATGAAGGTCAGCAATCAGAGTCGGGGCCATGGAGGGGGCGAGGTGACGAACTTCTCAATAAGAATCGACGCAAGTCGATCGAAGTAGAAGACAAAGTCCACATGTTCCGTTGCTGGGTCTTGCAGAACGGTATTCATTCCCACGAACTGCGGTGTCGAAGGCATAACATGCACGTTGGCCGGCAGTTCGACCTTGGCAGCCAAAAAACCAAGCTTCCGAAGACCTTCAGTATGCTTCTCTGACTTATCCTGGAGCTTGCGCTGAATGTGCTTCACGACCATATCTTCAGTAGGTTAGCCGGTCAGGCTGGAAGCAGCATTCTATAAGAATAACTTACCAATAGCGGTCGTGTTTTCAATACCACGAGGAATGATGATATCTACGTCAAAAGTTAGTCCACATGGAACTGGTCAGAATGGAGATTGAGAATAGCATACCAGAAATCGGTCGCTGAGGTTCCACATATTTGGTAAAGGACGGTTTCACAAAGGCAAACCATTGCTTGATGATACCCTCAATGTCTCGACCTCGTTCGCGGACGTCGCGAAGGACTGCGATTTGAGCAAGAATCAGTACCAAACCCTTGGTGAAGTAGAAAGGGTGATCTCCAACCTCTGCGTCCCAAGCAAACATCCATGTCAGCTTCTACGAAGATCTGACAGAGGTTATCAGCTAAGCTGGCCAAGTTCCACAGGAAGTGTCTCAATTATACCTTGACATCGAGTAGGCTCAAAATTCTGGGATCATGGAGAGCCAGAATTCCCTCGAGAATGAGCACTCGGGGTGAATACAATGTGGTGGTCTGGGTTTGCCGCTGGTGATCGGCAAACGAGTAGACCGGAATATGGGCCTTCTTGCTTCAAGCACATTCCCGGTTAGAGACGGTCAAACATAAAGATCAAGGGACGAAAAGATTTTACCCTTGCTTCAACTCTCGGAGAGTATCTACCAGAAGGTCAAAATCAATTGACTCTGGGCAGTCAAAGTCATATTCATTAGCATGGGCTTTGCGATGTTCCTCGGGAGTCAAAGTCTTGTAGAACGAATCCTGTTGGGCGGTTGGGTGTTAGAAGCTCCCAGCACTATCGAAAAACTCGACATCTGCTCTGCATACCATGACCAGAATCACCACCCAAGGCAGATTCAGCGACTTCACGATCTCCATAGCCACTGAAGTTTTGCCGGAGCCGGAGCTCCCAGCAATACCAATGATGCTCAAGTCCTGCCATGGCGGAGAGTACTTGACCTCCGGAACAAGCGAATAGAACGGCGATGTCGACTCCATATTCACTGTCAGAGGAGCCTCACACCATGGCACCTGGACACAGGCACTCGTAAAAATAGGTTCTTTGGGACTTCAGAGCGGGGATGGCGGCGTTATCATGCGATTTTGCTGGACTCGGCCTCAGTTACGATCGATTGGGCTTAGCGCGTGACCCGGGTTTCGCTTGTGGCTGACATAATCACTGAAGTCATTTTCTTTCTTCCGCAACTCCCAATTTCCTCTTTTCTTTTCACTTCTGCTCTTCAGGGCTTCTTCTCCCACCAGCGTTCTGCCTTTCCCCCATGGCTTTCGTCTCTCGGGCCGCCCTTCAGCTTTTCACATAGCTGATCCATTTGCAATCCTGCCACACGGTGGTAGCGTACACCACACACAATGTCCTCCGCTAATCTTGTATGCTGCTTGGCGTGTTGACACCTGTGAGATACTGGGATTTTTTAACACTGCACAGATGTCTCGTACTCCCTCAACTGCAACGCCAACATGGCACCAGTTCGAGCGGAAGGTCGATGAGGTCAAGCCATCCAAAACGTGAGTCGCCATCCTGCTTTCCAGCTACCCGTCAAGTCCCCACCTCTTGCCCCTTTTTGCGTGCCGTGACATGATGTATCTTGAACTCAAGTTGGGAATCTCTCTGAAATACCTTGAGGAGAAACACGTTGACTTGTCTATCTGACCCCTTTGTCACATCTTTTTTCATTCTGCTTGTGATCAACATGACTTGGTTATCTGCCACAGCTGCTAATGCCCAAGCTCTAGTGACATTAATTACTTGGTCATGGACTACCTCATCACCAATGGCTACCCTGCTGCCGCGAGTAAATTCGCTGTTGAGGCCAACATCCAACTGCGGACCGATCTCGAGTCGATTCAAGAACGTGTTGAGATTCGGACCTTCATTCACTCGGGGAACATCCAGGCAGCCATTGAAAAGATCAACGAGCTGAATCCTCAGGTAAGAATCTGTTCCATCCTTCCTTCTTCACGTTTACCACCTCCATCCCCTGTTGTTATGATTATATAAAGTTTCATGCACCACTCCTATTACACCCTTCGGGGAGTTGCGGATAATCAAACATCTTCAGTCCTCAGTATGAATAGCAACCAATGCCTTCAATCTGACTTGCACATCTCACATGCATCATTCCATATGCAGCGGCTAACCAGATTGACCAGATTCTCGATGAAAACCCTGCGCTGCATTTCGCTCTCCTGCGTCTGCAGCTGGTAGAACTAATCCGCACCTGCACTGCCAATCCAGACGGCGATATCAGTCCCGCTCTGGAGTTCGCAACCACGCAGCTAGCCCCTCGGGCTCCGACCAACCCACAGTTCCTCGAGGACTTGGAGCGGACCCTTGCTCTACTGATATTCCCCAGTGACAACCTATCCCCCTCCCTCGCCTTCCTCCTAGATCCCAGCCTCCGTAAGGACATCGCTCAGCGAGTCAACGAGGCCATTCTCCAGAATCAAGGCGCTCGTAAAGAAGCGCGCCTGCGCAATCTCGTCAAGCTTCGCGCTTTCGCCGAACACAAGGCCCGCGATGCTAAGAAGGATATTCCCGATAAGCTGGACATAGGCCTGCTTGGCGACAGCCATGATAACCAGTCCAGTAACAACAGTAATGATGCGACCAACCACGGAAGCACCCAGAATGGCTCTGGTGACACTGTGATGGCCAATAATGGCGATGTGGATACCATGGTCGCTTGAGGTCTACATGTCGCTGTGGAGTCAACCCTGCCGACTTTTTTGCAAGCGACATTATTGCGACTTCTCTTTTATTTCTACTTTCTCTGGTTTTCTTAGCGAGGCGCTTCTGGGGCTGTGTCCATGGCTGGTTGGCGTTCTGACAATCTCTTCGGGTCGGGGACCTCAGGCCTGAGGTCAATACAAATACATTTTCGTCACGAATTTTCCTGTATCATTATCCATGAATGAGAATCAATCTGACTGTACTTGGAATGCACCTCATGATCATTTAGTAAGATGCCGCTGCTTGGCAGCCATTCTGTAAGATGGATGTAGCCCTAGTAACCACTAAAGAAGGGTTGGAGGTTACCGTCACATGTTCGCTGAGTGCATAAAACAAAATATATATCTAGTGTTTTGACCAAGGGCCAGACTAATTTCGGGTTAAAGTGTACATACACAATTTAGGCTATAGATATACCAGATGTATGTAGACATGTGCAAATAAGTTCATGAAGTAGAGCAAAAAATCGGACACATAAAAAAACAAATAAGAAAGTGTTTATGGGTATGGCCAACCCGGCCCATACAACAAACACAAGCTAACCAACTCATCATGACTTGAATCACAAGGATGATTGAGATGAAAGAAGCTCCAGCTCTAGGCTGGCTCAATGGAGCAAACAGTGATCTATGAATGTCTCATGCCGAACCAGCGAAGCATCAGATAGGAAAGCGCTGCATCCTTATCGGAAATGTCTAGGATGACAGGGCCTGAAGAAAGAGGTGGATATGGTTTAGAAGCTCATAATATCTGTGAGACAGCATTAGTCAAATGATTCGGGTTAGATTAGGGTGCAGCGAAGGAATGAACATACCTCTTCCGAAAAGAGCACGCTTCGCCCAATCCATCGCCAACATACACCTTGTGCGGAAACTGACACTCTCCGCAAAGTAAATACTGCGCCAGAGATACATGGCAATAACGCCACCACTGAATGTCATGCCGCCGAAATCGAAGATAGCAGCGTTGCTGATATACGCCAGACTGCCAAGGTGCTTGTACTTGAATGCCTTAAAGACAGCTTCGTCAAGGTCACCGTAGTCGATCTCATTAGCCTTGAGACCGGGAAGGGCGGCGGCGATCTTGGACAGTTTCCGGCCTAGGTAGACACCTTGTTGATTAGCGCGCTGGGCAGTGGCAGGCAAGGAAGTGAGCTTGGTATCGATCTGGTGCAGGAGCTCAGACAGCTCGCCGTAGTCGAGGGTGCCGGAGTGGTCGACATCGTACAGTTCGAAGAGGCGATCCAGACGACGGAGATGGCTCGATGCTTGTGGGAAGCGCTTCTTCACACGGTTGGCAACGTCGCGCCATTCGGAGAAGGTCAGGTGCACTTTCTCAGGGTCACGGCCCTTCTCCCAGGCGATGGTGCGTAGGAACTTGATAATGTTTCCAGCAACGTTATTCTGGACGGTTGAACAGTCGCCAATAGCGTAGACGTCGCCCAGAGGAGCACCGATCACGCGGAGGTGGGAGTCGGTTTCCAGGGCGTGCTTGTTGTTTTGCCCTTCGAGCTTGTTGGAAAGGGTCTCGCAGATCTCGGCGCGAGCTGGAGAAGTAGTTAGAGATCATCCATTAATACGACAAAGGGAAGAACTCACAAACTCCGGTAGACCAAAGGCAGAAGCCGGTAGGGATTTCCTTGGTGACGGTCTTGCCATCTTCGACCTGGGTGAAGAGTACGCGGTCCTTCTGAACCTCCTTAACTCGGGCATTGGTCAAGACGTCAACGCCGTCACGGGAGAAACGGCCCTATTCTGCATTAGTATAAACAGAGATCGCCGCTAGTCAGTGAGATCGCATACCTCAGCGTATTTGGAAAGTGCTTCGTCGTAGGTGTTCAAAATGTGACTTCGGCTTTGAATGATATGGACGGAAATCTCGTTGCGGACAATGCGAGGGAACGAATGGAGCAGATCCTCGTTGAGCAGATCGAACAGCTCGGCAGCGAATTCGACACCAGTAGGGCCACCACCGCAGACAACGAAAGACAGCAGGCGCCTGCGCTCCTCGTCACTAGTAGTGGGGAGACAGGCCTGTTCCATGTTATCCAGCACCTTGTTCTTAATCTTTCGAGCGTCGTCAATGGTCTTCAGGAAGTTGCAGTTCTCGAGACCCTTGACACCGTGTGGATTTGTCACGCAGCCTAACAGTATGTTCAGTTAGTTCAGCAGTCCGCAGAATCGCCCCCAAGTTGTCGCCAAATCATCACACATACCAACACCAACAACAAGCTTATCATAAGGAAGGTAGAAGTTCTGCGTATTTCCATCCTGATCAACCTGAGAGACCTCAACCAGCTTATGCGAGAAATCGACATCCGTCGCCGAAGCCTTCAAGAAATGACCATGAACACGATCGATAATGCGTCGTACGGGTTCAACCAGAGACCGAAGACCAAGCGTGCCAACCGTGGCAGATGGCAACATGGGAGTAAACAGGAAGTAATTAGTCGGAGAAACAACAGTAACGTGGTAGTCACCGGGGTTCAGATTCTTGAGCAGCGCAATGCTACCCCAACCAGTACCCAGGATGACCAGACGAGGCTTATCCTTCTGCTCAATCATAGATTCCGAATCGTAGTCGCCAACAAGAAAATCCGCAATTGGCAAATTCTTGGGGCCGCCGCGGCGCGGGTTGAGCGCCAATTCAGAGACAGGGATATCCTCCGCGCTTGGAGACTCGCGGTATGTACTAGCATCGTAGAGGAAGAAGGCGACGACAACGACGCCTGTACCGATAACAAAGAAACCACAAAGGGCGAATGTCTTGTAAAGAGCTGCAAGAACCTTTGGCCGCTGCTTGACGGTAACATTTGCAGCGGCCTTATCGGACTGGAACCGGATCGGTATCGAGACATTGGGAGTCAGGCCGTAGGGACGCCGGGGCAGAGGTCGGCGAGAGGAGGTGTTCAACGAGCGGGCGATAGGAAATTTGGCAGCCAAAGAAGTCTTTGAGGCTTTGAGACCGGTTGCCAGAGATCCAATTGACCTCAGCGCAGGGCCGTCCGGACGACCCCGGAGCAGTGCCGCGCGCATCGTGAGGGAGTGCAGCCGCAGGAGAGGTCAAGGGAGTGGAGATAAGCTATGAACGGACGTGAACCAGACAGGACCAAGCCTGCCGGCAAATTTACAGAAGAAGCGACCTCGAATGTCTTTGTGGTAACGAAAGGAGGTATTGGGAGAGAAATGGAAGCAAAATACTACAGCAACATTTGCGTGCCAGCTCGATCGGCCGACGTCATGTACAGGTCACGTGGGACCGGGAGTCGGCATGCGCTGCGGAAAGTGGAGTCAGTAAAAACAGGACTGGACAGGAGTATACATCCGTGGCGACTCGGAATATTATTAGCACGCGTGGCTGGATTGAAGTAAATTCTATTATATACTCATTAGAAAAATTGAGGTCAACGAGTCGTAAGTACTGTAGAGTAGCTCTGCAACTCTGTAGAAGCAAATGAACCCTCTCCGCTCGCGCCGCAACATGCATAAGAACGTAGGCAAAATAAGCTATGTATCATCCGCCGCCGGTCTTGGTATAGTAAGAGAAGCCGTTCCCGGTGAATACCCACGAGTGCAGAAAGGAAAATATCAGAGTAAACGCCGGCCCTCGCCTGATATGCAAGATTGAAAAGACAAGAGAACCCTCCAGAGAGAGAGACGGAGGGAGTGTAAAATGTTTGGACCGCATGCGCGTCCGGGGGACTTTTTCTTCTTTTTTGTCAGGATGGGCATCTCCTTAGTCCCAGCCATCGTCCGACTCGGCACTGGATGGCTTCCTGCCGACGGAGCTCTTGCGAGCCTTCGGTCGCTTGTTGAGACCGGTACTAGAAACAGAGCTCTTGCGCTTCATTGGACGAGATCCACCAAAGCCAGTCATGTCATCGACATCTCCGATTGCATCTAGGCTATCGTCCACATCTTTCTCCCGGTCGACTTTGAACTCTTCATCAATCGCCAGCAATGTGGAGAATTCACGGCATTTGGCAAGCATAGCCTCTTCACTGTCGAGCGATGCCATGTTTCTCACAACGGCTTCCCAGAACTTTTCACCGGTCACACCGTGAACCTTGGTGGCCGCTCGGTTGAGTTCCTTGGCGCTTTGCTTGCCGTTGCCATCCTTGTCTTTATGGTGTGAATTGAGTCCATAGAGACGGCGCAGATGAGTTCGTGCTTCCCAAAGCATCGACAGCGATGCAGCGGCCGTGGTCAACAGTCGAAGAGTAGCGGGGTTGACGGGCTGCGAGACACTTGGAGGGATCGGTATTGGCACATCAGGGGCCAGGCTCATCATTCCCGTTGGAGTCTCGACAACAGGTGGGCCGATTGGGCTAGGGAATAGATCGGTTTCGATGGCATGTGCAACAACAGTGCCGGTCGACGAGACAATACGCTCAATGCATCCAATCGTGGGAAGCAATTCAGCCATCTGCGCATAGTCGAAATATGCCAGATTCTGAGAGATGAAGCGAGCCATGAGGAGATGTTCCGGTGGGTCACCAGAGGCATCGAGCTTTTTCAATTCAAAGTCGGCCTTGGAGCAAAGATTTGACAGGAATTTCTTTTGGTACCGACTGTTGCTGATCTTAACGATTTCGAAGAGAGGGGCGAGCTTTGCAACGTAAGGTCGAGGAGTCGCGCCATTTGAATCGCCAACCACATCGCGCTGATAGTAGAAAGCTTCTTGAATAGCACGCATGTACTCTCGTTCAAACATGGATTCGAATTGCTGATGGATCATCTTATGCGTGTCAAAGGCGACCTTGGCGATTTTTGGATCTGTGGATGTCTCCAGCGAGACGAGCACACCTGCACATTCCTTGGGGTGCACTAATCCTTGACGGTTGATGCTTGCAATGAGCTCGATGGCAGTCAGTGCGTAAGCATCCTGACGCGATTGTGCGACCTTCAGCATGTTCTTGAGGAAGTGCTGAGCGATCAAAGCAGCAGCTCCATCATTGTCACTAGCTCTCAGAGACCCTCCAAGCCGGGTGGAATCCTCCTGGGCAGCAGCCTCGGCGGTAGGTACGACCCCCTTCTCGGTTTTGCCCTCGTGGATGAAAAAGAAATCCGCAAAGGATCGGAGCACAATGTGCTGCAAACCAGGTGCATCTTCCTTAAAAACCTGGGAGAACATCTTTCGCGTAGGCTCACGGCCAAACTGAGCTGGCCAAGATTGACAGATGGAACCCACGCTCTCGAGAGCGGTGACCCGAAGCTCAGTGGGCTGGTTGAAGCTGGTGAATGGGAGGATGCAGTCGACCATTAGTGCAGCAACGGAGCCGCCTGACCCAGTACTCCATGTTGGGAACGAGTTTTTGAAATGAGGAATGTACTTCTCGAGATCACAGTACCGTCCGACACAACCTGCGATTCTGAGGTAACTCTTGGCGCGTGCTGAAATCTTAGCATTGTCGGGAGATGACATATCGACACTTTTGTACTGCTGCAGTGGCTTCAGAACGGACAGAGTCAATTTGACCAAACGATCTGTGTTCTGCAAGACACCATTAATCGTCCAAAGACAAGCCATGACTTCATTCAACTCGGGACGGCCCAGCTTGGCGACACTCTTGAAGAGGTCATTCTGGACATCCTTAAGTAGCTTGTTATGGGAGGACGATAGGCATGGCAAGACACATCGGTAGATCACGACCACGGATCGGAACAAAAACAGGTCGTCTGCATTGGCAAGGTTACCGATATACGGATGCAAGGCTTCCAACTGATCTGGGCTGAACAGCTTTGCATTGGCCTTGGCAAAGACAGTGATAGTCTGGAGCAGAGCTTGCTTGAACTCTTGGGGAGAGGCATCTGCATCTTCCACAAGTCTCTGGAACATGATGGCTACCATTGATTTGCAGACTTTGAAATTCAAGCTGGCAGACTTTGACTTGTCTGAAAGTACTGCCCCCACACATATGCCAAGAGAGTCAAGAGCATTGTCGCTGCGCTCAACCAGGCTGACAATTAGTCCAACTTGTTCCCCGAGTGCCATTTTGAGCTTCGGTCCATCGGAGATAGAATCAATTGACTCATGGAAAGGCACAAGCCAGATTTCCTCGAAAGTCTGTCGAGCCAGGGTTGCAACACTTTCCTCATGATCACCAGTTCGCTGAAGAAAGCTGTCAAGGATGGCCAGTTTCAGCTCATGGCGAGATGTTTTGTGGTAGAGTTCCTTCAACAGACCAATGCAGCGCTTGCGAACACCGGCCGTTGGATCACCGGCGCAGGCAAGAATACTCCGGCACCCTTGCTCTTCGAGCACCGGTCGAAGGCCAATGCACTTGGCGATCAAGGATAGGGCAGAATCGCGGACCATAGGGGAAGCGTCCGTAGTGCACCGAAGGATCAGACGCATAACTGAAGCGTCCCGGTCGAGAAGATTGGGGTCCTTCTCAAGCATTTCAATGACACTCTTCAGACTTCGGCTGCGGACCTTGGCTTGGTCGCTGGCAATCGAGTTGAGAAGCACCTTGAGAATGGTGTCGAATGCCTTGCCGAAGCCCGAATTTAAGACTGTGAGGATATAGGCGAACTTTCCATGAATATTGCCTATAGAGTTGAACTTCCTGTGGGTCTCCAACCACCGGGAATCAGAGAACGACCTGGACAGGGAAACAACCAGTTCATTGGTCAAATCGTCTACCGGAATTTCCTCTTTGTCCTCGGAGTTGTAGTAAAGATTACAGACAACCTTCGCCCAAGCAGCCAAGTAGAAGCCCCGGGTGCTGGCCAGCTGAGAGCTATCCGAGCTCGTATCTTGCGACAAAAACTCGAGGGCCATACGGTAGGGACCGTTCGGCGCAACCAACTCTTGTGGGTGGAGCGCGCGACTGGAGAAGTCTTCGAATTGCTGCTTGAGGGAATAACTAAGCTCGCTATCGGCATCCTCCAAGGCTGGAAGCATGTGTTGAGCGGTTGCGATCAAATCTGAGATTGCAGAACCCATCCATCCTAGCAGTTCGAGAGCCATGCTTTTCGCTTGAGCAGAGCTCTTATCGAGATCTGCGATGCCGACCATGTGCGACGCCATGATGCGGAGAAGCAGCTCCGATGCGGGCCAATCTGTAGACCCAAGCACGTTGATCAAATCTTCGGTGAAGAGATCAAGGATGTTTCGGAATGGCTGATCGCCACTTTTGGTCGCGTTCATCGCACGCTGGACTATAAACGTCACAATGTATTGCGCACTTCGAATGGCATTGTCATATAGTCTGTTGACCTTAGCCGCCAGGCGCTCCAGAGACTCATCTAGCTCGTCATCATCGTCATCACCATCGTCCATTAGTTCATCATCGTCGTCATCTGTTGAGGCTTGCAGTCGACGTTTGGTCTTGGATCGTGAAGGAGTTTCCAACGCAGTGGTCTGTACGAGTTGAAGGACCAATGCAGTGAGAAGTTGAATATTTTTCCCATCAGCCAATTTAAACTGTCTGGCACTTTGACGAGTGGAAGGAAGCTTTTCCAGAGAACCCAGAATTTGGTCCAAAATATAGGACCGCTGGGCAGGGTATCTAGAGAAGATCTTTGCAAGCACGTCCATCGCTCCACGCCGTGCTGGTTCGAATTTCGAAGACCCGACAGCAGAATCTCTTTCATTGTGTGCATTCTCAACGAAGATCAACTTGGCGGCGAAGAATAGAGCGGAGTTGATAGAGCTTTCCGGCACCTCAATTCGAGACAAAAAGTCAGCGAACAGAGTCAATGCCTTCTTGCTTTGGTGAATCAGGCTTGCAATGATACGTCGTTGGGCTGAGAAGAACTTGAAATGCTCTGCATCCTTGCCGCCTGGACGTGATTCGACGGCTGGAATGATGCAATGGTCGAAAACTTGCTCAACAACAGGCGGAATGGCCTCGATGAGATCTTCAGGGCATAAATCTCGTTCCGTTTGGCGTCCAGACATTGTCTGCAGAAGTGTTCCAATGGCAAGCAAGGCATTCAGAACATCCTCAACTTTACCCAGCCATTCCTGAGTCTCGGCTTCGTTGAGTGGATCATGCAAAGTGAGTTGTGCGGATTGGGCAGCAAGGATAGGCTTTTCGCAAAGTTTCTGTATCCTCTTTAAATAGTCGGAGGGGATATCTTGGAGTCGGTCAAATCCGGAGACCTTCCGAATAGCTTTTTGTAGACGGGTATGGGCGTCGGAAGACAACACCAAACCGTGAACCTCCAATGACCTTGTATTCACAAATATTGGGTTTGGCCTGTCAGCAGTCGGGCCAATTGAGGCGTCCGGCTCGATTTGATCCTCTGCCTCGAAGACTTCGTGAAGAACATCTTGCAGTTTCAAAAGAGCCTCATCCGCTTCCGCCTTCTGATCCCTTAACCGCCTCGCCGTATTCTCATCTTCGTGACTGATCTTTGCCTTCGGTTTTGACTGTTTCATCAGTGAAGGCTTCGTTGGGATGACCACGGAGACTTGACTCGAAGGTTGTTGTGACTTTTCGAATGAAGTGGAATTCGTGCTGTTAGCGACGTATGCTTGCTGGTTCCAAGCTGTTGCGGCTTCTGATACGGTTTTCTTCTTTTCGGGTTTGACCTTGAGAGATAATGCCTCGGGATCTGCGATATGATTATTAGCTGAAGCTCAAAAAGTGTACATGGTTGGATTCTGCTCTCACATCTGAAGGCGATGTCCGTGGACTCCAGGATCATCTTCGCAAAGGAGCCGAGTTGATTGCGACAGGAGGAAGGGCCATCAGAGGTGATCGAGTGTGAGTGTTGACCGCGGTTGAAAGTAGGAGGAACCTTGAATTTACTGGCGAGAGAGATCTGTTAGTAAAGACGGAAGTGAAATCGTGAGGGATTGACATACAATTCCGTCAACTGGTCCCCATCTAGCAATTGTTGAAGGTATTCACGAGACGTCTCCAGGCGACTTGACTCGTCCAGATCGGACTGTATCTCCGCATCCAGCTCACTCAGGGTATTCCGACCAGCTTGAAGGACATGATTGATAGAGGTGGTATTCGACGGACGACCAACGTCAGGGCGTATCACGCAGTCTAAAAGTTCAAGAACGAGTTAGTTGATCTCTGCAGTCTCGGGATTCGGGGGATTAATTCATAGATAGACGGACCAAGTCCAAAGACAGGAGCGCTGGACATGGACGAGTATTGAAGCGCCTCATCCACGGATAACGGTCTGGACTGCGGCCTATGCTGGTTCTGGAACGACATGGTCGGACCATACGCCTGCTGCGCCTGTGGATGGCCGTTGATGACGACCTGTACCGCTGGGCGTCCATTGAGATCCATGTTGGCGGTTGCCGAGTCGAAAAGGGAAGGCGCTAATCAGACGGAGGGGGACCTGCTCGTGGCAGAGTCATGACAGAGGGGCTGAGCATCTATGGCATGCTTCTCGACACTCTTCTCGTACAGGACCGGGTTTAGATAGGCGGAAATCAGATCAGGGAGAGCTCACGATGACCATATTCGTTCATCATTTCATCGGGGTGTCTTATTGCCGCGTCTCACCGCCAGATGTGGTATCGTAGTGGCCCGTGCGGCCAAAAAAAGTCCCATGCCGCAACTTCGTCTTCAAATTGATCTCTATTGCTGATATTTTTGATTCTTGGCCAGACTCGCTCGTTACATTACGACTTACTACCAATTATCAAAATGTCGGCTATTGGATCATTGATTTTCTGCACGGATTGCGGCAATCTGCTGCGCGAGTCTACTGGAGATGAAAATGCGATCCTGCACTGCAATGTCTGCGGAGCACGGAATAAGGGTATGTGAACCAAACCGGGACCTGCAAGTTGTCTTTGATCTAATATTTCCTCAGATATCATTCCGCAAACCATCATCTCCGAGTCCAAGCCCTCTGCATTCCCTTCAGCGTTGAGATCCAAGCGCTCTGCGGTCCAGACTCTGTCTGCCGAAGATCGCAAGACCGAGGCTCTCACAAACCACACATGTAACAAGTGTGGAAGAAAGGAGATGTTCTTTACTACAGTCCAGCTGCGCAGTGCTGATGAGGGTAGTACTGTGTTCTATCGCTGTGTCTGCGGTTACAAGTATGTCTTCCCTCGAGCAAGCTCTAAATCGCATTCCTGGCTTAGCCTAATACTAATTTTGCCACGTAGGGAAACATCTAACAACTGAGAGTGGGAAAGAAAGGGCTGTACAAAAAGTAAAAGGGTTCCATGGGGATAAGAGTATCAAAATAACGACGTCATGACATGTTTTCCATTTTCTTCCAAAGATCCATCATGCCGCCGCGACAACGGTAGAGGCTCCATCTGGGATGAGGGCATACTCCATCTCCCCATTCTTCTCAAATTCTGCCATGTCAAGGGCCACGATCACGCTGTCACGCACCACTCGCTCGGGGTCATTGAGGAAGCCCTTCAGTATGTCCATCACGCCCTCTTCGTCGCCCAGGCTGCCAAGAGCCTCGGCCGCCTCGTGGCGCACCATACCGACTTCCTTCAAGTCACCAAGGCACTCCGTAAGGCAGGGGATCGAGGCGGGGTGGCCGAGCTGACCGAAGACGAATGCAACTTCGTGACGGAACAGGGCAGAGGGGTCCTTGAGACCCTTGGCAAGTGCGTTCACAGCGTCAACAGCAGTGGGAAGATCAGGAGGCGAGGCGAGGTCACGAAGAGCAAACAAGGCGCGGTATCTTTGGAAGAGAGGAAGCTTAGTGTCAAGCAATGTCTTCTCGAGGTCCGGGATGGAGGGCTCATTGGCCTGCAGAGGCATGGGCGGGGCAGGATCAATAGATGTAAAGTCGCTGTATTGTAAACAATATTAGCTTTGTCAAAAATTCACGCTGAGATAGGCTTGCTGTTTGCAACTGTAGCCCGGCCTGGTGTGGTTCGTGCGTACCTTGGCTTCAATTTCTCAGCCTTTCCCTGCTCTGAGTTCTCCCAGATAATGCGATCAACCGCAATGTCGCAAGTCTCCCGAATAACCTCCGCCTCATTTGGATCATCGCGCAACTTCTTCAAGATATCTAAACTCTCCGAGTATCCAAGGGCACCGAGAGCCTCGGCAGCCTCATGGCGGCACATCTCATCCTCCTCAGCATCCTTCACAACCTCCTGCAAGTATGGGACGGAGTCACGGTTCCTGGTCTGGCCCAGGCAGTATGCAAGCTCGTGCTTGAGGAGAGCCGATTGCGAGGCAAAGGCGGCGGCAATAGCTTGGATAGCGGGGAGAGTCTGTTCGGTGGTGGGTTGGAGGCAGGCGAGATGCTTGAGGGAGAAAAGAGCGCGGAAACGGCGGCCAAGAGGCTCGGACTCGCTGGTGAGGACCTTGCGGAGGGCGAAAACGGTGTCGGCGGCCCCGTTGGCCTCGGCAACAGCGGAGGTTGCCATGTTTAATGAGTGACAGAGGGGGAATCAGAAGGTAAAGATTGTAGAATGCTAAGTACAGTAGTGTGGAAAAGGCCGACAACACTTTTTTTGGGAGTACAGTAGATCTTATCATGAATTTCAGAGTGGGGTGGCGGGGCGGGGCCTGCGCCCATCCGGGTCTGGTTGGCCCGCGCAGAATTCTCTTTATGTACGGAGTACATAGCGGTCTTTCCCCTTTTGTCAACGGAGAAGCTGTCAAACGCCTTTTTCGTTTGGATGTTCGGGTCTGTGCACGATATTGAAACCTCAAGAATTGGCTCAAAGTCCCGCATCTGCCAGTATCAGCTACAACACGGCCTTAGCAGTATTAAAAAATCTAGAACTATATTGGAGATTTTAGGAGCGAGGGATGTATATAACCCTTTAGTCAATGCAAATGGCGCATCAAACGAAGACCATCATGTGTTCAAATGTCGACCAGTGAAGCAAAATTCTTATCTCCAAATTACCAGAACATTAAAATCATCTTTCAAGTCACAAGTCGAATAGTGAATCGAGCGATAATGACAAAGGTATTTAAGAATACACTCAAATTAGACCCAAAAGAAGTTCAAAAACAAGAGGAAGTTGAAGCATGTCTGGCCGAACCTGTTCTCTAGTCCCTAGTCCCTAGATTCGAGCTTTTGAACCGTCATTAGAACAGGCTAACGCAAAATGATAGTTGGTTAAAATCACAGCTGCGTAAGCGACGAATCAACGTCTAGCGCTAGCTCAAACATCTTGTAAATTGAAATTTCATACTAAACGTTTGCATGAAGAAAATATCCAACCCAACGGCCTGTCTCGGGAAGTTTCAACTGGGCGATCTTTATTTCCTTCGAAGACGGCGTACGATGGGTCTTTAGATCGCCACACTCTAGATCATTCATGCCAATGGAAATCGGGGAAAAGATACTCACAAGCGAAGCTGCTACGCTGCGATACCTTAGAGCTCACAGCGATATTCCGGTTCCAGAAGTATACGACTATCGGTATATACTCTCCTCCTTCATATTGAACCATTTCTAATCTACCATAGCGCCTCAGATGATAATAAAATCGGAATTTCATTCATTCTTATGAGTGAAGCACATGGCTGGCCACCGTCGAAGATTTGGAGGCCAGCAGGTTCTCCTCAACCCGATCTAGACGCCCCCAGCAAGGCCAAAGTCCTCTCACAGCTAGGCGGTATTAGCTGGAAGCTAGAGCAGTTGCATTTTGATAGAATTGGCTCTCTCTTTAAAGAAAATGAGTCTTTCGTTATGAATGAATGTCTGTCACGTGGTCACATATAACATGAACGATATTCTCTATACATTCCGCGGGGACCTTTCATTTCTGAGGCCGAGTTTTTTGACAGCCTTATTTCTGCGTTTTACGAGCATGCAGAAGCTCTCCCATTATCGCAGCATTGTTTTGTAGCGCCTGTTCCCTCACGGAGTGACTACTCATCCCGCATGCAGTATGAGAGCGCTGTGGACCAATGGAACGACTTCGTGACCATTGGACGTAAGATCGACTCGGCGGAAAACAGATTGGATTATATGATAGCAGGCGATATTCTCCGTGATATTGTACGAAACTTCAATCTCGCAGTAATCAAGCCGGGGACTTTTCCGTTATGCCATCCCGATCTGAGTGTTAACAACATATTCGTTGATGATGATTACAACATTTCTTGTATCATTGACTGGGCCTTCTCTTCATCTATTCCCGAATCTATGCTGTTGGCACCGCCAGGATTGCCACAGTACTGCGATGAACTTACCTCGGACTTCCAAATGCCCTTCATAAATGGTTTCATTGCTGCTATGCCTCAGTCGATGGAGAGGTCAGTCTGCAACGGAGAGGTCAGTCTGCAACGGAGAGGTCAGTCTGCAAATATCGCGAATCACTCGAGCAGGGCCATATCTCGTACCTGTCATATGAGATTCGCATCCTCGGTTTATGGAAATCCACGTCTTCATCTTCGACCTCGGCATGCTCGGAACAACGGAGCCGCCAACTCAAAGCCGAGCAATGTAGACACAAGCCAGGATGAACTGGGATTCTCCAAAATCGTAGGCCAATTGACTACGCGAACCTGCCTTGGATATCAGGCGTGAGTATGTAAAGAGGCTTATATAACTACGTCATCTTTCAAGGACAGCCTCTTGTGGGAGGGTGCTTGGTGATTGGACCAATAGTACTACCAAATTGGGAAATCGCTCTGCGGCTGCCAGTAAGCGGCGCCAAGCATCTACGCCTCGGCCCCACCTTCTGATAACCACGCTACTGTACCATGCGTCTATTCACGGTCAAAAATCGTTTCAGGATACATCAAAGGCCATTCAAATTCAAAAAAAACTTACCGGGCCGAGTAGCGGTGTGCCGTGGTGGCTACATACACGAGTGTCACCCGGAGGCTGCTGACCTTTGCACGGACAACACTTCCGGTTTCTTCGGCTTCCCTGTTCTTGCTATCCGCACACACTATCATCAATCGCTTTCAAGCTCGGGGCTATGTCGTCAGGAAACGACTCTAGTGGGTCTCAAGCAACCCGAAAGAGCGTGGCTGAGGATAGTCGTCCGAGATTTGCTTTTGTGACTGAAACCAGTCAATCAAATGCACGAAGCCATGCGATGCGCGAGCATTGGAGACAGCGTCACAGCCGTAACAATAGCACCAAGACCAGGCGTACGCAACCAAAGCTTCTTCCGAACATTTTATCAGCTGCAGACCGAGGTACAAGATCCCATGAATCTCTCACTCGTCAGCATTCGTCTCGAAGCCGGGGGAGCCAGAGCTCAGGTCGACAGTGCTCAGAAAGTTCCTCCAACGAGACGGAAACAGATCGTGAGGAAAGGGTTGAGCTTGTAGGAGTGCCTTCGCAGCTATTGAGCGGGCTGAGCCGTGCCTTATCTAGCGCAAGACTTGACCCCTTCCAGACATTTCCAGTACAGCTGACCAGCAAGCATCATAAGTTACTGCATCATTGTATGTGTCCCGCTGAAATTGAACGACGCGCTTATTTGCAATCGCTCACATGGTATAGGGATCGGCACCCATGCAACCATGATGTTTGAGGATCTGGATATCCCAAGTTTCAATCCAATGAAGGATGTATGGTTCCCTTTGGACCTATCCAATGCCTCATCATTCAATGCAATTATGGCACATGCCGCGGCGCATCTATCCCATCTTTATGCGGGAACCAGTCCACAAATGGGAACCAATTCAGCCGACGCCTTCAAATTCAAAGCAGAGGCAGTGCGCATTCTTCATGAATGGCTATCAGACCCACAAAAAGCACTCAGCTATGATGCGTTCGCGGCTGTCATTCGACTTCTGACGTTTGAGGTAAATACAATATGCGCTATTTTAGCGTCCGGATACTCGGGTGTAACGGGTTGCTGATTTATGCATAGAGATATTGGGGCACAGCGGAGGAGTGGAACATCCACCGCATGGGCCTCCAAAGGATGATCGAAGCTAAAGGTGGGATTGGAGAACTGCATGATAATTGGCGTCTCGAGCTTGTTGTTTATCTGTGGGTCTCAAGTATCATGATTTTTATGACCGGCCACTGACAGAACCAGCGTCTCCTTAATGGCCAAGCCATCGTGGTTCGAGCCCACAAACAACATATCCGAAGTGTCCGAACCCTCAGCCGATTCATTCGCCTTGGATCCCTCGATGGACTTTCAAAAGATACGCTGCTTATGGTTGATATCATTCATTCAAGACCTGCGAACTTTCATGGGATTTTCTTCCCGATTCTACGTGCAGGGGCTCTCCACCTACCCATCGCTCTACCAGGCTGTTCTCCATCTTCGGGATGAATTTCAACGTTCCCATTCAACTGCTTCTCTTACGCTGGGAATGTCCCCATCTGACTATGACAGACTGACTTGCCTATTCTCCATCTGTTTGATAATGCAAGAATCCATTTCTTCCCAACGTACCGGCGCCCTGAGCAATCCATTCTGGTCCAGTGGACTAGATATATTGGATGGTGCTCTAATGCAGTCGCGAGGATTATGGGAGTTTTCCGTGCAAAATTTGCGCCCATTTTTACATCAACATTTGGCGGAAACGTATCCAGATTGTGTTCAGAAAATCGAATATGTGCGAAGGATGACAGAGGTTCTGGGTCAAGTCAGCCTCGAGGCGCGTATTGGCGTTGAAAAGTGTCTTCTCAATATGTTATGCCGCTCGAAGGATGCACAGACAGCGTTTCAGGTGGATGATGGATGGACACCTGACTCGCTGTTATCAACAATGCACGGTCAATGATAGTCATAGCTGCTCAAGGATACAGAGAACGCGAAAAAATATTAACAATCCTAGAGCAAGGATGTGGCAGAAATTATGCATGTCAATGTCTCTCAACGTAAAGTTCCTATCGTCGCTCGACTTTATCATCATGAGAATGTCTATGAACGCCCAATATTCAAGTTCAGAGCATCTATTGCGTCTAGGCAATAACCTGGCCATTGCAAGATTGGCGTTGTATTGATTGACTTCACGACGATCATCGCACTCCGTTTTAATAGACTTGAAACCTCCTTGTGCCACACGCACACCAAGAATGCCCCTTGCCTTTACAGATTACGTAGCTAATGGACTGCTGGATGTGGCAAGACCATCAATCCAACCATTGTGGTAGAAAGCACACCATAATCCCACGCGGTTGATCGACCCACCAGCCCGTCCCGCTCATTAGACTTCCTCCACACGCTCACCTCCCAAGGTGGCGGAATTATTTGGTCGATGATGCGCTCACTATTCAAGCAGCCTATGATAATAATTCCGCCTTACTAAATCCTTATCATGCATTCTGGGATGTTGTGCGATGCCCATGGCCTGTTTCCATGGTTTGATTTTCGTCTCCAGATATATACTTAGGCGCATCCGTCCCCGCACTGAGGTTGTGGCTTAACATCCACACTTCTAATTGATCCTGATCATCCAAGAACGTTGCTCAATCAATTCGATATATTCCCGAACCATGTCTGACAGTGAGTACATCGCATTTTGGGTCGCATAGACATGTCTGGCTGCAGATGCTCATCAAGTGCCTAACAGAACAAACTTCCCAAGACCCTGTCCAGCAGCACGAAGGCTTCTTCGAGAGAATCCTTCATCACCACCACCAGAATCAGGAGGCCCAATATCAGAAGGACTCCGATCAGGACAAGACTGACAAAGATGAACACCACCATGATGAACATGACAAAAAGAAGGAAGAGAGTGAGTTGGACAAGATGAAGGATTACCTCCATGAAGACGAAGAGCTCGAGGCTGAGGGAAGAACCTACGGAGGCTTGATGTAAATAGGCCCCCTCTTTGGGATCAGTTTTGGGTTCCTGGTAGTAATTTTTGACAGTGACGATATCTATTCGTATCGAAGTTTGTAGGGGAGTTTGGGTGATGATTGCTGGTGGTAGATTGAGAAGGATCTTCGTACTTGAAAGCAGCACCTCACGTTGAGAATGAACTGGACATCATTGAAAAGAAACATATTCTAGATGACTTGGGTTGAGGTCAACTATAGAGCTCAAAGTAGATATAATACCTTCGGTTCACTTATTACCTTAACATTCGACAGTGTACTTTTCCTAGCGGTAATCCCAGTGATATCATAGGTCGTTCATTAGAGCGAGGCTTAATTGGCACCACAGAAATACATACAACAGGGTGCTCAACCCCAATTGTTTTCAGTCATGTAAGATTGGTTGAGTGGTGTCTTCTGCTTGCCTTTGATTTCTCCCAAAGCTCATGCATCATCCTTACAAGCAGGGTTGTATTCATTCAAGGACAAATAGCCAGCGACCATCACCTTCGGGCCACGCGCTCAATTAATAATCGAACGAATTTGTTGATCCGAGATCGTAGTATGCTATGGAAGCGTGGTACAGTAAAATCTCGGTGTTATGCTAGAGGGCTTCACTGTCTCTTCACCGGTTTCGGTATTTCCACCTAAGGAGTGACCGTCATCGAGAAAGCAGCAGGCAGGACGGACTGAATGCAACCAGACCCATCTTATCATGGTCATGTAAAGGAAAATATTCTAATAGCCTGATTTTGATTCAAAAAGAAAAGGAAAGGAAAGGAAAACCTGCAAATATTTACATAATACACTGGAAGGCACAATCACTTGGTCTTGATGTGCTTGAGCTTCCGCGACTCGTGAAGGAAGTTGTTGGCATAAGCCTTGGGCACAAACCGGCGCTCATTCGGCTCCTGCACAAAGTATTCGTAGCCCTGCTTCTGAGCAAAGGCAATGGCATCCTCCTTGCTCTTGAACTTGAGGTTGGTGCCTTGCATAGCATCGGCGGAAGACTGCCAGCCCATGAGGGGGTTCTCCCACCGGTGACCCTTCTGCAGAATGTCCCAATCCATCCGCCAGTGGTGTCCGTGCCAGGTGCCAGATTGGGTAGCAGGCTTTGTGGGGCGGTAGATTCTATAAAAACCGAGGGATTAGCAATTGAATTTCTCGCTCGGGGGAGCGGCTTCTCGACGCGGGCGCAAGTACCTGACAGTGCGGGCCTGGAGGTCGGTAGGGGCACCAGAGAGAACAGCAGCGGGCAGAGTAGGGCCGGGTTCGCTGCCATCCATCACGCGCTTGGGAACTGGGGAGAATTGGCTGCGAGGCAAAGGAAAACCATGTTAGCGAGCGGGATCCGCCCCGGGGAGCAATGCGAGGTGTCGTACGAGGTGGCTTGGTCAATGGTAGCCTCATAGTCAGGCTGATGACGGGTCATTGCCTCCGAGGGACTTTGCTTGTTGATCAACGAACTGTCCTTGTTGGGTGTAGAGGGAGCATCGGCCGGGCTGGTCTTCACGTCCTTGGTGACACTGGAGACGAAGCGGACATTGACAGGTGCGGCGAGCCGAGTCGCACGGAGGCCAGTAGCGCCTCCAATTCGGAAGAGCGACATGGTGACGGTGGTGAGTGGGGAGTGTGGTTATAGCCAAAGACGAGGCGGGTTGTAGGAGGAGGTCAATCGCAGAGTGCAAGTCACGGCTCATCCGAATCGAGTTTAGCGCACCTAACTCATCCGACCACCCGCTTCCCGACCGAAGAGTCTCTTCCTCCTGCATCATCAGTCGTTCCCGGTTCACTTGCGCTGCGAAAGACAGTACGTCCTCGTTCTTGGTCTTGATGGAATATTTGAGGCCAGATCTTTTCATTGCGACCAATTTCTGACCCCCGACAGTCCAGACAAGATGAGCTACATCGCCCGCCGCGGTCTCTCGACCCTGATCCCTCCTAAGGTACGACGACCCGGAATTGCCTCGTCAGAGGCTTCGCAAATGGTTGCCGATGATACTAACTGTTCTCACAGATCGCTTCTCCCAACGTGAGTTACCCCAGATCCCCTTCGCGAATGCCATCGCATCTGGCACCTCCGCCCGCCGCCCGTTCTTTCCCGATGGCTCTTTTCGTGCGATATACAAATGCGACATGACGTCCCTCGTTCTCGAAAATATCACTAACATGCCATCTGAAGGCCATCGGTGCTGCCCAGGATGCTGCCCGCATGGAGCGTGTTGTGAGCTTCTACGCCGGTCTGCCCCGTGGCCCTGCCCCCCAGACCAAGGCCACTGGTCTCCTCGGCCGCTACCAGGCTCGTTACTTCAACAAGAACTCCCCCGCCCGTAAGTTGAGATGACGACAACTCGGAAATTCACAGGATACTGATCCGAAGCAGCTCTGCTCCACGCCATTGCCGGTATCCTGATCATGGGCTACAGCATGGAGTACTACTTCCACCTGCGTGAGTACCACCTTTGCTGGCAACAGATTGACCACCCGCCGGTGGATTCCTTGCCTTCGTGTACTAACCAAGTTCCCAGGCCACCACAAGAACCACCCTCACTAAACTGTTTCATTTGTTATGGAAATTGGGAGGAGGACTTGGATGTATATACTGCATCCTCTTACCCTAGCGTGGCAGTGTAGGAATTAAAGACTTCTGGCTTTGAATATCATCGTATTTCATCATAATACTATTTTGTCTACTAGTAATACTACGAATCCAAGGATCGTAGGTCTATTTCTATTTACAATACTTTAGAGGGAGTACCCTGGCGTCTCCGCTACAGTCAGTCGCACCACCTCCTGACCTTACTTAGCGCTGAGATTTACCTTACCACATTCGCTTCTAAATACCTCCACGGCATACCTCTGACAACTCAGCTTATTTCACCTGACAAATTACGACGATTATTCCGACTTCGAAATCCTTGCGCTCCCCGGCGTCCGAGGCATCGCTAGAACCTTGCGCTTCACACATCATAACCTTCCCGGGTCGGCGCTAACCGAAAACAGCCAACCCTCAGCTTCAAACCCGACAACCGTCTCAACGGGAACCACGTACACATCCGTTCGTCACTCTCTCCCCTCGACAATATTGTCTTCCCTGACCTCCTCCCGGTTTTTGGGATTTTCTCAGGGCCGTGGTAAATATCACGCGCCCTTCTCGTTTCCACATCTACCACTCTCGCCGAGCACTCTACCTGGCATTTCTAGCAGCTCCTAGAGGTTGGTCGCCTCAACGTTCTCTACCTGGTTGTGGAATCCCGATTTGACAGGGTGCAACCAGACGAGCGAGCAGCAGTTCAACCGTGGCGATTCTTGGACTCTGACAAGAGGTACGCCGTCGCCAGTTTCTTCCGTTACCTATGCGACCTTGAACTTGCGGGCTGTCTACTTGTGTTCCGCGGGTTTTCATCCCATAACCTGGGAGTTATTCTTCCCTGAATGTCGATCTGACAAATGTCGCCTCTCTCATTTACAGACTCGAGTATTGTTATGGCAGAGCAGAGCGGCCGCGATGTGGTAGATCAGACCCAGTCGGGAGGCGAGCCTTCGCCTTCCGGCGTTCCTGCGAGCAATAACGACATACTATCTGCTGGAGGGGACGTGGGGGAGATTCAACATATCGCATCGACTTTGGCAACACAAGTCCCAAAGGATCCACAACTCAACGACCGGACGGGACACACGCTTGGTTCTCAGGCTGAGGATACGGGAGATAAGCATGCCGGAGGTTCTGTGATGGTGGGTGCATACGGGTTAGAGCGGGATGTGAACATGGAACTGAACATGGCGCAGGATGTTTCAAAGCAAGGCACCGGCCTGGTTGCTTCCCGGGCGCTTGAATTAAATGGACTAGCATCAGCATCCGATGGCGGGGATGACACAGCTTCACTGGGTGGTTCGGAGTCAGATGCCAGTCGGACCGATGGGAGACATCATAACCGGACTGGTTCTGTCAAGAAGCCTTCTACATTCAAACCTGTGTCATTTGCTAAGTTTGCGGTTCCCAAAGCCCCCGGCGCTACTGCAGCACCAAAGGCTCCCGAGAAAGGTGAACTTCCTTTGTTCCAGTTGAAGAGTTGGGGAAGGTGCGAAGACGCTAACAAAATACTCCATAGTTCCATCAACCTCCACTACTCCTCTTGGTACCCCTCAGCCTAGTTCTAGGCCGCGCTTGGTTGCGAAGACCACCGCTGGCATGCGCGACTCTTTTTCAAAGGTCGGCGCCGCTGGTGGAAAACCTGGCGCGTCAGGGCCTGATCCCAACCAAGTGTGGAACAAGAATCGACGTATGTTTTCACAGTGCCAATGTTGAGCCGCAGAACTGACTGGTTCCTTCTTACTATAGCTGTCCAACCCCCTCCGCCGAAGCATTTGACTGACGAAGAGTTGAAACAACAATATGGAATCCATATGACATCTCGAATTCAAGAAGATGGAGGCGGCACAGAGGCAAAGTGGGCCGATATTGATGATGACGAGGACGACTGGGCTCCGGAGACTATCGAGTGGACCGACGGAACGAAAGTTACCCTCACGCATACCGAACATCCCCCGCCGCCCGCAGACCAGGCTTTGGAAGAGTCAAAGGATGTAGCACCGCTTCCTGAGCAAACCGTTGCCAGGGGCCCCATCAAGATCGCTGCTCCGAAGCCGACAACGTCCGTGGGACCTAATCCTACAGTCCTCAGGCTCGGGGCGAACGCTGAGCGACAGGCCAAGGCCGCGAGTATCTCGTCGAAAGGAACAAATGATCGAGCACCATCCGGGTCTACGAGTCCGGCTCCCCCACCAGCTAAATCACCTTGGGCACCCTTGCCTCCTGTCGAACGAGTATCCCCCGTCAACCAACCTGTTCACGTATCTCAACAACTCCGCGGTGCCGGCCTTGTTAGCCACCTGCCGCCACGAGATGACGTTCGCCAGGGTCCTTTCCCACCTCAAGAGATTGCTGCGGATGACTTTAACCGGGCATGGAGAGAGACTGCACCTGGGGCACCTCGGGAGCTATACAACTCTCGGTCTGGCCGTTACGAACCAGTGCAAGACAACCGAAGAGGATCTTGGAGACATGATCAAGGCCCTCGTCCTCCTGCTGTTCTGCAACGACCCAATGCTGCAGAGTCCGGTGGTCCAGCGGAGCCATCTGCTGCATTCCAGACCCATCGATCAACTCACCAAGATGGTATGGGATGGAATCGACGCCGCACATCATCAAATGTCAGCGGAGGAAGTGGAGGATTTGGTCGCCGAATGTCTTTTGGCCGAACGGATGCACCGCCAAAGTACATGGATGGTCGACGGGGATCCCAATCCAATGGTATGGTTGATCCAGCATTGATGGGCCGTGAACATGGACCCTCCAATGATCCCGCTCTATCACAGCAGCACGCCGCACCTGGATGGGCTGGACAAGTACCTCGGAGTGCCAGTACTGCTTCGTCAGTAGAGCAACAGCAGGCTGTCCCAGCTCCTGTGCCTGAACCTCCACAAGAGGATCCCCTCATTTTGCAGGAACGTATCATGAAGGACGCTCGTGCTCAAGCTCGACAGCGGCGATTGGAACAGGAGGAAAAGGACAGGATTGAAAGGGAGGAAAGAATCAAGAAGAAGCTTGCAGCTTTAGGCCCGCCGCCTGAGAAGCCCCAGCCGCAACGAAAGGAAAGCACTGAGATTCGTAAACAACCTCAGACTCCTGCCCCACCGGCCCCTGCCACCCTTCATTCACCCCCTAAACCTCCTGTTCCTGAACCGACTGGCGAGCCGAAGCAGTATGGTATGATGAAAGTTCACCATCCAGATGCAGTCAAGAAACTTGTTGCAGCGAACGAGCGAGATCGTGCCGCCGAGAAACATCCTGACAAACCTTCCTCACCTTCTCACCCGCGTCGCGTTCCTCCCTCACCTCGTGAGCAGAAGCGAGAGCTCGCGTCAGCTGCCAGCACTGGCAAACAAACACAGACGGAGACGAGCCCCACTGATACAAAGGCTGATGATGAGCATGGGACTCAGTGGCGTGGCAACCTGAACGTTCCTAGCTCATACGCTCCTCCTTGGACAACCAATACCAACCTGGCCACCAACACCCCTTCAGTGAAGAATCCTTGGAAGCTTCTGAGCAACGATCGAATCCTCGGCAACGGAATCTTCGATCAGAGTCTTGGTGGCTTCTCATCTCGGGAAGTTCCTCTTCGCAGCCAGCTTGGGTTGGATCAAACATCGGTGCCACCCCCAACCTTTTCAAGTCCGCAGGAATCAGCTTCTATCTCCCCTCTCCCCTCACCTGAGACCAGACCTGCACCCTTCGACCCCATGGGTCCCATCAGTCGCCCAGGCCCGATTGGGCCACCTTCCTCGCAGCAAAACCAGTGGCAGCAAGATGCTGGTCCTGCCGGGGGGCTGACCTGGAATAACTTCCACATTTATGCCCGCGAGGCCGAGCGTGCCCAGTTGGAGAAAGCCCGCAAAGACTACGAGGCGAATAAAGGCAAGCCCAACCCGATCGCTGCCTCTCTGAAGACAACCTACAAAATTCGGGGAGCCTCGGGTGAGACTATTCGCAAAACAGTCATCGGGGTCACCCCAGGACCTGTGAACAATACCAACAATAACGGTCCTCCCTCTAACCCACTGACCGGACTGGATGCTCCTTCGGATGGTCTCCCATTCACTGATAGCCATGCTCGCCCCATCGCGAGCGTTCCCACTCGAAGCTCACGGTTCTTCCCGCAAGCTAGTGAGGGTTCCAAGCGCCCAGCAACCGAGAAGTACGACCACCAGCGCAGCCCATCGCCCCCTCCCCCAGAGGAGGTTTCAACCCATCCCGTGTACTTTGGTGGCTCTGGCCGGCCTTTGGTCCACCTTCCTACCCCCAAGCCTGTCGTCAAGCTCCCGCCTAAGGCTCTAGCTGCCCCGGCTGCCCCAGCTGCCCCGCCCACCTTTGCCTCGATGGCAGCTGCTCCTCCACGGGGTCCGCCCGCTCCTGCGTCAAATGCCATTTCCTGGCAGGAGAAGTTTAACGGTCTCTTCGGGAAGAAGACGCCGGTCGAGAAGAAGTCTGCTTTGGCTATCACATCTGCAACCAAGGAGCCCCTGGATGTCCAGCTATCCGTTGCAGCTGTTTCGGTCTCGCTACCCAACGTTGAGAATGATGTGCAAATTGGGGATGGCCACCTTGCTGTCCGACAAGTTGAAGAACAGGATGAGATCTTTGAAGATCGTGAGCCAGGCTCTCTGCCTAGTGTGCGGGTTCCTAACATGGCTCCGGCAAATGCATGGCAGGCCGCTCCTGCGCCTCCACCGTCGCGTCTGCGCGCTAAGATTCTCAAGCCGATGCAAATTCACAGCATCGAGCCTTATTTGGTTGGACTGGGTGAGAAGGATGCAGCTGGCAACATTCGCGTTGTGATTCGGTTTCCCGGTGCAGCTGCGGCCAAAACCTTGAGTCTGCCGAAGAAAGCTGGAGGTCCTAGCCCCCGACAGCAGCGCAACAATCCTCCGAACTTCAAGTCTCGCAAAGGGGCAAAGCCACGCGAAGGCGCTGCAGGAAATTCGGGGCCCAAGAAATCCTCCAACACCTCCCAGCAGCAGCCAAGCAGTACCGCATCTTCTCGGACTGCATCGTGGGGTCCCCGCACGCTCAGTGGCTCCCGCTCATAGGCGCCCGGCTTCTCCACCCTTTTGAGGATCATTTGCACGGACCTACCTACGAGCGATTCTTTACGTCTCGGGTCTCAGGATATTCGTCAGAAAGCTGATTCAATTTGCTCTGTGGTTCCTCGTTCGACATTTCCCGAATCTTCTCAACAACCTCGTGTGTGCTGTTCTGCAGGTCCAGTTGTTATCAAAGAACAACGGTTCAATGCAGAAATGAGCAACACAAGCTCCCCTAATCTTCCATCCGCGCCCCCCTTCTGACTCCTCACAACCCGCTTTCTTCATGTTATGTACTTTTTCGATCCTCACCATTACTTCTCTCGTGGCTGCCGAGCTACGTACATGATGCGCGGCTTGGCAACCACGCAAGAGAAATGTCCGAGTCTGCCATACTCATTTCTCGGGCTTTACTTCATTCATTCTTAGCTGCGGGTACCATCTGCCTTAGCCTCACGTTCAATGAATCGCAATTTCAATGTGCCTCCGTGTGTTTTCGTGCGTTTAAGCTTAGTCCGCCTGCGCTGTGGCGACGGTTTGTAGAGTCTTTGATGTATCATGCAGCCTACTCAATTCATGTCATGTAGTTTTGAGTTAGTGGCTTGCATTGGCATGTCAATGGTAGGTTAGGCGGTTATGTTTAGTAAAGTTTAAGACATACTGCAGGGACAGGTGTCTTGGGCATAACCTTATAGGGCTGTACAGTGTGGCCATTAGCTTGAAATCGGCGATAGCGCTCGCATCTAAGCACTCAAAAATTGTCGATATGTAACCCCCAATCACTAGATCGCCTTGGCGTGAATGGCCTGCATATTATTCTTTCCTATTTCCCCATAACTTTTCAAGCGTTAAATGAATTCAACGGCAACAAGTTGTTCATACCGAGGCATTCTAACTTTTCCCCTCTGGACTAGAGAATACCAAGATTTTGGAACAGAAGTAGAATTCGCTAAGTAATTCCCCTATCCTTGCGGGGTTTTCATTCCACTCGGACAATCTGGTTCATATTTGCCGCCCTGATTCTTGCCCCAGACATGTCTGTCGTCCTCCCCCATATTCCCCGGGGTTGAAACGGCAGATCCCATCCGATCCCCTTTCTCATAACGTAAAAAGTTCCACTTGACATTCTCTGATCCAGGATCTCTTACCCGGATGGTTGAGTCACGACTCGCCACTTTAGGAAGAATACTCTGGACATCTCCTCGATGCCCCTCATGCCACATGGGAACGAAAAAGCTTGGCACAAATGCTTGGTGGCCAAATATTGAACTTTCAACCCGTGGCTGGACCAATTGAGGCGCTCGGCTTTCTTCGTTCTGTGGAAGTGGAATAAGCCACAGTTTCCCTGCCGGATGCCGAAACTCACCTTCTTAATTAGGTATCGCTAGTCCGTGGTGAACTTAGAGTTGTGAGTTGTTGCTTGCTGTCAATTCTATGGGCTATGGGATGATAAAGGACTCACCCTATCATGATACATCGTTCGTACCCTTGTAGATATAGATTTATGGATGGAAAATAGTAAGTTGATAGTGATACATGGGTCAAATGCACGACATCAATGCTGATAACATTTCGTGGGCCACTGGCCAGTGGAGACGCCGTAGAGCCGAGTGGAGCAAAAGAATGGAGCTCAAGAAGAATGGATTCAGTCTCCGTGATTGATAGAGAATGGTCATGCCCCCGAGAACGGTCTAATTACACAATTGAATAGTGAATTAATCCTAGATAACGAAACGGAGGGTTTCTTTCAGCTTGTCGCAAGAAATAGCAGTAGCCAATCTTCCCGACCATGCTTATCACCATCAATCACCAGGTTGCTGTCCAAGCCCTCGTAATAATCTACCGTAGCTGGGTAGCGGCGGCAAGAACAGGTTTGTGCCGGATCAGCAGGGGGCCTAGTTCTCATGATCTGAGCTATCTATCACTCTATATCTATGAATTAATTCGGTGCGGAGTTAGTATGGAATGTCCTTTGTGCTAATATGCAGGGATGACACCTTTTCCCCGGGGGGCCAAACTCTCGTACTCCAGAATCCCGATAATCCTCAGTGCTCCAGTCTCCATCTGGAGTGCATCCTGGAGGTCCACTAGTTCACTGATTGGCAATGGCGCCCCAGAGTTGACAGAACTAATAGGCTACCGTATACTCCGTATATATTAATCGCATATGTACGGAGTCCTGTACGTTCGGGTCTCTGTAGGCTTGTGCCGAGGGCCCGAATCGAGACAGAACAGCCGAGCAAAGCGGGCGAAAAGTGGCCGAACCATGCACGATCGCACCTTCCCGATTAGTCCGCGCCGGGGCCCCGGCGTAGTCCGGAAATAGTGGGATTTGCATTTCCTGGGCCCTCTTAGTCTATTCCTACTCCGAAAAGGGGGAGGAAAATGGTTTCACAGTTCACTGGTGTGGTCAAAAACATGGACGAATTGAATTTTTGCCACGAGCCTCAAGCCACGAGCCACGAGCCACGAGCCACGAGCCACGAAGCCATGTGTTATCTGTTCATGGCCCATGGAATGCACCACTCTCCAGGGCAGTATAAGAATAGCATGATTGGTGGCGAAATACTAGCTTAACTACTGTCGTGATTTTACAGTATACAGTCAGCACTCAGGTACTGAGAAATAATCTTCATGGCCCCACCAACTTTGTCCACTTTCGAGGACGAGGAACACCGAAATATCTCCACCCTTCCCCCGTAAAGATTTCTGGCTTTCTGCACGCAGAATGTCTCCCTCCGCTTCGAGAATAAATAATCTATCCCAACGCGCTCGGCCTTATCTTTCATCTAGTTTGAAGGAGGACAGGAGACCAGGATCGGTGGCGCTAGCCTCCTCAATTAACAGTGAGACGGGGAGCCGGGGACCATGCACCCACCTTGTATATACGGAGACTCCGGTTACGATGTAGTATCGAATTTCGGGAGAAAGTTTGGGGCGTTCTTCTGCACGCGTGTGGGTGGCGGACAGAAGACATCCACCCAAACCTGCGCAACAGGATCAGCCTATGAGGGTCGCCAGGCATGGTGAGTGGCGTGGGCCTAAGCGAAGCGACGTGGGGAACGTCCGCCAGCCAGACCTGCGTCCGATTGGCGAAGCTTATCTCAATCAAGCCTCGGATGCTACCCAGCCCACCTTCTTGGCCTTCCTTGGCCACGCCTGGCCCCTTCTGTTCCGGAGTCTCTGGGACAAGTCTTTGCGGCTGACCTCGTTGCCGTCCGAGGAACTGTCCCCCGGTCGAACAGGACGAAAATGGGCTAATCTCCTGGATGTCTTGGGTCGGCAGCCAACCAGGGCGGCGCGATTCCACGCCATTTCCGACTTCATGGCGACGGAACTCCTGGGTTGGCCACGTCTTCTCCCGGGCTAGTGGAAATTCAAATTGCTTTGACCACGCGATATTATTCAAATCGGAATGTATCTGATTGATTCAAGGCCAGATGACTCGGCCGGAGAGGGGGCGTTGATAATCAGCGGTAGACGCCGAGAATGAGTCCAAAGTACCTGGGGGTGTGGGTTTATATGAACCGGGGCTCCTCACCTCTTCGCTCTTCTCTTTCCCCCTTGGATCTCTCCCCTCCACGTCAAGACCCATTTTCTTTTCTTTGCCAAGATGTCGATGCTACCTGGCCCCATGGCCATCACGGCCCCTACCGAGCAGATCCGCGAGACGGTGGCAACGTCTGATGAGATCCGCAAGATGGAACAGGATGGTACCCACGTTGGCGTCCGCCAACGCAAATGGGGTCTGGAAGCGCGTCTGGATCCCACGGTGACCTTTGAGGAATTCACCCATTGGGCCAAGATTGAGCGTGAGCTCGAGGATGAGGACTATCGTCGCTACACGGCGATCACTGGTGGCAACGGGCTCCTGGGCTCCATCAAAGATTACTTCAAGACCAACCCTTACGAGGATGCCAAGATCCAGGAATCGCGTGAGCTGCAGGTCAACGAGCAGTCTCTCCAGATCTCCGAGAAGAAGGCCGACGTTGCCGTCAACAGCGGCGACGAGGGCACCATCAGCCCTATCGGCCCCCCTTCGTACGATCTCGACGCCGAGTGGCGCACAGCCGCCCGCGCTCTGCGCAACGCCGGCTGGGGAACCATCTTCTACCTTATCACGACCGATATTCTGGGCTGGTCGCAGACTCCCTATGTCTTCTCCAACACTGGTTATGGCCTGGGAGTGGGTATCTTCGTGCTCATGGGTCTCGCTGCCTTCGCCTCCGGTATTATGATCTGGAGAGTTTTCCTCGCTCTGGACTCGTCTCGGTTCCCGATTCTTAGCTTTGGCGACCCATTCCTGCGTCTGTTTGGACCTCGCATGCGCCACTTTATCAACTTCATGCAGTCGCTGCAGATGTTCCTGAGTGTCGCTGTCGTGCTGCTCGGTAACACTGGTATCATTGCTCAGCTTGGTGGAAATGCCAACCTTTGCTATATCGCCTGCGGTGTCATCTCGCTTGTCGTCGGTATGGCCAGTGGTTACATGCGCTCTCTGAAGCACCTCGGTTGGTTCTGCAACATGTCGGTGTGGATCAACATTGTCACTTTCCTGATCATGTAAGTTTCCTATTTTCCACTGCCAAAGTGGTAACATGGTTCACTAATTCAATATAGCTGTGTTGCCGCGGCCAAGCACGGCCCTGACCCGACTGCCGCTGTCGAGAACGGTATCCTGAACAAGGCTTGGGCCGACGTCTCCACCATGGCGCCTGTCCGGACCTTCGTTAACACTCCTCCTGCCGAGTACCAGCCCACCGACACCAACCTGTTTGCCGCTCAGTTCAACGGCATCAATAGCATGGTTTGTAAGTTGGATCCTTTCATCGCGCGTGAATTGGAAGCAAATTGCTCACTATTCTCTGATTAGATGCCTACTCTGGAGCTGTCATGTTCGTCGCCTTCTTGTCTGAGATGAGACGCCCTATGGACTTCTGGAAGGGTCTGCTCGTTGCGCAAACCTTTATCTCCATTGTCTACATCTTCTTCGGTGCCTTTGTAAGCTTTCAATTGCCCCTGGTGCAAGTGTGTGATAATGATAAATGATACTAATACTTTCCCAGGTCTACCACTACTACGGCCAGTACAGTTACGTCAACGTCAACCAGGCCGTCAACCCCAAAAACCTCCAGGTTGTCGGCAACGTCCTCTCCCTCCTCACCGGTTGGCTCGCCATCTGTAAGCATCCACCCCCCTGAAAACCAAATTGCTTGTACCCACCCACTAACCCCCAAACCTCCTTAGTCCTCTACTTCAACGTCGGCATGAAAACCGTCTATATCGAAGTCGGCCAAGCAATCTTCAACCTCCCCTCCATTGCCTCCAAGAAGGGCAAATTCCTCTGGTGGGGACTCGGCCCCATCTACTGGATCCTCGCCTTCGTCCTCTCCATGTCCGTCCCCCAATTCGGCGCCTTCACAAACTTCGTCGGCGGCCTCTTCAGTCTCAACTTCACCTACTCCTTCTCCGGCGTCATGTACCTCGCCTACAAGGTCCAGGACGGCGCCCGTCTTCCCGGCGAAGGCTTCGACCCCGTCACTGGCGAGACCACCCGCTTCGACAACGGCGTTAAGCGGTGGATTCGTGGCTTCATGAAGACGTGGTATGTCAGCGCTCCCGTGCTCATCTTCACCGGCTGTGGTTTCGCTACTTCCGGCATGGGTACTTGGGCTGCTGTTTTGGCGCTGGAGGCTGCGTTTGGCCCTGGTGGCTCGGTGGTTACTTCTTGGACTTGCACGAACCCGTACTTTAGTGGTTAGAGGGAGGGGGGTTTGCCTTGCTGTCTGTGGACGAACCTTGCCAGGATCGGGATGGCCCCTGTGGCCTGGTTACTTTGCATTATCGCTAGATCGAGGTGCATTTTCAAGTTTATCTTTTTTAATTATTACGTGATGTTATGCTAATGCAGTATGACTGTTAGCTAGAAGAGCTAAATATGACGTGTTATCTTTACATCTCCTTTGAACTACATGTTGGTAGACAGCGCTGGGTGGTATTCAATCGCATGTCTGATAATAGATTTAGCATTCGGCACCCAGCACCAACCTTATCAGATTGACGATCCGGACTGTTAAAGTCAAATCCTCATGCGATTGTCATATGTTAGGACCTAGGTTCCGTGGTCTAACGCGACCAACGGCCGTTTACATCCTTACTGTTATTGCGTATCCCTATCAGCGATGGTCATTCTGCGTGCTCTACTATCTGAGAACCGTCACTCTACTCCTGTCGGTTGATTTACAGGTAAAAGGGTGATCTAACTTGGTATAATTTTCGAAAAGAAGATATAGTACAAAACAGAGGTATCAAGTAAAAAACCAAAACGTCCAAACTCCAAACAAAACATCCCCAGAACGCTCCCGCTCCCAAACACCAAGAAAGTCACTGCCAGACGCCCATGAAATCATTACTCGAGAGGGCCATGAGAAGTTACTCACGTCCACAGATGTTATGCTTTGGATGCAACTCCCACGAGTCAAGTTGAGGGTAATAGGAAGGGATAACACATAATATGTCCCACTACCAGTTCCAGGTGCGGCTGGACGCGGTGAAGACGGGGGTTTCCACTGGAGACGAACAGGGTCGATCCTTCTGGCACCCTTGATCTTCTCTTTTTCAAGGCGTTTGGTGTGTTCATCGAGGACTTGCTCGGTGAGAACGATGACCCAGTTTCCTTTCTATAAAGGTGTTAGATTGGTCTGATCCACAATAAGTCCCAAGGGGATAATGAAAAACCTACATGATATCGGAGCATGTTGTTCACCAACAACGTCTCATGAATATCCTTCTCAGTCATAGACGTAAGAAGAGCAAGTTCATTCTCGCTCATGGCCTCACGACCCGGCTCCGCTAAAAGCTCGACAAGGGTCTCTCGCCAGTAGCGACGATAACTAAGCAAACCCAAGTCACTAAGCGGCTTCTCGGGAGAACCCAGTTTGCCCTCGCGCTTGCTAAGCTCGTAGCTCATAGCGATCAACAGACGACCATAACCCGCACGCTGGAACTGCGGGAAGGTCGTGATACAAGCCAAGTTGTAGCCTTCGGCAGAGTCCTTTTCTTTGGAAAAGTAGCCGACGAGATGGCATCCCGTATCGTCGCGAGTGCACATGCAGTAAAACAGGAAGGGGTCGACGTCGTAGTAGAGCGTCTTGTGATCCAGGAAGAGCTTGCTAAGAAGACACAGATTTCGACACCACGTGCGCTGGCGACGGCCGTCAACCTCGAAGAAAGAAATGTTTTCGTCGCGGTAGATTTCGTTGCCGGGCGGGTGGACCATCGTGCATTTGGCACGGTGTCGCTCAAAGGCGCGGTAGTTGTCGAAGTAGCTGAGACAAAACTCGTCGATATAGACTAGATCGACATCGGAGAATGAATCTGGATACGGTGAGAAATACCACGGCTCGATATCGTGCTTGCCCATTTGGAGCTTGGTCAAGTTTCGCACGCGGTGGACCTCAGTTGGGTTCTGGGTCATACTGCCACCGGTACGCAACCGCTCAATCTCCTCTTCGCGGGTGATCAATTCACCAGATGCAGTTTTGACTTCGTCCTTAAGTGGAGTGTCTGTCATTTCAAGATCTTCCGCGTCCATGACTTTCGGTGTCCCGGCGGCTGATACTGCTTCGGACCCGGCCATCGAGACATCGGATGTATCCCGGTTCTCTTTACCTCCAGCCTTCGAGGGCCGGGGAGCCTTGGCGACGTTCTGGTTCTTGCTGCCAAAGGCATCTGGAGTTCCTGATACCTCGCGGCTGTCGGCGCGCTGCTGTTTCTGGACATTCTTGCTGGGAGCTTTGGTGATGGCGGTGCTCTTTTTCTTGTCCGGTTTTTCAGGCCTTGGCCATTCTACCTCTTGGGTAAGGTCGATTCGTGCAGCCGGAACCCATTCTATGGGTGGTGTTAGTATGAATTCGCACCATCTATACGACCTTCGAATGAACTTACCATCAAGACGTTTGTTGAAATCGACATAATGGACACTAAACAGGTTAGTATGATTTAACCCAAATTTGTTCCATGATCCCGAACTTACTAGAAAGAAAGTCCACCCTTGCGTTCTCGAATTGACAGAACCTCAGCTTTCCGAAGTTCGCCATCCTAACATCGAGTCAGTTCCATATCACGTGATATCGCAGGCTCTGCGCCAGGGATACTCACCTTCTGCACCATGGCCTTCACACCGAGGCTATCATCTTGATTAGTATATGCGACCGAGGAAAAGCGACTCTGAGAGCCCAGAGAAAAATTTTCAAGTTTCTTCTGGCCCGGGTTGAACTTGAACTTACGTGATGGTGTTGATAGTGGCGATACCTCGCTCGACAGGGTCGGGCGTCCCCGTCACCTCGCCGGAGTCTCGGACGCCCATGGTGATCTCTGCAGTGACTGCTCGTGAGCAGAATCAGGGCAGAAAATTGATGGAATCGATGGATGTGATGCGATGCGCGGTCGAGGGCAGGTGAGTGATGAAGGCAGGAGGGGGAGGCGTCGTCGAGGGGTATTATGTCAGCGGGACCGCATCGGGAAGTTGGCTCTGTTTATAGCGAAGACATGTGGAATGACGATGCGAGAAGAATCGCAGAAGATGACTCTTGTATCATTTGTATTTACAGGCTACGAAGCACAAGAGATACTGCTGATGACTCTACATGGGCTGAGTGTTTTGTTGAACAATTAAATTGTAACCAGATCGAACTCCTGATGATTTGAGTTATCCACGCAAATGTAACCTTCCTAATGATACAAAATACAAAACGAAGCCTGCGAGGGGTCATGATCCAGAAAATATAGAAGAATGAATAAAATCAGCCCATTCAATGCCAACCATTGATCGTAGCTGTACCAGCGACAAGCTCATCCAACTCGTCCTTTCGGCTCTTGTACAATTCCTGTGCCTCCCGCTCTCGGCGCATCATGAAGGACACCTCCTCCCGCAGGCGCTCTAGTCGCCGAGAGACGGCAGCCTCCTCAGATATCTGCAGAGAACGGAACGAGTCCAGGTCATCTTGTGCCTTAGGCAAGGCCGCGCCAGCTTCCAAAATCTTGGTTCGTAGCATCTTGGCGCGATTTTGGTATCCGCCATAATGCAATGCCAGCTTCTTCTCTAGCTTGTTGCCCTTCTCTGCGGTGGCGAGCAGAGATGCCTGCACACCGTCAAAGGCTGCAATCATGCGCTGTTCCTCTTGGAAGTCATCATTTTCCTCTTCATCTTCGTAGTTCTCCAGGCCGGGAAGGACTGTAGCTCGAGTGGATGACCAGATGTCATCAAACCTTTCTTGCCATTCCTCTTGCTGTTGCCGTGCCTCTTCCGAAGCAATCTCAGCAGCAATGGCTGCACGAGCAGCTTCCAAGAACGTATCATCCAGACGGTCCAGTTTTGGTGCTTTCCCTTCGACCTTGGCACCAGGCACCGGGTGCCTGCGTGAGTCGTATGCTATCATGACAGCAGTTTCTCTAGCAATCAAGCCTTCCACGGGGTCTGTCACTTGAGACGCACGTTGCATCAAGGCATCGAGGTCAAGAACGACAGGTCGAGGCAGACCACGCTGGTATACCTGAGACTGGCGCTTGAACTCCGCTTGAGCGGCCTTTTCCCTTGCCTCCTTCTCTCTGCGATCACGTTCAGCCGCATCCTCCTCGGTCATTTCCACAGTAGCAGATGGCTCTGCAGCCTCAGATGGAAGCTCTTCCAGCTCCCACTCGGTCTCTTTGGGCTTGGGGAGTGAAGCGAGCTTGCTGCGCATGGACTGGCGCATGGAATTCTCATGCATCTTGATATCTCGAGGAGTGCTACCGACAAGTTGTGGCCCCTGGCCCTCTTTATTCAGCGCAAAGTGATCGCGAGGTGTGCGCAAGGGCGTGGCCCCAGGTCCAACTCCACCAGTCATGGGGGTGGCTCCCAAACCATTGGCCTGTCGGAAGGGAGTGGCCATGGGGTTGGGCGTGACAATATCCTGTCGTCGAGGGGCAATCCCTTCAAACCCGGTTGAGGAACTGCCTTCATGGAGAGGAGTGTTCTCTCCTCCAAGCAGCGAAGACTGAGTTTCGGTAAGAGCCCGAATGTTCTTAATTTCATTGGCGATATGATCCTCCTCGGGTGCAGCTCGCGGCGTCCGGATAGGAGTTCCTCCAACAATCGCACCATAGTTTCCAATAAGACCCCGAGTGGTTTCTTCATCGGCGCTCATCCTGCTGGCCTTGTCTCCAGCCATGCCCATCTTAATGATATCGTCCATTTCACTCTCGCTAACCTGTGGCGCCGGCAGAACCAGACCCCGACGCTTGCTGCTCTGCTCTGCTTCGCGAATCTTTTGCATTTGACCTGCACGTGCAGCCGCAGCGAAAGCAGCCGAGTTGCTATTCTTATCATTCTTGCGCTTCTTGCGCTCGGCATCTTCATCTTGATCGCCCTTCCGCTTGTTGGCCAGCTGTTGCTTGCGAGGGTCGAACATCTCCCGTTGGCGCTCATTCAGGGTTTGTTCTTCGGTTGTGTCGTAAAATCCCGAAGCAGCTGGCTTTTCAAAGGGAATGTCGGCGTTGTAATCCATCTGGCCGGGCTTCCGAGTGACCACCTTGACATTGATACCGGCATGCTTCAGTTCACGACGCTTCTGTAACACTGCCAATCGACGCGATTCCTCCAATTGACGCTCTCGGGCCTTGCGCTTGGCCTTTTTACCTTGTGTATTGGCGAGACGGGCACGAGCCTCACTCAGCATCTCTTTCTCATCTTCATCCAAGTCGATCGTATCGGGGCGTGCAGGTTTAGACTCTGGATCGGGATCCAACTCTCCGGGACTTTAGCATGTTAGCATCATAGTTATTCTAATATAGGGTCCAAGGTGAAACATACCGAAGGCGACGGACATCATCCGCACTAGGAGCCGCCGTCTCTCCACCCTCTGGTCCTCCCAAACCAAGCTCATCGTTCTCACGAGCTTCGGCCTCATCCAAAAGTTTTTGATAACGCTCGAGGCACTGGGTTGCGGTACGTCCGACAATGGGGGCGATTGTACGCCATTGCGTTGGCATCAGCTTCGCCAGGTGCAGAAGCTTCTCGTCCTCCTCTCGCGACCACTCCACTTTGCGAATACCAGGGTCCAGCCATTCGATCCAACGTGCCTTGCACTGCTTCGGGGTCTTGCGGGCGAGGAGAGACGACACACGAGCCCACTGGTTGAGACCATATTTCGAGACCTGCCAGAAAGTCAGAATTTGCGCACATCATGCAACACCTTTCCCAGAATTTAGAGCAAGACATACGGCCGCTCGAAGGACCTCGTCCTCGATATTGGTCCTGATGAGCTGTCAGCTATGGTCGGTCGCGAATAGACATGAATGGGCGAGAGGTCTTACCAAACACCTCCTTTGACGACAGGCATGGTGCGCGACTAGACTTCAGCCTGGGAATAATTCAGAGAAGAAGTAAGATCGCAATCAACCTCCGGGGAGATAAAGACACAGAGATCCCCGGACAGCAGCAGTCGACGCGCGATGACTTGACGGAGCTAGAAGAAAAGCGAGTTTGCCAAGGCCAAGTCCCTTGACCGCCCGTGCTGCCGCCCCCGCGTTAGGTAAGCGGATCCTGAAATTTTGGTTTTTCTTAGTTTTTTTGATTTGGAGACTTTCGCAGAAAAAAAAACTGATAAGAGCATCAACCATGTCAACGTCGGTGGGTGCCCCCCAACAGTTCAAGCAGCCTTCCCGTAAGGGTAAGAAGGCCTGGCGCAAGAATGTCGACGTCACAGAAGTGCAGGAGGGTCTGCGCCAGTTGAAAGATGCTGAGATCAAAGGGTGTGTCTATACTGTACACAATCTGGAATTCACTACAGGACTATTGCTGACTTTTGAACAGTGGTCTGATCTCGGAGAAGCCATCCGATGAGCTTTTCATTCTCGATACCACTGGAGATCAAGAGGTTCGGCAAGCAATTGCAAAGAAACACAAGCCGCTCAAGGCCGACGAGATCATCGCTCAACGGTCTGCCATCCCCGCATTGGACGGACGCAAGCGTGTTAATTCGAATGTTACCGATGGAGTTATCGAGCCCAAGACGAAGAAGCACAAGAATGACTGGGTTAGCCGCAAGGATTACTTGCGCTTGAAGCAGGTGGCCAGGGAAGCGAACCCTATCAATAAGAAGGGCAACAACGAGCTTTATGATCCATGGGCGGATGACGCCGAGGAGCCTACCGTCTACGATGATCCTCAATTTGATTTCCTGCGGAAGCCAAAGGCCAAGGTCGCCCCGGAGACCCTGAAGCACGCGCCAATCTCCCTTGCTGCCAATGGCAAGCCCGTTCCCTCTGTGCGCATGCCCCATGCCGGAACCAGTTACAACCCGGTGTTTGAAGATTGGGATCAGCTCCTGCAAGAGCACGGAGAGAAGGCTGTCGAGGCGGAGAAGAAGCGCCTTGAAGAGGAAAAGAAGGAGCAGGAGAGGCAACGATTAATCGCCGAGGCCCAGAACGACGACGGAGAAGTAAAGTCCGACGACGAGAGTGCATGGGAAGGCTTTGAAAGTGAATATGAGAAGCCCGAGTGGTTGAACAAGAAGCGACCGGAGCGAAAGACCAAGACTCAGCGCAACAAGATCAAGCGGCGCAAGGAGGCCGAGAGGCAAGCGAAGTGGGATGAGCAAAAGGCCAAGAAAGATGCTCAAGCCGAACGGATCCAAGAGCTTGCCGAGCTCGCCAAGCAGAACGAACTGGAACGTGCCAACGAGTCTGATGCTGATGACTCGGAGGATGGAGATGAAACTACTCTGCGACGAAAGCCGTTCGGCGGCAAGCTTGCGTATGTTCTTCGTGTTGAAATAAGTAGACTTTTACTAACATACTCGACAGGCCACCGGAGAAGCCATTGGAGCTGGTTCTCCCTGATGAGCTGCAGGACTCTCTGCGCTTGCTCAAGCCCGAGGGCAACCTCTTGGACGACAGATTCCGCACACTCATCGTCCAGGGAAAGCTTGAGTCTCGCAAGCCAATAACACAGGCTCGCAAGGCGAAGAAAAAGGTGACGGAGAAGTGGATGTCCAAGGATTTCAAAGTTCCTGGATTTTAAGTAATCGTTTATACTGTTTGGCTTTCTCAAAACGGCGTGCATTGGCGATTGGATGAACATACATTATGGTCAAAACATTGAGGCTTTTTCACATGATTATTTCTTCTGGGATCTTAAACAGCGATAGTAGTAGTATGAATACATTAGATTTACATCGATCAAAAATCTACTTCTAATCCGAAGATTCCCCCGAGGCCGAGACAGTCGAAAAAGTTGCATTCATGTGTAGGTTAATGTGAAGGTGTCTAGCTAACGGATCGCTGCATATTGAATATTTCAGTTCTTCAATTTTGCGAATCCTTGTTAGGCTCTAGTAAATCATTGGTAGAAATCCAAATATTCTCCAATTCGTAGCAGATTCTGACGAGAGTAGGAAGTATACCTCCTACGGTGGACCATAGTTTCTAAGTGTTGGCTAGTGCCACTTAACGCGGGAACGCGACGCGCCTCGGTCACCTACCTCAACTTTACCCTGCAAGAATTCACCACCGACACCCACGACTCATTCTCGGCCTCGCCAACGCAATTGCATTTCCTATACTCCTGGTACAGACTGAAATTCACACGGTAGCTATAAATCCAACATTTGAGCGAGGTCAACAACTTCCTTCCTTATCTCTGGATTCGTGCTACCTACGACGAACAATTCCATCCTGCGACTTTCGCACCAAAATGCCAGAGATGTATGCCTTCCAAGCGGGCTCGAAGCCAATCTCCTCGATAGCAAGCGCTGAAGAAACCACGAAATTCACACCCAACATCCTCCCCTGTCGAATACATCACGATGGTCCCATCGAGTCTACCGACAGGTTTTGGATCCCACAGACTGATGAGAAGGGTACGCATCACAGCATCTCCCACGGTAATTAGGAAGGGATGTCAAGAGATTTTTTCTGATACTGTGTCCCTGCAGACAACAAGCAAACAGCATACTTCCGTGGACGCAGGCTGCGTGGCCGGCGCGTTGCTATTCCCGAGGGCTATCAAGGTACGAAGACATCAGTTACAAGAAAATTGCTCCAGTCTGATCCCGCGCGATTGGCTAATATTGTTTCTTACAATTCTTAGGTGTCATCGCTACGCCAACAGAACGTCTACTACCAGCATCTCAACGACCACACAACGATACAGCGGAAGATGGCGAGACTGAACCAGAGGAACCAGTCAAGGTTCTCGAGGCACAGGGTACATTTGATGAATTGATGGTATGGGGGCATGAGATCCTTCCTGCGGCAGACGATACATTTGTTAAAGGTGTAGAGGAATGGGTGCGGTTTGCTGAGACGGTAGGTCCCTCTCCATAAGCTTTGCTACCTAGGGTATGAGAATACTAACTTGGATGATAGATGCATGGGACGGCTGGGCCAGCGATAGAGGGGAGCAAAGCATAGAGGGTCCCTCATTTGGCTGATTGTTATAATCAAACAATGCAAATCGCTAAATATAGGAGTTCTATCATACCTAGGACCAGTATAAGTAGCGCTCGTAAATTTAGAAGGGAGGCAACCCCAAGAAATTCGCTGCCGTTTCATAGTTTTATATTGATGTTCATAGGTCAATTACGGGAAGTATTTGCATTGCTCGTGTTTCTTAATTCACTAAGATTAACGGGAGTTGGTTGGAACGCTGGAGAGCGTGGGGAGTGGAGCCGATAAACATAGTGGAAGATCATAAAGCCTTGAATCGAAGCCTATCCTGCTCGTCGAGGTTATCTTTGCATTCACAATAGAGACGGAACAGTTGGCGATTAAAAAGTGATATAGAATGATAGCTGAATCATCACATGAGAAACGCCCTTTCCAATATAGATATTTACACAACAGTTTCCCTAGGTAGGAGACTAAGGGCTGCATATGATTCTAAACTGCCCAGAAGCCTAAGGAACAAATGAACACAAGACTCCCGCAGGGAAATATGCCGCACTAGTACGAAGAAAACAAGAAACTATTAGAGGATTTCACGAGACAGAAATACTCATAGATATTTAGAGAATAAACCCCAAGACGTAAGTACATGAACCTAATCAAACAAAAGCACAACTATATAGCCGAATACAGATGCCATCAACAGATGGAAGGCAGCAGCTGGTCATTCCTTGGTATGGCTAGGTAGGGGCTTTTGGTTCTCCCGGCAAAGCGTTGGTGGTGTATCAAAAGCCTTATTTCCCAGATCTAAAAGTGCAGGTACCAGGAGCCCTCTGCTACCATCCACAAATAAGATAATGTGCTCTCGGCTGATATAGACCCTATTGACATCGTAGTAATCAACAGTGCAGTGTTGCCGGGTGTGCCAACCGTTCCTAAAAGACTTGTTAACGGCTTGATTGCGATGAGGACCGCGACCAATTTACATTACCGTGGCACTCACGGCGCTAAAAGGTGCTTGACCAAGCCGATGATTCTCGCTCTCTCTCCAGGATCACGCGAGTACATGTTATACGGTTCGAAGGTAACATTGTTGGTATCCATGATGAACTAAGAATTGGGCTGTCTTTGAGAAGCAAAGATGGATAATAAGCGTAGAAAATAGTACACGTAGATGGTTTCTGAATAATTTGCTGAGGTATGACAAGAAGCTGTCTATGCCATGGCGAGATCATGCGAATTTATATTCCTTTCTCGGCTGATATCAGAGCCTCACTGAATAATGGCCGTCTAGGCATTCATATCACGCCTGCGTTCGACGACCTTGTGCTGGTAATTGAGGTGCATAAGCGCTGGAGACGTGGCCTTTGTTAAAACTTGGTGTAGCCGCCACGAGCGACTACCTACATATCCAGTTAACGTGCTTGCACTATTGGTAAATGATGAATTATCGAACAACCTCCTAGGATAATTTTAAGGGCAAAGCGTTTACTGTAACCCGCCAGCTATCCAATATTAGCCTGGTAGTTTCAGGAAGTCGCGCGCGTCCCATCATTTCTGCAGTCGTACTTTATCCCGTGTTGGTTGCTAATTTTGTATTACCAGGTTGACCTTGAGGCTGAGGGATGGTGGGTCCACGGTTTGGGTTGATAGTTTCCGTACGGGCAGTCCCGCAATCTAGGCCAATGAGAACAGATGAAATTCCTTAGGCATCTGGGGTTAGTTGCCCCCGTCTTCGCGCCATGGGGCGTGTTCCGTAACACGCTATCCCATGTCGAGAGGCCTTAAATGTACCCCCGAGGCCCTGCCCCACGCTCCTCAATATTATCTATTGAGTTTCTTCTAAAGTGTCGAACTCCCCCATCTCAATCTTCCCTTTCTTACAAAACATCGCACTCGGCACCTCTTGCGCAACGCATATCCATCGCAGGCATGAGCACCTCACCTCCTCCCACTCCGACATCAAGGTCCGCAACAGATGACGAGCGTAGATTCAAAACCATTACATTACCGTGTGAGTTGGTGGAGGACTACCGCCCAGGTGGTTATCATCCTGTCGTTCTCGGCGGCGCCTTCAAAAATGGCCGCTACAAGGTCATTCGAAAGCTCGGCGAGGGCTCCTACTCGACCGTTTGGCTTGCTCATGACCTGCAGTGAACTCGTCTTTTTTATGTCTGCCCATGAAGCTATAGATTTCGAATTCTCATATTTCATTCAAGCAAGAATGGACATGTCGCCCTAAAGATTCTGGTGTCGCAAATCTCTGAATCGACAAGCGAGCTACGAATCTTACGCCACATCGACCAAGTTGCACCCGCACAAGGGGCTCGGTATATCATACGACTGCTAGACGAGTTCGAACACCACGGCCCCAATGGAGTCCACAAATGTCTGGTAATCGAGCCCATGGGCCCGAGTGTGAATACCATGGCCGAGGAGCTGCCGCAGTTCAAACCTCGCATGCAAGGAATGAAAATTCGCTATCCTCTTCCAATGACAAAGAGAATCCTCAAGCAGTCATTGCAGGCACTTACATTTCTCCACGAAAATGGTATCGCCCATGGAGATTTTCAACCAGGAAATATACTCTTCACTCTGAACGATATCGACTCGACCCCCGAGGACGTTCTTCGGCAGGAAGAAGGCGTGCAAGCTCGGTCGATCTCGCCCCCGGTAGAGAGGCTAGACGGTAAGCAAGATAAATTGGCTCCTGATATCTTTGCGTTGCGCAGCCTCTGCTGCCTTTTACCTGCTCCACCGAAGGGTTCAAGGTTAAATTGTCAGATATGGGTGGCGGTCAGTTCCATCTTTCTTGATTATATGTGTTTTCTCTTGACGAATATCCAAACTCATACCTGTCTACCCTGAGAAGCATATTTCTTTACCGACCCGCCGGAAAAGCTCGTTACTCCACTTGGTCTTCGAGCTCCCGAGTTGATTCTAACCGGAGCCATCGACAATACTATTGATGTCTGGAGTTTTGGCTGCCTGGTCTTTGAGCTTATCACCGGCCAGCCACTCTTCTGCGTACCAGGTTCCAAGTATGGATATGATGATCATCTTCTATCCCTCACCGCACAGCTCGGTTCCTTTCCCGATGAGCTATTCAGACATTGAAAGACCTCATCTCTATACTTTACGCCCGAGCGGAAGCTCTTTAACTGTCAGCTTGGGGGAGTTCCCACGGGGCAGGAACCGCTCATGTTGGAGCAGGAGTCCATGGAAGAGCTATTTGACCTGGCAGGCCCCGATCTTGATGAGGAGGAAGCCAACAAAGTGAAGGCGCTCATTCGATGGATTTTGCAATATGATCCGGCAAAGAGACCTTCACCTGCGAAAATATTGAGCGATCCTTGGTTTTGCGAGATCGACGTGGGGAGTGATCCGTCCGAGGTATCTATTGTCTAGTTGTTTGTACTTATGTGTCTGAGTTCGGAGCAAATTCAGGTATCAGGACTGCCACGGTACCACGTAGATTGATTTCAGAGTAAAATTACAGCAATGGCTTACCTCTCTGATGTTCAAGGCTAAGGCCCGTTGCGAATAAACCATTGTTCCGTACAGTGGCCAGGTGGTGCGACAAAATAAATATTTCCTAAGCTTTGGGCCAAGCAAAAGGCTGAGGAGAGAGATAACTGCCTACTTAAAAATACGAAATGCTTTTCAATGTTTCCCATGACGATCCAATAAACCAACATTTCGAACAGCCATAGAAAACATACAATCCGCTCATATAAGCAATTTGAATACAAATGACAAGTCACTGAGCGATCGGTTACGTGAACAGGTGGTCTCGGTCCGATTGGATCTTAAATATTCATCCCTTCCAGTAGTTCTAAGGGAAACGATGAGGGGACGTAGAAGGTAGAACTGGAAGGGACGGGATACGAGTCCGAGGCACCGACCAGTGGATCTGATTCGATCTGATCAGAAAACAGACCCAACCCGACAGGATGGAAGGAAGTGATTGGTGACTGGGGGCGTCGACAGGTTCCATCATAGGGGGTGGGCCCGGGGCATACATTCCGGATGCATGGCTTAGGCTGAGCTGTTTGGGAACTGCACCGATAAATCTTGGCATCCTGGGCACCGGTGACATAGCCCGAGGGATAATAATGCATATAAAATCGTTACACGCTCTCACCAAATTTTCTAAATATCTCTTCTCATTGCGTGTGTACCAGGATTCAAATAACCACGTCTCGAACTCTTTCTTCAGTTCGACGCTATAGAGCTTTCCCATTCTGGTATCCAAGTGCCTTGGCCCTTGCATCTCTCTCCAACTCTTGATTATACAATGTCAGTAGCACTCGCTTCTCATGCCTAAGCATTGTTTGGCACGCTTGTTGACCCCACCGTCAACTCTTCTCCCTTCATTGTTTTGTATCAGAATTGTCTTTTTGTCAAAAGTTGAAACAACAATCATCTCCTAGTCCGCCATGTCATTTGTTTCGATAGGAGATGTCGTCTTTTGCACCCAACTTGCGTTTCGTATATACACCACCCTCACCAGTGGACGAAAGAATGCTCCTCGAGATATGAAGGCGTTAGGAGAGGTCCTGTTTGGCCTTTATTGTGCTCTCAACCATCGAGAGAGAGAGCTTGAGACCGTTCTCAGTGGGCCAATTGCTAGAGATGAGCATGACATAGTGCAGACAAGACAGCAGCTTGGGCAAATGATCAAACCTTGCCGAAGGGCTCTGAAGGAACTTGATGAAGCAACTGCAAACTACCGCCAGGCCGCTCACGATCCCCCCCGCCTGGTATCCGGTCCATCCTATCGGGTGTTTGGTATAGGTTTCTCACAGCAGCTCAAAGCTCAAGTCAGGGTTCAATGGCTAAGAGTCCAATGGTACCTCCGCAGCGACTCATTCACCAAGTATCGCATCGAGCTCCAATCGCATACGAGCGCTATCAACCTTCTTTTGAGCACCATGACATGGTCAGTTTCTCATGGATGCCTCTCTAGACTCATCTGACATGCGGTCCATCTAACCCCTACAGGTCAAGCACCACCCGCTCTGAGGAAATTGGCAGACGCCAGGCGCAAAGACTAGAGGAGATTGAACATACAACTACCCGACTGAATGAAAACATGGACCGACTGGTGCAGGCTATCACCAGCCCACGAACTCACCATCCGACTCTTATTCTCCCTAGTCTGATTCTTCCAATCGGTGATCCTGGAGCTGACTACTATCCAACTGTAGCATTGAACCAGGTTATTGATGGTATGTTCGATATTACAACGAATAACACCACTTGCTAACAATAATCTCACAATACCTAGCATCCCCTTTGGCCCTGCCTCAAAGCTTCCTCGATGAACAGAACTGGCAATCTTCGGAGGCTCTACTATGGTCAATCGTCCTACGTTTTCAGCGTCAATCAAATCACCAAATCTCTAACTTTGCATCTCGAGTCACTGAAGAGAGTGAGCCAGCATGAAGCCCGGCTATACTCTTCCCAACTACGCTTCTATCTTGTTCTGTCATTGTCAAATAAAAGAGGCGAGTCAACGTTAGGTAAATGGCAATTTTCTGCGTGATTGCATCATGTTCTTTTGATAAGCGAGGATTAATTGTTCTCGTCAACTAGTTACTTGATTGACTACACAATCATCCCGCCAAGGAGGAGCTTTCTGGACATAATCTCACAAAAAATGTATACATTTTACCACTTTCCCTTGATTCATCTACCTTCATAGAGGTCTTTCAAGATTATAAGAGTATATGCTTGTGTTGACTGGGCTGCATCTATTTTTTTCTTGCATGGAGGAACTAGAAAATAGATTCACTGGATATGCCATATACACTGCGATAAGCGCCAGATAAGGCACGATAAGCCTGACCGCCCGCTGATCGTGAAGCCGATAACGAATCCCCCGCGCAGCTTCTTTTCAATTCAAGTTTCACTTCACAATTATACGTCGGCAATTGCTCAACATGGCTGGTGAACAAAGCGACACGAAAGTCGCTCCAGAGGCCTTGGTTGGCAAATTTCAAATCACCAAGCTACTGAAGCAAGGTACACTCACTAAACTAAACACCCCGCAATCAAGAAATCAGAAACTAACCAGTCATAGATCAAAATGGCCGACGTATTGCTCTGCTGGGAACAATCGACGACCAACAAGGTATATTGACTGCCGAGCGTGCTGCATTTTCCACCGAGTCTCTTGAGGTTATTCAAGCATTCCACGCAGCCATCACGCGCGTCAAGAACCTCGGTGACAACGATATCTACCGCTGGTACCTCGCGTCCTCCAATGGCAGCGCCCAACCAGCCGACAGCCAGCAAGACCTCAAGCTGAACCTGATCTGGCCCTGCACAGCAAAGCACATAAAGAAGTACTCGGACCAACAGGTTCGCATGGTCACCGAGACACCTGAGATCTACCGCCAGCACGTGCGCCCTTTCATGCGCGCCAAGCGCGAGGAGGGACATCTGAACTGGGTGTTCAACATCCTTGAGGGTCGCACGGAGCAAGAAGATGTGATTATGCGGGATGCAGGCCACGGTCCCGAGGATGCGTTCCTGATGCTGCCGGATCTCAACTGGGATCGGAAGACTTTGAACTCGCTGCATTTGCTGGCGTTAGTGCATCGACGGGATATTTGGAGTTTGAGAGATCTTCAGAAGAAGCATATTCCGTGGTTGAAATATCTGCGGCAGCGTGTGCTGGAGGCTACGGTGAAAATGTACCCGGACTTGGAGGAGGATCAACTCAAGCTTTACGTTCATTGTAAGTTTCTCGGTGTTGATATGGGTTCCTTTGTACTTGCTGACACTTTCATGCAGATCAACCGACATATTATCATTTCCACATCCACGTCGTCAACGTCATGTTGGAAGCTGGCGCTACCCAGGCCACTGGCAAGGCCTTTGGGTTGGAGAATATTATCTCCCAATTGGAGACCATGTCTGGTGGAGATGATGTGAGTATGGCAGATGTTAGTTTGACGTATTATCTGGGTGAGGCAAGCGAGTTGTGGACCGATATCTATGCGCCATTGAAGAAGGGGCATCAACCTGTAGCTCACTGAAGTTGAGTTTGCCCTCGCCATCGGAATACGAACCAAATACCCAACGATTAATGCATATGGAAAGAGCAAATATTTTCAAAGATTTACATCACCCAAGATTTATCGTGTCGTAAAATTTTGATTGTTCGCTGATTTTCCCTTGAGAGACTGTAATCATCTTTGCTGATGCTCGATGTCTCTTGTGGCCCTTGGAGATGATTTGAGTATGCTTCAACTTAAGCTGACGAGCGAGCTGTATATCTTAGCCGTGAAATGAGTCGAATGTGAAATAGATCTCTATCATAAGAGTTCGGATGGCATGTGATGGAAGCTGTGGCTGAAAGCTCCGTGTGGAGAAACAGCGCCGATAAAAGCTAACCCCGCAACATCAACTCTTCCACCTTAACCTCAGCCTCGCTCCCAGCTCCCAGCTTAACACAACCTCCGTTCCCCTCTTCAGCCCTAACAGAACAACCTTTCCACTGCTTTCAAATCCCCACACCCACCATGGCCGACAACCCCGACGTCCCCAACACACAAAAGGCCTTCGTGCCCCTCGGTACGCACCCTGCCCAGCACCAACAACAACAGCATCACTCATAACCAACTAACCCGCCCTCTCCAGAAAACAACCCAGAAGTCATGTCCCACCTAGTCCACCAACTAGGTCTCCCCCCAACACTAGGCTTCACAGACGTCTACTCAATCGACGAACCCGACCTCCTAGCCTTCGTCCCCCGCCCCTCCCATGCCCTCCTCCTCGTCTTCCCCGTCTCCCAAACCTACGAACAGTCCCGCACAGCAGAAGACAGCAACCTTCCCGAATACACCGGCTCCGGGCCCTCCGAGCCCGTAATGTGGTTCAAGCAGACCATCCGCAACGCCTGCGGACTCATCGGTCTCCTCCACGCCGTCGCTAACGGCGAGCCCCGCCAACACGTCACGCCCGGTTCGGATCTGGACCATTTACTCCGCGAGGCAGAGGTGTTGGAACCCGTTGCGCGGGCGGATCTTTTGTACGAGAGTAAGGCGTTGGAGAGCGCGCATGCGGATGCGGCGAAGCTGGGTGATACGGCGGCGCCGGAGGCGGAGGATAATGTTGATTTGCACTTTGTGGCGTTTGTGAAGGCGGTTGATGGCACGCTTTGGGAGTTGGATGGGCGGAGGAGAGGTCCTTTGGCGCGGGGGAAACTCGGTGCAGATGAGGATGCGCTTAGTGAGGCTGCGCTTGAACTGGGAGTGCGCCGGTTTTTGAAGATGGAGGCGCAAGGAGGGAATCCTGATTTGCGGTTTAGTCTGGTTAGCCTGGGGCCTGTCTTTGACTGAACAGGGAAACTGTATTGATATGTGACTGCGGTGGAAGAGATGGGATGGCCTATTCGGCTTTTATGGCGTCACTGGGCTTTGGGATAGATCGATGTTTATTCTCTACCTTTACTGGTATTCGGGTTTCAGGAAATGCCGTCCGTATTTCACGGGCCCTCCGTATTTGAAAGTCGTACAAAGCCGGATAGATGGTCTTGGTCTGATTTTCGAGAGAGAAGGGCCTAGATCTCAGGACTCGCCTGTTCTCGAAGCCAAACTAGACGGGGCAAAGGAAAAGTTGAGAGTCTGGTACATGAACGAATTAGGTTCTTCGATGCATTCTATCTATTCAATCAGACTTGGAGCATTCCCTGATTGAATACACTCTGGCCAGCCTGCTCATCACCTAGAATAGATGAAAATGTTGTGTAGATCCTAATAATCCGAATGCATCCCTTTCATTTTGCTATGCTGGACCGATTCTCTATGTCTATTAAATCTATAAGAAATCTATGAAGAACCAAGGTAGCTAAAGCGAAGTGGTTCACAGCAATAATGCGAACATGCCCAATCAACTCATCATCATATTGAGAAGAAATCATAACTTTTCAAGCTCCATAACCGGCGTCGCAACGCGAGTTTCAGCACCCATCATGGAGTCAGCAACCGGCTTCTTCTCACCAGCCTCTTCATTATCAGAGGCCACGACAGTTTGTTCACTCTTTGGTCCCGTATCCCCACCCTGAGTACCCAGTGTCAAGAACGGCACCATAAACACCGATAGACCGGCACAAGCAGCAGCAAACCAATATACTGCCAAGTAAGGCTGGATCGCTGGTGTCGAAGCGGTCATCTGGCTAGCGACTGAGGCACTGACAGACGTCGCGATACCAAGTCCAAGATTGTTGCAGAGCTTGCTGACGGTGTTGAAGATACCGCCAGCAATGGACTGCTGATTCGGTGGGAGAGAAGACATCACGTACATCTACTCAAAGATTAGCCAGCAATTCAACCACAATTTTTCGCAGATACACTCACATTCGTAACGTTGAACTGGATATCCGCGCCAACCACGACGAGAACCAGTGCTGGGAAGATGTACGCCCAGTAGATAGCGTCTTCTTTCATGAAGCTCAAAATCAGGAACGATGCAGTGTATGCCAGGGCACCGACACCAGTGAGCAGCTTATTGCTGACACGGTGCAGAATCAGGCCACAGACTACGTTGACCAGTACGCCGCTGACGACCATGGGGAGAAGGCGGACTGTGATATCGAGGGCTGTGAGGTGCTTGACTTCCTGCAGGTAGAGGGAGAGGAAGAATGAGACGGCCGAGAAGCCCATGAAGCCGAAACAGAAGGTTGCCATGAGCTGCATGTGGTTAGCTGCATATCCAAAGTCCAAGGGTGTTATATACTTACCAAGGCGAAATTGCGATCTTTCCAGACCCATAGAGGCATCAGGGGATGTTTCGCGATAGATTGCCAATACAAGAAGCACGCAAGTAGAAAAATGCCCACAATGAGAAGAGCAAGCACATATCCCGTCTTCCAACCATTTGGCGCATCACCAGCCAATCTATAACCAGTCAGTCCCGAACCCTCCCCAAGCAAAGGCACAAAAAAGACCACTTACGAAAGCGAACTTGAAAAGAAAGAAAACCCAACAATAACCAGCCCCGTCCCCAAAAGATCAAACTTCCGAACAGCCTCCCAACTAACCGGCGTCCTCGCAAATCCATCCGCCGGCACCGTCCAAATCGTCAACGCCGTAAAAATCGCATAAACAACCGCAAGCGCCCAAAACGACGCCCGCCAGTTATACTCATGCGACGCAATGCCAGAAATAATCATGCCCCCGACGAATCCGAGCGGGTTTCCCGCGCTGAAACATGCAAAGGCGCGATTCTTGCGTTTAGACGGCTGTTCGTAGACGGCGCCTAGTGCGCCGACAGCGGGTGGTACGACTGCCGCTGCGAAGAGGCCTAAGATTCCGGAGAAGACGTCCATGTAGATGGCGTTTGTGGCGAAGCCGGCGACTAGCAGGGAAAGTGTGAAGCCTGCCATGCCGATAATGAAGAGGGCTTTGCGCCCGAACATATCGGCTAGTTTGCCGAATGTTAGGAGGAAGGCGCCGCTGCTGAGGCTGTTGGATGCCCAGGCATGGATGATTAGTGATTGAGCTCTAATTGAAGGCTTTGTTCAAAGCTGATGGAAGAGACTCATGCAACGTACGAGGCACCGGCATTAATCCACGTAATTTCGGCCGAATTCATATTCAAATCCGCCCCAATGGACGCCGTCACGCCCACGATACAGCCCTGAAAAAAAGATTGCTGGCCAATCGCCATCGTAGCCGTCAAAACGAACAGACACTCCTGAACAGTCGAGTTGAAGCATTTCGGCCGTTGCGCATAACTCGGTTGCTCGTCGACTGTGAGGCTCACGTCCGGACCCTTTTCCCGGTCGTCTGCGTCGGGTTGTGAGGCCATACCTACTTGCGGGAAGGTGTGGGTGGTTTGTGTAACGAGTCCACACTCTCGTTGCGATCGCAACTAGCAAGCAAGTAGAAGGCTGTAAGAGAGGAGAAGGGCGAAGGATGAATTAATTAAATACGCTGGCGTCGGAAAAGCCGAAGGAAAAAAAGAACCCCTTGGCAATAGAAGATCGTGATTACGCGCCACCTAAAAATTAGCTTCCCCGACAGCGACGCTTTTTTCCAGGGGAAGACGTCAACGGGGGTAAAAGGGTAAGGTTATGTAGTTAAAAAAATCTCCGTCTGGTTCCACGTTGAACGAAGTGGGGTATATTAAGATATAATTTATACAATCGCTTCGTGTTTCTAGACTATTTATTCTACGTACGTTAGTCACGGATATAGAGTCAAATCCCATAGATCCAATAGAGTTACATCGCACATGGCTGCCACGATGATGTTCGAGGCCACGTCCAAGTCCGATGCTGAAAAATCGGGCCTTTGTAAGCTGCGGCCCTGTTCCGCGGGGCTTTGATTGGGCTGAGAGTACGGTTAAATTGGGGGCGGATGGGTCCGGATGGGCCTAAATGAGGCAAGATTAGAGGTGATTGGTTCATGGGTTGGTATTGAGAACGCCTCTCTCGATGAGATAGGAAGCTGTGATGCTTGTTTCCGAGGAGAACGGTGAGCCTTATTATTGTTGTAGGTTGTATGTGGTGGCTTGGAGATAGATTGCAGCTAAGTTATAAGGCTGGTATTATGTTAGACAGTGGGTGGGTCTGATGCTGGATAAGCCGCAGGAAGGCTTGTTAAGTGCTTCCTGGTTTTGTCAGACTGGAACTTAAACTATGTAACTATTCCACGACAACACTCCGGATATTCTCGTGGCCACTGGATTTTGCTCATTATCGCTTGTCATAGTATATACTATCCACTCTTCACTATTAACATAAGACTCTTTCCACCTGATCAACCGTCGAGCAGCGATTTAGCTAACTATCACCCTCGTCAACCCAGCACTCCCGCGCATTAAACTTGAGAACCTCATTACCACAAGCCCACCACCCAGCAGTCAAGTTCCTTGCAAACACTTCCATCGCAGAATACTGCTGTATTCTAGCACCAGAATCATCCAAATTTGACCCTTCAGTCTCATGTCCCTCCGTAAAAAACACCCTCTCAAAAACCTCTTTCAAATTCGGCTTGCGCGAGTGCAAATCCGGTACCGCGGCGATAACTCGTCTCCTGATACCAGCCGGGTTAATACCCAGCAAATCATCCTCTTGAGAGGTCGAGATCCTGCCATCAAGCGTGACCGTGGCCGTAGTTCTAGTTGTAGCAATAACGCCCAAATCCACACTACACCTGTCCCGATCTGCCCGCCCAATAACCAAAATCTCATACGGCTTCCTCCAAAGCCCATCCACCTGAGAAATAGGCCGCCCATCAACAGTAGTCTTCACCCAGACCCATTCCTCGACAATGCAATGGCCAGCACTGAGGAGGGCATCGTAAGCAGCACGACGAGCCTTTTCAGCATTGGTGATCCAGATAGCTGCCAGCGATACACGGCTTTGGGGACGAGTTTGATGGAGACTAGGCTTGGGAGTGGAATTCTCGACAGGAGAGTGGCCTGATTGATAAGAGTGTACTCGAAGAATGTCGCGTAGTCGTTGGGTTAGGAGGTCCATTTCTGAGTATGCATTGATTTGGTAGTGGCCACTTCGGCGGACGGACCGGTTTGGCCAGGGTGGGTCGAAGAGGAGGAGGTCGAATTTTTGGGTTGGTGGGAGGGCAGGGATTGGATTGTTGAGCGCGAGGATCCTCCCTGGTAGTGTGGTCTCTGGTTGTGACAGGGGAAGAGTGCAGAGGATGAATTTTGCACTGGGAGGGATGATGTACTCGGTGTATACATGGGCATGGGCATCGGAAGAGGATCGTACAGCAAGAGTTGCCCTCTCTGAAGAACCATTCTTCACGATGCTGCCATTCAGATCCGAGATTGACTCGAAACAATTGACGGATGTAGACGAGAGTATTACCGGTGGCATGAGACGAGAAAATTCATCGCCATGTACTTCTTTGGCAAGATGTCCATCTTCAGACATATCCCCGTTGCGCCGCTTCCTCCCAGAATCGGACTGCCTGCCAGCAGGCCACGCATCCGTTTTCATTTGACGCCGTGGTTGATCATCGTGAACACACCTGGGAAGACACCATTGCCCTCCACGGCTTTGAATTTCATCCCAAAGAACTTGCAACGCAGAGTCAACAAGCGGCTGTATAAAGTTTCTATGAAACCGCTGCTCACTCAACGGGATTGTGTCAAGCACTTTCGCCCGCGCAGCATGCGATTTGGGCTCCGTTGATGGAAACGGCGTTTCCAATGGTGGTGTAGACAGTAGTTGTCTCCTTCTGCTGCTGCATTTCGCCCGTGGAAGTGTCAAATAATCCTGTGCATGGGACAGCCTCCGATCTGGATTGCGCGAGGAAGCAGGGCAGACTGATTCCTGCGCGAGGGCTATTGAGTGCGGCGTGTCGATGAGAAAGATTGAGTTTTCTGCATTGTGATAGAGGATGGCAGAGCCCTGAATTGGGGACTGCGTCATTCTAGCTGTGCTTGTGTCATGATTGGTTCTGGCTTGGTGGGATGTACAAAGTAAAGAGAGACAGACGGTGGGGCCGAATGGTGAATTTCGAAGATGCTTGGCGGTCTGGGCCGAACTAGCAAAGCGCCGAGCATTGATGATCATACGAGGACTCGTTGACATTAGACAGCTGAGCTGCCACAGGTATATGAAGCCTACAAGCTATTTTAAAGAAAGATCGAGCTCATAAATGCATAAAATAGATTTGTTCATCGACGCCTTCCGCCCCATGACAGCCACTGAAAAGGGCTCAATCTCAACCGCGATGCTCGTCAATCAACCTCGCCCATAAAAATATCACACTAGAGAAGAAAGAGGAAAAAAAACATGAATAAATGAAAAGCTCGTAGATCGCAAAATACATGGTCATTCGAAACACTGTCTCCATGAAGATACATGAACGGGTGTCCGACGCACCGCCAGACCCCCGACCTTTTTTGTAGAATCCACACTCCAAAAACAACAGATCAAATCTTCAGAGGCATACTAGTCTCTTAGTATCTAATCCGCGCCAGACCAGCGATCCAGCGTCTGGTGGCAGGCGGGTAGGACGTAAAGGGGACCGAAATGCATGATTTGAGACGAATTTCCGATTCACAACATAGCTCGAGAACCCGCTGAAAATCTCCATGATGAAATGGCCACAAAGAAAGGTGAACGAGGAAATGAATTTATACAGTAGATTGAAGAAAGATTTGGTAAGAAAATCATATGCCAGGATCAGCGCTGTAAAGGAAGAGAGCGTTAGTGGAATCTATCATTGTTGGGACGACAAGGGGCAGGGGGAGATGCTTACCCGTCCACGTCGCGCTCCACCAGTCTGACCCTGCACGGGCTGTGCCTGGGCATAGAACTGTGGAGCATATTGGTACATTTGCGCTGGGTTGACCACCGGACTGAACTGCTGCGGCGAGTAGTTAGACTGACCCGGCATAGCATTTGAGCTCATGGGGCCAGGTGGACCAGACAACTGAGTCTGCAGCGAGCGCAGGTTATCAACAGACGGCGACGCAGCCGGGTACCCGAAGTTGGCCGCTGGAATGCCCGGGTACATCCCACCAGGAGAGACACCACGAGCCTGGGCAGCCAGATAAGCTTGGTACTGGAGCTGTTGCTGAGCCAGAGGAGCGTTGGGGTCCTGGAAGCCGTTCATCCCTCCAAGCCCATTCAGCGGACTGCCGAAGCCGTTCATTCCATTGGCCCCATACCCGTCGAGAGGCGCATTGTTCTGGTCGGCTGAAATGGGCCGCGAATCGGGAGCCTGGCCAAGCATGTTGGAGCCAAACTGGCCGCTGTACTGTCGGTCCATAGATGGCTGTGCTGGGAAGTTGGTGCTGCCGTGACGGGAGGATTGACGGTGCTGTGACTTCTCCGGGGTAGAAGAGTGGCTAACGCCATGGTCGCGACTATGGTGCTCCCGGCCGTTGCCGCGGGACGACAAGCCAACCTCATCCATGAGGCGCTTGTATCCCTGGCTTGGCGATGCCTTCAAATTGGTGAGAACCTTGGACACATTCTTCACGACCTCCGACCGCATCGACTCGTCAAAGAATGGAGTGGTCAGGACCTTGAAGATCAACGTAGCTCCCGAAGATTGGTCACTCAAGATCTTCTCCAACATCTCATCGCCCGGGCTGAAGAAAAGCGCCTTCAGAACGATGTCTCTAGCTTCAGCCTCGTTGCGCTGGTTAATGACCTTGAGAACGGTAAGGTATGCAACTTTGTGAGTGCAAAGATGGACCAGATGGGGCACGAGTCTGGGAGCGAGCACGGTTCGGCGGTGGGGGAATGTACAGGTGTCGAGGAACCAAGTAAGCAGCAGAGCCCCGTTGGCATTGGTGGCCAGCTGCACGCTGTGAATGGCAATGGCAGCCGCAAGGGCCCGCTGCTGATCTTTAGTGGAATGGTGGCTTTCCAAGCACGCCCGCATGGCTCGGGCCCCGAATCGGCCCTGAGCGACCTCCCACATGCGGCTCAGCATGGTCTCAAAGATAAAGTCATTGTAAGGGGCACCAAATCGCAGACAACATTGCAACACGTAGTTTCCATACTGGTCAAGGAAGAGCGGCACGGTGTAAGGGCGAAGAGCTTCGACGATCAGATTCATCTGGGCAGGGGTCTTGGCAACGTCGATAATCTTCTGTGCAGCCCAAGTTCCATTCTTGTGCACACCGATTTCAGCGAGATGAGGAGCAATGTGGGAGAGCATCTGTTCCTTCGTAGGCTCGGAGCAAAACTCAAACAATTTCTGAACGACAGTGTTACCAAGATAATCGGAAGACAGCTCAGCAATCTCGGGAAGCATGGCGCTGGCAGTTTCTTCAATTTCTTGGATCGAACAAGCACCGTTGTCGATACGCTTGCGAATATCACGCAGACGAGGGGCGTCAAACATGCGGGCCTGGCTGGGTTCGGGGACGGAAGGAATTTCATCTTCAAAGGCCTGGAACGCAATGGCACTTTGGATGGTGGCAGTGATGTTGCGTGAATCATCCTCACTGGCTCCAAACTCCTGAACAATCTCAACCATCTCCGGCAGCAGATCAATCAGAGCAGGGATCTGAGGGACGGCTCCAAAAGTATTCGCCTGTTCGATACCTTCCGCGACAATGCTAGACTTGAAGTTTGGATCTGGAGTAGGCGATGACTGAATGCCATTCGCACCAGGGGTGCCAGCTGCAGAGGTTCCGGGAACTTTAGCATAACCAATTCGAACGGGTCCGGCACCAGGGAAAATCTCCTTGCCGTTAAGCAGTGACTTGGCCTGCACGGCACTTTCAATGCGTTCAAAGTTGACAAAGCCACAATTTTTATGGGTCAGCACACGAGTAGACTCAATCTTGCCGTACATGCCAAAGATAGCATCAAGCGAAGTGACCGTGGTGGAGACGGGAATGCTGCCAATCCACAAAGCCCGAGTCGGACCATCTTGGTTGTTCTCGTCTGCCATTTCTCCCGTTGCCCTGATACCAACTGCAGGTCCACCAGCTGCACCAAGATGCATCATTTGAACCGCCTCAGCAAGGTCATCGTATTCGCCATTTTCTGAGATATGCAGGTCGGAAGGAGTGAAGCTGTTGTCAAGGCGGGAGGGTGTGGCGAGGTAGTTGCGGATAGATGATCGTTGAGGAGGGGCCTCCAGAATACCCGCAGTCCGTGCTCGAGGGCGGTTGACGGAGGCATGGCTGGCGAATGCCTGAACCGCCAGGTTATGCTGATGAATCTGCGCCTGTGTGGCAGCAAGCTGAGCAGCCGTCGCAGCAGCCGACGGAGTCAGTGTACCCGAAGGAACACCAGAGTAGCGGCTCTCATATTCCAAATCCTCATCATCAGCATACTTCTCCTTTGCATTGACCGAGTAGGATCGGAACCGATTGTTGCTCTTCATCATCGCCAGCTCAGCCAGGAGTGGCGGCAGCGCAGATGCTTGCTGCTGCTGCTGCTGTTGGTGATGAATCAACTGCTCCATCGAAGGTCGTGTAAGGGAAGCCCTCGGCTGCTGAGGAGTCTCCGCAAGCCCGAGGTAGTCCAGAGTTCGGACATCAGCGGTGTCTTGAGAAAAGGACGACTGGCTAGGTGAGGCCGCGCCCTCTGACGAGCGGATACTTGTCAGAGTAGTGGCTCTGTCGCGACCAGTTGACCAGCCCGAAGAGAAGACTGATGAGCCGAAAGGGCCGCCAGAACCGAGGAGACTGTTTCGCTGCGGCATCGAGCCAGCTCGAAGACGGGATAGCATAGTCGGATTCGCTGCGGCAGTGGAGCTCGCAATCCCGGCACTTGTGTCAATTCCAGAAACACCAGGAGGTCGGAAGGGGCTCGTGGAGGGAGTTGGACGGGACGTCTGGGACATGAACGGTTGCTGAACATCCATCTCGTTGAGGGTGCCCATCGGTGGGAATCGAGAGGGCACCGTGCCAGCTCGGGCCCGGCGGCCAGAGCCAGTCATTGAGCCATTGGTGGTGGGGATGAGGTCGGGAAAGCTGTCCTGGCTGGGGGACTCGGGAATGTTCTCGCGCAGCGGGGTCGAGTGACCACTGGTTGGGGGACCCCAGATGCTGGTGGGGAGGCCTTCCTGTGCCTGAATCTCGCGAGCACTGTTGTAAGCGTAAGGCATTAGTCGAGTTGTCATGATGAAAACAGGCGCAACTGCAACTCTGCAGGGCACGTAACTTACCGCTTCGGGTACAGACGTGTCCCCAACTCATGAGAAGGGGAGCCAGCCCCCAGTCGCGAAACACCAATCGACGTGGATGAGCCGAAGGGCGCCTTCGCAGTCCCCGACCCAGCCAGATCGCTGGGCGAGCTTCGCCCTGTCGAGGTTCCCGACAAGGACTGTGTGGTGGGGATGTAGTTGAAACTCATTTGTCCTTCAGGTCGCGAGACCGGTAACATTATGGATTATTTCCTTCTGCCTTAAGCGAAAGGCAGTGCTCGTAATTTCCCCACTATGAAACCAGCGCAGATACCGGAAGGGACTGTCGGAGTCGATCAACTCGAAGAAAAAGTGAAGGGGTGGATCAGAGGCGGTGGTGCAGCGCAAACAGCATGCAGTGGTGGAACCAATCGAGACCGTGAAGTATTCGATGGAGAGAGCGGATGAATGGCGAAGAAGTTGAGAAGGGGATGTAGCCTGTAGAGAACATGCAATATCCAGATCAGTTGGGGAATTCTTTCAAGGCACACTCGGTGGTGAATCGGCGAATGGCTTCCGGAGGGCGCAGAAACGGGGGGATGAGAGAGAAGGAGGGAGGGGTTGACACAAAGCGCTTCCACTGCAGTCAGGCAGGACGGGGTGGGGGGAATGAGGATTGAAAGGGCGATATCTTCTCAGAACTGACCGAAAAGAGAGAGAGAGAGAGAGAGAGAAAGAAGTATGCTCACGAGTCTCTCACGACTACAGCGTCCTGCCTGTATGACGATCTTCGGTCTGTGTCCCCAACGCGATCAAATCAACCCGGAGTGGAATCACCAAAATCTCACCACGTTTTCGCAGCGGTCGTCAAAAAGAGAAGGGCGCGGCTAAAAGTGTAGCATGGAAGAATGGAAAAGGAGTCCGCACCAAAGAGCGCCGAGTGAGGAAGAAAAGAACACGATGGGCAAGATGACAGCGGGTTCGGAAGGGATCGAGGTGGCTGGAGGGCGTTAGTATGCGCGGTTCCGGGGAACAAGGCGAAGGGGGTAGAAACGGAGCGACGGAGATCTGAGGGGAGAAGAGAGAGGAGACTGACCGAAAATACAGTAGATCGCACAGGAAGAAGGCAGAAGGAGGAAAAAGAGAAGATGTGGAGGGGAGGCCGGATGTTCGAGGGCGGTTTGGGGGAGTTTGGGAGTTTGGCACTTTGGGGCATTTTGGGACGTTGTGGTTGGTTGGACAGTCGCGGACGTTTCTTTTCAGCGTCAATTCCCACAATCCAATTGTCCCCTCTCTGGGTCCGCGGAGTGTCTACAGGGGGGAAAATATGGATTAGTTATTGACTGCTATAACAAATAATCAATTCTAGTCGGATGTTCTCTTCATGGGCTATGGAAGACGCTATAGGTCAACACTATGGCTATAGCTCTATGCCGTTACTGCTTCGAGGTTCCTACAAAGCTATCCAACTCTACTCCATACAAGTAGTCCAAACACCACGTAGGGTTCGTCCAACAACATTTGTTTGGCACACATCACTGCCAGACTCGGACAGTCGGCACAGCCAAGTGGATTGACACAGCCCCATCGATGTCATCGCTCTGGGTTTGTTCCAAACAATCAACTCTGCCTGGACCCGTCCTGCAGATGTACTTTACATACAATACAACCTGTCAAGTCCCGGATCATCCCTGTTGGGCCCTGATAGTCTCGGATAGTTCCTAGCACTTGCCCCGACATTCCGGTCGGCACACAGACAGCTGGCTGGGCCTGTCATGGAGCGTGTGTTTTTTTTTTCCTTCGGGAAACATGGCATGTTCGGTGAAGTGGAAACAGACCAGAGGGCCCCGCATTCCCGGAGCGTCATGCCTCAATAGTCCTACTCCATAGAGATGGACACAGAGGGGACAGCAGGAGGCCTTGCTCGAGGGGGTGAAATACAGTAGAATCACTGTTTTCCTGGTTTGAACAAGTGATGCAATTGTCTATGCAAGGGGAACGACTCTGTCAGGGTTGTTTGGAGCCGCGCGCTCCAAGACTGTTGAGTGGATGTGCAAGGGATAGGCCAAAGTACGTGTCCTTGTCCTTGATCTGGGGGAAAGCTTTTCTCGTCAACCGGATTGATTCGACGGGTAGTAGTCAATGGTCATGTTAATTCCTGCCATCATTGGGCTGGATCACTGCAATCAATCAGCCCTGAAGCATTGCCATTTGCTTCATTTGAAGATGACCACCAATGCTTCGGGGAGAACGGCATAGTGGGTACGGAACGCCCCGGCAGGTCAAATCGTGTAGGCTCCAATAACCAATGACCTGCGATGGATGGTCATCAGTATGAAGACGGCACGCTTGGTATTCATTAGCAACTTGGGGGTTCAATGTCATGGTTGTCAGAGGTAGAGGTAGTAAGAGTAGAAGACGGGTGAGGAGTCGTTCCTCTGATCGAGAAGACAACCAGTGGTACAGTAACGGTTAGCGGCCTGAGGCAGAACGACGCCACGCAGAAGGGCCAGCCACACTGCGATCTTCATTTAGCGCGCGACTTCGACCGATCATTTGTCGTGCAACCCCAAAGCGTACCGCTCACCTTCGATGTCGTGTGCTGTTGATTCAGCCAACTGGAACTGGTCATAATCGTCCCATTATAACCATCACACCTCTTTTCCGACCGTGAACTGCCTCTGATCCGGCTCGCGTCTGATGACCGGCCGACCATCCACAACGCGATCGCTCGATAGCCTTCCGCAAAAAATTTACCCTCCAAAGCTCTTACGATATGGCCGACCTCATGGAAGATGACCCCTCCTCGGGACTGCAATCCTCAGAAGAGGAGAAAGAGATGGCCGTGGAGTCTTTGGTGCAAGGTCGTGCGAAGCGAAGCACAGCAGGCCGGAACATGTCTGCCCTGATCGATGCAGCCGCAGACGACGATCTCACACTGCTATTCGAGGAGGTGGAAGACGATAATGAATTCGCTATAGATGCAGAAGCTGCCGAAGAGGAGGACGTGGGACTCGATTCTTCCTCGGAAGACGAGGACGACCAAGGCCCCAATGCACAGAACGACTACGAGGGCGAGAAAGAACTGCAAAAGGAGGAACGCAAAAAGCGCCGAGCACAGAATGACCTTCGTTTTCAGACACTTCGCAAGCGAGTCAAAATCGATCCGACTGCCGTATCTTCCGTACCTGCTCCTCCACCGCGGCCGAAGAAGAAATCCGAGCGCATCTCGTGGCTGCCCACGGTGGAAGATGGACCGACTCGATCCTCCTCGCGTCGGCAAACGATGGTCAACAAGGAACTTACCCATGCACGTTTGAAGGACAGCCAGGAGAAGCGAATCCGAATTATCGCTACAATGAAGGAGGCCGAAAAGCGGAAAGCCCATCTGAAACCGAAGGAGATGACCCAAGCGGATCATCTCGCGGAAGCTGCCAGGGTGGAGCGAACCAACAGCAAGAGTCTGAACCGATGGGAGCTATCGGAGAAGAAAAAGGCAGAGGAACGGAAGGCGAAGATTGAGGCATTGCAGAATCGCCGACTTGAGGGCCCCGTTCTATCCTACTGGAGCGGATTGGCTACGTGGGTGAATGGTCAGCTTACAAAGGTTGGGAAGGTTGAGATCAAGGCGAAACCTGAGAAAGAAGAGCCTCGCAAGAAGAAAAAGGACAAGGACGAGAAGCCTGGCACGGAGTCGCAGGGCGCGCAGAGTGCTACGCCTGCTCCAGTGCCGCCGGCGCCGCCAGCGAACCTTGTACCTCCTCCTGGAGATGCTTCAACTTCCAACCAAACGGTTGTACCTGGCGAGCCTGGATCTGTCCCACCGTCTGAAGGGAAGTCATCACTAGTGACGCCTGCTCCGACTACTTCAGCGCCCGATACAGCCCCGACTTCGACATCTACAGAAGAACCTAGGAGCAAGCCAGGCGAGGGTGCCTCTGAGCAAACGGCAGTCGCCGAGCCAGCCGTTGAGAAAGACGGCAGCAGGGATTCTGAAAACCATCCGGTAGCCGAGTCTGTCACTCCTGAGAAAGAGGAAATCCAGACTGGAGAGCCAGCAACCCAAGCCGATCCCTCCAAGTCTTCCGAGAATCACCCAGAGTTGGGTGAGACTGTTGCGAGTCTCCCATCTGCATCGCCCAGCAAGCAAGTCTCCACGGACAAAGCTGCAGAAAATTCTTCAACGGAGAAGCCCGAAGAGAAGTCAGACGAAAAGCCAGACGAAAAGCCAGATGCGATGGACATCGATACCACCTCGAGGGCCGAGCCCACCAAGGATGATAAACCACAACCATCCACCGAGCAAACATCATCCGCTCCTGCCGCGACCGACAGCACGAGTACCAGCACAGACGTACAACCTCCCTCTGGGGAGGTCTCTCAGACCACCTTGGCATCAACCCCTACAGGACCTATGACCGCGGCACCCGCATCCACGCCTGCAGACCCTCAAGCCCCTCAAGCTCAAGCCCCTCCCAGTGATGCAGCCCCCCTGCACGCCACGCCGCCCAATATACTCGGGGCCTCAAATCAAAGCGTCAACCAAACCCAGCAGCCACAGCAGGGATCACAGGGCGACCAAGTTCTTCAGCAATCAGCCCAATCACAAGAGCCAACTCCAACGGCAGTTCAACCCGAGATTCCACCCGCCCCGCCAGTCATCGAGTATACAGGCCGGAACTTGACGATCCTGGAGAATTTCGACGATCGGACCGCGCAGAGCAAGAAGTTCAGCATGTACTTTAATGCAAAGAAGCCACCACGGTTGACCAGTACGTGTGCAGCCCAGCCCTCTACACCCTAATCCAGCCCAACTCCTACCCCTCGCCCTATCAATCTTGAAAATCCTTTCATCAAGATCAAACACAAACACAGCTAACAACCTCTTAGAAATCTCCTCATCACTCTGCGTCATCACATCCCTGCCCTCCCGCTACCGAGACCCAGAGACTTCCCTCCCATATGCAAACTCATATGCGTACGGGCAGATCCGCCGGATGCTCTCGCAGGGATACATCTGGAGCTCTATGTTGGGCTGTTTCGTCGGACCCGGTGGGATTGCGGCGCGCGGTGTACCGGATCGATTCCTCGGCATTGAATCGAAGGAAGGCGGCGATGGTGAGAAAGGCAAAGAGAAGGAGAAAAAGCCCGAAGATGGATCTGCTGGTGCTTCGAAGGCTGACCCGATGGAGGTTGATGCAAAGTGAATTGCGTCTGATCTAGATCATCCGATGTTTGTGTACGATATGTCATAACTAGCCTTCTTAACTGTATAGATACCCATTCAATCCTGCTTCACCATGATTTCACATACTGTACCCCTAACCCCAACCAAATTTCTTGGGCCGCCCTCTTTGGAAGACACTCGGGATAAACCCGGGCCAGCCTTATCTCCACCATGCAGTCATAGACTACAGGCAACGGCAATAAACAAGCATACCCAAAGTATCCCAACCCCTGGAAATACGCCCAACCTATGACTTTTCTACATCCCTCCCCAGCTCCACTCGAACCATTACTCCAGCTAGTTACAGCAGTGTTCGAAATGCAGTCGATGATGCCTTCCCTTATGTAAGAACCGGCAACTACAGTACAGTACTGAAATATTTTCCGCCTTCCCCTGTGTAAATCATATCCATCCCGTCCCAAGGAACCTAGAGCGGAAGACAACGGGAGTCAAAAATAGAATTGGCAACCCAAACCGTAGTTCCCATTTGACCAAGACTAAACTCAAAGGATGACATTATGACTCTGCTAGCCCTAGTCTTAGCCCTGGAGTTTTTTTCTCATTGGATTTAATATTGTGCTCTGTTGTGTGTTGTATCATGATAACATATTACGCAATCGAGTAAGATGGCTTGCGTCGACGAGATAGTTTTCTTGCATCGGTATTTCGATCCACAGTGTGTGCCCTTACTAACAAAGTAACCACTTACCGCATAGTTACCGCATACGTAGTCCCGATATACGTAGGAGCTACGTGTTGGCGTGTAGTCTAGACAAGACAATGAAAACCGGGGATTGAAAGGATGAATTAGTGATTCGTAGAGAAGTGTTCAATGCCGCAGACCGCTACACGTAGCTCTGGTCAAGTTATATTTTTCAGGCATCGCCGATGCGTTTACCTGCATTATCAGATGGCTAGATAACAACTAGTTATGGTTTATACCAATAAGATAAGCGTAACACGCCGATGGTAACCGCTTCAACATCTAGACCAGGACTGAAACATCAACGGCAGGACAGGGACACTAGCCTAATGATGTGAATGCCTACTGTACTACGGAGTACGCATTTTTCCATCGACTTGAGACGGATGATCGACGCCTGGCACCGACACAGCGCTAAACAGAGCGCCTACAGCAGTCGCAGCAAGGTAGTTGAAAAGGGCTACGAAAGTGGATGGTATTTCGTGTTTCACAATCTGCAGTCTTCATCCAATCAATCCATACCTAACCTATTATATCTTAATCTTTTCTTAAGATATGTATTCAACAGTACTACAATACTAGCCATTCTAGAATTCTAAATGATTTTTGCCATCGACTCGGCGTGTCAATGATGTGTCACTGTCACTGTGTGTGGGGTTGATTCGATTCCAGGGCGTGGTCCGGTCCACATCCACATCCACACTCCACTTACAGTCAGTCACCTTTGTTCCGGTTTGGTCTGGCCGGTGGTCAGATCATTCTCAGATTCTAGAATCTTTTTAGTTCTACCTACTAGAGTACAGTGCAGTGCTTGTAGTAATCTGATACGGCGTTCCGAATGGATGATTTTCAGGGCAAGTATTTACTGGTAAGCTGTAACCCCCCTCTTAGACCCCCCACCAAGACTAAGACGTGGCCCGGGTCCTTTTCGTGCTTTTCGTGGTGCATTGTGATAGTGCTCGATTCTGCTTTTTTGTGGCGGTGTGAATAATGATGGTGTGCGATGGATCATGGGGGGTGGGAACTTGAGATTGTGATTGAGGAATGGCGTCATGGAGTTTGAGGATGGGATGAACTTCTAATTTATTCTTATTCTTATTTCCTTGTTTGAGTCGTTACCGGGAAAATGAGTTCCCTAGTTTCGTGATTATTGTACTTTATAGATTAGATCATTTCCGAGGGAATGATGAAGAGAATGATGTGAAATCATAAATAACTGTCGTAATAACATCCCTTTCCGAGTATCAAGCACGCAAATCTACAGTCACGCGTCAAGGATAGGCATCGTGATTCCTATGATCAATGTACCCATACCCTTACTCAAGCTAGGTGAGATGCCCAAGCTGAAATGATGTGATTATCCAATTTGCATTGTCACCACGAATCCTCCGATCGCGCCACCTTCCCCCGATCACGCCAGAGCTAAGATGGGGAGATAAACTCCTACATATGAAGATACAGTGGTAGGTAGTAGTAGGGTGTACTACTGCAGGTGGTCCGGCTAGCGCGTCCCTATGGAATGATTGCCCCTCACCAACATTGACCAAACCAGGAAATTCGGGCGCTGCAGGAGCGCGTCGTGTCGTGGTGTCCAAGCACGAGGGGTACGTGCGGATCTAGACTGGATCAGTGGGGGACTACTGGTTGAGATGAACGTGTTGGCAGGAGGTAAGTATCTCAGTATTCCTGGCAGGGATAGTACGGAGTACAATACATAGACCATATATAGAGGATGTCTCAAATGAAGAGGATGCGACAAGGTCTTGGATAATTATAGAGAGAGAGAAAGAGACTGTTACGGTGGATGGTTACTATGGCAGTGTATCACTACTCAGTACCTAGCAAGTTTCTCCGTCCTAAACATAGAAAGACAACTGCGTGCGGAAAATGAGTCAGCGGTCTGGACTACGGGTACCTTGATGGGACGTGGTGATTGGTGTGCAGTGGGCAACGGAGTCCGGGTCGATTGCGTGGAAAGAGGCAGATCATCGAGAGTCTGGGTCTTGGTGGGTAGAGAGGGTTTCTCGTAGTTCAATAGGAAGTCTTCTCCACGTACGGAGTACAGTCATCCACCGCGTAGGTACCTTCGTGGAGGTGGGTAGAAGATCACCCGAAGAGTTTGCAAAGTCTAGACTGGTGGAACTTGGAAGGATGGGCACACCTTGTTGGACTCGGAGCACGTTTGTCGATATTTAATAGACAGTGGTTTTCCTTCTTCGTCCACTTGATCTTCTTCCCACTCTGGAGATCTACCCATCCTCTCTTTATATACTACTATCATTCCTCTGCCGGAAGATTATTCCCATTATCTTTTGCCCACATTGCCGTGGCAATTAACCGTTCCGGTATGTTTGCTTATCTCTTCCTTTCGTCCTTTGGGCTTATCTCCCCCCACTCACAACTCGGGGATCGCCCGACCGAGGCCCGAATGGCCCGATGGTCGCCGTGACACTCGAAGAAGATAAACTACAAGAAAAAGAAAGTGACTAAACTCGTGACCTTATCAGGGCCATCTTCCAGTTGTCTGTTCCCCAGAAGACAAGTAACCGGAGGATTAGCTTTATTCTCTCGGGCGCGGACGAGTTACCACGATGATTATATGATTACTCGCCTCCCCTCCATCTGCACGACTACTACTACTACTACTACTACAACAACCATTCTTCGTCTTCTCTCCAACGGGACATTCTGATTTCCACTTCTCAATCCTGCATCATCCCGTCCTACCTACTCTACTACCATCACCGGACCAGCCAAATACCTCATACTCCGGCAACAAAATCCCTCAGCGCCCTCCATTCCTGGAATCCCGATCTCGTGCTCCACACTTGTGCGCAAGGTACTCCTCCTGATAAGATAAAACAACGAGGCATTTGAAGACCGACGCTGGCTTCACCGCCACATCGTGAAATTATGACTCAATCCACGACCTCCCATCGTCGCTCTCCTTCCTCTCCTCATAATCCCAAGTCCAAGCCTGCTGTCCGTCCCGGTCTCCATCGTCGCGGAGCCTCTGCTATCAGCCTGTCCATTTCCAAGCTGGGCTCGGGCCATTCCACCCGATCGCATTCGAGGGGAGTCAAGGTCGACGACGACTGGGATATGGCTGCCAGTTTTTTGAACTTTTGGTATGTGAAACTCTTTTCTTTTCCTGTTTGCTGGGACAACCAAAGGAGTCCTGTCCTTATCTTTGCCCAGTCCCTACCGGGGGCTTGTCCTGCCCCGTGCATGCCGCCTGCCGTCATTCAGGTGCATGGGTTTTGGTCTGGGATCTTTAAATAGCCTGGTGGCTGGATCTGGGGACTGTTGTTTATCTTTTCCACAGGGCTGGAGGGCTGACTTTTATATTCTTCTACAGCGCCATGTGTGAGCGTCAAATTACTGTCCCCAACAACTCTCTTCTCTACTGCAGTGAAAGGTATGCCTTGATCTTGATCGATGATCATCATCATGATTATCGTCCCGATCTATACATGCATCTATCCATGCATTGTCCCTCAATGCCCTCAATTGATTTCATCTACCCAACATACATCCACCCATACCCTCCAGACATTCCCCCCTATCACAATCCAATCCAATTGTCTACTTCAATGGAATCAATACTAACAACCATCCCAGCTGCCGCCGCAAAGACTCTGCAAAGCCTCTCTCCGCCTCTCTCCCATCAACCTCCACCATGTCCAGCAAAATGATCAACACCACCCACACCTACACCTACTCATCAACCTACAACACCTCCCCCTCCCCACCAACCTCTCCCCCCCCTCTCCCCGCGCACCATCGTCGCGCCAATGATCCCAACCCGCATCTCCTCATCTACCCCCACCACCATCCCCGCCATCAGGATACCCCCCACCCCCACAACGCCAAGTCAGATCTCGACCCCACCGAATGGAAGCCCGTATTAGGTGCCCGCACCACCAGCAGCAGCTCCCTCGCCACCTCCGATGCATGGGGCTACCTCTCCCAATTCCACGGCGGCTCCACCACCCTCCTCGCCCGCCGCTCGCACCGCAGCACATTGAGCCTCTCCACCCTCGACGTCGGCGCAACCCCCTCACTCACCCACGCGCCCTCCGTCGCATCCTCGCTGTCCAGCACCGCGTCTGACGAGGGTATCCACGAGGCCATGCACCGCCCGCTCCCGCCGCGGCACAACCCGTTCTTCTCGCTGTCGCACGCAGCCGAGAAAGGCGTCGCCCTGGTCGTGCCCCACGTTGAGGCCGTGGCCGTGCGCGATGTCGAGAGCGATAGTGGCTCGATTTTCCCGGCTAGCAGTGCTGTCTGGGAAGATGATGTTGTTGCCAATGGCGTGGGTGTTGGTGTGGCTGCGAGCGCGCCTATTATGGTTCGTGGGCGTGGCCGTGTCACCAAGGCTTAGGCATAGTGCAGTCGCTTCCATTTAGCATCTAGCATGGAGATTGCGGTCGAGATCTGCGTTTGAAAGAGCGTGGTCTCGATTGAAAAGCGTGCGGCTGTTGATTTTCTTTGCATATCGTGCTATGCTTTTCCCTTGGTTACTTTGTTTTCTCGAATTTCCATCTGTCGCTGGAAGGTGACTGCCTTCGTTCCCTTGAGCGTGTGGAACATTAGAACATGATGTTGGTCTTTGGTGTTGATGACGAAACGCTAGAGTTGCTGGATTTATTATGCTGTGACTTGGATTGGAATATTATAGATTTCTTTTAATTAAATGTGCAGTGCACAGTTATATCATTCATGATCTTACTTTTTCCATTCTGCACTTGATAGAAGGGCCTTAATAGATATAGAGTCACATCGCCTAGTCACCATCTTAAGTAAGAACCGAATAGTCGTCCTTGCTTTGCTTTTTTCGCAAGATGCGATGTAATGTTCAAAGGGGAGATTCCTAGATGTAAACTTTCTATTATACATGTAATGGAATTCAGGGCAACTGCATCCATGGTCTTGATCGAGACCATGATTACTTTGACCACGTTGCTTGTTTGACTACAGGGAATATTGTTGATGGTAGATGAATTGGGAGGGTTGATAATTCGAATGATTAATACATTTGAGCAGTTCAACTGTTTCCCGTCTCAAGCCATGTTCTAAACTTCAGAAGCAAGTATCTTTTCAACCTCCTGCATACCTTCCTCAGCAGACTCTTCCTTGTCAGTCCTGTTTTGTATAAACCAGATTAAAAAAATGATCCCTTCCACACGACTGAAACTTCTCTCAGGCCATACCTTGTCAACATCCGAACATCAGTCTGAATTCTAGGTATACCGCTATGATGCACACACGTATGCGCGGTACCAATCACTCGCATGACAAGGTCCCACGGCCCTTCTACAATAGAAACAGACACAGAAACACTTAGCAACTGTATTGTATCTTAGGGCCCTTGATTTCGACACATCTTCGAGGTCAAGATCAAGACCATTGTGGGAAATGGGATATGGGGGTTATTTACCAACACGCGTTCCAGTAGCGTGCATCTCGTTCTTCAATCCTGATTCACGCAAAAGACGCTGGACACCTGCGATTTCATGGGCGAACGATGACGCCGAGGATCCGATCTAGGTTTGGCCCGTGATGTGAGTGATGAGGTTAACGCGTGGATTGGAGGAACCATGGGATGGCTTACTGGGATTAAAGAAAAGTCGGCTGTGCAATAGGATGGGGTATCTGAAGTTGGTGCTGTAGTGGTCATGGTGGATGCTGATAGTAATTGCTAATTGCTGTGTAGAAATTTTGTCGAGTCTAAATGGATACATACACATCTATCTATATATGACACCCAATCGAGCGTCATTATGACAAGACCCTCTCATCAGTTGCCTCTGTAAGTTGTCCCGTGAATCCTCCAATTGAATTGCTAGGATTTAAATTCTCAGGGACTGGACTGCTGATGGAAGATAAGCCTCTACATTCCTGAGCTTCTTTCAAGACATGTCTTGGGCTGGGCCCACAAATGTAAATATATGACCGCTGATATCAGATGGAGCAAAGCTGACTCTATGAAGTCTCATAAAGAATAGGCTACCTGGTTCCGCCGTATAATTAGTGACGAAACTGTCTACAAGTTAATTGATGTGATATCATAACCAGGTCACTCTGCCCTAATTATATGGACGAGGTCTTACCTAGCCGCGAACCAGGGAAGTTAGTCATCCTCGAACAATCCCATATCAGCCGCCTTTACACCTAGTTAGCTTGGGAGGCTTAATCTGGGTTTATAATTTATGATGACCGGACATGTGATCTATCACGGTTACTAAGTATAAGAACTCGATATATGCCCCCGAGAATCGTGATAGAGCTAACATGATGGAATGGTCAAATCAATGTCATGGAGATAAAGTTTGGACGCCCCATTATCTCATTTTTTGGGAACAGAACATAGGCATTTGGACGGTTAGCGGAATAAAAATTCGAAGCCCACGGACAAATCCACCTGGCAGACACTGTTACAGCCACTCGGGAGAGGGTAAATGCGGCGCATATTCTCTCTGATTCCATCCCAGTTTACCGAGCAGGCGTCCTTTCGCTTCGCCCTTCCAATCGTCAAAGAAATCTTCCAGGCCCTCCCACAAGGTCGAGTCCACAACGAGCATCACCTTTACACATAAAGAATTGTCGCTAACCAGACCCACTAACTCCTTCAGGAAATGCCGTTTCAGAGCCTTCGAGCCATCACAGATATCTGCCCTGTCGAGTACGATGTACAGCGGCTTCTGAGGGCCGACAGTAGCGTTTGCAAGACATTTACGTAGAGTTTGAACCATCATGCTCAGCTTCTTTTGCTCGCAGCTCTCTTTCTGCCACTGGTCTACCAGGGATCGTAGACGTTGGTTGTCGTACCGAAGCACCTCTGGTCTGTGGGTTAGCGCCTGGTACATCAGCGCCGAGAGTGGCGCCTGCCATGGAACGAAGTCGTCGGCACGGAGATTGGGATGGCATGAATAAAACAACGTGAAGTTACCGTCAGCACGTAACTTTTCAGCCACATTGACACCAGCATTAGACAGCCAGGAGCAAGTGTTGTGCCCGTCGCGAGACTCCGGTTTTGTCCTGCCGCTTACCAGGAAGAGAGCAGAGTGAGAGGTGCTTATCCATTGATTGTACACCTCGTCTTGTTCAAGCAAATCGAGTGTCATCCTTGAGAATGCGTTATAAAGCCTGGGAGTGAGGTCTCCTTTCCGAAAAGCCTTCTCCAAGGTTTTATTGCAGGAAAACAGGTCGACTTCTGGAGAAAGATCCATGTCCGGCACGCCCAGGAGCGTCCTGAAGCGCTGTAGATTCTCCCAGTCTTCTTCCTTCTGCTTATTCGATGCTTTTTGGCAGAGTGCTGCTTTTCATGTTACCAACCATAGTCTTACAGAGGGCTTGGTTACATACCTTGAACTTCGTTCTTTAGCTCATCGTTTCTTAACTGCAACTGCTCAATTTGCCGTTTCAGTTCTTCATTGCCTTGCTTTAACTCTTCGTTGCCTCTCAGTAATTCATCGTTTCGGCCACTTATTGACTTGACTGCTTTGTGAAGTAGAATCCTACTCTCGAAGTGAACCTCTGCGAGCGACTGTTGTATAGCCGCAATGGCGGCATCCAGCTCCGTCTTTGAGGGCTTGACCGACATGACAACCCGAACTAAAGATCACCGCAAGTCAGCATGAAGGAAATCAAGATCAGGACAATAACGACGACCTCACCGGACAAGCTTGTATAGTACGTAACGGAGCTTTGTGCAAACATTATTCCTCCTTTATAAACCTCAGCAACGCAAGCCTCCAGCCTTGGTTCCGGGTAAATATCCGTCAAATCATTGAGCCGTGGATACCATCTGCAGAGGTCATCCAGAGCCCTTGTTATCTTATCCTCATTTGCGGATTTGTTTACGGCAACCTAACTGGTGAGTATGCGCAGAAGTAGTGAGGATGACAAGTGATCGTACAATAAGAAGCAGAGATAGAGCACCGTATGCCACCTGTCCATACGGCTGGCCCGCCTGTTTGACAACTTCTACGATCCCCGAATACGCAGCAAGATAGTTGGAAAAACTATTAAGGAACTTCTGAAAACCACTCCCGAGGTTTTTTGCGCCTTTGGACCGCTCTTCCAGATAGGAAAGTCTCGCAGATTTCGAATCCCGCAGATGGCTGTCGCCAAGCTCTTTCAGCTCACGGGGATCCAATTCCTGGAGTTGCTGTTCGATTTCTTCTTTCGAGTGCTTGACTCGGCCGTCGACATTCCTTTGGCCTACGATGCTGCGAACCCTCTCCTTGAAACTTTCATACTGAGAGCTCACATCTGAATGAGATCTCAGAAGCTTGCTATGAAAGGAATACTTTTAGTCTCAAAGGTTCGGTTTCCATGTAACAATATTTGGCTTTCAAGATAACTCAGGCCAACAGCACAAGGCCACTCACTCGTTGTCTGCTTTCCCTCTTTGGAACCATTTTGGCTCCGAGACTGACTTGTCCAACGCCATCTGTAGTTCTTTCCAAACAGAGGATGGGGGCCTCTCTGTCGCCTAGTATTGAGCACTTGGATAACAGTTGTCCCTTAAGAAAACCCATGGAAGTAGTCGCTTATCTATCTGCTCCGTCTATCAGGAGCACTCTGGCAGATACGCAAGCCTGGGTTCTAAACTAAGCACTGCTGCGCATCAAATCAAGACCTGCCACGTAGTATTCAAGCTAGTTTATCTTAGACATGCTTAGCAGATGCAAAAGAGGATTCGGCTATTTCATTGCTATGGTTCGACGCACTGAACTAAGAGAGACGGCCCGTCGGGAGCTTGGCCCCCAACCCCACCCTCAGCCCCCCTTGACTGCCTCATTCGGAAGCAATCAATGATCGCTCGGATGTTCTACCGGGCTTCAGTGTCCTCTGAAATAAAGAGACATTGGGTGATCTCTTGCCACGCAGTTTGGGATGCGCGGGGGTTTCCTCATGATCATATCATAACTCGTAGCAATAAGAACATGTACGTTTTGATTTCATTTTTTCGCAAGAACTATTTGCTGCCCGATGATTTAGCCCCCAGTTGGGTGGAGCCCATTCGTGTTCGGCGTTCAACCCCCGCAGACAATAACCATGGCCTCTTGCGTGTCACGCCATGGTGAAGGCAGCAATCTACACTTATTCAGGTTAGTGGAGGGAGGTCTAGGCGGGTGGCAGCGAATGGGACCATTGTTCATCAACATGCACACGCTATGATGATTAAATAATTACTATGAGCAACTAACTAAACTAACTACTGTAATTTAACTAGTTACAAACCAGCCTCTGTATTTCTACCGCGCTGCGCGGTTCCGTAATATCGGTAAGATACGCAAGGCCTGGTTAATCCGTATTATATACTGAGATGGAGTACCTTTGCCAGGTTGTGCGTTAATGCTTTATCTTGCTTCGTTACCTTGCCCATTGTATGCTTTGCTCAGAACCTCCTGTCGACTGCTCAACTGCTTTGCTTTCCTAGTCAAGCTTTGATTATCTACCTACCAGCTAATGGCGCAAGAACAACCCACTGGAGGCGCTAGCGTGTGTATAACCAGCCTGAGAAATGACTGGTCCTGCTGACTTCTTGTTCAGGCCCCTTCCGATGACGGAGTTAGAGATATAATAAGACAGAAAGAGCAGAAGTACATCGCTCTTCTTGAGCAACGGATTACCGATCTTGAACGCCTGGTTAGCTCTTCCGCCGCAACTGTATGTCAAAAGCTATACTCCTCATCGCCCAGAGACTGACTTTTCGAGGAGGCCAACATCTCAAAACTACCAACCAAAACCCCGCCGGAGACTGACGCAAGCAGTACAACTGCGCAAGATGGCGATGCAACGGCTGAGACAACAGAGACGAATGGGGCTGCAAAGGAAAAGGTGGCAGAAGAGAAACAAGAAGATAAGGTACATAAGCTACTATTTCAAAGTGGACTCGACAATCAATGTGCCGTCTGCAGTCTAGGGCTTGCGAAAACCTAACTCTTAACAGATCAAGAAGAAATCCCGAGTGCGTAACGTTATAAGCAGCTGGAACGAACAGCAAGGCCGTAATGTCGATCAGGACGTCGATGCTCCCACGGCGAAGAGCGATAAAACCCAGGATATTGCTTTTATATTCCGGACTGTGATGAAGACCTATGAGAAGACCAAGCCCGCATATTCCGAGATAGAGGTCCAGTCGCAGGGATTACGTGACCTGCTTAGGAGCGTCATCGGAGATTATCCTGGTCAAAGCTTCGACGGCACGAGTGTTTATATACCCGGTCCTTTCCAGGCTGTGGTGCACTATTGGGAAGAGCTGAGGGCCGAGATAGAACCGAAGGAGGGGGACAGCGAGGAGACAAAGCAGGCCCGCGAAGACCTGAATGAGATGATGAATTCTATCCGTGCCTCGACTGAACTAGAGTCCTACTTCAAGACCCGCGAATCAAACATGGAATCAGGCGTCATCACTTACGAGTTCCTCTGGACCATCTTTCGACCAAAGACCAAAGTCTTCGCGAGGCCTTTCTTGAATATCCCGCAGATATTCGAGGTTCCATACTCTCCCGACCCCTATGAGCGACGGAGAGTTTCGATCCCGTGTTGGTGCTACGATTACAACGGCAAGTCGCAGGTCAAAACTTTTTACGAGTTCGATATTGAGCATTTCCGTGGCACCAAGGATATCAGCAGCCTCTTCTGCTATCCGATCAATTATCTCAAAGAGGAAGACGGCCAGCTGGAAGAGCTCCAGGAGAGACTAAGAAAAAGAGGCGAAAAGTTTATCGAATTGTGCACTGTCGAGAAAGGCTCGAAGCAGATGTCTGAATATAATGACATTGTCTTACTCGCCAGCGGTAGCCTGTCGAGATCGCTGGTCCAAGATGTGAGGCTGAGTAGAGTACACCTACAGAACGCATCTGTAGCTAACGGGCCATATTTTGCTTTAGGGTGATGACAACCGCACGCTACGTTCTTCGCAGGAAGACGAGTTCTCCGAGCAGAATATTCCCGCGACACCGAAGGAAGACAATAATGTAAAGACCGTGGCTGTGAGTAACGCTTTACTTGACACCCCCAAAGCTCTTTCTAATCTATTTCTAGGTCAAAGGCAAATTCATCGTTGACGCAGGTGCCTTCTTGCAGCACGGTGAGTCACATACAATCCTACTTGCTAAAAGCACATGGCTAACATCATGCAGGATCCCGTTATGGCTCATATCCCCTGGGAAAATACACTAGCGTGGATGTGGAAGATCCCAATGAAAAACCAGACAGTTATGACGTCGTTAGCATAGAACAGGAAAGGGACAAATTCCTTCTGTGCCCTCCTCGGGTCCTAGGCTACTCAACCCAGCAAAAGATTTGGGGCCAGTTTAAAGTCGACGCAGTGCGACGAGTTGAGCCGGTGAAGATCAAGACGGCATTCGACACAGATCTGCAGTTGCACCAGGAATATAAAGACATGATCAAGGCGCTGGTGGAGAACCACACCAAGACAAATGATTCCAAAACTGACCGCAAAGACATGGATGTGATCGAGGGCAAGGGTCGCGGTCTCGTCATTCTCCTTCATGGCCCTCCAGGCGTAGGAAAGACCTTGACGGCAGAGACCATCGCTGAAGCGACCGGAAAGCCGCTTCTGGTTGTCAGTGTGGCTGAAATTGGACTCAATGCCTCCAAGGCAGAAAATAACCTCGAGCGCATGTTTCACCTTGCTGGGGCATGGGAGGCCATTCTCCTGGTGGATGAGGCAGACGTTTTCCTCGAGTCTCGTATGAGCACTGGTGATCCGAACCGGAACGCTCTCGTCTCCGTCTTGCTTCGTGTGCTTGAGTACTACGAGGGAATCATGATCTTGACAACGAATCGAATCACCTCGCTAGATATCGCAGTGCAGTCGCGTATCCACCTCGCTATCCGCTATGAAGATCTCACCAAAGCGCAGAAGAGGCAGGTCTTCAGCAGCTTCCTGAATAAGCTCCAAGATAAGGACAAGAGCATTATCTCGCCTTCTAACCGAGCAAACATCGACGATTGGGTCGAAGAGATCGGCTCTGAGCAAAAGCTTAACGGCCGCCAGATCCGAAACCTGGTAAACAGCGCCCACGCGCTCGCGTGCAGCAACGGACAGGGTGGAAGCTTGCGGAAAGATCACTTCAAGAAGGTTTTGTCGATTACTAGGGAGTTCCAGGAGCAGCTGGAAGGGTTAACCAGAGACCGTCGGGCAGATAACGAGGTAGACCGACGCACGAGGTAATAAACCGACGATGAGAAACGATGGATAGATACCCCCCCCGCTTCAGCATCTATCCCGCACTAGGTATTGTTACTTTGATTGCCATCTTGGGCAGATGTAAAGTCATATTCTAGTGTACATGTCTGGGTTCAATCTCACTCACGTACATATCGTGCGCGTTTGCTTCGAACCCCAATTATTCCCCAGCATAGGTAACTGAAACCCCGAGAAAAGAATAAAAGCCGGACAGAAAGATGTCAACCATGACACAGATATAAACAGCCACAATCTAAACTATGATGTTGGGACATTTATTGAACCATCGCTCCCAAGCTCAGGGAAGAACGTTTGAATAAAATCCTCGCCGAGAGGCCCGTAGGCAAAGGAGCTGTGGCTTACCCCATCCTCCACTGGGCCTGAAGAGACTGACGGCAACGTCTCCAAAAAGTGGTGTTTACTCTCTGATGAAGAGACATGGACCCCATCTGGTCCGTTGGGAAAGGACATTGTTTCAGTATCAATATTTTTGTCCACTTCCTTGACATGAATGTTCGATCTCTGGAGGGTTTCGAGAGGCGAGAATCCAAAATAGTCATCGCTGGAATATTTCCCTTGCCAGTATGGATGCGATAACATGTCACTGACTTGAAATCCCATGGAGGATGCCAGGCGACGCAGGGCCATATCACACAGCTGCCATGCCCTGCGCGATGCAATGCTGTACTCGGAGGTTGTATGAAGCCAGCGGACACATTTCTTGGTCAACTGCAGTAGATTATTCTCTCCTTCAGGCATGTGGATACTACCGAAAGAGATTTCGAGGATCATGATAGTTACTGCCTGCATGACGGAGTGAAGAAGGCACCACCAAGGTCCGTTTCGATGCGGCGAGCTAGACATTTCGGCGACTGGGATTAAGTGGGCTATCTGTGTAGCGGACTCCAAGGCCGAAAGAGACATGGCTCGGTTGAACTCCTGTTTCTCATCTGTTTGGTAAGATTTATACCGACAGAGGCACGGTCGACCGAGCAGAATTCTTGCTCCATGATATTGGAATGCCAGTCGCATCTTCTCGTTATAGGCTATATCACCTTCTTCAACACAAGTAAAGTCTAATGCCTTGGGTAATGAAGAGAACCAAAGATCAACCTTTTCTTGTATTTCAGCCAATCTGTCTCGAAGATACGACCAATGCCGTTTTAAACATCGAATGGCATATACACGATCAAGGACTTCTTGAGTTATCATGGTCAGATCGCAGGAATAGAGGAAGCACAGTCCAGAGCTGGCAGGTTGGTCACGAAGCCATGAACGAGCGGCTCTAATGTCCTCAACACCCCCCGATCTTCCCATGGGCGTTCCGGGGACATATGAGCTTGCCATGGCGGCGTTGATGCGTTTATCGCGTAGAATCGGGTCGTTGAGAAGCAAAGTAGCGGTCGGTCCCAGGAGGTCAGTTTCCTCCCAGGGAAGTGGGAATGGTGAACTGCACATACTGATCGAGATACAAGTGGGCCGGCCTGTCATCATACCAAGTTTGTTCTCGACAACATACAAGGACCACCAGACTCGATTGCGAATTTCTTTGGAGATACTCGTGACGAGTTCGCTGTTGTTCTTCAAGTTGATACCAAGAGATATTGCGGAACGTATCGCCAAGGCCGATACTCTCCATGCCCTGCTTCATGGGTCAGTCTCAATTCGCTGAGAAAGATGATGCGGCATTACCTGTGAATTTGATCTGTGGAAAGTAGATAGAACGCGATCAATCCTTCCACTTGCACTTGCTGAAGGTCTGCGTGACTGAACAAGTTATCGCCATCCATACTAAGCATCCCGGCTCTGGTTAAGTAAACCAGATGGTCTCGAGTCTCTCCACGCCAGTCCAACTGCGCGTAGTGAGCATAATTCGCAGCAATGGCAAATATCACATTCAAAATTGCCATCCATTTGTCACCAGGAAGAGCAAAGCTATCAAAGAATGTTCTATATTGGTCACTAAATAGAGAACGATTAATGATGGGGAAATAGGGATAAGCGACTAGTAGGTAAGTCTCAAAAAGCTTGTCTGCCAGCGGCCGAGGAGGAACCCAATACTTCTGCACTGGCTCCAACACTGTAATATTCAGATCATCGAGATGATAATTCAAGTCATGGGGCTGTTCACTGATTGCGCCATCCGGGCTGGATTCGGCGTATCCGGCGCGTTCTCTGCGGCGCTCATCTGCTGCCTTTTGCAGTCTCTGCATCCAAATGATTTCAGAACTCTTGCCAATGTGCCCAGTAGCTCTAGACCCCTCAGTAAGATTAATGTCATCCTCCACTAGATCCAGGGCATCTAATGACCCGACAGAGGATGGTGAACTGGCTGGTTCCTCCATTTCAGCTAGTGACGAGGCTCTTGAGCGAAAAGTGTTCCCATTAGAGAGGTCACTTGACATATATCCCGAATCAAGACGTTGCTGGTGGTTCTTCAGTTAGTATGTCACTGGTACTTTTCCCGCCGTGAACACGAACACACTTACCAACATCTCTTTGATCCGCTGAGCACTGCGCCCTGATACAAGAGGCTCTACTTCTCCTAATAAGCTCTGGCACTCTTGAAGCTTCCTTGATAAGTCCTCCTGCTGCCTGAGAATGAGGGAAAAGAAATTCAGCTCTCGATCTTCTGATCGCATAAAACATGAAACGTTCGATGGGTTTGTGAATGTTTCGTAGATTATTTCCAGTGTTTGACAATTTACATTTTCATCTTCTCGCGCAAGGCCGGTGGATATACGCATTTCATGTCTAACTCTTGACATTGCCTACACACGGGTGTATCGCCACTGCATTTTGTTTTCCGGGTATGGCATGATGCACATGCTCGTGGGACCCGTCTGTGATATCTCGAGGGCATGCTTGTGCGGTGTCGAGGGATCGCAATCTTGGAACTTGGAGGTATTGTCCTCATTGAGGATCTAGATAATCTGCGAGCGCTTGAAGACCTAGACCTCTTTCTAGCGTCCGGCACCTGGGAGACGTTGGCTGTTGACAGGCCATCACCTTGCCCGGCGATGCCTGCTGGCACTTGTGGGGGGATTTCAGGCATTGAAATTTATTGATAAATTTTTCCTGAGATAATTCAATAATTGCACGACTGAGTTGCAAATGTATGAAGAATCAAAGATGCCGATTCCTAAAAATGGAAATAGGGTGGGTACAGCAAGCCTCAAATCAAGTTAGTACATGCATGACGCGCTAAGAGCCCCTCATTCCTCATTGACGTTCAAGTTAGATCCAGTCTACTGTTGAGTGGTCCAGACTTAATTTGAGTGGCTTAGAAGGACTGAACGAGGTCAGCCCCATATTTTTTCGGGAAAGGTTGAATCATGATTTGATAAATGCTGAAACCAAGGTTTATGTCCAACCCCTCTCTTAATAATCATACAAGTAACCTAGGCAGAGCTCCGTTGTTCGCCTCTGGGCTGTTTTTGGATATGTCCCGTTTCAAAGGGGGATTCACATCACTGCAGTACGTCCAATCAAAGGAGTACCTGATATATACCGCTACAGTAGATATCAACTTTTAAAATACAGCCCTCTGATCAACCCACATTGTGAGATATAAAGACTTACGCGCTGCTCGCAAGTGGTATTGGAGAGATCAAGCATTGATTGTCTCCAAGAAGGCAGTCGAGCTATCATATTTTGAGACTAAGTAGACTCGTTCCGTATTTCTAGTGTGCCTGGGTTATGAGCAACAACCTTCCCATCCTTATTGTGCAGCGACACCTAAGCACTCATGTCAACAGAATATCGCACCCGCAGGACTATGCCTTGCTGACCTTTGGGGGATGCTTCACGGATCGCTCTTCTGCTCGCTGCTCGTCTGTAACAATTTCTTGTACCTAGGCGCCCAAAGTACGTTAGTAAACCTCGTTAATCTTCCTGGCTTTTGGGTAGAGATATCACTGCCGCTTTGTACATACCTTCCCTTCATGTGATCCGCCTCGAATCCTGCTGAAGACATAGTCTCCTTCCTGTATGGCATTGCCATACTTATCGACAATATGAGTGACCATCTTTTTAGTAGCCCAGAAATGTTTCTATCGAACTCAGTCAGATTTAAGGAGCTGGAGCAAACAAAATTCATTCGTGCCCCCGAGTTCGGATACAAAGAAACCGCCACGCATTATTGTCTAAGTGCGTCAGGCTGATACGCCATGAGACCTGGAGTTTGGTTCGGGATCTAATCTGTCCTTGGTAGTTGTGTTCGTTTTTTTCCTCGTATATGCTATGTATGTCTTCAACCGCAGTCAACCCGACCTTTCCTCTTTCGTCTAGTAGATTCTGATATTATCAGAGCATCATTTCGCTATCCTCCCGCATCAAGTATTCGGAAACACTATTATTTCAGACTTTTTTCAGTAAGTAACAGTACGCTTCAATCGAGTTTGCGGAATGCCCGCTGGTACTGTCCACGTGATACGTTTTATAAGATGAAGTAGTGACGTCATAATGAAGGAATTCCGACCTTTTTTACGCCTTCTTGGTTCCTAGAGTCTATTCGTAACCTGTAAGCCAATACTACCAGTTCTGTAATCTGATATAGTCAATTTCTGTAATTTCGGAATGTACTGTAGTTACAGTTGGTGGCATGAAGGTCACGTCTGAGATCTCCGCCAAGTGCCGATTTCGGAGAAACGCCAAACATATCCAGCGCACATCGAGACCTAGCACATTAATGATTCACAGTTTGTAGACTAATTGCATGATGAATCCAGACATAAGATCTTCATCGGTCGTCTTGCGTCAATTAATAGCATAATTCTCCCATGAAGGCCGCCTTTGTACCCGCTACGGCGCGGTTATCAAAATCAGAATCAACGTGAGGATCCGCTACATCAGAGCTGTTTAGGCCTGAGAATGCCTAACTAGCAGGATGGCTCTCTTCGTGATAGGTACATCAAGTATGCATTCTTGCACGTACGTATAAAGTTCAACAGATTGAAACGAGTGACTTGGTTCTGACGAATTTGAAATACCACTTACCGAGACTAAATCAAAAATAAAAGAGAACGGCCAGCCATACAATCAACCTCTCAACAAAACCACGAAAATAACAAACCATCCAAGAACACAACTTCGAAACCCTCCTAGAACAGAGACACACACATAGCAATAGTCACTGCAAAATTGCTCTTCCAAATGGCAAAACTATATAGTGCATGGATATCATCTAGAAGTCACCAGGAGTGAAGCAGCACATCCAGCAACCATAGGCCGATCTATATAAAGGCGAAGCCTGTCGAACAATAGTTAGCCACAAAACTTCATCAATCCAATAAACCAACGACTGGAAAGAAGGAAGAAACTTACATATGGCTTGGCACAATGCGCCTCTTTCTCACTAGCGTAGCACTGTCCCATGCAGAAGGAATTACCCTCGTCAACTCCACTGGGCTTTTGGATCAACACCGGCGCAACATCACTACCAGGCTGCATTGGATCAACAGGTGCAAGACCACCATCCGACACGGCGTACATCCGATCAGGGCCCTGTGCGGCCGGCTGCCGGAGACCCTGGTGTTGGTTAAGGGCATTGTAGTTCGATGATGCCGAGGGAGTCCCGACTGGGACCATCGAGTGCGAGGAGGGTCTAGCGACTGGAAGCATGGAAGACGACGCTTGCACACGGATGGGTGAGTGCACAGCTGGTCGGAAGGGGTGATTAGCCATGTAGTTCGAGGGCTTGGACGCGACTGCCATTGAGCTAGAGGGCGAGGCCGTTGCCATGGACGAGGGGATGGCCACGCCGCTCGAGGTGGGCACGTTTGGAATCATGGAGCGGATGGATTGGGCCGGGACTTGGGCCGCTAGTAGGGTGGTTGACACCACGATGATGGAGGTGAGTTGCATCTTGAGTTGTGGTATAGATGATTGTCGTTTTTATATTGCGGTTTTGATATCGAGGTTGTTGTCGAGGGCTGGCGTTGTCGATATTGGCGTCGTTGTGGCGGATAGATGCTAGAAGGAAGATTGAACGCCATGGCTTTTAATTATTATTCCTCAAGGAGTAGAGCTTGGCAGGGGGTGTTTGGGTGGACGTGAATGCATTTTTGGGTTGCGCGTTTGAGGAATGCGGGATGTATACGGCGCGCTTGGGCCATTGGTAGGTGAAATGGCAACGACTTGGGGCGCGTTGTCGACCACTATCTCCTAATTGAATTGACAATGATCATAGAATTGCTGCATATATGTCACTGCATTTGTTTAAGAGATGCACCCGTGTAGAGCTTTGAGGTCATTGATGAGAAGGTTAGATTATCCACTGTATACCGGGTTCGGATCAGCAGGTAATAGAGAACCTGCCCAATGATTTACACTCCTGCAATGGACTTCTTTTCCATTGTAGTATTGTAGATCTTTCAAGAAACCTTCACCCCTCCGCTCATGGTTGACCAAGTAATTAAGTTCAGTCACTTCGAACATATATGGGAACAAATATTGTCTATAAGAACCCGTAGCCGAAGTCCACCACAGGTGTTCAACCTACAGTCAGCGTTCAAAAGTATTTGCAACACGCTACATGCCCCACTTATTTTTCTGCCGGTTAAACCGCCTAATTCATTCGATATCTGAATAAGTAGTATGCCCTCTTTTGTATCTAATGACCTCCTCTACGCGATGAGGTGTTGATTTAGTTAGATTAACAAAGTAGAGAATACTTTAAGCGAATTTACTAGATTCGACCGCTTGCGCAAGGACGCCTGTGGCTACTGTAGGTAGGCGGTGTAGAAAAGCGGTAGGGGTGGGAAGTACTATGTTTTCAAATACTTTTGAACGGCCACTGTAGAAGCAATACTGCTATCACATTTTTGAAACCAAATAAACAGAACTACTTATGAGCTGATTAAGGTTGGCCCTTAGCGATGGCTCTGCAGGATCCGGTATAACGAAGGGCCCCGACAGGCTTTGTGGCGCACAGGAATCAGTATAAATCCAAGGTAGGAAGGGGATACGTTTAGCTCTCTTTTATATTGCAGGTTTGGTTGTACCGGCCTGACCAGAAATGTCATGCCATCAGCGCGTCACACTGTCGTGATTTAGCTTAGAGTGGCGTCCAACCGGGGCGGTTCCAATAGGTCGCGGCTGGGCCGAGACCCTACAGGAAAGAAAACCATAGTTAGCAACAAACCCGGCAAACGACCGGTCAGGAAGTAAAATGATATAAGCTGACACTGAATTCTGAATCCTGTTCCCCTTTATCAGCTATCAACAGTGGCAAGTTCTCCAGCCTTTGATCGTCAGGATGCAGTCTCTCCGGAGCTGTGCTTGATCATCGCAAATCGGCTGGGGTTTTGTGGGAGCATTTACGAACCGGTGAAAAGGGGCTGTTTTGGCTCGCTTGTGATAACCTAGATTAGTAGTGTCCCATGCATCGTGAAATTGATCAGCTGAGTACCTAGCAAATCGTCATGCTTTCGCATGGCCCTCATCCACCGAGTAGTTCTGGTTGGATCTCCCAACCTTGTTACCTTGTGCTTTTGGACAATATGTTTTTTGTCATGTATGGTCATGGAACGTCTCCATGCATGGCATTGCACCAGCATCATAAATGGAGAGACATGGATGCATGGATATCGACGATAGATGTCGCCTAGCCGACCATAGACCCAGCAGGGAACAATGGATACGCGGCTTCTTTCCCAAAACCTTCACGCCTTGCCTCAAGTCCCTGGGCCGACCATTCTCAGTACCACAAGGTATTATCTTCGGCCACAGCCAGTGATGATGCTTTGATGGATACGAACGACATCGAAGCATCACGGCTGCGTAGAGCTGTTGAGGCTCGGACACTATGCCTCCCTCTTGCCGACAGGGCATACTCTGTCAAAGTCGGCGACGCTGCTCAAAGGGACAGGAGATTGGGAGAACATGATGCCACAGGGCTGTGGGCGTCCATCAACTGCACTCCCGGTCGAGAAGAATTATATACCCAGCCAACGTCTAGTGACATTGCTGGCTAGATTCGAAATGGGCTTGAAGCACCGCATCGACATAGGGCTGTTGGCACTCGGATATTGGGCGTCCATTCGAAAAGGGTATACTCGGCTCAGCCAGTGGCATTGTTTCGATGACAACCGATTTACATGACGACTCGGAGTTAGTGACTCTCGGCCACTGAGGTTTCCGTTTATGAGGGCACTCAGTTAAAGCCAGTGAGGTTGTCTCAGTAGATCTCAAGTTGAAAAACCATGCAGCGTAGGGCCGCTGACGTTCAGCCACTTGGCCTCCAATCGGGATGCCCAAGCCAGCGACTGACTTTCAATGGATATGAAGATTGAAGCACCACGACGGAGTAGGGCTGTTGGCGCTCGAATACGGCACGCTCAGCCAAAACCAGTGACATTAGATGAACTGATCATCGCCCGGGCATCACAGCCACCATTGTGCGCTGCCAGTTCCTTCTGTGAACAGAAATTGCTGGACTGAATCACACGGTACTGGTATCCCCAGTGTCGCTTCTTGATGATCGAGTGCCTGAACGGAACTGAGCGATCTTGAGAGGGCGTAATCCTGTCGTGGCTGGAGCAAAGAAGCGATGGTGTTTATGACTCGCTCTGTTGTATTCCCAGAGCGCTCTCGTTGGCTGAAAAGCCCATGTCGAAGATTCGGATCGTGGAAACTGATTCGGAGCTGGGAAGGGGGCGCAGGCCTAGTACCGGGAAATCGTGGTTCATGGTATCTCAGAGGAGGAAAGGACTCGTCATGGTAGCGGAAAAGTGATAGGAAGTCGAAGGAGGAGGGTGGCTTGGTGTCTAACCGATGGATTCGGGGGAGGAGGACGTGGTGGACTGACAAGGAAGGTGCGCGTGTCTACCATCATCGACAGTTTCACGACAACTCTGATTTTCCTGAAGCAAGTGAGTCGTCATTCTCGACGAGATACTGCGCAACCCTCGATCACGCAGACCGCTATGTCTTGGAGTCTTGATCATGGATGAAGGTCGAGATGGTGAGGTGAGACGCGGCACGACATAAGTTCCAACCTCTGGCTGAACACTACTTGCTGCGAAGGGTTCCTCCAACGACCTTGTTCTCGTTTGATGACTTGCCCAATGAAGCCTTCGTGATATCCATGACATTCGAGAGCTATCAACACTATGCCTTCTCCCAATTGTCGCCAAATGTACCTCCTCCTGCACACACTCCCCCTGTGTGGGTGCAAAGTACGATCGTCAGGACGCAACGCACGCTTCAACGAGATTGTCTGGCGGCTTTATTTCGCATGTTCGAGGAACGCTGCTTGTCAGTGACACCAACGTGATGAATTACCAAAGAGAAACCTGTTTTCCACGAGGGTTGACGCCAGTCCAACGTATTGTTGGAACAACATCAATTCCCCAGTCGGATTATGGCAGCAGCCTGACGAACCACTCATCAAACCGGGCAGGTATCTTGCAAAGAGCATGATCAGCAGCCACAAAAGGTAGCAATGCCCCCCGTACCCTGTGTCTGGCTTTCTTTTCGAAATCTCCGAGATGATGACAAACAATGGTGTCTATCCGAGTCTACAGGTACACCTGGGAAGGCTACTCGGCAGACTTGCCTATTGAACAAGCGTCACCGAGCTTTCGAGGTTCCCCAAATCACCCATCCAAACAATCTGTGATCGTTCGTCTGAATCGGCAAAAGAACTGGATAATCAACCCCAGTTTCCAGTGTCGAGGCGAATTCCATGATGCTTTTTCACTTCCGCGGAGAAAGTCAACTCCCCGCCAATTGGTCGGCAATTTTGTCCGGCAAGACGCTGCAATTCGAAGCTGAGCAATGATCACCCACAAAAAACCTTGAAGGGCTTGAGAAACCTTGCGCTTCGTACACCAATCACTAAATGACCATCAGTCGTGATTGACCGGTGTTCGTGACGGAAAAGGCATCCGTCATGCGCCCGCATGCGCCCGTTGGACTGAGCTTTCTGGAGGCGCGCCGTGCCGATGCCATCGCCGCGCAACACTCAAGGCAGGGCCTTGGAGATTGGCGACCAATACACTGAATACATTCGGACTATGGATGATTTTTCCACTGCCTAGTGTTGGATAGCCTTTTCTTTTGCCCAGCAGACTTTTGTCTTTCAACGACATTCGCTTCGCTCACCATCAGAAGTTCTTTCCTATCTCCCTCTAGCTATCCAGGACGTGTGCCCTTGCGAGAAGTCGAGACGATCTCGGATACCTGAATTCTTCGGAAGTGCAGATACAAACACTTTGTTTACAGTATGACCGACCGTTTCGATTTTTTTCCCTTCTGTTCGATCCACTTTGCCCCCCTCGGCCTTGTCCCCGATATGGCTATTTTTACATTCTTTGTCTATTCGGTGCCCATAGTCTACATCTGGTTGCTTCCTTTGTGTCGTTCTCTTCTGTATTCTCAATATATCGTCAGTATACCTGATGCTGACCGTGCTTGCAAAGGAAAGGCGGTCGTTGGAGGACCTGCAGTCTACTATAAACCCAACTTCCCATCGATCGCAGCGCCCCTTCCCTACTGTCGTTCGTGAGCTGTAACAGCCGAGACGCTCTAGTGAGTCCACATCCCCAATCCCGTAGCCTGCTCTCCCCGACACCGCCAACCAGAAACTAGGACAGCAATGTCGCCGCGAAGACCAGACAACAACCCCTCCCCCAGCCACCAGGCTGTCCCCGAAGGGGACAACCACAATCAATGGGGCTCGTTTGGAGAGCAAAGGTAAGCAGCACCATCCTTTTTGCTCATAGCTCCGACGTCGACATGTTTCTGTGTCCTGCTCTAGAACCCAAGCATGATTACCGCATTGGCCAGAGCGTAGGGGGGAGACAGTCTCGACAACGACACGTACCCACTCATGTCTGCGCAACGACCAGTTGATCCTAACATTTCTGCGTTTTCAACATTAGTAGCAATCAAACGGCCGCGACCAGACTCGCCTATTACCGCACGAACACAAGCAGCCTGCTTGATTTCCTCAAGCACAGCGACCAGGACTCGCTCGACAGCTTCATCTCCGTCGTCCGCTCGGGTGCCTCGCACGACGACATCTTCGCCGTCATCAACCAGCTGGCTTCGAGCACTGACATGCAGCGGAAGGAACAGAATGGTGGCGCATCTAGCTAGGTGCTCGCAACGATAGCCCTGCCTTGGGGGATCTCAGCTCAGGATCTCAGCTTGGCGCCGCGGTCCTCGGACGTGGACTGGGTCAAGAGCCGCTTCGCGAGTTCCCAAGGCCACGGCCTCAGAAGGCATGGCGAAATGGTTCCAAGAGCCATTTGTGATCTGATTTCACATTTATGCTTGAGTTAGAGGGTTTTGATTGCGGAGGTGATGGCAGAATTGGTTTTCAAAGGCTTGCTGGCTTAAGCTGGGTTTGTAGCTCACGTTGTATGCTTCATCAGTGCTCTTCAGCCTCTTCCAACTGATGTTTTAATTTGTCTCTCAATATAATCGGCATGATTGCCCATTCTGCAATAGGACGTGCCCAGATGACAAACGGCAGCGGAATACAGTGCCAAGATACGTCAACCAGAGGTTCCCCCAGCGAAGCATTTTTTTCGAAAGCCCAATTTTCGAATCATGAACCATGTCCTGTCGGTGTACTAGAAGCGAGCGGGAAAGTTCATTTCTGATATCGTTCCCGTGGGCCCAGTCTGTTCAACCCGAAGATATAAGTGCGGATACGAGTGTTCATCGTTTCACCGCCATCGTATATAAGAGAAACATGCCAGGGTGAATGGGTTACCGATAGAGAGAAACGCAAAGTCAACTCCCCAGAGAAACTCATTGGTTTCTGCGCTGGTCTGCGGTCGTGAGTGAGCGCGAGCTAGAAGCATCACGCCACTGCCGCACAGCCCAGAGAGCAAGTGGACCTACCAGGCGAAGTCAAAGCAGACGGGCTGATCGACAGGACTACTGGCCACCTCGAAGAAGGAACAAGCACAGCGTAGCGCCAACCCGTCCTGTCTGCACTGACCAACCCGAGCCGCAGCCAACAAGCGCAGTCATCGCGGAAGCCAGAATCCAGATTGAAGTCCAGATAAGCATTGAGACCAGTCCATGCTAGAACCTAGCCACAAAGATCCGTGCCCATGTCAGAGGCAACCGCATGTTACGATCAACCAGCAAGGCAAAAGCCAGATCCAGAACCCGCCCTTGTCTCGGCAGCAGGCACCGAATCAAAGTAGCTAAGCGGAACAGGCTTTGCGGAATGGACTGGCCTGTGCTGTTCACGGAGATGATATCCGGCGGCAAGCCCCCTATTAAGACTGGAGCATTGTCATCATGCGTGGTGGAGCACTTGCTCGCCTAAAAGGAATCTCTGCGTGATCTATCCTCAGGCCGCTGTGAACAATCTCCCGCTGTGATTCTTGCCTGGTTTGCCATCTGTGGTTGTCGACAGCGACACTGTCAAGAAGAACGCCTGTGAAGACGGGGAAGAAGAAAGACGGTGAGAAATCACCACTGACCCCTTGTAAGATTGGCCTAGTCCAGAGATCGTCGTGACCACTGGTCGTACCATCAGGAGGGGGCCATCTTCCAGGATACTTTTCCTGTCTCGTGTCTCTGTGTGACATGAAGATGGGTCTAAAGACGCATCATTGCACCCGTGACTTGTGGAAGAGGACTGATTGCAGTACTTACTACCCAAAGGTAGGATGATGCAGCAGAACAATGCTACTAACTCTGCCCTGGACTCGGATCATCATTTCCCAGCAAGCTTACACTACAGGAACCGCCATCGAGCATCATTTTTCAACTCTTCTAATTCTATCCGTACACTTTCCGTCATAGAAATCAGTCATCAGATTCCCTCAACGACCATCCCAGTCACGTCCAGCGCACCCGATCCACCCATCCCATTTCCAACATGCCCAACGCAAGCATACAAATAACCAGCCTCACCTGCATCCACACAAACGCACACCACAGCAAAATCTATCCAGATCACGGCTGATCCTGCAGACTCGGACGAAACCTGAATCCCTCTCCCCACAGCCATAGAGCGGGGCAACAAAGGTCCAGCTACAATCGAAAAGCCTGATCTCGTATGGATCGAGGGCAAGAGTGTCGTCGCCTCGCCTCATATGGTATTTGCGCTAGGAATATCGTCGGGCCTTGCCTCAGTCCCAAAGATACCTACATTGCTGAAGGACGACAAGGTTCTTGCTTGAGGAATGTCCTGAGATGAACACTACGTGGATAGAGATGCTGAATGACATACTTTTGAGGTAGGGAATTCGTAAATGTCTTTGAATGAGCTGGGAGCGTATGATGGATGAAGACTCAGGTATGGAACAGTCAAGAGGCGTCTCTCTCTCTCACACATCCTCATTTCCATACGATGTAGAAGATGAACCACATCTGGATATCAGAACAGAGAGTACACGAACACAGAGTACCTATTTTTCAAACTCCATGCCCGCCAAGAATGTTGACATATTCCATACGATATCATTGGGATGAATGCACCCAGAACATGAAAGGATATAACCCTGCAGAGTTCAGACTTGTCCTGGGGATATCGGTCATATCCCGAGCATGAGCATGAGCGTCCTTGTGGTGCGGCATGCTAGGGTTTGTATCGGACTTTGAGGCTTACATCGTCTGACATGGCCACCATCATGTGATCACTTAAGAGGGCCTGGGGCTTTCGGAAATTGGAGTCGAGGCCTCGAGTGGATGGACTGATGTTATGTCGTTACTGATACTCTTTATCCTTTGTACGGTAGGACTAGTCCTTTGGCAGTTGATTGGGAGGTACCAGGGCGAATGGATCTGCAATCTATGTAGTGGCGTCGGGCCAGTCTTGGCTTATTTAATTCCCACCTTCTCGTGTCTAGGGCAGATCATTATTTTACTAGCAGCTCCAAATCAGCAAGAACAAGATTGTGAAATTCTCCATTGCATGCATTCCCATGCTACAGCAAACCTATTTTATCGATCTAATTCAAACTAATCCAAGAATCCGTAATTCCACATCAGCTAATACCAATCCATGCACGCAACACATACTCATCATAACATGGCGTAAGCTATCTATACCACAACGAGACCAGACCGAGCCAGACTTTGACAACCCCGAAAAAAACGGAGTGATACAAGGCGGAAGCCTAACTTGTATCTAGACCTGATACTCGTTTTGAGTCTACTTCTTGCTTGCTGCTTGCACTTAGGGCGTGCAGCGGCCCGTGAAACGAGGGTACAGGGAGCAGTCGCGGACGGTGTAGCGAGCGCACAGCCAGGCCAGGAAACGCTCCAGACCGAGACCGTAGCCGCCGTGGGGGGAGGTACCGTACCTATTGTGGATGGTTAGTTATAAAAGTAAAAGCTAATGCCATGATGGGTTTGTGTAGATGGGGTGACTTACTTGCGCTGGTCAGTGTACCAGTAGTAAGGCTTGGGATCCATGCCCTCGTGCTTGTACGCGTTCATCAGCTCGTCCCAGTCATCCATGCGCATACTGCCGCCGACAATCTCGCCGACACCGGGCATCAGCACGTCCACACTCTCGGTGACCCGGCGATCGCTCTCGTCCTTCTTCATGTAGAACGCCTTGATCTCGGCGGGGAAGTGTGTTAGGAAAATAGGCTGGTTGATAATATCCGTCATCTTGCGCTCGGCGGCCTCGGCGATATCGTCACCGAAGGTGTGAGTTTGACCTTCCTCGTTGGGAATGTCGTGAGCCACCAGCCAGTCAATGGCGTCGGAGTACTTCATCCGCTTGAATGGCCGCGAGGGAGGCTTGAAGTCTGGGTTCAGCGTGGTGATGTACCGCGACGCCTCGGGGTCGGCGAGCAGCAGCTCGATGACTCGGCAGATCATGGCCTCCAGGTGGTCCAGCAGGTCGTTGAAGGTGATAAAGTCCAGCTCGGCTTCGACGTGGGTGTACTCTGACAGGTGGCGGCGGGTGAGCGACTTCTCAGCGCGGAAGGACGGGCACACGCAGAACACGTCACCCAGCGAGGGGAGACAAGTCTCCAGGTACAGCTGCGAAGACTGGGTGAGGTAGGCATTCTCGCCGTAGTAGTCGAAACCGAACAAGGTGCTACCACCCTCGACCTGGGTCTGCACCATCGCGGGAGGCGTAACCTCCAGCATGCGGTTCTCCTCGAAGGCCTTGCGGAAAGCGCGCAGGGTAGCGGCGCGCACCTTCATCACGGACGAGGAAGTCTCGCCACGCAGCACCAGGTGTCGGTTGTCGTACAGTGTCTGGTGGTCGGCGTCCGGCGCCACGCGCGTGGTGATGGCCTCCTTGTCGCCGGCAGCGCGGCCAATGATCGTGAAAAAGTCGGCGTGCAGCTCACGGTCGTTGGGGGCGAACTGCTTGGGAGGGACGGCGCGCATCTCACCGTGGATAGCGATGGAGGTCTCCAGGGTGAGGGTCATGATATCGTAGGTCTTGACCAGATCGCCGGTCAGAATGCACTGGAGGTAGCCGTAGCCGTCGGCCAGGGTGATGAAGACGTAGTCCTTCTGCGCGCGCATGCGGTGGACACGGCCCAGAACGCGCACACGAGTACCCGCGGTATCAGAGTCGGGAGTGCGCAGCGAGACGATAGCCGGGTCGGTCACGTCCAGGCGAATGCGGACAGGCTTTGGCAGGGAAGCATCCTCGGTGATGACCACCTTCTTAGCCTCTTCCAGGACCTTCTGGCGCTTCTCAGCCTCGGCCTTCTCGCGGATCGCCAATTCATGCTCCTTGGCGGCCTTCTTCTTGCGCTGCTCCCACAGGTTGGTGGCCTTCTTCATGGCCGACTTCGTGGCGGGCTTCCACTCCAGCTTGGCGGCGGGGTCGACATCCTCTCCGGGGGCATCGGTCTGGGACTTGCGGGTCAGGTACTGGATACCTTCGGTGGTGGGGGCGTGCTGCACAAAGGCGTGCAGAAGGGTCTTGTAGGGGGCAGACTCGGTGCCAGTGGCCGTGGCCTCGTCGTGGCCGACGTCCTCGTCGATGTAAATGGACGGCGCCATGACGGAGGACTATTTTATGTGGAGAGAAAGGTAGGGAGAAGGAGAGGGTGCAAGGACAGGTGGTCCCAAGAAAAACCCGTGTGTCTGTCTTGTCGGGGGTTTGCTCGCTGGGGTGTCTTGCTAGGGAGAATTGGATTCTGCGGGCACAA